CCATCGATGATCGCCTTCGCCTTCTATTTGTAACCATTTTGTTTTACTAACTAGGTTGCAATCATTGGTGCCCTTGTATTTTTCTTCCTTCGGAAGCGCCGCAACAATAATAGCGATATGAATGCAAACAGCAACGAGCCTGCACGAGAAGAAGCAGCTGGTAGACGACTTAAAGCTCTGGAAGCCAACAACGGTATGTTTTGACCATCTCATTTTAGCAATTTCTAGTTCATCGCATTGATGGAGATAATTTTTTGCCAACAACTATATTCGACTTTTTTTCTTCAATCGTGTATTCAGTTCCAGCACCACCTTATACGGATAGTTCTTCGCCTCTCGTATCACCTTCCCACCAATTCCTTCCGGTATACGAGTCTGGAAAACCAGATGGCAGCAGTGTTGGCGAAGAAAACGTCCAACGCTTGGTTATGCAGCCTGTGAAGCCAGACAGTGGATCATAGTTGTGATAAAGAAGCGCCATAGTAACAGCAACAGCGAACTTTTCAAACAATACTTATGATAGTTTTAAATTATAATAATAATACCTGCTTGTAACCAGTATATGATATCATTTTAACTTCCACTGGTAACCATTGCACTAATCCTCAAAAGACACACCACATATGAAAGATTCTGTCCTTCATAATATGTGTACTCAGTGCGAAGATTCTTGCATGGATATGGATCAATCTGAATTGGTACTTCTAATAATCAGGCACTACATTCTTAATTCAAACGTCTATAATAGACCAGAATGGGGCACTACACTGGTGTCGAATCTTGGTATTGGTCTACAAGCCACGGAGCAGACAATTGGAGCGGGTGGCGGGCACATATTTTATACAACGACTCGTGATTACGATTACTGTATCCGACATATTTAGACTTATAGTGGACCCAGGCTCTCGTAAGCAAAATGTGCTGGATAATCACTGGGAAATTTTCAAACTGCAGAGCAATTGATTTAAACTACACACATGCATTTTATAATACTGGTTGATTTCGGTGATACTCTTTTTCCGGAGCGCATTGATCGCCACAGAATTAAAATTCCACGTGTGTTCATGTCTTTTTTACTCTTTTTGCATCTGGGCTGTATAACATGCGAAATGATCAAAGTTACAAGAAGATCGCCTGTACTTCCTCTCACGGTTGCCTGGTGAACTCATCGCTTGAGCAGCCCAACAATGAAATAGATTTTTGCATATGTATGCAGTACGTTATTAGTCTTGTCGATGTAGGTCTTCCCATTGTCCTCAACGAAAATTACCTGAGAGCCCCGTTAAAGTTTTACAGTGTTCAAGTCTCCGATTGTCAGGTATGCATTATGCATGTCTGTTCTTATGTATACGGTTCTAATGGAAAACGTCCCCAACACGCCGGTGCGCATGTAATTCGAGTCTCTCACGTATATCCATTTCCGTCAATATATGTTCTTCGCTTTCCAAAGCCTACCGTTGTGCTTTGCTTGTTTATAGAATTTAGTTGAGTCTGGAAAGGAAGTATCCAGCAGTCTTTTACGATCTTGATCATTGTACTGCAGAGCGGGAGGCTATGTCGTTGAACGAATAGAATATATCTTGTTATCAGTAGCTGAGCGCAATAACAGATTTCTGCGAATGGTCTTGACGATGACTTGGATGATGTCGAAGAGGCTCGGGTCAAAATGACCATCAGTTTTAACACGCTAAGCCCCGTATTCCTCTATTTATATACATGCAACATGATGCGTTGTACGACTTACGCAAGAAAGGAAGCTTAGCGCATGCTTGCAGAATTTGTTAGAAGATATACTTATCTTCTATTGACAAATATGTTTAATACCTATACAGTTATTTATTTTCGCACCTTTATTTTTCAAATGCTTGTATGATATGGGCCGCGAAGAGCCAAAAAGGAAGGGCAGAATAGTAATAATGTCTTTGGCAAAAGCTTTCGTCAACAAAACAAAAAGTGAATTACAGTTTCTGTGTTTCTGATTCGCGGGTTACCGAAGAAAGAGTGTGCTACAACAAAGATCGGAATATGGAAATCCAGTGCTACCATATACCAACCGTCCTTTTTTTTCCTTCGCCCCCCTCTGCTCTCCATCCCTTTTCTTTTTTCTTTCTGTTTCGATTTCAAACTGCTGTTGTATAAATGGTGAATTGGCTCGCTGCTTCTCTGCTAGCCGCTGCAACAGCAGTTTCCGTACGAGCAGATACGCCGTCAGGTCGTGCTAATCATGGTGTGTGCTCCGTTTGTTCAATACATTTTATTGCTCTACACGACACCATCTTTTGTTAATAAAAAGGTGACTCATACGAATTTATGTTTTTCAAGGTTGCGCTCTACTTGGATCGACAATCTTTTGCTACGGTGGTGCAACGCGAGCTGCTGATGGAACCACTACAGCATTAAATAGCAATCTTTTCTACTACCTCGATCTATCTGAGGAAAAGAGCGTCACCGATCTTCGCGGTTCATGGACCGCATTCAGCGGTGGAAACGTCGGACCGAATTACTATTTTGCAATTACAGCATTACCTACCGGGAATAGCTTTGTGCGTACCACTTTTTACTTTGTATCGGCAGAATCGACGGTCGAAAACAAGATGTGTTAAATATATTTTGTTCTTCTAAATGCATAGGTAATTGATGGTGGCCGTGGAGCTGGAACGGATGGGCTTACTACCCAAGCAATTACAGTCTTGTTTAACGCAACTGGCCAAGGATCATGGAGTACAGTGAGTAACTTTGTCAAAACTCAAAAATCATCGCATCGGTCCACACGAGCATAATATATATTTTCAAGCGTACTCTTAATAATAACAAAAATGCTTCTGCCATATTAATATAGGATATCCCCTCTGGTGGCCATCCTCTAGTGTAATTATTGGTCTACAGACTCTATGAGTATAACGTAGACATCCCGTCTAACTATGATGCTTTTAATTGACATTATCACCCAATAGAGACTCTCATACCGCTGTCTCCGATGCAGACAACAATGTCTATCTTATAGGTGGTAGGAGGTACGTTAGAAATAAAAGAAGTGTAAATATTAATTCTTGGCATAGTGTTGACTGTTTTTTTACATCATTTCTAAACATATTTGTTGTTATCTTCCTTTTCAACATATTTAGTAGCGCTTTCTATAGTAACATCACGGGTCCCATGCAATTTCCCACACAAATGGCAATTTTTCGGCCACCTGTAAGGAAGGAGTGCATTTTCTTTATGTATGCGAAAGCGATGATACCGTTTGATTAAAATATTTACTCTTAAAACGCATGTAGGAAACATGGAGCTCAACGCCAGCTACTTTACGGTCGACCTCTACTCAAACCCGATTACACCACAAAGCTGTGATGGGACGAGACGGACATACGATTTACTATGTTGGTGGTGTTTACCCTGCTCAAGCAGCAGAACAAGGATCAGCTTATTACTATGGTCATGTCCCAATGAACGATATCTTGATCTATGACACTTCAAGCTCAACGTGGAGCACTAGAAACGCCACCGGTTTACTACCCACTCCTAGAATGGATCACACGTTAACCATGAGTATGGAATCAAAAACTTTAAAGTTTAACAAAGCAAACAATAGAGACTAGTGTCGATATTGTCGACACTTCATTATACTCATTGAAATGTACCTACAACTCATGCTTTTGTATTTTTACGCAGAGCCTAGTACTGGAGAGCTTATTGTATACGGAGGAACGCAGCTCGGTAAGTTTATTGCTCCACTTCTAGCTTAGCTTTTAATTGTAACAATGCTAACTTCTACTTCAAAATTAATATTGCCTTGCAGATTCTTCGCAACCTATAGGTGACTTTTTCTATATTTTAGACACGCAGGATATGACCTGGAGCAACCAGTCGCTTACCGCTGCCGATGGTGCAAATGGTGCTGGTGCCCGATTTGGGCACGAAGGTATAATTATTGATCACTTTATTAGAATTGCTGTACTGAAACCAAAGATGATTCTTATTGAAAGTTTTTACAAAAAGCTGTTCTCGTTAACAACAGCAGCTTATACATTATCTTTGGTGCGAATCAGCAAGGATCTACACCAGGATTATTCTTACTTGACATCGAATCTTACCAGTGGCAGGTGACTTCACCTGCTGTTCACGTTGATTCATCGGATGGAGGGCCAAACGGAGGAATTGGAAATGGCGACGGTGATTTATCATCTGGTGATGGCGGCGGCGACAGTGACAACATTGGAACTATAGTTGGCGCAGTAGTCGGATCGGTCGCTGGAATTGGAATTATCGGTGCGGCTTTGTTCTTCTTCCGCAGACGACGCTCCTCGAAAAATAATCATGATGGCAATTTGGGAAGCAGCGATCATATGATGTCTACACATCCTAAAGAAGAAGCAAACGATGGTTAGTGTAACTATTTCATGGTGGTTTGGCTGTAAGTTTGGGTAAGCAAAAAGATTCACTAACGTTCCGTTTCTTTTTTGCTTTTCGTATAAAAGAAAGTGCCGCTTACCGTGACGACGACAGCTACGCCATGGAAATACCGACACGTCAATTCTTGCCAGCATACACGTCTGGTAAGCCAGACGCCGTACCTGAAGGTGAAGAGCAGCCTCCGGCTCCTCGTTTAGTCATGCAGGCCGTTAAGCCTGACGGAGCATGATGGCTTGAATAACTCTTGTATTATTATTATTACAAAAACAGCATACACCATACACCATACAAATTTTGCCAATATTTAACAGCTATATCACTATGATACTATCCATACGCATTATTAAATCTCACCTATTTTCTTGCGAAGATTAAAGCTACGCGTTATTTCTGATTACATACAATAAGAAACTCATTGACTGACGTTAATATTAGGTTAATGAGACAAAAGATTGTTCGTGGAAGAACACGATAAAGCGAATAGATTTGATAAGCGTCCAAGTATGCACCTTTTGTCAACAACAATGCAAATCCACTGGAGACTGAAGTTGCATCAATTAGGCACTACTGTACACTATCACCTTTTCTAGTTGTCTTATGCTTACGTCCAGTGTTTTTTTACAATTCTTGTCATATACTGGTGTCACTCGTTTACCTCCCTGTACAGTATATGCAAAGGAATGAGGTCTTAAAAAGAAAGGTTGTCGAAGACTTTATAGTTAGATACAAGAGTTTCTCACATCACGTGCACTAGCATTACCCTAACACAAGAATTATTATCATATAGATATTGCCGTTTTCTCTACTTATTTGCGTGTTGTTTGTCTTCTATCTGTCGCTAGTATTTATCCGTTGCTCCTAACAGAAAGGAGAGCAGCATCAAATTTTAAAGAGCAATATCATCAACCAACCGCTCTAAAAATGATATTTTGATTATGATGCACAGATCTGTAACGTTGCGTCGAAGCTTCCAAAGATGAGACCATTCTGATGCTTTATAGTGGGTCAGCGCTTGCTGCTCTCGTCTACAGTAGCTGTCAACAACAAGGCTCCAGTGGAGTTTGCTGGAACTACATTGCCAAAATTCAAACAGCAACAGCAAAGCTAAAACATCTGACATATTACAGCGACCCAGTTCGAGCCGATCTAAGCGACATGCATATACTCGTGGCAGATTTGATACCAAACTATAACTTGAATTCATATGTTGTTGCTTCGAGCGATATCAGAAATATCGACGCCATCCTCATGGTGATCTAGTCAGTTACGCCAATAGCAACGAACTCAAAGACATTGTCTAGCCTTCTTCAGCAACTTTGGGCGAATAAATGTGGGCGGTCTTGTTTTTTCAGCACTGGGCAAATCATGGTCATTACTAATTACGTAGTACTCACCACATGTGATGGAATCATGGAAACGTTGCTGGGATCGCTAACATCAATAATTGAGACACTAGGCATCGTTTTGAATATTTCCGAGACACTTACCGAAAAAGCTCGGTGAAATGATCACTAATAACGTAAGTATGCTTTAATTTAGAAGGGTGCAGTGACTGACGTTTGATGCGATGCACGAATCATGTCGGTACTATGTTAAGCATGCGGAAACCATTTCTCCTTACCCTATAATCTTATGGCGGGCAAAAAGTGTCTATAGCCAACAAGATGCTCCGTTCAGACAACCGATTAACAAAGGTCGAGCAGATAAACAAACATATATGATGATGATCCAAAATAATTCGTAAGTCATCGGAAAGGATCTTCAGTAGTACTAGCGCTACTGCAAAAAGGAAAAAGTGATCTTTAAACAAATATGATGTATGGGAATAAACAAAAGTGTTGCAGCACTGTTGATACTGCTATGCCATGCCGTGACACGTGTATTTATATACTGTAGTGCTGTGCTTGTGCAACGGATATGTAGCACGGGTAAGTTAAGCAGGAATCGCAATGTCAAGTGTCAGAGTAGAATAGTTGAAAAAGTCCCCCTTCCTTGACCCACATATCAATGCTGTACACTTTTGCCGGAAACGTGTTTTGCGCAAATCTGTGTAACATTTTGCTCCAAGTGCAAGAAATGATTTGCATGTTTCTAGAAATAAGCTTTGTCCAGCGACAAAAGAAAACTTGGCGCAAGCAGAATTTTTGCGTATGTGAGATACAAGAGACTATTGAACAGCGAGCGTGGGTGAGTATAAGTGAGGGTGATGGTGAGTATGGGTGAGTAACCGATAAAATCGCTCGCAATTGCTCTCACACTTAATTCTCTCACGCTGGGCTGTTTTTTTCGTTCCTGGTCTTTGGTTTCTTGCACCACAACATCCATATTCACTCATACCCATTCCCAAATGCTTAATAGAAAAAAACAGTGGTTTATTGCCGTGAATATTACTTATATTGATGGCGTGTACAGTTGACCCCCGTTAACGTCAACCATCAGGGTACCAGCAAAAGTGTTGACCATATCGAGGGTTGACCACCACTGGGGGTAGAGAATAGGCAAAATCTCTAACTGCTAAATTTGAAAGGGTACCAGCGAATCGGTTGACGTTATCGGGGTTGACGTTAACGGGGGTATACTGTAATGCATTGGCGTTTTGGGTCACGGAGAGGTGACAACACTCGATTGATCTCAGAGGTGCTCGCACTTGGTCGTTCCTGCCGTCAAACACTTGCAACTCTTCATATTGTCCGGGTTTGCAATATTTTTCAAAGATGAGCAATACATATAATACATCGTCAAATTGAACCAAGTATTGTTGCAAATTTGTAATCGGTGATGGCAAAGTGCTTGTAGCCAATTCCATCATGAAATAAAGGCCATCTTCCATCAATTTTGTCAGGTAAAAGGTTGCTATATGGTTGACACACTAGATCGATAAGTAGATCGCCGACATTACCTTGATCAACTGCGTTTTTCGAAAATCCATCCAGACGGATGAGATCCTTTGTAATCACATAGTTATTGTCACTGTCAGCTGCAGGTTTCATTCCTGAAAAACCAATGCATTTGCCAAACTGTACACCTTCAACACAAGAGACCATGACATCAGGTTGCTCTGATGAAATCATCGAACCTTTTGGTACTGCTTTTGATTCTTCATTCACTGTTCCAGCCCAACAGAAGAAAATATTGTTGTCAGAATCGTCAAATAAAGGAATGAGAGGGCAGGATCCAAGTATCGAGTGCAAAGCTCTTGTTCTTTGATGACCGAAGTGATCTCTTCTTTCGGCAACATGGTGATACTATCGCAAAAAAAAAGAGGGATGAAGTATGGAATACCGGACATATATTTAAAAACAATTTTTTTTTATATTTAATCAAAATTGAATTTTGTTATAAATAAAAAAGATAATATGGATAAGGTAGATAATGTTGAGGATTTAATAAACAGTGATGATTCTATTAAAAATTTTAAAAGAAGCTTTATTACCAAGAAAATGGAAGAGTAAAGTATTAAAAAGATAGAAATTGTATTTGATGATATTATTAAAGTAATTAAATTTAAAATTAATTTCCTGATTTAAAAGAAATTTATAAAGAATACAAAGTTATAAGAAGAAAGAAAAAACAAAAAGTTAATAATAAAAATAAAAAATTAAAAGTTGATAACAATAATAGTAAAATTAATAAAAGTTTTGATAAACCAATTAATAAAAATAATAATAAATCTGAAAATATGGTGCAGGTCAAATAAGTTCTGTTTATTCATCCGTATATGCTGAGGCCTTATTTTCGAGATGCTACTAGTCACTAAAAATGTGTGTTACATATCGAAATTTTAATACGGTAAAACTCTTTTTTAGATGTTAGAGAATAGTTCTAATGTGCCAGATTTTTATTCAGAGTGATATCTATGAGAGAGTAGTGGTTCAAAATTTTGGATAGTTTATAAGCTTGCCACAAAATTGGCCGTCCCTACACAGCCCTACAGCCAATTAAAAATCGTCATTATATCAGCAAAAGATATAGCCGCACCATTATATGCATATGACACAAATGAATATCAGGTGTATCAATGTCGAAACTGTTGTTGTAAGAAACAACTCCTTTCTTTTTCTATCAGTGTGACTACTATAGCCTAAAAAGCCTACAAGTAACTGTTCCAAAAGTCCTTGACGAGGTTCCATTAACGATGATATATAACTTTGAATGCAAAGCATGGAGATTTATAGATGCTTATTATCAGGGATTTCAGGGACGAGAAGCGCTCTACATAGTGAAAAAATACAAATCGCATCGTCAAGTCAAAGTAAATGAATAATGGAATAAAGTACATATACGTTAGCAGAATTTGCTATTCAAAAATTGGCCGTTTTTTAAAAATATATGGTTTAAGATGACCTATACCATAATAATCTATCTGAGAATAATAATCCATCTGAATTGATTTGAATAAAATAAATTCATCTTCTTATACTTCTTTATCAAATATAGAAAATATAGATATAAAATCCAATAGTCATAATAAAAGTATATTAGATAATCTAAATATATTAACTAACAAAGAAATTTTTAAATAGGAACAAAAACAAGGTAATATTGATAAATTTATTTCAAACAATAATTCTCAGATAGATAACGGTATAAAACCTTATGATTATTTCTCACATTTATTAAAATATATACAGCAAATTATTATATTATTAGAGAAAATGAATTTATTATTTATAAAGTAGAAACCATTAATAAAAAATATATTAAAAGTTTTATTATATCTAAATTTCAAAATATTATTAGTGAGATTAAAATAAATATTGAATATAATTTAAATATTACAATTAATATTTAATAATAAAGTATATAATATGTCCAATAAAGCTAACCTTATCCAAAAAGAGTTATATCCGCTCAAAGCAATATGGAATCATTTTAAAAAAAGAATATAAAAGTACTTACAGTCTCGAAACAGAGGAGATAATTCTTGAATTTGGTGCTGAAGCAGCGTTTGCTTTTTGCAGGAGATCTGCTTGCACAGCTAATCGTGTCATTTGCTGAAATTGGGCAATATTCTTGAGTTCCAACATTGATCCCATCAAATCCTTCCCCATACTGTCCAAAGCCAAATTCGCGCCGAACATGATCTTGCAATTTGCTGATATTTTCTAGCTCCAAAGATGCTAACCAGATGAGGATGCATGCGATATGGTTCAATTAATAACACATAGGACATGGCCCTAAGAAAAAAAAGAAATTAGAAATTGTTTGGACAATAGATTTTATCTCTTACAAAATGTGTTGCGCATGCGATTCCATGAGTAGATTGCCTGTCATAGTGTTGATGGATGCTTGGGATTGAAGAAAGGCTTGGGAAACATCGAAACCATCAATCATATATCGATCACTATTTGATAGCGGTTCGGGTGAGAAATATATTGATTGCGAGGTATTGCCAACGTCATCGTTGCTGCTAGATGAACTGAGCCAATGTGTTGCATTTTCCATGATGGAGTTTTGTGTTGGAACACTGGCCGCAGCTGGTTCATCTTTATGGATATCATTGATATGCGATTTTAACTGATCCAAATCAGGGTAATGGGACAAACACGAAACGCATGCATAATAGATAAGGACAGATGTGTATTTGCCTTTGTGTCCTTCTGAGACATATGTGAATTGCTGTGTATTTCCGCGTGTTTTGCCTTCGCTTCGTGATTGCAAATGCAAGTTGTGCATTTTCAGCAAATGCTGTTTCACTTTCGAGGCTTGTGAAAGTTTCTTTTTACAAATGTGGCAGCCGTAACACAATGATACTATTGTTGGTGTTGTCATGACTACAGAGTATGTGCAAAAAACAAAAGACAGGAACAAAAGATCAAGTAGTGTGAGAGCAATTGCGAGCGATTTTATTGGTTACTCACCCATACTCACCCTCACCCAGTAATGATTTTCGCCAGGGCGAAAATAGCCGAAAATAGGCGAAAAAAGGCGAAAATTAGAGGCGAAAAATCAATTACTTTACCTGAAAATACATATGAAAACCTAAATCTGTTGAAGGGAGGGGGTGAAAAGTGTTGACAATTTGTATTTATAAGATTTGTTTTCTGCTGGGTGCACTTGTATGTCAGGAGTTTTAGGTTCGACGTCAACTTCACCAAGAATCCCCAATTTTCGCTAGGCGAAAATTGCAGTTGGCGAAATTCGTCAACACTGCCCTCACCCATACTCACCCATACTCACCCACGCTCGCTGTTCAATAGTCTCTTGTTGAGTCTCACGTACGCAAAAATTCTGCTTGCGCCAAGTTTTCTTTTGTCGCTGGGCAAAGCTTATTTCTAGAAACATGCAAATCATTTCTTGCACTTGGTGCAAAATGTTACACAGGTACATGCGCAAAAATTCACTGAAAAGTTTCCGGAAAAAGTGTATGTCAAAATACACCCGAGACCGGACCAATTGGATAAATTCATGTAACTTATGCGGGTCAGCCAGCAGTCGGACCTTTGGGCAATTACAAACATTTGTAGTATGTTTTGTGTGGAGAAAGGTGGATGAAGGCTGCATGAGAAAATGTAATAGTAATGATATCAAGCGCCAAGAAGACACTAGCGATGTATTAGAGAGGTTTAATTGCTCGTAGCGCGCTTCAATATAGCTGTGGAGCACAAGAAAAGAGGCGGTCAACAATGAGTTTGATGTTGCATGCACGAACTGCGCGTTTTATTCTTTTGAGAGTTTCTGCTTGATCAGCAAAATAGCGTTGTCGGAGACAAAGGGTGTAAGAAAAAACGAGGGGTAAGCTTTTTTTTCCTCTTCCTTCTTTTTGCATACAACAGCTTCTTCCACACTCTCTTTTTTATTCTTTCACATATTCTACTTATTATACTACATACTAGCTATGGCTCACGCACTGTCCGTTTTAACAAAGAAGCGATCGGTCAGCGCGCTGGTCATTGCCCTTATCTATGCGTTATATAAGGCCAAGCAGCACTTTCAAAGCCAGGCTGGCAAGAGTGCTGCACCAGGCCAAGCAGCTTCGTCGTCGTCTTCTTCCTCAAATGCTCGTACCAGCAGCTCCAGTAAACGTAAACATAAGGGCAAGGTGGGCGTCAATTCCACATTCTTCAAGCAAATGCGTGACTTGTTACCGATCTGCATTCCAGGTAAGACGAAAGAAGAGACAGCAGTTGTGTACTGTCTGAGCTTTCTGGGAAATCTCTTCTGTATACATGCATAAAGCAACGATTGACATGACGTGTATATATTCCAGGCGTTTTTACAAAGGAAGCCGGATTGCTCGCGGCTCTTGCTTCAGTATTGATTGCACGAACTTGGTTGGATATTTGGTATGTACCCTTCCTTCTTTTATACTACTATGAATGAGTCTTTCTCTGCGCGAAAGATAGATATCTAATCGACAGCTTTATTGGTTCCTCTAGGTTCTCTGCATTCAACGGGTAAGCAAAGGAAGAAAGTCAAAGAAATAATTCAAGAAGGAGGAAGGGTAAAGGCAGGGATCAGTATCATTTAAAGTTAACAAGGCATTTTGTGTAAAAGCTCGGTTGTGAAGGCAATCGTGTCGCGTAACAAAGAGCAGTTCATTGCCAAAGCAATTGTCGAGTTCGGATTCATGATGGTAAGCTTGGATAGACCATGGAAGAAAAGGAAAGCACATCTAAAGTGGCGTTGCAATCATGTATTCACTATGCTTTATCGTATATGTAGTGGCCAATGAGTATCGTCAACAACTCGCTTAAATTAACCATCAGTGCTTTGGCATTGTGCTTCCGTGAACGCTTGACAAAGGTTTGTTATTATCGGTATCATGATTACGCAACTGCTGAACAAACATTGACGCATGAATCTTTGTGTGTTATATCTCCAAATAGTTCGCCCACAACCAATATTTGGACGGCATCACATTCTACAAGATTTCCAACTTGGATAACCGACTTCAAAATGCAGATCAACTACTGACACAGGATATTGATAAATTTTCCGAAAACTTGTCGCATTTGTACTCGGATATTGCCAAGCCAATTGTAGATATTTTCTTGTTTGCTTATAAGCTTGGTGAAGCCATGTAAGTTTGGTGAAGTTTACATGTCTGCACATCAATGTAGAATACGTACATGACTGACAAAGCACGATGATGGGGCAATATTTAGTGGTAATGAAGCACCCTTCGCTATGATTTCGTACTTTGTTCTGTCGGGTGTGATCCTACGTGCATTCTCGCCACCTTTCGGTCGATGTAAGTAATTCTAATGACAGGGGAGGCTGTATGAGTGACGACCCGTTTTGTGGGTGTCATGCGACGTGAAAAGACGTCGGTGGGTAACCATCTAATGTAACTCATATAATCATATATTCTAGACACGGCTGCCGAGCAAAAGCTCGAGGGTGATTTCCGCTTCACTCATGTAAGAATTTCTTGGCTTTGAAGCTATATGAAGAATTCAGTTTTACTAACTAACATATGATTCAGTCGCGTATTATCGCGCACTCTGAAGAAATCGCATTCTATGGGGGTGGCGAGCGTGAGAAGGAAGTTGTAAACAACACATTCCAAAAGGTAATAGACGAAGCACTGGTTATAATAATGGGAAAGGGGAAGGGCAGTGTTGGTTGTATATATTAAGCATGCATTCCATCCACATTTAGATTGTCAACCATGTTCGTAAAGTATACACCTTACGCTTCTTGAACGGTATCTTTGACTCCGTCCTTGTGAAATACTGCGCAACTATGACAGCTTACTAGTACGTGTGGATTTGATATCATTAGCATTAACCTCCGCCCTTCATATATGGGATATAGTATTTTCGTTACTGACTTGGTAACTTTTCATAGTTTGCTCGCCCGTCCTGTCTTTGATCCTCGATATGGTAAAGCGTCGGGTGATTGTAAACATGTTGCTTGGAATGGAATGAACTAACCCAGAAAAATGTGTTCTTTTAGCAACCCATCATATGGGCGCTATGCTTGACGATCCAACCAAACTGATGGAAGATTATTCCAGAAATTGTAGGTCATCATTTCTTCATGAGGCTTGAAGGAGCCAGAAGAGACAAAAGCATTACTAACTAATCATTATTTTACTTAGCGAGCTACTTGATCAATTTGTCACAAGCTGTTGGACGATTGATCTTGACTGGACGTGATTTAACCCGATTTGCAGGTTACACGGTATGCATTGTTTACTGTTGTTACTGTTACTATCGTTATATTTTTTTCTAGAATGTTCATGTAGACAAAAGTGCTAAAAGAATCTTATAATAGCATCGAGTAGCAGAACTGTTTGAAGTGCTACGTGATGTTAGCAAGGGCAAATACAGCCGTACCATGGTATCTAATGAGACTGAAGCGACACGGAACAAGGGTAAAGAAGATAAAAAGCCATAGACATTGGGTAAAAAGGAACCACTAGGACAAGCTCAACTTATATGTGGTAAATATATATCTAGTGGTAGACTCGAAGGATATGAAGGGCAAGGTGCTCATCAAGGACGGCGTCATCGTATTCGACAATGTTCCTATTGTAACACCCAACAGTGATGTTTTGGTAAGCTCAGAAAAAGGAGTGCACATCATTCTGCATGATACTAATGACCAATGAAATATATAATAGCTCAAGGACTTGTCCTTTAGAGTAAACACCGGCATGAACTGTCTTATTTCCGGTCCTAACGGCTGCGGTAAGAGCTCACTCTTCCGTATCTTGGGCGATTTGTGGCCATTGTTTGGTAAGTTTTCAGGGGGCAATGTGTGTGAGTGTCAGTGCCCATTTTACTCATTCACCCGGCATGCAGGTGGCACTGTAACAAAGCCAGCAGCATCCAAGTTATTCTACGTACCACAGAAGCCGTACCTTGCATTGGGAACATTCCGTGACCAAGTCATTTACCCGGACACAGCTGCCCAGGCAAAGGCCCGTGGGTATGATGATGACACATTAATGGACCTATTAAACACTGTCCATCTCGGATACCTTGTGGAACGTGAAGGTGGCTGGGACGCTCTTCAAGACTGGGCTGATGTGTAAGTTTTGTGATTTACTGGATGGAGGCGTCCGGAGAGAGCGAGGATTGTATGTTTCAGCGGACTGATTTGTTTCTTTTTAATTATAGGCTTTCTGGTGGTGAAAAGCAACGTGTGGCAATGGCTCGTTTGTTCTACCATAAGCCCCAATTTGTAAGTACTTGCCCCCCTCCTTCCTTCCTCCCATCAGTTGTGCAAACAAACTAAATGATTAATTTTCCATTATAGGCCATTTTGGATGAATGCACAAGTGCAGTCAGTGTTGATATCGAAGCCATCATGTACGAGCATGCTCGTAAATTAGGTATCACACTTTTCACAGTGTCGCACAGGTAAGAAGAAACTGACATTTGTGGGGGGGGGGCGTGGGGGGCATCGCACAATGATGCTTCTAAAAATTACTCACAACATGGTACAGAACTTCCTTGGTACGCCACCACGAATACTTGCTGCGGTTCGATGGCGAGGGCCATTATGAGTTTCGAGAGTAAGTCATTAATTAGATAAATATGTAATTCCAATTTTACTAAAGAAATTAAGCAATTAATTTTTACTAGACTTGACCCTGAGGACATGGCAACACCGTTCGGCTTTGGCCATGGAAAGTCCAAGTCATCCTCAAAGTTAGACCATTAAGACGCATTTTCCTTTTTTGTAGTTAGACTCATTTTACACCAACATCATTATTACCCTCCTTACCTTTTGTCTTTGTCCTCTCCTCCTCCTCTTCCAAGAAAAGAGGACTGGTCGTAATATTACACACCAAGCCATACTTTACGAAAAAAAAAGAAGGATGTTTTGTTTTCTACTCTGTCCTTTAGAAAAATGCACTTTGTCGAACCGTGCTAAAAATTATTATTAGAAAAAAGCTATAAAAAAAGAAGGGAAAACGCGCGACGCCACATTTCAGTCCATTATTCAAATTACCCGCTCTCTCATTGTTCTGACCTTGTCCTTTTTTGGTACTGCCACGTACATTTTGGGAAGGGCTCCAATATGCGAGTATCCTCTCGGGTGCTTTTACATATTTCCTCTATGCTTTCTCTCATTACAAACCACCCATCTTCATTATGGCTAGACCACGAGGAAAGAGCGTCTCGCAACATAAACAACTGCAACAGCAACAGCAGCAACTTCAGCAACATCCACAACAACTTCCCGTCGTCGTTGACACTAGTAATGAGGTAATCACCCTTCCTCTCTCTCTCTGCCGCTGAGTGCTTCAAGTGAATGTAGGAAAAGAGACAGCTTACACGAACAATCGTGGTTTTTGTTGCTATAGTTACCAAACGTGAATGCCCAGTTGGACTTCATTAACAAGCTGGTCAAGTGGAACATTCAAGATTTGGACCACTTTATCAACGTCCTCACTGCACGGTAACTTTGACTCCCTCCGTCTACATTGTAACACGGAATAGCTTACAAGATTCTGTTCCTTCATATACCTTAGCATATCAGCCGAAGAATCATATGTACAATCCTTGGAACGTATTGAAAAAATCGCCCCTGTACCTGAACCAGAGGTGCGTTACTTTGGTGACGCACGGACATCATATCAGAAAGTCGCTATTCAGTACGAGGTATCAATGAGCCGAATGGTCATTGGACGACGCGAGGTATTAAAAACAATGAAACTTCAGCTGCAACGACTCTACAATGTCAAGGTACCCTTTCATTGTAATTACATACCTCGTAGAATATATATAGCGTCGCCAGGAAACTCAAAGCAAATACTGTTGCGTTTAGGAAACACAAGAAAGCCGACGCAAAAAGATTAAAACGATTCTTGGTGAAAAGAATTCGAATTACTTGACGTACCGGTCGCGCGACTTTAGTAAGCGACAACGTGCCTATACAACCAAATGCGAAGAAATTGATGCGGTCGAAGAAGAGGCACAGCAACATGCAGCAGCAGCAGCATCAGGAACAGGAGCAGGAACAGTTCCGCCTAGCACAGTAGCAGCAAGTGGTGGAGGGGGAGTGTTAGAAGAACAAGGGCCGCGAAAATCCAGCGACAGTGATCAGTCGGGTTCATCTGCGTCGCATGAGCATAGTTCGCACAGGCGCCGCATGGCGGGGTTGAAGGCACTACGAAATCAGATTGTGAATGCAATGTCGTCGGCAGTGGATCCGAATACAAGGGCCGCCAAACTGAAGCGTGATATGATAGATTTGGGTGAGTTAGACTTAATTCTCTATTATAAATATAAATTTACGGTGTGGGAAGAGCGGAAGGCACCGAAGAAAAGATACCCTTTTTTACTAAGCAGACCTATTATGTGATTGTTTAGATCGTGACTACCGTAAAAGCATCATGTTTATGGAACGATTACGAAGAAAACAAGTGGAAACAAGCCAGCATGCTATGAAGGTTTGCAGTCAATAGTAAAAAAATTAGCAATGCTCCTATGTCAACCGTCACTAATGCATTGCGCGGGGCAATGGTGATATTTCGTTGTTTTCGGTTCGCTAGCATGTAGAGGTCATGTTCTTTGACAAGTCGGAAATGACAAAGTCCGTCTTACACAACATACTCACGGTTGAACAAGATATGCAAGAGAAAGAATCTGCAGTAAGTCCACGCTAAGAGAGCAAGCCTGTGCCCCGCCGCGGTTTTGCTCCTTATATGCCCATTGTTCCTCAGAATATTGCATGCATGCAAATTGGGACGCAGAAAGAAAAGTTTACTTATTTGCAAGTGTGTATTTTTTTTGGTATGTAAATATAGCTGACTCGAACCGTGTTCCAGACTACGGAACAAGTGGATGGTCGTGCGGATGTTGGCTTGTTTTGCACCGAATTCGATAAACTCAAGGGCCAATTCAACGTTCCAGAGCAAATCCATTATGACAACTATTATCACGGCATATTAAAAGGTAAACTTGGCTTTTTTTATCTTACATAATACACAGCAAGAGAGGCGGGACTCTGTGGTTATTGTTGCGCTATTATCATGCATTAGGCAAGTTCATGTAACCTGATATTTCTACTATCAGATGTTCAATTCGGAACCTCGCTGGAATCGTATGCCAGGATTCATCACCGAGCTGTCCCACTACTTGTCGAGAAATGTATCAAAGCTGTCGAAGACCAAGGTGGTCTTAAAAAGGAAGGCATATACCGAGTTTCTGGCAGACAAAGTAACTTGGAAGCCCTGAAAGTGGACTTTGAAAAGGATGAAGTAAATGTCAATCTCGGCAGCTATGACGTATTTACGATCGCATCGGTGCTCAAGGTCTATCTCCGTGAACTGGAGTTTCCATTGTTTGCATTACCCATGAAGTATCGAGCTGAATACTCCAGTGAGTCTTTTTGTTTTTACATAGTCAACTTGATAACAGTTGTAGACAACCCTAAAATGCAGTTTGCGAGAAAAATGGTGGTAGCTTACTAGAAATGTATGGGGTTGCCTCTTTTTTTTTTTTTTCTCCACTGTTGATAGATAAGGATGATCCTACTAGACTACGTGAACTAGAATCCAACTTGATAGAGTTGTCTGATCCTCATCGAAATACACTCAAGGCCGTGATTGAGCATTTGGCACAAGTAACAAGTTATGCTGAAGCCAACAAAATGAACGTACAAAACTTGGCTCTGATTTTCACACCCGCAATCTTCCACGATCATAACAATGCCGAAAATCCGGGCGAATGGTGCAACGATAAGGTGTTTTCCGACCTCATCACCCATCATCACACATTGTTCGTCACGGTAGAGTCGGTGATTGCAGAAAGACAACAGCAGCAGCAACCACAACAAAGAAAGGGCAGTGTCAATACAGGGCGACCCCCTCTACCTACTAATAACAGCAATAATTCCCATCAACTGCAGCACCAAAATCCTCAACAACAATTTGCGTCAGCAGCAACGCTTCAATCCACCGCCGCAACCATGAACGACCAGCAGTTATTACAGCAGCCGGTGACAGGGTCATCTACGATCACTCTCCCGTCGCCTTCGCCCCATTTAGGCAATAGTAATAGCTACAATAACGAGCCACCTTTGCCTAGTTTACCACCTCCGTCCAGGATCCCATTAGAGCGATCAGATTCTCGAGGAAAAAAGCTTCTAGCTAGAAAAGATTCGCTAAATGCTCTACAGCGTAGTCCGTCGTTAATACAACAACAGCAGCAGCAGCAGCAACAAAAACATCAACATCAAAAGAAGCCATCCACTTCATCATCATCACAAAAGGAGTTGCCACCTACTGTGGCACAGCCATTGACTCCTGAACCTTCTTCGCCTGCACCCGTTGTAAAATAATTAATCTTTCTCCTATGTGTGTTATGTGTATGTATCCGAAAATAAAAATATAATAATAAAATCTATTCTTTTTGCAAACATCGAAGCCATTACTATGTAGTATCATACTCTGATGATTCTTACTATTATGTTACTGACGATCTAATATAAAAGAAAAAAACAAAAAACCGTGGTGTCACAAAAAGAGGGCTTTCGCGCGAAAGCCAAGCTTGCCCTGAAGCTAGATTCCCTTTTTGGGATATGAGCATTCGTTGGCGGCATGCGTCCCAAGCGTCTCAAAACGTCCCTTGTTTACGCAGTCTCCGCGCAATCCGCCGCTGCCGATTGCCCTTTCTCCAGATGACTGCCTGACTAAAAAGCAATACTACATAGCTTATCCCCAAGAATTAGGATTATAAACTCCACCACTTTCACTCTGCTCCGGCTGCTGCTTTCCCTAGTAATCGATCGATTTCTATGACTTTGTCCGATTCTCAGCGACAGCGTATGATATAGCTTAATTCGCCTTAATTAACGAAAAGAATTGACTCTTTCTACTAAAAATATCTTTGGTAGACAATGTTCTGATCGACAATTTTTGTTGTTGTTTGTCTCTTTATCAAGGGGGAAACTATTTCAAGGAGAAAAACGTATAAAGTGACGAATCTGCGTGTGTGTGATGGGATAGCATTAGTGTATATATGATAGTGGTTTAGCAACGGTCAAGAAAGGGGGGCATGCGATTAGCCACACCTCCTATAAAATTTCATTTTAGTGGTCACCACGTTTTTTATTTATTTTGCCATGGCAGCGAGGCGTGCGTTTTCGCGCGCGAGGGTGTGTTACACAGGCATGCATTCATTTATGAAGATATAAGTCCTATGCCTTATGTTTACGGACACTGACAAAAGAATGGCTATCTGATATGTATGCTAGTATGTCTGTAGAATATGCGCACCGGCTAAAGGAAACCTTGTTTCGTAGTTGTTATTGTTTCAGAACGCTGTGATGTACACATTGATGCACGTTCTCTATGCTGCAAATGAAGTAACATTAACAAAGAAAGTTGGTTAGGATCCACTAAAATGACTTAGTGGATCAGAGGAAGTTAATTCTGATGAAAATAGTAGTAGTACGTAGTAGACAATGAAATTGGTCAGCACCCAAGACAAACCAAAGAGGAAAAAGAAACAGGAATCCGGGTTATTGTCCTGTTTGGTTGAGTCGTGGCATATCGCGCGAGTTAGCACGGCATCCGCGCAAGCAGCCTTCGGCGGTGGATTGTTTTTGGCAGGATAGGGTGTGCGCGTGTGTGTGTGGGTGGGTGGGTGGGTGGGTGTGTGCATGCAAAGAAACAAGGATTCGTCATCAATGTAATATTGCAGAGCGGGACGATCGGTGTGAGTGGGTGTGTCAATGAGAGATTGAAAGCTGCAGTGTAACAATAGCACAGCACATTTGGAAATCCTTTGAGTCTCCTTTATAAACAAGCCTTTTCGACAAATTCTTTCTCCATTCTTTTCCGTTGTTCCTTTTTAATTTTCTTTACAGCAACACTATATACCATTCCAAGTAATATGTCAATACCAAACAACTATTCCAACGCATCGCTTTCGCACGACTGTCAGGGCTGGCTTCTGATCAGCAAACTACGGAAACATCTGGTGTGGAGAGCATCGCACAGTCGCTACTTTTGCACATTGGACGGTCCACAACTGCGCCTTTACAGTGGCGAGGTAAGGAAAATAAATTACTTGTCAATCGTCCCGGTCGATACACACGTATCAAGAAAGGTGCTAATTGTCCTGTTATCACAATAGAATGACATTCGACCCAAAGCCATCCTCGAACTTCAGCACTACAACGTCATCGCTAGCGCACCATCACAGCGAGGCATTGTGTTCAACCGGACCCCGTCTCACAAGACCTTTCAACTTGTATCACGCGATGAGGAGCATCGGCCGGATCTGATCCTCGTCGCAGAGTCAAAAGAGACCCTTGAAGACTGGGTAGACCATATGACAACCAACAGCCGCGCCGCTGCCAAGAACAACGACGTCCTCGAGAAATGGCTTGAACGCTTCGATGTCAACAACAAGCAGTCATCCTCTAGCGAATCGTTGCCGCCCTCTCCTTCCTTCTCGTTCACCTCATCCTCATCCTCGCTTCACAAATCGCCCTTGTCACCACTATCGCCTGTGCAAGCAGATTGGCCGGCTAGTACTTTGCTTGCTAGTGCTGGCAACAACCACACCATTCTTCCACCTCCACCACCAGAAAAGTCGATTTCTACCTTGATCCAATCCATTGTCGCTCGACGGAAGTCTTCGCCTGCCCTATCGAGTCATCGCCGAAGGTCGTCCATCTCACCTTCCAGTCCTACCACCGCACCGACAATGACCTTACAGCCGATCATGGATGTGGCCCACAGCGACTAGAGCTAGAAAAAAAAAAAAAAAAAAAGAGAGAAAATGGTTGATCCATTGCCTTTTCTTTAGAACTGTATACCTGCTCCTCCACTTGTTATAACATACTATAGACTTCCTTCTTATATAATAGCTTACTCCCACCAGCAATCCTGCCATACTATGTACAAAGTTTTATATTCCCTACACATCCTTATACGCTCCACATTCTCTGTTCTTTCCAACCATTCAATCACCACGCGGTATTTTATGCTCCAATTACCCCCACACCCGAAAAAAAACATAATTACATTGCAGGACGGAAGAACAAGAGAAAACAGACTAGAAGGGCCTGCCCTTGCTCGCTGTTCCTCGGTTCTTTCCTTCTCCCATGATACCCATTTTTCCCAAACCAAAACGAAAACGGATGATAATGGAGGCGTTGTACATACAATTGCAGTGCAAATGTCTTTTTCGACTTTTTATTATGTGAGTTGTGAGAAGTGATAAGCGGAAGGGAGATCGTAGATGAGGTTTTTTTTTTGGAGGAAGTATTGCTTTTTCTTAAATACAAAAGAACATGATGCAAAAAAAAAAGAACCAGCTTATTTGGGAGCTTCCTTGTCTGTAAGAGAGTCAAGACAATAAGAAAGTGTGCAGTTAGTAAGCATGTCTCCCACATTCATTCATTCACTCAACCACTAATTCCGCGAGCATATGTCGTTATAACTTACAGGCCAAAGCATGTTCTTCACCCATGGCAGATACGACAGTGACCAACAAGTCCTTGCCTTCGTCAAAGTCGTTTTGCAACTGCTCACCAAGGTTGGTGTCGGGAAGCTTGACATCATCCTTGGTATCGCCGTCGTCCAACATCAAGCTAAGGAAACCGTCTTCGACGTTGATGACCTGGTATTCTTTACGCTGGACGTTGGGGACATCCATGTTGTGGGTCGAGGGCGACAAGTCTTCCAATTTCCTGCAAGAACACAGCGAGATAAAAAAAAAAGGCGAATTTAATATAAGGCTTCTTTCTCTTTTACTCACACACACACATAATCCAAATAGCCCTTTTCCTCATATTACATGCTGCGCTATAATGTGGGTGTGTGTGTGTGGTTCCACACCAACAGAACAATACAAACACACACAGCGTGATATTTTTTTTCTCCCTCTCTCTATAGCACTTTTTAACCTGTAACGATACTTACTTGCCCGTGAAAATGTCAATGGCAACCAGATGGACCTTGGCGTGACCGTGCTTGCCGGTCTTGGAGGTCGACATGTCGACGATCTTACAGGGACGACCCTTGATGACGACGTGACCGTTCTTGCGGAGAGCAGAGCACTGCATGGGGAAGGTCAAGGAGGCACCGGCATCGGCGGCACCGAAGGTGGTTTCGTGATCGTCAGACATTTTCTATATAAAATTATTCAAATAAAAAAAGTTTAGAGTTACATATATATTTTCCTCCACTCTTGTTGTTTCTATAACTGTTTAATGCACTTTTTTTTCTTTGTGATGCAAAAAAAAAACCTGTACTCACCGTTTAGAAGAGTAATGAAAAGGAAGGTAAAAAAAAAGGTTCGACAAAGAAAGCTGCATCTTAAAGCCAACGTAAAAATTTGAACAAGCCACAATAAAAAAAAATCCGTCAAACGTCGGATCTGGTGTTCCCCAAACCTGTTTCGTTCGTTCGTTCGTTCGCTCCTCCGCCCACGTCCGTTCTTACACACACCACTAAAGAGAAATTATCATCGTAGCTGTTACTGATACCACGACCATCACTCAACCCTATCCAAATGAATAAATATTTCTCTTTTTCATTCTCTAATGCCGTCATTACCGTCTTCCAGTGCTACCACTATTGAGATGACGTTTTTCCAAAGATATGGTACATAGTATCTAAACATTGGGGTGTCACTGACTTTTATGCTTGACCAACCAAAAGAGCTCCTCGTTGACCTGTACTATCAGCAGGACATATGCAAGAATACGACAAAATGAAAGACATGGATCTTAGTCCCTGCAGTCTTGCGGATCGATCCACCGCAGCTCGTAATATATAAAGCTACTTGAATCCAAGAGCACCATCTTTTATTCGCGTTCTGTCACTTGTACTGGTTCAATCTACACACTCTTACTAGGCAAGTTGAACTTAACAACAGTAACCTACCACCAATGGACATGTACCTCCAACCGTCTCTCACTCATCTCCGACAATTGAGACCCCACTAAGAGGGCTGATGTACCAAAATAGGATGCACTAGGGGGTCCCTGCCTCGCTTCCCTTTACTTCGTGTCATACAACGGAAGGGGAGAAATCCTTTGAATGCCCGGGTAGTGAACTATATCAATCACATTCTATAGCTATACCCGCGTGGCAAAATTAATAGAATCTCTACTGTAAATGTCGGTAGACATTGCTGTCTGAGATAGAGCTGCCATACTAATCCTAAATTCTGCCCTCCATATTATTACAACACATACACATCAATTGTTGATAGTGCTGCTGTGGGCTTCCAACATTACAAGACATTCCCAAGATGGTATGTCAGTAAAAAAATAAGAGATGTAAATATAATAAAAAAAGCCGTCTTGTCAAGGAAAAGTTCATCTTTAAGGACAATATATGCATAATGTTCTTAAAAAACATACTCATAAATAAGCGATGCATACATACATTGTATATTTTGTACAAACAAATAGTAGTTTGCTCGATAGGTTGCTCGGATAAGTAATCCCCCTTGACTTTACGATACATGGTACGCGAAGAAGTTAAAGATCGCCCATTAAGTATAGCACGTGAAGAACTAACAATTTAATTTCCTTGCTTTTCTATCCATTACTAGTCACTCACTCTAAAACCTGCCACGACCAAAAGTAATGACGGATTGTTAATGGAGGTTTATTGTATTCGTGTAAAGAACTGATGGCTAATCACTTTTTGTCAATGCTAAACGTGCTCGCCCCTAGAAATGACAGCGTTACGTTTAATCTGCGCTGTATACTAATTAGGTATCCAAGAAACCGTGAGATTTGATCTGAAATCGACAGAGTACTATTATGTACAGGTGATTCCATAGCAGCCATCTATGCGTGCTGGTGGCTAGCTGATGGCATTGCATAGCTCCCATCTGATCAGCAACAATTTTCGATAGCCGACGAGTATGCCCAAACAGAGATTAAGCAGCACTTGTTGCTAATATAAAGGAGGAAACTATATTATAATATAACAGGAGTAGAATATTGGTTCTGCTTATGCAATAAGAACAATCTCCCAAGATGCTGGCTCTAATATGTATAGCGCTTTTGTTTTTTCTCCTCCCTAAAAAGGATGCATGACCAGCCTATGTTACCATTGGTAAATTTCGATCGGTCGACCCAGAGGTACAGCTCTATGACCCTACCACCTTTACAGCTCAAGCGAAAGCTGGAAATCTCTAACCGAACTTACTCTCTTTCCCTAATGTTACAGCAGTAAAAGCTGTAAACCAAGCGAATCTCGGCGGTGTGCCACATCTTGAATTAATATTCCGGGAGACCACCCAGCATAATCAATGATAATACTAAATCGGTTCAAATAGAATAGATGTTTAGTCTACTTTTTGATTTGGGGCCTTACTATATCAAGACTTGTCTCCCCAAATTTTTTTTTGAGAATGTGCAATGCTGGCTATGTACTACTACAAACTAACAATTGACCCAAAAATTGATGATCCACCCAATCGCGATTGCAGCATGCAGCTGCAAAGAGAACGCTAATGCATGACAGTTCAGGTCACATGGAAGATCAGCAGTGGTGCAGTAGCACTTGTTTAGTCCACTGGCTCTTTGGGTTCTTTTGTGGCTGTAATATAAAAAAATACCATTATTCCCTCTTATTACAGTAGTATAAACAAAATAATGCACATCATCATTACCATCTATCTATTATCTCCCACCACTTGTGTTCAGTAAACATCTCTCACTCTCGATTTACATACCTTTCGTAATATACAGTACACACGATGAGATATAGTTGCTAGATACTATTACTACATTACAGATAATGTATACTATTACGCGATCATCGTATTTTAGAATATGCATCATTACCGCATGATCTCCTGAAATTTGATAAAATAACGACATATTCACATATAAAGGGAAAGGAATGAATGGTAAAGCAAAGCTTATATACTTACACAACAGTAGGATAGTTTATTTTAACTTTGATTGTATTGTTTGCTTGGGCAAGGAGCGACAGCTACTTTTTGTTACAACTTCGGCTCTACTGAGTAAAAGGAAAATAACAATGACTACAAATGAATGGATATATACATAAATGCCCCTACTCCTCGGAAGAATAAAGTGACAAATACAATACATACTGGTAATTCTAATATACAGTAAATGTTTGTGAACTGCTGCAGTTATGCATCTTGATATCACATTAAAGATGGAATGTGACGAGCACGGCTTTTCGAATATTCTCGTATACCCTATCATTAATCCCTTGAGGAAGTAGGTTCTAAACTTGAATAAGGACATTCACTGTATTGGTCGACTAACAAACATGTTTTGAAAAATCATAAGAACGAAAAAAAATTATACTTACAGTGTGTGTTTGGTTTATGTATTTACAGAATCTTGTAGTAGACTTTTCGATGCACACAGAATGCTAATTAGCAAGAAATATAAAGAAACATGAGAAGCGACAGGGGTTAGTAAAGAGGATAGTAAAAGGCGGAGAAGGGACTGCTGTCCATGTCAATTAAAAAGAGCTATGCTTTATCATTCCAGGAATTGACGGCGGGCGGCGGCAGCGCAGCATTTTACAACACTTTCTTTATGGTAATAGTCAGAATGTTTACAGCATATACGGAGTCAATCAACTTCATCTGAGAACTTCTTTTTTTTTTTCCTTTAGAAAACCACGGGATCATCCTTTTTTTTTCTCAATCGCAGTCAAGTCAAAACCCTATTACACTTTCTCTGTCCATAAAGTATGCAAAACATATTGACGCACAATGAAAATGATGTTTTGCTTACCAGTTTGTTTGGGCAAATCAAAACATATTCCAATATGTGAACTTTATAAACATATACGGTCATCATGGGTCATTCTATGTAAAACAATAAATGTGCAATGCAACATGAGCTATACATACCTGCTAACATGGCCTAGATTTTTGCTAATTTTTGAAACCAAAAAATGTCAAAGAAGCCTTCTTCTCATTTTGTATCTTGTTACCGGTATGTGTAGTAACTTTTAAAGTTATTTATACTCCATTTTGAATATTTGTAACTAGCAGAAAATATGTACATACTGTAATGACCACTGGATACAATCACAAATTGGGGTTGCATCAACTATATCCAAAAGATGCCTATATCAATTATCATTACATAGTATCAGAAACGAGAAATCGGATAGGCCATTGTAGTTTTTTTTCTAGATGTTCTCGGAACATGTATGGGCGGGTTATCGAATGTCAGGTGCCCCAAAGAAATATGCATCTACTTGGCTCCATTATCATAAAGAGGAAAAAGTTATTGCGCCCAGATACCGTGAGTCTATTCTCGGTACATTACGAAGAACTTACGCTTCATCAAAGCTTAAAGACAGAAACGCACTCCTATCATGAAAAAGAAGAGAGAGAGGTCTAGAATACAGCGCCTTGTTTCGTTTATGCTTAGCGCTAAAATAAAGAATAACCGGTTCCAAAGCTTCTGTGCATAATATAAATATATATATATATATATATATATATGCCCAACCTCTCTTTTTTCATCTCATTCGAAGCCAGTATTCCTTATTTCGAGTCACCCTCTTATCGTATTTTTTTACTTTGCCGGTACTCCTGTACCCAACTTTATTGATATATGGGCTCATTACGTATTCAACACTATCACCACGTTTATCAAGAGTACTCGTCAGAGCAATGCGACACCATAAACGCTGTTCAAAAACACAACCGCGCATCCGATGAGCGTTCGGCAGACTCAAGCATCACTACTGCAGGCACTATAAGCATACAAGACGTTCCAAAAGCACGAAAGAAGACATATGGGTGCACGTACTGCGGTAAAAACTTTTCAAAACCCAGCGCTTTGCAACCCCATGTCTATACGCATACAGGCGAAAAACCCTTTGTATGCCATATGTACGGCTTGTAAATCCAGTGTCAACTCTATAACACAGCACCTTATTTCCTTTTTCCTATCAAAGTCATGTATATTCACATCAAACGTGGATTTCTGGTTTTTTTTTCCTTAGCTCTGGTTGTAGTAAGAGATTTTCAGTTATCAGCAACTTACGACGTCATCTCAAGGTACACGCTCCAAAGAAGAAGACTGTGTCAAGAACTCGTATGTCGTGTAAACGAATACTACGTGTTCGACAGCTGGCATCCATGGTGCAACTCCGCCAATATGGAAACGACCTGTCGTCTGTTCAACCTCTTTCTGCTCTACAAGAGCAGCAATTACAGCACTATGACAGTACAGCTGTTTTCGGTCTCGCTACCGATGCCGCCGGTATAAAGGCACGTGTTACGCCATGGAATACGTCCAGTGACGAACAAGACTCCAATGCCTGTATTCGGCCGGAAGCGGTACAAGAGCTATCTCTGCCAACGGGAGCCACCACAATCAACAGCATGATAGCTGAAATGTCAATGGCGCCGTTTGACGAGGCTCTAACGCTGCATATCAATGCTTACAATAATGCAGGAACGACAACAGCAGCACTGAATTCTTTGTCTTTTGCTGGTACTAATAGTGTTAGTATAGACACCATCGTAGCGGACGAATGGATGATTTGATATTTTTTCTTGGTTTATGCCTAAAATATGCTCTCAACCCACCACCCCTTTCCGCTCCTTCCTTTGTATGTATGTATACAATTCGTTTAGTCTAACTTATATATGATTTTTGCTCGTTTATTGTCGATATATGGATTTTGTACATGGCTTGTTTCTTTGCATTGTATATCTAGACGTGCACTTTTCCCAGCTCGCTGGCTGTCTATGAATGCAACAACTCATATTAAGCTGCACCGTAATAAAGAGAATTATGAAGTATGTTAAAAAAAAACTTGGTAGATATGATGTTTTTTTGTTATAAAGCCCTAAAGTAATCGAGTAGTAAGTTATTAAAGATATCATAATCCTTGTGTAAGGTGAATGTTTGCTTTTAGCATCGTATTCACAGTAGCGAAATAGAATCCTTACGCTCTACATATTTAAATAGGCTGCTACGTTACATAACAGTTTAGCATCTTTCGCTGTTATCAATGACATTGATGCTGTGTCAATCATACACATTTACTTTACTTGATCCAAATATAAAAAATAGCATTCACCTTTTTTGTGTCCTATTTCGAAAGATTAAGGCCTTTGGTACCTGTGGTTTTTTTTAATGCATAAAAAAGAAAACCAGAGCCCGCCCCACCCGATTCAGTGCATACATTTTGTAAAGCTGCTGTGTGGGAGTAAAACCGTCACAGCACCCCTACCACCGACAGCGAACGCTAAACACAGCAATCCCCGTTTTGATTTTTTTTCCCTTTCAGCTCCACTAAACCTTCCATCAACACCCCCCCTCTCCTCATGAACTCGGTACGCGTTCTCGTTCGACAGGCAGCAACGTCCACAGTTCGCCGTACTGCCATTTCTCGGCGCGCCTTGCACGCATCGCCAGCCAGCATGTCCGACGCGCTGTTTGTGGTAAATTTTGAAAACGAATAAAGAATCCTCTGGACCAAAAAACACACAAACACTTTGGCCTTTGAGAAAATGAACGCAATGCTAAAGTATAAAAAACGAAAAAAAAAACCAACCATCCATCCATCCAATGTTTTGTTGCAATAATTAGCATCGTGACACGCCCGATAACAATGCCAACACTCCTTTCGAATTCAACACGGAGAATAAGAGCCGCATTGAGGAAATCTTGAAAAAGTATCCTTCCCAATACAAGAAGGCAGCCATCATGCCTCTTTTGGATCTTGGTCAGAGACAACACGGTTTCACCTCCCTTTCGGTCATGAACGAAGTTGCTCGCTTGCTCGAAGTACCACCCATGCGTGTATATGAAGTTGCTACTTTCTATACCATGTTCAACAGGTATAAAAAAAAATGTCATGGAAAAAGGCACAAATCGGACATGAAAGGGGAGTAACTCATGCTATATATAAATATATTTGTACACTGTAGAAACCCTGTAGGCAAATACTTTTTGCAGCTCTGCACCACTACACCTTGTCAATTGGGTGGTTGTGGCTCGACCAAGATTTTGGATACGATCACCGAACATCTTCAAATCCAACCGGGTGAGACCACCAAGGACGGTATGTTCACGCTTGTCGAAGTCGAATGCGCTGGCGCCTGTGTAAATGCTCCTGTGATGGCCATCAACGACGATTACTATGTAAGAAAGAAAGAGAGAGAGAGAGAGAGAGATGGAGAAATACTGACTTTTTTTTGTGGTGATTTTCTGCATGAAAACTATTATTTAGGAGGATCTTACTCCTGAAACGACCAAGAAGCTTTTGGACAACTTGAAGAACAACAAGTCCATCACACCTGGTCCTCAGACAGGTCGTCACACCTGTGAGCCTGCTCCTGGTGTTTACACCACTTTGACCGAAGAGCCCTACGGTCCTGGCTTCAAGGTTCGCTCGGATTTGTAATTAAGAAAAAAAAAACAGCTATAATAGATAAAAAAGAAGAAATAAACCAGGTACAATAAAACTACTCTACGAAACTGGCGCTACCAAAACAACACATATACTACATACACGGCATCGTCACCACCGTCATCCATCATCCATCATCAACAACAACAACACCATCGTCAGTATCAGTACTAGTATCAGCAGTTTTAAAAGAGGGAGAGTGGGAAATTAGAGAGAGTGTTATTTTTTTGTTTGTTTGGGGATACTCGCTAATAGAGAAAAAGAGGGAACTGTACACATAGAAGGAAAGGGAAAAAATGCAGAAAAGAAAGGGAAAGAAAGATAAGGTGTAGAAACATTCTAAAGGAGCTAAAAATGACATGTGGAAAAAAAAATGAAACTTTACACGAAAATGAAAGGGTGAATAGCAGCAGTAATAGTAGTTAGTGATAAGGGTTGTAGTAGACGATGTTGTTATTGGATCGTCGCTCTTTCCGCATGATAAACCATGTAACCAGGAAGACCATAGACCGAGAATCCCATGGCATTGGCAACCTTACCAAACGCCTCAGCCTCGACCTGATGTTGGTAGACAAACGGCGGAAAGTTGGCGCCTTCACGGTGAACGTGCGACTTGACCAATGTAAATGTTGCACCTACACCGTCGAGGGGAACCTTGTGCTCTTTTCCTAAATGTGTTGGCATATCTACCAGCTAGAAGATTGTGGATACATTAGAATAGGAGCAAACCCAGCACTGAGAACCCGGGAGGGCGCTTTTTTGCGAGAGAGGAAGGGGTCTACAAGTAAAACTTACCAAAGAACGGCCAGATCCTACAGAATCATTTGCACACACGCCCCAAGAGAAAAGGGAAAACAGGGCTTAGATGCTATGTTGCTTGCGGTGTGGATCTTTTGCCAAAAATAGAGTTTTTTTTTTTTTTTTTTGGTTACCTTCCATCAAAATAAAGTCCTGTCCCACCCACTTTTGCATTTCGAGTGAATAATCCGTTTCAGCCCAATTGCTGCGATCGTATGCCCAAAAGGCATTGTCCTCGCGGTACGCCAAGCAGTTGGGCACGACAACGTCGCCATCGATCCGCATCAAGTCGTCAAAGACGGTGGGCGGATACTTGACGACATCCACATCGACCCAGGCTACCCAGCTGTGGAAATCCCGCAGCGAGGCAGCCAGCAGAAAGTTACGGGCGCGTGCCATGATCGTCAGGTCGTACGGCTCATCATTGTGGGTAAGCTCAAAATGGCGCTGATAGACGCTGATCGCGTGGAATCGTTTGAACCACCGGCCTTGAAGACGTCGCACGCGCGACTCGAGTGCTTCGAGCAGCGTGCTGTCGGCAGAATCGGTGACCAGCAAGCCGATGGAAATGAGATGGTTCGGGTATGTCGATGCGTCGAGTTGTTCAAAGTAGCGGTCGAGGAGATGGGCTGTGCTGATGCCCTTGACGAGCGGTGTCAGGACCAGCAGATGTTCGTTGTGGACGCGGGCCTGGGCGGTGGCGTTCAGGCTGTTGAGATTGAGGTAGTATGAAGTAGGGTCGTGCGTGGATGATTCTGTGGTTGGTGCCGGGTCCGGGTATAGCGAGCGCGCGGCGTGGCAGGTGGTATGTGAGTAGTGGTTGGAGAGGGATGACAGTGAGTAGATGAAGAGTGCTGACAGAACAGAAATGATGACGACGAGGCGTCGGCCGCCCCGCAGCGTGGACATGATTGGGGTTTTCTGAAAGTGATTTATTGGAGATCTACGGCGGATAATGAGGATGAGGATGATGATGACACTAGGAAGGTGCTACTGCTACTGCTACTGCTGCTGCTGCTGATGATGATGTAAATTAAAGGGCCGGAAGCGTGTAGTATTAATGGCTCGCGGGTTAAAGCAGTAACAAGAAGGTAAGTTGTAGCAGCAGTAATGGTGGTTGTCGGTCTATGCGAGTGTTGGGAAGGCAAAGGAAAAGAAGAGAGTCAAAAAAGAAAAAGGAACAAGACTTTTTTCAACTTTACCGCTCGAGTTGGGGAGGGATACACAAGCACCCCGAAAAAAGAAAAGGCAGTTTGAATTGTTTACCCTGGCTTTTTTTTTTTTTTTTTGTCTTTTTGCTCTCTTTCGACATTTTTTTTTTTTTGTTAAAAAGAAGTGTGTGTGTGTGTGCGCTAAAGAAGTACCAAATTCTCAACCTTTGGAAAAAAAAACAGTTAGAATAAATAGACCGGTAATTCTCGAGACAGAGCCATTAAAAACTGGCTGGACTATTATCTCTGTTTCCCGGAAAGCAACGGAAAAAAAAAAAAAAAGAAACTATCATACTACGAGTGCAAGAGGTCAGCACCTCATATTCAAGCGGAGTTGTATCGTCGGTTGCACCACACACACACACACAACCAAAAAGTGGATCGTCGTTTTTTTTTTTTGGGTCCATCTATGTAGGATACATTAGGACTTGTCTCCCTCTGTCTCGTAGTACCTCTACCTCCTCCCCCCTTTAAGAAGTTCCAGACTGTGTACCCGAACGGGGTAACAATGGTTGTTGCACCATGATCTACCTAGCCCGTATATATAACAAGTGTACAACATAATCTTCAGCAGCACCAGCAGCTGCCAAGAAAATGAGTTTGCATGCCCATTCCATTCTAGCTTATTATGTGTCTCATTATAGCTTTTTTTTCTTTTTTTTTCATATGCACATCATTTAGCGCAGTGATCTATTTACGCTGCACTGAAGAATGAATTCTTCCCCTCCACCTACCTTTTCCCATTGAAATTCATTATTCTTCAATCAAAACACAGGAACTCAAAAAAGTATGAGGTTGAAAATTTATTTTTGTAAATCCACGGAATGGGTTGCACAAAGTTTCTTCATGACGACAACACAAAAGTGTGCCCCTTCTTCCTGCCCCATGGCTCTGGCTGAATTTCGATTTGGCATTCATATTTAGTAACCTGGTTTCACAATAATTGGGCTATTGCTTGTGCTGTGTGTGTGTGCGCCTGATGATGATGGTGATAATGATAATGATATAAACAGCCCATCTACTATCTATGGCGACGTTTCTTTCTTGATGATTTCATAAGACAGCGCATGGAAATGGATTGATTTGGTTGATTGTGTGTAGTAGTAGTAGTAGTAGTAGGATACAAAGAATGAATACAATGAATGAATGAGTGAGTGACTGACGGAGGGAGGGCTTTTCTTATTTTATATATATATATAGGAGATCTGGAGGAGGGTGGGATGGGGGGAGGGGGTGCAAGGGAAGAGAGGACAAGGAAGGAGACTGGTAAAGAAGACAATGGCAGTTTGTGCGTTTGTATGTATGAGAATGTGAGTGTGCTGAGGACGAGGGAGGGAGGGGGGGGTTGTATAGAAAAAGTGCGATCGACAACGGGGAAAGAGAAAGGGATTGTATACTATTTACATAGGGATGATTGGATGATGCTGACGGACGGATGGACGGAGGGCGTGACAGAGACCAAACACATTCTTTGTGGATGACGATGATGATGCCCTATCGTTGTTGAGGATGTGGCTCGAGCCAACCCAATCGTGCAAACAAGGCCCACAGGTGGCTGACCTTGTTCACATCGATTCGACACAGCTTTTGAGCGTCTGATTTGCGGAACGGCACATTTTTCTTGTAAGAGTCCTGCGCACCGAGAACCAGTGAGCGCTTGCACATCAGGTACTGTTTGGGCTGCAATCGCAATTGAGACGCAATATTGGCTTCACAGGGATGGAGGTGTTCATAGAACTCCATGTGGTCGATCTGAAGCGGCGAGTTGGCTTATAACGGAAACAAGCATCGAGGTTTAGTATATATATATACTCTCTCTCTCTCTCAAGTCACATTGCAAAAAGAAAGGCAAGGGGGGCGGGGTGTTTACCTTTACCTTTGTAAGTCGGTCGCACATTGGGCTTCCTGTCAAACACATCGTACAGAGGCACCCATTCAGGATCATACACCAGCGAATCGTCAACGGTAACATCCACGCGATCATATGCAGCTGCAGCTTCGGTTTTGGCCTTTTTCATGTGACGGTCCGCTTGCGAGGCCAATGTCGAAGCATTGCTATGGCTGGCTCGTTTTGCTGTTGAACATGACATGTTGTCATCATCATCATCATCATCATCATCATCTTGTAGTACGGCTGTCTCATTGCTATTACACCATCCAGTCATGAGGCTGCTGCTGCTGCTGCGGCTGCGGCTATTGTTGTTGTTGTTGTCGTTGTCGTCTTGTTGGCTGCGGCGACTGTGTTTATGATAAGGATATGAACAATAGTAATTACCCAAGCGCCGCTGTTCTTCTTGTCGCTCCCTCTGTAAAATAGCCTGCATGCCATACTGATGCACTTGCGCTGCATTCATGCAGAAAGAGAATGCATGGTCTGCTGCATCGGATGAAAGCCCTCGCAGAGGCATTTGCTTTGTCCTTTTTGGTTTAGCCATTGTATTCGAGGCAGTAGCTGTTGTTGTTGTTGTTGACACCTTTCGCTTTCCATGATAGACATTTCGAGCTTTAGTATCGCTGATTCGTGCCTGTTGTTGTTGTTGTCGTTGTCGACTCGGATCATGCGGTCGTCGTAATGGTTCGGGAATGACAATTTCGGGTACAACGTGAGCCATTGTGGGAGGGATAGCAGGTGGTGGTGAGACGGGAAAGGGTCGAGGAGCGACGGCGAGGGATGAGGGTAAAGCCTTTTGTCGTTCGAGATGAAACTTGAATGTCTTTTGGTGGTGGTGGTGGCGACGATCTGAGACAACAGCAGCAGCAGTAGCAGTAGCAGCAACAGTGTCCATTGAGGCAGGAGGTGACACCGGAGGAATGTAAATTACAGTTGGCAGCAGATCCTCATGCCCGTCGTCATGCTGGTGGTGATGGTGATGGTAGTGCTTTGATACGGTATCCATGGGATACGACTTTGGGGTCACGGGGGGTGACAGCAATCGATCGTTGTTCATGAGTGTGGTCAGGTCCATTCGTTCGTGTCGTAGCAGAAGAAAAAAAGAGTGTAGGGTTTGGAAGAAGGAGGGAAAAAAAGAAGAAAGAAAGAAAAGAAGAAAAGAAGCGAGAGAGTCTGAAAAAGAGGCAAGGCCCATTTTTATCCACAGATTGGTTTTAGCTGTTTAATCTTGGCACATCATCATTTAATATTTTAAAACTAATCATTTTTCTTGTGCACACTCTTCCTCACTTCACTCACTCACTTGCCCGCCTCCGCCGATGATCGATGATGGATGATGATGGATGATGATGCCATCCTTGCCTCACTCATCAAGCCCATATGTCAGCGTCTGTTGTGATGAAAAAAGTTGGAGCGTGTCGCCGTCGCCTCTACCTCACACACACGGAAACCCGTACACAAAAACAGAATCACCGCCCCCATCCCCCGACCCCGATAATGATCGACGGGATGATGGCTGCTATCAACCAAATTCGGAGCTGGGTGGGGGCTCTTTAGTCGTCGATCCATTCCCACGGTTACACAATCCCATTAGCGAAAATCTATCTTTGGGGGGGCACACGCAGTCGTAGTAGTATAGTAGTACTAACTACTACTACTGCTACTGCTGCTCCAAGTGCGCTGTCCGTGTGCTTCTTACTATTACAATCCATCGTCATCATCATGGGAAAATTTTTATTTCTTTTTAAATACTATTTATCATTAATTATTATAATTATTTATTGTTGTTGTTGTTGTTTGTTGCTGCCACCATCGTATCCTCTGTCTGTCAGTCAGTCAGTCTAGTCGTCGTCGTTTCCAGTTTCTTCGCCCTCAATGTCAAAGAGATAATGAAAGTGCAAGATCAGGTATTTCACGATCGTTTGGTGATGGCCTAGATTGGACATGGTTGTTGCAAACGAGGCTGGACCTGGCGCTGGCTGCAGCAATGTCGGTCCGAACACAATAGCGAGGTTTGTTGCATACATGTGATTGGTCGCTTCGAGATCCGTCACACTGTATATATATATATATGTAAAAGAGTGGCAGCATAGAAATAAATGAGTCCCTTTGGGTGCTTATCTTTTTTTAGTAGCCCTCTCTCTCTCTCTCTCTCTCTATTTGGGCAAGCCGTCTCTTATTTACATGACAAAGTGTTCGACGAGCCGCTTCAGCAGCGTGTAATTGGGGTCCGGAAGCTTCTGAAGAACCTGCTTGATCAGGTAAACCCGTTGGTCGTGATCCTCAGACGCTGTTGTGAGTGTGACATAAACATAAAAAGAACGTGTTATGATTGCCTTGCTACATGGTCTTCCTAGAGTGTAAAGAGAGTCTTTCTTACCTGCCGCATGGATGAACTCATCATAGTAGGTGTGTGTCATTAAAGAACCGGGTATATTACGCAAGAATTGCTTGAATGCATCCGCCACCACGTTAATGTCTGCCCACTGCGGATCGCTCAGGTCCACCTTGCGCATATCCGCATTGAACGCGGCCTTGAGCTGCTCTACCACAGAGCCCGTGCCAGCTGTGCGATAGATGCCCACCTCCTCGAGCCCTCGCTTTTCGATTTCTGCAATGCACTTTTCCGCAAGCAGTGGCACCGAACCATCATCCATCAGCACAACAAGATCTACGCCGTACACAGACTTTCTTGTGTTCGTCACCGCTGCTGCTGCTGACGTTCCACAACCCGTATTGGAAGAACCTTCTTCACCAAACCGACTGTTGCGCTGCTGCTCGTTGCTTTCAGACGCAAGCACACTGCGTCGTTTGACTGTTCCCTCTCGCGCCGCATTATTGATTTGTTGCATCCAGTCGTGCATGTCCTCCCAGTTCGTGGCTTGGAACAAATATTGACCGCCTTCCTCGGTCACTATCCGGAACACGTGATCGCGTTTGGTATATGCGCTAGCCACCGAGGTTGTGGAATGAATAAGGTTTATCACCGTGGATGCCTTTGCAGTCTGAAACTGAACCGAGTAAGTGGGATCTGCTGCTGCTGCTGCTGCTGCTGCTACTGTTGAAGATGTTGTTGTTACTGCTGCTGCTATTGCTGATGACGATGATGAAGAGAGGGCTGGACGCAAACCGCGGAATAATGAGTTGAGTTTTGGCAAATGTTGCTGCTGCTGTTGCTGAAGACCATGCTTATGACTTTTGCGCTCCTGCTTTTCCAAATATCGCGCTTGCTCGATTTGTCGTTTCTGTAGCTTGTGTTGCAAATCACGCCACTCCTTGTCTATCCGGTCCCGCTCTTTGATATCCCGCTTGAGCTTTTCGAGCTGCTCGCTGACGAGTTTGCTAAACACTCCTTGTTGTAGTTTCGTTGAGCCACTGCGGATAGGCGGCATGCTGCTTCCACTCCCTCCTTGCTTGTTCTCCTTGACGGCACACTCCTTGAGTTCCTTCCAGGTAGACTTGCGCATATCCGGACTGATGATGAACGAAAGATAGCCTTGTGCTGCTGCTGCTGCTGCTGCTGCTTCGCCTCCATCTGGACCGACCGACTGATGTCGTTGTTCCTCCAGATCCATCTGTGCGTTCATCACCAATTGCAGAAAATGAAACACATAGCGCCGTTTATCAAAGTTGATCATGTGCTCATTCTGGTTGTGCGTGTCTGGAACCGCCGCACACAACTCAAGCATCCGATCAAAGACCCATCCTACACTCGGGACCAGTACCATACTGTCGGCTGTGATCGTCTGTTGCACATGGCTGAGTAAACTTTCCAACGTATCCAGCTGCATCTGTCCGTATCGACGTCCAACTTGCATCCATGCGCGCGAAAACAACCGCACTTCAGGACTAATCAGCGCACTTGCAATTGCATATTCAACAAATCCTGGCACACGTCGCGGTCGATCCTCGACATCCCTGAGTTCTGGAAACAACGCCATCCGCTCAGTCGCCGACTTGCTCATCACAACCATCTGCAGAAATGTGTCGATCCGTTGCACACGTGTCTGAAAATCAATGTTACGCGGTGTGATCTCATGGATGACCCAGCTGCGGATAATAAAGTGCATGCAGTACAGATACTGGATGGAGCTAGGGAACGCCAGCAGCAGGTCATCGGCCGAAAATGCGGATGGTGACACAATGGAACGGCGGGCGCCCTCGATCGCTGTAAAAATATCAGACACCATGACATCATCTGCTGGGATATGATAGTCGGTAGGCTGGGCCGTTGGCGCATCTCGCACAGGCGACAGTGTCTTTGACATGGGCGGTGAATGCGATGCTTTGTGGGACGGCAGCCATGCATACAAGTCGCTCGACTGTGCCTCAAACACATCAAACGTCTGAATCCAATCCTGCAGCGTCACCGACGCGAACAATTGCCGCACGCTTTGGTCTGCTTGTTTCAGCAGCGTTGCTGCAGACTGCTGATCAACGAGGCTGTGCGCGCCCATTGCGTTATCGTCCAGGGGCTGCGCCGATAATGTGAATGCCATTGATTTGCGTGTGCCTTGCGCTATCGCCGTGCGAAAACCTTGTGTTCCACTCGTCAATTGCTTGTACAACTCGTCCACTTTCCGACTGCAGCCTGTGTCATAGTCGATCGCTTTTAGGTCGTAGCTCGGTGATAGGATCTTGTGGATAAAGTGTTTTCGTAGTTCTTGAAGCTGTCGGCCAATGTGTGCTGCTGTTGTCAAAGCCGTCTGCTCATCTGTCGTTGTTGTCGTTGCTGCTTGCTGTTGTTGAATAACCGAACGCCATTCCTCCAAAGCGTCCTGCGCCTGCTTCAGAAAGCGACCGACGTGATTCAAGATCTCAATCTCGTCAACAAAGTCGTAAAAGTGCTCTTCAATCCAGTGCAGCATGAGATTCACCACGCGTAACTGGATCGAAGCAACCGTACGCCAGTCAAAGTCAGCTGATGTGCTGCTACTGCTATTATTGCTGGTGCTTGTTGCTGTTGTTGCTGTTGTTGTGCTGCTACTGCTTCTTGTTGTGGATGTTGCTTGAAATACACTTTCAAGCATGCTCGTCTTTTGTTGCTTGGCACGGCGTCCAGCTGCTACTGCCCCCGTGAACATTTCGCGCAATAGCTCCAACAGCTCCACGACAGAACAAAAGCTGCGATAGGTCACAAAGAACGCATTCGTGTACTCTTCTTCGTCCAATGCCAAATGATGAGCGCTAAACTGCTGTTCCACTAGCCTCGTTGGAAGCTGCCAATGTTCGCGCATGTCCACGTTGTACCGCGACACGCCATTGACCAGGATATCCACCAACCGTTCCAACCGACCCGCCTTGACGTTGACAAAGATCGGCGTACCATCATTGTCCTTGCTGTTGTTGTTCTCTGACGCCATCAATCGCGTCGCATCGTCGTCCCTTTGTAGTGCTTCGTTTGGCGTCATGCTATTGATCGTACCTGATCGTGACCGTATCCCCGAGCTGCCCTTTTCTGCCAGCGCCAAGAACCCGCTTGACGTACTCTTTTTCAATGGCTGCTTCCTTGTCACCGAGTCATCGGCCTGCACCAATGTGGAAGCCTTGAGTATCAAGTTGCCATTCTCTACAATCAGCATCCAGTCATTCGGACCTCTCTCCCTGCGCTGCATCGCATCCAGGATTGCTTTGGCCGAATAGCTCCCGTGTCGATGGGAAATCAATGAGCCGAGCCATGTCTTACTGTGAAGCGAGTCGAGGTAGCTGTCTGAATATTCCTCGCTCTTTTTGATGCTGCTACTGCTACTGCTGTTGATCGTTTCCGTGTCGCCGCCAACGACACCACTCCCTGCGCCGCCGGGCGGAAAGCTGTACGTTCGTCGCCGGAACATTTTGCGATTGGTTACACGGGGCGACGATCGAGCATGTTCTGGTGCTGCGGGACGAGGCACAGTCGTTGCGCTGGAGGGCGTGCCAGGTGGCTCCTCTGATTTGATGCTCTGGAATGAGGCCTTTTTACGCACATGAAATCGTGGAGATGTCGTCCACGACGATGCATCTTGGCCGTGTTGGTGATGATGATGAGGGTGTTGATGCGATTGAAATAAGGTGTACCCTTCTAGAACCTCTGGAAATGTCAATGTGGCTGAGGAAGGCGGCGCCACATCTGTTCCGTGCAACGAGTCAAATTTGCGATGTCGATCATAGCTCTGGCCAAAGATCCGAGGTTCGCATGCCTGCGAGCATTCTTGCAAGTACTTGAAATCGTGCGGCACGGAGATAAAGTCGGTGACAGAATGCTCGAAAAAGGCTTGTAGAGGACCAACCACCTTGAACGGAGGAGGAGGTGCCTGCCCTCCTCCTCCTTCTTCTTCTTCGTTACTATCTCTTTTGTGCAACGCTTTCCAGATGCCCAGGCTTTGGCGTACGGCATCATAAATCAGCCGATATTTTGAAAAATTGACTGTTCCCTTTCCACTATCATCTTCATCCTTGACGTGCTTTCGAAGACGATCCACCGCTTGCCGAAGCGTGCCAAAGAAGGGCAGTCCTTGCAGCTCGCTGTTCCGTGGCGGATCCATAATCCGAGCAAATGCATCAATGGCAGCTTTCTTCTCCCATTCATCGATCCACATGTCCTGCGCAAAGAACCCATACTCTGCGAGCTTGTCCACCCAATGCTGCGTCACCGTAGCTACTAAGCCTCGATTCACTGATTTCCATGACTCCTTGAGTCGGATCACACCTAGCGAGCAAATCCCTGTGGCAACAGCGCACCAACCCGTCATATCGCCTAGCTTGGTCAAAGCGATGCCCACGCGAATCCAATGCTCAAGCAGCAACGATCGTGTCAGCGTCGTGTTGTCGTTTTCCATACCAATCATATCTTCTTGCTGCGAATCGATCAGGATGTGGTGTCGTATTAGCTTTGTTAGGAAATGCGGCGATGCAGTTGTGAACACTAGCGAGTTGATCACCTGTGGCGATGTTTGTGGACGTGGCACATAGGAAAGCGGACTTGTCAGTGTGGTCTCGTGCTGTCGATGCTGCGAAAAGTGGAACCAATAGATTTGCTCAGCAAAGCTCAGTGGATCGATGGTCAGGAACAAGGATGGCGTCAGACCCGTGATCAACATGTTTGACAGGTTGACTGAGCTAGGTCTTCGAGCGACATGCGATCTTCTGAATCCGGGTATATCCTCGACAGTCCCAATGCCTTTATCGTCACCGCCATCGCCATCATCATCATCATCATCATCATCGTATGTTTTTGCCATTATTGCCGCTGTTGCTGTCTGTACTACAACGGCAGCAGCAGCAGACGATGATTCTGCACCAGCCTCGTCACCATTGCGTGTAACAGTGGCAAGCACCAATTGCTTGATCTGTGCGCTTCGTTTTCGTACAGCAGTGTCAACACTCTCGCTCGCTTCCAGCGTCTCAAGAATAGATATCATGCCATTCGCCATTTCACCCACTACATCCTGCGCAAAATGCGTGCAGTAGACTTGGAAAATGTCGACAAGACGGCCGCACACGTGAGGTGTATGTGACACGTACGCTTTGAAAATATCAAGCACGGTTGCAGTGCTGGTAAACATGGGGAATGTGAGTAGAAAAGCATTCATATATTCCTCGTCCAGTGGATCATGCACTAGCAGCTCGTGGATGAATGCCCCAACTGTCCCTCCTTGCACAATGCGTCGTCCACCGGTGCCGCTAGCATCCTCGATGACGTGCAACTGTGTATCGTCACGAGGTAGCCGTTCTTCTTTGTCTTCTTTGCTGATTGTAATCCGCGGCAGTCCGACTTGAGATTCAAAAGCATTCAACCATGCTGACTGTACGTCAGCAGAGATGGCCGTGTACACGCGTTGCTCGCCGTCTTCCATCGTGAGTGCCAAGCCGTCGCCACGTTTTTCCACCTGCAGCTTGTCGAGGGGGATTCTGCAATCCTCCTGCCAGTGGAACCGTGGTGAGATGCAGGTGCTGATGATGAGCATGTCTGTAAATATCAGTAGACCGACGCGGTGCTGATCCTTATTGATGAACATGGCTCCATAGATATAATTGTCGCGGAGTTGTTCGTTGTTAAAGAGTTCGGCAGGATGGTGAATAACCAGGGGCTCCTCTCGTTGTGGTTGTGGTTGTGGTTGTGGTTGTGGTTGTGGTTGTTGTTGTTGCTTTTGTTGACGATGGTGTTTGGGCGACGAAACGAGTGATCGGAGCGGCGACTCCGATGACAGCTTGTACAGATAGAGTTTATGCCCACGCAGAACAATGCGATACAGCTTCCACCCGCGGTGATTGTGTGCCTTGTGAAACGCTCGGAAGTCGGCCTTTTTGTACAAATACCCTTCTTTGATGACGATAAAGCTCGTGCGTTTCTTTTCGTCTGCATCGTCTGGCGGTTGTCGTCGTTTGGCAACAGTAGCACTCGTACTAGTAGTAGTAGTAGTAGTAGTAGTAGTAGTAGTAGCAGCAGCAGCAGTAGTAGTGAGGGTACTGGCAACAACATGATGGCTATCGCTACTGTCGCCTGTTCTTGTCCGGTGCAAACCCATCATCATGGATACCGGGCGCGGGTTATTATTATTATTTTTAGCGCTTGTGTTGCTGCATGATGCTTCAAAAAACGAAGGTTCTTCAAACGATTTTGAGATCGGTCGATCGGGTGTGGATGAGGCCCGTCTGTTGGTTGACTGTGGAATGTCGATCGATAGCGGCGATCTATGTGGAATTGAACGCGAAGACGAGGTGGATGGCGATGATTCGGCAGAACTCTCGCTGCTGTTGCTAAACAGACGGTTTTTAAAGAAGGACAAGGCGCTGGTACGATGGTCGTCAAATTTGTTGCTGATGTTATTGTTGCTGTTGCTACCTGACGCTTTTGACTTTCTTGACTTCATCGCCCAATCTTGAGTTATCATGTAAAGCTCCTAAATTAGTTTGGTTTGTCCAAGTGACAGTTGAGATTCTTGAAGCAACAAAAGAGAATGGAGAGCCTTTTTACCCTCAATAGTCAAACTGATTCTATCCCTATAAGGTTGTAAAGAAGATATTAAAAGGGAACAAGAAAGCGAAAGAGAGAGCGAAATAAAAAGAAAAAGAATATGAGACACAATCAACTCCTGAACGGGTGTTCGGATTTTGGGTTGAATAGGATTTCATTTTTCGTGTACAGTTTCGATTCAACGAAGGGGTGGAAAAATGCGTGATTTGTTATGCTGACAACTATACTGTAACACTGGAAGGGGAAAGGGCGTGAAGAGGGGTTGGAGAGCAGAGAAAGAGAGAGAATAGACAGAGAGAGTGTGTGGAACCTTTTGATGGATGGGATCATCCAAGCGATATTCCTTTATATAAAAATGTACATATTACTTATTTAATCGACATGATTGAACAAGTAGCTGACACTCTCGCCGTTGTGCTATGGTAGGATTTAGAATGTTCCGATCAGTAAATGCTATCTTTAGAACGTACTATCTTCTACAGGCGCAAATCACTTACTGTTCGTCTTATTGCTTCAGCAACCGTAGCCGAGATATCAATCACTTCCAACTTGCTGCATCTCTCCCGCTTCTCTTTGGGAATAGGGAACGTGTTGGTGACGACAAGCTATATAAAAGAATTCGTCAGAATTTTCTTTAGCATGTACGCATGCATTACGTCCGTTTCTCTCTTTCTCTTTTGTACAACCACACTTACCTTGTATACACTATCGCAATTCTGAATCTTTTCGCAGGCATCACCGCTCAAGACACCATGAGTCGCGATAATGTATACCTTGGCTGCACCACACTTGTTGACCAAGTGGTCGGCTGCATCCAAAAATGTGCCACAGTTATCCACCATGTCATCCTACATAGAACAATTGCCTCGGTTACTGCCACTGTTGCTAACCAACTCTACTTCTTTTCTTTGCAGCATTCTGGTAACCAGGCAACTTACTGTGAGGAACACAGGCTTGTCCTTGACGTCACCAACCAAGGTGATTGTGCTCTCTTCGCCGTCCGTGTTGGCTACAACAGAGACAGCTGCGTTCATGATGTCATTATTCACGCCAGCTTCATTGAGCGAAGAGATCGATGCCATCATGATATCCTCCTCCGCTTCAGTGTTGCCAATTGAATCCTCGTCCTCCTCCGTTATGCGCACGCTTCCATTCGCCTTGGGCATGCCGCTGTAGGGTCTATTGTGACCCTGGGGTCCAGCACGTGCTCGATCCTTGTGGATAAGTGCAAAGTCAAGACGGAGTGCGTCTGCAAGTGAGGTCACTCTATAAATTTTAATAAAAGAAAAAAGGGCAGCATTCAGCATCCCCTTCCTCCTCCTCTTTTTCTTTTTCGCTTTCATCAGTCCTCTTTTACCTCTTGGCACCACCAGCATTTTTGCTCACCACGACACCCTCTTGCCAATCGGGAACGTTCTGAGTGATCCATTTTGCGATACTGGGTTCAGCATATAAGTTGTCTACAGGTCGTTGGAAGAATCCCTGCATCTGCGAAGCGTGTAAATCCATTGTCTAACGAAAAGAAAAGACACAGAAGCCCTTATTTTTAGTTTTCCTCTCGGGTTTCTTTTTGAGACAAGGATAAGGAGAGGATAATTAAAATGAAACTTACAATGATATGATCAACACCTGCCACTGCTAACATGTTGGCGACCACTATTCATGCAAATACAGAGAGAGAGAAAAAAAAAAGAGACAAGAAGCTTATCTCAGCCTCCTTGTATACATATACCCAGCACAAAGTCTTTTCCACGCGACACACCGAGCAACGGTACACATACGTTTGGCAGTAATGCAAGTTCTTCCTTTTCGTTTGCTTTGCTTGCAGTAAGGGAAATATGGCAAGACGGCTGTGATACGTTTGGCTGAGCCAATACGGGCCGCTTGAATCATAATGCACAATTCAATAATATTGTCGTTCATGTCTTGGGACCCTGACTGAATAATAAACACATCTTCGTTACGAATGGAAACGCCTAAAATGTTTTAAGGAGAATCGACGTATAGCACGCGCACAAGCGATAAACACACAATGAAGTTCGTGAGCATTTTGCGTGGCGTTATATTGTAAAAGCAAAGGCGTATGTGTGTCTTCTCCCCTCCAGAATTACCAATTTCAACGCTAGTTTCCTTGTTGCTGAACTTTTTGAGTTTAGTATCTGCCAAAGGCGTAGCCAATCGCTTGCTGACAAGGCCGGCGAGTTCAGGGTGTGAGGAGCCTGCCAGAACCTTGGTGTTTCTGAGCATTTTAAGCGTTATATATGCGTAATAATATGAAAAAAAAGAAACAGAGAAGGGGTTTAGGCTTCCGTACAAAAAGTGGGGTTGGAAGCTGGAAAAAGCCACATTTCATTCGCAGGGCGTTTATAAACCACAGTGAGTGCAGTAAAGGAAAAAATAAAATACATGCTCTCGTTTTGGGTGATACAGATTAGATCCAAACTTGGGTTCCGAACATCCGAGCATGCATCGCATATGCACACATGCCATAGCATTTCTGACATGTTATATACTCACCTTGACTTTTAATGCTACGTTACGTGGAAAATCAAACGCGCTTTCTGTCTTTCTGCGTTTCGGACCGGAACAGTGATTTTCCTCCATTTTGTGATAATTATCGGGAGAACCCCACCAGCAATTGCGGCTGCCGTGCGGTTGAATCCAACCTTGGTGCTGCCGTTGGTAGAAATAGCCTTGTAGCACTGCTGTCTGTTCCGTCGATGCTGTATTCGCGCTGATTGCTGCCATTGACAGACATGCTGCTATTGCAAGTGGTTTGCTGTTGCTGCTACTGTCGTTGTTGTTGCTCTTGAGAAGTGTATAAAGAGGGGCGAAAAACGGAAGTGTGTCGATTTCTAAGTTATTGTGTTTTGCATTGTCTTGTCACACTGTGCACACTACCTTCTTTTCTTTCTTTGCAAAAGAAGGAAGCCAAGTGCTGCTAGCAGAAGAGAAGAGCAAAACGAATAAAGCCAAACAAGAGGAAACGACGTGGTAAAAAAAAAAAAAAAAGAAGGCAACAACGACATGTGCTGAGGAGCGGGCAGTGCAAAAACCAAGACATAATCCAAGCCCTCCGCAAGGATCAAGAAGCCCGTCAAAAGGACGTCCCTTAAGACGGTCAAGAGGGTAAGATTATAATTTTCTCATATAAGAATCTATGATTGCTTTTATGTAGCTTCTCATTATTGACTTCTTCGGACAGAGGTGTTAGCGTAGCGAGAACCACTATTGAAGTAGAATTATCTATCTCTTTTCTTTCGAGCGAGCGAGTGTTTATGCAATACATGAGGAACCTTGACAACTGAAACCAGCAGTAGATCCCATTGTGTAAGAAGGATTTTCTCAACTATCCGGCATGGTTATCGCTCTGCCAATCATATGGTAGAAAGTGACTTCATGATGAGTGTGTACTTGCTGAATTCCCATTTGCTAAGTAGTGTCTTTACCTTTTATGATCATCATCAGCCTCCCCGTGAGCAAGTATGTTACCACCTTCATTTCTTTTACAATGACAACGCTAACTTTCTCTCCGCTAAGCAAATATCTATTTTAGAAACAGTACATTAAATCATCCTATCAAGCTCAACTACAACCAGAGCATTCCTAATTCTACCATTTTTCAATAATAATGAAGAGGACAGTGTACCTACTTGTGACCGAGCAATCATTATCGACGACTTGATGCTCTTGGGAATGGACCACGGCTTTTGTAAGTTGCAACTTCTTCTCTGCAAGATACTATAAAGCATTGTGTATTTCGTCTCTCTTTGGCCGTCTGCCCCGAAAACCTCAATTATATAGTTGCCTACATGTTCAGTATATGGAACAATAACTGACATGTCTTACGGAATAAAATGATCACCCAAGTGAATGTTCCTATCGCCCACTTCTACAACATGATTTTTTTTTCGGTAACGGTCTGTGCTCTACTTGCTTTTTAACAGCTGTGGCAAACTGCCAAATTTTTGCGTGCATCTCACAATGGCCAGGAAAAAGGAAGATTGTTATATGTTGCTAATTGAGAAGGGTGATTATGGGAGTGGAGCGTGTTCAATCCGCTGCAGTATCATTGTTGTGTGTACGCCAGCGGCCGGATTAAAGATACTGCTGAAACTTTTTTCAGAATATCTTGGCTGGTCGAGTACATATGATACCATCATAATACGGGTGACTTGACATAGCATCACAGATGAAACAATGAGTATTCGTTCCTATGTACAATTTGAATGAATCTATTATATTACCGGTGGCTAATATGTTACTATAAAAACAACGGCAAGGTCGATAATTTAACCGGAACGACACGTTAGCCTTTTTTTGAATTTGAAGTCGATTTCATTGAAATGTCGTATAGAGAAATACTGAATATAGAAAGTGTACAGTACATTAAAAACAAGTTGGGCTTGGATTTCAACCATCACATGTGAGATCCTCGGTTACTGCCGACGGAAGAAGAAGAAGAAGAATTAGAGGCACCTGAGCCCAATGTATGATAACTCCCAATAGTAGCAATCTAAGCACAGCAAATTCCCCAACAGTAGAATTAACTTTGGTGTGATCGCTCGTGCTGTATGTAGTTGGTTCACTTGCAGTCGTTAGTATCGAGACTCTTCTTCTGTCATACTATATGCTTTTTACAGAATTACTAACATATTTGCAGGTCGCAATAAACAACACTCTGTAGATCTTTATTCGAAAGCGACTCCAAAGGAATTAGAGACAGCATATAATATATCATACAAGCCAGATGATAGAGGAATAACTTCTTACCCAGCTGCTCCAGCAATCAATCCAACTCAATTGTAAACTTAATTTCTCGTATATATGATCAATTGGATTTGTGATGGCTCTTAGTACATATGCAGCAACCAAATCGCAAGTTGTACAAGTAGCTCTTCCGTACGATACCCACAAACGACAAGCCAGAGCCACAACCGAGCAACAATTGCAGCAGAATTATCATCATCGTCAGCCAGACACCACACACTATGTCTCAGAAGTGAAGCCTGATGGCGGCAGCAACAACGGCCAAATACACAGCAGCAACAGCATCAATTGTTCACAGAGGCTAATAAACTAGGAGATGCTTAATGCTTAAAAGCACAGTGTATACGCAGCAGTAGTAGCACTCCTTCAATGGCAGTTTATTCGTACATACATGTAGTAGCACTTCTTACATTTGTTAATTCACCTGGCTCATTTACCGACCGGTTATGATATTGTTATACATGTGCTATAAATGTCACTTATGATACCTACTATTAGTATGTGCTATGACACTTCTCTACAACAAACATGGAGGTTTTGGTATACATAGGGTTAATGAAGACAATGATTTTTTTTTTGGAAAATGACCTGAAAGTACAGTACACATTAAAAGGTCGTCAAAAGCATAAACGAGCATACAATCTGGTCTCGACAAAGATCAGTAATGAACTTTCTTTATTACAGCAGAGTAGTAGGGTTGTGTTCCCGAGATTAATTTTAATTAATATACAATGATTTTGCATGTAACAGTTTCGGTTGGACTCCATTATCATAACGAAAACCCCTCTTTTGACTCAAATAGCTTAGAACAACAGAACAATAGCATAACCGCTAACATGCAAGGAGAACCATCGACTCTAAAGTTTGTAAGTAGTAAGTGACTGCTGAGAGGATCTCGAAATGCCCAGTACCAAAATTTCAATGATGTGTTGTCCCAATTACTACACATCAATACTACGACATACAAATTTATCCCTTGGATAAACTCATGTGGGACAACACACAGAGAGCAGGATTTAATATAAATGTAATAACATAGGCTAATTGCTATTCTTTTATGTAATTGCATACGATGGCGGGGTTAATTAACTTAAAAATTATTACGATCAGTTTCATGTAGGTGATAAAATGCACGGCTACCCCTTTTAACACTTTTTTGTAGATCAGGTCGTACAGGTTCATCTAGCTCCTCTTTTCATATGTACAATATATATAAAAGACATCTGTTGTTGATGTTGTTGCTGTTGTGAATCTTATCGCTTTATTTCAGTCCAGCCTCTTTCCACCGCAAGACCCAGATTTATAGTGTCTTTTAACAAATCATGCCAACACGACAAAACCATCTAAAGGAGCTTTTCAAACGACGAAACGTAGTATATCATTGCGTAATTTGTAAACTACAATATCGACGGCTGATTCACTTTCAGCAACATTTGGAGCAAAGCACAGCACACACTCCAGGTTTAAAATGCTCTGTATGCGGTACTCATTTTCACAACCAGCACTTTTTGGAAAGACACCAAAACGGTCGAAAATGTCTGGCACGGCGTTCTGAATTGATTGCGCTACGTGCCTTACACTGACTAAAAGCAAGCCAATGTATCTGCTCCAGAAAACTGTAAACGAGCAACCAGACTCCTTATACATCATCATCTCACCATTTAGATCGTTCCTCCTACTACCACTGACTGTATGTAAATCTACCCAAAGCTGTATATTACATCAACCTGTAATTTTTGATAGCACTAATAACACAAGAAAACTCCATGTCTAATTTCTTCTCGCTCTCTGTTATGACAAAAACGAACTTTTGCGTGTAGCCCTATCTCCCCGCAATTGTAAAATCGCTTCTAATTCCCAAATTTCGGGAGCGCTGGTCCCGGATTGGTCAAGGCGGTGGCCTTTTGTGCAGAGGCTGTTGATTCGAGCCTAACTTTCGGTTGTCCTTCGCTATGGACCTGGTGTGGATCTCTCATCTCGCCGAATAGACAAAAAAAAAACAAGGGTGGTAGTCCCTTAAGATCTTGATTGCTCCAGTAGACGACTCTCTAAACCGTTTTGGTCGTCCTGAAAAAAACTTACTTCAGCCACGACTTCAGCCAGAAACGACAACCATTCGACGTTGTGCTAAACAAGGGAATTTTTATTGCAGTCAAGCAGCACGCTGCCGCATTGCTCTCCTTGGAACCTAGTTCGTTGGAAGGTGCCAACTGGTTGGCGAACTATGACACGAAAAGTTGGCGCTGCTATGTATGGAAGTATATAAGCGTAGTGTAAAGGCAATCAAAGGTGAGGAAGAAGAACGAGGGACTTTGTTCGAAAATCACTGTTTTCGAATACGCACGTTTGCACCAATTCGTCATCTCTGACTGCCCTGCCCTATGAATTACGCGTGGACGCACTGCAGCAAATCAGCTGCCTTCACCTTGATGGAAATCGTTGCTCCTCGTATCAAGTTTATTCAAATCTCCGCGCATGGTGTCTCACAAGGCAAGGGGTAGATTCCATGGGATCTTAAGAGAGACGATCTTGGATAAAAGTCACTAGTTACCAAAGAGAACAAAGACTTCTTTACTAGGACATTAAGAGCATTTTTTACACATTTTTTTGCAAAATAGATCTGGCTAGTAGTAAGAGCTATTGATATCTATCTGTCCTGCCCAAACTACACTGCTTCTCGCCACTGTCTATGAGCCACCACTGCCTTATTATCTACAGCAAATTATGAAAGACTCCACTAAACTTCGACACTTTGGAATGAGAGGGCGGTAACAAGAAACACGTCATAGAACCAGGACATGCGTACTCAAGACAGCATTATGATACGAGGATGATTCCTGGTCTTTTATTTTGTATGAAAAATATATCGTTAGGTAATAGGACATCCCGTCAATATATAGTTGATACAAGCAATATTTGCAGACAAGCCAAAGGACTATCAAAGAAAGAAGTTAGAGCAAGCCATACTTGGAGTATTTAGTAAAAGCAAGCAACAATTGAAACAATCACTCACCACTTCGTATTTCCAGAACAGATCGTCGCGGCCCCTACCCTACCCTCCCATTGCTGGGAGAACCTCCACTTTTGTCTGGGCTCCAGAACCTATCATAGATGCAGATAGAAAAGAAACGAAAAACAATCATCCCGTCGCTCGCTCTTCAGACGTTTTCTTGTGTATATTTTGCCACTAACCTTTCTCTGTGACGCCTCCTCTTATCCGTGTACGTGACCTCACCATACTGCCCAATCCCGTATGGCTGCCTGCTACGGCGGCATGACCCTGACAATCATCGCATTTAGTTGTGGCCGCGCTCAACTGCATAGTCTCTACGTGTTGCCGACCCGTGCCCCGAACCTAACGTCTATGCGTGGCCGGTGGTCAGTTTATCGAGTCATTTCCAGGACTCAGCAAGCGGTCACAGGGAGTACAGGATCAAGAGGTGGGCGCAGGTCACGATTTACTGGAGAGGTGCATGCGCAATCGAACTTACCATGCTTTCGCTCTTCCACTCGCAAGGTAAACCAAAATTTCTTTCAGGCCTTCCGACAAAAGAGAAAAAGGTTAGGCATCGCCCAATCCGCGAACCAATCCTGATAAATCTTAACAACTACAGCAACGAAGGCACGTAGAAAATCAAGTTATTAAGACGTAAATACCAGAAGAATGCTACCCTAGTTGAAGAAGTACAGAAAAAGAATAGTTACCCTGTAGTCGTCACGCATATCCGTCCGCCGCCGCTACTACTACTACTACACACGCAAAATCAACGACAATGATTAAAAGAAACGTTGGTGACGCATTGGAAAAAAAAAACAAGTTGGAGATCATTGAAATTTGAAAGGTGTTTTAAAGTAGGAGGAAAAACTTACACTGTAAAGGTCCCATAGTACACCGCGTGTGCCAAAAGCAGATTCGCTGATAAGGATTCATAAAGAAAGCGAATTGCCAATGGAGTATGTGTTAGAAAAAAGAACTCTTTTGAAAGAGCGAGTGAGGAACTGATTGAAGTAACTCGTTCGCGCATTGCTCTACTTACACGCCCAGGTTTGTTGCCATCACGGTTCTTGTTGAAAGAGACAAGAGTGGTGATGGAAAAAACCTTTACTTGACTGTCAAATTATTGAAACAACGACACAACCATGGCGCACTGCCTAAGCCTCGCTGCTTCGCTGCTTTTTTCTGCATGGGATATCATTAAGAGAGAAAAGAGGAGGTTTAGACATACACCGAGTATCTCCATGTCTCCCGGTTCGTGCCTCGTCTGCATTACACCCTGAGCTCCGCACCTTTTGCAGGTACCTTTTTTGTGTAGACGATGATTTATTGAAATACCGTTGTTGTCGGTATTTATAATGTCAGAAAAGAGGGTTGACAAACGCACTATGAAAAAGTACTGATTTCAATGTAATGCGGGCTGCTACACCGTCGGGCCAGAAGGTTGATCCTTGAAACACTTGATGCCAATGGGAGTCCCATATGTGGAGTATGGTAGTGGCGATGATACATATGAACTCTGGTTTGACCGTGAGCGGGAAGGTGTTGAGAGACCTACTGTAATGTGATCACACGTCAAAGACTCATGGTCGACAAGGAAGCGCTTTGCAGGTACCGCTATACTCGCACGGATAAACTGAAGGACCGGATGTGTCATAATCACCTCCTTACAACATAACATAGCAATCGTTGCCATCGTTACTTTACCTCACATGCTGCTGCAGAACCCCCATGCGTAGCTCATATAGCTTTCTCTATGTATTTGTTATCAAAACACACCTCCCCTGGCTAGTAGTACCTCCACCTTCTTGTGCGCCCTCTGAGTGTAAACTTCAATTCACTTCTTGCACGATTAACCATCATCTCCTCGTTAGTGCATACTGATGAGTTGACAGCGAATTTGGCATTATCATAGTAGTCACTAGATCAACTTAGTACTTTGGTGCTTTTGTGTACCCATCGCTATACCTCTATTAGAGGAATCTCCTATGATATCTTTCTTCCCTGTGTATTTCGCTTGTCTACTTTTTACACTGTAAAGCGTCAATCAGTAGCATTGGTGCATATTATATCTGTTGTTTCGACCCCAATTCTACCACTGACACAATAAAACAGACGGTTATTCTGAGACAATTTAAGTCTATACACATCAGTACTCTAAGCGTAAGTGAGAGGCGTACGCATAGATTCGTTTCCAAACACTCTGCTTTTCCGCCTTACAATACAATAATGTGAATCTTGGTGTTGTCCCACTCGAACAGTCGTATGTGGTGTTGGCTATTCCTAAATTTCTGTTTTCACATTGGCTTTTGATACGGACACTCTCTTCTATTTTTGATCCTCATCAGGTTACACTCATCCTATAAATATATACTTGTGGGGGTTGTCCGCAAGGATGTTCACTTGTTATTGCTACTACAGATCAGTCGATATATCAACAGAAGAGAACCTTAAAGGGTACATGAAAAACATCCCTTAATGCTTTTCAAACTTTCTAGGATGTCTCTACACGGATGTGTTTATGCGCAGTAATTTCAATAAAGTATGAAAAGGCTCCTCAATAACAGTATACTTTGATATATATATATATATATATATATTATATTAAATCTTCAACTTCTTTCAACCTACGTTTATCACCCTACTACTGTATCCCAACACTATGGAGCAATTGATTGAAACTACTTACACCGAATAAAATATGCACTGTTACAATACGTATACGTCAAGTCCTATTAACTACATACTGTATAAGCACTAGCTATGGTGTGCATGCATTTCGCTAGAATACCTTCGTTGCTAGTTTTTCAAAAGAGAATACAGAGCGCAAACACATTTTAAATACATTGTTTAAACACATTATTACACTGTCCAAAGACATCATCAGATAAGATATTTGGTTAACATCAAAAGTATATACAGACAACTACCACGGCAACCAGCTAAGCATTGTAGCATAGACACAATTGTAAAGCACGGAAACACTATACTCGGATTATCCAGCTTATGTAAGCAGTAGCAGTACGATTGCCATTATATCATGAATGTGGAAGATCTTACACCTGTACAACGAGGGGCGGCTATAAGCCGATACTGTATGGACTGACGCAATATGATGCATAGGCGTATGTCGTTAGTGATCTCTTGATATCCTTTACGATAATTTAGAAAGAGAAGGTCTGCTTATGATGCACTTAGAATGGATGTCTTGTCACAAAAAAAAAAAGCACCTGGCAGTGGCAGGTGGAAACGAGCGGATGGGCGATGATAGCGGATAGTGTTATGCAAGCTAATCAATACTTATCATCAGCTGGTTCGGGCACCGTTTCACTGTGCCGATCCACGCCTGCCGGCTATCGCACATGCGATGAAGACTGCTGTCTTCGCACGTCGCTTTTGCTCCCAACCCAAAACCACTCTTCTATGCATCGCCATCGTTCAAGCGATCTGGTCAGCACATTGGTTTTTCATATTCGAAGGCCACCCTTTCATCCGCAGGCAGTAGCTGCTCATGCCACTGCCATCTATCACCGCACATATAAATAGGTTTCTCTTTTCCGTCACTTCTCTGTTCCTCATTTTCTCATACATGTATTCACACCCAATAGTCCGTCACTCCTCTGGACACTCTGTTGGGAATAAGTTCTGCCTCCAGACCATAAAAAAAATACTTATGATCAGAATGATTGGGCGTGTACTAGTTTTGGTTAGCGCCAAGCTCAAGCCAGGGATCAAAGGGTCTCGGTACAGTGTCTACCGTCAATGTTGCTTATGTTGAATACGAGATTATTTTTGGATTTATACCGCGTCGATATTGGCCGGTGAACAATAGCTTCGGATGATAACGATATATTCGCGCAAGGTGTTGGCGAAATATACATCATTTTTGGTTTGGAGTAAGTATGTGCTGAATGGTCGTATCCAGCTTCCTGATGGGATAAATGAGCCATTGTAGAAAGTCTCGGCCGTTGTTGGATTAACCATGGTGCGATGTGGTGGCGTGTGTAACAAACAAAAGACGCACTCTTAATCAAGTATCAAGTATATACCCACGATCCCTCAAGCCCGCAATGATGGAGGTGGCCAACTTAAAATAGAGTGTCAAGAGCATGGCTGTTTTCAACATAGTATGCGCGTCATCCTGTATACAGGCTGCTTCAATATTTGGCTTGGTCATTTTGTCAACCACTTCCCTCAGCTGATGTATGATACATGTGAAAAAAAAAGATGAGAAAAAAAGAAAACAAAAAAAAACAGGATGGTGGGCTCGTAGCCTCAGAACAATTTTTTGTTCTTTTCGATTATTTTCGCGAGCACGACTACGCAACCAAAAAGATTCGCAGCGCTTTTTTCACACAGTTTCAACCAGCGCAATGTACAGACTCGTAACAGCACGCACATACTGAGCCCTTGTCTTATCGATGCTCTGTGGCCAAGTTACGATGTTTTTTGCGCAGGGTCTCCATTGTACTTTGCTGTCATGCTCGGCTTCTTCATGCGAAGACCTTCCGTGCTGGCCGTGAATAAAATGGGGGGATGGAACCAAAGCTGCGGGACGTCACTCGCCCAAGCAAAAACATTACGCTGAATACGCTTATGGTGGTGTGGTTTTAGACTACTTGTCGTTTTTAGTCTCGCATTGAGCTCGCTCGCTGGTCAGCTTAACCAACGATAATCCTAAGCTGGCAAGCGTGGTGGATGCATTTCCTGGTCGCTTCTTTTTATTATTTCTAGCTTGGGAGTAAGTTCCAAAAGATAAGGCTTTCACCCTGTGGGCACATGATATCGCGGTCACGTCTTGTGATAAGAATCGCGTAAACAATATAAAACAAGCACTTTCCACTCACAAAGAAAAATTTTTATCGCTCAGGTTTTCCGCTTTTTTGTATTTGAATGGTAAGTAAGAATGAGCTTTCAATTGTGCAAGAAGAAAAAAGTTTGTAATCAAAAGCTTTACTCTTTACTAAATGATTTTTCTCGGACAATGTTTTAAAGATGGTTTTCCAGGGTCCAGGGTTTCCAATCGAGGGCCGGTCTTTTCTCTTGACTGTCTTTGTCTTTCTATCTAGCACACAATGGAAAGCCCTCATGTCAAATAAGTCAACCACAGTTCGTTCGCCTTCCCTAGTGGTTGTGCAGTTCGACGGAAAGTTTGAGATCTGGCATGTTGGTGGTCATTGATGGTATTGAGGCGAGCAGTCGAGCGGGGGATCGGCGGCCACAGTAATTCATAAGGTTGTTTCAATCTGATTGGCATGGTAGGTCGCGTAGCTGCAGTAGAAGGAGTAGCACCATTAAGGAACATGAGAATCACTCACGTTATACAAGCAAACAAGCTAACTTGTACTTTTTCTGTTTTGCTGTAGGATGCCTCCAGGGTTCCAGGGTTTCAATCAAAAACCGATCTTTTCCTTCGGCTGTACTTGTCTTTCTATCTAGCACAATGGAAAGCTCTCATGTCAAATAAGTCAACCACAGTTCGTTCGCCTTCCCCTAGTGGTTGTGCAGTTCGACGGAAAGTTTGAGATCTGGCATGTTAGTGGTCATTGATGGTATTGAGGCGGGCAGTCGCGAGGGAAATCGGCGGCCACAGTAGTTCTCAAAGCAAGTGACTTCATTCCGATTGGCATGGTAGGTCTTTTAACTAAATAAAGGGGCAGCAAACATAGGAACATGGAGAACCCAGTTCATACAGCAGACAACTAACCTTATTTTGTGTAGGATGCCGCCAGGGTCCGCGGTCTGACTGAATCGAAAGGCGCTCTGTCCTTGCGTGTGACTTGTTTGGATCCATTGTAGACCCTCCTCTCGTGTTCACTTGCAGACGGTCTTTGCACGTTCCCTCTGCATGGCAAAGCTAACGCGGTCATTCTCTTGCTAATCCCTGGTGCTTCGTGGAGACCGGTGTATTTCTTTCAGCCTTTGGGAATCTATTTCTTTCAGCCTTTCGGGCATCTTTTTCTTTCAGCCTTTGGGCATCTATATCTTTCAGCCCTTGGACTTCTATTTCTTTCAGCCCTTGGACTTCTATTTCTTTCAGCCCATGGACTTCTATATCTTTCAGCCCTTGGACTTCTATTTCTTTCAGCCCATGGACTTCTATATCTTTCAGCCTTTGGGCATCTATTTCTTTCAGCCCTTGGTCTTCTATATCTTTCAGCCTTTGGGCATCTATTTCTTTCAGCCCTTGGTCTTCTATATCTTTCAGCCCTTGGACTTCTATTTCTTTCAGCCCTTGGTCTTCTATATCTTTCAGCCTTTGGGCATCTATTTCTTTCAGCCCTTGGTCTTCTATATCTTTCAGCCCTTGGTCTTCTATATCTTTCAGCCTTTGGGCTTCTATTTCTTTCAGCCCTTGGTCTTCTATATCTTTCAGCCTTTGGGAATCTATTTCTTTCAGCCCTTGGTCTTCTATATCTTTCAGCCTTTGGGCATCTATTTCTTTCAGCCCTTGGTCTTCTATATCTTTCAGCCTTTCGGGCATCTTTTTCTTTCAGCCCTTGGGCATCTATTTCTTTCAGCCCTTGGACTTCTATTTCTTTCAGCCCTTGGTCTTCTATATCTTTCAGCCTTTGGGCATCTATTTCTTTAAGCCCTTGGTCTTCTATATCTTTCAGCCTTTGGGCATCTATTTCTTTCAGCCCTTGGTCTTCTATATCTTTCAGCCTTTGGGCATCTATTTCTTTCAGCCCTTGGTCTTCTATATCTTTCAGCCTTTGGGCATCTATTTCTTTCAGCCCTTGGTCTTCTATATCTTTCAGCCTTTCGGGCATCTTTTTCTTTCAGCCCTTGGGCATCTATTTCTTTCAGCCCTTGGACTTCTATTTCTTTCAGCCCTTGGTCTTCTATATCTTTCAGCCTTTGGGCATCTATTTCTTTAAGCCCTTGGTCTTCTATATCTTTCAGCCTTTGGGCATCTATTTCTTTCAGCCCTTGGTCTTCTATATCTTTCAGCCTTTGGGCTTCTATTTCTTTCAGCCCTTGGTCTTCTATATCTTTCAGCCTTTGGGCATCTATTTCTTTCAGCCCTTGGTCTTCTATATCTTTCAGCCTTTGGGCATCTATTTCTTTCAGCCCTTGGTCTTCTATATCTTTCAGCCTTTGGGCATCTATTTCTTTCAGCCCTTGGTCTTCTATATCTTTCAGCCTTTGGGCATCTATTTCTTTCAGCCCTTGGTCTTCTATATCTTTCAGCCTTTGGGCATCTATTTCTTTCAGCCCTTGGTCTTCTATATCTTTCAGCCTTTGGGCACTTTCAGCCCTTGGTCTTCTATTTCTTTCAGCCTTTGGGCATCTATTTCTTTCAGCCCTTGGTCTTCTATTTCTTTCAGCCCTTGGACTTCTATTTCTTTCAGCCCTTGGACTTCTATTTCTTTCAGCCCTTGGACTTCTATTTCTTTCAGCCCTTGGACTTCTATTTCTTTCAGCCCTTGGGCATCTATTTCTTTCAGCCCTTGGACTTCTATATCTTTCAGCCTTTGGGCATCTATTTCTTTCAGCCCTTGGTCTTCTATATCTTTCAGCCTTTGGGCTTCTATTTCTTTCAGCCCTTGGTCTTCTATTTCTTTCAGCCCTTGGACTTCTATTTCTTTCAGCCCTTGGACTTCTATTTCTTTCAGCCCTTGGGCATCTATTTCTTTCAGCCTTCGGGCATCTATTTCTTTCAGCCTTCGGGCTGTTTTTTTAAAGTTAAAGAAAATGATAAAACAAAGGTTCGATCTCCTTGAACGACACTACCTTTGCTCAAGCAAGTGCAGTTTGCAAAAGTCTTTTAATTCGCGAATAAAGCCATTAAAGCTGTCCAAACATTATGCATTCCTTTTGCTAGGTTTAACACTTCATGTTTGAATGTATGCTTTTATTTTTGTTAAGATGCAGAAGCATAAAGATAAATGTGTATAAACTCCTAGCGTAAGTGATTGCTGGTGTGTTGGGAGAACTACCTGCGTGATCGAGTCTCTCTATACGTGAACAAGGCACGCCTTTATACACATGATACACCCACAGCTCCTCTTGGCCCTGGCTCATTTGGTCGAATATGTAGGGCGTAAAACCCTGAGACAGGGTTAATATGTCATATTTAACCCTGAAGTCCTGAGCAATATTACTGGCTAAATACACGTACCTTGTTTATGCACTATGACGAGCACCATGATCGATCCATCCTAGTTGACCATGCTGATGACTGATCCATGCCGATGTCCACGACATTGATCAACCTTACGGGTTGCTTTTTGTCAAGTTTGATTATAATGGATACTGTATGTTGTATTACGCGTAGAGAAGTATGTTTGTTTATATGATATATCATGACGACAGCTCTCTTTTTTATATACCTGGAAACATCTCTACATGTTTCCACTTTTCTACGTTTTCACCCATCCAATGCAAGGATCTTGGCTTTTGTTCTCCTCCAGGGCACCACTCAACCTTCGGATTTTGCCGCCAGAGCTCAACCATGCGTATAGCTCTTTCATTTTGCTGCTGTAAACTATGATATTTGATAAACTTTTCGACGCCTTTGATGACCGCGTTCCTACGATTGAACTTTTTGGCCTGGTCCTTGCGCCACTTTGTTTTCCATTGTAACTCTAGGTCTTTGATAGATGGCAACCGGATATCCCTTCGTGCCATTCGCGCCAAAGGTCGGTCACTGTTGCTACACCATCGTTTAATCTGTAGTGTGGAGGTTGAGAGCAGTGTTGAAAAGCGACGAAGAGGTTGAGGCAGGCATGGGCGTGTTATTAGACGGAATTGGTGGGGTGATAATGTCGGCAATGGATGGTGGGGTGTCAGTTAGAGCGGCAAAGGATGGAGCGACAGTAGCAGCTGCAGAGTTGGCAGCCGAAGGTGTAGTATTAACCGGAACATTCGTTGATTGCGATTTTGGAGTCCATTGAACCGATATCGTGAGGCGTCCGTTCGCAAGGTCACCCATAAACTGGTTGAATGTGCGGTTATGCTCTTCAACCAATTGTGTGTTACGATCGACTTTTTGATTAAGATCGGTATACATCTGCCGTGAAAAACCATGCAGTTGTGGCATCGCTCTTGATAAGGTGAGGTCCTCTGGTGGGGGAGCCGTTTCGATGGAGGTCGCTAGATTACTAGAGTAATATAAATCATCGTAAGTCACTACATCATGTAATAATCTAACTTATACGATAAACATCGTGATTACTCACTTTTTACATGCAATATATTCTGGATCACTGCAAATAGTAGCATTCCAGATAGATAACTGAGGGTGGCGTTTCATCATTGGCACGGAGTCTTGTAGTATTGTCTTGCGTAGAATGCGTAGCATCTTGAGAAATCCGTTGCCATTGGTCGACCCATGGGAAAACCTTCTTTTGTAACGTTTCTGATGGTTGGACCCCATCGCGAGGTAACCAGAAAGTTTTTCCAGTGGCATCAAACGTTGCCATTGCGCGCAACTGTCGGCGAGGTAAGTTCGTTAAATAGGATCCTTCCATCGCGTCGCTTGTCCATCGACCTGCGCGTCGGATAGCCGAATCGCTAACCTCGACCATATCCGCCATTTTTGCTCCCGACTTTCTTCCTGCATGCGTAACGGCTGTTGATACGATTTTGCATGTGTCGAATGCCTTTTTAAGTGCCTTGTAATGCGCCGGTTGCTCAACATTCTTGGTAAAATCAGCAGGGTCGCTCTTGCAGAGTTTAATGTTGTACCATGTTTGAGGCCGTGTCATATCCGGGAATGGTTCGCCTTGGATGTGCCAACGATGGAAAAAGTATAATCCTAGAGCCATCCATGTGCAAGTTTCGACATGCGCACACCGGATGGCAGATCCATGCTCTGCTTTACCGAACTGGTTTGTCTTGCCATGGTCCAAGAGCAAAAGCAAACAAGGGGATTCTTGTCAGGCGTGAGTCCTTCTCCTTGTAATGGGATGACGTGTATATCTGCCAACTTAATCTGTCGAACATTCTCGCCACGCATGAGCGCAAAGTGTGATACCAACATCATGACTGCGTTTCGATACTGCTCGGATGTGTCGCGCGTCAGGAAGTAATCGATGATTATGGCCAGTTCTTCAATCGTTGAGTATCCATTGAAAATGGATCCGGCAGCGCGATCTTTGATATCCTCTTTCCTTTCGTTTCTTAGCAACGACTTCACATCCGGAATTCGTGGGTTATTACTGGGATCGTTCAATCGAAGAGCGCATTGGTCGTGGAAAAGCTGGATGATTGCACTGACGTACTGCCCAATCGTACTAAAACCGATCGTGTAAAACTCGTGTTCTTCCGAGCAATATCAGTACTGGGCACATCAGAAAGTTTCTTGCAACAGCAGGAACTCTTTTAGACTTGGAACAAGTTGATCGAGCTTTGTGTGCTTAAACTATCGTTTCTCTTAAAATCTGCACGACATGCACTCTACAGCCAAGATCAAATCTTTTGATACTTGATACTGTAATGCCCATACTCATTAGTAGAATTGTTTTACAAACGTTTCAAATGGCGTTCTATTAAAGCCCCTAAATCCACGTGGATGTGACCATCTGTTTGGGAGATCGCCTGAGATCGAGCTGCCTTTGGAGCGCCATATATGTTTTCAGGTGGAGGCAGTTCGACACATGTACAGCAACGCTTTTCTTTATTACTTTTTCTCCGTGATCTTGCTTGTCCATACAGTTACGATAAAAGTAGCTGCCGTGGCATACCTTTCACTTTTTGTCGAGGTATGGCATGGAACATAACAATGACTGTAATTAATTGGCCCACGAAAGCTTGGGACAGTACAATATGATGACTTTCAAGCTTCGGACCACCTTCCGATGTTTTGCCGTATAAGACTACTACATATACCAAAAGAATCTTAATATCAATGACTAAGTTTCTTCAAAAAAATTAGAAAGCCCTTTTGCTTTGTTTCAGTTCAAAATGAGTTTGTACAGCATCTTACCGTCGCCGTTTGTATTGCACTTTTCCTAATTTACAGTTACATTGGCTACCCAGGCCAGTATTGATCGAGCGGTCTGTATACTTCAAAAGTACCATACATCATTCCTTTGATGGATGATGAGGGGTAGCAAAAGTCAATTTTCTAGAAGAAGGTCGTCAACTGATAGCGGGGGGAGCTCACCAAACGGGCAAGCCTCAGTGGACATGGCCATATCTTGTCCTCCTGTACCAGTGATCTCGTTTGAAAACGTCGCGAAAACGCCAATTGGGACGATATCGAGAGAAGTCATTCCAACGCTGTGAAGTGGGTAAAGAGCTCGGATCATCCAATTTTAGGTAAGCCATTGCCTGCCTATAGCAAGAGACGTAAATCTGTTTCTGTTTCTTGAGGGAAATTTATATACAAACTTACAACCAGAAAACAAGCTTATAAACCGCGGCCTTGTTATCGGTTTTAACGAATTATATATCTCAGTCTCGCTAAATGGTCGTCTACACACTCCCATGGCTTTTCACTCCACGTGGTCATCGACACCTGTGCTTGTCTCGAGAGCTCTAAGTATTCTGTGATCCCAATATGTATGTCAAGCGCACAATCATATACGTTGCGATACATTCAAAGCACACAATATTTATGGGACCAACTCACTACAAACTATACATACAGCACATTGTATATATATGTATATGTAACTTAGATAAAAATAGCCACTACTTCACTTAATAAGAAATTGAAAAGTAATTGATCAACACCACGTCTCACATGTGCCGACTCATCTTGGTATTTCACGGATTAACTAGGCTAAGGAAGAAGTTGTCATTATATTGGTCACGCAATTCGCATTAGCTACTATCCGAGGCATTGAGCCAAATAGACCCTTTACCCACGCACCCCCTATTACTTCATCCTATATGCTTAATCAATAATAATGCATCTGTTCAATGTACAGTACATGCTGTGTGATAGTTACGCAGAACAAGACTTTGCTATAAATAGTGAGAACTTCTGCTATCATAATAAACCGGTTTATTTGTGAACCTAATATGGATTAGATCCATCGCCATTAAGCAATTTTCGATAGATTCAACAAAAAGTGGATAAGTCGGTAGAAGAACGACAGCTTGTCGAGGCTTTGAAACTGCAGGATATGATCCACCATAAATCGGCACTGCGATGGGGTGAAGCAAAGGATAGGCTGAAACAAGGATATGTACAACGAGAGAACTATGAAGAGGCTGCGCAATGGGTCATGACATCCCTCAAGAATGTGCGTGATACTTTTGGCCCTACGAGCATTGAAACATCGTGTGAATTGCTTAAGCTCGCAATAATGTTTGCCGTGCGCAGCTCTCAAATAACGGAATATAGTTGTGTCTTTGATGGGGTATACTTTAAGCTTTACAGTTATCGAGTGCAAGACAGGGATGACAAAGAAGTTAAAGATATTTTGGGGCTCAAATATACCAAGACCAGAGACGAACAGCTGGCTTTACGAGGCATTGGCAATATGTAAGAAAGGAGCAGTTTGACGACTGTGTAATTTCTGGGTAATTTTGCAAACTTTGCCAATCTACGTCGATATGATAATATGTATGTATAGAGCGTTGATCAAGATCGTTTTGGGAATACTGTGTTTAAACCGATATTCGATGAAATATTGCGTAACATTCCGTACACAAAAAGCGATGGTAGGTAATACTTTTAATTATTTTAACTAAGTGAGTTTATGTATTGTAATGCTGACCATGAATATCAAATTAGCCAATTCACTTCGTTAAGCAATCGGTACAAAGTCAAAGCAGATGCGACTCTCTCTGTTCTTATCAACGATGAGGAACTGCGCACACTGGTAGTCGAAGTAAAATCGTCTTTGGAAGTAAGCGAACAGGACTTTTCAAGTTGGCCGTAGAGATAAAAATCATGCTTGATGCAATGATGGAAAGGCATTTTTTGCAGCCCAGTTGTTTATGGAGTTCTGGTAGAGGTTAGTAGTATATATGATGTGCATATTTAGCAACCTCATTGGATTGATGCTAATAGAATCTGATCAAATATACTAGGGTTCATCTTGCTCACAAATAAGATCTATCTTAAATATTCTTCACCTGCAATGGTTGCTCTTCTTCTTGTCAGCAGCGGATATGCTATATATTTCGTGCCACAAGTCCAGTCTCTGATTTCTTGAACCTGTAATGCTTCCGTTAGACCTGCTAGTAAAACCTTTCCCTTCTTCTTTTATCGATAACGACTTTGCTCGTGTTGTACACCTTACTCAAACGTGGATGTAACCATGCTTACTAACTGTCTACTTACAAATGAATAATGTGGACGGTTTCGACCCACGAGGAAACATCAAGGTGCTGATGGCAACCAACAGACCTAATACCCTTGACCCTGCCTTGTTGCTACCGAGTCGTTTGGATAGACGTGTAGAATTCGGTTTACCAGATTTGGAGGTAAAAATGCTTTTCGTGTGAGGCGTAGTGTGTATGTGTGTAGGGATGGGTGATATGAAACTTAACGCTTTTCATGTATATTTTAAGGCAGTGCACATATATAAAGATTCACGCAAAAAGCACGAGTGTCGAGCGTGACTTTCGTTACGAACTTATTGCACGATTGTGTCCGAACGCAACGGGTGCTGAATTGCGAAGTGTCTGTACAGAAGCCGGTATGTTTGCCATCCGTGCAAGAAGAAAGGTGGCCACCGAAAAGGACTTTTTGGAAGCGGTCAACAAGGTTATCAAGGGTTATCAAAAGTTCTCCAGTACTCCCAAGGTAAACTTTATAACCATGTGCATATTGTTTGTGTCTTTATATGTATATTCAAAAATAGATTATCTAACATTCTATTCTTCTTTTTTATTATATAGTATCTTATGTGGAATTAGAACCAGTATTATCATCATCATCAATAAACAAAGCTCGCGTCCCAATGAAACTTTCTGCTTTCGTCAAAACATGTTGTTGGGGACTGGATGGAGAAATGAGAAGGATCATCACTATGAGGGAACTGATATGATATCACTCTAATAAGTAATGAACGATCGAGTCTGTGTCACGCCTGAAACCTACCGTCTTGTTTAACATCATCTACATTATAAGGTTAATTGCTCTATTGGTAAAACAAAGAATAGACGAAAAAGAAGAGAGTAAAGTGGCATGTAAATCAGCTGTTGTAGGAGCAGTTTTCATCGTGACGCGGATAGATGCTACTGTTTAACTAAGGGATCGTGAAGTATTTAATACTGAATAAAGTCCGGCAAATACTGCAAAAGATTACTGCAATTGCAATACTGCAAATTTACTGAGGCCCGCGCAAACATATATATAATTGCACTGTGGTAAAAAACACATTATTACAGTGCCTGAAACATCATCAGCATTTAAAAGCATACACAGCAATTACTACGGCAACCAGCTAAGCACTGTAGCATAGAGACAATCCAAGCGAATTGTAAACATTATACTCGGATGATCCAGCTTATGTAAGGCTATAACCTGATATGGACTGACGCGATATGATGCATAGACGTATGTCATTTGTGATCTCTTAAATCTCTTAAACGATTACTTACCAAGAAAAGGGCGGCTGATGATGCACTCAGAATGGATGTCTTGTCACCACAAGTTATATTCGCGAATTAAAATCCAAAAAAAAAGGAAAAGTATCTGGAAAGGAGGGGATTGGGGTATGATAGCGGATAGCGTTATGCAAGTTGTTTAATATCTTATCACCAGGATGACTGAGCGTGTATTGGGTTGGAGTAAATATGCGCTGAACGCCGCACCCAGCGTCTTCATGGGATCCAGTGAAACATTGTAGAAAGTCTCGGCCATTGTTGTATCAACTGTGGTGGCGTGTGTAACAAAAATAAAAAACGCTCTCTTATACGAGCATATGCACACGGCAATCAGCGATTGCCGATCCTCCAAGCCCGCAATGATGGATGGGGCAGCTTAAAATAGATTGTCAAGAGCAGATTATAGAGCAGCATGGCTGTTTTCAGCATAGTATTATGCGCGTCATCCTAGAGCTACTATTATCCATACAGGCTGCTTCTTCAGGTTGATACTGTTGTTTGGTTTGCTCGTTTTATCCACCACCTGCCTGAGCAGCAGCGAATACAAAGTTAATCAGACGTGGTGTGACGTAATCGGCGTATGTGTGGGTGATGTATGGTGATATATGTGGGAAAAAAGCAATACAAAAAAAAGCAGGATGGTCGCCTCGTACGAGAGTCAAGCATGCATAATCTTAGCCTTGCTTCCGAGCACATGAGTTCGTCTTACGTGTACTCTCATGTTCTATGTGAAAGTTGTGCCAACAATGTTTTTGGTTAATCAAGGGGTTGAAAGGGGCGTGGCAAGCGAAACATACCATTAAACCGGTTCTCTCAGCTTAGAACAGCTTGCCTTAAGCAAAGTTGCTGCTGGTGTGCATAGCCTCCCAACAAATACTTCCTTTCGATTATTTTAGCGAGCAGAACTACGCGACCACAGAAATGTAAAAAAAAAGAAAGGTGAAAAGCGCGTACCAAAGTGTGATAAAGCGCGTTGTGATCGTGTTACTGTCGGCTACAATACAGAAGATCTGTCATTGTTCCCTGCATTGTTAGCCTGGACCTGTGGAGGTATTTTTACCTATTTAGCAGAGAAAAAAGGGAAGCGGGATGCATATAAAGGCAGTCATTTTCCGCAGCGTGTTGCTTCCTTGCTTTTTCTCTTTTTCACGATTAGGTACTTTCTTCTTTTTGTGGACCTAACGCGGGTTTTTGTAGGTCGTGGGTGGGTGATGATGCTTGTTCTGTAGGCACGGGTCGACTAAGGTAGGTGGCGCAGGTAAGTGATTGCAGGTAAGTGATTGCAGGCAAGTGGTCGCGATTGGTGAGACGGGACTGGGCATCTCAATACCAATCGACCTTCGATGATCCACAAAGCAACCAAGACAAGACCCTAGCTTTGAGGTAGAGGGTTACGGGAGCAGATGTCGATGTACCATCCTGTGGTTGCTCCTGTCAGTACCTGCCTAAGAACAGGGAAGCTAAGAAGACATCGACACCCTTTAATTGATTAGTAGTATAAAGTATCAAATAAAAATGTTTTTTTTCTCTTCCCGTTCGTTGAACTTGTTTGTGCGTGTTTTATATTGTTGTTATACTTCTTCATATACGAGCGAGAGTCGTCATTCTCGCTCCTGATTGCACAGTGGAGACTTTTGCAACGAGCAATATAGTTGCCACGAGATCGTCGACAAAGTGATATTGATAACAGTGTTGGGGTTCGGGAACAGTGGAGTCGACATTTATAACGCTCTATGGGAGCGATGGCAAACGCTCTATGGGAGAGATGGCAAACACTCTATGGGAGAGATGGCAAACACTTTATGGCCAGAGATGGCAAACACTTTATGGCCAGAGATGGCAAACACTCTTGGGAGAAATGGCAAACGCTCTATGGGAGAATTGGCAAACACTCTGTGCGAGCAATGGCAAACACTCTATGGGAGAGATGTCTGGCAGAGATGGCGAACGCTCTATGCGAGACAGCCAGCACTAACCCAGCTTTAATTGTAAAAGGCTATTAACAAATAGAAGGGCTTCAAAGACACTCTCATTCTACCGTTACCGAGCTTCACCACTTGTCCTTGGTATACACTTTGCTTTGCATCACGCGTACTTCACGGTCGTCAACTTCTGCGCCATTATTTCTAGATGTATATGGCTTCTATTTATGTGAGCTTCTTGCTACAATATCAGTAATTTTTATTTTCTACAATGTCAACCATTCCCGGCACCTGCCATTTACTTTTTCTCTGGGATCTTGTTGCTGAAACACTGTAAACCGTGTCTGTGCGCCTTGTGGCCCGACAGGCGGCGACACTGTCGGGGCACGCCCTGCATGGTACCGGTGAAACATATTTCGTAGGACTATCAAAACACGCAGACCACATACGCCTTCTTCTTGACAGCTTGACCGTGTCTCTTCAACACCTCTACTTCACATGGTATCTTCCCTGCCATTTTACTTTCCCACCTGCTGATTGAATGACGAATTACAAGTCACGTGACGTGTTTTTTTAAGACAGGGGTTTGAGTTCAAAAAGCATAAATACGCCCATATTTTTCAGGCCATTTCGTTTTTTCTCTTCACTCTTTCTTTCCTTCATTTTTCTATTTCCTTCACTCCCTTGGATCCTCCTGGTCTTCCTCTTGGCTCTTCCCTTGGTCCTGGTCTTTCTCTTGGCTCTTCCCTTGGTCCTGGTCCTGCCTCTGTCGGTCCTGGTCTTTGCCTCTGTCGGTCCTGGTCTCAGCCTTTTTCCCGTGGTCCCTGGCTGCCTACAACAGGTCCCTGCTTTGGGCTGTCCAGTCTGGCGTTCAACGGTGTTGGTCACAACCGGTTTGCAGGCGAGATCAGAGGACGGAGAAATCCTTTTGAAATAGAAACAAACGTTAATTATTAGGGCATTTACTTTCATTTTCAAGCATTTACAAGTGGCTTTCTTGCAAAAGAAGCCCGGTTTGCTCGAAACATTGCCACTGAGCTTTGCTTCACACAAGAGCCTTCCGAAAGTCTGGGGTACGACTCAAACTGCCCCTGATTAACGGTAAAAAACGTTAGGTAAGAGACACAGAACACTTTTGAATGGTTGTTATCTCTTCAATCTTAATTTCTGGAAAACTTCTGATAACATGTTCTTAATTATTATTATTTTTTTTTCTTTTTCATAATTGCAGGTACGCGATGCTGCTTGGGATCACTTCTTCTCTCCCTTTTACTTTTTCTTTGAGGGCATCTCATGTCAGCAGACTGCCCAAAGTGTGCAGCGAGCGTGCGGGTTTGAGGGTTGGCCGCCTTTGGACCTGCTGTGCATGGCGGGCTGATATGAGCATGCCTAGTGGTCCTAAACCGTAACCGGCACCAAGTATATGCCCTCTGCGAGTATTCAGAGTAAGCGAGGACGAATCCCTACTTGTCCGGCGACCAGTGGCTGCGAAGCCTTTCTTTATATCTATTTTCCAAGAGCTCCAAGTGTAGCTAGTCCTGCATCTCTGACCGTGGCTGGCTGCTCCTGGGGCATTCTTACACCATCAAGGGAACCTTCTGCTGTTTGAGTCACTCGCGCAGTTGTGTACTCCCGAGTGGGTTTGTGGACACTGGGGAAGGGCTTGCCTCTCAGTTAGGAACTCTCTCTGCGATTTTTATTTATTACATTCACCTTTTTTTTACACCCTCTTCTTCTTCAACGATGACGCGGTCCCGAGCAGCGGCGCGTCTTTAACTGCGAGGGCTATTGTCTGGTGGACTTATCAATGAAGAGAGCAGGTATCATGGAAAATGGGGAGGGTGGATGGAGTGGGATGATATGCTAGTTAGACAAAAATTACGCTTGCGTGGTTTTCTCTTTTTCTTGTAGTTGCAGGAACCGCACCTTTCGACAAGTGTTACGTTTGGCTGGACAGCGAAAAGTTGATGTGTACTGGGCCGCCATGCTGGCGAGCGCGGGGCTAACTAAATCCGTGTCGTTAAAGTGAGCGTGTGTGCCGAGTAGTGGATGGGGTGCGGGGTAATGTGGGCTAACATGTTCCTTATTGTGAAATCAGAAGTGATTGACTAATCATTGATAATGTAGGCGCTTAATACTTAATGCTTCCACGTCGTCAAAAAACAAATGTTTATAATCTTCAAACGCTGTGGAAAAGCCTTCAATGTCTTCTGAAGGCTTTTATAAACAATATATTACCATCTTGGAATTTCATACGCGTGCTTGATGTTTTACTGGGTCTAGGTCCCGATTGTCCTAGTTTTTACACGATAGATTCATCTTGTTTATTATATGTATATTAAAGTGGTAGAATGAAACACATACATTAACAAACAGACATACTATCAGAACTTTCTGTTTCTTTAAAACATTGTAAAAAGTGCAAAGTGAGCGATGGTGTCGATTAGGACAAAGGTCTTAAACTGTTTTGAGCGTGGAGATTAATCTAGCTTTATTGAAAGTCTCCAACGTCATGGGAAGCGTGTATTTAAGCTATCGGTTCCTCTTCTTCTGGATCGGTTGCCCATCTCTACTACTTAGTAACATGCTATGATGACTGATCAAAGTCTTGTCAGAACTTGTGTAGAAGTCGCTATATATATCGCGACCCCTCTTTAATACTGGCGCTACCTGGTGTACCTGTTGATAGGCCCATTGCCCCATTTACATAAGCTGAATCACCGGAAAGATTTATTTCCAGGCTTTACATAATCAAAGTGAATTGTCTGGCCGATTGCCATAGTGTATAATTATCTGTGTATGCTATTGGTGTTTAACCGAGTTTCTCATTATGATGTATTAGGAAGTGTAATAATGTGTGGTTGCGTCCTATAGTTTCTTTCAATGAAAAACTAGCAGCGGAGGATCTACGAAAATGCATGCACGCTATTCCCAGTGCCTCTTTGGTATGTGGTTTTTAGGATTCAATGGTATATGTACAGTGGTTCCCCGTATAATTTCAACGTCAAAGGGGGTCTAAATGTCATCCGAGTCCAGCTCTTCTGTGGTGGTGGCACGGAGCTGAACCTCAAGCCAATGATGTATTACCGAGTTTACTTTCCAGCATTAATGATCGTTTCAGTCGCCCAATTAGGGAAATCTGCACCGGCGATCGGCGATTTTGAGTGGCAGAAGCTTTACACTCTACCCGCACTACATATTACCGCTTTTCTAAAGTACTGGTCATTCGAAGCATTTAGGAAGCTGGCAAGTCTGCACTCTGGAGGCGCAACTGAATCGACATGCCTCTGCAGCTTCTTTGTGACTTATGCTAGAAGATGACTTGTATCAAACCTGTTGTCAACAAAATTTTCGTACAGTACTGCGTCCATGGATCGGACGCAGTACACCCTTTTTTATAAACAACAATAAACCAGTCGAACCATTCGCCCCGAGCCCAACCTCCACCGCTCAATTTTTTCTCGGAAGGCCTTCGCATGAAGAAGCCGAACGTTGACAGACAGGACAAAAGAGCTTCATAACTTGGCTAAGCATCATTGGGGGAGCAAGAGCCTAATTATCATGGCGCAAATAATGTATTAGATGCATCTTCAAGGTCGTAGAGGCAGCATAATGAAATCTCTATGAAAAAAGAAAAGCAAGGCGTCGTTTGGCAGCCATCATGGTACTAGTAGGCTCTTACGTTATATCGAACTGCCTTCTTCGAAGACGACGGTCTAACTCTCAGGTGATGCTGGTTTCCAGTGGCGTACCTTACTCTAAACATCTTTTGGAGTTATATCGCGCTTGTTAGCCTTGGAAAGACTGAGCGAGACTCTTCGGACTCGAGCGCCCCATCAAGATGTCAATGTTCTCACGGATTCTCTCATCAAAAATGTGTTTCATCCACCCAGAGTGTTTAACGCGTATCGAGGTTTTGAAAGGCCTGTGCCGCTAGATCGGCCATTAGGAATCTCGTACAGGCACAAGCTAATGGTGGAGCAGCTACTGTAGGTCCAGGCGACAAGGATCCAGATACTACTTAAAGGCTAATTTAAATGATGGATAAAGCTAATTCGTTCGCCAGTTTAGCAGTCAAGGAAATCTTCGAGCCTTATCAAGTAGCCATGTTCTTTGAGCGCATGCAGCAGTTGCCCAAACTACATGCCTTTGTCCCGCGGGCAGTGATCATGAACATATTGGCTGTTGTATTTTCCTTCGATTTAACTTATCGCTGTAGACGTAGACAGGAAGGTTTTATTATTAATGAATACGACGGTGTGAACACTGCGTCCTAAGGGACATACTTGCTCGCGTCAGATTTAAATTGTATCGATATTCTGTCTTGCAAGTAAAACTATAGAAGGTGGGTCACAATATTGTCCGGCATGACTTATTTCATCAGGTACTGAGCATACATCGAAGTATGTTGAAGGAAAAGTCATCTTTTCGTTCGGAGCAAAATGGAAAAGACTGGGTGAGCTATCTAGACCACTCGATTGGCTCCAACTCTAGGACACGGTAACAGCAGCAGTAGCAGTAGAAGAAGATGGCAATGATCAATGTATTTGACTTTAGCATGAGAGTATCATAGAAGAAAAAGGAACATGGGCGCAGACACCGAATAAAGGAGAATTAATGTCATTAGAAGAAAATGATGCTTTTACCGGTCCGGTGTTCCGCATACATATTATGCAAAAAGACACACAGACCACATAACTTACGTAGCAAGTCGTCACTCTTAGCATCTATGTGACAGAAGCCAACAATATGTAGTGTTATTATACCAACCTGATGCGTCTTTGAAACCGATTGTTTCTGCTTAAGAAAATGTGCCGTATGTAATAGAAAAAGCAGAGGTTGAGATCTAGAAAAAGATTTAACGCGCGAAGGTGCGTATGAGTTCTTATCTTCAACAGGCGCGTGATTGTGCTATCTGTAAATGTGTCAAGGCTTTGTAATATCTATATAAAATCATTGAACAAATACAGATTTTGTAGCGTATAAGTTACCAACACGACCGTTACATTATCATGTTTAGAACAAGCTGAACAAATGTGTTCATCAGGCAATTATACACAGAATACCGCATATTGTAGCACTTGCGGAGTACAATGCCAGCCGCCAGACTTTAGGTCCCTGCCAACAGCTCCTTTCTCTACTAGAGATCATTAATTTTTTTACCCGCGATCTCAAAGCCATGAGTGTGTTCCCAAAAGAAACAATCAAGGTACCTGCTTTTTATCACATTTGAAGCAACAAACAGTGCTAGAGCTCACATGCCAATACGTATGTACATAGAACATTGGCGAATCACTTGGCATTACCAATCTAAAAGATGAAGTAGCGACTGCCCTTGCCCAAGATGTCGAATACCGAGTACACGAACTGATTCAAGTAAACTATTGTTCACACAACAAAAGCACAGCATAACAGTAATAAATAACTTTTCCGGGGTCGATTTTAAGACTGATTGGTGTGAACATTGTGTTTTTTTTTTCTAGGAAGCAACCAAATTTATGCGCCATTCAAAACGATCTAAACTTACTGTTGACGATATTAATTCAGCACTTCGTCTAAAAAACGTAGAGGTACTATTCACAACTTTAATCTTCTGTACAGCTGTGCAATCGCAAAAGAGGGTGGACATGCCGTGTACTAAAGAAAGAAAAAAAATGTGTAGCCCTTATACGGATACGCATGCAGTGATGCCCCCAAATTCAGAAAAACGACTGTCAACACAAACGATATCTATTTCGCAGAAGATAACGAGGTCGACTTTGATACAATACTGAGTAAACCATTACCCAAGATTCCGTTGGATGTAGCATTTACAGCACATTGGCTCGCGATTGAGGGTGTTCAACCTGCTATTCCACAAAACCCAACTCCAGGAGGTAAAGAAAAAGAAAAATACAGCAAGGAAGAAGAAGACAATACATATCTCTCTGTACGTGTACTTACAACAGAATGATATTACCATGCAGACGCCAAAGCAGACATATTATCAAAACGAACGAGCAAGGGCCATGGTGGTAGCATATCAGATCAAGTTGATGTTAAACCACTCGTCAAACACGTTCTGTCAAAGGAACTACAAATGTATTTTGAACGTATCACAGAAGCTGTTTTAAGCGACGACGAACGATTACGATCACAGGCGTTTGAGAGTTTACGCATGGATCCAGGCTTGCATCAGCTGTTGCCTTACTTCGTACAACATATCCACAAGAAAATATCACAAAATCACAAGGATCTGGATATCCTGAGCGCCATGTTGTCCATGGCCCATTCGCTTTTAAACAACAAACATCTTTTCGTCGAACCCTATGTAAGCTTACAGAATATGCGATGTTTAGACAATGAGATGATAAGGATATGCATGTGTTTGATATGGAACATGACATTAGCTAAACCGTTCTTGTTTAGCTACATCAATTGATCCCTTCCATCTTGACATGTCTTGTCGGCCGCACGATCTGCGAAAACCCTATGCAACAAGATCATTGGACTGTAAGACAACGCGCAGCCGCTCTTATTGCCAGTATCTGCGGGGAATATGGCAAAGCGTATCATACATTACAGCCACGTATTACAAAGACGTTATTACGAGCATTCATGGATCCGGCACGACCGCTTACAACACAATACGGTGCAATTGTTGGCTTGGAACATTTGGGTGTTGAAGTAACCCGGGTGTTGATTGTGCCCAATATCAAGTTTTACAGCGATTGTTGCCTTGCAAATGCTTTGGAGGGCAGCAGCATACAACGGAAACAGGAGGGTGAAAAGTGTCAAGAAGCTCTGGTGGTAAATAATCACAGCTACTCTATTTCTTTCTGTGTATATGCTCAACAACTCATTCCAAACTCCCTCTCTCCTGTAGTTTGTACTGGAACATGTGGCACAAGATGCAGCAGACGAAAATGAAGAATCACAAGAAGTTGCCAGCGAAGACGACAAGCAAAAATTCCTCAGCGTGATTGGATCGATCGTAGGAGACGAGTTCTTGACACGAAACCAAAACATTAAAAAAGTAGCATTGCAAAATATCATGGATGCAGCACATTAAAGAATGGTACATAAAGAAGTGTTTTTCAACGGAAAAAAAATAAAATTAAACTGAAAGTTATGATGACATTAATAAGAAAAAAATTATGATTTTTGAGCATGCAAAGTATAATCTACAATGTAAGATTGGGTGATAAAGTCGTCTAGACGCTGGAAATGACGGTCCGTGTACGGTAATAATCCATCAATTATCTACAACAACATAACAGACAAGATGAGTTAACAGGCTCCGGATATTTTAAAAAGCAACATTACCTCTTTAGCATTGGCGAGTTCTACAATTTCTTCTGAGCTATGCGTTGACAGGATCCCGTTCAAGATCGTCTGTGCGACATGAGCATGTTTAGCATTCGTGTTCCAATCCCGGATATAGCCCAGCAGTTTCTCTAAATTCTGCGTGCCCATCTCTGCCAGAATGGTGTCTACGGCTGTGCTTCCAGTAATACTGCCCGGTTGGCTATTTTCTTCCATGACTGTCTTAAACAATGCCAACAGTCGGTAAGGCTGTTCGAGTGACAGGGCCAATAAGATGGCATTCAGATAATCCTTTTTGTGCATAAAGTTTTGTAATTCTTGTTCCCTGTAAAGATAGTTTCAGAACAGTCAATTTTTTTTAGGCAACAGAACAATTTCCTCTGTTGTACTTACTTTATGATAAAGTCTTCTTTCTCCTTTAGCTCTTGCTCTTGTTCTTCACGAGTGACATCCTCCCAGAAATTCACAACTGAATCAGCACCCGCTGAAGCAATGTATCTTTGATCCTTGCGCACAGCCAGCGCCCATACTTTTTCCGTATGATTATCCATTGTGGTCTCGCACTCATTTGTCTTGATCGTCCACACCTTAAGCAATCCATCCGAGCCACTGGACACCAACTGCATACCCGCGGTCAAGAAGTCGACACGCAACACCGAGTTGGTATGGCCTTCGAATGTTTTGATACATGTGAAATTACGGACGTTCCACAACTTGACCGTCTTGTCACCTGAACTGGTCGCAATGACTTGATCTACGGGCGAGAACTGAACACTCCACACACCACGCTTGTGGCCTTTGCATGTACCCAATAGTTCGCCCGAATCCACGCTCCACATCTTGACCAGTTTGTCTTGCGAGCCTGTGGCGAAAACCTTGTCGTTGGGCGCAATGGCGATCGTGTTGATATCCTTGTCGTGGGCTTGATGCGTATACAGTGCACGAGGCTTGTCGTTTTTCTTCAGGTCTTGCAAATGCCAGTATTTTACTGTACGGTCTTGACCACCAGTCAACAAGAAATTCGTGGATTTGTTGGGTAATGCGACAGCTCCAATGGCTTCTGTGTGGCCAACACATACGCCTATGCATTCATACTTGTATTTGTTGCTGTCTTGATCCAACTCCATCTTCCATAATCGTGCTGTTCGATCCTTAGCGCCAGTAACGAAAAGCGTACCATCGACCCGTGATCGGTCGACGCAAATGATCATGTCTTGATGTCCATAGAGCAGTTCACAATCTTGTGTTTCAACGTTGTATACGCGAAGAACCTGGCTGTTAGTTACTGCACCCAAATGGGTTTCGTCAGGGCCGAGGTATGCAATGTCGACAATTTGGTCGTTGTAGCCGACGATTTGCTTGATGCGATCAAGTTGCTGAGGGATAGAATAGATGAGGACGTTTTGGTCGTTGGTGACTGCAGCGAGAAGTTGTGATTTTGGTGAATAACTATTGTTATAAATTCACGTTAGTTACTATTCTCTCTCCCCGGTCTTGCTCGTACACAATATTTTAGGAGGTCTTACATGACATCAGTAATGGTATGTTTGCTGTTTTCTTCCTTTTCTTGTGCCTGAACAAGTTGGCCCGTCTTGAGATCCCATATCCGTACAAGACCACCGTCACCGCCCGTATAAAACAGTTCTTCATTTTGCCATCGTTCATCGTAAGCAGACAAATCTGTGCTGGTCGCAATAAATCCAACGGTTTCTAACGTCTCATAAATAGGATAGGTCGTTTTCAATTGCTTTGATTGCCAATCCCATACGTTCACAACTTTATCACGCGAGCCTGAGATCAAGGTTCGACCGTCTGCGGAGAAATCCAATCCTCGGATCACACTGACATGGCTCTGTAATACACCAATGCATCTATAGAAAAATGTCAGTTATCGTAGTTTATACGCAATCGTTATAACAAAAAAATATTACTTTTTGGTTTGAAGGTTCCAAATACGAATTTCACAATCATCTGCACCAGAAGCCAGGTACCATTGACCGTTCATGTAATGAAACTTGACTGCCGAGACAACGCCGCGATGACCATTGAACACGTGTGTACAGAACCCACGATCAATATCCCATACTTTGACAACACCATCGGCACCACCAGTGGCAACCAATGTGGATGAATGATCGATATCCATCACAATCACTGGCGCTTCATGTGCTTTGGTTGTACGTATGCATTGTCCCGTCTGTAAATCCCATATGCGCATTTGAAGACTTCGACTCGCTGATACCAAGTGTTTGCTGTCCGGTTTAACTGCCATGGTCGTAACAATTTCAGTATCCTAATACCCCCCAAAAAAACGGACGCGATCGAACGATCGATCGAAGTGTGCGCGTGTTGTTATTATTAATATTCTTAAAGGCAAATTTGCACGAGTAGGAAAAAAGAACTTACGCCTTCTAGACGATGCACTTGTTTGCCCGTAGACAATTCCGTCACTACGATATCTTCATTGAGTGTAGTAATTAACAGTGATTCATCGTTCGTGACAAGGACTTTGCCACCAGTATAGATCGAATCGATCGTTTTGACCGATTTGAAGCTGTCACAATTTAATTTAAAAGGAACATTAATCGGGCCTTTCTTTTACTTTGGTGGTTACACTAATGCAAGGTGTGTTAACTTTTTGTCTTACCTTGATTTCAACAAAAGTTTTGAGTTGGTCGTCTTAACTTGGTCGACATCCATGGCACAAAGATAATGGAGCAGTTATGTGGTCAATTTTTATTTTTTACGCTCCTGGAGAAAAAATTAAGGTTGCACAAGAAAATGCAAAGCTGGTTGCTGGGTATGTGCTTATGAGGCGAGAGAGAGAGAGAGGGAGGGAGAAATGGGCCAAAAATGGGAAACCCAAGCCACAAAAGCTGACAGGAAATATATGATCCTCCTACAACGTCACTGCCAAAGTGCCAACCAGAAAGTTACACAAGATCAATGCAGGCTTTTTGCTATTGCCATACATCATCACCGCATCGTCACTGACGACGACAATGACGAGGTTCAAAAGGAGGAGTCTTTTGCTATGACGACAATATGATGAGACTGCTGCCATGATAGATAATAGAAATCGTGCCTTTTTAAAGCACAGTAGCGAAATTCGGAGATTGTCACTAGAAGTAGGTAGAAAAGAATGACAAGGGGTTCACTACCTACCCCAATCAAGTAGGGTATGTTGTAGGCCGGGGACATAAAAAAAACCTAGAAAGATCCATGCTAATGATTGTTAGGCAATAAGACTTGCATCCCTTTCTCAGAAACTTGTTTCTTTTATTTTTCTTCTTTTTATATATCATTACTTGTGTGTTTCACGTAACCTCAAACCCACAACCAAGAGACTGACCAAATGGTTCACCATCCAAGCTCGCCAACACACATCAACACAAATCAACTCAACGCACTGTTGGAACAACAAGGTGACCGGCCTGTTCCACTGGAGGGCAAAAAGATCATCAATGTCGTCCACCATATCCCATACACTTGCATCCTGAACAACCGTCGACGCTTGTCCGTGATGGAGCAACTGCGTGCCCAAGGAACACTTAATCCTGGCACTGGCAGTAGTGGTTCTGGTCGTCGTCGCGAAAGTTTTGTCATGGCCAACACCAGCAGCAACAACAACAACAACAACAATCTGGACGCAGCCCCGATTTCACAGTTGGCCAAACGTCGATCCACAGTCGCTTCTTTAGGCCAAACGGAACAATGGGAACTCTCACAACGCCGTGGTCATTCTGCCATGTATGCCGGCATCGAGTCATTGAACAACGACTATCGTACACTCTACATTGGTGCTACGGGAAATGTCTACTGTCAAATGACCAAGGACATGGTGTCCGCCGATACTATCAATCAAGATGAACGCGACAGTCTTAAGGAAATGCTTCAGTCCAAGTACAACATGGTCCCCATTTTTGTCCCCGATAAGATCGGATATGGCCATTATGAAGGCTATTGTAAGCAGGTGCTCTGGCCGCTTTTGCATTATGTCATGTGGAACGAAACTGTTGATGAAAAGAGCTATTGGGAGGACTATGTTGCTGTGAATCGCATATTTGCGGAAGAAGTTGCCAAGCATTATGAAGACGGTGACCTTGGTACGTTTGCTGGAGAGAGAGAGAGTGATATATGGGCATACAGTAACTGACCGTGAGAAAATATAGTCAGCATACACGACTACCATCTGTTACTTGTACCTCGCATGCTGCGCGAAATGCTGCCAGATGCACGCATCGGCATATTTATCCACACGCCTTTCGTCAGTTCGGAGATTTTCCGTTGCTTGCCAAGTGAGTTGTTGTAAGCTTGTTTGCTTGGGCCCCGCGACAACTAAATAAAGAATTGTGAATAGGACGCAAGGATATCCTCTTGGGCATGCTTGGATCCAACCTGGTGTCCTTCCAAACATACAACTACGCACGTCACTTTTCATCCAATTGCACCCGGATACTGGGGTACGAATATACCCCTGCAGGCATTGATGCGAACGGGTCCATGGTCTGCCTCGGCGTGCATCCCATCGGCATCGACGTGCAACGCGTACGCGAGCACTGCCACCGACAGGGAGTGCAGCCCAAGATGGAAGCCATGAAAGCCAAGTACGGGGACAAGAAAATCATTGTAGGCCGAGACAAACTGGATCCGGTCAAAGGCGTGTTACAGAAACTCGACTCCTTTGAACAATTTCTTAAAATGTTTCCTGAATGGCGCGATCGTTGTGTCCTTATCCAAGTTACATCGCCAGGCGTCATTGAATCGCCCAAATTGGAAGCCAAGGCCATCGAGATTGTGAATCGTATCAATGCCGAATATGGCTCGCTCGAGTTCTCGCCCGTGAGTTACTTCCACCAGCATATTGACCGTGATGAGTATTATGCGCTGCTGTGTGTGGCCGATGCCATGTTGGTGACGCCGACGTCGGATGGCATGAACACGACGAGCTTGGAGTTTGTTGTGGCGCAGGAGGAGACGAACAAGAGTCCGTTGGTGCTATCCGAATTTACCGGGACGGCTGGGTCCCTGTCGGCTGCAGAGATCGTCAACCCGTGGGATTATGCACAGGTTGCCGATGCATTGTACACGTGCTTGGCCATGTCAGATGAAGAAAAGCAGCAACGCTTCAAGGTAAGGCTGATATCTGGTTGTGAATTGTGTGACATGCATCACTAGAAAAAGAGTGTTGTTTATGTAATATGTGCAAACAATAACAATAACAATAACAACAACAACAGCAAACGGGCGATATGGTGAATCGCCACACCGCATCCTACTGGGCCCATGCACTTGTCCAAGACCTGGTAGCCAGCGCAGCCAAAGAAAGCCATTGGGGTCCTACGCCAGCACTAGACGTAGGCCGTCTTCAGATTGAGTACAACGAGTCGCGCAAACGGCTGCTATTCTTTGACTACGATGTAAGTTTCCCTTGAACTCTAATTTGCACTGCGCTCTCATGTAAACTTTAATTTTGTTGTTACCCAACAACGCGAAACTAACTCTAAACAAACGTGGGTTGAATGATAGGGCACTCTGACACCAATCTGCGACAAACCGGACGATGCCAAGCCATCGTCTCAAACATTAAGTACTTTGGAGCGTCTCGCTGCCGATCCACACAACGTTGTGATGGTCGTGTCCGGCCGTGATCAAGAAACACTCGAGAAATGGCTAGGCCACATTCCGAACCTAGGCCTCTCTGGCGAGCACGGCTGTTTCATCCGCGACCCAGGTCGATCGACAACTATGTCGATGCTCGACCAAGTCGACATGAGCTGGAAAGACGACGTGATGGAAGTATTCAAGTACTACACCGAACGCACACCCGGCTCGTTCGTCGAAAACAAACGGTGTGCGCTCACATGGCATTATCGCACGGCCGATCCGAAATTTGGCGCGTTCCAAGCCAAAGAATGCCAGAACCATCTGGAGCAATCGATCATTTCCAAACTGCCCGTCGAGATATTGGTCGGTAAAAAGACACTGGAGGTCAGGCCCACGTGTATCAACAAGGGCGAGGTGATCAAACGCGGCTTGGCGAACCATCCAGATGCGACGTTCTTGTTGTGTGCCGGCGACGATAAGACGGACGAAGACATGTTCCGTGTGCTGGCACAGATGAAGAGCAAAGGATTGGGACAGCTTGTGTTTACGGTTATGATTGGTCCGCCTGAGAAACATACGGTGGCCATTTGGCATGTCGAGTCGAGTCAAGAATTTAATCGGATTCTGGCGTCCATTTCCTCATAATCAAGCGTCTCCTTGTAGTATCGAGTATATATCAAAGATGTATATAATTGTGTCATTGAAAAAGTCTGCTGCTTACTATTTTAATTATGAAAAAAAGAAGGACATATCTTTGTAAAGAAAGGTAGAAAATGGACGCTATATACACATAAGAAGAATTAAGCTGTATGGAAGAGAAAACGATGCAAATGGCTGAGAAGAGGAGATGGTATCATCAGAAACGATATGAAAAACGAATGAAGAAGAAAACGAAGGAAGGATGAAAATGATGGGGGGGTTAGTGGGGGCAGTAGTATGTAGTAAATGATAAGGAAAGCTTTGAGTAGTGTGAGATAAAACACAATTCATGGGTGCACAGGGCAATGTTCTACAATCACAAATCTGATTAGCAACAGCCTTGTGCAGCGCAGAAATAGAGAATGCATACTTGTCATGTGGAACTGCGAGCCACACACTGCACAAATCCTGGCTGCATTGGGTTGCTTGATGATAGGCTGATGATGATGGTGGCTGCCTTGTTGCTGTCGATTGCTGATAGTGCTGCTGTTAGTGCGATAAAGGACTGGAAGGTTTATGTGATGGTGGCGGTGGCTGCTGTAGTGAACAAACATCCTTAGACTAATTGTGAAGCAGGGTTGCTGTTGAGTGGACGCGGGAATTGATGGAGAGAGGGGAAGGGAGATGGATGTCAGGTTTGTTACTACTACGTCACTGCCAGCACAACAAGTGGAGAAAAAGAAGAAGAGAAAGGGAGTATATATATGATATAGCGAGTAAGAAGAAGAAGACCCTTTCTTTTAACCGCGCTAGATGGTGGTATTCAGTGTAAGCGTGCCGACATTTCCGAAAGTGACGGGTGCAGCAGCTCTTTTTATACGCTCGGGTGTGCTGCTGGGGCAAATAAAGGGGTTTTTGTTTTTTGCGCTCAAAAGAACGAAAAAAGAAAGCTTATCGAGAAAAAAGGACGCTGGGGCCACACACACACACTCTCCTTCCTTTCTCTTGTTCTTAGTTCTTCTTCCCTATCAACAACAACAACAACAACAACAACAACATGCAGTTTTATTGTTGTTTTTCTGCTGTTTATTGTATAAAAAGAAAGTAGATAGAATTTATGTTGGGTATTGTTATTTCTTGTTGATGTTACATGAGCTTCCATTGCGTTTGCTCGATCTTTTCCTTGCACGAGTAATGTACAACGACGCCACTAGGAAATACGGCAAATACACTAGGTTTCAACATATCAGTAATATTATCCATAGCATTTGATCCAAACTGATAAGCAAAAAGGAAGGTCGGTGACAGCTTTACCTGTTTCCAATCCGCTTGTTGCACTGCGGACACATCCGATCTTCAGTGATTTTGACAGCTCGCGACTGATAGTACATCAACTGCTCTTCCACCTAACGTAACCAGAGAAGAAAATTTAGTTTTCGACCGTTCAACGCACACGTGCACGTGACACTGATAAGCTTCTTAACCTTACCTGAATTTGCTCGGCCTTGAGTAGATTCTTGACAACCACATCCATGTGGCTTTCCTTGTTTGTCGCCCGAATATACTTTTCAAAGAACGGAAACAGGCCATGCAACTTTGTTGCCAGGGGTAGTATGGCCAGCACCTCAGAGGCGTTGATATGGGAACCATGGTGAGCCAGTAGATCCAAGGCCGGTTCCAGCAGGGGCTTCTCGTGATGCCGTGGTTGGAGATAAACGCGTAGTAGAGTCAGGTACATTTTTTCGCCCTTGTCTGGGTCCTCTTGATAAACCTTTGTACAATATCTTTACAATAGTAGTAGTAAATCGTAGTACTTGGTTATAAACTTTGATAAGCAGTTATAAGCTCACCCAAAAGAAAAAAAAAAGAAATTGACTTTTACTCTTCAGCCATTGTATAGTTCTTGAGCTTGTATACGTAGATATCAAGCGCTTGGTCATGTTGTCCAATGCGAGAAAGCAATATTGCACGTTCCTCGAACAAATCTATGATAAAATGGCATTTTAGTTTCAGTCCTTAATATAAAGCGATGTGCCTTAAAATAACAAGCATACCATCCATTGGTAAGCGGAACAATATTTTTTCCGCTCGGTAATGCGTCGACTCGATCAAAAACGATAGCAACTTGGACCGTAGCGCCTGTCGTTCGGCATTGTCTAAATAGGCAAGTTTTTCCCGGGTTTACCATAACACACATCCATGTGCCCAATAAGTATAAGCCAGCAACTTAGCATACAAACAAATAACAAACATCCGAAATTTATTATTCCGTAGAAAGAAAAAAGCCTCCTCCTCTTTTTTTTTTACTTTACCTGTTGCTTCCCCATGGGCGATGCTCATAATCTTGTCCAGATATGCGATAGCAAGCCGGTTATGGAAATCCGGTGATGTGTCGCGTAGTTCATGGATAATGTACTCGAGATACTGGATCGCCAAATCGCCCGATATGGATTCTAAATGGCGCAGGACCTTGTCGCGTGGAAATGTCTCTACTTCGGCCAAGTCATCGATAAAAATCTTGAAAAAAATAAAATAAATAGTTAAAAACGTCCAGTAAGTCTTCATTCTTCCAGACCATTGAACAGTTCCCACATTGTAGCAGCCTCTGTGGTCCGGAACAAATTATGTAAGAGACCTACATCCATGCCATGAACAGGATCCTTTTCCAAAACCCATCGTGAGTATTGCAAGACTAGGTCAAATTGGTCCAGTCCCAGTCGCTGGAGATATCGGATTGTCGGAAGTACACCGCGAAGTGGGCCCTCGGTCTGCTGTCCTAATCTATATACCATATTTTTAGATAAGCCCAGGGTGTGTTGCTGATACTATATATGCATGTCAGATATTTTATACCTTGCCAACAGATCAAGTGCGTTCCCATGAAGACCTTTGCAGTTGTACAGATCGACGAGCTCCTTGTATTTCTAAGATTCCATCCATCGTTTTCAATTAGTTAGCAGTGGTTGTTTTTTGTAATTTAAAACAAAAAGCTTCCGACACGTGGGGGCAAGGGCCCCTTGCCTCTCCTTGGACAAGATTTTATCTGTACCTTTTTATCCGACAAGATCGTCTCGCATTCTTGTACATCACAGTGGTTTTGCACACGTAACAAGGGACCCACCAAGGCATCATTTGTCATCATGTACGACTTGAGCAGCGCCGTGTCCACCAATGATGCCTGCCGTAACCATTCTCCTTCTTGTCCACTTGTCGCTGCTGCTCCGTCTTCCTTATTGGGCGTTTCAGTAGTCGTTGTTGATGATGGCCGTGACGATTGCGGGGACGACGACCCATCACCACCACCATTGGATGAAGATGATGACGAAGATAACTTTTTCGACAACCTTTGTCGCTTATCGGTCAAGAACCGGATCAGATACGTGACCGCATCGTGTAAATTCAAACCTGTCAACGGCACTATGCTCTTTCCTCCCTTATCAGCTCCTGTCGCTGTCGTGGTTGTTGTTGTTTTACTGCGCGACGATATAATACTAGCAGGTCGACTTGTCTGTTGCTGCTGCTGCTGCTGCTGCAATGTGGATGATGTTGAATCATCTTCTTCCTTCTTCTTGCTCCGTAGAATAGGCGATGACAATAATTCTTCCTCAATGTCTTGCTCTGGGGGCTGGCTCGCCAAACTGCCCGAAATCATCTCTGGGTACAGCCGAATCACATCGGCTGGGTCCGTATCCAGTTCTTGGAATATGCTCAGTGCAGTGTCGTATTCGCCATGTCGGAACAGATCGTGTGCATACAAGGTTCGGATCAACCGCAGCTTTTCTTTTTTGTTTTCTACCAATACGGCGTCGATTTGGTCAAGTAAACTGACGGCTTCTTGGTACTCATGTTTCTCGACCAATTGATCAATCTAACGTGATAGGAAAAGAATACATGTTCAATATACATAGAAATTGTGTTTGTCCGCGCTGGCTTTTAGAAGTGTACCTGAGTTGAGAAACTATAAGGCGTCAGACGCCATATTTGAGATGTGCTGGCAACATAGACGAGCTTGCCCTGGTTCAAGAACCTTGCACTGGATAATTCGATCTGTTGGACCAGGGCAAGGCTTTGGATGTTGCGTACTTCGACATGTTTCGGTAGAATTGCAATCACATAGGGATACGAATAGCCTACTCACACACCTGTTGATGAGCCTTCAATCTTTCTCGCTCTCTTTCTCTTTCTCTCTTATATACCATCCTACCCATTTGTTCCGGTGCGCCAGACCATTCGATACCCACTTTTCGCGTTGGTGTGCCGTCCAATCCCAAAAAGATGCTTACATCTACAATTCACAAGGTTCAATAATCAGCACTATACACTTGCACCGATTCAGAGAAAAACTTACGATCGCGTGCCAGCAGCATCTCGTTATTGGGGATCTTGGTGACCATGGGCTTGCCTCCTCTGGATCCAATCGACATTGTATTATACAAACTATTAAGCGTACTCATCGGTCCCTGTTCCGCTGGTCCAGAAGGAGCGAACAGTTCCGTCAACTTGTCTTGATCCACATCCATCAAAGCATATTCTGCCGCAAATCCCAGACAAATCTTGGTATTGCCCACCCACGCCATGGCTTTGATCCGATCTGGGATATTCAGTTCTTTGGTTTCGTGAAATTCGGTGTCTTTCCATACAAATACCAGCAGTTTCTTGCGGACGGCTACGGCGAGTCGTGTCGTCAAGACAGGGATTTGATGGTCGGCGGTCATTTCTACCATGGTTTGGATCGCAAATAGATTGGCACCCTTGGTTTTGCCAAGTACCATACGAAGCTCGAATGTTCGCAAGTCGTGTAAACTGACAAGGCCATCTAGTGTTGTTTTCCCGATTGATTGGTTTAGAAACTCTGTTCTTTTCTTCTAATATCATGTTGTTGTCGTAAGAGATAAAGTCAAGTATGTACCGGAAAGTGAGACAAGCACGTCGATTTCTTTAATTATATCCAGTTGCTCGATAGGTCGTTTGGAAAACTGTTTGATGGTATTGGCTAGTGTCACTTCGGGTATCTCGTTATCGTCCGCCACTAAAATAATACAAAATATATAGTTATTACATATGCCTTCTTTCCACTTGAATGCATGGTCTACCTAAAGGCTCTTTGATATCATATACAAGCAGCTGTCCGACGCCCGTGCCAATCAGCAATCGATCACCTAACAAATATATAAAAAACGTCACTCAATGCAGCACAAACACACCGGAAGCCCCATTCGAATAGAAAGACAAGTGTATTTATTTTATTGTTATTGCTGTTGTTTTACCATGAGCAAAGATGGACTCTATTCGGTTGACCTTGTCAACAACAGTAGTGACTTGGAATGCATCGTGCATTTTGGCTATATATATACAAGAAACCGTTAAAGCAAGTTAAGGGGGAGGGGAAAACGAAGCCCGAAACACGCTGTAACAGTAGACGCGAAACTCCGCAGATGATTTCAGTACTTTGCCCGTTGCTGGCTGGTCGGGTTCGTCGCCTTTTCCTGACAGTTTGGAAGGAACGCTTTATCGCTTTTTTATCTTTCACCATGGCTTATGTGATCAGCACACAGGTTACTCTGGATGATGGAAATGTAAAGCAAAGCTTATGAATGAGAAAAGAAGACGAGAGAGAGAGAGAGAGAGAGAGAGAGAGAGAAGGAAGAAAGCCATTTTTTTTTTTTTTACTGCTGCAGTAGTGTTGATGTTGTTGACATGTTGCCCGTCCGTTGGGATGGAGGTAGTAGTATGCTTTGCTGACCGATATACATTCTCGAGTCGCATGTCCCCAGTTTGTGCTCGTGCTGCATGTTATTTATTTCACGAGCGTTAGAAGATATGCAGTCCGTCTCTTTTTGGTGTGCAGCGTTTGCGTTGTTTACGCTCCACCATGTATCATGGAGACGAGAGGAGACGCAATGCCAAGTCTTGCCCTTTCTGGACACTACGCCACCATACCGAGACTTTTGGACAATGCAGAGCGAAGGCACTGATACGAAGGATGATGAAAGATCCGATGGGAATGGATCGTCGTTCGTTCGTTCGTTCGTTCGGTGATGAGCGTGTTGTGGCCGGGATCCAACCACTTGGTGTAACGTACCCACGATATAAAAAAAAAAGATCGTCGTCGGATAAAACAGAAATGATCGTTATGAAAAGGGCAAGGTCGCGATCAAAAAGCAGCAAGGACTGGTTACCGATACGAAAAACCAACTATAACAAAAACGAACAAACGGAAAAGATACTTCTTGTTCTCTCTCGTCTTTACAAAGGGGAGGAGTCACAACCCCTCTTCCTCTTCCTCTTCTTCTTCTTTCTCTTGAACAACATCAACAAAAAGCATATGATCTTCCACCCCACCCCCACCCCCCACCCCCGACCCCCAGCGAGCAGCAGCGAATGCTGTACTAACAGCTTGGATTTGACGTCAGCTCTTTTGGATATAAAAGTACCATGAGCCGCGCTGCAAAACTCTGCTGGTGTGAGTAAGGGAAGGGCGTGTCAAAAAAAAACTTTTCTTCTCTCTCTTTCTCTTTTCTCTCTCCATCACAACTCTTTCTCTATCGCTTCGTTGCATGTCTTATCACTGCTACTACTATGGCACATAACGTCTCTGCATTTTCACTTGGCTATCCTCCCGCATCCACCACTACCACGACAACACCATCACCTGCATCATCGTCCACTTCCTCTTCTTCCTCTTCTTCCTCTTCTTCCTCTTCTTCGTCGTCCTCAGCAGCAACTGCCACCGTGGATCATAATAACAGCAATCTGTTGGCACGGCGGCAACAACAACAACAACAACAGCAACAACAGCAACAGCAACACTTGGTTGCGGCTAACCATCATCAACACCCCGGTACTTCCGGGACGGGCAGCGGTGGCAGCGGCCCTGACCGATACCTCCTGAACCAACCCTCGTTACCGCCACTGTCGCAGCTGTTGACCACCAACGACCCCGCCAAGGCCGCCGTTGCCGCTGCTAATCAGGTCTTGTTGCAACAACATCAACAACAACAACAACAACAACAACAGCCTTCCCCTTATTATGACATGACAACGGCGGCACAGCAATTGGCAAACACATATAACAATGTCAATGACGCTGTTGCTGCTGCCGCTTCCGTCATGCCAATGACCTTGTTACCCGTGTCCTCTACAACCACCACTGCCACTGGTGTTGCTGGTACCGATGCTGGTACTGGTACTACTGCCGTTGCACCTACATCCAGTTATGCTGCTACACCAACAAGTACAAGTACAACTTCGATGCCTGCTGCTGCCCTGATGGATACCACCACTGCTGCTAGTGCGACAACGGACATGGTAGCAGCAGTTGCAGCAGCAGCGGCAGCCAATACAAGCACTCAGATGCATCATCATCATCAACAACAACAACAACATCATCATCAGCTGGATGCATTTGCTCCTGTTGCTCCTCCTCCTCCGCCTCCTCAACATAACCATCATCATCATCATCATCATCACCATCCTCATCTATCATCCTCATCGTCATCACCAACCTCAATAGCAGCAGTACACCATTATTACCAACAACAACAACAACAACAACAACAACAGCAGCAGTCTCTACAACCGGAACAGCAACAGCAGCAAAGACGTATTCGACACGAGTCAGAATCAAGCAGTTCATCAGATAAGGTGTATTCGTTCGTGGCCATCCCGGGCAATAACCAGAAAAAACGACCCAGAAGACGCTTCGATGAAATTGAACGCTTGTATCATTGCAACTGGCCCAACTGTACCAAGGCGTATGGAACGTTGAACCACTTGAATGCACATGTGAGCATGCAGAAACATGTAAGCCCTCTTTTTACTTTAACGCCCCCGTTTTCTCTCTCTCTCTCTGTGTTTTACGATGAGCCTCTCCTCGTGATATACAGCAACCTTTATTCTTCCATCACCACGAAAAACACCCTTGAAAAAAAAATAATATGATTACAAGAGAGAACTTGCAACTAATATATGTATGTGTATGTGTTTGTATGTAGGGTCCCAAACGCCATCCCGCCGAATTTAAGGAAATGCGCAAAGAGTGGCGTCGTCAGAAAAAGGAACGCGAGGGATCTACGAGTACCAAAAAACAACAGCTACAACAGGCATTGTCGTCTTCACTGTCAGTAACCAGTAGCAATAACTCGGATAGCAACGGATTTATGAGTACTACTGCCATGCCAACAACAACAACAACACCGCCAAATGCTTTTGTTGGCACTTCAGCGCAACAATTATCTTCTTCTTCTTCAAATGCTATTGCTACCGGAACGACTGTCCAGCAACGTTCCAGTGCACCAACAACTACTACTTCTACCACTACCACTACCATTAATAATCATAATCCTACTACTACTACTACTACAAGTACTGCTCCCATGAACTACCATCATCGGTCTGCTTATGATCCACAGTACCAATACCACCTACAATCTGTACCCGCCATGACCCTCGGCACCTTTTACTGAAAAACAACCATCGACCCCCCCCCTCATCCATCATCAAACTCTCGTATAACTGTGCGTATCATTATTGTTATTATTACTAGTAGTGTTGTTATTACCCCCATTCATCAGAGTCCATTCCATCCACCCTATTTACTACCATATATGAGGACGATTCCGAACGGACACACAAGAAAAAGTCCGCGCAAAAAAAAAAAAGACTCTCTCTTCACACCTTCCCCCTTTCAACTTTTGTACATTTAGCCTTCTCTCTTATCTTTTTCTTTAACAAAATTCACAACTTTCTATCTGTTCAACTCTCTGTTTTCGAACTCTACTTTGAATTGCCATATCTACGTGCGTGACTAATCCAGTTTTGTGTCGTCGTGCTTGTTTTGCTTGTGTGACAATGACAAGGTTTATTGGGGGGGAGGGAGGGAGATCCCAAAGAGAAAGGAGAGAGAGAGAGTGTGTGTGTTGTGTGTGTGTGCACCGCGCCATGTTTGTGGAAGGTGCGCGGTCTTTGTGTGACACATACCCGCGCACTTTCTCTCTTTTTCTCTCTCTCTGTTACTGTATTACAACAAATCGGATTATCGTTCTTTTCACTGTATGAAACGCCGATCCTTTTTGCGTTTTCGGAAAAGTCGTAGAGACGTTCCGTTTCGTAAAAAGATAGATTCTGCAAAGCAGTTACTCATCAATAGCAGTAGAGGTGGTGGTGGCAAATGTGACCTTAGTGCCATGTCCGTGTCATGCATGCCCTTACCTTTATTCACTTCTTTATCTTACTTTACTATCTTGGACTTCGTGCATCCCCAAATACCTCTCCTTCCACAACTGTGCCACCCGTACCGTTATATGAATACTATCGTCACTCCATGGAACGTCGATCTTCAAACAGATACCTCCATTTCTCATCCTACGTTCAAATACGAGCAAGAAGCTTCCGTGCGATATGATAGAGAATAGTATAAGAATCAATCATTACTCACAACTCTAACCAGAAAGGCTCGTGTTTTGGTGACAATCTTTAATAATTTTCCCGTTTTTGCCTTGTTTCTGTCGTACACGCTCTCCCTTTTGCATTACAATCGCTCTGTACCGACAAGTCTTGTGAGTAGCACGAAATTAAGATCTCCCTCCCTCCCTTTCTCTCTGTGAGAATTGCCTTTTTCGAGAGTCAACCTATTGCTGTTCCCATATGCGCTTATATATCAACATACACAAGCAAGCACCTGCATTCAAACATAGTAGTAGTCGAACAGTGTGCGATGTGTATAATATAAAATAGGCCATGAAGAACGGTCATCATCTTGTGTTATCAACCATTTGAATATCGCAACAAGAGCTGCTGTCAACGACTAGAACATCATCGGTATCAAGGAGTTATTACAGAAAGTACATTTTTAAACTGGAGAGATACATAGGCCAAGGTATCGCTGTATTCTATTTCAAATAGCACGACAAACATGTAGTAGAGAGAGATGACGACGGTGGATCCAGGTATCAATAGAAAGCTTTACCTGTAGCTTGAATCATAAGATGGTCAGGTGATAACCAGCAACGTTGATTAGTTACATTTCTTATTACTGTATGACTCCAACAGCATGTCACGATGAATATGGGCACAATACGGCTGCATCAATGCATAAATCATATAGGATGATGTGTGTGAACAGGAAAAAGTATACGGTCGTGTATGAACCACAGAGATAGACCTACTATAATGCACTACCTTTTGTTTATTGCTGTTACTAAATGTATTGTTATGCGGAGTGAGGAATGAATGATGGAATGAATGAATGCGTAGGCTAAGCAGTCGCTTGAAGCCGTTGCCGCAAACGCCGTCTCGGTTTCTTGTTGGGACCGTCCTCTTCACCATCCTCATCGTCTTCATCATCATCCTCATCATCATCATCATCACCATCATCATCATCATCATCTTGGCTCTGGCCATTGTTTATATTCGCCAAAGCTGCTCGACGTTTACGCGGCAATACAGGCTGTTCTTGATCTTCATCTTCTGTCCCATCATTGTGATACGCGCCGTCTAATTTACTCGATTGGCTGCTTTTGTTACTGTCGGACGTGTCGCTATTCCTATCACTAGAATCGCTACTATCGTCGTTATCCGACGAGTTTGACTTGTTGTTGCTGTTGCTATCGTCTCCTTGAGAACGATTCTTTTTTTTGTTCTTGTCGTCCTCGTCACTATCGTTACTACTAGTACTACTAGTACTGCTGTTGCTGCTGCTACTGTCACTGGAGCTCGTGTCGTTTCCGGCTTTTTGATCAAAGTTTTCCTTGCCATCGACATGATTATTATCATTAGAATCGTCCTCTTCACTGCTGTTGTCGTTGTCGCTGTCGTTGCTACTGCTATGCAAACTGTCAAATATATCCTTTCGTTTCGTACCAACAGACTGCGCATCACTGCTGTCACTATTATTGCTGCTGCTGCTGCTAGCGCCACTATTCGACTCGTCATCGTCTTCACTACTAGAGTCGTCGATAGAGATGCTGATACTAGAGTTGCTACTCGAGCTGCTACTGCTGCTACTACTATTCTCATTGTCGTCGCTGTCGTCTTCATCGCTACTGATAACGTGGAATGCGTGCGTCGTTCTAGGTCTACAAGCAACATACAAAATAGAGTGCGAGATATACGAAGAGGGTCAGTTTTTCATTGATAACTTCAATAGATATGGAGAAAAAGAAGGGAAACGTGCTTATTGTAAATTAATTAGAAAACTTCTTTACCGATCAGTCATGCTTATATCACTATCGCTCACATCATCTTCGCTACCACTGCTGTCGCTGCTATTATTACTGCTACTGCTATTACTCGTATCATCATCATCATCAGCTTCGGACACAATGAATCCACCCATTGTTTCATCTTCATCGCTGCCGCCGTCGTCATCTTCATCGCTTGAAGAAGATAAAGAATCGGAATTAGAAGTAAACGAAACACGGTTTTGTCTGGCTGCTTGTCGAAATTCAAGGTTACAGTTCACACAAATTCCATCTTCATCTAACTCCCAAGCACATGAAGGGCATCGATCACTATGTGTAAGCAAAAGGTATTAGAAGAAGAAGAATATTACACGCGGAATGTCTTTCAAATAAAAGAAAACAAAATAATTACACTCCATCCTCTTCATCGCGTATATAGCCACGGCTTGTTCTAGCGGGGAAAAGGCGATCCAAGAACTGCTCAAACTCTTGTACTGCGCGTCCTCGCTCTTCGACAGACGTACTTCCTTCTGATGGTGCCTGTAATCCAGTCGATGGAATCAACGCACGGATTGCATTTACTAAGAACAATAAACATATGGCGGGATGGGGAGGTGAAGGAGACCATTTTTCTCGTTAAACCATTTTTCCTTGCCAACAACTATGAGACCGTTTGTTTTTGGTTTTTTTCTTTAATTACCTTGAGTTTCAACAGTGTATGCAGGAACAGGGCGTGTGGCAATATCGCGACGACATCCAGGACATGACTTTTGTTGGCCGAACCATGCCCTGATACAGACTTTACAGAAAGTGTGACCTGAATAAAGTAATAGAAAGAAACCGGAAAACGCGTCCACGTTACTAAAAATTTAAAATCATTTCGCGTTTCAAATTATCGAGAATTCAGATTATTACACCTTACCACATTGAAGCGTGTAGGGTGACTCAAAATAGTCCACACAAATAGTGCAGCTGAACGCTATATATACATATGAAAGCTCAGTTAACAGCGAGCAAGTGTGTGTCGATTTAAGGGGGGAGGGATCGTTTTCAACAGTTTGACTCGAGATCTCCGTCCCACCAAAGTGGAGAAGGCAAAACTTACAGTCTTTGATTCGACGAGCTTGATCACTAGTCAATTCCAACGACTGTTGTTGTTGTTGTTGTTGTTGTTGATCTTGCGACTGCGGCTGCGGTTGTGCTTGTTCTTGCGTGAGATCAACAGCTGGAGAGCTATTACGACTGCTACCACGACTATCCGAAGCTTGTTGTTGTTGCGTTTGCGGTGTCAAAGTAGTAGTAATAGTAGTAGTAGTAGACTGAGCGTTTCGAGTCGAATCCTGAATTCCTTGACGCAATTCTTCTAGATTGGTAGTCAATAAGCGCACTTGTTCAAGAGCTGCGGCGACATTGTGGAGCAAGTTTGCCATTTGGGTTTGTTGAGAAAGGAAGGGCAATAGACGAGTATCTCAGAAGACGCGTTATTCGGGAAAGAAAGGAGGTGGTTACGTGCTGTGAGGTTTGCCTGGAGATAAAAGATTTAATCCTGCTGCGCATTTTCGACTACGCACTAAATTATGAAGGAACAAAGAGCATGTCAATAAATGCCATCTGCTTTCACTTCCACTACAGACTTAAACCCCCCACCCCCTTCTAGTCCGAGTAATCCTTTCGCACTGAATATCCGCACAAGCTAGCTCAAAGGCGCTTTTACAGAAAAAAAAAGAACACATTGCCAGAAAGCAGTCGTTCGAGATTGTATATGCTGTTTGTATTTGGCGGTAGTTATGGTAGGAGGAATGGGTGAAGAGGAGCGAGGCGGTATGTATAGTAATAAACTACTAATTTTTCGTCAATCACAGACACGTAATGTAAATGTGTTATCAGAGGGTTCTATTGCAACAACAAGCACTTAGTTTAAATGATTTACTCAGTAGAGCCGCTCTTATCAGGGAGTTTAGATAGCATAATACTAACTTTTTTTTCATTTAGATTGAAATAATATGTATATTGCTTGGGCTGGTTTACACTCCCGTACGGTAACTATGCATTCATAGACTTAGTAAAGCTGCAGCAATCCCTATACACTATATTTATACATGATTAGCCAACTTACCACTTGTATTCATGCATTATGCTGGCAACAAACGCTTCTAGATGGAAGATATGCTTTTGGCCTCTACGCATGCGGTGTTCCTATTTATCAACATATTACAATATTGAAAAAGAAAAGCAGTTATATTAATATAGCAGTTGCTAGATAGAAGACAGCGGCACAACAAGCGAGCTTACATGAAAAGCAGCCTTTTCAAAAACGATCCGTTTCATTTTGTCATCCATTGACTTGGCCAGCTCAAAGGATAAATTCTACAAGAGGCATCAAATCCGACGTTCAATGTCTTGATTCAAGAGGGCTACCCCTCTCCCGAGTGTACAATATGCCTTTTATATATATACGTACCTTCATGACTAAGCTTGGCTGGATGCAATGTGTGATGAGTTGGTAAAGATGAGTACGGATAGCAAGCAGTCTATTTAAAGTAATACTGTTAATTTCAGATCAAGATGCTATTTGTTCATTATATTCCTTACTTTGCTGGTGTCTGTTCCTCGATAATCATTTTTACAATTTTGCCGATTACAATTTCCCAATCTACTCTGTCGGGTTTCTGGACTTCATCCAAGTTTGACCTAAAAGATAAGGAGGGTAAGTATCTCCCAATCATATATTCCTCTCTCTCTCTCTTCTCGATCCATGAATCCGCAAGGAAATAACGCGCGTACCGTCGAACAGCTGTACTTTCCAATGCCAATAAAGATGCACGCAAATTGCATTGGGTATGATTTGCAATATTCAGTGCTAATTGAGGGGGTAATACAAACTTTTCTTGTTGTGCCACAGTTTGCAATGTTGTAGAAATCTAAAAAACAGCAGCTACATCAGTATACGTCTCCACGGCCAAAAAACAAACAACTTTATTGAATGATATACATACCTCGCGCTCAGAAGGTCGTGCTACGCGTATGAGCAAGCAACGAGATCGAATGGGCGCAATGATTTTGCTTAGGCTGTTACAGCAAAGGATAAGACGCATGGTGGATGTGTGTTTCTCCATCGTTCGACGAAGCGCAGCCTGAGCTTCACGCGTCAATTCATCCGCCTGATCAATGATCACCACTGTGTAAAATTACGTTAAAATGATTTCGCCAACCTGTATGTTCTTCTTGTTTCCCTCAACCCATACGCAGTACAATATGTATGCACGTATATACCTTTAAATTGATGCTTTGCGTTGGCGTCGATTTGTTTTGTTGATGCTATTCCTTTGATTACGTCCTGGACAATAACGCGATCGTACATTCCCAAATCGCTAAATAGGAAAAAGTGCGTGTCAAAGTTGTTGTATTTTTTCTTTCTGTCTTTTTTTCGTCGTCGCTATCATTACCTTGGATTGAGCTCCAAGTGATAATTACTTGAAACGATCGTAAACACCAGTTTTTTACGACTCGGCGTTGCAAATTGTCGTTCGTCCACTTTAAGCTGAATATATACAAGTACGCGTTAGATCTTCACTTTTTTGTTTTCTCGACGAAAAGCCAAAAGAACAAAACCTTTTCAACACCAGGCCCATAGATTTCACGAAGTATAGCAGCAACACGCGTCTTTTTACCGGCTCCGGAAGGACCATAAAAGAGCATGTGCGGTACGTTCTCGGACGCAGCCTAAATGTTGGTCATGATTTAGTATTTCCACAAAAAAAGTCGTTAAAGATGTTTATGTGGTCTTTAAAATTGATAAAAACTCTACCAGCTGCTTCAATTGTTGTGTTAGTCCTTTATGGTATGTTAATTGATCGAGTGTTGTCGGGCGGTATTTGTCAGTCCACAAGCTCATTTTTTGTATCGAACGAAAAAAAAGAAGACGCGATCCAAAGAGAACGCGCTGGCGCGCCAGCCCAACCTTTTTTTTTTTGCGTCTCCGACGTCAAAGTACTGCTATGTAGATTTTCCACAACGAAAGCTGTTGACTCAATGTACTTTCAGCACCCAAGTTTTATTTTCCTTCCGCATTGTTTGATTTTCATATTCACTCAACGTATTTCATCTGATATTAAGGGTAACTCTAGAAATGGCAAGGAGTTCCTTGATTTCTGTAATCAATACATACATTTCATGATATATGACATAGAGTTGTATTATATACAGTAGTAAATTAGTGCTAACTCAACCACATCAAGCTATCATATGATAGCAATTTTCTCGTCAATCGCATTTTGATACCTCCATCACACGTATAGAGATAGGTGATGCCAGAACACGACAGAATGGTAGTTATAGTAGCCGGTGATCACAATAATTGAAACATACATACTGTAGTACAAGGTTAAATAAAAGAACAATCATTGAAATCGACTACAAAGAAGTGCAACGGCCTTTAGCTCACTGCGACATGCTATCTATTGAGCTCAACCAGGTGGCTCAATTAAAAAGCTGGATTATCCAAAAGCATAATTTAGCTGATGACTCTCGAAGCACACTTCTATTCTCTATTAAAGTAATATCATATGTTTATTATGTCTTAAATACTAAACAAATTGATTGCAATAACGAGCGGTAGCCACTGCCGATCAATGATATTCATGTTTTTCCTTGATTCTCAAAGTCTCTAAGTCTTTAGGCGATCTATCTGTCATATCAATTTTATTAAAATCTACCGTAGCGTTCGAGCGTGGGTAGGGCTCTGCAGGTATAGGTCTGCCAAGGAACGGGCAAATTCTTTCCCAAGTAATGCCTTCTCGTAGGTCAAGCACCAGTAGTCGATCAGCTGATATGTTTTCGATTACCCAAGCATTGTGCGCCTCATAACGTGCTTTCATCTTTTCTGGGCTCTTCTTGAATTGTTCTGGATTTTGGAGCGGACCATCAGGCCAAATAGTTGTAGCCATACGATAGAAACGTCGCATGTAATCGGTGAGGTTTTCTTCTTTGAACTGCTCAACATAATTATCTAAGGTATTGGCCAGAGAGTTGTACCACGTGTCGGGATCCCGCTTTGTGAGGATGACCTTGGCATTAGGATAATATTCGATCAATCTATCAAGAAAAAACACTGTAGGACTAACAGAAATGACGGTGAGCACACACGATATATAGAACAGAACCAGCATAACACTGAGAATCTACCATACCTGTCTACTGCGGCACTATATCCTTTATAAATGGAGTCCCAATCCGCAGGCTTGTCAGGATGCTCGTATGCTTCTGTGAAGGCTTCAGGATGCCAGTCGATCCCAACCATCCCATGGACGTGGTGTGTGTTGTACCTTGATTTGAAAAATTCGTTGAATATAATGATACACGTAGCAGTGCTATGATGTGCAATAACCTGTCTAATGTTTGTTACCCTAAAATATCGAGAGCTTGTCTCAGACTATCAGTGCCGTTTCGAGACATGCCGGCTCCAATAACTTCAAGAGGCGCCATATTGTGTAAAAGATGTGTAGGATTTAGGAAAAGAGAGGAGAAAGAGAATTGGAAGGATTTAGTCAGTTTTGGGGAAATTATAGTTTGGCGCAAACAAAAGACATCATGTTGTGATCACGGAAATAGGAGTGATCGAAAGCTAAGCTACCAAACTTGCGCTCTTAAGTGGTAGGCACTGTGTAATACGCCAGGGTAGCCAAGACCTTTTCTAACACCTGCTGTGCGGACTTCTGACCGACGCATACATAATATAAATAAAAAATTGGCTCCTCCCGTTCAGCGTTGCTGTACTGCGCGACGTGGCGCCCCCTAAAAGTAATGATGCAGTGCCCGTACAATCTCCTGACGGTTTAAACGCATCATTTTTCTTGTTCAGTGTTCGCTCCGATTGTGCTACATCCATCCACAAGGCTTTATTCTTACCACGTATCAAAGAGACCACCTTACGTTATATGGCGCAACACTTGGTACTAGCCTACTATGCTACCCGGTTGACCTTGTGATGTGGGTCACACTGCTCCTTAGAATAACAGGATTCCGACTGAATCGTATCGAAAGAAGTTGATCCTAATTTTTCAGAAGCAACAACAAAGACGCACAGAGAACTTTGATGACTTAGACTCGAAAGCTACGCCTAAAAATGCGTTGTCAAATTATGCTTACTTACGCGGCTGCTCAACTAATTCTAATTTATACGGACGGGGAGCTACGCTCGGCCACATCAAATTATTATGTATCATAGAAAATTCCAAGTATTGCATGTGCATGCAAAAGTGTAAAAGTTTATGCACAGGATGAAAGGTTACTCATTATGTGGAACGGTGCCACTCCTTGTGTCGAAACGAACACAGCCTCGGGTCATGATCCAGCCCTTCGTTGCAAGCTTCATTACGTCATATCAGCGATTAAGCACATCTCCACTTCTAAATTTGTTCTTAACGCGAAACGCCACCAGTCATAATAAACTCTGACGCCACCAATACACGTGTAGGCTATTTAGTTTAGTGTACTTAATAATAGGCTTATCAGCCTTTTATTAAAAGGTATGCCATTAAGGTCTATTTACATGAGAAAAACAATAGCAAAAAAAAAGAGAAATAATAGTAATAATTGTAAACGAAAATAAACACCGTTGAAAATGTAGGGGTCGGTAGTTGGATCATTGTTTAGCATATGTGTATGGTTGGGAAGACACGTCGGGATTCTCCTGCTTTACAAACCCACACGCTTTCTATGCGCAATCAAATCCTTGATAGTGACCATTTTGATGCCATGCTTCTTGCCGAACGCAAAGCAATCGTCACGACGCGCCATTCCGCCAGTTAGATCATCCTCCTTGAGCAATTCGCCAATGCATGCGACAGGTGGGAGACCTGCCAATTTGCACAGATCAACGCCTGCTTCAGTATGACCAAAGCGTTCCAAAACGCCATTATCCACCGCACGCAATGGCAGAATATGACCAGGACGAGAGAAGTCCTCTGGCTTGCTCGTAGGATCGGCCAATTTTCGGGCTGTGGTTGCACGGTCATGAGCGGAAATACCAGTACTGGTATTATGGACATAATCGACCGAAACCGTGTATGCTGTTTTCATCAGCTCTGTGTTCTTTGGCACCATCAAGGGCAGCTGGAGTTCGTCCAGACGCTCTCCAGTCATTGGGACACAGATATATCCACTACAAAATCGACAGTAATACGATCAATATTTGAAAGTTTCTCGCTGTCCACACTTCTTCCCCTTCCCCACCCACACACACACGCACAGAAACTTCTCAATCTTACCTAGAGTACCGAATCAAGAAAGCCATTTGTTCCGTAGTGATTGCTTTACCAGCAATTATCAGATCGCCTTCGTTTTCTCGGTCTTCACTGTCCATGACAATGACAAACTTGTTTTCGGCTAATAGAAAAACCAGGGAATGTCAGCAAAACTCCCTTCCCCACAAAAACACAAAACAAAATTGGGCGATGCACGAGTACGAGACCGTGGCTTGCGATGCCATAAGGCTCGAGCATGACGACAAGTAAAAAAAGCTGATGTACTTGCCAAAATCTTTAAGGGCATCCTCGACCGAGTTAAATTCGTATTCTTCGCACTTTTGTGGCATATTAACCATGTCGTTCTTTTGTTTGACACGAAAGAAGGAAGAAAATGGAGCGGATGTCCTATTTGTCCGTTCTCCACGTCGCAACTTGAAAAATTCGATGCGAGATATGTCAGCATTGAATATTTTTACTAAGCAACCTGCATGTGAAAAGTCTAATGTGTGTATTACGGCGTTAACTTGATCCTGTCTCTTGGTAAAACATTTTTTTTTCTCAGTTATTTTCTGGTTCTCCTGGTGACCATCATGATGCTCTTACGACTGCTTTCTGCTTTGTCATTACTTTCTTATTAGCACCTAGTACATAAATGGGCGTGGGATCACATCAGAAATGGTGGCATCCTCTCTAAATAAGCATTTTGGTCCGTTGTCTATGCGTCTTCTCCTCCTTTATGACCTACCTAGGCCAATTCAGTTAACCTGCATGTTTATGCATAGCGGATGACGGAAGTTAGTGTGCGTGAAACAACGACGGTGAACGTTAATAACGAGGAAACACTTGAAAAACATGAATTATCTATACACACAATTACAACTTCCTACAAGTGCAGTTCTATGGGGATTTATGGGTACGTGTGTGTTGTCACAATATACACCAAAGCTGGTACCGCCGGTCGCCTTTACAGATGAGTAAATGATTATTTATAAGCTTGAGCGTATGTCTGTGTACAGCATCATGATAGACAGGAAGAGCCTCAATTTCCTCCTGTCCGCTTTTCAAGTATGCACATATCCACTCTTGATTCTGCAGCAAACCTAAATGTAAATTGAAATGTGTGGCAGTGACCCAAGAAAACGGTGGCTTTGTACCACCTACTATGAGGGGATAGTCGCCCCTCGGTTCTTTGACGCAGATCACACTCCAAACTGAGTCGTACCATCTCGTGTTGCTTTGAACGTAATAACGGTAAATGCTAGAATTGCAAGTTCGTTATCTCAAAACCATGCTTACAATTCGTATGACTATTCTTTTAAGCTAATAAAGCATTTTTCTATCAGAGTGTAGCTTTTAACAGTCTAATCAAGTTTGAATAAAAAGCATGATTTGTACCATCTTTCTAAATGTAGTTTTTCATATAAAGCTACGATTAAAGAATTTTTTTGATATGACTGTCACATATGATGATACAAACTCATAACATTTGAACTGCTATTTGAAATATAATACAGTAATACTATGCAATGAAGCATGCTCCCGCTGGTCAACCATAGTAGTCTGGTCAACTGCTATACATTGTATGATATATACATCCGTGTGTGTGTGCTATTGCTCTTTGTCTTCCGCTGAATATCCACCTTGACCATAAGGATGAACGACGTATTGCTGATGATCAGTTCGTTCAGCCGGCGCAGGTGACCAATGGTGGATCGAGGCCCATGTGTATGCATAAGTAAGGCCCAGTAAACCAGCCAGTTCGCTAGCAAAGCTGAATTTGTCGGTCGTGGTATATGTCGAGGCTATGCTACTAAAAGCGACTGAATGGCAAATAGTTGCAGCGAAGGTAAGGATGGCATACACGGCTAATGTCGGTATAAACCGGTTGAGTTCGTGGTAGGCGTAGCTGTACTGGATAGCGGCGCAAGATATGTATACATAAATACCGTATGTATTAAACGAATTGACCATGGTGCCGGGTACGGGGTAAAAGTTGCTGTTGTTGATACTTGATGCGTCACCAGTAGTAGTGTCATCAGGCGTCATCGCACTATTACCGGCACAATAGGCAATATTGGTGATTAACAGGATAAACGTCCATAAATACGCCAAGTAGGTAGCCCAGAGGGTGCGTACGTGATACTGTCTGGACCGTGGAACATTGTTGTCGATGGTCGTGGAGGGTCCCTTATTGGCTTCCAATTGGATCGCAATGATTTTACGACAGACCTCGAATAGGACGCAGTAAAGTAGCGGTGTATACACTTTGAAAAAGAATACACGCAACATGACTAGGCGAGAGTATTCCATCGGGCGAGATGTGTTGATGGCATCTACCCCTAGTAGAATGTATACTAATCGGTTGATTATGCAAGAAAGTCCCGCGAGCAGTATGAATGCGTATCGAGCAAAAAACCGTCGTGTCACTATGGAAGACACGATGGCACCGATGACTACACTGCCACCAAGCAATATGATTGTGATGCCAAAGCCATATACTCTGGTTGCTGAATCCATGATCGTTTGTGGCTTTTGATAGGAAAGTTAATATTTAAAAGAGAGTGAAACAAGTAATGATACGATTGCTTCTTGTGTTGCTGTTGCAAATGTGGATGCAATTTGGAATTTTGCATTCATTTATACTGTTCAAGTGAGGCTCAGCAACATTGTCTTACTTTTCCGAGATACGAGGGTCAACATGTCATGCTCTTACACGGATCATGATCTGTCCGCAGAATATGACTTTTTCTCAAGATCTGTTTGTATGTGGCTTCTTGGTTCTGAAGAAGTTTTAGATTCTCGGGAAGTACACATGACACTTTTATTCGCGTGCATGCATACAACATATCAAGGCTCTTATATGCTCTATATATAACAGCAATTACACTATGAGACCTATTAATCCTATTTGCCGAACGCCGTGACTTACTTTAAGCATTCTGTTACGTGAGTGATTGGTAGAACGCCAAGAGTTGAGGGCAACAAAAAACGTCAGTTTTAATGTCATGATGCTTGACTGTTCTAAACAGCCATAATATGCTTTTCTTCATCATTTAAGCTACGAATTTCAATGGCAACGACACGCCGGAAATGTTTTTCCGATACTCATATGACACTTGGTCATTAAATAACGTTTACGCTAATGACCAGTACTGATAAACTCATGCAGGTAGCATGATGCTTCATATTAATTTGCAGTGACTAGTTATAATGTGTTTATAAGTATCCTGAGCGCCATCAACTACTGCTATCAGCGCTTTAAGTGGATCGCTTAGGTACTATTTCATCTTGAGTCACTTGTTACATAATATAAGAGATCTGTATGTGACAGCAGCAGCAGTGGGATGATTTCATATAAGCTTATCCACAGAATCAGCACACGAAAAAAGTAACCGCACTTGCCTAATATGGAGCAAAGCGTCACAAATTGACAACTTTGAAAGCAGGCCTTGCGGGATTTATCTTTTTGACCCCTCTCTCCCGACCGAACATACCAATGGCTTCCCTACGATCAGCAGTAACACGGTTTGTTCGACCTCAAATCAGCAAAGCACGACAATTTTCGACAAGCACGATTGTGCGCAACAGCGACGATGCCAAGGCTGAAGCTGCTGCACAACGTAGGATTGCTGTTACATTTCTCTTCAAAATTCCCAGCGAGAAACACGATCGTGCCTTTTTTTTGTTGATAGTAGTTTCAATATTTATATAGGTGCTGAGCGTACCATGAAGCGATTCTGGAAAAACGCATGGGTTAAAGAAGAAGCAGGTAGCTGAACCATTTATATCTCTGGTCCGAAATGGGAAGGACAAAGGGAAGGGACAGTGTAAAACTCACCATTCTCGTTAACAAATAGACAGTTGTACGGTTATGCTCGACAAACGAAACCTTCGTACACCTAACGGGCGTCATGTCGTCACGTTCCCGACAAAGCAGCGTGCTTTAGCTTACCTGACAGCAGCCGAATGGGAAGCCCAAACTGAAAACCTTAAATCACACTCTTTGCCTTTGGTAATAATACTTTTAATATGTATTTTAGTTGTCTTTGCATTCTCTAAGTCATGTATCCTTTTAACTAGACATCCATCATCGCTCGTGGATTCGATGCTTTGGATCCTTCTCGTGCTGAAGATCCTACTGTTCGAGGACAGGTTATTGACAAGTTGATGACTTATTTTGATACAGACGCGACATGTTATCACGAGGAGTTCCCTGAAGCTTTAACAACTCTTCAAGACGCGCATTGGAAGCCATTGATTGCATGGGCAAGCGAAACATACAATGTACAAATCAACACGACAACCGGTATTTTTGCAGTCAAGCAGCCCGCCGAAACACGCGACAAGCTGCGGGCGGTGGTAGAGCAAATGGGTCCTTTGGAATTGGCAGCATTAGAAAAGGCTATCATGAGCTCCAAAAGTTTTTTGATTGGCCTGGCTGTGGTCAAGGGTGGATTAACGGTGGAACAGGGTGCGCAGGCCGCACACGTAGAAATGAATGCCCAAATTGATCGTTGGGGTGAAGTTGAAGACAGTAAGTTTTGCTCTGGGAGCCTTTGCGCATCATATGTGTGGTTCAGTAGCTAATTCTCTGTATATTAATCTTGGATAGGCCACGATGTCGAGCGCGAATATATTAGACAGACCCTGGGCTCTGTAGCTGCTGTGGTTATGGATAAACGCGTGTAACTTGCTTTTATTTGCCATATTACTTTAATATTACACTTTTGCTTTTGAACACAAAATGTCAATCACGTCCGACATGGATATCACACCAATAACCCTTCCCGAGTCTTCACTTTGCTTGATCCAAACACGATGCGTGTCTTGATTCAGCATGGTTTCTATGATACTCTGAAGAGTTGTGGTTGGCGTTGCAACGGGAAGTGCGAGCGTTGCCTGGCGATGCTGTGGTGTTTTATTATAATGTTTGTGTCAGCTTCGTTGCTTTCTCAACTCTGTCGTGTAACGCAAACAAACGGAACAGAGACTTACTTGGATATATTCGACGCAAGGTAGTGTGAGCTGCTCAAAGGTGTCGAGGTTCGCGCTGGGTAGGTCCTCCAGACACAAATCACCAACGAGATTGCCCTCCCTAACGAAAACACTGAGTATACTAGCACCCACACGAACAAAAAAGCTGCGGCAGTCATAATAGGCAACACTGTTCTTACCCATCCACAATCGGAACGCCGCTTACGTTTTTTTCCGCTAATAACTTGTATCCATTCAATGCAGACTGGTCAGCTTTGACACTCACCAAGGGCGGCTTCTTGTCAAATCCCAAGTCACCCACACTTGTACCCACGTCAACAATGTTTGCGATGGATTTTGGGTAATGGTGTACGTGTCGGATAATGTCGGTTTGCGACAAGAGCCATGGGCTGCTTTTCGGATTACCATAATTGACCACTAAGGATCGGTGCACTCCGGAAGCAAAAGCACGCAAGGTCTAAGGGCAGAAGTCAACATTTTTTCCCGTTCAGCTTGCCATCAATTTTTTGCATCCGAGGATATGGCCCTAACGTACATCCAACAACGTGTCCTGATCATCGGTTTTATGCATCCTATAGCTCTCACGGTCCGTATCCAAGCCCAAAACGTTCTCGACCGAATCGTTGAGCTTCTCGGTAGTTTTGTCGACTGTGTCGCTGCTGCCAATGAGGTATAAGAGAATGTCAAAGAGGTTGATGATGCTCACCACTTGGGTACTATCGTGTGAGAATATGGGGAGCGAGGTAATCTTGTTGTTTTGAAGCAGTTGTAATGCTGTTTTAATCGATGTAACCGGGCTAACGGCAATCAGTGATGGCTTGGAGTGTGCGAGCACCAAGTTGTCCGGCTTTAGATGCGTTATATCAGCGTCTGCTGTTGCGTTAGACATGCTTACTTGGAAAGATAGAGAGATAGAGAGAGAGAGAGAAAAGAGTTAGGCAAGGAAAAACATGCGAGGAAAAAGAAAGCGTATAAATAGACAAGTTGGTTTGGTGAAGGTGGCACAAATAGACGTGTCAAGTCACATGCACATATGCGGTAATCGGCATGAATGGGGTGATTGTTGTTTGTAGAATACAAAAATTTAAATCAACGACCCAGGTAGTCGAAGCTTTCGGAACACTTCGTCTCTTTCCGTACTCGTATACAAAAACAGCCCATACACTCCTACCTTTTATTGCTGTACTTCCGGTTATGGCCTTTCATTCTTTCCGTCTTCCCTTGTTGCTATAGTCATGATCATTGCTGTTTTAACAGCTGCCAACTCGTCTTGTACTCCGAGAAGCTTCCCACCATCAGCACTAGTGTCTATCCATTCAACAAGCACAAGCGGGCAATCCTTCCCAATTTCTGGCCTAGAATCCTTCACTCTTCCTACACAGATCCACATCCTGGATTCATCAGATAGATTATTGATGGGCTACAAACGTCTCTGGACGAAGCGCTCGAGTTATGTAAATCCACCCGTCTCAGGGACTGTGCGCAGCGATGACAACGGAAACTTGTACATTGCCATTTTATCTTCACGGCCAGGGCTAGCGTTGCATCCGGTTGCAAGTTCATTAGCAGTAGAATCACTCAAGTACGTAACCGCCATCCTCTTTCTCACGCCGTGATGCAGACGCATACTCTAAATGATTTAATTGTTGACTCACTTTGTATTTTTACTATCAAAATCTGATGGTTCTCATGTGGAACTGTCCCTGTAGCTATTTCATTGAATCACCAAGTCGCAGGTCACGGTGGGTTTTTCAATTTCCTTCATGTCTGGGCACAGCTTGCGCACGGTGAGCGTGTTGATTTAAAAAAGGGTTCCACACGACTGGTGTCGTATTCCCCATCGAGTTTTTCCTTCACTGCCTCAAGGAGAACCAACAACCACGCCTCCTGCCTTTGCTCCGTTATCGTCATCAGCAGCAAGTGGATTAGATCGTTTCTTGGCTCCCTATAAAGCAACCCGATGGAGGAACTTCAAAAACGCTCTTGCAACACTTAAAGCAGATCTTTCACCACCCGTCATTTCCTGCCAGTGGATCTCGTCGGGCAATGCAGTTACATCGCTTGTTTTTGGCGCCAGTATTTGTGCTCGTTAATTGGGACGAGCGACAAGAATAAAAGGTGGTCGATCGCGCTTAGAAATCAAGACTGAGACACTCGTCTTACCATACAGAACGCGTTACAGACTTCCGGAGGCTAAAGAAGACTTGGAAGGACAGCATGATGGCGGCAACTATTTTGGCAACTTGTACAACCTTTGCAGATCCACTGTTGCGGATCTGTTATCTTCAGCGGTAGAAGAGGGTGCTGCCCGGGATGCTTTCGCTATCAGAGCCGATTTGAACGCCCAGTTGACACCGGAAGCAATCACCAACCAGATCGCCTTCTTTAAAGATAACAGGGCTACTAGATCTCCAGACATTGAGATTGCCTCAACTGCTGATTTTCTGGTCTCCAACTTGTGTCGATTGGATCTGCAGGGATCCGAACTTAATTTTGGGTGGGAAAACTCGTTTAATTACCGATATTTGTCACGGTGGCGCTAGAAAAGAGATTTGAAGATGTCTTGGTTAATTTGGGCGTGGAAAGTGAGGGTGCAGAGCAACTAAAGGCGCGTTCACTGTTAATTATATATATGCAACTTTAGTATCAGTAATTAGACATGTCATTTGATATTTCAATAAACTTTGTAGATCAAAAGATGTACATACTACCATATGATTTCAAATCTAGTTGCTCGAAACATAGGACACAATATAGCGGCACTTTATACATTATTAATTGAAAGGCAAGAGGTAAATCTAGCTTAAGCAGTCCTAGATAGATGGCAACCCGTACCGGATACTATTGACGGTTCTTCAGCATCCTCGAGTCCAAGACTTAGCGTTTCATGTATACAGTGATGCTCCGACCGTGCAGTTTCCCAAGTCATGGACGCAAACCTGTATTCGCTTGCTCCCCAAATAGAGAAATCTGTCTTAACCAGCCATCTGGCGCCCCAGTTCCCCTCATTGATACAGATGCAAAGATTTTTACTTGTCTCTTAAATCGTCGCATGATCTCAGTTGCTGCTAAGCTAGTCAACAGTTTTCAGAGAAGTTTCGTTCATGGCAGATATATAGCGGATAATGGCATGCTGGCCAGATTAATTATGAACACGCACAACATCATGATATCCAAGCGGTTGGTCTGTTAATTGATGAAGAAAATGCGGATTTGGATACACCTTGAGTATGTCCGTCGAGCCCTTTTACATTGAAGCTTTCCGGATACATAGTGTAATTGCAAGTATCATGTAATTGCTTTTTTGGCACGCAGATATCTGTTCCATAGCAGCTTCTAAACAAGCTCTGATAGCTTTTTGATCAGTCATCACAATACATAAGTTTATTTATTAGCTAGAGCATCAGACATCGTCGTCTTATAGTTTGAAATTTCAGGAGCTTGATTTATTGCTAAAAAAACATCATCTCAAAGATACATATCATCTGCCTCGTAATCATGTTTTTTGACGTAGTGTTGGATTCCTTGAGCACATCTGATGAGGTTCTTGATGTTGTTCCTCGACTTGTCACAAAATTGCGACGAACTCTGCAAACGAAGTAATTTAATTAATATAATTCTTTGGGTTCGTCTTTAGAAATTTGCAATACACCGCTGTGTAAAACACGATATGATAACTGCATAATATCTTATAATATATATATTACATATTAAAGAAGTAATATGTATCATAAAATAAAAGTGTACTGCTACCTATTGGACCAGGGTTGCATATTTGTTCAATAGTAAATCGGCTTTCAATTCCTCTCCCCCTTCCCGTTCTACACCTATCCAAAGAAATACTTCTCCAAATTCGTGAGTCTGCATCAGAAGCACAAACCCGGGTACAGCACGACCATCAATACCGCTTGTCGCTTTGAAAGGCTTTCCAAAGCCAAAATCATAATTAGGTCCTTGTAGATCAAAGCAGCACCAGTTGCTAAGAAAGACATCGGCTGTCGTAGAAATGCGTTCGGAGGACTTGCTAGTCTTGCGATTCTCAAAAAATGCAAGTTGATTAGCAATAGCTTCAGTCGAAAGCTGACATTCTAGCTGGTCTCGAATGGCAAGAGCAACTCGCCTAGCAGCTTCCAGCGTAGGAGATAGTAGATCGGCGCGCGTAACCGTGTAATTGCAGTTTATATTCAAATTACCGAAATAGCTGCCTTCCGTATTGCCTGGCGGGATTCTGAAACGACCATCACCTGGCACCATGATACTCTCGATCTGCGACTCGACACTCGATCTCCCTTCCACTCTTGCCACATTGCCATTTTCACGAGCGCGAGTTATTGCTCCAAAGATAAGGGATGTAAGCGCATCGCCCGTTGATATCCATTTGTCTGTAGCAGAGGAAGGAGTTGGTGACAAGTCGGCCTTAAGTTGTATCAGAGAAGACTTGCTCATTTTCCACTTTGTCGCCACAGAGGGTATTCCAAAGCGGTTAGAGGTACTGTCAACTTTGGGTGAAACGATCATAATTCCAGGAGGAGGTGAAATCGGCTCACCATCACTAGGCGGAGGAAAAAAGCGGCCGGGAATACGAGACCAGTCGTATGGGATTCGTTTCAAGTCAACAAGTTCACCCCGGGCGAGTTGAGTCCAGGTTGCATGAAAGTCCATATAACCGCGTGGATCGGCGATCTGGTGATGTAAAGAAGATGCGACACCAATGGTACCACAGGAAAACTTTGTAAATTACAGTATTGTCAGTGATGATTGGAGGTGAGCTGTATTTACTGCACAGCAATAAGACTAGATTCATTGTTACCTGGACTACTTTTACTATGAATGTGTTTGATCCTACTGGAAGTAGCACTCTGAAATCGCGAGGTTGTAATGCGCTCGCATCGTTATCGTATGGAGTGTCTTTAATTTCAAATATAAATGGCGTCCCTGGACGATTTCTGTTTTCCAGGGATATATAAAGATCGTCGTTGGCGTCCTTGCAAATGGTTCCGGTCATAGGAGGATAAAGCTCGAGTGCTTCGGAAAGGGCAGATTTCAACCTGAAGACAGCATCTTGAATGGATTCCGGCGCAGAGTGGAAGAGCCATTGAACGCAGATTTCTGACGGGAAGTTGTAACAGTCAAGGCCTGAGAGAAAAATTCTTGATGGGAGAGGCTGTCGATTGTGTTTATCGGAAGCATGTATAATAGTAGTAGTAGTAGTAGTTGTTTGTTCAGGGACGGGCATTTACTGGTGTGTATAAGTAAAAAAAGAAGAAGAAAGAATTATCAATGAAGACATTTGGAAAAGATGCTCCCTTTTAAAATAATCTAACTCAAAGAATAACTATTGCTCATGGCTTACATAAGATGTAAATTTTTTACCCCAACTTTCTCTTTGATCATATGTATTATATGTCACTTTCAGTTCTCGAGTCGTTTCATAAACTCATCGCATATAATCAAATAGGCTGCCACTGCAATGCAATGGTTTGTTATTTTTTTTATGCATCTTTTTAGGAGGTAGGACCAAAATTAGATCAGAAACCTTAATATCATTAAAAGTTGTTTGTCTGACGTCGACTTTACGATAATACTGATTCAGTATATTCGTCAAATTACTCGATAACAGAGGTATGCGATATAATTGCTATGATATTGTGTTAAATACTTATAGCTTTCAATTTTAACTAACCCAAGGTTAAAATAGCAGTAACACAGCGATTTAGGATCATAAGCTATGGTACCCCACCATGTTGGCCACGCCTGTTCTCTGTAGAAATGATCAATTGGTGATCTTATGTTTTTGAAAGTTATATTTCTCCACTATACTAAAATGACTTATCATACCTCATAGCTTTTGAGTTATGCTGTACGGCTCAACTACGTAATTAGATGAGTGCCAACCTATTAGCGTTCGCGCCAACTTTCAATACCACTAAAACTGTTGCTGATGCTAGTGAGTTGGCACTCGATAAAGGTGGATTATACATGGACTTTGGGCTAATGCTATTGAAGGGTATCGCTGAAACGGTTGATGTTGCTGAGGGTGACATTAGTAACGTGATTGACATTAACGGGATCCATAACAACTCTGAGCTAATATAATCCAAGACTGAACATTGACTCCTTGAAAAAATGCAAACAGAAGAAAGAAAACGACATCTAGGCAAGGTGCATTTACGTACTACACATTCATTGTAGCTTACACTTGTTAGGGGTAAAATGATCGGCAGCTACACTTTTGTTTAAACAAAACTTCAAAATTTCAAAATCTCGTTTGCTATTCTCGGACCAACAAGCTTTGACTAGCTTGCTGCATGCACATTCTTTGTCTTAAAACAAGAGTGCTAATGGTACAGTCCAATATAGTTTATAGCGGCAAAAGTGCTCTAACTACAGTATTCTAAGAAGACCCAGTGCACTGTTTCTTTTTGACTGATGTTTACGCACCAAAAAATTAATTATCTTTTTCTGTAGGTAAACCAATGTTTTTCATGCGTCGAGTAATCGCTTTATTTTTGGAATTTTTTATTGTTATGAACGATTCCATGGCTATAAACAACAACTGTTCTAGGCATTGGCAATTTCTTGGTTTTGGGTAGTTTGCATAAGACGCTGAGTACAGTAGTTGCGGCCATTATTAACTCTTCTCGAAGACCGCTCTCATCGCAGTAGTATTTTAGTTTGCGTTAACGACAAATAATGTCTCAAAATCCTCTTCTGCTTCCCTTTCTCATATACAAAAATGACTGTAGAGACTTTTACTGAAACCAAAACTGTCATTGCTTCCAGCACTACTAATATACATCCAAACATAAAAAGCATTTATGCATCCTTTCCAGCAAAAGTCCCGCTTTCAGGTCTGGATTGTTTTCACTACCCATCCGAAGTTCTTATTCATTGGCTTTTCCGCTCGCCTCCTGCAGCAACCAATGCCGTTATCGACAAATTAAAGGCGACACTCGCTGAAGCACTAGAGTTTTATCCATTGTTGACGGGAACGGTGTGTGGTCATAAAAGTGGCGATCTATATATTGCCATGGACGAACAAAGCCGCTCTGGGATACCTTTTATCTTTGAGAAAAGGATTACACCGTACGATGGTGACTCAGATACAATGCAGCCACGGAAGTTTACACATCTGTTGGGTCCAGGGTCGATAACTTTTATTGTTAAAGTAGTCCAGGTATATAATGAAAAAGAAAGACTACATGTCACAGCTTCACCATTTGTCTACAGATAGTATCCGCTCAGTATGCTTATTAAACATTCAGTATTCTTGTGGTACTATTGGCATTGCATCCTCCTTGCACCATCAAGTTGCAGATCTAGCTGGCTATTTGGATTTCCACGAGGTTTGGGCACAGCTAGCGCGTGGAGAAGACGTTGATCCGAATACGGTTCCAGTCCATTGGTTTCGAAAACCTGAACGCTTTTTTCCGCGTCCTCACAATAAGCCATTAAGCTCTTATGGATATACAGTAAACCCTACCACAAAACCAGGCAGTCCGGCGGACCGCTTTTGGCATTCATCCGTATCCACAAAATGGGAATTCACGAAGGGCTCATTGGAAAAATTGAAGAGTGACTTATCGCCTCCTTCTGATGGCGAATGGATCTCAACTGGTGATGCGATTGTTTCACTGGCGTTCGGTGCACTGACTCGAGCCCGTGAGTTAAATGACATATCGAGGGGTCCAGAACGGTCTAGGATAGAGTCACAAACCGAAAATCTCCTCTCACTGGCCGACACGCGTTTTCGCGCTACTCAAGGAAAGGTAGAACGCAATCAGTACTTTGGTAACTTGAATATCGCATGCATCTCCACTGTTAGCCGCATCGACCTATTGTCTCCAACGGTGAAGGCTGCTGGCCGAGTTGCACTGTGTATTCGAAAACAACTGGATGCCAAGCTTTCTCCAGAAGCCATAGCCAACGAGCTGTTATTCTACGAAAATCATAAAATCCTAAAACATTCTGGACGGATTCTCTCGACAGCGGATATGTTATTCAGTAACTGGTGTCGATTTGATTTGTATGGCGTAAAATTCGACTTCGGTATGGGAAAACCTTTTCAGGTCAAATGCGGTATGGATGGTCGATCTGCCCCCGGGCTCGCCTTTGCAATGCAAAATAATGAAGCTGGAGATGTTATTGCTTGGATAGGCGTAGAAAGTGGTGCAGCTGAAGATCTCAGATCTGATCCTTTACTGAACGAATATGCGACTTTGATAAAAGATAAATAATACTGTATGTAGCAGACTTATCCTCGTAAAATGTATTCATCTAAAAAAGGGACTTTGTATTCAGTCAGCATGCTTCTTGGCACTTTAGTTGGGTTTGATAGTTTATTAAATCTTTTGTACAATGGTAGAAAAAAGCAAAGATGTATAGACAGATGATGATGGCGCAGATATGTTGCTTACGGTATGAGTGAAGAGAGTATTACTGTTGTAGTTCGTGATTTGTATTATCATTATATTAGAGAGACTTTGGTACGCACAAGGCCCCCACGGAAGTTTTTGAGGGGTTGCGGCTGCTGCTGTAACCTTCGAAAGGCTTCATGGATATGTTCAGGTTGCAATGGGCTCTGCTCCGTACTTGGCAATGAAAATAGCCCACCTGTTGTTGCCCCTTCCGAGGAAGATTGACTGGATGAAGGCTGCTGTTGCTCTGCATGATGGTGATCATCCTTCTTCTTCTTCTTACTATTCTCTTCGTGATCATCCTCCTCTTCCCGTTTTCGCTTATTGCTCTCGTCGTGATCCTTGTTAATACTGCACATGGCGATTTCAAGTGAAGTGACTGTCAGCTTGCTGACCATCTCATACGTCAAGAATCCCAAACTGTCGACAATATCGTCATTCGGCCGTACATCCACAAAGGCATTCATGTTTGCCCACTCGCGAAACCGTTTTCCCTTTCGGTACGTAAACGATGCCTGCCGACATTCAGAATAATGAACATATTCTTCTCGTGTCATAGCTCGTGTCACTTGGTCAGCGTCACGTAATCGTTGAATCGAGTCGTTGTATGCTTCCAATTCGTCCTCGTCCTCCTCTTCTTCGCCGTCAGGATTGGAGGACTTAACTATCACATCGGTAAACTGGTTGACGATTTCCCAGGGCAGCTTGATGATACTTCGAGATGGTTTGCCTGTGTTGGTTTCTTCCACAACATCTTCGACTTGATCGCCCGAGGCATCCTTGGCGTTTTTACGAACATCTTTCCAGCTCAAGAAAGATCGTAATCGATTGACTTTGGCGCGATCGTGCCGCATTAAGAAGATCAGGTCTTCGGCGCTCAAGAATCGCGAGTTGCGTCGTGTTGCTTGAGCTGCTGCTTGAATCACCTATAGTGTGCGTTTATGTTAGATTAGTTGCTTGAAAATCTAGGTTCAGAAAAGGATTAACCTACAATTTCAATGACTTGAGATCGTACAATGTCTTCGACAAGCTGCGTTGTTTCTTGTAACGGATCAGCTACTTCACCGAAAACAAACATCATTTGTTGGATTTCGCTTTGAAACCGATATTTTGACTAAAGTTTGTTAGAAATAAGTTGACTAACTTCTCTAAAAGCTAAAAAATTGGATAAACATTTACTTTTTTTGCTTCCATGGTTTGATCGTCGAGTTACAGGAAGGTGTGGAGTTCAACCTTTCCCTTCCAATTATCGGTATTTATACGCTGCATATCACCAAAAATAATAGCGGGACCTACTTGTCGGACTAAACAAACTCACCATTTATTAAGCTGTATCAACATAGAAAATGACAGCCCTACATGGGATCACTTCTCCGTACTTTGATTTCACGCAAGTAAAACTTATCAAAGAAGGAGATCGCTGGCAAGTCCTAGTGTGTTTCAGTAAGCTTTTATCAAGATACACAGTACACATACACTCAATCTTGGTCTTAAGCGAGAAATGGTATAATAGGCAGACGATGCTGTCCACCAGATAGGCTCAGGAGTTCATCTTGCTGATTCCCGGATCAAATAGATATCGAGCTTTTTTCTGTGCTATTTAATATGCCTGAATCAAAACCTGATGGATCCGAATAATAACAGACGCTGGAGAAGCAGTGTAAGCATTTAGACACACGATGCTAGGCGGCAGTCATTGATATCATTACTTTTATGTTTTATGAACTTGCGCCATGACGTGTCAAAAGTAGCTGCATCTTTAAAACAGCCTGCTTATAATCTTTCTGCTTTTCTTCTTACTTCAGGTCTCGCCTTATGCTGGTTGGGCTAATCGTGTCCGGCGGATTAGTAAGATAGTAACTATAAGCAAAAGGGGACTTGAACATTGGTAGGTAAGTAGGATGGCCTGGGTGCTGGAGATGACGTGTCAGAGCTGTGCAGTATGCGCAGCCCTCTAATGACCTTCTTTTTCCCAGCTATAAGAAGTGTTTTTGTCTTGGCTGCGATTCTCTGCGCTGCTCTGGCCGGGTGTTTGGCTTTCCTGTCCCTCATCGTAGAAGTATGGGGAAGTGTAGCACGATATCGTAGATCTTCTGTGTGTGTGTGTGGTTCAACAGTTTCCTATTACCTGTTCGTCTCTTTTGTTTCTCGGAATGGCGATAGTGCACAGACACCTCTATGCTGGTCAAGATTGATGCTCTACTGTCATCCCGCTCCACATCACTGCCGCTTCTAGAAGCCGACCTGTCAAGTAGTCCATCGGCTGTGGTCAAGATCTATCCATCCATCTCAACGGTTGCATGTGCTTTTTGCTTTGACCTTTATAATTATTGCTTATCTCCTCCCCTTCTCTCTCCCGCTCTCTCCCTCTTGCACATCCGTATCGCCAAGTAGCCGCTGTTCCGTATCCATCTTTGGATGTTACATCACCCTCATGCGAACGGCATACTATCCACCCCAAGCAGCCTTCGGTTGTAAGTCCTGTCTTTACCATTTACCCCAGCCGCGGTTCAAAAGTGCGTTGGTGGTACCCGTGTAATCGAGGAATGCTTTGCGTAAGTGCTTGCTTTCTCTCTCTCAATGTGTGCGGGTGGAATTAGATGGAAAGGGCCGAGTTTCCTTTTTTGTGAGTTACCTTCTAATTTTCTATTGGTTTTTTCCAAATTATTTGTGCCAAGCAGGAATAGTTTTGCGCCAATAAAAATGATTTTTGCGTTTTCTGGGGAACAAATTTGCGTTCCTAGTCTTGCGTTCCTATTTTTGCGCGCTTTTAAATATGTATCAACTTTTATTTATGACAAAACTACAGTAGAAATGCTCGACTTTTTTTTGAGACCCGCAGCTCGTTTGCAAAGAGCGACTGTTTCCATGCATGAACTCGCTCCCCGGTTGAACCATATTTAATTACTGCTTTATGTCGTTAGCATTCGACCACAAGCTTGACTCTTTGCTTGATCTAGTACGGTCATTGTAATACAACAGTAAGTACATTGTTTCGCATATATAGATTGGGGATTTCTTTGGATCCAGATGCGTGCGTACATAACTGTCGGACACACAAAAGCCATTTTGATAGACTTCAAATGACAATGTAATTGGAGCTATAAAGCTGGCCATGACCACCAACATGTTAAAGTGAATCAAATTTTCTACAGTACAGTATATAACATCAGCGTCTCATCATTGCTTATGTAATCAGTACAAACTCATCTAATGAACATGTATTTAAAGTATATACTTTCATTAAGACGATTACGAAAACCAACAAAAAGACAGCATTATGATACGAGGATGATTCCTGGTCTTTTATTTTGTATGAAAAATATATCGTTAGGTAATAGGACATCCCGTCAATATATAGTTGATACAAGCAATATTTGCAGACAAGCCAAAGGACTATCAAAGAAAGAAGTTAGAGCAAGCCATACTTGGAGTATTTAGTAAAAGCAAGCAACAATTGAAACAATCACTCACCACTTCGTATTTCCAGAACAGATCGTCGCGGCCCCTACCCTACCCTCCCATTGCTGGGAGAACCTCCACTTTCGTCTGGGCTCCAGAACCTATCATAGATGCAATTATCCCCTCGCTCGCTCTTCAGACGTTTTCTTGTGTATATTTTGCCACTAACCGTTCTCTGTGACGCCTCCTCTTATCCGTGTACGTGACCTCACCATACTGCCCAATCCCGTATGGCTGCCTGCTACGGCGGCATGACCCTGACAGTCATCGCGTTTAGTTGTGGCCGCGCTCCACTGCATAGTCTCTACGTGTTGCCGACCCGTGCCCCGAACCTAACGTCTATGCGCGGCCGGTGGTCAGTTTATCGAGTCATTTCCAGGACTCAGCAAGCGGTCACAGGGAGTACAGGATCAAGAGGTGGGCGCAGGTCACGATTTACTGGAGAGGTGCATGCGCAATCGAACTTACCATGCTTTCGCTCTTCCACTCGCAAGGTAAACCAAAATTTCTTTCAGGCCTTCCGACAAAAGAGAAAAAGGTTAGGCATCGCCCAATCCGCGAACCAATCCTGATAAATCTTAACAACTACAGCAACGAAAGCACGTAGAAAATCAAGTTATTAAGACGTAAGTACCAGAAGAATGCTACCCTAGTTGAAGAAGTACAGAAAAAAAATAGTTACCCTGTAGTCGTCACGCATATCCGTCCGCCGCCGCTACTACTACTACACACGCAAAATCAACGACAATGATTAAAAGAAACGTTGGTGACGCATTGGAAAAAAAACAAGTTGGAGATCATTGAAATTTGAAAGGTGTTATTTTTTTTGAATGGGGGAAAAGAGAAAGATTAGAGTAGGAGGAAAAACTTACACTGCAAAGGTTCCATAGTACACCGCGTGTGTCAGAAGCAGATTCGCCGACAAGGGTTCATAAAGAAAAGCGAATTGCCAATGGAGTATGTGTTGGAAAAAAGAACTCTTTTGAAAGAGCGAGTGAGGAACTGATTGAAGTAACTCGTTCGCGCATTGCTCTACTTACATGCCCGGTTTTGTTGCCATCACGGTTCTTGTTGAAAGAGACAAGAGTGGTGATGGAAAAAACCTTTACTTGACTGTCAAATTATTGAAACAACGACACAACCATGGCGCACTGCCTAAGCCTCTCTGCTTCGCTGCTTTTTTCTGCATGGGATATCATTAAGAGAGAAAAGAGGAGGTTTAGACATACACCGAGTATCTCCATGTCTCCCGGTTCGTGCCTCGTCTGCATTACACCCTGAGCTCCGCACCTTTTGCAGGTACCTTTTTTGTGTAGACGATGATTTATTGAAATACCGTTGTTGTCGGTATTTATAATGTCAGAAAAGAGGGTTGACAAACGCACTATGAAAAAGTACTGATTTCAATGTAATGCGGGCTGCTACACCGTCGGGCCAGAAGGTTGATCCTTGAAACACTTGATGCCAATGGGAGTCCCATATGTGGAGTATGGTAGTGGCGATGATACATATGAACTCTGGTTTGACCGTGAGCGGGAAGGTGTTGAGAGACCTACTGTAATGTGATCACACGTCAAAGACTCATGGTCGACAAGGAAGCGCTTTGCAGGTACCGCTATACTCGCACGGATAAACTGAAGGACCGGATGTGTCATAATCACCTCCTTACAACATAGCAATCGTTGCCATCGTTACTTTACCTCACATACTGCTGCAGAACCCCCATGCGTAGCTCATATAGCTTTCTCTATGTATTTGTTATCAAAACACACCTCCCCTGGCTAGTAGTACCTCCACCTTCTTGTGCGCCCTCTGAGTGTAAACTTCAATTCACTTCTTGCACGATTAACCATCATCTCCTCGTTAGTGCATACTGATGAGTTGACAGCGAATTTGGCATTATCATAGTAGTCACTAGATCAACTTAGTACTTTGGTGCTTTTGTGTACCCATCGCTATACCTCTATTAGAGGAATCTCCTATGATATCTTTCTTCCCTGTGTATTTCGTTTGTCTACTTTTTACACTGTAAAGCGTCAATCAGTAGTATTGGTGCGTATTGTATCTGTTGTTTCGGCCCCAATTCTACCACTGACACAATAAAACAGACGGTTATTCTGAGACAATTTAAGTCTATACTCATCAGTACTTTAAGCGTATGTGAGAGGCGTACGCATAGATTCGTTTCCAAACACTCTGTTTTTCCGCCTTACAATACAATAATGTGAATCTTGGTGTTGTCCCACTCGAACAGTCGTATGTGGTGTTGGCTATTCCTAAATTTCTGTTTTCACATTGGCTTTTGATACGGACACTCTCTTCTATTTTTGATCCTCATCAGGTTACACTCATCCTATAAATATATACTTGTGGGAGTTGTCCGCAAGGATGTTCACTTGTTATTGCTACTACAGATCAGTCGATATATCAACAGAAGAGAACCTTAAAGGGTACATGAAAAACATTCCTTAATGCTTTTCAAACTTTCTAGGATGTCTCTACACGGATGTGTTTATGCGCAGTAATTTCAATAAAGTATGAAAAGGCTCCTCAATAACAGTATACTTTAATATATATATATATATATATTATATTAAATCTTCAACTTCTTTCACCTACGTTTATCACCCTACTACTGTATCCCAACACTATGGAGCAATTGATTGAAACTACTTACACCGAATAAAATATGCACTGTTACAATACGTATACGTCAAGTCCTATTAACTACATACTGTATAAGCACTAGCTATGGTGTGCATGCATTTCGCTAGAATACCTTCGTTGCTAGTTTTTCAAAAGAGAATACAGAGCGCAAACACATTTTTAAATACATTGTGTGGTAAAACACATTATTACACTGTCCAAAGACATCATCAGATAAGATATTTGGTTAACATCAAAAGTATATACAGACAACTACCACGGCAACCAGCTAAGCATTGTAGCATAGACACAATTGTAAAGCACGGAAACACTATACTCGGATTATCCAGCTTTTTAAGCAGTAGCAGTACGATTGCGATTATATCATGAATGTGGAAGATCTTACACCTGTACAACGAGGGGCGGCTATAAGCCGATACTGTATGGACTGACGCAATATGATGCATAGGCGTATGTCGTTAGTGATCTCTTGATATCCTTTACGATAATTTAGAAAGAGAAGGTCTGCTTATGATGCACTTAGAATGGATGTCTTGTCACAAAAAAAAAAAAAGCACCTGGCAGTGGCAGGTGGAAACGAGCGGATGGGCGATGATAGCGGATAGTGTTATGCAAGCTAATCAATACTTATCATCAGCTGGTTCGGGCACCGTTTCACTGTGCCGATCCACGCCTGCCGGCTATCGCACATGCGATGAAGACTGCTGTCTTCGCACGTCGCTTTTGCTCCCAACCCAAAACCACTCTTCTATGCATCGCCATCGTTCAAGCGATCTGGTCAGCACATTGGTTTTTCATATTCGAAGGCCACCCTTTCATTCCGCAGGCAGTAGCTGCTCATGCCACTGCCATCTATCACCGCACATATAAATAGGTTTCTCTTTTCCGTCACTTCTCTGTTCCTCATTTTCTCATACATGTATTCACACCCAATAGTCCGTCACTCCTCTGGACACTCTGTTGGGAATAAGTTCTGCCTCCAGACCATAAAAAAAATACTTATGATCAGAATGATTGGGCGTGTACTAGTTTTGGTTAGCGCCAAGCTCAAGCCAGGGATCAAAGGGTCTCAGTACAGTGTCTACCGTCAATGTTGCTTATGTTGAATACGAGATTATTTTTGGATTTTACCGCGTCGATATTGGCCGGTGAACAATAGCTTCGGATGATAACGATATATTCGCGCAAGGTGTTGGCGAAATTACATCACTTTTGGTTTGGAGTAAGTATGTGCTGAATGTCGTATCCAGCTTCCTGATGGGATAATGAGCCATTGTAGAAAGTCTCGGCCGTTGTTGGATTAACCATGGTGCGATGTGGTGGCGTGGTTATTCGGTTTTGCAGCATGGAGAGTAGAACTTCGCCGCGGCACTCAAAGCTCTTTGCCCAGAAAGTTGTTTGACGCACTTCCATCGGTAATCTCTTTTAAACTTGACATTGTCATTTCTCTGATGCTGCTGTTGTTGCTGCTTGACTTGAGAAAGTACAATTCATTGCGAAACGTAATGTCGTAGAGCCGTCGTAAAGTGTCGTGAGCATATTGAATCTTGGTTAGTTGTCTGCTAATTTACGCGTACTTTGTGTTTTATTAGTGATTGAGACGAGGCGATAGAGTTAATCCAACCGTTGTGGCGGTTTGCTTTGCCCAGTTGTTGTAAAAGACCGCTTGGCAACGCTTTGGACTGTACATATGAATTATAATCCATACTAAGCACATACGTAGAGCATGTACCTTGATGTGGCTGTTACAACTGCTACCAGACCTCAGTGACGACATAATCACAGAGAAAGAGGAAGGTATGATAACAGTGCGCATCATTCTTTTAAAAGTCATTGCATCAAAGCAACCATCCTTTAGTTCGAACGCTTCTTTTCGTATACAAAAGGCGACAGTCTTTTCAGTTCGGCACGAAAGTAATGTGGCTTCTTCTTATGTAAGCATCTTGTCACAGTACACTAATCTCTGTTGATAAAATATTTCTCACAATTTCAACCATTCCTGGCACTTGTCTTTTACTTTTCCTCAGGGATGTGTTGCTGAAACCTATGTGCACCTTCTGGCTTGACGAGGTGCACGTACCTTCCTATTGGAAAACAAGCGGCGACGTTGTCGGGACACGCCCTGCATGATACCGGTGGAAACCTTCGTAGGACAATAATACACGCAAATCACACACGCCTTCTTCTTGACCGCTTGACCGCTTGACCGCTTGACCATGTCTCTTCTGCACATGTTTTTTTCTTCCCTACCCTTTGCTTTCTCACATGTTTTTGAATGACGAATCACAAGTCACGTGACGTGTTTTTTTAAGACAGGGGTTTGAGTTCAAAAAATGTAAATACGCCCACATTTTTCAGGCCATTCCCTTTTTCTCTTCACTCTTTCTTTCCTTCACTTTTCTTTTCCCTTCACTCCCTTGGATCCTCCTGGTCTTTCTCTTGGCTCTTCCCTTGGTTCTGGTCTTCCCCTCGCTCTGGCTCTTCCCTTGGTCCTGGTCTTGCCTCTGTCGGTCTTGGTCTCAGCCTTTTTCCCGTGGTCCCCCTGGCTGCCTACAACCGGTCCCTGCTTGGGCTGTCTAGTCTGGCGTTCAACGGTGTTGGTCACAACCGGTCTTCAGGCGAGATCAGAGGACGGAGAAATCCTTTTCGGTTTTTCGCCATAGAAATATGGTAGTGTCCTTTCGGTTGGATGCCTTGTCTGCTGGTCTGGTCTGGTCTGCCATGGTGGGGCTCGCATGAGGAGCCAGGTGCCACCGTAAATCGCGTTCGACTCTCAGGACTCGACTATCGGCAATCGACTGTCTGGCAATCGACTGTCTGGCGATCAACTCTCTGGCATTCGTCTCTCTGGCATTCGTCTCTCTGGCATACGTCTCTCGGCATTCGACTCTCGGCATTCGACTCTCGGCATTCGACTCTCGGCATTCGACTCTCGGCATTCGACTCTCGGCATTCGACTCTCGGCAATCGACACTCGGCAATCAGCTCCCAGCTTCAGTGTTCGGCTCCCAGCATCCGAGTATCCAGTAAGCAGCTCCTCCAGCATTCGACAACAGCAGCAATTTTTTTTCTTTTTCTTTTTTGGGTGTTTCGAGAGTCAATTCTTTCCCCTACCCCCACCCCTTCCCTTTCCTCTTCCCTTTCCTCTTCCCCCCCCTTCCCTTTCCTCTTCCCTTCCGTCCTTCCCTCCCTTCCTTCCCTTCCGTCTACCCTTCCATCTTCCTTCCGTCCTTCCCTTCCCCCTTCCCCACTCACAGGCAATCCACAACCGATTGCTTGCACTTGACTCTCGAAACGTAGCGTACGTCATGGTTCCCACTCGTTTGTACCATGATGGCTGGGTTTGTGGTTGATTGACCCAGCCAAATGTGTGGGAGACTGGGACTCCCAGGCCGAGGCATTGGTGGCTTTCTTTTCCTCCCCCTTTTACATACTTCTTCTGTTTCTTCTTGCTTTCTTCATGCTTTTTGTATAGCCTGCAGGTTGTGCGAACTGCTTGTTGAGGTCACTTTGTAAAATCGCGTTCTTATTATTTGTCTTTATTGTCCACTGATTGTGTTCTTTTAATAAAATTTGTACCCTTCGACTATTGATATTCATAACGATAACTTTTGTCTTTTATAAAATGTTTCTTTACTCTAATATTACAATGAATAAAAACCTGCTCTTTTACTTTATGTCCTGCTTAAACTCATTTACAATTTCTTTCCTTGTGAAGATATTTGCGTGTCGCTTCACCTTGCAATATCCATTTTCTTTCTGACTGTGTTCAATCGTCTTCGCCGCTTCATTTGACAGTAAGGAAAGAACTCATGTTTTGGCGTGCTGTGTCCTTGTTCTTATACAATGCTGACAATGTCAAATGGCTCACATTAGATTCGTAATTACTTTTACTTTGCATTGACTCGATCGATTCTAAACAAAATATCTAGGCAACCGTTTGACACAAGCATAATGCACTGACCATGTAATACAATGTCAAAATTCTTGTGAGAGCCGTTGCATGTATCAGTTTTTTGGGCACGTCAGAAAATATCTTTAGAGAAACTTTTTCTGGCAACTGCCAGGAACTCTTTTTGAATAACTGGGAACCCGTTGTTCGAGTTGTGTGTTCAAAAACTGTCATAGAATTAGACTCTACTTATACAACAACAAGAAAATACAGCAGATTACTACAGGACTTTTTTTCTCTCTAGCCAAGTATCAAAAAATGACTTTGCGTGATTGATCCATGCAACAGTCATCTTTAGTTACTCATTTAATACCTTCCGTTATTCTCGGGATCAGAGAATTAGTACGCGGGCTGAAAAATTGAGACCAGACGGGCTGGCATTTTAGTAGTAATCAGCCCGCTTTGTTAATGTGAAGGGCTCGAGCACTACGCAGGCTGAATGGCTTTGTACTCTACTCATATCCATTTCTGTGACACATTCCATATTTAATAGTAGAATATGTAGCACCTATTCACGCTTACTTAAAGTGTGTGTCCTATGTCCAGCAACTCTGATTTGATAGTACATCTCTTATTATTCAATGGAATGCACAGCCAGAACGCTCAATATATGTTACGCTAGATAAACAATGTATGTTTAGAGATAAATCTGATGGCTCGTAAAGTACTGGCATCGGGTAACACCACAGTAGGTTCAAATCAACGAATGTAATCATACACCAGCACCTAACGTCTCCTTCATTACTCTTCTTTCGCATGTCCCTTTTCAATTAAGTCTTGATCGACCGCCAAACGCTCATTACATCTTATTGGCATTTTTCTTTTCTCTGATGAACTTGATCACTGTTGATACGATTTAATTGCTTCAGTTAGATGTGCAGTGGCTAAGTATATACTGGATGCATTCACTGCCAAATGTCACATTTAGCTGGTCATCGCGATGCTTCTTTCTTAAAAGATTGCTCTCTTTATTAAAATTACATTGGCCAAATAGAATTACTGTTGGCCATCGCGATGTCACTACTTTTTTTTAAAAGCTTGCTCTCATTGCTATTATGGTGGCCCAGACCAGAATCGCTATGGCCACATGAATTTGTCCTTTGCATGACTGTAAGCTATGAGTTTATTTTAATTGAGATATATATCTGTATCACATATCAAAGTGGTGTAGCTTGAAGACAATACATCATATATAAGGTCCTTCAGCCCGCGTAGTGCTCGAGCCCTTCATATTAACAAAGCGGGCCGAATACTACAAAAATGCCAGAAATTTTTCAGCCCGTCTGGTCTCAATTTTTCAGCCCGCGTACTAATTCTCTGATCCCGAGAATAACGGAAGGTATTAAATGAGTAACTAAAGATGACTGTTGCATGGATCAATCACGCAAAGTCATTTTTTGATACTTGGCTAGAGAAAAAAAAGTCCTGTAGTAATCTGCTATATTTTCTTTGTTGTTGTATAAGTAGTTTTGTCATAAATAAAAGTTTTAAAAGCGCGCAAAAATAGGAACGCAAGACTAGGAACGCAAATTTGTTCCCCAGAAAACGCAAAAAACATTATGTGGAAACGCAGAATTTCATTCTTATTGGCGCAAAACTATTCCTGCTTGGCACAAATAATTTGGAAAAACCCAGTACTTGTCTGAGACCCTAATCTAGACAGACGGAAGTTGCATAACGAGATTAGGAAATTGAAAGTATACTCGAGATACTGTTGTGGGTTGACCAAAATGGACTCATAACTGTAGCGTGTGAATACGTTGGTACAAGGCGTGGTGCTATCTCGAGAAAGTTCGTAGCGTGAGTCTGACTGTGGCGCTTAACATGGTGCATATATGTATCAAGAGATTATAAGCTGAAATGTTTGTAAGACTGAAAGAAGTATTGAGTACAACCGTAAGGCACGAATCCCGTATCTCTGGGCTAACCTTGCACAACGGCACGATTCATTACCAACTGTATGGCAAAGTAGACTTTTGCAAAGCTTACCATGCGGTATAACAGTAGAGCCAAACTTGAAATAAAGAATGCCTTTGTCTCCTCCGTCTTATCGCTAGTCTGTAAGAATAGTTGTTTGGAGCGATAGCAAACAAAATTCCTAATGCCATTTATATTTCTTGAAGACATATAAGTAGCATATACTTGGTTCAACTCCTTTCTTTAGAGAACAGGATCATATCTATCGAGGCAAGACATGGTCTTATATGAAGGAGAAGCAGACCTCAAACAGCGCCCCGTGATATTGAATAAGGGGACAAATTGTTGCCACGCACACTTGTATCCGTCGGACCCTCGTATCCCTTCTTACGCTACCCGCCTCCTCCAACAACCTACTTCTCGGTTTCTCGACGTCTACGTACACATACACTCATCATGCTTCACAAACTACCAACCGAACTACTTTGTGTTGTCTTGAAACACTTATGCTACGATGACTTGGACGAATTACACAAGATCTCGGGCCTCGAACCTATAGTACGGCACCACCTACTTCGTCACTACCGATTCCACTATCAAGTCAGCTCGTTACTACGCATATTTGAATCATCCTGTGAAACAGAAGAGCGCCGAGACAACATTGCCAATCAACTTTTAGATCTCATTTGTCATGCAGTAGAAAAATGTCCCAAATACGATCATCGGAACAAATTCAGCGATCTGCTTAATATTCTAGAAACCACGGTCGTGAAACGAATCTTGGCTCATGACATTATGCCTCACGTTGAAGACGAATATGCGTTACTGTGCTTGGATATTCGATATAAATATCTTCATCAGCCTTCGATTCGAGTACTCCATGATCCAGTAAGCTCGTTGTATACCTATAGATCAAGGCTACTTAAAGAGATCAGTTATAGAAATGTTCATACCAATGTATCTATGTCTTGATGTGTATTTTAGAAATACCGACGACGAAGCACAAAATACCCCTTGGCACCGTTTCTGCCAAGAGAGTATACCTGGGTCTGGCGACGTCAATGTGCCAATGCAGCTGATTCCCTCTACAACAGTAAACGCAACAAACTGCTTATGGCACCTGTCAAAGATAAAGACCGACGACAAAGCCGTATACGATTTGCACGATTTTTTGGCCAGCTATTTAAAGTGACGAGTTTATATTTGGAATCGAACCTGGATGGCACGTTCGAAGAGTGTGTACGCGAGGCATTAGTGATAGGTGATGTGGAAAGTTTATTGGTAATGTGCGCGGCAGCAGAACGACCCGTGGACGTTATGCACATGTGTATGATGGTGAATATGGCTGCAGAGCAGCTGTGGACGTATCTTGAAACTTTCGATGACTGGCTGGCGACGAATCCTACACCGGAACAGAGGGCTAGGATTGAACTAAATGAACAGGCACAACAGCAACGGCAGCAGAATATGCAAGAGGAATTGCCGCCTCCAGAGTGGTTGTTACCAGATCGTTACAAGGTTGCGGATGATACCAAACTTCGACTGACTGTAAGGGGAAAGAAAGGCTCACTGATCTTTAACAGTAAATGTGTATGCCAAGTGGAATTAACTTGCTCTTTTGTTCTCACTACTATTAGCTGATGAATGGCTTATACAAGCACGGATGGCGCTGGTTCGATTGATCTGAGCTTTTCCATTCATGAAACTATATTCCCTTATCTCTATTTTTTACCCGCCCCCATCCACCTCATCATATAATAATGAGCTATCTACCTGTCAACCGGTCTCATCATTTGTATCTAATTCTGACATATACATATGCACCCATCTTAGCATCATATATAACAGCGCAAACAAGGTTTCTTCTTATTTGGATCAACAGTGCTGCATATGGCAACTCATGTTTCAAGCACGCTTTGACGGATTATGAAATTGGCTGAACTCTCTTTTTCCTTTTCAAAAACTTTACCCATGCATAAACTAATAAAAGAGGGCACAGTACGTAGTGGATTGACACAAGGCATTGAATATGAAGGCTGGACCATCATTAGCAAAAAGTCGCCCATTTGTAACTCTACGGAAATGGACAAGTAAGCTTCATCTGGCTTTTCTAAAACATGGTATTGTTTGATCATCAGTTTAATAATATGACGAAATTGTATAAAACCAACAGTCTTCAGAAAGACCTCGGTTTACCACCACCTGAAATGGTTTTTGGCAATAATACCGTAACGATTTCTAAAAACAACCAGACGATCCTAACATTCAATGCTCGCGATGCGCTGGCGCTGGTCGAACACAGTGACAATAATATTAAAGTCGCTTATGCAGCCGAGTGGGCCAGGAACAGTACGCGTTCTGACGTTAAAGATGTTGTCAAGCCATATGATTGGACATACTCAACTACATACAAAGGCACGGGTGACGGGTTTCAAGATGCAGAGCAGCCGGCAGTGGATGTGCATCGATTACAAAAACAAGAACCGATTTTGTTTTATGATGAGGTGATTTTGTATGAGGATGAATTGGCTGATAATGGAACAACACTGGTGTCCATCCGGCTGGTGAGATATACCGTTTTTATTTTCTCTTAAAGTTGTAGTATTGAAATGTGAATCATTTGCTAAAAATACTTTCATCTACTTTACAGCGGGTCATGCCATCATGCTTTCTGGTTTTACTGCGCATGTTTCTACGCGTAGATAATGTTGTATTTCGGATAAATGACACGCGAATCTACCATGAATTCGGATCGCCCTACGTTGTACGCGAGTATACATCTCGAGAAGACCGGTTCCAAACCGTTTTCAATGTAGAGTATTATTTTTTCTTTTTTATTGTATCGGCATTGTAAAAAGCGAAAGATCATAGAACACTGAATCCATTTCGTAGAAATTACCAGCTGCAAAAAGCGACGTGTCACTCCTTGGCGATCCTAATTGGGTCGCGTCCAAACTTCCTCCACCTACTACATTTACTAGAGAAAGACTCAGTCTGTAGGATTTGATGTACATATACAGTGTCTTATTACATGACTCTATTTTTTATGGCCCCATCCAATGGAACTCCAGTAGGTCTAGGGTACGAAGTTCAAATATATTAAGATAAAATTACAATGGAGATTACTTTACTATATAATACTATTATTACTGAAGTCCGTTAAGAACTTTGAAGATAGTGGCAATCATTGAGTCGCTTGCAACACCCAGTACCGGATAGAGCTTCATAAAGAAGCATACAATACACCAGGAAGACCGACGAGCTCTGCCATAGCAGCGGAAATATTATTGGTGATAATCAAGTAACGTCCAAAGATATACAGCGTATATGATACTGCGACCGCCTTGCTCTTAGATGGGATGTCCTTGTAGTGGTGTTATAGCAGACCGTTACAGTGGTTATCCTGGTTCATCTGTCTATTGATTCTTTAGGATACTGTTACAGTTTCTGGGCAAACGTCGTAAAACACAGTAGAGTAATGGAACAACATAAGTTGGTAAAAAGCCCTAAAATCATTGAGTCCTCAAAGGTTGGACCGACTAAAGAGTAGTCGAAGTACCAATAACCTGACATTGATACAGCTAGCTTCAGATAGAAAGATAAATAGATTAGTCGCTTTGTTCGTATAGATTGCACCAAAGAACCGAGTACGGCTTTCGCCACGAGAATAATGGTGGTAGCTGAGGCACCGTATATGTATCTGTTGGGATCCATTGCAACCGATCGTCTTGCTTAGACTTGATATGAGCCGGAAAAACAAAGGAGACTAGTATGAAGTTGTATGAACAGTAGTTGCCTAACTTTGTATTTAGGAAGTCCAATATGGTTGCGATGGTACATATGTGCTCAACTTCTACTTCGTAATATGTTTGCGACAAAAATAATAACCTGGTGGACATAGCCTTATATTTTTTAAAAGTTACGAAGCAACGTAACTGCGCACAGTAGAAATGCAACACTTATGCAATCATCACATGGATGTTTGCATAGAAGTAAAAGCTCAACAACATTTACAGCGTAATGACACTACTACTATAACCTTTTCTTGGTGTATGATGTAAATCGTCATGATATCCTTAGGCGTATACTACCGTTGTCATTATTTAGTTTTGAAGATAATATTACACTCACTTCTGTCTGCTTCACTGGCGCAAATAATTTTTGCTTTTGTGCTTTTGTGAACTAGAAAGATCTCTTGTTATACATATGAATATTAATATTTTGTTGTTCTGTCCGTTTGCCATCTGAGAGCTATCTCCCTTGATATATATCTGCATCCATCTGTTGTCCAAACAAACAAGTGCATGTTATTATGAATCCATGTTGGGTAGCGTTGATCATCTTTAGAAGTAGGCGAAGAAAAGGAACAAGGTACCCTTAGTTCGAGGTAATTTTGCTATGGAACATAACTTTTTTTCACAACCGAAAGGAGGTTGCTTTAAGGAAGCGGCTATATAATTCAACAAGCGTCATTAGAACGCGGAACAATCAACAAAAGGATTTGGCAAGTCAGATATAGATTTAGCATGAATAGTATACTTTTACTTGTTGTGTAAATTACCATAATGGAATATCATAGAGAGTTAGTGCACGAGCACATAATAAGTAGCTACTACTCTATTGCATATGATGCTATATAACAATGTGAATATTTCTATGTACACATAAAAGGTTTGTGTGGGTGTCTCTAGACTTTTTCTGCTACACGATACTCCTCATCGGTAGCAGCAGTGACATAATGTTGATTTTGTACATCGTTGTTCCGGACCTGATCTTCTTGCTGTTCTTGCTGTTCATGTTTCTGTCGCTCAAACTTGTCTGTAAAGTCGTTTTCCTCGGTCCATTTCTTTCCGACCCGCATCACAATTTTGCGTCCCACGTGACTTATATAAATGCTTCCAATAACATAGCAACCGATAACAACACCATCGATAATATTGTTGTACTTTACAATATCATCAGTAGACAGGTCGCTTACTTCCACCATCAGTACGCATGCCACCAGCTCCATGATAAGACAGAAACCCCATGCAGCCGACTGCCCGTACATGCTTAGGCGGAAAAAACGAATGATTTCCCATTGCCGATAGACGATACTATGTTCTTGTGGGTTTCCATCACGATCGGTCCAGCGGTATTTTACACTGGAAAACATTTGGTCGGCAATAATGAAAGTAAGTGGTCGAATATCCAGCCATTTCGTGCGTAGAGGAATGAGTGTGACAGAAAACATGCCGCCAATAACAGCTCCTACAGCGCTATCACGAATCAGTGCTGCACGGGCATCGCCTAGTACAACAAATTAGGAGTAAAACGTTAGCATCGTTGAAATAAGTCACATGGAATATGCATATCTAAAATTATCTGTCTATCTTCTTTGGAAGAATAAAATAACGTGTATTTTTCTTTGTGAAAGAGTGTATTTCCTTTTATTAGCTATCATTAACTCACCATTGACGATAGAGATAATACCAGATAAAATGAATGGAAGCGCAATGATGCAGCCAAGAACATCAACCCTGCGCTTTCGTATAAACTGAAAATGACAAATAGGAAGGGCGGAATCCCGGAGATGACCAACGCGTAAACAATTCCAATTTTATTTCGTAGGCCGTATTATAACGCCAATGGTATACCAACTTGAATCACCAGACTGATTACTAGGCCGACAAGTCGACGATACAGATACTTGCCTGGGTTCGGAATTTTGGCACCAGGAACAAGACGCATAGAGGCAGGCTCGTCGTCATTGATGATGTCGCTACTGTCGCTACTAACATTTATGCGTCATGTTAAGTTTCACCATGCTTGCCCTTCTCTTTCCTGTCGGTCTAATCCCTTTTCCGAAAAAAAAAACCTAATATTCGATGAATGTACCTCCTGTCTTCAACGGCATTACTATTAGCGGTGCCATAGTTTTTGCTTTTCTTAAAAAATGATAAAAACGACATTTCTTTGGTTATGTTGTATGGTGGAGTTGATAAGAAACGCTGTGTGTGAATAAAAGAGGAGGAGAACAATAGCAACCAAGCGAAGTTTAGCTTGATTTATCAAGTGACCCCTTTTATATATTTTAACCTATTCCGAACGAATTCACTTATAGACGGAAATTATCTTTCGGTGCACTTTTGCTCAGCACTACCGCCATAGTTCCCAGAATGTGCTACACATCGTTGCTGTGGATTGTGGCTGATAGACTCGCCTCCTCAGCGACTACCTTAAGTAAAAGCAAAAAGAGCTCTTGGCATTAGTAGATTTTTCTTTTTTTGATGACGATATTGCTCAGCGTATACGTCGCACAATCACTTTTTTTTTGTGAAAAGGAAGGGATATAGATATACCGCTAAACCAACATGGTAAGTACCCACCATTAGTGTACTAAATTGGATGGATTTAAAGTGAATGGGAGGGATTATACACCATTACATCCCATATTGTAGGCCGATGGGCTGGGAAAGTAGAGTATCAGCGCCGCGCGCTACACTTATTACAAAGTATTAAGGCACGCTTGCATTACAGTACTGCAGTAAGGCATGGGAGCATCCGAAGAATATGAACAGTCGTTTAGAAATAAATGATGACTCTACAAACTATGCAATCGTGTAGCTATGAAGATAATGAATTTTGGCGGGATCCTGAATGATATCATCTAAGGTGCAGCATACAACAGACTCAGGTAAACACAGGTGCCGCGTTTGCCGCCTCAGTACTGAACCCCGGATACATTATGACCTTTCCCTATAGATTAATAGACGGGCTACATTTGAGCTTTGCTTGAAGATGATATTTCTCTTTACTATCATACCAATAGCTGTGGGGGCAGTATAGACAGACTTTGCAATTTTCCTTTACTGTCAGAGCCGTATCACACGAACTGTGACATGTTGCTTAGCATTTGACATGATTATTTATCTTTTTCTGTTAATACGAGAGGCTGAGAATCGTGTAAAAGTTTATACGTTCGTAACCAAACATACTCTAAGGAATAGTCTATCTAAAGCTGTAATAGTATGTGTGGTATTCTTTTGTTAAGAGATCAGTGAAGTATGTAGGCCAAAGATAAGGTTGATTGAAATGAAGTGTGTATTTGACAGCTATGAATTTTGAGAATTTCCCCTCAGATCACATACATCATAGAGCTCGCTCAGCTTGTTGTAGTGCCGTGTAACAGAACAAAGGAGGTCCAGTACATTATTCTTCGAAATAGAATTTTATCTCACCCACTCCTATGATAGTCAAGATCATGGTGAGGTTCATTTTGCACTGTGTGTCGTTCGGTTATTTGTTCGTATTACTAGTCATATACTATATTATGTACCCTGTGGATCTTGAAATTTGGCTCTATCCTTAAGAAACACAAAGACAAACAGCTACTACAGTAGATAATTAGACTGAGGAAAATGGTATATAATCAGTTGAAATATTTCTATTTATGGACTGGAAAGTATAAAGAAACATAAACGTGCAGTTTCTTGACTACACACATATAGCTCAATCTATTGATCATCATAATAAGCGACGAAGAGGAGTATAGTGCAGATAGTGAGGGGATCGAGTATATCTACACATGCAAGGGACAATTTCTTTGTCAAAAAGTGTTAGTCAACAATCAGAGTAATTGCTAAAAGAATGGCATAATGTTGTAGAGTTTAATAAACGAAATGCAAAGCTTTGCCTTTCTATGACTGACGACAGTAAGGGTAAATGATAATAAAAAAGCGGTTATAATACAAGAATGATGGAGAAGAGGGAGAAATAATACATAAGAGACGGGATGCGGGGTGATGGTGCTTGGGACATAGTTAGAGAGGATGAGAATAATTTAGCGTAACAGAAATGTTTACACCATGTGGTTTACATGCCTTTCATCGTTACCATCTTCTTGGTGGTGTGGGTACTGCTGCTGTTGCTGTTGCTGTTGCTGTCCTTCAAACTTGTCGGTGAAATCATTCTCCTGGGTCCACTGCTGGCCAATCTTCTTTTCAACTTTGCCTCCGTAGTAACCTGCAATGATGCTAGCAGTGACCATGAGGACAACAACAACAGCAGTAGCGATGTTGTCATACTTGACGATATCGTCAGCCGACAGATCTGTCAACTCGACCATGCAGACACATGCGACCAACTTAAGAATCAACAAAAGACCCCAACCTGCCGTTTGTAAGCGCGCATTAATACGGTAAAATCGAATGTGTTCCCATTGCCACTCCATCATGCTCTGCTCTTGGCTGACACCATCGCGATCAGTCCACTCGTATTTGATACCGCCGAGCATCTCAGCTGATATAATGTAGATGAGTGGACGAAGCACCAACCACTTGGTGTTGATAGGAATCAAGGTGACCAGAAAGAAGCCGCCAATGATAGCACCAACAGCGGCATCACGGACTAAAGCCGCGCGAGCGTCCCCTGAAAGGCGTCACATGATGAGTTATTCAGGACTTATCTTGACGGCCATTTAATTTACACCAAACATGAGAGATAGAAAGCTTACCACTGACAATTGAAACAACACCTGAAAGGATAAATGAAAGTGCAATAATTACGCCAAGCGCGTCGAGTCTTCGGTTTTTGATAAAAGTGTAAATGACCATAAGGAATGGTGGAATTCCGGAAATTACTAAGGCTAAAACAACACCGATCACGTTTCGCAGGCCATAGTATAATGCCAGTGGAATGCCAACTTGAATCACCAAAACGGCAAGCAGCACACCGAGTCGCCGCACTACAGCTTTGCCATGGCTGGCTGGCATTTTGCCACCAGGAAGAAGCCGTGTTGGCTGGTCCTGTTGCTTATCTCCTTGACTATCATCCTTGACTCCATTTTGCGCGTTCAGGTACTCGGAGGATGCGGCGTTATGATGTCGTGACGCTGGGTCTTGAGCAGAAATTGCTGTTGTATCGTTATTCTTCTTCCAAAATGGCATGTGTGGATTGTATGTTACCGAAGCAGCGGGGTATATGAGCAAAGAACGAACGTTGAGTAAAAGTAAAGATTGATCTGTCTGTCTCTTTTATACTTTGTTTGTATTGGTTTTTTTTCCAAGGCTTCTGTCGTTTTGCTCAGCATACTAACCCGTTTTTGTCAGACTGCGAAAAGGGGAAAACAGGTAAGAGCTTTTTAACTAGCCTCTGTGGCTAGTGATAACAGCCGGGTAATGACATCACTTCGGTATGGCTCTATTCTTAGTACCATATCAAGGGAATATGCCGCAATGGTGGAATCATATCAAGCATGAACTAAAAGGAACATTTGGTGACACTTGAATTAACTTTTTGTGATTCTGATCTAGGTTCTTAGCTTGTTTTGAAAAGGATTTTCGTAGCTCAGCTGGCTGTCGTACAGAGGCCGTAGCCGCCAGTAACTCTCTTGTGCTCAGCCCCTTTTTAGGTGGTACAAACCTGCATCGCTGGTTTCATGATCAGAAAAGTACTTATAAGGCAAACAAGTAAGATAAGCTCTGCGCTATACTCAGAGAGCTCATCATCGTCAACAGAATCATCGACACCATCACCGCCATCAAACGAAACCATTGTATAAATGATTATGACTGCAGAAGACCGACGGGAATGGCTCGATCAAGATTTGTTTTTACTGGATCAACGATCGTTTCGAAACCAGATCACGGATCCGACGCCGGCGGAAGCGACGCCGGTGGCATTGACAGGGTACGTTGCAGGCTCAACCGATATTCCGAGCTTGTGTAACGGTCAATGAAAAAGGAGCTTCCCTTTAGAGTGAACATAAGAGATGAGCACTTCTGGTATACATTCAATGCTTCAGTGGTGTATACACTGTTCAATACGGAGTTTTGTCACATGACTGTTGCGTGCTCTTGTAAACCATACTTGTAGCATTCTCAACTGACAAGACTGTCATTTCATGTACTGTATTACTGCAGGAGTGGCATCAAATTAAAATAGCTGTGGGAAGATAGTAATGGAAGCTTTATAGTGTTGATCTCTAGGAAGAGCAAATCGAATTCGAGTATTTCCGCCAAAGTCATATATAGTGAAAATATGCTGTAGGAAAAAGTTGCCAAGGATGTAAACCCCTTCACTACTCGGATGGATTACTAGGCGACACTTAGAGCTAGCTCCACCTTCGAAATAAATGAGACCGGCTATGCTCGTCGTAGCAAAGATAGTGCCAGAATTGCCTTGTCGAGGGAGCTTGATGGTGATTGTGTTTTTTGGGTCACAGCCATTACATTAACCAAGTGGCTCAAATCGTCTTTGACTGCGTCTGGAATCAATGCACTGACAAGCTTATCCGCATCTGCTTCCGGTATGATTATGTAGTTTGTGCCTGTGTCAATTAAGAATTGTTGCTGCTGTGGGAAAGTCAAGTTTCGTTCGTCTTTTGGTCACGGTTGAGAACAAACTTATTACCATAAGCATCCAATGAGTGTAGAACGTCTTGCTGTTACCGCTGCTACCTCGAGGCACTTTGGGAATCATATCGGTAAACACCATATCTTCGGAAGTGTCAACAAGAGTACAATCATAACCATCAAACACAACAAAACCAGTCCATTTGGCTGAGCTTGCGTATTTAACATGGACCGAGAAAACAGGGAGGGGATCGGTTTGGCTTTATAGAGCGCAAATGGGATAGGCCTGTAAGAAACGTCATACTCGGCATACATGACTGTGATGGCAGGGAATGCGGCACTAGAAAGCCCATCGATAGTAACAGGATCAAAGCCGGTTTGTTGTATCAGTATGCCTGCCATAGTATGCACGCCGCCCAAGATCTGTTTGGGTAGTGTAGCGTTGCTTATCAGTACCGTGTCGGCGAAATACACACCGTCAGCTGAGCCAGAGCCGTAAGTAATACTAAAGTCGTAGTTTGTTGAAGCATAGGTGGATGAGTTGGTTGGGTTGTAGAGCTCGGTCGAGGTTACATAAACCATCTTCTGTACCGCAATCAGGAGATAAACCCATGTATCAGAGCTGCCTGTATCGAATAACAGCAGAAACTCACGAAGGGATATGCCGATGGAGACAGGAATGGGTGGCACCGTAATTTCGTAGTCATAGAGACCAGGTACCCAGACAGGCTTTTGTCGGCTGACCAAATGCTGTTTACTTCTACGGGCTAGACCGAGTGGGCGAGTAGTGCCTTTGAGTGGGAGCCTAAGAAACTGCGACTCGCTGTTGGGTGTAGCTGACGGCAGTGCAGCAGCACCAACAACAAGGCTGGGTGCAATAAAAAGCAACAGTAGAGTAACTACTACTCCTATCGACAACGCTGGCCGTCGTGGACGTCGTCCCAAAGACATTATTTAAAAAAGAAAGCGTTTTACAGCAAAAACTATTCTCTTGAATCGATTCGAATCCGTTAGATACACTGGTTCATCCACGAGCAATTAGGCCTTGTGGCGTAAATAGCATTAAACGCAGTGATCGTGTAACTTCAAGCGCTGGCCTGGTTAAGAAAAGATAATCAAGCCCAGCCACCAGTTTCGCTTGGTTACTGGCCTGCTGCTCGAACAAGCGGGGCGGCATGTCAAAAAAAAAAGCTGGGAATATCATGTCAGGCGAGTTTTTTTTTTCTGGAGAAACATTCCTCGAAAATGGGTGCTGAAAAGAAGAGACCGCGTGGTTTGGCCGCTCAAAAGGCTGCAAAGAAAGCAAAAGTAGACGAAGAACCTGCCAATACAAACAATGCTCAAACTGTTGTAATTGACAAGGAAGTCGAAGAAGGCGACGAGATCGGTGAAGCTTCTGCTTTGCTTGAAAGTGCACTCGAAAAAGCTGGTAATAAGACCGACACTACAACTTCGCTAGCAAATCAATGTCAAGACAAGCAAAATTCATTAAGCTGTTTTTGTGGTCCATTTGTATCTGATTAGAGAAAGATTCCGCTGGTGCACTCCAGCTATTGCGTGGTACGGTACACGAGTGTGATCGTATTTTGCGCAACTGGCCCGAAAACGAAGCGCGTCCCCCACCCAAATTTTACTTGACCTATGGGTCTGCACTTTACGAACTTGGTCGTTTAACCGAAGACGAAGATTTTGAGCCGTTTCTTGAAGCAGCTGAAGAGCGTTTGCAGGATGGTTTGGACCACTTTGAAGAATTAACTGAAAAAGATGAGCATATTGAAACAGCTGAAAAAATTCGTATTGCTTTGGCCAAAGTGTGGATTGCAAAGGTAAATGTTCTATGTATTATACGGATTGATTTCTTCTGGAAATCGGATTGGGGGCATCAATGGTATACTTAAGAAATACATGGACAATAGTCTCAGTTTGTTGATGATGATGATGATGATGAAATCAAGGCTGCAGGATCTATTAACGACGTCAAAGATGACATTCCTGAACTTGCTACGCGTGCACTGGATGCATTGGATAAGGCACTAGGTGGATCCGCTAATCTGTCTACCGCAGCAACTATTGAGCTGGCATCTATCGTACAGAACCACGGTGATCTCTATGGCAGTCTCGAAAGCCAAAGCAAATTCAGAGATTGGGCTGAAAAGTTACTGCAGCGCGTTCTTAAAGGTACAAGAGACTGCCTGGCAAAGAAATACACATTTTGTTAACAACAGATAAATAGACGAGCCCGACAATGCACGTGCACACTCTGAACTCGGTCTTGGGAAGCTTTCCTTGGCCAATTACTGGCTCGAACAGGCGGATGAACAGCAAGGAGAGGAGGACGATGATGAGGACGAGCCAAAGAAGGAATTGTCTAAGGAAGAGCAAAACGCCTTCGATGCTATCACTGAAGGTAAAAGAAAGGCGCTAATTCTTCTTTAAACACGGTCTCATCTATCACCTCTGTCGAGATTAAAAAACATATGTTTTCTTCCATATTGATATTTTAGCAAAGAGATACTTTGAACAAGCATTAACCAAGGCTGGCGACCAAGCCGCACCACAGAGCTTCGCTGATATGGCGGAAGCATGTCTTAATGAAGCCAACCTTGTCCTGAGTGAAGAGGAGCAGAACAAGCTATACCAAGATGCTGTCAAGCATATCAAGGACGCCAAGTCCATTGCGGAAAAGAACAGCGTTCAGTACAATTTGCCAGACGGACTGCAAAGTTTCTTGGAAGAATGGGAAGAGCAACAATAAAACTATGATCCGCGTGTACTTTTTCTCTTGTGTAAATAGACTTATCAAACAAAAAGATTCTTGATTTTTGTAAAGCTACACGTTCTTCTTTTAAACTAATGGATGCGAATGGAATGGAAGGGTTGTTAAGGATAGTACATAAATGTGTGATTGTGATAGTGTTGAATGGAAAGGAAATTTTGTATGCAAAAACAATGGTAATATACGAGCCAGTATAATAATTAAATTAATCAAATGTAATCTTAGTGCCCTTGAACGCTTGAACAGTAGGCTTTTGTCGTTGAGCTTGTGACAGGGCCAAGCCAGGCGCGACTCGCTTATCCGACGATCCTGTCGATGAAGAAGGCTTTCTGTCAGCCTTGACACGTTTTTCTCTCGGTCGTTTATATTCTTCTACAAATCCCTCCGATTGTTCAACCGGCGCCTGGTTGAACTGTTGCTGTTCTTGTCCGTCCTGTTGCTCTCCATTGTTCCCTCCTGCTGTGTCACCACCACCAGAAGCAGCTCGTTCATCGGCTCGCTTTAACCAAGGACGACCGCGCCTATATGCTTCCTCACTGCCAAACTCAACCCGAATTTTCTGACCATTGATAGTATGCTTGTTTGTAGCACGAATCGCCTTGGTAGCGTCTTCAACATTTTCAAAATCCACATAGCCGAACCTATTGATCGCAACCGTACTCAGTGTCGATATACTTTACGTGCTGTCTAACGTTTCTCTGCTTGATTGCTGCTATCACTTACCCTTTGCATTTGCCAGAGTCCTGGAAAGTACCGAGACGAACGTTCATGATATCACCACACTCAACAAACGCCTCACGCAGCATCTCCTTTGTAGCGTCAAACGGCAAATTACCAACAAACAGTGTCGCACATGGTGGGTTCTTTTGCTTCTTGATTTCCTTGTTGGTGAGTCCGTCTTTACGTTCAAAATTGTCAGCAGGCTTGATCAACAATGCACGACCGTCAAGTTTTTGTTCAGATAAGGCAGCAGCTTTGTCTGCTTCGTCTTGAGTACCGAACATCACATAGGCAAACCTATATTTATAACGTTATTTCTCTCATTCTCTTGTCCCTAGCAAAATATCCACTGTGTATGTCACCGCTTCCTCCACCTTTCGTTTAGACTCACCCTTTATTATTTGAGTTCTTGCCGTTTCCAGAAGGACACTTTAAACGAGTGATAGTGCCGCAATCCGAAAAGAATTTGCTGATCTCCTCTCTGCTCGTCTTAAAAGCAAGGTTACCGACCCATACACCGTATTCAACGATTTTCTCCTTTTTCTTTGATGCTGATGATGATTTTTGTTTCTTGGTATCAGATTTCCCTTCGCCGTCCTGCTGTTCGTCGTTATCATTATCTTCAGCTTCGTCGTCATCGCTAACCAGCTCTCCTCGCTACAACGAAAACAAGCAGTTTATGTGAGCGTTGGCTCATAAAGCATATCCTTCTTAAGGGTCAATCGTGTACCTTGCGCTTTTTGTTCTTCTCTCGAGCTTCCTTTTTCAACTGACGCTTTTCTCGACTGATCCTACGCTGTACCATGCTCGTCAACACTCAATTCTTCTCTGTACTGTCAATCGGACGGATATACTAAACCACGAGAAGGTTCTTTAATTTACCTGTTCTTCTCGATCGAGTTTTGCTCGTTTCTCAGCACGCTTTTTCAACTTTTCTTCTTGCTTCAAAGTTTCTTCATCAACAGGAGCACTGCTGAAAACAGCATTTAGATCAAAAGCATCGTCAGACATTAGTTGTAATATTCCAGTAACAAAGTACAAAAAAAAAAACGAGCCCCAGCTGCTCTCAGATTTCATGCATTTTACTCCACAAGCCACTACATTACAGCTTGTCAGTTCGGGCCTGCATCATTATTATACGCCACGCACTCGTTAAACCATTCACACTCATACTATAGTACTATTATGCCTAAGACGGAAATACGACGATTACTCAAACAACAACGTTCAGAACGTCAAAAAGAAAAACGAGTCGAACACCCACTTGCCAAGTATGACACTGAAGACCAGTTAACGTGTGTAGTTTGCAACAGCCACGTAAAGTCCACTTGGCCTGCCCATTTAGGCTCTGCATTCCACAAAGAGAACATGGCACGTTTACGTGCTTTAAAGCAGCAAAAACAGAATTCGCAGCAACAGCAACAAAGACCAGTAAAACGAACATCATCTCCCGTACAAGAGCAGGAGCCTTCTATAAAACGAGCCAAACACGAAGCACTTGTGCGAGATGAACAAGTGAATGATGAAGACGAAGACGAGGAAATGAACGACAACGACGATGCAGGACATCTACCCGCCGATTTCTTTGATAATGCGCCAGCAGCTCATTCTAAACCAGCGAGTGGACCCGGCGAAGAAGGAGAAGAAGAAGAAGAGGAAGAAGAAGAAGCACCCGCACTACCACCACAGCAACAACGGCCAGCTGCACCTCAACAACAGCAGCAACCACATTACCAACCCGCATCCAATCTTCCACAAGGATTCTTTGACAATGCTGAGGAAGAAGCCCGTGTTCGTCGAGCACCACCGCCTATTGAACAGTTTGAGAACAAGCTGGATGAAGAATACACTCTGTTTAAGGAAGCCATGGCAGATACCATCGTCGAAGCGGAAAAAGCAGATGAAGAAGACGAAGAAGAACTATGGCTCGACCGCGATCAGGAGATGTTTCGGCAGCAAGCCGAATTCGATTCACGTGTTGATAAGTTAAAAGATTTGCGCGCAAAGACTGCCCGAGGCGAGTTTGCTGCACCAAGCGAAGAGGAAAAAATGTCGACTGTTCGCGTCGACTACGATGATACTGAACGTGAGCTTCGAACGGGACTGAAGTCGGATGCACGGAATGTGTTGAAAAAGGCACCTCCCCAGAAGGTGGCAACTGTGTTTGATGATATGGATATGTCTTCGGAAGAGGATGAGGATGAAGAAGACGAGGACGACTGGAGGGCACAACAATTGTAAACTTTATTTGTTTCTCTATTTCTTGGTCTTTTCTCTCGTTCATACCAAATAATACCACGCATCTGCAATACATTTATGCTATGTATATATAAAGCTGTCACTACTATTGCTTGTTGGGTACATAGTCGCGCGACAAATCGATGTTGGCCAAATGGGTATTGGTGATCTTGAACTTTCGGTTGCGTGTCTTAGATCGCTTGAGCTTGGGCTGGTGTTGGTGGCGATAGAAGGGGAAGAAAACATAGAAAGAAAGAAGTAACCATGAAGCAACGCTGCTATTTGTTTACTACTTGTTACCTTAAGTATTCTTACCTCAGAGACAACTTTCTTTTCAAACACTTCCATCGTTTTCAAGCCAGCTATTAACGACACGGTTTTTCTGTCAATATCTGCTCCTTTTTACCAGTCTTACCATAGCAAATGAGAAAAGGAAAAAAAGGATATTACCATTTTCTAATGCTTTGGGCAGATCAGTTTCATCCGGTATTTTGATGCTACCCCACATTTTTCGGAATTCTAGATACGAACGATCCTGTCAGTACCCTTACTCCTTCAAATACTGTATTAACTTCTCTTTCGAAGTAGCTTGCACTTACCATCGTCTACAGGCGTGTTGTACTGCATTTCGTTGTAGAATAGCACCCTTGGGTTCCCATCTTTGTTACGGATCACTAAAACTTGTCCTTCATTCGCCAGCTCTTCTACTGCATCTCCCAGTTTTGAATACGAGTCCTTTAAATCTTTATAGTCCATGCCACCGTCTTCACGTTTTCGAATAAGGAGCTCCAGTAAGTCTTCTTTGCTTCTGATTTGATATGTAGGCTATTTGAAATTCTTTCGTTACGATTCAACTTTCCTCACATCCTGCCTTCAAATACAATCTTTACCTTGTATGAAAACGTATCATTGGTGGGATCGTACTCAATCTTGTCATTATTGACGAGTTTATCCCATAATGCTTGATTATTTCGGATATCGACCTTAGATCGTGTGATAATGCTCACAACAGATTGTGGTGTGTCGCTATCCTATCAACAGCAAACCAGGAGCAAATGGTACATCTATGTTATCTCAGTGCTTTTTCATTACTGCCTTTTCATTAAGCCGTACACATATGCCATCTCTCTTTATCTACCAGTTACGCCTTGTTCAATACCTTGAGAAACTGGATAACTGTGTATAATTGACTCATAGCATGGTGACCCGTACCCGTATTGGCAGGTTGTGAATATACTATGTGGTAATATGTGGGTAAAACGGATCCACATCGACGTTGCCATTCTCTCATTTTCTTTCTTGCTTTTCCCCTTTTCTTTTCTTTTCTTTTGATCGCAAAGCATTGGAAGAGAATTGAATATAGAGACTCTACCCGTCAATTTTTTTGATTTCTTTCTTGGACTGTCCGATCCAAAAATCTCAAATGCTGCCCGTGTGTTGTTGTTGATGGATCCATATTTTGGTGTAGAACCTTGACTGGAATCTGCTGATTTTGCTTGCGCTGCACCACTTGCGACTCGCTTCACACCTAATGTAGTGTTTGCAGATAACGTAGACGATAGTGATTTCTTAAAGTTTTTGACTTGATCTGCTAAATTGGACATGTTATACGAAAGTATGTGTAATTAAGAGTGCTGAGCAATGTAGTGAAATAAAAAAAAAGAGCAGGAGAAGCTGGGCTCAATTTAGATTTCTTTTATTCGCAAAAATAAATTAAGGGTCCAAGTTCGGTGCTGTCCCACCTACGCGCTCCTCTTCCACAAAGCTACTATCACTACCACGACAACAACAACAGCAGCACCATGACGCAATTACCAAGCCTGATACCCCCGTTTCGCTATGCCATGGTTGAGGAATACTTATTCCGAGGTGGTTACCCGAAGCCGCGTAATCTGCGATTCATCAAGAGGTTATTTAACTTGCCATGATCGTTGCTTTCTGCTTGGTCGTAGAACGAAAAGAGAGACGATTCAAATGGTTTACACGAACGTTTTCAAAAAAATAGATTACGTTTAAAAACGATACTGTCGCTCACCCCTAATCCACTCAAGCCTGAAACTCAAGAGTTTTGTGCACAGCATAGTATCGTTTTAATACATATCCAGGTGGATAAAATGAAGGAGGATAATATTCCGTTGAGCTACAACAAGACATTGATGGCACTTCAGGTTTGCTTTAGTCCCTTCATTCGACGAGCTATGAGCACGACTCCATCTATGTATACTTTTCTGGTGGCTGACAAGTGTACTGTGTTTAGATTCTCATTGATCCTGCAAATCATCCACTATATCTGCACTGTCTGGACGGAGCAGATGTGACAGGATTGGTGGTAGCATGTCTGCGCAAACTTCAAATGTGGAGTACTTCTAGTGCCATGAGCGAACTTTCGAGGTAAATATTCAAGTATACAAGCAAAAGTATGTATAGCATATGTGTGTAAAGGCATTAATGTATACATATTGTAGATATTTACATACCAATGTCATAGCACCGGAAGAGTTTGAGTTTGTGGAAAACTTTAAAAACTTCGAAGTGACTATACCTTCTGTAATACCCACCTGGCTTTGGGGCGGCCAAGTCTCGTTCCGCAAGCATTCATGCCTTCGTCTCAAGTTCTTGAACCCTGAAATGATGACCGAAGAAGAGCGTGAAATCAAGGACAGGAAAGAAAAATTGGAAAAGGAAAAGGAAGATGATTATCAACGCCGAAAAAACGGTGAGTTCTAAAAGACCACAAAAGAGTGTGGGGGAGTCCCGGTAACAAAAATTCAGAAAACGGCACACGCTTATGGGCAAATTCTACAGATCTGTTGGACAATCTATTGGACACCGGTGATGGACGACACCGATCTGGATCACATTACGATGGCAGTAAGGATAGTCCAGATATCATTCCTGGCGCGTCATTATCGAGCAACAAGCCGCCATCATTGGCAGGATCCGATGATGTAGGCTTTGTACCGTCATCGCGATTAAACTCGTCAACAGAACGGCGGGAAAGCAAGGACACAGGCAGTCCAAGCAGAGATCGATACTTAGTTGATGTAGACGTCGATGTTGACCGGGTAATGATGGATGGGTTGGATCAGGTAGAATATTACAATCGCTTCGGCCAACATTCAGACGATGAACAGGATGGACACGATCCAAGTGGCAGCTTAATGCTAGACGAGGAAACGGGTGAAACCGAAGTCATTAGTAGAACTTTGGATGCATTGGCACTAGAAGGATTGTAAGATATGACAGCCTTTTTGAAAAGGGAAGACAAGGACGAGAAAGTCATTTTACTGTAAATATTGATAATGATGAAATTAATAGTATTACGCATATACACATTCTGGTAATACACTGGATCATAACATAGCTGACAGAAGCCATTCTGAGGGTTCACTGCTTGTTTTGACCAAGATCTTGGATATGTGTTACACTGCATATTTGTTTGCCAAAGAATGACAGGGAGGTTTGTCGTCTTATACATACTACGCACATATACATAGCATTGCCACTCTCAACTTTTCCATGTATACAAATTACAATGCAAGCATGGCAAGTATTCTTGGCTGCATATCAGGACTTCAGACAAGTGTAGCATACATGTGCAGAGTACTTATTGCTTGGCAAGGCAATTTACAATAATAGTTATATGATAGCTACAGTATATTAAGAGCGGCATGCTTGAAAACTACCCAAAGTAGTTTTTAATTACTGGCAACCAAAATGTTTATTATACAAAGTGAAAAAGCTGTTCATATTATACAAACTACTAAAGACGACTTAGGATATCGGTACCGAAGAGAAAGTTTGCTCATTTTTCATCAGAGGACTTTCGTCATTGTTATAGTTCACACGGCCAGTCGACTGAGAATAATCGTGGGTCTTCATCCAACGCTCGCTAAATGGAATACATCGTTTTCGCAAATAGACGAATACGATAACATTTGCAATACTAAGCACTCCGAGAGTTGCTGCCGAAATGATAAGACCGATGACTATTATCTGCTCCGGTGGGACACCTGTGAACACCATAGCTACACGCGAGCTAGCGTCGCCCAAAAACGTGACACCCCAAGCGATCGTAAGAGAACGACAGCACGTTCTGTATAAACGCATCTCTTGCCACATCCATTCGGCATACATCATTTCATGTTCGACGCCATTTTCGTCCGTCCATTTCTGCTCCGGAAATGCTTCGAATACTTCGCGGCCAATCAAATGTATGAGAGGGTAGAACGTGAACCACCGTGTTTTTAAAGGGATCAAAGTGGATATAAAGATGATAGCCATGAGGGTTGTGGTGACTGCATCCCGCAAAAGAATCACCTTTATGTCGCCGCTGATGGCGGTGACGATTGCTGATACAGCAAAAGCAACGATGACAAGACCGTTCAAAAAATCGAAGCGCTTGTGTCGGATAGAGGTGTAGATGATACGTAGGAGCGGTGGAATACCGGCGCAAATTAGGGCAATGACTGGTGTCGAATACGTGTTCAGAATGAAAAAGAGAGCAAGGGGCAGACCCAAGTCGACTATTATAAGGGTCAATACGCGTGCGATTGCTCGTATTCTGTTGCGTCGTTTGGTTTTCTTGTCAATTTCTTTTTGTTCTGATGATTTTGTGTCTTCAGTGCTCTTTTCTGAATAATCGTTGCCAGCTGCATGCTCGCGTAAATGTGCATCTTCGGGGTCAGCTATAGAAGGTGGGTTACTGCTGGTGTTATCGTCGTAGTAGTCCTTCACTGGCATAGTGCTGGTGCTTATTGTGTGATATTGTTGATTTGTCTAGTAGAGTTATCAATTTCAAAGATGAAAAATTGTAAGCTAAAACTCCACGCGACGAATAAAAACGATCTGCTATCATGTATCTATTTACCATTGCAAAAGCTGTAAAGTGGCAGATATGAAGTTTGATTACAAGATTATCTTGAGGCCTTTTATACTTTAACAAAATGCTCCACTTATTGCTGAGTACGACGTGCATCAGGAATGAACACTTTGGCTAGCTCCTTTAGATAGTAAATAAAAGACGCAGGTGAGATATTCTATGGTACTAGCCATCTTTGTTGCTTAGTAGAAAGGGCTGAGGAGGGTTTAACTGCCTATTTGTTTCGGGGTCCATGTTCCTGTGCAGACTTTAAGCATATAAATAGGCGACGTTACACACAAACTGTGTCGATAACTAAGTGACCCGGAACTGACGCCGATCAGAAAATAGAATAATGTAGTACAGACACGCTCATATTAAGCACAGCGTAATAGATGTGGAATATGACGTTGATTGATAGAAATATTAAACAACTTCATTTACAAATCTTATCGAGAAGTTGCTTTTATGTAACACTCGTGAATCGTTACTACTCTACTAGCTATTACCACAGATCACATTTATCCACTGGATTCATTGGGCTGCCCGCAGGGCATTTAAATACTTCAGCAAAGTATTTTGAGTTTTGCAATGCACCGATCACACGCCACTTTGGAGGTGAATGCTCGTCGACCAAGATCTACAAATGGTAAGCTCCATCAGTTGTGTATACGATAATACAATCCTTACTTTATGATGCACTTACGCTTTGCTTAGCCTGTGCCTTTGTCGATTTGCCACACCAAATACGTCCGTAGTTAATAAAAAATAGTTGCTCGGGCGTGATATTCTCCAATCCAGGCAGTAGCATATTTTCTTTGCCATCCTTGTTCTTATCGTAATGCCGCTTCCATGCAACGTATGATTGCCGGATACCACCATTGTCTGCTACATTTTCGCCTAGCGTCAGTTGGCCGTTCACATGGATCGGGTCTCCGCTCTCGTCTTCCATGGTGAAGTTTCCGTACTGATCAACAAAGCACGACGTCTTTTTCTCGAATGCTTCTAGTGTTTCCTTGGTCCACCATTCGCTAAGCCGCCCCTTGGCATCAAAGTGTCGACCGTTGTTATCGAAGGAGTGACTCAGTTCATGACCAACGACGGCACCGATACCACCATAGTTGAGATAATCAGGGTATTCCCCGCTAAAGAAGGGGGACTGAAGGATACCAGCAGGGAACACGATTTCGTTGTAGGGTGGGTTGTAGTAAGCGTTCACTGTAGCCGGAGTCATTTCCCAAGTAGATTTATCTGTAGGTTTTCCAGCTTGACGCCAATCCTTCATCACCAGCCACTGGCGACCGCGCAAGTAGTTGCCAAAAAAGTCATCACCATCAATCACCAGCTCAGAATAGTAGTCGGATAGTGCAACCGGCGACATAACGTTAGGCGATTTGGTTGGATAACCGACTTTGCGTACCAGTGCATCCACTTTTTCGATTGCATGTTTCCTTGTAGCTTCATCAAGCCATTCAAGCTCCGGCAACCTGTTCAAAAAGCTTTCCTTAATTGCCTTGACAAACTCGTCCGCGCGCGCTTTTGTCTCGGGTCTGAACTTCTCCATGACAAAGTACCGGCCAGCTATAAATCCAAGCGAGAGATCGACCTGGTCCAAACAAGTCTCCCAGCGAGGTTTTGTCACCTTAGCATTGGTGCCTCGTAACTTGGCTGTCAATCGTTGCAGCGGTTTTCGGATTTCCTCGCTCAAGGCTGGCGCATACTCATTGATAACCCGCCACAGCAGATATGCTTGGATCGTTCGCTGCGTGGATTGTGCCAACACTTCCGCCGATAGTTTTTCGAGGTAGCTTGGCGATGAGACAATGATCACGTCTTGATGTGGGGCAGTCGATGGAAGCAATCGCGTGACCAATAAATCCCAATCCACTTTCGGCGACAGTTTGGTGAGCTGGGATAATGTTTTTGGATTATATATCTTGGAAGGATCCATCAAATCTTCTGGTAAATCGCTAATGTCGGCCAACTTCTTTTCAAAATCGACAATGAACCGTGCTGTTGTTTTTGCGCTATACTGGCTCCAGTCCAAGCCAGGAACTTTTGAAAGCACAAGGTCCAAGGTTTCCTCTACGACCTCAAACAAGGTGTCAACCATGTCAGATTGCTTGTAGTATTCCTTGGAAGGAAGGGTTAGGCCAGACTGGAAAATCTGTAGCGACGTTTTTTCCGGTTCCTTGGGATCTGCTTCCACAAAAAGTGAAAAAAGTGGATCAACAGCGACTTTAGACAAGTGTGCAAGCGCACGTGTGAGCTGTTGCTGGTCGACGGTTGGGCTCATTTCCTGTTTTTTGAATGATCCGCCTTTGGCGGCGGCGAATCCATCGGACGGATGCAGTTCAAGAATCTCACGCAAAAGTGGTAGCAGGGGCTTGGCTCCCAGAGAGTCGATTACGGTCTCGTTCATGCAAGAGTTGAATAATGCCTTGCCCTTCTGGAAGTTTTGCTTGTCCAAGAATTTGTCAGGATCAGGCAGCTCGTCGTGGACCGCGACATCGCTGTATGTATCAAAGTCGTATGTGAAGATGCTGTGCAATATTTCCTTGTTTCGAATAGCCAGTAAATCAAAAGAGCCTGTTCGCGATTTACCCTCAGGTATATCGTGGGACTTGATCCAGTTGTTGCCTGCATGCTTTAATTAGTTACTCCCATACTAATAAAACATTCAAGGGGTTAAATAGTTGAGCACGCTAAAAAAATATTTACATGTGTAGGCATAGAAATCTTCACAAGGGTCTAAAGTGGTGTCGATGTCCTGTATACGATTAATTCACAGTGAATACAATTAAACATAAGATCCTAGTAGTAAGAAGTAGTTATCGTTACCAACAAGTATAAATTACCTTCAAGATTTCAGCAGCGGTCAAGACACATTCGGCAGACACGCATACCGGCTGGCACAGAAGCAAGTGGTCCAGAGATGTTATATTAGTTTTGTACACAGTTCGTAGTAGGACTAGTTGCAAAAAATACCTACCTGTTCTGTATCATTCCTGCCATGATGAGGTTTATCATCACCTGGGCTATTAGTCGGACTTGGCGCAGGTACAGCATGATCACTGTCGCCATAAGCACGACGCGCATATAAACCAACAAATATGCATAGCAAGATGAGTAGTGTCACACTTAAGATGAACAAGATCTTCTCTAAGAGCGTGAATCGGCCAATTTGGAAACGTGCATCACGATGGCGGCGATCACGATCCTGTTGTTGAGTTTCACTAGCAACGGATGACCGACGAGGGCCAGATTCGTCATCGTGATGACCGTCTGGGTTGGAAAGCAGAGGTTCTCGTTCACCCCTTTCAGTCATTTTATATCTTCCTTCTTTCCGTGTGTTAGAATGACAAAGAAAGGAGAAAGGAAGAAGAAAGGTGTTTGAAAACAGGTCCTGTGGGAGACAAAAGCAACGACTCTAATTGCCCTTGGCGCACACGGAATTTCAAAACAAGTTTATGCCTGCGCTTGCTGGAAATGATCGCATTGACAACATAGTAACACAACACTGTTACTTAATTGGATTTACTTCCTACTTTGCTATCTATTTATTATAAAGTAGCACTAGTAAAGTAGCTCTCAAAACTTTGGCTATGATGCTATTAGGCGTTACTGTGAAAAACAAGTATGTGTCTGTAATAGCTCTAAAGTTCTTAAATATCGGAAGGCTAATGACAATACGCTTATAGCATACTTGTCCCCGACCTTGCGGTGCGGTGATTAAGAAAGAAAGTAAATAAGAAGAGAGAGAGTTGGTGCTTCAGCTAAAAAACCCCTTCTAGAGAGGGAAAAGTCAAGCCGGATTAAGTTGTTTGGTGAGGAGAGGTAATGAAGTAAATTAAATAAGAAAAGGAAGAGGGAAGTGAGGGTGTAAGAGGGGGCAGAGAAGAGCTGTTTATAGACGCTATGAGTGTAGCGAGGGATGTGGGAATGATGATGTCACAATGTCCAGGTCTTGACGCAGTTGTTTTCTGCTTGATGCATCTTTTTGAGGTAGTGGCTGATGAAGCGGTGATTGCAACAAGGTCGTGGTCAGAAACCGGGTGGGTGAAAGCTCGATATGTTCTTAACGCGGGCCAAAGGCCCATGCCATATTGGTGAACGCCGAGTTGTCGCCGGAGAGCCATTCCTCCAGTTACTTTGGTGGTGCGTTGGCTGATAAGTTGTTGAACGTCGATACCCTGACCGGTCAATGGAATACCAAATTACTGGAATGATTTGACGATCCGCAGTGGTTTGTTATAGATACGGAATGTGGAATGTGGTTGATTGACTGGTGTGGAGTGGTCAATAATGGCGCATTCATCGGGGTAGCAAGAGTAGCCCAAGTCTCGCGAGTGTTTCTCGGTGACGTATAGGAGCTGTACCAGCATTTCCTGTGGTGATCCGAGGAGTACGACTGATCAGCACACAGTAATGACGTGACGAGGGTTCAGTGGCTGTCTGGATTATCTTTCTTCGGACGTCCTTCTTGCTACCATTGTATAGATGTGCTTGAGCTGTAATAGCTCTACCCTGAAATCCAAGCGTCATTTTAGGGCATTGCACAAGAACGTCAAGCGGGATTAACATTTAAAGCAACTTGAATCATATATGATACTGTAAAATCGTTCGATTTCTACAATATACAGTTACGTGGTGATTTACATTATTGTGATGTACATTCTTCCTCCTGTCAATGGTACTGTATTTACAGTGTTAGCCACAATATTATTACTCTAAGAGCATAGACTAACCAGCTTTTGCTGCTAGTTGATTAAAGTTGTGTTTGCATACATGTTATGTGCTACAGTATAATATGCATGTTAATGAGCGTGAGAAGAGATGGTTACTATCGGTATTGTCGTTTAGATAAAGTGCATGTTATACATGTTAAGCGTCTCATCATTTCATAAAGCACCACATTAGTTACTGTATACATAGTACTCGAGCGATAGATGTACTACAAACCACACGAAACTTTAAACTTTAGAAGAAAGGGGCGGATATGAAATAACAGAGTCTGGATTGTATGTGAGTTGCTCTTGCTGATTGATGTTTTATGTAAGAAAAGAAAAGAAATATTGAATTATGAATAAAGCTAAATTACAATGATACTTTTGCCTTTTGATCGATTGATAGGTGTTCTGGGGTTTCTTTTGGATGTGTGTATGTGTATGTGCAGATGTGGATGTGTGGAGAGTTGATATGTGTGTTTGTGTGTAGGAGGCAATAAAGCTTTAATAGTATACTGTATGCAAAGAAAAAGGGATATGCCAAAGAAAAAAGAGAAAGGGATGATAAGGTTTCCTATTCTGGTACTGCTAGAAATACTGCGTCATGAAAAAGATGGTGATACGTGCGTGGATGCTGGTAATAGTGAGGTACGCCTACGGGTACGGCCGGTGGTATGAGTACTCCTCGGATGGTAATGTAAGTGCGTTTGGGTTTCGGAGGTGGCATGAGTGCCTTTGATGTTATTATGAAAGCAGCAAAACAACATAGTTTGTGTTAGAGAGTTAAGACTTGCTGTTAAAAGATTTGATGTATACATACCAAGAAGCAGACTTCGAGATCCTCCTTGTTCACCAGGCCCCATTTGTTATTGTCTTCTTCGACCGCAAGTTGATAGGCTAGGGCTGCATTTGGAGCCCATGCTGAGGGATCGTTTATACTGTCTCGTTGCTGTTGTTGGTTTTGCAAACAAATACCACGAATCAACCGTTCGGCCTCTTGCATTCTGTTTTCCCAAGCGGACGATGTCTTGAAATGTGTAAAGTCAATATCCCGGCCACGGAAGAGTGAGTGACGTCGCGAATGGTGATGCTGTTGCTGTTTTTCGTTAAAACTTGTTACCGCTACCGGCGGTTGTGCTGATGTTGTGTTCCAAAAGAGCTCATAGGCCATGGTGGAGATATTGTTCACGATCAATGAGGTAAGAGACCAACATCCTTTGGTTGGTCGCTCGTCACGCGCTTCTTCTTGTTCTTGTTTTTTTTGTGCTACCTGGTCCCGCTGGTACGGATCATAGTAGGGGCCGAAAATTTTTCGCTTCATGGTGCCAAAGATGCCGAGCAGCCCCATCAGACCACTAGGTTGATTAGGTCGTGTTTCGACCGCTGTCGCCATCGTTGTCGTATCACTATCACTAGTCGCTTGCTGTTGGTTCTGAGCCTTGCCGCCGGTGGTCACGAAAACCTTGCCAAGGAGATATTTCCACATTTTTTGTGCTGGTATTTTTACAAGAAGTTATAGACAAAGAGATATTGGGTACAAGTGTGCGTAATGTGTTGCTCAAAGCACTGTTTGGGTATTGAGATCAAGAGGTAGTAGTAGAGTAAAACAAGGGTTGAAAGTGGAAGATGAAGGAAAGAGAGATGAGAAGATTGAGGGAAGACGCACAGCTTTGATTGACTTTTATGATGTGACAGAGGCACTGAAGTGCATGTCACAGCTTGGATTGGTGAAAAGGTTCCATCCCCTGTCCTCTCTCTTTTTGGGACTGTATTTTCTCACACATACACACGATCACCATTCTCCAAACAGCAGCGAACCCATGCATTGCCCTTTATCCTGCTGATTAAAACGCTTTCCTTCCATATCCTCTTCGCTACTGCCTTCTTTTGTGTACGTACGCTTTCAATATGACTTCTTATTCGCTCTAAGTTCTCTTGGCTGTATCGTGTAGTAGTAGCAAGTCATAGTCACTTGTTTTCTTGGCTCAGATGTGTACGCAGCCCGAGTTGAAAAATGAGCAAACATTCATAAGCCGTAACCTGTTAAGCACAGGCTCTTCCTCAACGGGCCCGTAGGTCCGTGAATGCACTACACCATTGTTGTGTTCTTGTTGCTGTTTATCGCAGTAAGACTTACTCTATCACCCACTATATGACTTGAATGCTATGCCGGTAGTCGTATATCCTCATTACGAGTCTTGCCTGTTTATCGTTTTGGATAAGTAATGTCAAACACACATCGCAGATGGTTTCAAAGCGTCATACAGATGTATATCTCTCATTGTTCTGTCGTAATTTGTATGTGACCTTCTTTCCAGCGATAAATTATTCTTTTCAGTTCAATTATATACATTCGCCTCGGTGATACAACGGAAGGACGTGAGGATGTAGATTTGAAACACCCTGCTGCTGCTGCTGCTGCTGCTACTACGACAATGACAATATGGATGGTGGACGTCTTTACAATATCACTACTACCGATACGTCTACTACTGTATATCACACGACAATTCAATTCTCTCCTTGCTTCTAGTTTATAGCAGCTCGCTCTCTCCCGCTCAATCTGCGATCACCTTAATCATTCCTCTGGATATTTTATTCAATTTTTTAATTCATTTTCCCACCGGTTTCTTATTGTCTTACTATCCCTCTCTGTAACATTACAATTTAAGCAGCAATAATTCCGTACCGCAAGGAAGCGACCGTATGCCTTAAGGCGCTGGTCAATCCAGCCTTCCAAAATAAAACAAACAGTTAAACTAAACAGTACGTATCCAATACTCCTTCAAATAAGAAATGTTTTTGCTAATATTGCCAACCGCAGATATTGATCCAAAAGATTTTTGTCAAGTATTGGCTCGGATTCGCTTTTGAGCATCTCCTTGGCAACAGCACATAACATTTGAATGGTTTGATCTTCTTTTTTCCAAGCCTAAAAATGGTGATTGTTCTTGTTCTTGTTTGATGAAAACGTATAGGATAGCTACTGTTTTCGATGAATGAAGCTTGAATCCGTGGAGTAAACAGCTTGTGCCCATTAATTGACGATGGATTTTTCATGTAACTGGTATTGTCAGTATTATTAAGCATGCTGTAAATTTGAGAAGGAACAGGATGGATGCTAAGGATAGTAGCAATACGTTCAATTTTTAACTTGCAACGTAAATGGCTATAGTTTTCAATAACTCGATGAACAACTGGTTTATCCGCTTTGTGTTGAACTCCCACTAGTATATCAGGTGATGGGAGAAGGTCCTTTTTCTTCGGGTGAGAATGCTTTTGTAGCCATGCTCGCTACTTCTATTCTGTAGAAGTAGAAGATATTTTCAGGTGTTGTAGTATTATAAATACTTTTGTTTGATGCTTGCTACTTTTAAAAATCATGATACAGTTATGCCCTAATCCTTCAGCATTTCTATCGAGATCTTGTCAGTTCCAGGCTTGTACTTCGCGGGAATATTGTAATAAATTGCGATTGTGATTGGTATTAAAGGCAACTAGATCTCGCCTGTAGAGTCCATGTCGTGCTGATTCTACATATGAGAAAGAGAGTTTAAGCACACAACACGATCAGCTTGCTCCTCCAAATCCAAGAGAGCTCCTGCTGTTGCAAGGCAAACTTTCTCTATATTTGTTGATGCGCCCACTACTGATACTGCTCCGCAACGGGTTTCACAACAATTTGTCATTTTGTAATACATGGTTCGTGCATGCAGCTTGTGTCAAACAGTTGCCTGGGTTATATATGCGAAACCGGAAGACGAGATCTTATATAACCCGCTCATGTCACTGCCTTTGGCCATTGCCAGCCTTATAAAAAACAGGGGCTTTGCACGCCAAAGCATGTACTTTATTAACTGTCAAGTGAAGCGGCGAAGGTGATTGAACACGGTCAGAAAGAAATGACAACTGCAAGGTTTACCAGCACGCAAAACTTTTGACAAGGAAGAGGTTGCAGTATTTCGTGTATAACCGCCAATGTTTTCAATTTTGAGATTTTAAATGCCGCTTCTTTATTTGGTAATAATCAAATAACAGTTGGGAATTCGTCGCGACGATGTCAGCTGTAAGTTCAGGAAGTATTTTTCTCCACAAGAGTGATGGATTCGGGAGTTGGTAATTCTTGGGAATAAGCATCTATGAAACGCCACACCATTCCATAATATTGTCTAATCAATGTAGGTACTTTGTTTGGAGGCGAAACAGTATAAAGAACTTTGGTAAGTTTTCTTTTAAAGCTTTGAAACTGTATATTCATTGTGTTTTTTTTTCTCTTTGCGTTTTCTCTTGTGCTCTTCTGGCGCTTTCTAAGTGGTGGCATCTGGTGGAAGGAAAGGGTGTGGCCCCATCTCATAGCTCTTGCCAGTGACATTGTAAGGCATTAGATACTAGCCAAATTAGGAAATTTCACGTGAGTATTGTTTACCCGATTATGCATGAGTGCGTTTCAATTTTCCCCTTCCTTCCCAAAACATTTTTTAGAGAAGTTAGCCAAAAAAAAAACTAGACTGAATATGCTTAAAAAACAATTTATTTGGTTGCTTATGTAATATCTTTGTTTTGGGGTGGGGTGCTGATAGCTTTCAAGTTTGGGGAAATATTTGGCAGTTATAGTATGACGAAATACACCATAGTCTACAATTTAATCTTCCTCCTTTTACCTTTCCATAGCAGCGCCAAGACAAAAGTCTACTTTATTTTCCAGCTTTAGTACCTTTATATACTTACGAGCAACATTTAATGCCTTTGCGGCAATATCGAGAGTGATCAGCTTGACGTTCTCTGAAAGAGCGGTCGCTACAGTATGACGATCGCAGTAGCACCAATAAACCTTCCAATCTCCAGGATATCCTGAGCGTTTACATAAGAGCTTCACCAAATGAAAAAGTAACTTGCGCTGCGTTTTGGGTACGATAATAATGCACGAGTGGGGAAATTCACGCAGTTTTTCTTGAGAAACATGGTGTAAAACGCTTGCTTCAGCTGGAGGATAAGCTATGCTTGAATCGCTGGCGTATTGCTCTTCGTAAGGACTTAAGCGCTTGTCTATATGATAATGTGAGATTTATGATATGATATGCATATATAGCAACAGAAGACCACTGTCGTACACAAAAAAAAGATACATAAAATAAACTGCTATTACTTAAGGCCGTATTCTTGACGTATATTCATCACAGCATCTTAGTACTCTGTTCCACTGAAATGAAGTGCCCTTAAAAAGAGTGTCTGGGCAATATTAAAGAACCAAAAACTGCGTTGTCAATTACTGCTGCTGCAACGTTTATACAGCTCTGCTAACTCAAATATGTCTCGATTATGCAAGCCTTGTGACATCTTATGTTTCATAATCAATATAGAACAATACATACTGAAAGCATAATAATTAATGTCATGAGCGAGAAGTGGTTAGTGCTGCATACCTTAACTACCTTCAAAGCCGCCAGAGAAATAAGTTCTTGGTGTAACAAAGTGCATACTGTAGACCCACTCATTGCTGTTTGATTCTAGCCTGTATCGCGTTATAGTATTCCTTCAAATAAATATGTAACTTAATTACAGTTGTGATTTTTGGCACTTGTAGTAGTGAGTAATTTTGTGGAGCTTCCTACACACGTTATGAAATAAAGAAGTTCTCTCCTTCCTGAATTACTACCGTCAACATCAAGGTTCTGAGTCATAATTAGCACACGAGAAAAATGTTCTGGCGTAGTACCAGCTTGGTGACGCTTCGCTGTCGTACTTGCATTATGACTGCTTCTGCTGCGAGACATTTCAAACCTATATAATATTACGCATACCCTCACATGTTCTTTTCTGCATTTGTATTCTTTTCCTGCTGCGTTGGACACTTTGGTTTAGCATTTCCCATTGTTGTCTGGTTTTCGGCTCTATCTTTTTCTGTATGTACATTCTACTACAGTTTCAAAAATTCTGCATAATGCCGTTGTTCCTCTGTGGATAGTAATTGAAGACTAATATAATCAACGATTTTGTATGATTTCTTGCAAAAATACGTTTGTGCCAATATCAAGCAAAATGACGCGTGTAACATACGACACGTTTCAATTTAGCGAAGGATGTAGTGGTGGGTGGCTTCCTGGCCCTTATATTTCTCCAGCAAATCCTGCCCCGATACACGGCCGAATTATAGCGTCTTCACGAATCCGGACAGCATATATGCCTACTCGTCTTGTTCGCGTTTCCGACATGCAAGTTGTGCAAGGCTCAACAGTGACAGAAAGATATTGCGCACTCTCTTATGCCCGAAGCAACAGAGCTCAAAAATCAGACCCGGATACCGATAATCAACAGCATGAAATCATCACATACGATGAAGACGACATCCAAGAAATACTAGCGATAAAATCGACAAAAACAAGGACCGCGAGAGCAGCACAGACATATGCAGTGGCAGATGCTGTAGCGAATTCGACAACTCACAGAGTTACTTTTCAAAAACTTATTCAACGAATATGCCAAGATTTCGGAATTCGGTACATCTGGTATGACCAATTTTGTGACGTTCATCAAACCGAGCAAGAAAACGAAGGAATCAAAGACATGCACCAGATTTATCGCAATGCGCATTATACAGTAGCTCTCATCCCGGAGCTGACATACGATCCTAAAGAGGACGTTATTGGAGCAGACAACTGGCAGAATGCGAAGCGAATGTGCACGAAGGTGGCCAATTCCGAGTTGTGTAACCAAACATGGCCATTTGCAGAAGCATTCATATCAAGAAATTTACTTATTGTGGGCCGCAATACGCACGCGTGGTCAGCTAGCATTGGGGATCCAAGAAGAAGCACCACAATGGATATGACTCGCACTACCAAGATGTTTGTTTATTCACTTTGCTCATCCTCCGTATCAAAAACAGCTATATCGTCGCCATGGAGCACTAGGGCTATTTTGCAGCATTTTCGTAGCAAGCGAAACACCTACAGCACATACGATTCAGTCTCTGCACTAGCCAGCATTTTCAACTGTGTAATCCCCGAGATGAACGACTTGATTCGTTATGATCAATCGGTCGACGAGCTGATGCTTCGGTTTTATGGACTACTCGTGCAATACGACGCTTCGTTACTCTGTATTGGGGAACCCACCTCCGCTACCACCGCAACTGCTACTTTTATCGACGAAAAGCGTCACGGTGATGAGCGGGCAGTACTCGTGTCTTGGATGGGTGATATTTACAAAGGATGTCGATATCAAGATATGGAATTTATTCCCCGCCAAGTACAAAATATCGACATTTCCGGGACGTTGATGCATATAAAATGCAAATGCATCTCGGTTTCCATCAACAAAGATACTAGTAGTCGAGTCGTACCAGAGGACCTTTACTTTCGCCAAGGAGAACAAGGAAAACCTGTCACCGATAAATCTCTGACGTTCCTCTCCTGCTCGATCGAGACGGAGCCATGTGAATTTAGTAATTCACATATCATTGCTTCTGTCTATGGTTTAGATATCTCCTGCTGGCTCCCGCTTCGGGAAGATGGCGGTCTTTGGGTTAACTGCTCGCCAACCGAATCGAGTTATAATGGTGGATGTCTCTCACTCACAGATGATGACTGTACCGAATGTCTCATTCTTACCGACCTCGAGTTTGAGACATACAACAACAGCTATAGAGCATTACCAATCGTCGCTATTACTACAGAACATGTTGATGGGGATGATGAACACTACAAATTCATCGGTTTATGCATTTTGTATAAAACCATGCCTCTCAAGTGGATAGAAATCGAACGAGAACTTGTAATTGAATAGTCGTTTTAACGTTTAAACTATTTTTTTTCTCTCATAAATCATTAGTATTTTTCAAATATTAGTACAGATATACAAGATGAACAAGATGAAAGGAGGAGAAAGAGGTATTATACGAGATTATGAAAACTATCCTTTGGTTCAAGTACATTGACGTTCATCTTTAAATCAAAATCTTGCATACGACCACGGATATAAATTCAATGACGATTACCGGCTTGACCAGACGGCTTGCCCGTTCAAATGTCTAGATAGGTCTCATCGCCAGGATATGCCAAGAAAGAATGGTAGCCCTCCTTTGCTCTAGCAGTATCAGTTTCTTTAACTTTACCCTGCTGTGCCATTACAGTCGAGATACGTCTATCGCTTGTTCTCAATGCACCCAAACCGCTTTAGTGGCAATATTATTGTATTCCTTAAAAGATACCATGGTGTGAAGACAATACCATTGAGGCGGGAACATGACAATTTTATGCTCACGCTACCAATAACAGCTATAATGGCCGAATCGGTCCTTGAGTACTGTATCACTATTGATATAATGGTATTGATTTTCTGCTGCTACCTTTAGTTGCGCTGTTTTTCTCTCTTTACATAGGCATTTATCCTGTAATGCCTGCCTTTTTCGCGGTATTGCTCGGTAGCGATAGCGAACGGTGTATTCAGCGGGAGAAGATTTCACCTGGGACACGGAATTAAATATGTATTACAAAAACCTGACTTTTGGGAATATATGTATGATAAGTATGTAGCTTTTTAGAAAAATACAGGCGTTTCTACTCTTTTTTATCCAGCTTCGCGCGGAGACAGCTGAGCACCAGTGGTGCCACGTGTCAGCAACGATTACAGCGAAGACAGTTCACAACAAGCTGCTGCTGCTGCAGTTACAGCTCAAATAAAGGGTGGCAAGGACTATGATCGTATCATAATTATTATGATGATGGAAAACCAAGAATAGGAAGATTGTATGAACGACTCATATTTCTCAACCACCGCCGAGGACCAGAAGTACAGAATGATCGCACCTTCTTTGACCTTATCTGTGGTGATAAAAAAGAATTTGTGCATTACCTGTCCTTGACAGTATTCTCATTTGACATGCTATAACTGTAGAGGGGTTGTTTCAACAAACTTCTACTTTACATTTACGCATCCTTCGCAACCCAACTTCAACCTACGTAAATACTGACGACGAATCATTATACATTGGAGGATAGAATGTCATCAAATTATCACTATGCTTCTGAATTGTCGAAATGGAATGGTCTGGCCAGCGGATCATACGACGGTGTCGGTGGTAATGCTAGCTGTGATCTTCGTCACAATGGATGATCGATTAACTCGAGAATTTCGTGGAATGCATATCAGAAATGACCCTGGCTGTTATATGTATAGCTCAAGATAATGGTTGAAAACTACCAACTCTCTATATGTATTATAGTACATGGTAATACTGTATACATTTTCTGTACTGTTCTTCATGAGCAGATGATTGCTCGACTGCTACCTCCTCCGAAATTTACCGTCCAAGCACAATTCCCTCATATAATTTACCAACATCTCAGGCAACAGTTCCCTATGTGCGAATACCGTACTAACGACTCAGTTGGAAATAAACATTCCGAACGATATCGCCCTCTAGCCTTGTTTTCCATAATTACTCCTCTTGATGTAAGAGAGGGAGAGAGAAAGCGCGCGCGCTATGACAATCATGGAAAAGAAGAATCTCTTATGATTATTAGGATATCACTAAAGAAAATTATGGAAGAATTCAAGATGATTAATGATGGTCTTGGTATGTTATGAGTTATGAGAGCGTAAAACCGTGTTCACCAGTAGCAATACTCGCACTCGTATTGATTACATTTTTATTTAGATACCTTGTTCAAATACTCTCTTAACTGATTGAATCCATGGCCCGAATTTCGCGCATCAACGAGATTGATTTCATCAACAATATTTTATTCATCATGATTTGGGATGAAAACGAGATCTATGTTATATTCCGAATCATTTGGACCGTCCTTTTCTGGCTCTGCCGTAAATAGCCTTCCTTCCACTGGCGGTACCAACTATGATGACTAATCTATTCCGAAAAGTGTCGACGAAAACCTAGTGTAACTATTGCAATCTTTTCCGGTCTCGTACAATAGTAAAATATACAAGTTTTAAAGAATCATTACAATTGTTTTCTAGTAGAAACTCGATATATTGGCGAAGGAGATGTTGACGCAACACCTTTGAAGATCGAAGATTAAAGTTAATAGCTAATACTCAAAGTATTATATTACTATGCCACAAAATTCTGCTGAATATTTATACCAATTTTTCAGCAAGCTATTTTAGCGCCTTGCCATGTTAGCTCTCATATTTTTTAATGCTTTTCGAATCACTTGTAATATTTATAAGCAGTATACAGTCATGTATCTCTCAAAAGTTTTCGCGTTTTGGCTTTCAATCGCCTCGCTATCCAAGATTGTTTCGCCTATTGTAGTCAAAAATCACATGTCATGGACAAAAAGCATTCATGCAAGCCCTGTTCCCAGACTTTTGTACTATCATGTTGGTTCAAACCAAGTCGTGGGATTTAGCGGGTCCTAAAACAACTAATACATAACACTTACCAAAAAAACTTGATGAACTGTGAATATAGACAAATACAACAAAACACAAAGATGTCTTAAGCCGCTATCATTTATTTTTCAAGAGCATATATGACATTGTATCAGCCTTATCTTAACGGCGCAAAAGCGGTAAACTAGGTGTAGTAGCGGAAACGGCAGCAATTTACACCGGACCAACAACTCGACTACGACTAGTCTTTGTATGTAATACACTCGAACGTCAGGAAAAGCATCCCTACTACTGAAAGTTAAAAGCTAAATGCTTTCGGAATTTTGCGTTATACTATGTATATTTAATGGGTAATGTGCATCGCTTTTTCCATTTCTTTGCTTTCTTCTCACAGTATAATAAAAACCATGCCCTCGCCAAATAAGCAAGTTATTTTCTCCAAAATCCCAACGACGTACCCTCTATCTGGCGAGCATATTACTGTGCAAACGTCGTCAATCGATCTTGATGCACCCTTGGGCGAAAGCCAGTTCATTCTCAAGCTTCTCGTACTTTCGGTCGATCCTTACATGCGTGGTCGCATGAGAGACTCTTCAGTTAAATCGTATTTTCCCGCATTCACCCTCGGCGAACCAATGAACGGTGGCAGTATGAGCGTAGTGCTCAAGTCTAATAATAACAAGTTCAAGGAAGGTGATCTTGTGTATGGTGGCATGGGGTCCTTCCAAGAGTATATCCTCGTCACCAAGGAGACAGAAGCACTTTATGTGGTTCGCAATGATCCGAAAAAAACTGGAATTCCTCTAACAAATTATGTCGGCGCACTGGGCATGCCTGGCATGACAGCTTACGTTGGGTAAATTTTCTGCTGGTATGACTTCACCAAAATTTGAAGATTTACCATTTTCTCTATTCTAGTCTTTTCAAGTATGGTGCTCCCAAAAAGGGTGAGACGATCTACATCTCTGCCGCTTCCGGTGCCGTCGGTCAGTTGGTCGGCCAGATCAGTAAGACTTTGGGTCTTTACGTTGTGGGCTCGGCAGGCTCAGATGACAAGGTGGCCTACCTAAAGGAGATTGGTTTCGATGCTGCATTCAACTACAAGACAGCTGATGACTTGACTGAGAAGCTTCGCGAAGTCTGCCCCAAAGGAATTGATATCTACTTTGAGAACGTTGGTGGTCAGATGCTCGAAGCTGTACTCAACAACTGCAATTTGTTTGGCAGGTACAGATAACTTCATTCTCATTGAATGCATGCAAATACGACAGATGGTTTAAGAAACCAAACATATTGATATATCTGTTTGTGTGTTTAGAATCATTGCTTGTGGTATGATTTCTCAATACAATCGTGAGCGGCCTGAAGGTATTCACAACCTGATGCTGGTTGTTGGCAAGCGTTTGCGTATGGAAGGCTTCATTTTCAGCGACGAAACTGAAATGGAAGAGGCGTTCCGCAAGGATATGACCAAATGGGTGTTGGAAGACAAGTTCAAGTACCGTGAGACAGTTGCTATCGGTATTGAACAAACTCCTCAAGCTATGTACGATATGTTGATTGGTAATAATTTCGGCAAACAGGTTGTCAAAGTAGCCGATCTGTAAAATATAATTCAATTATTTTGCTCAATTGTTTAAGCTATATTACAATATAAACACAGAAAATTACATTTATATGGTCCTACCTCTGCAAAATGTTACATGCTCTTTTCTTCTCTTTGAAGTTTAAGAATTCAGCGAGCGGCTGTATTACATTATGTGTTACACTTACGGTAAAGAAGCCGGTACGAGAACTATCAACTTATAATATACAGGGCAAAATTGATAAAGAAAAAATGCACTTATATAATGTTAAGGGTTCTTTTTTAGGAACTAGGCATTGAATGCATATTCATAATGCTTTGCTGATGTCACGCATTAGCTTTGACAAATGCTTACCGTTATGACAAGCAAGAAGAGTATAATCTCGGGTTATATATCAGTTCAAGAGCATCATAATAACATAGACTAAAATTATAACATGCTCTATTCCTAATCAGGTACTGCAGGGTAAGTGAAAGTGTAATCCCAATGGTCGTAAGGGAACAAAGTATAGTCAACCTTCGGTTTTGAAACAGTGACATGCCCAGCGATCTGTTGCCAGAAACGGATATTTGTAACAAACGTAAGTCCTGTGAGATAAAATAAAAGCTTTTGCAAGACGTAGGGGCTGATTGTAAAGTAGTAGCTTTATTACTGTCTACCGGCACGCTTTTCGTGCTAGCACATCATGTATCTATAGTGGTACAGACACAGCCTCGCGGACCGAATTCAATATTGGCGAAAATGCATATATAAAGGAATACAAATGTTTCACGTTTACGGCTTCGTACCTTCTCTTTTATTCAGCCAAGCAATATTTGAAATGCCTACTCTCAACAAGCAAGTCATTTTCTCCAAGGTTCCCACTGATTATCCTGTCGCGGGTGAGCACATCTGCGTGCAAGACTCCAGCATTGACCTTGACGCTCCTTTGGAGGAAGGCCAGTTTCTTATCAAGCTTCTCGCGCTCTCTGTCGATCCCTATATGCGTAATCGTATGCGAGACGCATCCAGCCAAGGATATACATCCGAATTCATTTTGAATGAACCGATGACTGGTGATACCATGAACGTAGTCCTCAAATCAAACAATATCAAGTATAAAGAGGGAGACCTGGTGCACGGTAAGACCGCTTGTGGAATTTTTGCACAATATGCGGTTATTTCAAAGGAGATGGAGCCTATGTATGAAGTGGAGAATGGGCCGAAGAGTACTGGACTCCCCATTACAAACTACCTTGGTGCACTTGCTATTACGGGTTTAACCGGCTATGTCGGGTACGTATTTACTATTTATGATTCAAAAAACCAAGACCCTGCAGCCTTTTGTGTAACACATGCTTAATTTTAGCCTTTTAAAATATGGAGCTCCTAAAAAGGGAGAGACGCTCTATGTTTCTGCTGCCGCTGGAGCTATTGGCCAATTAGTTGGTCAGATCGGTAAAGTGCTTGGTTTACGCGTTGTTGGCTCTGCCGGATCAGATATAAAAACAAAGTTCCTTGTGGAAGAACTTGGTTTCGATGCTGCATTCAATTACAAGACGGCGCATACCTACACCGAGAAACTGAAGGAGTTATGTCCGAACGGTATTGATATCTACTTTGATAATGTCGGTGGGAAAATGCTCGAAGCAGCAATCAACAATTTCAACAACCATGGCAGGTAACGCATGTATATCTTCGTTTCCTTTATCTGGCACAGTAAACAAACACAAAATATTCATTTTTCTTCGCCCCCATCTCTTATATATGACACAGAATTATTGGCTGTGGTATGATTTCACAATACAATGGTCAAGAACCGGAACATGTGGATAATCTTATAATGATTATTTCTAAACGGCTGCGGTTCGAAGGTTTCGTTGTCTTTGAATCACTAGACATGTTCGAGTCTTTCCGCAATGATGTGACGAAGTGGTTGTTGGAAGGCAAAATCAAATATCATGAGACTATTTTTGACGGTATTGAGCTAACGCCTCAAGCATTGGTTGATATGCTCCGTGGAAAAAGCATCGGTAAACAGCTTGTTAAGGTGGCCGATTTCTAATTATTAGAAGCAAACTTTTATTTATTTCTCTTTCGTACACCTATATATTAAAAAAAATTATCGCTGTTTTTTTGGATAACAAATCAGCTTCCAGTTACTGTCTGTTATACATACGCCTGTAAAAATTTGTTGAATGGAATTTGGAATGATCGTGAAGCATACAATTGATGAGGAAAGAAAGATAAGGTGCATACAGAATATAATTACAAATCTGCAACTTTAACTATTCCTTTACCAAATGTCTTGCCGTTCAACACATCCAACAGCGCTTGAGGCATAGTCTCGATTCCGTTAGATACTGTTTCGGCATATTTGATAGAACCATCCTTGAGCCACTTGGCGACGTTGTCGAGAAATTCAGTCTCGAGTTCGTCAACATATTGAGTAAAATGGAAGCCTTGGATGGTGATAGCTTTGGACATGATTTGATGCAAGTTGCTAACCGGGTAGCCGGTCTTCAAGTCGTCGTATTGGGTGATGGCACCACATACAGGGATTCTAATCATTGGTCGATGCGGTGACCCCAGAGTTTCAGTATTTGTAATCGTTTCCCAAGCAATTTGTGCGCAAACAACGTGAGTGATTATCAATTACCTCGCAAAGTGGTTTGCATGATCGATGGCTTTTTCCAGCATTAGGCCGCCCACATTGTCAAAGTAGATATCGATACCCTTAGGGCAAAGCTCGGTAAGCTTCGCATCAATGTCATCTGTCTTGTAGTTGAACGCGCCATCAAATCCAAGTTCGTCAACGAGGTATCTGATCTTGGCATCCGAGCCTGCCGATCCCACAACGCGAAGTCCTAGATTCTTGGCCATTTGACCCACTAACTGGCCAACTGCGCCAGATGCAGCAGAAATGAGGATGGTCTCACCGGCAACTGGCTTTCCTACCTTGAGCAGACTATATATATCACATCCGCATCAAATTACAATAACGTTAGCAAACTTCCTGTGGAACATCACCTGGCTTATTTCATTATGGCATGTGCGTTATCGACTTTCTTTGAGCATACCCTGCATACGCCGTCATCCCTGCCATGCCTAATACGCCAACATAGTTCGAGAGCGGCAGACCGGTTTGTTTAGGCTGGTTTCGCACCTGGTATGCGATCTTTGCATATTCGGCCGTAACAAGAGAATACTGTTCGAAGCGGCCCTTGGCAATCAAACCGTATACTAGGTCGTCCTTTTGGAAATCCGGGTTGTTGGATCGGAGCACGACACTCATCGTGTTACCAGCCATGATGTTTCCAGGCTGCAGAGCGCCAGTTGCCATATAGAGACGCATATAAGGATCAACGGAGAGCACGAGATTTTTCAGAATAAATTCGCCTTCCTGCAAAGGAGCATGTAGGTCTATGGTAGACTGGGCAGCAGCAAGATCCTGACCAGGCACATAGGTTTTACCTGGCACTTGTTGGAAGAGAATTTGCGTGTTGTTGGTGACCATATGGAAAAGTTTGCAAAAGCAGAAAGAGAGCGCTAGAATTGGTTACTCCGACGTAGCTGGGGATTCTGTTGAATAAACAGCAATTCTTTGTTTTAGGCACGTTTTTGCAGCAGCTGTGTTGCGGATTGCGAAATGCGTGCATTGGATTCTGCTGACCAAGTGTTTTTGGATGCTTGAATTAATAATACAACGCGGAAATCTTTTAGTTTTGCAGCAGCGAAGAGATTGTCTAATCGACGTCTGCCTGTAACTTGACAGTAGCTATAGACTACTACTACTAATAATGCTGCGTAACATACATCGATTATCGTAATTTTGACCGATCCTAAAGTCCAGCTTTTTGACGGCATGATTTGTTTCCCTTTTACTTCTCACGCTGACACCATCATACTTACAATAGGATTTATTTCAATATTTTAAGCCAGGCAAGCAGGAATATCGAAGAACGGCATCGAAAGACGACGCGCTCGATTACTAATATGGTAGCATCAAGGAGCTGAAGGAACAATTATGCGGACTGAAATCGGACTTTGGTGGGAAAGTGGGAAAAAAGGTTACAAATAGTAGGCTAATTGACCTTCCGCTTCTCCCAACAGCTCTCTTCCCAGTTGCATCACTCACGTACACGCACACGACAATACACCATGCCTGCTACCCCCAACAAACAAGTTATCTTCTCCAAGGTCCCTACCACCTACCCCGTTCCAGGTGAACACATCACCGTGCAAGACTCCACCATCGACCTCACTGCTCCTTTGGAGGAAGGCCAGTTCATTCTCAAGCTTCTCACGCTCTCCGTCGATCCTTACATGCGTGGCCGTATGAGAGACGCCTCCATCAAGTCGTACTCGCCTGCTTTCCCTCTTGGCAAGCCTATGACTGGCGACACCATGAACGTTGTTGTCAAGTCAAACAACGCCAACTTCAAGGAAGGCGATCTCGTCTACGGCAAGACTGGCTGTGGTATCTTTGCTGAATACTCTGTCATTTCCAAGGGAATGGAGCCCATGTTTGAAGTCCGCAACGAGCCCAAGGAAACCGGTTTACCCATTACCAACTATGTTGGCGTCCTTGCCATGCCTGGTATGACCGCTTACGTTGGGTGAGTCTTCTGATTTTTCAATGCTGTTAGTGCAAGAGCTAAGCTTGTAAAATTTTGAAAACTTCCTTATACCCGTGGTTCAACTTTAATTTCGTGTAGCCTTCTCAAGTTCGGTGCTCCCAAGAAGGGGGAGACACTCTACGTCTCTGCTGCTTCCGGTGCCGTTGGTCAATTGGTCGGCCAGATTGGTAAGACCTTGGGTCTGCACGTTGTCGGCTCTGCAGGCTCCGATGACAAGGTCGCTTACCTCAAGGAGATCGGTTTCGATGCCGCATTCAACTACAAGAAGGTTGATAACTTGACCGAGAAGCTGCGCGAAGTCTGCCCTAACGGAATCGACATCTACTTTGAAAATGTTGGTGGTCAGATGCTTGAAGCTGTCATCACCAACTGCAACCAGTTTGGCAGGTAGGATAACATTTTTTATGGTTAACTTTTTGGCAGCGAGTAAAATCGGAACAAAGTCATAATTAAACGCGTGTCATTGTATAGAATTGTTGCTTGTGGTATGATCTCGCAATACAACCGTGAGAAGCCCGAAGGTATCCATAACTTGATGCAGGTTGTTGCCAAGCGTTTGCGTATCGAAGGATTCATTGTCGGTGACTCCGTGGAGATGAAGGAGCCTTTCCGCAAGGATATGACCAAGTGGTTGTTGGAAGGCAAGATCAAGTATCGTGAGACCGTCGCAAACGGCATTGAACAGACCCCTCAGGCTATGGTTGATGTGCTGCGTGGTGACAACTTTGGCAAGCAAGTTGTCAAGGTTGCCGATCTGTAAATTGATACCTTTTTATTGTAATGATAGTATCCATTCTACATAATGGATTGTATAGCGAAAAAAAACCTATTCGGTAGCGTTTGTGCAGACTAGTATTTGTTTATCAAAAATTCCTTTCAAGACTCAAAAATCCAAAAACATTTGATCTATTTTTTTTGTGTCAAAACAGAGGCCATCATTTGTACTTTTTTCGCCGTTGATCACGGTGCTGCATGAAACTGTCAAGAAGCTTTTTCTTTATCAGTTCAAGTTGCACAATTCATGCAGAATCTAAGGGAAACGGTAAGTTTTCTAATTTCAGGGTGAGTACAAAAGCTCAAAATAGAACTTCAGCCTCGCGATTGAAATGACATCTCCAATCAGCATTCTTTTTGCTTTATTCGCAGTATATGAGACAGTATGATATGTAGCGTATACATGTTTTCATAGATAGTTCTGTTTATTTCGCTTTTCCAGAATACGTGATGTATGTCGACGCTGCTACTGTTTGATTGAAGAGAAAATAGCAATCAAAATCTCAAATTACCGTTGGGCCTTTTGAGACCTTGCAGGGTCTTGGAAGGTCGTTTTAGGTGTCCGAAAGGTTACAAACGGCAATTTTGTATCTTTCGGATGGACAGCTCTTTGCTATTGATACTCGTAAATGATCTCCCGTGAACTTGGGAGGTCTAGCTCCGCCGCGTATACCTTTTTTGAAGCACAATGTGTTCTACCTAACATGCCTATAAGCGTGTAGCCAGTTCCTTGTTCTTCCTTGATCGTGAGGCGCATGATGAAGATAACACAATTATTATGCCTTCTTTTGCTCCGATTTCTATAGAGTACTTCCTCAGGCCCCACATACCAATACTTACCTGTATACAGGTATCTATGGGAAACCCAAAAAACAAAATCTACAGTTACAGTTTATAACTATTAGTATCGCCGTGATCAGAACCTTTAACTATAAAAAAAGGCGCGCATCATAGTATGTATTTTTTATCGACCCACATCTCTTTTATTAATGTAAATACACACCACCATGCCTATCTGGATAACAAAAACGCAAATTACTTATCGCAAGCGTCCAACAGGCTATCCTGTGGCAAATGAGCACTTGACTATTAGCGAGTCAAGATTGACTGGGGCGCACCTTTATCCGAGGGAGTTTATTTGAGCGACAAAATTCGTTAGTTTACCTTTCGCGTTGAGTGAGCCAAATACTGGTTAAGCTATATGTGTTGTTATCAAGTCGAATAATCCGAGTTTTGTGCAAGGAGATGTTGTCATGACACGACTTTAGGTGTACTCGAAGATTTTACATTAGTTTCCTCCGCTTTTGCTAGTAATATTAGCAAGACGAGCTTCGCAACGACATCAAAACGTCCGGTTTGTCAGTGACCTACTTTCTAGGAGCACTGGGAATGCCTGGTGCAACAGCTTATTTTAGGTATATATGGAAAACATCCTTACAATATTTTGCCCCAAGACAAAATTTAGTATCGCGAAATGGTTATTATGATGTGACCCTTAAACAAACAATCACCGCTCAATAAACTGCAGTATATTCTTGTTATTATTATTCAAATTCGCTGTCCTTTTGGGGAAGCTTTAGAAACTTCTTTTTCTAAATAATGAACGGTGTGTGGTTTTTGTCTGCATTTTGCAATGATGATATGGTGTGTATGTAAACAAACTAGTTGAAGTAAAGGAATCGATAAATATAGTTCCATTTAACACAGAAGATATACGAACTCGTGGAAATGAAGGAAAAGGCATGAAAGGAAAAATTTCTATCATCACATAGCAAAGAACAATGAAGGGCAAAAAAAAGCGTTCCTCAGTTGGCATAAAATCAAGCGGTTGGAAATTGAAACAAAGAAGGCAAAAGTGCCCATTGCTCCTGCTTCCAGAACACAATAAGCAAGCAGCTATCGCTACCAGCAACAGAATAGCCGTCAGTCTCACATAGTATAAATAGTGTCTTGGCAAAGCAAGATGTCAACTGCCCTTCACTTCACCCACTACCACCAACGCCACCCACCCCATTCTCTTTGGTTTTACTCAACCAGCAACCGAAACCCATTCTTATCAGCAAGATGTCGCGGAGAAGTAGACGCATTCAAGGAATAGAGCCTGACGTGTCCATTGAGGAAGCACAGCAGAGTGTACAGCATCGGCAGCGGAAACAACAATAGAAACCCACATCCAGACCCACACCCAGCACAGGGCCAGCTCAGCTGGTGGACGAGGACGAGGTCGTGGTAGTGGTAGTGGCAGTGGCAGTGGCTATCATGCAGGAGGACAGCCACGACAAGCTTCTACTCAAACGGAAGAGCCAACTGCCCAGTCATCTACCGGTGCAGCACCCCCGGAGGACGAACAAGTGCTGAATAAAGCCGTCAGGAACATTGCATATCGTGCACGACAAGACCAAAAGACATCGTCGTCATCTTCATCTGCTCCTCCATCGTCACCAACACACTAGGAAATTATTGGTGTGCTCAAACAGATCACGGGTCGTTTGGAGCAGCAGCAGCACGGACAGGCATCGTCGTTCACTATATGGAACAGCAAGGATCCCCGATCTTTCCTGTCCTCGGTAAACGCCAGCGGGATACGTCCAGAGAAGACGAAGAAGATAAAGAAGAACAAGTACGAGAAAATCGGGGTATAAGAGAACCCCTCCGTCCCAAACACACTTCCCCTACTGTATATAAATGGATTGTTTTTCTTATTCTTTTTTGTTCTGACATAATATATTTACTGTTTTCCTCTTCTTCAACATGTACTCATTATTATAGCACGTCATCGACCCGTATGCAGAGTAAGTGATACGGTTTCTTTAATATTGTTGTACCGTCATGTTTAAATGTGCGTCTGTGATATTTGATTAACTGGTATGTTTTATTTGCTATCACTTGTTGTTGGCTACTATTCCGTGTTCATTATCTTTAGATGTAAAAGAGATGTCCATTTTTTTGAATGAGCCTAAGCACTTGGCCTGAAAACCCTCCATCGTTTATTACGAGAACCGTATGGAGGACCAGTTAGAGGCAGCAATCGCTGCAATTTATGATTTTCTACATACGAACAAGATCAGGAGGACGGAACCGAGATCCATGCATTGTCCAAGAGTAAGTAGCCCCAACTTCTATAAAATAACTTTTTCTAATTGTTTCATGCAACCGTTCTTAAACTCGCTATTCCAAACTGTTCCCTCTTTCCCTCTATATATGATATGATATATAACAGACGTATGGATTTCTTGAGGGATTGGAGCACGCTTATCAGGAATTATCAACTGGTGGTCATGACGAGAGTGGTTTCTATGTAGGATCAATACTAAGAACTCATTTGGAAATGGGAAGATATCTATGACGATTGCGCCTCCTTGGCCAATACACCCGTAGACAAAAATGATAGCGATAACCACCAAGTTCGTGTCACCCGGTTTGTGATGTGCGCGAAAGAAGCACATCAATTATGACATGTAGTGACTGCCGGATATTGTTGCTCATCTTCAGGAGCAGCAGTTAACATTCAAATTGGGGTCGAAAAAACAAAACCGTATTTGTCACGGTTTTTTTTTGTGATGAAGCATAACAGAAGAAAGTCAAGCTTAAATTGAGAATCTAGCTCTGATCTGTAGTAGTAGTGATAGTATTATGTAGCGATTATTTCAGTTCCTTGGTCAAAATAGAATTTTGTAAGAAATAATAGTGACACTACCTAGTATCAGTATTCAATATTTCTTTTTGGTAATTAGTAATTATGTTGACAAAATGCTAGGTTTTTTTCCCTTGATTAAGTAACTGAACTTATTGCTTACATAATACATCATTGAAACGAAGCCTGTTGCACATAATATGATCGTGCTGGTTATTACGCCTATATTATTATGATTGCATGCATTTTAAGAGCAAGCTAATGTAGACCAGACATGAAGAAAGGGACACGGGTGTGGTCTGTGCGACAATCACGGACCATGCTTAGCAACTAACGACACTATGTATCTCCACTGTATACTGGACAGCGTCGATCAATTTTTGCATGTCATGAAAACTTTCATGCGTGAAACTTTAGTTGGAAAGCAGGTCGTTAAAGTTGCGGAATTACGGTCAAAACAGTACATCACACATTGTATGTGTAGCACATATATATATCTTACATATAACGATGTGATGTACATGTAATGCATGTAGTTCACGATACGTGTCGTTACTATTGCTGTCTTTATCTCATCAAAAACTAAGGAAAAGAACGATGTACCTAATCAAATAGAAAAGTTTTGCAAAGGCCTTTTACCTTTTACGTATAGCTTGATTTACTTAGAAAGAGTTTACAGCGATGGTGTCTAGATTCACTCACTTTTCGACTTCCATGGTTGAGCAGAAGAGAATGATAACAGTATTATAAATGTAACTGCATTGTTGCAGCCGTTGTAAAATACAGCACTACTAGTAGCCCACCCTGCAGCATTTGGTCGATGGTGCATCTGATTGGATGGCACACTACGGCGAGCCTTGGAACAGAATGCGGATGAACAGCAGAGCACGGTCTTCTGATCTAGATATGATCAGAAGTACCTTTGAAAAAATGGAAGGAGCACTCACTCTTTTATTGCATATAGTCCAATACAACGGCACATGGATTGCAGCTAATAACTCATAATGCATCCCTTTTACTAAGCATAGCCTTTTGACTTATAAGCGACTTGAGTAAATGGCTCGAGGATTGGTTTATGTGAGGTGACAAAGTGGAAGTCAAACAGAACGTTCTATGCGATTTCGCTTGTCGTAACTTGAAAAAGATGTGCTGGGTGTGAGACACAACTCAAAAGAACTCCTTTAGGTAACAAAAAAAAAATATACGTTCTCCCCTTCTCTCGTTATTACGTCGTCACTTCTCCATCCAATGTCACTTCCAAAACGAATTATCAAGGTGAGTCTTTTTCCCCACCTCTTTCCCTCCTTTCTCCTTTATTTTTTTATTTCAGAAATGACTTTAATTGTTACCAAATAACCGAGATGTTTATCTCAAATATTAACGAACAACCCTTTTTTTTAATTCTTTTTAGGAAACCGAGCGTTTACTAGCCGAGCCAGCACCTGGCATTAGCGCTACGCCCCATGAAGACAACTTGCGTTACTTTGATGTTATTATCGCCGGACCTACGCAATCTCCATTTGAAGGTAAACACAAGCGACGAAATCCGGAAAAAGTGAGTACGGTTTTTCTTGAACCGATTATTGATGTAAACCACGGGCAATTCTGTTATTAGGGGGTGTGTTTCGACTGGAGTTGTTCCTGCCGGAAGATTACCCAATGGCACCTCCCAAAGTTCGTTTCTTGACCAAGATCTACCATCCCAACATTGATAAGCTTGGTCGAATTTGCTTGGATATTCTCAAAGGTATATAGTATGTTTGTAAATGGAATTGGAAAGAGTTGTGTATAAGTTGGGAGAAAGGTGCTTTGCATTTGATGAGAAGAGAGAAGTTGCTTTGAGTGTTTAATGGGCTACTGATACGATAATATGACAAATAGATAAATGGTCTCCTGCACTTCAAATTCGAACGGTTTTATTGTCGATCCAGGCATTGTTGTCTGCTCCTAACCCAGACGATCCGCTTGCAAACGATGTGGCACAGCATTGGAAGGAAAACGACGAGGCTGCTATTGCTACGGGTAAGATGAATTATATCACTGAAGAGAATTGGACTGTGAGGAAGGTGTGGTCTAGATGTGATTATGCATATGTACTAAGTCGACTGTGTTGTATGTAGCACGAGAGTGGACGAGAATGTACGCACAACATTAAATCAAATATTCCCATTGCATGTCCTCCCCACCCTTTTTTTTACGCGCATCTCAAACTATCTCAACGTGGAGAAAGAAACTGTCGCTGCTCACTGTGTAGAATGTGCGCATGATCTTGCGTTGCTCTTCTTTATCCAAACTTTTTTTTTCATGTAGAAGAAGAAAAAATAATAAAAAAACGCGCTCTCCTCCCCATCCTATTTTGAAGTGGAAAAAAAAAGTAAAAAGCACATGGAAACCAGTTGAACATCAAAGGTAGAATAACGAGAAAATGAAAGAACAAAAGAGGAGCGGCGACTCTCTTGAGGACAAGATGGATGGGATGGTAACAGTTAATGATAGTGTTGTTGTTGCTACGAGGTTAGGGTGGAGGAGAGCAAAGGGAGTGCCGTGGTAAGAAAGAAAGAAGCGAGTAAAAGAGAAAAATAGAAAAACGCAAATTGTAATGCAATTTAGATATGTGTGTCTGTGTCTGTGTCTGTGTCTGTGTGTGTGTGGTGTGCGTGAATCGATGAGTAAGTGACTAGAATTGAAGAGAGCGTCTGCTATTGATTGTTTGGTTCAACCATAGCCCAGAATCCACCATAGGATTGCTTCGTAACAAAACACAAACTGCCGCAACGTCTGCACCATGCTAACGCGTTGCTCCCGGAACTTTGCAACGGTCTGATACATGACATCCAATTGTCCTGACCGCTCCGCCTCGCTGAGTCTGTCTAAGCAAGACAGCGACCGTAACCGATGGATCACAGTGTCTATGGCACAAAATGCACCTGCGCGACCGCATCCTGCTGAGCAATGGACAATCATCGGCCCAGCCTTCTTGCTACCTTCTCCCTCATGGTCCCATTTCGTCTGGATATCGTCCGCTAGCTTGACTAGTTCCAATGTACCGATAGGATTATCCGGCACGCCAAAGTCCATCCATCCCATGTACTGGATGTGGTGCACTGTCCGCTTTTCCTGGTCCTTTTCAATCGTGAATTCGCGGATGAGCGTCTGGTCGTCCGTCGAGCCTTGGGGTGAGGATGCCGCATGGGTTGTCTCAGAGACGAAGGTCAATTTGATGGGACCATACGTTACGGATTCGCCTACGGACGAAGGCCAGTAACGATGGCACTTGATCTGAGAAGCCAACCGAATCGCATATCAGCTAAATATTTTTCATGGGCTTTAATTAAATGAGAAAGGCACTTACTCGGTTCATTTCCTCTTCTTTGGTCAACATGACAATGACACGGGTCTCTTGCTCCCAAACCACTGTCCAAAAATCGCCAAATGTGGCGGGTAAAGGACCTTGCGTGGAAATGTAACGACGATACTGGCGCCCTGTGGGCGATGTCTTGCGTTGCTCGGTCAAGCTCCGTAAGTTTGGCACAACTGAACCCAATGACGACGACGGTGAAGCAATAGTGGCAGGATCACAATCAATGTACTCGATGAAGCTAGCGTTGATGTAGCCCGTTGATCCGGAAGAGCATGTCTTGAGTTTGACTCGCGTGTATTCTACAAGACAGAATCAATCACTTTGTCCTCCTTTTTCGCCCTTTTGAGAAAGGCCTCGCCATCGACTCCATGTTACGGCTACTTACCAAAGGGCCAGATGTTGGTATATCGGTTCAAGGCACCCATCTCAATACCGGCGACAATACTGAACGGATGCTCGGCCAGATTGCTTGTGGCCTTTGAGTGGTGAGCCATGACACTCTGCAGCCGACGCTGCTCGGTTCGCTCAATGATCTCATAGAGCTCTGCCAGTTTTCTCGGACCGTCGTTCGAGCTGAACATGTCACGGAGCCATGAAGGCACAGCAGATAATCCTTGCCGTAATTGTCGCTTGGTTACGCGACCGGTGGCCATGTCGACCTGACAGCTGGACGAAGGCGGCAGGCGGATAGGAAACCGCTCCTTGATACTTCCATGACTGAGCTCCATGTTTTGTCGAATGTTGGAAAAGAATGGGTTGAATTGCTGGTTGTTGAGTCCAACAGTAGGCGCAGTGAAGGGGCCAGGCGCAGCAGATGGTGGAAGACTGCCGAGATGGAGGCCTGGGCCTCGTTTGCGTGATGTGGTGGTTGTGGGTGATGCTGCTGCTGCTGTTGTTGTTGCAGATGTCTGCTGCAAGGATGATACATCGCTACTGGCTCCATTTGCCAGCGAAGAAAGGGTCAGGGCCGTAGCAGGCGAGGAAGGTAAGCCAGAGAGACCGGGAGTCATCGGACCAGCCATCGTAGCCATGCCCAGATTCAGTCCTTTGGAACGCGAATTGTTCGTGACAGGCGCATTGGCGCATCGGCTAGGGTACTTTGCGCTGAATGAGCTCATCCCGCCTACATGACAAGGTAAAGAAGAAGACAAAAGACAAAGACGGTAAGTATTTATACGTTCTTGTTGGTTGTGTGTACTGCGTGTGCGATAGATGCAATCGATCGGGATCGATCAACGACGTGGTAAAGATGTGCGCGAGTGTGGGTGTGAGTATGAGTCTCAGCATTGAGGCCCCCTCGAGATATCAGTTTTCAATCCACACACGCATACAGCCCTTCTTTCCCCCTTTCGGCTTGATTGACTCTTTTGTACAGACTACAGACAAGCCCCTCTTTTCATATCGACCTACCCAAGACACCTCTCCTCCGCCTCTGCTTCTCTTTCTCTTCTTTCATCCATCACCCCCCCCCGCCCACACGCTCCCCTTTTCATGAATATTCTGCACGTATGAAAAATGACGTGTGCAAATAAAAACACCACGAAATTACTCGATTTGACCAAAGATCGCCTTAATCTCTCTCTGTCTCTGTCTCGCGTATGCACCCTCGCGCCTTTCCTGACCCCCACCCCACCCGCACCCTATTCCTTTTTTTCCCTGTTCTCCTCCCATCTCTTTTCCCTCTGTTGCTGTAGCTGCTGCGTAGGCTCACAACATTACTCACTCACAAACACACCCACGAATGGGCGAAAGAAAGAGGAAAAGTATATCAAAGAGCTGCGGGGTGGAATGAGTGGAATACCTTTCAGATAGCCCAGAGTGCCTTGGTAGTTGGCTTGATGGAATTTGATGCACAAATACGTGATGGCATTGTGACTTTCCTGCAGGGCCTCAGACGCCTGGTCGTACAAGATGATATGAGCAAACTGTGGCCAGCGTCGCCAGGCCTCGCGTTGCTGGTCTGAAACAATAACCTCGGAAACTTTGTCGAGGGTGAATGACGGTCGTTTTAGAATGGTGTTGGGTATCGACACGTTGATTGCGCTGTGGATATGCAAATGGGAATAGTGTACAAATGAGCGAATGTCAATGAGAAGCAATGAATGCGGTTGGGTAATGTTGTTGTCCAAGAGCTGGTTGATTTCCTCAGACGTGAATGCATGCAGACGATTGGCCACTTCTGGTGGAAATAGGGTACTGGTTGCGTTGGTAGCAGCTCCACCGGCGGCAGCAGCAGCTGTGCCGGGAGCAATAGGTGGTTTACTATTACTGCTACTGTTTGCAGTGCTTGCAGCAGCAGCGGCAGCAGCAGCGGCACTCTGTTTTCTTCGAGCAGCTAAGCTTCCCATTGCCAGTAGTTTAGGCGGAGGTGGATGGTTGTACTGTTGCTGTAATTGTGGTGGCTGCTGTTGTTGTTGCTGCTGCTGTTTCTGTGGATAGGGTTGCTGGAGTTGTTTTGAATCATCAGCAAACGGACTGGTTGAGTTGTATCTGTTTTGGATCGCGTTGAAAAATTCTTGGTGTTGCGAAAGCGGCGATCGAGGTGCTGTGAAATACGGCGTTGGAGCTGCCAACTGCTGCTGCTGCTGCTGCTCCTGCTGTTGTTGTTGTTGTTGTTGTTGTTGTTGCTGCAGTTGAAGTTGCAGCTGTGCGCTGTCATGATCCTCTTGCAGTTGAAGTTGCAGCTGTGCGCTGTCATGATCCTCTTGCTGTTGATGGGCTGGCCCAAGTGACGGCGGCATGGTTGTTCGTGGAGTGAAGTAGGAATCGCCGGTAGCAGCAGCAGCAGCAGCAGCAGCAGTATTGGCCGAAGCAGCGGAGGGGTGGAGTGCGTTGGGAGTGCTCGGACACTCAATCATGGAAGCGAGAGAAGTATGGGCCCGGGGAGACCGCTTGCACAGGAAGAGAGTAAGAGGGAAAAAGAGAGCACAGCAGGAAGAAAGGAAGAAGGAAGTAGAAGAAGAAGAGGAACAGGATTTACAGAAAGGGGATGTGCGTGTATGGTGGAACTCGAAAAAAAAAAAAAAGGTTTGGAAGCTTCCAAAAAAGGCGTCACAGTTCTCGGCCCTCTCTGTCTGTAAAGGACACACACACTCTCTCTCTCTTCCCCCCCCCACCCTCCTTTCTGTCTCCTCGCTCAACACTCACTCTCTCCAAGTCCTTTGCTCTCACCCCCAAATGTGAAATGGCCAACCAGGCGTCCACCAATAAACAGAAAGACCGTAGGCCGTTACAGATCATGTGCGAAACCAAACATCGACCTTGACATTTGCATAAACAGCTGCTGCTGCTGCGATCCTCGCTCAGAAGCAACAGCCACCCACTTTCTTCCTTTCTTTCTTCTTTCAGATTGCGCTTCTCGTAGACTCCCCTTCTCTTTCTCTTGTTCTTGAAACAACTTCCAGAAGGCCAATGTACTGTAAGTCGTGTTTTATCTTTTTTTTTTTTTTTTGCAGTCTGTGCGTGGAGTTTCAACGACCAAACGGAATCCGACACTGATCGGCTTTACTTTCTGTGTAATGTAGCACAGGCGACATCATCGATGGACAACAGCAACAACACCGCCGCCATGAGTCAAGGTAAGAGGGGAAAACAAGAATGTGTGCTACCACACCATACCATACCATACCATACCATACCACACACACAGAACCAGAGCCACGTGGACGGGCAAAGAAAGAGAGGCTCTGATAAACACTGCTTCTTGTAAACAGATACCTGTAACAACAATCCCTCCTCCTCGTCAGGCGTACCGTCATCACTAGCAGTCGCAGAAGATCGTGCTGTGAGCTACAGTGGCGACAGAGGCTATCACGATGACACGGCAGCATCAGCAACATCAGAGGCTATCAATCAACATCACCAGCAATACCAAAGTTCTCAACACCACGCGCCGTCCGTTTTATCCACAACACCTTTGCCCGCACAAGGCGATTCGGGCACTACAGTGACCGTACTGGTTCCTGCCTCCCTTGTCTACTCACGACTAGCACCACGCCGTGTGTTTTGCATCGCATTTGGTCAGCTCATATTGAGCGACACCCGTGTACTACTGCCCTCTGCGGACAACAGAGACTGTGTTTCCTTGATATGTAACGCACCGCCGCGTCATCACTTACACATACTGCCGCCCGTAGTCTCCGAGCCCGTCTACGTCTGTCTGTTAGAGAACGATGCCCTGGTCGAAGTTTGGTTTGCTGGCCAGTTTACATACACGAGCGATATGGCTGATGCACCTTCTACTAACCAGCAACAGCAACACCACCTACACGATGCTGTAAAACAAGAGACAATGGACACTCCAAAGCTGCTGACACAGGCATGGCCTCGTGTAGCCACCACTCCATCATCATCATCATCATCATCGTCATCATCATCATACATGACCGAGGAAACTAAAGATCAAGGTAAAATGTATATTCTGTTCTTCTACACAAAAAAAAGTGATAAACAAGTTGATTTGATGCTCACGTTGTCTCGATTGTTGACATCATGTTGTTGTATCTACTCTATGGATTTGATGATCATGGTTTTAGCCATTGCAGCAACCACTACCTCAGCGTATAGCTATTGCTGTCCATCAACAAGGCCATCTGCCTCTACAGTGCCATTACCATCATCCTTGCCTCCATTGCAGACGCAGCAGTACATCAATGATGGATCAACAAGTGGCCCGTGCATGACCGCGTTCTCTCAACAGCAAGAGTATTACGAGCCAAACTCTACTGCATTCGCTCCCGCCAAGAGATACAACTACCGAGAACACAACGGTAACACAAGGCCGGGGGTCGCGGCCAATGCATCGGTCTCGACTGCCATGTTCAATGTTGCACAACAGCAACGACTTCGATCCAATGTAACAGATACAGCAGTACCGCCAACGATGACACGGCGTCATTCCCACCATCATCTCGAAGACCAGCAACAAGCACCTGGCAGCAATAATGAAAAGAGATCCAAAAAGTCTGCTGCTGCAGCTGCGGGGCCAGACATGGGTGGTGTGACATGGCAGGATTATGTCCCTTACCCAAAAGTTGATCGACCCGTTCAATTGGAAATGCTTTCTGACTTTGACAGACTCTCACAAAACTGGACTGAGGAAGAAACAAAAGCTGGTCGTCGCTTGATACGATTCTGGCGTCTTCCTACTACTTACTCTCCCTCATTCTCATTTCATTCCAACACTACTAATACTAATACTACTACTACTACTGGTGGTGGTGGTGGTGGTAGCAACACAGTGTCGATATCGTCACCGTCCTCTGCTTCTTCTTCAACGTCACTCGCTCTATTATTCCCAACAACAACAGCTTCATCTTCAACAGTGTCACCGCCAATCACCGTTTGCACAAATACTGTTGTGTGCGATTTCTGTATCCTGTCCGAAGCGGACTATCGTCACGAGTTTGAAAAGCAAAAGACCGCTGGCATTATCGCTGCTCACAAGAAGGATGAAAAGGACGACTTGACAGCACATAATCACGGTCAAAGAGGAGATGACACAAGCAACACCATCGCCACCGCAGCCAGCAGCTACTACAGCACGGTGATTTCGTGTATTGCGTTCCAGAATGACTTGTTTGTCACCTCAGTCGATCTTATCCATCTGTTGGAATGTATCATGCGGGTCACATTGACAATTGATGAAAAGAACCGTATCCGTCGGAATCTGGAAGGCTTCCATCCGATCACTGCAAGCAAGTACAGTAACAAGACCGCTGATCTGTTTCGTCACGTGATGAATTTTGGCAACCCTATTCCACGATCCATCGAAAAAGATGTAAGTGGGTGGCGGGCGGTGGAAGCTCTATGGAGAAATATCTTTACTGATAAAATAAAGCGTATATGTAGCTCAAGATTTTCCATTGGCATATCCTGCCTTATGCACTGAAGAAGATTCTCGCAAAGTATTTGACGGACTTTGATCAGGGAGAAAGTGCTGTTGCTGCAGCACTGTCAACAATGCCAATGAATGCTATTGAACACAATACTATTCCTCCCCCTCTGCAACCATCGCATTTTTCGTCGTCGTCGTCTACACGCTCTACACAGCGACAACAATATCATCAGCAGCAGCAACAACCTGTTGCTGTTATGCCATCTTCTTCTACAAGTGCTTATTATTCGCCATTTCTACCGACGCTTCCAGCATTTAACACGGAAGACAACCAACAAGAACCACAACAGCTGCAATAGGGGCAGTAGCGGTGACGGATATGACAGTTTCAATCCGCTTGTAAGCTCGTGTACGGTAGTGCATGATCCTCTCGTTTCACAGCTGGATCGAATCAGAAGATTATCGTAATAGTAGTAGTATTGCAAACAGTATATTTCCCTTTGTATATATATAATTACTCCCGTCATGTAATAACATAGCTCATACACACTTGCTTTTACTCCATAGTTGTTATACTACACACACCTATACATAGCTTTACTGCCTTTTGCACAGAAATCACATACTATTTAATGGCAGCAATGAAAAAAAAACTTGCGTTATTATCATTAGTCAATACTTAAAATATCATTATTATTTTAATAAACAATTAGCAATTTTGTAAACAAATAGCAATTATAATATGGTATAGTGAATTATTATGCCAGATCTTTCCACCATGAGCGCCGCACACCAATATCGTACCAGACCAACATGGCAATGACCAACGCAATCAAACCGATTGATGCAAAGCTCATGTACTTGTTCAAACGTTGATACATATCCTTCTCTCGCTCATACCAGCTGTGTACTATGCGTGTATCGCCAATAGTACCATTACTACTCCTGTTTATGTTGATATCGTGGTCTACTGTTCCTTTCTCTTCATCTTCTAGTAGGATTGGTTGAGGGGGCAGCCATAGTACACGCGAGCAACACGACCGTTCGCAAGTAATGAAGGATGCACAGGTATCATTGTTTGATAGTGTTGTTTCTGCTGCTGTTGATAGCACTGTTGCTGCCGGCACCCGTCCAAGGTGTTGTTGACTTTCTGCGGCTGTTGCTGATAACAACAAAAAGCGCCAATCCACCAACAAGGAAAGAACAGAAATCCGAACAAAAACAAAAGTGACTGTGTGTGAAAGACGGGTGGATGATGCAAATAATCGTTATGAGATGAAACAAGACCAACAAATGACACTGTTGTAGGGATGGAATTGCGAGCAGTCGAGGATGCGCTTGCCGAGGAGATGGTTGCTGCGCGATTGAATAGAGTTGAAAAGACAGGCGGTGGTGGTGTTGGCGGTTGTTGTTCCGGTTTAGGTGATGCAGCAAGATGGCGGGTAGCATAGAGGCGCATTGATGTTGATGCAGTGCTGTATGTGAGTGGGTAAGTGCATCGTCGTGAGAGTCGAATGCGTTGGTGCTTCTTGTAACAGTAAAGAAGCGCCCGTCTGCTGGATGAGCTTTGTCTTGTTGTTGAAGTGCAGGGGTTGCTGTTCCGTAAGACGATACTGGATTTTAATGACGATGTACTCTGGCGCGACGTGCTTTTTCTCATTGGATAGTAATAGTAGCAGTAAAGAAACAAATGAACATCGAAAAGAGAAGTAAAACCAAAATAGAGAGAAAGGACCGGAAATGGAGAGAGAGAGACTAGTGCTTATTCTTTGCTTTACGTTATTATTATTTTTGCTGCTTGAATTGAAGGAATGGAAGGGGGAAAGCTGGCATACGCTATGTCAAAGTTAAAGAAGAGGTAAAGAAAGAGGGGAGAATACCTTGTTCAGTATATACGATAAGCCTTATTGTGATTTTTCAGACATGAAGAATTCGTGTGGTCTTTGTAAAATAACTTTTTTTTTTTTACCGAGTAAGTTTTCATTAATAATGCCTACACACAAACCGCACAAATTGTATGAAATGTTCAGGGGTGGGGCCGAGTGAAGTGATGTGGCAAGTCTGTGGTGAACATTGTTATGCAACTTCTTTTCTCTTATCATGCTATGGTATGTAAATCTCTTTTTCGGGACTTCAGTGCTCTGTATGACAGTAATCTGCTGTGGCTGTATAATCCCTAACTGCTGCTGCCACTGCTACTGCCAGTGATTATGTTTTGATGGTATGCATTTGTTGCTGAAGCAAACGATATTCTGCAGTAGAATACTAGCAATTCTATTGTAGCTGATATGATACAATGCATGGTGGCCATTCCAACGGATAGCACAGAAGTAGCGCCGTCCATTTTATAAGGGGGTGGGGCACGTCAAGGAAAAAAGAGCGCGCACGAAGCATTTATTACTGACTGAATATGGAAAAAGGGTTATTGTGGTATGTCTGAGCGCGCACGGCTGAGATTACTTTTGGTTGTAGTAGTTAATTTGCTAGTCCCATCCTCTCTTTATGGTTCTGGTGGTGGTTACTGGCTGAGTGATCCAAAGTCTCCCCCTTCTTGTTAAAATAAGGAAAATTGATATTTGTATGTGTACCTAGCTACTACTGGAAGACAGTCCAACACAGCAACCCCCTGAGAAACTGTGTGCGCATTCTTTCCTTACATACTACTGTATTTCGTCACTCTAGCACAATATGCACAAAAGCCGTGCTGGTAATGTTTTTCATTTGGACAGATCCGTACAGCAACCTTATCCACAAGAATTTTATTTATGAAGAAGGATTATAAGCAATAGTGGCAGCGCAAGGTAGAACAGACAAACTTTATATGAGCAAGCTAGTCATAGTGTAATCTGGTACTTTGATAAGCTTATCTATTCATTTACTGGATTGAAAGGGGTTGCATGGGGAGAAGACTGTTCGATCTCTAAATAAATCCTTTTTTCCTGAGTCCAAAGACTCGGCACAATACCCGTGATATCTTGGGATCCACTATCACTACGACAAACTATACAGTTGGCAAACCTTTCTTTGCATCGTGCCTGCAACTATATATGTTTCCGGGCCGGTAATAATACAAAGCATCTTCCGCATCTTTTTATTATTGAGCATGTCTATACAGTCGTCTATATGGTACAAGTAATCAGATACGTAGCTGATGATACACTCGTGATAGTACATTGAGCATATTATCTTTTTTCGTTCCTTCAATTGTCCTTCTTCTTGGCAGCGGTTTCCTTTTCTTCTTGACTTAACAATCTACCATTCTTTTCCTTTTCCACCCGTTCGCTGTATCGGTCCACGAGATGCTCCTTTTGAGGCCCCAACAAAACGGTGAACTTGTAGAGCTCCTCGGCTACATCCACAATACGATCTCTATAGGAAGACGGCTTCATACGATCGTTCTCGTCAAACTCGGTCCAAGCTTTCGGCACTGACGATTGGTTTGGTATGGTAACCATACGCATCCAACGTCCCAGCACACGCAATGTATTGACTGCATTGAAGCTCTGCGAGCCACCGCAGACCTGTGCCACTGCCAACGTCTTGCCTTGAGTGGGTCGCACGCTACCCAACGATAATGGGATATGGTCAATTTGTGTCTTGAACACGCCTGTGATTTGTCCGTGCTGTTCAGGGGAAACCCACACCTGGCCGTCCGACCACATTGATAGCTCGCGCAACTCAATCACCTTGGGATGTTTTTCGCTCATGTCGTCTTTCAAAGGCAGGCCCGTTGGGTTGAAGACTCGGACGTCAGCGCCCATGTGTTCCAGAATGCGACCGAATTCAAAAGCCAGCAATCGTGAAAACGATCGTTTGCGTAATGAACCATACAGAATCAAAATTTTGATGGGATTGTCTGGGTATTTGGTCAAGTTGAGTGGTTGAACCCAGTCTTGGTTGGCATCGTTGTTGTTGTTGTTGTTGCTGGTATGTGCTATGCTGTTGCTCGTAGCAAGGCGATATGGTTTATAGAGCGAGGCTGCTGCTGCTGCTGCTGATTTCAGTGCAGACATAATGCTGTAGTTTGGAAGGAAAAATGACAAGTTTTCCGATAGCTCGTTTCTTTTCTTTTTCCATCGGGCTTAATTGATTTGATAGAATGTTCCTGACAGGTTTTCTAGAACAGAGTTTTTCCCTGATAAGGAAGGACACGCGTTATGTCTGTTTTTATGATGTGTGTGTGGATGTACGTCAGCAATAGCGGAAAACAATAGTAGATCTCATGTACCCTTGTAAAAATCATCGTCGACTAACCACCATCAACAATCGATTCTCAACGAGCTATGGGCAAATTTCTTATACTCATCTGTTTCATAAGAGCCGACCACGCCGACACGTGGGAAGATCCGACCAATCTCAGTGGCTGACACACGATTCAAGTATAAAATACCTGAAATCCCACTCCCACTACTGTTTGTTTTGTTGAAATCGACACCACCTAACACACATACATACACTCAGCCCATCAAACTCGATAACCATGGCACTACCTACAAGCGGCCTTACTGTGTACCACAACCCGCAGTGCACCAAGTCGCGTAAATCTACCGCTTGTCTCGAAGAAAACCAGGAACAAGGCAACTATCAAGTTGAAGTTGTAAAGTACAAAGCGACGCCTCCTTCTCGCGAAAGGCTTCAAGTTCTCGTTGAATATCTGGGTATGAGAAGCGACTCGCCAACCATCGAACGACCATGGAAAGAAGACCGTCCTTGGGACTACTTGCTCCGACCTGAAGCTCAGGGCAAGGCAACGTCTTATGACGAAGCTTTCGACATTATTGAAAACGATCCTGCCATGCTCGAACGTCCATTCGTGATTGACTGGGATCGCAAGATTGCAGTGCTTGGACGCCCGGATATCAGCCGTGTTGAAAAGCTGGTTGAGGACCGTAAGGCTGGCAAGTTGTAATCAATTTCCAAGGAAGAAAACTGGAGGTTCATGTACTTACAGTATCGTGTTTTAAGACCATCTTCTCTTCTCTAAATAAAAGTAAAAGCTGCCGTCTTTAGATCCCCGTGTCTTTTTCAAGCGCGTTGCTATATTTAATGTGCATGAAGACAATAAATAAGGTGCACGAATGTCAAACAGCCGCGTATATATAATGCGAGTGTTCATCATATAAAGTGCGCTTTAGAGACTAACTGTAAACAAGCTAGTTATAATAGAGTGTGTAGGATATCTATGTCGATTACGGATTCTTAGCACAGCTACATAGATAAAGTCGGATTGACATTCTATTCCCTGTCCCTAACTTTTTCACTGAGGACAATAAGCTGGCCCACCGATCTGTGTTTATTTCCCCGCAAAAGCCGCATCCTTACTCGACATTATGTGATGGTCATTTAATATCACAACTGCCTCTCGCACACTTATAGCGAAGGCAAGATTCTACGCAAAGCCAGAAATTTGATTTCTATTCCTCATACACATCTAGGTGACGGTGAACATCCTCATCTACTAGCTATGTATAGAATACCCTGTTAATCATTGATGTTGGCCTTTCTCTCATTGAAGCGTCCTCTCCTGTTCGATTCAGTGACCTTTTGTTATACATACTCTCTGCCAAAGACTAAAGAATCAGCATCACATCCGCGTTGAATGCCCGAAGTCTCGGAGCAGTGCTTTTGGTAATCATAAAATTGTTGCTTAATGCTTTTCTCTACACTTCGACACTCTCTTCTCCGTCGACCACAAACACGATTCATGACGCAATCAGTACTTGCTCCTGCTTCCAAATTCAAGCTCGCCTTGATTCAGCTGAAGGGATCGCCCGATAAGCAAGCCAATCTCGCCAAGGCCCGTGCTCAAGTTTTACAAGCTGCCAACCAAGGTGCTAATGTCGTCGTCCTTCCGGTATGTAAGAGCTCATATGTTCCCTAGCTTTTTTTTTTCATTCTCTCTTTCTCTTTTTTGAACATCAAAAAGTACTGTTTACTGAGTTGAAGCTGCAATTATCCCCACTGTTGCTACTACTAATAGGAATGCTTTAATTCACCTTACGGTACGAATTTCTTCCCAGAATATGCCGAGGTGTTAAAGACTAGTCCTTCTGTTGATATGCTTTCAGGTGTTGCCAAGGTAAAGTAACTGCTATCTTTATGCTGTTTACACCGCCCAGCTCATACATCTAACCCACTGTTCAGGAAGCTGGCGTGTACCTTTTTGGTGGCTCGATTCCAGAACGCGACGAGTCGGATAAAGATAAACTCTATAATACGTTGACGGTTTACGATCCATCAGGTAACACACCGGTCATGTATACATGCTTCTGTTGGCTAAGTGGTCTTGAAAATGTAGGCAAAATGATTGCTACTCATCGTAAGGTGCACTTGTTTGATATTGACGTTCCTGGCAAGATTCGCTTTATTGTAAGTTCGGGTCCTAGTATATTTATTACAAAGTAAGAAATTCATGCAAATTGTCCCTTCAGGAAAGCGAGACGTTGTCAGCCGGTGATTCCTTGACTCTTGTAGATACAAGTAATGTATTCGCAGCAGACGACGTTGATTGTGTTTATCTTACTAATTGATGAGTGATTCAAATAGAGTATGGTAGAATTGGTGCAGGTATCTGCTACGACATCCGGTATGTACACAGTGTGGAGATGTGGATACAAGAGAGAACGAGGCGGAAATACAAAAGGTCGCTTATAAAAAGATAATGGCGATTTACAGATTCCCAGAAATGGCCATGGTTGCAGCACGTAAAGGATGCGTTGCTATGCTTTATCCTGGTGCATTTAACATGACGACTGGCCCTATGCACTGGGAGTTATTGCAGCGTGCAAGGTAAGTTCGAAGAAGTACCGGCTGTCAAAGAAAATGAAGATTGACAGACTGACCATTCTTCCTAACTCTAAAATAGAGCCATGGATAACCAGATGTATGTTGCAGCATGCTCTCCCGCACGCGATGGATCCGCTTCTTATGTTGCTTGGGGCCATTCAACGGTAGTCGATCCAAAGTAAGACCTATAAGAGATCGCTTGGGACTGTGGTTACTAAGTGTTCTCTTGTTTTTCTAATTTATAGGGGCGCAGTAATCGCGACCTGCGATGAAAAGGAGACTATTGTCTATGCGGATATTGGTACGTTTATATAAGAATATATGAAGCACGCTCTCTTTTTGGGAACGATGGTCGTCGAAAGAAGCCTAGTGACTTATAACTCTTGTTTCGATCATATAAACAGACCCCGAAGAAGTTCAGTCCATTCGTAGAAACATCCCGCTTTACAGTCAACGTCGATTTGACATCTACGGCGACGTAGCCAAAACTGTAGTTGTTGACGAGAACGGCAACGGTGTAAAAAAGCAATAAATTGCAGTAGTGATTATTGCTGTAATACTAGGATCATCATTATAAAAAAATAAACCAGAAGAGAGAGAGAGAGAGAGAGAGAGAGAAAGAAAAAAAAAATAATGCAAAATATATATAGAACTCTAAAATACAGTACCCAATGCTTCAAACCAGCTGACTATACTTGAATCAGTTTGTACACATTGTCGAAACTCTTCCAGACTGATATATCCTTCCCGCTTAACATCAATGTTCTTGAACGTCTTGTCGACCATTTCATTGATTGCGTCCTGCGACATGGTCTCCATGATGGGGAATTTTTCCTCCCAGGTCCGTTTCGGTGATGATGGTCCAATCACATCTTCATCGTCTTCTAATAATCCTTCTCCCTCTCCTTCTGGGTGGTTAGATGATGGTGATGTCGACGCTTGTCGTTGCTTGTTTTTGCGTAAAGACCGATCAAACTCAAAGTTGAGTTCTTCTCTGAGGTAGTCTGCTGGCTCTTCTTGCTGCCGTTGCTGCTCCTCATTTTCATCCTCTTCTTGCTGCTGTTGTTGTTCTTCTTCCCGGTATTGTTGTTGGAAATAGTTCTCTTTGTTTGGATATCGTCGCCGCCGACGTCGTTCACGACGTAATTCGTCCTCTTCCTCATCTTCATCTTCCTCCTCGCTGCTATTTTGGCTGGATGAAGGTAGTGAAGGAATCGCCACATTGAATGCTGCACTGACAGGCTGTGATGCAGAAAACTCAAAATTATCCATCATCTCGTCTTCCATCGCGCTGACGACGTCGCGAACGAGTTCCATTGACAGATAAAAGTATGACTTGAACATACGATACAATTCGTCTCGTGAAATGTATCCATCTTCATCCAAATCGTATCCTTTGAATGCATCTATTCAAGCCCAATTTGTTTAGTGATTGTGCGGTGCATTCATGAATCCAAATGAGAAAGGTATAACGTGAATCACTTACATTCGATCTTTTCATCCAGATTGCCCTTGCACAGTACGCTCAGCCCACCCACCAACTCCGGAAAACTAATGACTCCATCCCGATCTTGATCGAAAAACGCAAATATCCGTTCGGTAATCAAGTTCTTCTCCAAACCTAACGGTCCTAAACACTGTTCGAACGTTTCAGTATCGATTCCGCGTTCGTGATGTTCGTTTTTCTCCACAATGGCCAGTGACTTGAACTGTTCGTGCAGCGCTTCCAATTCCAAATGGTCAACTAACAAATGCATTTTTATAATTGAATTTTCTCTGCTGTATAAGTAAATTTCTCCCTATTCTGTACTATACTTGGTGGAGCTGCTTACAGTGTGATCTGTCTTGTAATTCACGGATCTTGTCAGACGACAGGGTCCATCGACTGTTCTCGTCATTGCCCGGATAAAATGCCGGTAAGAGTGCACTTCGTGGATTTGCGAGTGGAGGGATAGGTATCCGTATTTTCAAAAACACGTGTGTGGTTAAATGAGAGTTTGAGCCTTCACACATTTCACATAGATCAAAGTCGACGCAATTGGCGCATTTGTATCGAGTGCCACGGATCGGTGATACTCCACATTTGTTGCACGTAATGCCACCTAACTCCCACCATATACATATAGTTGAATCAGCCTCTTTCATTCCTGTAGTCTACTGAATGCACTCTCAAATTCATGTATATGTATATCGGTCTTACATACGGTGAATGTATCCTTCTAGAAAAGGCGTCGTCGTTCAGGAGAAAGATTTGCTAGTTAGAAAGCGTCGCTGATAAAGTTATGACATACCATATGATTTACCTCTTCGTGCTTGGGTCTCTGATATGGCATAGATTACATTTAATAGATTTTTATTATCGTCATCGCTCCACAAGGGCACCTCTTCTTCCGTTTCCGACAATGGCACTTGTAACAACGAAACAGCCTCTTCTGGATCGTCTTCTCCTCGGCGTTGATGTCCCGGTCGTAAGCGACGCCGTCGAACGTGCCGTGACCGACGGAGTCGTGTGGATCGCCGTGTCTCGCTTGATGTTCCGTTGGCATTACTGTTGGCAGTGGTTGCTGTTGGTAATTGCGGCGATGCCGTCGAGTTGTATCGTTCAGCAGCGTAGGAAACGGCAACTAGAGCAATCACGCCGGTTAGTGCTCCGGAGACGACCAAAACCGCCGGTGGGATCCGTAGCGTCATAGTGATTTACAGGTAGTCTATATATACAATATTGTCCTCTTGTATGTGTTTGTGGCAAGTGTGTAGAGGGAAAAAAAAGAGAGAAATGAAACCGACGATTTCGGAACTTGATTTCAATTTTAATGCAATCTAGTATTGGAGAGTCACTCCCACTACTTTCTCTTTTACCTAACACAACACACACAATAATGATCGGACCCGACATTCCAAAACAATTGTTAAAGAAAAAGCCACAACAACAGGAGCCAGCAGTCGAATTGGACGAAACTGAAGCAGATGAAGAAGTAGTGCAAGACGTTACGCCTACACTAGATCCAGTAGGACCTGCGATTCCACCAGAACTATTAACCAAAAAAAGGCAGGAGCGAACAAATCAAGAAGGAACCCATGAAACAGAGGAGAAGCCTTCAACATCCCCTGTTCCTCCTGCTTCTGCTGCTGCAGCTGAAGATAATAACGTGGACAACGATGATCCAGATGCGTTCGCACCAGCATTGCCACCAGATCTGTTAGAAGCACGAAAGAAACAAACGCAAGGAAAGAACGTCAACAGCACTAGTGGCAGTGGTAGCGGTAGTGGTAGAAGACGGCGTGCACCTGCAGGCCCTGCATTACCCAGAGCGTTTGAAGCAGAGGCTGATGACGACGTGGTTGGCCCTATTTTGCCCTCCAATTATAATCCTGAACAGGTTTGATCTTTATCTTTTGGCTACCAGAACCAAGCCATTTTATCAAGGCGCGTACTAAATTAATTTTTTCTGCTTGATAGGACGCAGTACGATCAGCTGTTGCAGATATTGAAGAACGGGCACGATTAAGCAAAGAAGCAATGGATGCTGTAAGTGATTTTGGATATTACAAGTCGATCTCAATGAAATTGGGTGATGATGTGAATGATGGATTTTAATATATGTATTTTTTATTTCAACAGGAAAAAGCGGCTGCAAAAGAAAAGAAGGTCGAACGGCCAGAATGGATGCTAGTACCTCCTGAAGTGGATTTTTTGCGAAATGGTAAAGAAACAAAAAGATAGGAGATCTTAATAGTTATGACCAGCTTTTTAAACATCTGCTATTGTAGCGGATTCATCGCGATCTAGAGGATTCAATACGAGCAACTTGTCTGAAAAGGAACGCGATCGTAGCGTCTGGACTGAAACGCCCGCAGACAAGGAACGAAAGCGTAGCGGAAAGCGTAAGCAAGTTGAAGAAGAACAAACTCCATCAGCTCTTCCATCTAGATACTCGCGCCGTGAGCAAGATATGCTACAGAACATCCAACAACATAATGTAAGGGTAAAAAAGAGAAAACTTTCTCTCCATATACTGAAAAAAATGGGATTCTTTTATTTTATACATTATATAGATGATGGAGCGACCCAAAACGCTGATGGAACTACATCAAGAAAAGGGACGCAAGAAGAGAAAAGAGGATGGGGAGGATGCTTCAAGTCGACCATTTGATCGTGAAAAGGACTTTTTGAAGGGGCCTAGTAGACCTATGGACAGACGGAAAAAGCAAGATATGATCAAGGGTGCACGGGAGTTAGGTGGTCGTTTTGGTTCTGGAAGCAGCTCTTTCTTGTAACAGAAACGGAGGAATACGCACATACGCTTTACCTTGATATACATCTTTTTCTCCGAGAAGTTACGTAAAATAGAATCCTTGGTTTCTTTACCATGCTACGAGGCCACCATCTAGAATTATTGTTCATAGATGTAGAAGATGGTTAAAGAGGCTGGACACCACACTTGTGACAAGCTATAGTGGTGAGAGAAACACTTACCAATAAGAACATCGGTACAGGTCTGGAAAGAGCTAGCATCTGAGGCAAGGTAAACTGCAGGCCGTGCAATCTCGGCAGTGGACGCCATACGTCCCATGGGTGTTGCATAGGCAAAATACTCCAGACTCTTCTTGTCCGACGGAGCAATAGGCGTGACGATGTTGCCGGGCGACAAGCTGTTGACTCGGATGTTGTACTGTGCCCACTCCACACCAAGCGCCTTGGCCATATGCACCACTGCGCCCTTGGATGTGCAGTAATGGGTCATGCCCGGCTGTGCGTCTGGTCGGTTAATCGCATGTGCCGAAATAGAGCCAATGAGGATGATTGATCCACTGGTCTTGTGCTTGACCATCCGTCTTATATACCATTTAAAATCATTAGCAATAAATTGATAAAGAATTGTATGAGGGCTTGTCAAAGAGAAAAGGAGTAGATAGCATACCGTGCTGCAGCCTGGGCTGTGTAAAAGGTACCATCCAAGTTGACACGCATCACCTTGTGCCAGCTCTCGGGCGTCTGTTCCAGAGCAGGCATGTATTCTGCGATACCAGCGCAGCTCACCTGAACATGGATGGGGCCGAAATCCTGCTCTATAGCATCATATACGGCTTGAACCTATCGTTTGTTTGCAGTATTAAAAATCCACAATTAACGACCACTCTTTCTGAATTACACAACTCTCCCTTCCCCTTCCTCAACGTATCTTCTATCCAAAACATACGTCGTCATAGTTGCTGATATCTAGCCGGTAGTATTTGAATGTCGTGGATGGAAATTCCTCTGACAAGGTTTTGGCAGCCTCCGCACCGAGTTCGTCGCGAAGATCAATCATGGCGATTTTAGATGCGCCTGCCTGGGCAAAACCTCGGACAATACCTGCACCAATACCACGAACACCACCTGTCACTGTTTGTTTTGTTGCTTTGTCAACATATAGCTCTGTACGTGTTTGCTACTTCTTTATTACTGGAAATAGCACTTGCCTACACAGGTTCTTCCATCGAGGCGGAACGCATCATGACTGGTATTGTTTTCGCTACCACCGCTTACAGTCATCTTTTGCTAAATGTTTATAGATAGGGGGTAGGTGCAAAAGTGCAAAAAAAGCTATCAGAGGTCTGTTCGGGCGGTTACTTCTTTTAAACCAAGAAGAAAAAGAAAGTTTGTGTTATTTGATATACACATCAGCTGTACTTGAAAGCGTATTTTTTTTTCTCAAGGTGCCCGCGTTTAGGAGAATTTCGACTGCAAGAACAATCCGAAAACACAGTCCGTGTTTCCCACTATCTTCCGCTTTTTCTCTAGCGTGATGATACACAGGTCGTCTTCGATGTTTAATTATTAAACTTTTTTTTATTAGTAACAGTAAAGTCAGAACATAGTCTATGATTCTAGTAAATGAACTCGAAATCATCATCGCCATCGCTGCATACATGAGCTGGCATGGGCAATTCAATTTTAATCACCGGTGGCCTTTTTTCTGATATAAACTTTTCCAGCTGTTTCTTTTCCTCTTCTTTGTGCTTGGTATAGTAGTGCTGCCACACCATCCATCCCATGTGTATCAGTCCTCCCAAGCAAGCAGCGATCATGAGGCCCAGCATTAATACGTGTACGAACCGAGCACCGGGATCAACCGAGGAAAAGGGAGAGGAAGATTCGAGCATGTTGTGAATGTTTGGATGGATGCTAGAGGTGGCGATAAGAGTGTCGTCTATTGAGAGCAATTTATCCACGGCATTGGCAGCAGAAGGCTGACAGCAAGCCATTGGATCGGCTTCAGCAAAGCCTAACCGCCGTCCGCCACGGTCCCATATTGTTGTCTTGCCACGCATCAATGTGTTTCCCAAAATGGTACCCGCCATCCGTGTGCCACCACCGTGCGAAAGTCCTGTCCAACTAATGTTGATCCATGACATACTAGTTTCCTCCAATACAGGATGTATCTTGACTAGATTCTCTAGGGGAATGGGAATCGCTTGACCGCTCAAGGAAACGGACACGTTCGAACGGTTATCAAGCTTGACGGCTCGGCTCGGGAGTGTCAGCTGTGCATGTTCGAGCCAAAACGCGCGTTCATACTCTGGTGATATGTATCTTCGATCAAATTGAATCACATTGCTTTTCCACAACGCCATCAGCAACCGGTGCAAGTTCTAAAAAGTTTGATACATTAGCTTTGTATGAATACACACTTGATGGATTTCATTGGTGCAATGTTTGCTTTGACAATGCTAAAATAACAAAAAAACATACCTCGGTACTGAGAATAATATCATTGGTGCCAGTGTCGACTATTGTTCGTGGTTTGTTTAAATCGTCGTGCATATCTACTGGATGGCCATTGACAAGAAACGCATCGATCACTACTTCGTAATAGTGGCTGTCGATTAATGACACCCAAGTAATTGGTGATTGGATACTTTGACTGGAATATCCACCTAGCCAGAAATGACCAACTCGACTCCCATTACAAGACGGTTCCTTGCTTTTCCTATGCTCGTCAAGTGCCCTGCTGGTATCGTCTGATATAAGGCTCAAGCCATGTGCAGCCAGTGGATCTACCACAGAACTTGGACAAAGCTGAAAGGAAAAGGCGTCGGGCACATGTAACTGCTTTCGCGTTGCGTCAAAGAGTGTTTCTGACGACAGCTCGTGGTTCAAATATCGACCGTGGTGTGGACGTGTCTGCAACTTCGAATACGCAAGCCCCCATAAACCTTGATTTTGTGGACACCGTGGAACAAAGAAATGGTTGCTGCTGGTAATGGCATCGACGCGTGCAGTTGCTGACTTATCATTTCCGAAATGTATTGATTGACCTGTTGCGTAACCGTGCCACGACGAGCGTGTTTTTGCGTTTCCGTAGCGAGCGCTCACGCGGTTTACCAATGCTTCCGGATGCACGGGCAAATGCGGCTCTTGAACAAACGTGCAGTTACTGCTGTCACAGCGATCGGATATCACAGCAGTGTTGGAAGATCCGGTGTCAAGGACGAGGTTCATCTTTTACAAGCAATATACTTGGATTAAATGACAAAGATAAAGGGGCCGCATGTTGGATCATTACTATAGTAACCAATAATTACCATGGTTTCGCCAACTTGGAGCTTTACGTGATAATCACATTCAGGATATCCGTAGACATCAAAGTGAGCGGTCATTGCAGAAGAAGAGTTCATTGCGAAGCAAGATCAAAGCATAGCCAAGGGGAGGCGAGAGAATAAGGGAAAAGAAGGTGATCCCAGCATCCTGGAACTCCCCAATTGAGGTTTTTTTTTTAAATTATGAATGCCATTATCCCCTTCCAGTATATGTTCCGGATGTATTTGTTTGTTCAGCTTAATAAAAAGGCACGCGGACACTTTTTCACTTTATTGCCAGCTTCCAGAACAATTTGGAAGCACCAGGACATTCTAGTACGCTACACATACAAGAGCACCACATCCTTTCTTTTTCCAATTTCACCGGTGACCAACAAGCCAATACAATGGCCAGCAAAGTGAAAAACTTGTTCAAAAAGATCGAAAATTTTGGCAACCCGGATCCTCTACCTCCCTCCAAGAACGTTCCGCCGGCGCCCCAGTTTGATCAATTTGATCCGGTGGCAAGCGAAGTGTATCGCCACCGCAAACACGTGGGCGTGAACCTCGGCTGTCTCTTTTGTCTTGAAGGCTGGTTGGCCCCACCCAGCTTGAAATCGAGCGGGTTGCGACATGATTGGGAATCCGAGATTGATTACCTCGAGGCTTGTCAATCGCGCGAAATGGCACGCGATTCACTTGAAGATCACTGGAAGAGCTTTATAACCGAGCAGGATTTCGAATATATGGCTAATGCTGGCATAAATGCAGTGCGCCTGCCCGTCGGGTATTGGATCGTGGTTGATAGGAACGATCTAACTGGGCCTTTCAAAAAGTTCCAAGGTGTCTATGATGCTGCATGGAACTATTTCCTGATCACTCTCCATAACGCCGCGAAGCATAATATCGGCGTTCTGGTCGATTTACACGGTGCTCCAGGTAATAAGGGAAACTTAGTAAAAGATCTTTTGTTGGAAAAAAAAGTACGGTGGTGTTAACGATAAACTTTTATCTCGCACTCGCGCACAGGCGGTCAAAATTGCGATAGTCATTGTGGTGTGTCAGGCGGACAAGCTCAACTTTTCAGACTTGGATCGCACAACCAGACCATTACCCTTAAGGTCCTAAACAAACTGGCCACGACCCTCGCGCCAATCAACAACGTGATTGGACTTGAAATATTGAACGAACCTCAAGACGATTCATCGCTGCCAGGCTTTTACTTGGAAGCGATTAAACAAGTCCGTCAAGCTACGCCTAATTTGCGCCTACCATTGTACATTGGCGATGCATGGAATTTAGACAAGTACAGCGAATTCATTGCCAAGCACCAAAATGAGTTGGATTTCTGTGTTCTCGACACCCACCAGTATTTTTGTCATATGCCTGTCGATCACGCCAAAACGGCCGAGCAACACACGAAACATCTGACGACCGGATTAAAGGACAAGTTGACCAACGCGTCCAAGCGTATTCGAGGCAGCATGGTTGTTGGTGAGTGGGCGGTCGTGTTGAACGGTAAATCGATTCCCAAGGGCCAGCATGATGGCAAAGTCATGAAAGATTTTGGCGCAGCCGAGCTTCAGGTGTGGGATCAAACATGCGGCGGCCAATTTTATTGGACTTACAAGACCGCCGATGACGGATGGTACTGGAGCTTTATTTATTGCATGAAGAACAATATCTTGCCGCAACCGCTGCCCGGTGGTGGATTCATCAATAACGTCAATGCTGGGCCGATCCGGGATAGCAAAGGGGCGGCAATGGAGGACGCGCATGGAAAGCATGTACAGTATTGGACGGGGCAGAACAATCAAAAGGTTGTCGATAACGCCTGGCGTTTTCAAAAAGGGTTTGACGCAGGTTTTGATGTTGCGCTTCGCTTTGTTGAATCGTTCAAAAGTCACGTCGGATTTGTGGGTCAGCTAGCTTATGAATATGCACTACAGCACTGCAACGAAGATCAGGATAAGCAGGAAGCGTCGGCAAACGCCTGGCAGTTTGAGCACGGCTTTTCGCAAGCTATTGGAGTTGTTGAGCAAGGATTACGACGATCAGGCGCTCTGTAGTAGTGATATTAGCGGTTCTTAGACACCACTTGACTCATCAAAATTTTAATAGATGAAAATAAACCTTAGAAGCAATATGTCAATTGTAATGTAAGATCAACACTGATGATCTATGCGTAAACCCGATAAAGTTAGCACTCCATATCTAAGTATTTAGTGGTAGTTTGACCTTTCAGGTAAGACCGATAGCAAGCATCTAAAAGCTAAGGGTATAATCATGTTTCTACTGTACTAACGAAGAAGCGCTGTCTATGATTGAAAACAGGTTATTACTGAAATTTATAAGGTATGAACTCAAACAGATAAAAAAAGACTTCTTGATTACTAGCAAATCTTATTTCAACAAAAGAAGATCCATCGGGAAGATGACGATCAACCTTTCCCTTGTGCTACTGCTCGTATAGACTTTGTTAAGGAGTATGACTTGTAGTAGATAATAGTAAAGTATACCAGGAGCTACAGTTGTCCACTAGTATCTGGGTGATAGACTAACGAATAACCTGTTGTAGTGGTTGATCATGGAGAGCACTTTGACATCACTAAGCCAGCTCCGGCAAAGGTAAAAATAATAAGTAAACACAATGCAGTAAGATTTGATTTCTTTGTCTTTGTTCTTCCTCTCTCTTCATTTACTGTTGTTGAGCATTAATCACCTTTTCTAAAGCATCCCTGAAATTTAAATGCTTCCATTTACATAACTGAAAAAGAGACGCTGTTGCTACTGCTGCTGTGTCTACTATTATCGCTAGCAGCGAGTATTAGTATGTAGAGTAAAAGCATAATATAACCATAGCATAAAGAAGTTGTTACTTTCAGGGTCAAGTGTCATCATCCCTCTTTTTTGTCTATTGCTCGTTTGTAACATCGGCTCTCCCCCTCCTAAATGACACCTTTGTTTTCCCTTTTTCAATGAACTTGGCCACTTATGAGCAAATGTCAAGTACATTTTGGGGCTGATGATGACGACATTCAAAGTTGACAACAGCGTGTTTTTTGTCCGAGTAATGTGTAAATAGTCAGTAGTAGTAATGGAAAAAAGCCCTATCTTCAAAGAGGAAGATCGGGATGGGGGTGGGGTTGTAAACATTTGAGGAGGTTGAAATTAAGCGTAGAGAGATCCCCTGTTGCTGTTGCTGCTGTTGTTGCTGCTGTTGTTGATTCTGTTGGTCATGTCCAAGTGACAATGGGGATGATGCTGTGCTGTTTGTGCTTTCTTTCAGAGCTATCATCATTGTGGTCCTTTGAAAGCATTTGTAAAGGAAAAGCGGGAACAAGCTAGACCAGATATAATTCATACACCTAAGCAACTTTTTTGATAAAAGAAAAAATGGTTGTCAAACCAGCAATAGCTAGAGCTGTCAGGTGTGCAGCAGTACTAGCAGCATTAGTAAACTTTGTTGTCCTTGCATTACTAAGTAGGCAAAATCAATAAAAGACAATCATTTTGGCATATGCTATGGTAACGGATTGACGAAGGAGGGAACGATCTGAGGTTGGCATTGATATGGCATCTCTTCTTTCGTTTCTATGCTGTGGCTACTCCCTTATTTACCACTTGGACAATCAAAGTCTAAACGCTATCGAGTTATATCGTCAACGAAATTGAGATCCTCCTTCTTACAAATCCAGATACTTGCCGTCGTTAAACCAGAAAGCAACACACTTTTGTTGCAGCGTCTCTTCCTCAGGCACAAAAACACCCCCAAATTTTCGTTGTTTGAACTTGACTTGTTCCTGCAAACAAGTTCGCTGCTCCTCCCCTATTTTTTCTTTCCTTCTATATCAGCATTTATAATACTTTCTATAGGTCTCAGCAAGCAGCAGTAGCAACCTAAAGGTAAGATTTTAATTGTTCAAACGGCTGTAAGCTCATTCTGCATCTTGCAACTTAGTTCTTTTTTAATTCATTTCGGCAGAACATTATAAACACAGTGCATAGAACGTTGATACAATGGAGTGAACTTTAAGCTAGAATAACTACTATGTGGTCGATATGTATTACTTTTGCTTTGCTTATAAGCACTTTGCTCTTCTTTTGCCGCAGGGTGATCTGTCGTCAACAAAAATGACGTGCACACTTCAGTGGCAAATTTGAGGGAGCGCAGTAGATAGAGAAGAAGAGAAACAGACAGTGGAAATTTGAGGGGAGGTGTACTAGGGATTTGGAGTGGATGTGTGTGGATGTGTGTGTGTGCTTATGAGGGAGGAGAGTGAGAAGTAAGAGAGTGACATGGGCCGGTGGTGGCTGCAAGGGAGTGACGAGGGAGCAAAATGAGGGAGACGTTAGAAGAGGAGTAGCGCGGGGGATGCTAAGCGAGAGAAAAGCGGATAAAGAGGAAGAATAAGCGAAGCATACCGAAAAAGAAAGGTAGTATATCTACATCGTCCACGCGCATCACTCCTCACTCTATCCAAAGCTTGCCTCCCCCAATTCTAAGCCCTCCCCACCCATTCATTCAGCATCGTGTCTCCTCTCCTGCGCAGTACATAGTGTGCTGCTACCACCCGCTTTTATGCGTATATAAAAAGCCACTCTTTGCTGCAATTCCTTTCTGTTTGTACTCGCTCCTCTTATCACCAACAGATTCCATCGTTCAGCTATTCTTACTCTTTTCTAACTAATCAATTACTCTTTTATATTAACGACCGCCACTAAAACAAAAGACAACGAAATAAATTATTCTGACGATGAATACAAACGAGCTTACGGTTTCCCAAGTGTTTCAACAATCCGTCGTGCCAATTTCGTTCGGCGCGAGCTTTGCTTTGCTAGGCGGCTTTTTCTTTGGATGCATCTATTCTGGTCTTGCAAAGAATGAAAAGCAAATCAGCTGGCTACTGACATTTGCAAGCAGCTTTGTCTGTACGCTCATTTCGATCCCTTGCTTCTTCACGTTCTGGCTTTCCGGGTGGGACATTCGAATGCTGGGTATCGAGGCTACTTGGCACACCGCAAGCGTCTGCTTTTTCATTTCCTATCTTATTCTCGACTTGTCACTGGGATCCATCTACTATCGCCGACGCATCACCTTCTTGACCGGGTGGTTCCATCACACACTCTACATTGTCTTTCTCTTGTGGTTCTTGCGTATGCGCACCGCTTCCTTCTTTTGCACCGCTGCCATTCTCGAGCTCCCTACGCTGATATTGGCTGCAGGATCTCTAAGCAAAGTCTGGCGATGCGACTTTTTGTTTGCAACATCCTTCTTTTTCCTTCGTCTTGTGCTCCATGCCTGGATGATTGCCCAGCTCAGACTTCATCATCGAGTCGAGTCCCTTTGGATTGTTGCCGTTGTTGTGTATCCGTTGCATCTCTATTGGTTCCATGGTTAGCGTCTTTTTTTATTATATTGTTTATACGAGACGTACGCACATACGCGTCTGTACGTGCTTATGCGTGCGTCCGGTCTGCATCGTATGCTCATCATCTAACTTTCATTATTCTCATACCTCTCTCTCTCTCTCCGCGTCTCTCTGTAGGTATTATTAACCAGCAGATCCGAAATCACCCAAAGGCTATGCAACAAATTGCCATACTTTTGGATTCAAAGCATAGCTTTCTCGACAAGATCCTCACAGCATAGAAACCCATCATTCATATATCCAACAATTACTACTAGCATCACACTCTCCTACGCGGGCACGTATCCACACACGACAACAAGGCCATACATACGCACGTATTCGTGTATTTTTTTTATCTTTTATTGTATTTAACTTCAAGCTCATTCGTGTCTTTATCTACTTAATTGCGATCCCACCTGTTTCTCATCATTTACTTAGCCCTACCCGCTTTCATTTTTTCTTATTGTTGTAAAAGTATAAAACCGTACAAAAACCACGTTAATGTCAACAAACAAACACATTTGTACGCTGTCTTTTTTTTTTGAATAATTTATTTACTATCATATATTCTCATTTTCTATGCTCTTTGTGTGATGCTAATTGTCGTTGTCACTGACGTTGTTGCTCTACAACTTTCATGGTTCCGGTGCTCCAGCTGCGTTTACATCTAGGATAGTATTAATACAGTTCACTTTTGGTTGTAAAAAAGTGTATATTGTTGCCAAAATGTCGACTTTTGTGATCGTCAATATGAGCAAGATTGTACCACAAATTGTATAGGTGCAGTATGTATCTACTAGTTTTCATGCACAGTGTATGTATCGCACCGGCGGTAGCCTGAAAGTTTATTTCCAATATATAACTCACTTTCGTGGTGTGTCTTAAAGCACGACGAAATGATCAAGTGATCGACATGCAGGATCACATCGGCCTCCTTCTCTTGCCTATCACTGTCACTATTTTGTGTATGCTGTCCACCACCTTCTCCTCCTCTGCGCCTCCCAATTTGGGGAGAATAATTCTTACTGCGTACACGGTGCTGCGATGCTGCTAGTGGACCCTGGTGCTGATTTATTTTTATTTTTAAAAGGCACAGATTTGTTTTTGCTATGTGCTGTATGTATGCATACCAACACCAACTGAGACTTACCATTCCGATACGTTGGCACGGCCATGTCGATAATCATCATAAGAGCAGCGGGCTGTCCAGCAACAATGAAGTTCGTCAGACAAAGTTTCAGTTTTGAAGCGCGTAAGGGATAAATTACACCATCATTCTTCATCATCAACATATACTACTAGATATTACCCATATATAGTAATATGCTTAGCATCAACCTTTTTTCCCTTTGTTGCTGTCACTCAACAAAAGACAGCGAACACCGATTCGTCAAAACCTACATGCTTTATGTTTGTCACTCACATACGCATGCATAAAGTACATACTTGCAAGATTTTGTTCCGGAGTAATTTTACATATGTTGCGCGTTTTAGAAAGAAACCAGTTTACTAATCTCTTTTTTGCTGCTGCTGCAGGTCCAAGTGATATAAGAAGAAAAAGAGAGAAGCTTTGAGAGAGGAGTACATGACAGCAGTCTAATTATATTAGATTACTGGGATAGTTTGTTGAACTACTAGTGATTATCTCGTTAGAGTGATGCTGTTACGATTAATGCAATAGATAGTAGCATGTAATGACGACGAGGTGACAATGATGATGATGATGATGATGATGATGATGCCACAGTTTTGCTTAATGAGATAGTAATTACGATTTAATCATCGCATTTTTTTACTACATTAAGTCATATTACTATACGAACGTTCTAAAAAAGGAGAAATGACAAATCAAGAGACAAAAGAAGGAGATTGGTTCGGTGACCATACATAATACTTTTCATCTTTTCAAAAGAATGATTAGCCATTTGATCACTCCGATGTAAACTATGTACACAATAGCTAGAAAAGTGAGCGCAGTGCCAATGATATTTGCTATCCTGGTGCTGCATGAATGAAGCCGGTCGCATTATCTGTTCTACTTTTGCATACTTTGCGTATGCATTGCAAGTAGCTCCGTCTTGTTACTGTTAACTGTTTTTTTGCTATGGAAGCTGTAGATGATGCTACTACCGCTTGTCACAGTTCCATGTAGACTGGACGTTTTCTCTGCTCCCCTGGTAATAGCTACGTCCTGCCGACAATGCTGCTGATTACATACGGTTTAAAGCGCTGCAGACTCTAACTCCGTGGGGAATGTAAGTATATAGCCAGTTAAAGTGCCCATTTATATCATTTAGGATGGGAAGCATTTACATATACGTTCGCATACTATCACTGCTTGAGATTCAGGGTCTCCAAAGGTGTGTAGAGCACCCATCATTTTGGTGTGTCCTTTCCGTGCTCCACGACACTTCCTTTTGTTTTGTACATCTGAAAGGGCAAAAGCATGGACCATCCACCTCCATCACTATTGATCCTTGGTGGCAACAAACCCTACACCGATCGTGTATATGTATCTGTGCGTGCATCGTTATCAAGGAATATTTGTGCGCGGGGTATTACTTGGCACATAAGAGTATAGCTTGACAGTACAGGTGGCGAGGGGTTATTTAGCTTTTTCTTTTCGCCGCTTTCCCCTCACCCCCTCCCCTAAATCCCTACGTTCCCGCCTCGTTTACACATAAACAAAAGAGAGAAAAGATACTACTATGTGTAGTAGCACTATGTCCTCCTCTGTCTCCGCTAGCTAGGGCAAACAGAAAGGGTTGCATACACATCGTCGTTCTTCTCGATAACAAGGAAGTAAGGTCACTGACTACATACAGAAAGGAAGGAGTGGCGGTTGGTAATGTGCTGCATACTAATTGGGTGACTTATCTTGGTGTGTAGTACACTGACCTTACCAGTCCTTAGATGGTAACATGAAGAGGTAGTGAAGGAGGAGGAATCAAATTTATGCCGAAAAACAAGAGAGCGCTCTACTAGTGATTTTGTACAATGCGCATGAAAACTATAACTTTCTTTTTGATCGTGAATTTTTATTAACAGTGATAGTATACAAATGGAATCGGACATACATAATGTATTATCTACAGCACAATAATGGGGAAAGGAGGTACTAAAACTATAATCTTCTTAATCTACTTTCTTCGGCCCCGTCGAGAAGCATTCGGGTTCCTGCGGCCGAATCCAATGGTGTCGGAACCATACATGTTGTTACCGACGAAGCGACCATCTCCACCTGTTTTATTGGAAAGCGGGATAAAGTCGGGATCAAACATATCCAGTACGCCCTTTTTGCTTCTATTCTGTTGTGATTTGACGTACTCGCGCTGATCTTCGCGCAGGACGATGTTGTTGATCTGTCGGCCACCTTGTGGACGTGGAATATCATACTATATGCAAGAATCAACTTGTGAGCAATTCAATCCAGCCCACAATCCCAATCTTTTCCTTCAAAAACAAGCATACCTTTGTTCCTCGCAGGTTGTACTGATAGTTTTTCTTCAAGTGGTATGTGACGTGGCCTTGACCGTTTGTACTGCACGACACTCGCTGGAGTGATGCATTTCCGCATTTTGGACAGAACTTCTTTTCCATGTTGGTTGTCACAGTAAAGCAAGCGTGGCATCGCAATACCCAGTTTTTCACCCTTGTGATACGGTGACCACCCGTAGATACCAGATTCATGTTCATTTGAAGCAAAACGTTCTTTTGATATTAGAAAAAAAAGAGGAGGGATTTGTATGAGTTAGAAAACATGTCTTGTCTCCACTACCGAAAATAGTCTTTCTTTACCTGCATAGCAAAATCGCCCGTCATACACGCTACCGCCATTGTATTTTGTTTTTTCAATTCCTCTGGTGTCACACCGAGTTCGGTCGCCTTAAAGTCTTCGATATTATCAGGAGTAATCCATTCACCACAATCACTGTCATCCTCATCTTCTACTAATTGCTCGGTTACTGCTGGTTCATTCACAGACATGTTTTCCAGTTGCTGACTAACAGCAGTTGTATTATCGTTCGATACTTCATACGTCGTATTGTCATTCTGCTGTGCCTCGTTTGCGGTGGTGGTGGTGGTCGTTGTCGTAGGTTCAGATACCGGTGGTTCCTCCTGTTTCTGTGGTTGTAATTGTTGTGGTTGAGCCTTCTTTTTGTTATTGAAGTGGCGGCCCTTTTTCTTGGTGGTGGCCGTTTCCCATCCATCATCATCCACTGTATCTTCGACGACTGGTGCATTTTTTTTGGGTTTCGGTGGAGGAGCGCTGGGCAAAGTACCCGTTGGACGAGTTTTAACAGGTTCTTTACGGATACCGTCAATACCATTCGCACGTGCTTCAAGCGTGTACGTCAAAGCCAAAACTTTCAGATCGGGCAAGGATAACGAGGCATAGTCACCCGTCTTTTTGGAAAACTCGACGACTGTTATGAATTCACACAAGGGTTAGTTCTTGAGAAACTTGTAGCTCAAAATACCCGTAGCACTCCATAGAACATCAAAAGACAAAACATACATACCAGCTTTCATGGCGTCCTCGGTTGGATCCTCGATTTGGATCTCGAATGGCAAGCGAGTCAAGTATTCTCGAGAATGTGCACTCCGGACTTCGGTTATCACTTCCGGACAGGTATAAAACTCGTTTGCTGTGCGTTGTAAAGTGGTGCCATTGACAATCGCATTCGTATCAACAATCAGTTGGTTGATTCTAGGTTCTCCAAAAGAAGACGTTGACGAGGCCATTGTATATACGACGTGTGCGTGATCGCTCTTGATCAAAAGGGAAACAAAAAAATATTTTTTTGCGGAGAGAAACAAGCAGTTCGTGTAAGCGCTGCTTTAACCAGTTTCTTTAATAACTTACAAAAACGTTCAATGGCTACCGCTGCTCCAGCAAACGCCTTCAGTGGCGAAGTGAGCAGCGTACGCACGGTTTTGAATCTTCTCAAGTCAATTCAAATAAAAAATGTTAGAAAACAGCTCTCTCAGTTTGATTGAATCCACGCGATTTTAGGTTGACATGGTTTTGTCTGACGATCTAGATCCCTTTTCATTTCTCGCTCTTTATCATAGATCGCGACGTGCAATATATACGACGAAGGAATCACTTTCACGTGTGTCGAGACGCATCGCATCAAAGCCATTGCATACTTGCGACGGCACATGTTTGAATCGTATCGAAAGCAACAAAATCAAGATATACCGACATTCGGCGTTGGGCTGAACACATTGATTGATTGTCTTAGTCTGTTGGGCCCAGCATCCACTCCCGCAGCAGACACTTGCAAATTTCGATATTCTGTCACAGGATCTCATTTGGAAATCATGTATATATAGCCACTATGATGATATGATGATGAGAGAGTCTTGCGGGTTACTTACCATTTGCGTCCGGGACGCCGTAATTTTTATCTCACCTAGCCGCGATGACAGGGAGAACAATGTATCTACAAACTGCCGACTTGTTACACTTGAACCTGACGAAGAAAACATGGAATTGAGCTTAAATGACGATCGGAACTTGAGCCAGCAATTAATCATGAAGGCAAGTCTACTGCTCTCGGGAAGCATCCAACAGAAAATACTGAGTTGTTGTATGCCATGGAAATGATACTAATGCACATACACGAACAAAACCAAAACAATAGTCGTCATGGCTGAAAGAGGCGATGAGTGATGTGGACAACTCATGTGAACGCATAATTATGACATTTTCGCCAACGGATCCATGCTTTTCGCTCTCTGGTGAAGGAAATATTGGTACTTTTCAGGTAATTTGAACTGAGAAAAAGGGAAAGAGGCAAGGGGCGACGCCTTGAGCGTCTTATTTTTATGCGCGCTTTACTGAAAATAGTGAAAAAAATCAGATGGAATACCAAGAGCATTCCGAGCCGTTCATCAGCTTCCACTGTCATGAAGAAGCATCATACAGGTAGGTTGTTGTCAAAGCATACTTCTTAACCCCGTGCCGAACCGTACCCGTGCGTTTGTGACCGTGACGGTACTAAGGTTGAATGATGGTTATGATGTTTGTAGCTACCATGCCTCCCATATAGCTTACTGCAACAAGGCGCTCGACCAGTCAGATGAGGTATCTTTACGCGTTTCACGGGACGGTGTGCTGTCTATGCTGGTAAAGTATTTTATTTGCACCCTTTCTCTGTCTCTTCCAGTCCAGAAGAACTGATGTACTCTGTCGCATTCTATTCTACACACAGTTCCGTATCCAAGAGTCTCACGTTGAATTCACAGTAAGTGTTGTTGAGAATCTGCAGAAAATAAAGAGAGAGAGTTAAAATATACGCCATGTGAACTTACTGAGTTTCTTTTTTTACAGATGCTACCGTATGACTCGAGCGCTTCAGGTGACGCATAATCCATTTTATAGGGAAGTGTCACAGCTTCTGGACTTTTCTGTCGTTATCGTCATACCACAGCCTCCTCTCGCTCTATCTACACTCTCTGCACTCGTCTCCTCCTTACAAAACCAAACTGAAAAAACTTCCTCGCATGATACATCTTACCTTGTACACTAGCTAATTTCAAAGCCCACTGTTTACCTTCAAAAGAAGGAGCTCCTCAAAGAATTACTTTCTTCAATATCCCAAGCCCTTTCGATCGCTTCATCAAAAATATATCAATACGACGCCTGCTGTCATTTTAAATGTGGGAGTAACAACAAGCACCTGACTTAGAATCACATACCATTCTTCCATCCAGTGTACCTGAACTTCTACCCTTATGCGGGTATTTTTATAACTAATTCACAGGGACCCGGTCATTCGTCACGTATGATCCAACTAATATCATAGCATGCATCGTAACAAGAACTCGCAACGCACCGACTGACTGAGCGGCAGAATCACAGTAACTCTAATACAACCCCCACCCCCCATTGCACTCCTTATGGTTTAGAACCAGAACTTCCTCGTACCCCCCGTGAGTGCACTGCTAATCTGCTAAAATGACATCACTTGTCTCAGTATAAAGCGAATCATATAAAACGGCAATAGCTTGGAAAAATAAACTAATCCGTGTGTAAATCTTTCTCTTTCCTGTTTTAAACTGCTTTTCTTTCGTTGTTATCGATAAATACCACCATTAGCACGATACAAAAGCCAGTATGCCTTCAAGACCAGGATTTTTGAGAGGAACTTCTTCGTCACGTACTTTATCGTTTGAAGAATCGGTACGTTTGTTGTCACAGTCTAAAGTATCCATTATGCATAAACTTATATGCGTTTTTTGCTACTATAGCAATTTTTTGACGCTGTCGATGGTACCATCACTTTCGAAGGGTATAACATAATATTTATTATCATATTTGACACTTGCCATAAGAAAAAGTGATTAACATTCTGTATGCCTACTACTTTTTGCTCGAAACTATAGCTATAACGTATTATCCGACGTGCATAAATTTGTCCAGTTTGACGACGCAATGGTGCTTGTCGTCATTGAAAATATTGGCAGCTCAGGAACATCATCAGCCGAAGCAGCAGGACTTGACTATTGGATGGTAATAGAATACATACAGAACCTACTTGAAGTATAGTAGTAGGGCCACTACATAGCACCTGCTTACTCATCATTGCCATTTACCGTACGCAGAACATGGCGTCCGAACACTCATCCAGTCAGTTCACCATCCTTGCTGACCGAGCAGATTACAAGATACACCAACACAATGTACACGTCCGGATCGGCGATGTTCACTCACTTGATGATGATATCTATGACTTTGTACATGTGCTGCGTGTCATTCCACAGACCACATGGCCTTCGCTGCTCGAAGAACTTATACGCGTCACCAAGCTCGGAGGATGTATCCAGACGGTTCAGTTTGAGCTCAAGGTAGAGCATCTAGTAAACCTGGTTTCTTTATTTCATGATTACTAGGACTGTAAGCTTACAATATTGCTGTTCTTTCCTTTGATCTCATCAAAACTTTACATATGTTAACAAAGGCAAAAGGAAAAGGACCCCAGCTATTATTAGATTTCATCGGACGTAATCAGGAGCAACAGCGAGCGGTCCTTAACAAATCGGTCCACGTCGTACAGGAATCTTCCAATTCCTTTGAGCTTGGTAAGTGCATGTGCTATACTTGGTTAAAATTGCCTGTTGTTGGCGGAGAGTTATGATGATCTTGGTGAAGGGATTACATCTCTGTATATCAGGTACTCATTTCTCGCCATTCCTCTTTTTCTAAGGAAATGCACGAAGCCGTGATCCCAGTGGCTTCGAACTGTTGTTGGGGCTGATCAAAAACATGGTTCGTTCCGAAAAATTGATGGCAAACCCACCAGAACAGGAAGAAGAGGAGGAAGTCGATGATGATAATGAGGGTGATGATGCCGCGGGTGATGACGAACAATCCCGCGGTATAATGGATGCTTTGAGGAACGGGCCGCAGTTTTTTGAGTTAGCAAACTCGGTGACACTAGTCGAAAAGTTAGCATAGATCATCTTTAAAAGATTATATATACAGGGTTTTTCTATACATATACAATTTTTTGTATATGAGAATACCGCAGAAACCAACCATCTACTATGAGTTTCTTAGGCTTATGTCAATTCTTGCAATTGGTACTTTGAAGAATGGCAGCGTATCAGATCACTGAACTCTCAGCACCACATATATATATATATATTATATATATATATACTGAACAAATGCGATCCTATTGCTGAATCTTGATGCACTACATACATACATAATAGAACTTTACAAGTTTTTGGGATATTATTATACATATCTACGTTGCTTTACTAATGAAGGAGTAGTCAATGCTATCCTTTGTAATATTTATTTATTATTCGTCATCCTCTTCATCCTTTTTTTCTTTTTTTTGTTGTCTTCATCACCAGTATGATTTTCGTCAACCGAGATGATGACATTTCATAACAACATTTTTACGAGGAATGAGGAGCGTAGTATGTGTCGTGTAGTAGAGCGTACTTGTCGAGTAAACTGCAAGGTCGATTGTGGTGATGGTGTCTGTGATGGTACTGAAAGAAATTGTTGTTGTCGTCAAGAAGCGCGGTTGATGCCCGTAGCCGTGATTGGTGCTTTAGTAGTATCGAATGTGACCGTAGCAGTCGAATTATGGGCGGTTGTACGTGTTCCGTGGGTGATGGGCGGTGGTTGTAGTAGATGTGACGTATCGCGTGTACAGTATGTGAATGAAAGTTTTTATAAGGCATAGAGAAAGAGAGAACCTAGGTCGATTACGAGAGTGCGACCGTTATTAAGATTGTACAGTATCCCCAGGGGCCAGCCCAGTCTCCACGGCTGCAAATTTTATCATCCGGCTCTTACGAACCACCTAGAGCAAAAATCATGCAGATCACTGCACTGGTCAAGTGTTATGGTATGATGGGCGTCGTCAGATGGTAAACGCAGGCCATCATATACATACGCGATTGCAACGGTAGTACCTTGATTGATACCATGGTCTGCATCGGCTCAATCGAGGTTGAGCACGTTGCCCTGACAAACAAATGGTTCGTAGTACCGGTAATAGCCTGACCAACAACCAAGCCGAAACTTTTGACGCTGTCATAACCCCAAACAGATATCTCACATTGGGTCGGGTCCGTCTAAGCCGACATCATTCGTTGTCTACCCGGATTGGTCAGTTAATGGGGGCCCAATATAAATGGACAGGAACGCTTAGATAATGCCAACAAATGTATGTGCCCTGTATGCAAGCAAATGGAAGAAGGTTGCGCAGAGAATTGGTTACTGTATTTTTATTTGAATATGTATAGAAATCGATTATAAATCACTCGGATTACAGGTGTTACTCATATAGTCCCTCAACAAACTCTTGCCTTCTGTGGACAGACAGCCTCTAAGAATGGTTCGAGCTCTTCACCTCGACGCGGGTTAACTGAGTGGTTACGCGCACTGCTGTTCGGCATTGGTTTGCCGTGATAGAATTGAAGTCAGTGTGTAATTTCCGCATAACATGATGTTGCTGCTAATGCCAGCAATAAGACTGATACTCATACTGTAATTTATATTCTTTTTACTCTAGCTGAAGCACAGCATATATATAAAATTCTAACACTGAGAGAGAAACTGGTTTAAAAATAAGCTACTATAGTGCTTACTAGGTCATAAAGTATTTATATGCGTAACAAATCATCGAGCGTTTTACTGGATGAAATGTGGTGCTGTATCGTGTTGCTCTTGAAAAGAAAGCCGCCGCCATCTCGATCGACATTTCTTGTTTGTGCGCAAGTGAGAAATTGCGTCGTCAATCGAACCGATTTTATATGCAGCTTATCAGGCACTACATAAGTCAAAGTTAATGTGCGAAATAGCACCTGTCAAAGTGGGAAGGCTAGTTATAAAAGAAGCGTGGTAAGAAGCGTGGAATGGCTGTATTCAACTCATCAGTATACTACACTTTCACATTTTATGTCAGCATATGCGTTACTTAGGGAGAGAACGTTCGATCATTATTGTGAAAATTGAACTATATGATTCGATAGCATGTATCTCACAACAGCATACAACAAATCAACGGGCTAACTGCCTTTTGCTGTTACAACTTTTTTTGCTGGGATATTTCTAAAGAAGACCTATATAGCTCAAATCCGAACTACTATGTGAGTATTACTATACGAATATTATAAAAGCGCCCCTTGCTCAGGTATAATGAGAAACACACAGTGCTCGAGTTTTGTTATTTTGAAGCAAAGCCGTAATATGGACGCGTGAGGTTGTACGCGTTGCTTTGCTTGCTGTCAGCACCCCCCAGGCTACAAGGTTTTGCCGATGAATGTCGGAATGGCGGAAAGTCAAAAAAATTTTCATTTTCTTTCTCCTCTTCCACTTTAAAAAAGCCTTTGGGCGGCTGTCATGAAAATACATCTTTTTCTCTCATTATGGTATGTTTTATATTCTCTATTACTTGCAACAGTCGACGGAACGAAAGAAAGTATGAAGGAGGGAAAGAAGCAGCAGGATGGCTATGCTTTTTGTTCCTCTGTATATGATGACAACCAGTATCCGTAACCTATTTGCTGAATTACCCTTATGTTGACTATGTTACATTTCTTAAGTTTCAGCCTTGTCTGACGCAGAATGTATACCATCGCTCTTTTCTTTCCTTCTTTCACTTTCTTTCCACCGAGCACTTTCTTTCGTGCCTTCTTTTACTGACCGGTACGCCTTCTTGAACAAACAGCTGTGTAGAAAATAGAACAAGAATACTTGCTCCTGTGAGCGATAAACACGTTTTTCCATGGTTTGCTGTAAGTCAAATTTTTTTTTGGTTGGGATGATGGATGGCTCGGGTGGCTTGGAGGAAGGGTTTTGCCATGGGATGAAACTATACGACGGGCGGTCGGACTCGTGCCTGTACAAGCACACTATGGAATGTCGAATGTCGTATTTGCTGATGGCTTTTATTTATGATAAATGGTGTTTTATCGTCTGTGATTCTTATGGTCGAAACTAATAAACATGTAGTTTTTGTAGGCTTTTTTTTTCCAATTGGACTGGTCTTAAAATAGTACCCTTGATATAACACAAATTATAATAAAAATATACTTTTGAAACGTAATGAGTTCTTACACGTCTCTTATAATGAATGTTGCTTGATGGCATTGGACTGCTTGTTGCTGTGATATGCTTGTCCATGCACAAATGCTGCATCCCATGTCAGGAGCGAGCCTGGGTGCGATGAAGCTGGTGAGGGTGTTCCATGTCGTCGGGATTTCTTTTGTGTGTTTGGTGCCAAAAAGAAGCCAACAAGTTGGCGAGAACGTGCGCGGAACAAGGTGATCAATCAGTTCTCTCTTGTCTAATCACATGCTGACGCGTAGGAACGTACTATTTATCGTAAGTAAGTGGGATAATGTATTGGCTGTGCGCCGTCAGCATTGTCGGCCAATGAATGCTGGTGACATTAAGGTTCGTTGTCATCTCATCAAGATTGCTGTTTTGTCTGCTAGGTACGCCGGGTATAATCAACAGTCAACAACATTCCTTTGGGGCGATGGATTTTAGGCTGCTGATTGGAGTATCTAGCATACTTTACCCTTTAGACATTTAGACAACGGCAGGCCAGAATATAATATTGGGAAGCACATGCCCGATCTGCGCACCACACAAACCGGCGAGTGACAGACCCTGTGACAGACATTCTGAACGGGATGTCCTTTGCTTTGGTGTAGCCAACCCAATCAATACAGTAGATGCACGCGCAATTTTTGTGTTCTCACACACTCGCCGCGTAACAGGCGCATCCGGAAACGAGTGTGGCACGTATTCTCATAAGAACAAACTGTTTCGTATGCAAGATTATGTGCTGCTGTGTGTGTTTTAGGAGAAGCTCTCCAGTGTGGACATGCGTGCTTGTTCCCGATGACGCTTTGATGCCCCACTATCGCGAAAGGAAACTTGATTGCAGTTGGCTGGCAATGTCGCCATAGCACCTGTCGAGCAATGTGATTGGTCGCCTATTGAACGCACAAAAATTTTTTTGCTTCTACTTATATTTGGGGTTGAGTAACCCGACTGGATTCTCTTTTTCTTTTTTCTTCTTTACACTACACCAATCTTATACCAACACCATCATTATGAGCGACACTTTCCTCTTCACCTCTGAATCCGTCGGCGAGGGCCACCCTGGTATGTATGCTGCTCTGCTGAGAAGCTGTTTTTTACTTCTCTGCTGCACTGTTTGCAACCAAGTCTGTTTCTGTTTCTGTTATTTCCGTTCCTGACATGACAATTGTGCAAACTACAACAATACCATAGACAAGATTTGCGACCAAGTTTCGGATGCCATCTTGGACGCCTGCTTGGAACAGGATCCCCTCTCCAAGGTTGCTTGCGAGACCGCCGCCAAGACCGGTATGATTATGGTCTTTGGTGAAATCACCACCAAGGCCAACTTGGACTACCAAAAGATCATCCGTAACGCCATCAAGCAGATCGGCTATGATGATTCGGACAAGGGTTTCGACTACAAGACCTGCAACGTCTTGGTTGCCATTGAGCAGCAGTCGCCCGATATCTCGCAGGGTTTGGTCCAGAAGTCCTTCAACATTGAGGATATTGGTGCCGGTGATCAGGGTATCATGTTTGGGTAAGCTTGGCGTTCCTGGGAAGATACATTGGGGATGAGAGTGGACGATCTATCTGGTGTGTGGTATTGATGTGGTGATAGGCCAGTTGTTTTGCTAGTAAGCATGGCTCACATTCCAATTCATTGTTCATTGCCAATGTAGCTATGCCACCGATGAGACTCCTGAGATGATGCCCATGACCGTTGTCCTTGCTCACAAGCTCAACAAGCGCATGGCCGATCTCCGCCGTGACGGCACCCTTTCGTGGTTGCGCCCTGACTCCAAGACCCAGGTCACCATCGAATACAAGAAGGAAGCCAACGGTGCCTTGACCCCTCTCCGCGTCGACACCGTCGTCATCTCGGTCCAGCATGCCGAGACCATTGAGACTGAAGACCTCCGCAAGGCCTTGATGGAACACATCATCAAGCCCGTCATCCCCGAGAACTTGTTGAAGGACACCGTCTACCACTTGCAGCCCTCTGGCAAGTTCATCATCGGTGGTCCCCAGGGTGATGCCGGTTTGACTGGCCGTAAGATCATTGTTGATACCTATGGTGGTTGGGGTGCCCACGGTGGTGGTGCCTTCTCTGGTAAGGATTGGTCCAAGGTCGATCGTTCCGCCGCTTACACTGCCCGTTGGATCGCCAAGTCGCTTGTCAACGCCAAGCTCGCTCGCCGTGCTCTTGTCCAGCTCTCGTACGCCATTGGTGTTGCCGAGCCCTTGTCCGTCTTTGTTGACACCTACGGCACTGGCAGCAAGCCCGATGCCGAGTTGGTTGAGATCATCCGCAAGAACTGGGATCTCCGTCCTGGCGTAATTGTCAAGGAGTTGGATCTTTTCAAGCCAATCTACCAAAAGACCGCTGCCTACGGTCACTTTGGTCGTGAGGAATTCACCTGGGAACAGGCCAAGGAGCTCAAGTTCTAAGCGTGTTGGCTTGAAGAAGCTGCCCTCTGTCCCTCTGCCATTGCAAAATATCTCTTCTATTACTTTATCATTTTGAATTGTTACGTTTTCTTATACTCCTTTACATGTTTTCAACAAACTAGACAACTCACAACATTACATCTGTAAAAGTTTCCCTTTAATCCGTCTTCATTTCTCTCTCTGTCTCTCTTTCTCTATGTCCAGCACACAAAACATTCCCCTCAATCTCTTTTTTGCTCCTTCTGTTAGATAGTCTCGGTTATATTCATTTTCTTTATTCTTTTGTAAATACGATTCAACATCGTCCAATGTAGGATGGGTGATAATTATAAAACACAATTAGCGTCGCTGTTAGTAGCTGTTTTAAAACTCATGGATGGTTTAACCTGTTGTGTATGCATGATAAACCTTTCAAACAAAAAACAAAGAGTCACTTGAGATGCATTTCGTCATTCGTACACTGACCTTAGCTATGGCTCGTTTAGCCTGCATAAGGCACGTCACATGATCCATCTTGAACGGTGCTTGTACAGTGGGAAAAAGCTGCTTTGCGAGTAGGACACCAGATTCAAGGTGCTACCCACGATCGAGCGTATGACCAAACCGTCGAGCGCTATCGAATATTGATGAGTGACAGCCCCTCCGCTTTTGCGTAGAGACAAACCACAGGTGCTAGAGTGGGGCCTGTGCGCATCCCATAGTTATATGATATAGCCCCACAACGTATCACGCGCTCATTCGTCTTAGTGTGTCGACAAATATTACATTAGTACAGTATTACGTATCTCTGTTATCAATTAGCATAGTAAATATATAACCCGTCAAACAGTATGACATATCACGGCGGCAGCAGTGGGAGAAGCAGGTATATGCAAATACACCCTGCAGAATATGTATGGTAGCCGAACTTTTATGCATTACATAGCCTTGTAGTATACCCGATTGACGAGGAGGAAAGATATGCTCTACATATATACACTGATATAAAGGAGTTCCAGCATTTTAATGTAATTTCTTTGGGGGGAGAGGTATCGAATTAGTGTGGTGGTGCTTGGCATACATGTAATATAATAATGGAAAGGGAGCACTAAAGACATAGGAAAATTCACTAGGATATATACACTGGGTTGTACACGTTCATGGAGAGTCAAAAACAAACAAATATTAGAGAACTGAACTGAATAGAATAGAAAAGAGGTCATATATGAAGGAGCGAGATAGCAGGGTGTGGAGGTGAGGTATGATGGCAGTTTGATGAGATTACAAGGTTCTATGTACAGAGAAGATATACAAATAGAAAAAGAAAAGAGAACAAAGGAAGACATTTCCTTTTTGGCATACTAAAGCAATCAGTTTCTTTTTTTACACATCGTCGATGTTCATGACACTCGCCAAGGTAGTCATCATCTTGAATGCGGTATACAATTCCAAATAGGATGGATCCGTTGTTGCCGTGTGCTTCAAAAGATCTGAATGATACATAGAGCATTCATTAATTACGGCTCCCCATGTTCCTGTTGGGCTACACATACCTTGTAGAAGCAGACAGTAGCGAGGAACGCGCTGAATAGGCGCAATCAGGTAATCCGACATGCCCATCCGATTGGTGTCGCGCCGAGCCAAGCATTCCTATCAATATCAATTGACCGATTCAATTAATACACTTGTATCTATGTCGCGTGTAATATGATATAATACAACGCTCAGCATGGATGTAACAACGAGCAGATACAAAACCGTCTACTCCGTATATAGTAACAGTAAATAGAGCTGCTGTGCACACTGAGCCCGTAGTTGTGGCACCCAATAACAGTTTTGCTTTAATTCCTTACCCGCTCAATACTCAATAACAGTGCGTTGGTTTGGCATGCTCGTCGAATAGTCTTGAAATATGTCTTGTAATGAACTGCATATCGTAGAAAGATCGTGAGTTCTTCCTGTAATGACATAAACACTTGTGCGACGTGCACCTGCCGGTCGAGCATATCAATCAGCCCTTGGGAGACTTTCAAGAGTTGGGCTAAATGGCCAAACAGGATTGGGATATCGCCTGACTTCTTGACAAGCAGCGGGTCCCTGTTCTGCATTGCAGCAACCATCGGCTGCATGTATTTCTGCATAGAGTCATCCCACCCCCCCAAATTACATTTTATAAGCTCTTAGTATTTTGGTCGATAATGACGTCTTCTCATATTTCCAGTAAGCAAGCGAGAGTCATACATACCGTAGAGATAAAATCCAATAGACGATGATAGGAAGTTTCAGTCGCGTAAAGTTCGTTCAGGATAAATGCGCGTATGGCATCATTCTTGCTACTGCTCATATCATTACTACCATTAGTAGTATCAGGCTCTGCTACAGGCTATTTAAAGTAACATTTAGATTCGAAAAACTTAATACAAAGAAAAAAAATAAAATAGCAGAAGATTAACATACGAGGACGAAGAGCAAAGAGCTGGAGGATGGTGGAGGCGCCGACAAGTCAAGCTGTGCGACGGAACGTTTCCAAACGGCGACGGCCCTCTCCTGTTTGTTTCGGATAAACACCGATCGCGCACGGGTCATGCTGTTGCCAAATTCATTATTGTTTGTGATGATCAATGACGAAAACCGACGTCGATAATAATTCGACAGGGACATGGATCTTCCCAAGATCTTGTCACCATCATGCTTGCCAGTTGTTTCTGTTGCTGCCGTTGAGTTGGTGGCAGTGGTACTAGTAGTGGATGATTTTGGCTGTTGAGCTGTAAAAAATATTGACGGTGTTGAAACAAGTAGCGATGTAGCACGACGAGGAGTTTTTGTGGTTGTTGTTGTTGTTGTCGGTGCCGGAGAAGAGCCAAATCTAGATAATCTCCGCAAAAGGCGAAAGCTCTGTTGTTGTTGTTGTTGAGGTGGCGGAAGCGACGGTAATGATTTTTCTTGGCTTGGGCTTTGTTGTTGATCCAAAGAGGATAATGCCGATGATGAGGATGTGGTGGATGCTGTTGGCGCAGTGGTTGTGGTACTCGTGTGGCTAGGGTGTAACCCGATATCACCGACATCATCATTAACATCTCGGTCTTGGTAGTTGTCATTATCATCATCATCCATTATGTTCTCTTCATACTGCTCCGAAACAAGATCATCATCCATGATCATGAAACAGCAGCTATGCAGGTTGTTATAAGTATCGGTGAAATCGGCGCTAAACGGCCTTTGAGGTAGTAGTAAATGAGGAGTTATTGTTGTTGTTGTTTTTGCTGTAGCAGTTGTAGCAGCAGTGGTCATGTTTTGCCATTTGATGCTGCGACGACTGGTGATTCCATGTGAAAGGGGCCGTGCCATAGAGCTGGCTATTAGATCCGTAGATGCCGATGTTTTGAGTTTTTTGTTCAGAGCTACTGAGAAACTAACATTACTACTGTTTTCCGATGACGAGGATGTCGTTGACAAAGCATTGCTATCAACATTATTGCCATGATATTTGTTGTTGCTTCGGCTACGGGTACCACTGTTGCTGCCATTAGTTACGCTGGTATTGCGTTTCTTTCTCTTGTTATTTACAAAGAACATGGACGACGCGTTGCGGATGGATGATACGCGTACGAGAACATGAAGCGGCTTGCTATTGGTGGAGGCGGAGCGTCTGATGTTCGGACTCGATGACGATGTTGATGTCGCTGTTTTATCCGTGGCATGATGGTGATTGAATGGATGTTGATGATGGTGGCGTGGTCGCTTGCGGAACAGCATTGAACTCGGCAAGAGCTTTCTGAGAAAGTAAAACGACGGATACCGTTGTTGCTGGTATACATGCTTTATATTGTCACCATGATATGGGGTACTGCAGTTCGGATTGCAATGATGCACAGATGTTGGCATTACTGGCTAGAGTGGTGGACTTATACTATGTGATTGATAAATGATATGAGGGATGGTTCGAATGTAAAGTGTAATGTGAGTATGTATGTACTTGAGTATGTGAAAGTATAAAGAGAAAAGAAAAGGAAGAAAAGAAAAAAAAAGAGAGAGAGAGATTTTGGTTTTGCCCTCGACCACGAAGTAGGTTTTTTCCTACTTGACTTGTTAATCTTTGTCCTCCCTTCCTCCCACACATACACACAGCCGTCTGTATTTCTCTCCTTACGTATAACCGCAGTTGGCTTAAACTAGTAGCACAGGGCTACAAAAAGAAACGAAAACCCGCTTTTCTGAACAAGCATGCAGACGGTGGCGTATCTCCATACTTTGCTTGCCTTGCGAGTATCATGTGTACCCTATGTTTCATGCTTATTTTATGTCTGGTTTCTTCTTTCCTTCTTGCGTGTCCGCTTGGCTGCTTTTGCTTCTAGACGACTCATTCGCATATAGCCATATATATAGTGTACATATAAAGCAATGTACGGTGCCAAGTACACCTGCTTCGTGATGCTGCAGCCCAACGAGCATCCCTAGAAGCAGCAGCATGCAACCCATCATGTCGCTCTATTCTAAATTTTATGGATAGGATGTGGGCACTAGAGCTTGCCAAGAAACAGCAGCGAGATAGGTCCACGCGCAGCAGAGGAGGCGCTAGTAGCAGTTGTATAGAAAGATCTCAACATATTGCGAAGGAGGTGATCGATTATCAACTACTGCGATCTGCGTTGCTTGAGGTAATGTAATGCAGTTTCATCATGTAATAGCCATCTTCTTCTCCTCTTTACCATCATCGATACATAGTATCTTTTTTAAACGACGCCAATTATGATATGTATTGTAGTTCTTCTGTGTCCTGCCCCCACCCTCATCCCCAGCCCAAAAAAAATTGTTCAAATCATAATAATCCTGCTTGTCGGCTGAAAAAGCGGCATTTGTATCACCTCGGCTAGTATCAGATCTTTTTGTATCACTTGTCTGCGAGTTCGTTTTGACGCGTAACAAACAGAAAAATACGCCATCATTCATTCTACAACACAAAGCCAAAAAATAGGCATATGAAATTTTGGGGGTTGAGGCAGGATGCAAGTGGTACCGAGCAATCTAAACTAATATTGTTACATGAACCCAGGTGTGTGACCTAAAGAAAGCGTTCTTAGCCTGTAAGATAAGTTCGGATCTTCTTTCCAGGTGTGGTGCTTGTGCACATGCGGCGCTGTTTTTGTTTTACTTTGCTACATGGAGCTTATATTTTTATAGTAGCTGGGAACAAATTTCGTTCTAAGTTTATGCCCCACTCTGGTTTCGTTCTGGTTTTGCTGCGGGTTTGCTTACTATGATGTCTGTATCCTAAAGAACAATTCACTTTTCGTTGCTTGAATGAGCACTTTGCTACCTTGGCGAGCTGTGATATAGCACGAAAAACTTACAAAGTCGCGCGAAAATCGCTGAGTTATTCGTAAAGGAACAAAATGTATTTTGCCTTCTAGAGATGCACGCTTCCCACAACTCCTTGCGCTTAGGCTGGGATTACGGACCTTGATGTTATTTAACATCATTACCGCACAATTGATGGGCAAATAAGACCAATTCTTCGTGGGAAACGATAAAAAGTGCAGCGAAATTCAATCTGTTATGGTCTTAAAACCAAGAAACATGATGCTCGATCTACCTATCATTGTTACAGAAATGCAACATACAGATTTTACGAAGCGCGCAACCAATAAATCACTATCTGGAAGCATACATACGATATCAACGAGAGCCTATTCTTTATAGTGTATATGTAGCGACGTTACAGTCTGTCCTTTAGGTCTTGGAAATGCGTAATCACGCCCCTTGAAAGTTTCGAAGAATGCAGCACTATCATACCGCCTTGGATCCATCCATCATGCCACATCCTTGATCGACGCATGCTGCAGTAGCAACATCGCTAAGAGAAGGATATACGGTCTTGTCATATAGTATTACAAGAACCTTGATAAGCCAGTAAGGTACGGTAAGTAGATCATCAGCATCTGATAGATGTATTGAGGAAAATCTTGGGCATACAAGAATATGAATACAAGCATTTGGAAGAACATGTCGCTAACGGGATACCATGTCACACACATAATGCCGTGGTCCATAATACTTAAGCCAGAAATCAAGAATTGGACCGGAAGTATGGGCATGATGATACCAGCACTGATACTCAGGGCGACGCACAAGCAACACGTATGATATATTATGCTGCTCCAGACGGCATGCGGCAGGCAGTGATAATATCACGACGAAATCTGTCACATCTTTGGCATAAAAGCAAGAAGACATGAAATTTTTCGCCAAACTCAAGAAGAAAACGGAAAAAGGTTTATAAGTGGATTAGAGGACGTGTCTATCTGAAGGGAAGAAGAAGGATCTTCTCAAAGACAAAAGCCACACCACCCTTCGCATCGATTCTAATAAAAATCGAATTGTATACGAAGAAAAAGCGAGCAGGAACACAAAGTTAGTCTGCTTTGCTAACCACGACACATACCATTCGTTTATACGATAAGACTGGTTTCGAATTGTCAAGTAAACATCCATTTAGTTTTTTCTTTTTCTCACAGGGGTTGAGGGGCATTTCGCCGGACTCTGCCGACGACAACAAGAATGATTTATGGAAGTGGGCGCCACCGTGCACAGCACGCACATCCACCCCAGCTAAGACCCCCTCGCCCCTTAAATACAACAGAGTCGATCGCTATTTACTAGATCTGTTTATCCGCATTCATCACACCCCCACCCCCAATCCCCTCTGAGCTCTCATGCACATTACGAATCTGCAATTTGCCTGTTATACAATCTCTAGGTACATCGAGGAGGGTCATCGCCAATAATATTATCGTAGATTTAGATGACTTGACTGGTGTTACAAAGAATTAAATGAATGTGAGAATTGCAAAGAAAATGATGTATTGTGCTCTGTTGTACAAGGTGGGTTGTGCTTCGCAACACAGCGAGCCTCAAATGCAATCTTAAGAAGCACAAAATGGCTACATTAGGCTCAGATGGCTCGTGTACGTCTTTCTGTCTTTCCGTTCCTTTGCGATACTAAAGACGATAAAAATGGTTTTAGCGTAAATACACTATCTTATTTAAGGTGCTTTATTCAGTAATCGTGGTTTAGAAAAGTCCTAGTACGTTTGTGGTAACCGGCAAGATGAAAAGCGTTGTACAAATCGGTAACGACACTATCTAAACTTTCCGAGATCGCTACCACACACATCAAACCTTTTCGTTCCTTTTTTTGTGGTGTATGTGCACGTACAATATACGTACAACGTGCATAAACTTTTCAATTTTTCAAATCAACCCGCCGCATCGAGTCACTTCTTCTTATACCGCGTGCTGCGTGCTCTGCATATCGTGATCCTTTCATACATACTGTATTGACAGTAAAAATGAAACTGCTTAGTATGCTTAATTAAATAAAACCTCTATCTGAAGCGTGCGACATACAGTAGCTCGAAGGGAAGAAATTCTTTTTAATAATCTAATTTAATGTATATAACATGAGATAACGGAAGATCGCGTGTTCTTAATTAATTCTTAATTTTTTTGTGCAAAAAAAGCACTAAAGTTTCAAGAACTGCTCTTCTATACATCTTTTCTATCATGTACACATGAATGCAGGGGAATAACGAGATCATGCACTTCATTTACACACAAATGTCCTACGACGTGCAATGCAAATTATACATATCACCTTGCATTACACCAAAGATGAAAAGGATCCAACATCTACCATAACTGTAGTTAAGTGGTATGTGTATATTCGCTGGAAAGATGTATATATCTTCATTGTGACATATACGATACTAGTGTTTATATGGGTAGGTAGTTGGACGAAATGAAAAACACTTTATACACACCCTTTAAAATTCTCCAACAAATCCTTAGTTAGCACAGCCAGCTAGGGAACAACAAAAGCATTCTGTCTGTATGTTTTGGTCAGCACGCTTTTTGTTAAGAGCCGCCATAAGAAGAAAAATAAGACAAAGACATGACACACCAATGTGCTGCACAAGAAACAGAGTGTTTTGTTTAATGATGTGCGTATATGATAATGTTCCATGCCTAATACATTCTGTCTAAGTGGAAGAGTAGTTGTTAAGAAGAATGTGATTATATATATGTACATTAATTGATGAAGCTTTTACATGTGTATGTGTATCATAGTATCATAATGCTAACAAACAGTATGAAAGAAGAGAGCGACAAGAACACAATCTCCGAGGATAGTTGTAAAGTAGTGACAAAAATATAGGTCTAAGTGAAACATATTTTTTTCCATATACGTGAGCAGTACATAGTGCATAAAATCATCACAGTCGGATCCTGACCTGCCTGCGATCAGCCGAGCCATGCAAAGTGCAAACACAATTCGCACTTTTATGCATCGCCACCATCCAAGCCATATGGCGCGCACACTGGACTGTCATCTTTGATGAGCAGCCCTTCATACCACAGACAATGGCAGCTCATGCCTCTGTCATATTTCAACGAGCAAATATTTGGCTTTTTATTCTCATGTCATTCGCTTCTTTATGTTTATCTTCAGTCTCTATTTCCACATACATGTAACGGTACCGATAGTCAGTCGCTCCTCTCGGACAATCTGTCGGAATAAAAGGCAATTTACCTACGAGAAAAAAAGAAAGCTCATACAGCAAAAATCTGATAAGCACACGTACTTATGCTTGAGATATATACCTAATTATTTTTTCATTCTTTCTGTTCCAAAAGTGCATTTTTTTTCGGTGCTCGACGGATCACGGTTGTTGTCGTCGTGGCTTTAACAATAAGCCGGTGTTGTGATGGTGTAATCGTACATCAAACTTTGCCACCATTTCTGTTTAGACTTCCTTAGCGAAGAACGTTTTGTTTAGTAACTGATTTACTACTGGGATGTGCTTCATCCTTTTGGTTATAGCAATAATAAGGAGCTCAGACATCAAACTGAGCAACACGTCACTCATTGTTAGCAGCCATTGATACAGACAACAATGAGAGAACAGTGTTATTCGTATATGGTCGTATATCAATACGACATGTCTGTATAATGGTTATTTCCAGCCAGAAGACTAAGAAACACCCTTAAAATGTATACCATCAACGATCCTGTGAAGCATTTGCTTGCCCTACTAAAGCCCTCTGAAGCAGCTGATGAGAACATCACCCGCAGTTTATTTTTTGGTGTAATCATAAGTCTACTCCCCCAAGTGATTCAAGTAGATAGTGAGACTTTGTTTGTGTGATTGTCCATTGCCTTGATAAAAGGAAGCCACAATTATCAGTTGCCATTGTTTACACTTAACTGTATATACCTCGTCGTTACATTTACAATGAGCGTAGCCAGCGCGCACGGCTAGCAAAAGCCGGCAAACAAAAAGATTAATCAAGCATATTCCCTGCTCCAGCTACACTGTAATGAAGTAAATGGGTGGTTACCACAACGAATTTAATGCTACGTATATTTGATAAGTAGCAACAACGAGAGGTATAATATTCTCGCAGTATGCTACATACGCATGCAGTGAACTGTTGAGAGGATGATCATCTCGTTGCATTATTAAAATAGAGCAAAAGAAAGATAATGAACAGCAGAATTCACCATCTTTCGACTAGCTTGTTCCACATATATAGAGGCTTTTACTTTCTTATGACGCTCCCGTTGCTGTTTTTCCTTTTCATTACTTCTATTTTCACTAGCACACATTTCCAACCCCAGCATATACATAAAATCGTATTGTATAGTACCATCCTATTCCCAGCTATGTGTGATAATTGGAGGCCACTTACAATCTATGTTGTCCATTGAATTCGTTGGTTCGCCGTCAATTCCATGTTCAACTATCTCCACGATTTATCCACTCCTCTGTGCACTGAAGAAACCGATACAGCAACAATGGTACGACAAATTCCGCCTCTCGAGCCCTTTCGATATCCAGCGACACACCTATTCAGGTTTCCAAAAGACAGGCTATAATGTTGCGAAGCCATCGGCGTATGGCAACGTCTTCTCAATGAATTGCGATCCTTCACAAGCATAGTAGCCAATTCAAAAAAAATTTGCTGTGCTGTTATCCAGACATCGACTTAGAACGAGCAGCAGTAGAAAAACTACTACATTGCATCGATGAAATTTTAAGCTGTATCGAAGCGATGCAGGATCTAGTTAATCGAGCAGCATTTGAAAAAAGATACAAACTTGTTTGGATCAGCTCAAAAACAAAGGGGAAGACATAAAAAAAGAGAGAACGTCAATGAAGAAGACGAGAACAAGAACGTTAACGATCGCGAGGAGGAAAATGGAAGCAAAGATAACAGTGAAGAAGATGGAAAAGAAATTGACAACAACCACGAGCTGAAAAAAAAGGGTGTGCCGACCGTGCAGGAAATCAGACAAACTAGAATATGACAAATTGGATCAAGGCACATGAACGACGTCGCCCATCAAGATCATAATTTTATTGAAAGTCAGATAAGTGAAGGGAAGCAGGCATAGAATAAAGGGACTCGAGAGAATTAATTATAAGTGCAATAAATGCAGCAGTGTATGTTTTGTTAGCGAACAAAAAAAAGCATTAATTGTGATAATTGTCTACATCTCTCCTCTTTGATCCACACTTTTTTCTGCCGTATATCACCACTAAATAGCTAGGTATACATTTTGCAGTAAGTCATTAGACTATAAGCAGCCATGGGATGTACATAGTGCAAAATGGTGGAAATCCCCGACTCCATTTTTCCCGCAGTAATAGCATTATGCAGCATATTGAACTTCGGTGCGCAGTCGCGCTTATTTCACTTGTACTTGCCAACCTCTTCTTCCATTCTCCAACGAGTAACGCTATAACGTGGAATATTGAGCAGAACACCTTAACAGAGCTTGAGCTCAACGCCCCCCTTAACAACCCATCTCTCAACGCAATCTGGGATACAGGTATCATACTTTTCAGCCATTGATTACGAAATACATGCACATAATTACGCGTCTTTTTCTACCTTGTAAGATTTTAGAACTAGACAATGCAACAGTAGTTAATACTTTTAACCATTTCATTCTCGGACAAGAATGTAGTATAATTTGTGGAAGGTGCTGAATATCTTAATTTAGAAAGAAACGAACGAACAAGTATTTAGACCACTATTGTGGTTGAATTCACTACGCCGAGTATGAATCAAAGTACATTGTTTAATCGAACAGTAAAGTAACCACAGAACACAATGCTTATGTTACTGTTCATAATATGATAGACACATCATTTTCCTCGCCTTCGATTGGAGATGCTCCTGCTTCTTCTACTACTGCCGCTGTGGCCCAAACAGAAGAAGAGCCAACAGCAACAACAGCATCAACGGATCGTGTAGGCCAGAAGCACGCTCGCCAGGCCGAAGTTCCGGAACATACAGACGGCTCTAATGACAATGGCGCCAATATGGGCCAATCAGAAAACCAAAGCACAGGCAAGTCAGGGCAGCAAATATTATTGATTTTTTCTGCTGTTATGGTGATAGACACATACTAACATTTACAGCATCTTTTTTAATGCTCTTAGTATGTTTATTGGAGGGAAAACCCCAAAACGAATGGAAACGGAAGACTCAGCGACATTTTTTTCGAACCAGCAAGGGCAACAACAACAACTAGCAGCTCAAGAAACAACGAGTGCACCTGTGGTGAAGAAGAACGCACCGAGAATGCTTATGAAAGTAAGTCTGGAAGGTGTATATTTCGATCGATATAAAAAGCCATTATGTGATGCTTATCCTGATATAATACTACCACAGGCAATTCTTCCATCGAGTCATCATCAACGTCACATGAAACACACACCCTACTGCAATCGATACCTCAGGAACTCAACTAAGTGCGCAACGAGCACTAAACGAACAATCATCACCATCAGCATCCCTGCCACTAGTCAGAAAGCGTGCTCTAGAGAATGACAGTGATGAAAGTGAAAAATCAAGCACTGGTAATACTAGGCAACAAATGTCTCCTGAACTTTTAAGCTACTATGAACTTGGATACATACTAACAATAGAGTTCTCTTTGTGGCTATCATTAGAATCGACGCCTGAGCAGGCATCGCCGAAGCGTACGAGAACAAGTGAAGTTCCAATTTCATTATCAATACATAGAGAACAGCAGCAGTAGCAACAACCGCAAACCACAGCCATCAAGGAGGTCGGCAACAACCTCCACAAAAGCAAAATCAAGCTTCTGTAGGATCATCATTACAACGTTAGGAGCAACAGCCTCGACAAAGACGACAACAGCAAAATCAAACCTTTTGTTGCTGTTCTGCTGTATATACTTATCGATTTTTCCGCTGCATCATCCTGTTATCTCAACAGCTTCTTTCGGATCTTCTTCCTTCCATGCTTCTGCTTCCTAGATGAACAAACGGACGACAATAACGTTAGTACTGATACCTTATCATCTTTAAGTAAAAAATTGAGCATCCGATATAATGACAGAGATTCACAGGTACATTAAACGAAATGAGCCGAGAAGAAGGGTGATGATGCGAGAGAAATCTCTTACTAGCTGTCGGTGTATGTGTCTCATCATTGCATTTCTATCATCTATGTCTGCTTGACGTTCCATTCTATTTCTTAGCCAAGTAGTGATGGCAAAAGACATATTCACTATGTACTAATGGATTAACGAAAATAACACTTGGTGTTGTATATGAGCTCTGATATCATCGTTGTCATAAAACAATCCATACGGATCAGAAAGAAATTGACGTGTGAAAGTCATATTATGATGTAGAGCAGTGTACAATCTATTATGACGTGGACAAGGGCTTTATAGCTCGGCAACAACATGGCGAAGGGCTTATTATGTATACCTTTCCATGATAAGAAATAGATGTATGGTGGGCGTTAATTGATTGCTAGTAATGTAAGTAACAAGGTGGTGCGCGGCCTTCTTACGGATAAGTATCAGATAGCAATCATTGAGTGCTGTATATATTTTGTGATCGCTTGTTTCGAGCAACTTTATCACGGGCACAAAAGCATGAGACTCACGCATCAAGGTGGCTCGATTGTGAAATTGTCTGGCTGGCCCCGTGAGAAACTTTATGCTGATCGGAAGAAAGACCGTGCTCATACACCCCCTCACGATGTTTATGAAGTTCGCTTGGAGATCATCAACAGGTACGCGCTTATCGCTTCATTATGCTAAACGCCACACGGTGCAGTTGTACGACCATTTAGGGTAACTGCAGCGCAGATGCTCTTATTTGCGACTGTAGTTAAAGCTGCGGTATCTTTAGAAAGAAGGAGTGGTGAAGGCGTATGGATGATGGAAAGTGAAGGGTGATAATCATAAAAAGTTTGCATAAAGATAATCTTCTTTTTGGCAATCATACAGTGACGCCCAAAAAAGGCAAGAGGTTGCTACTATCTACTGCTACTCATTCGTCCTCTATTTTTGCGAGTACATCTGCCACATACGATGAGTTGATCATATACTGTGTATGAGACATCACTATATCGACTCCATCCTTTACCTATAACAGAAGCCCGTTATACTTCGTGAATCCTCGGCGATAAGTAGATCGCTTTACTAATGGAAAAGAGATTATCAACCATCGGAATTGCTTGGAGATTTACACTGACCGGAAATTCAAAAACCACGCACTCACCATCTCCACATTTCTATCTAGAAAAGGAAGTGCCCCGGAGATCAAAACAGGTTACAGCAGCAAGAGAGTCGGGCCTTTTTCGTCGGAGCGACTTGTAGTCACATCTTGATCTTTTGACACGTTTGACATAAATTGAAACTTACGCTTTTCGTTGTTTTCTCTTTTTTCTCTCTCTTTCTTTTTTCACAAATCCACGAAACTCATACATAATGTCTGCTCCTCACCTCTGGCTCCGCGCTGAAACCAAGCCGATGGAACATCGTGCTGCCTTGACTCCTTCGACTGCCAAGGAGTTGCTGGACGCTGGTTTCAAGATCACTGTTGAGCGCTCCGACCAGCGCATTTTCGATGATGAGGAATACGTCAAGTGAGTTATTTAGTCCTATGACTACTGAAAAGAAAGCAGAAGAGGCAAAGAGGGGAAGAAAAGTTAATCAGCTGTGCTGTATCCATATAACTTTAGGGTTGGCTGCCCTCTTGTCGATACCTTGAGCTGGAAGACCGATGCTCCTGCTGACGCATACATCGTCGGTTTGAAGGAGCTGCCCGAAAATGACGACTCCCCTCTTCACCATACCCACATCTTCTTTGCTCACTGCTTCAAGAACCAAGGTGGCTGGAAGGAGATTTTGCACCGATTTGATGCCGGCAAGGGTACCATTTTGGACTTGGAATTCTTGAACGACGCCAGCGGTATGTGTTTTCGGGGGTATATGATGTTGGTGGTGGTGGTGGTAGAGTTGATGGAGATCTACATCGTTTGGACAAAATAAAGAGGACAGTTTGACTGACGACAAACATACGTATTTATACGCTTCTATCAACGTAGGTCGTCGTGTTGCTGCCTTCGGTTACATGGCTGGTTTCGCTGGCTCTGCCGTCGCCATCGATGTCTGGTGCCACCAAAAGACCAAGGGCTCGGAGATCTATGGTGCTTTGAAGCCTTATCCTAACGAAGAAGCTCTTATCAACTACACCAAGGGCCGTTTGGCTGAAGCTGGTATGTCCTTCACGTTTTTGTTATTTGGATCGTTGCCGTGAAAAGATTGATTTTTGTTGACAAACAAAACCGAATGATTATATTTATTCAGCTGCTGCCAACGGCAACCAGTACCCCAAGGTCATGGTCATGGGCGCTTTGGGTCGCTGTGGTACCGGTGCCGTCGACTTTGTCCGCAAGGCCGGTATTCCCGAGGAGAACATCATGAAGTGGGATATCAACGAGACCAAGGGCGGTGGTCCCTTCCCTCAAATTTTGGATGCTGGTATGTGTTACTTTCAAGGAGAAAAGGGAAGGAATTATTTGTTTACTAAGCGTACGGCTGTGTGTTGTATAGACATCTTTGTCAACTGCATTTACTTGACTGCCAAGATTCCTCCCTTCATTACCCGTGAAATGACCAACGGCAAGCGCAACCTGTCTGTTATTTGCGACGTGTCCTGTGACACCACCAACCCTAACAACCCCATTCCCGTTTACTCGATCAACACTACTTTCGACAAGCCCACTGTCCCTGTCGAGAACACCAACCCAAAGCCTTTGGATGTCATTTCCATCGACCACCTGCCCACCTTGCTTCCCCGTGAAAGCTCAGACATGTTCTCTCATGACTTGCTTCCCACCATGCGTGAGTTGGCTACCCGCTCCAGCTCGCGTGTCTGGCAAGATGCTGAGAAGCTTTTCCAAGAAAAGCTTGCTGCTTCGCGTCAGTAAGTTTCGATCAAATCTGTTGCTCTACTCAGTGGTAATCAGTCGAAACAACACCCATATCCAACATATTCCGCAAACAAAAAGAAAGTAGCCCCTCTTCAAACTCTTACACATACGACATATATGTAAAACACATAACTCTTTGTTCTTTGTACATAAAAATTATCGATTTTGTCTCTCTTGTAGTTGGTTTCTTCAAAGAAAAAGTAATTGTATGCAAACTTCGCAATCCATTATTATCCATGCATGCTTCGTATGTGCTCTAAGGCCACTACATCCCGAGCAACACTGTCGGATATAGCGCCGTGCACATTGACTGTATGTCTGTGGATGCTGGGGTATAGAAAATCGTATATTGCTTCGTAAGACACAATGATGATGCCCTTGTAGGTGAGAAACGAAAAGATTCTGCAGGGAGTCGCCTACTGACGGTAATGCCAATGGCAGTGCCTCAGTATGAGCACGAGCTGCTCTTGTGTATGTAAACATATAACTGTTGTTTTGTAAACAAGAAAGCTCGTTGTCTCAGCATAACACCAAGTAGCATTTATTCCCTTGATCTACTTGCTGAGATTGGTTTTTTCCCTCTACGCGCTACGCGCCTGACTCTCAGCCATTCTTTTTGACATTCCTTTTGATATACAAAATGAGTGAACCAAGTAATTACCTTGCCCTTCTCGTTCTCTTACAGTGTGCAACTGTGTCCCTGACTTTTTATTGTTAGTGAACGATGTGGATGAAGCCACCAAGATCGCTCAGGAGTTCAAGATTTGGAAAGAATCAGCGCTCCAGCTCTATGAAATGATGATTGAACATACCGTCGCGTGGCCTACGTTGACTTGTCAATGGCTTCCTGCTTTCGTCAAGTAAATAACAAAGTTCAATAATTGCTGCATGGCTACACTCTGTTGTCTTTCGCTTCCCTTTTCAACAGTTCGAGGACACACCAAGTTTTACGACGTTGATCTATACTTATATATATCCATAGATCTGACGAATATTTTACACAAGAATTGTTGATCGGTACGAATACGAACGACGAAGAACCCAATCAGGTTCAGATTCTTCAAATGGATCTACCCTTAGCCGATCAAAATGGTGAAAGTGACCCAGGTACACATAAATGTTCTAGATTCCAAAAAGTTTAGATATTTATCGTTTCGCTTTTCTCTCTCTCTCGATGTATGTAGCAAGAAAATCAAGATGGAAGACATTAAAAAAGATGGGACATGACGGTGAAGTTAATCGCGCACGATATCAACCTTCCAATCCAAGCAGAATTGCGACCTTTACTCGACAGGGCGATGTGCTACTTTTTGATCGCCAAAAAGACCATAGTGAAACAGATTGTGATCCGTTACTACGATTGAAGGGTCATACAAAGGAAGGTTATGGATTGGAGTGGAGTCCACATGCAGCTACTGCCGACCATTTGCTTAGTGCTGGATTTGATAATATCATTTGTCACTGGTAAGGAAAAGCTATAATATCGCAAGGAGGTAGAAGCTTAGGAAAGAAAGCTGATGAGCATAAATTCAGGGACATTGGTCAAGAAGGTCGGGTAGATCCGATTGCCAAATATATAGCACACACTGACTGTGTAGAGGTAAAGGAAATGGCAATCTGCTAAGTGCGGATCGAAACCTGCTTACTAACGAACAATGTGCTCTTTACAGGATATCAGCTGGAATGCAACAGACCCGTCAATTTTTGCATCAGTGGCAGACGATATGAAATTGATGATGTAATTGGCATCATAGATATTGTTATTTCAATCTTGCTATCACGCAAAAGGAAAATTCGGTTGGATACTAAATGGAGATAATGACAATGAAAACTTTATCTGTTGCTCTTTTTTTATAATAGATGGGACACACGTCAACCAACCAAGCCCGTGCAAAGCATTCAAGCACACAAAGCAGAAGTCAACAGTGTCGCCTTCAACGGCGAACAGGATTGGATGCTGGCTACTGGATCAGCTGACAAGGTAACTACGATAACATAAATTATAATATTTGCACTGATACGCCCACGATGTGCAATTGTTTGGCTAATTTGGGAAAAAGACGATTGGTTTATTTGACATTCGCAACCTCGGCACAAAATTGCACTCGTTCGAGCTGCATGAAGGCGAGGTTACGCAAGTTGCTTGGAACCCGCACGAGCCTGCTGTTTTAGCATCGGCTGGATTGGACCGACGCATCAATGTATGGGATCTGCGACATATTGGTGAAGAACAAACCGCTGAAGATATGGAAGATGGACCACCAGAACTATTGGTAATTCAACATCGAAAAGGAACAGCAAAACAGAAGCTTATTTGGATAGTATATAATAATGAGCTAATCTAATCGTGGTATGGTTATCAGTTTATGCATAGTGGTCACACAAACCGCATATCTGATTTCAGCTGGAATCCGAAGGAAACCTGGGTTATTGCCAGTGCTGGTGAAGATAACATTATACAACTATGGGAAATGGTAAGAGAGACATTTTGTATAATATATATATATATATATATATATGAGTGGCTGTTAATGAACCTTCTCGTTTTGCTACATAACGAAATAGACAAAGGATATCTCTGCAAATACGGACTTGACGACCGAACTTCCTGCAAGTGACCTCGAGTAAAAAAGTTCGTCCAAAAGCGGAGATTGCTTCTTCCCACAAAAAAAATGTATAAATTTATCCTCAATTTTTCCAAGCATATCTTGATCTTCTTTATCTTGTCTCATAATTTTTCTTTATCTACCATCTGCAAAGATAAACGAAACCGCTCCCATTACAAACAACACTTATCATAAAGACATTTATTCTTCATTTACTGTCACCTACCACATAACCATGAGCGATCTTAACTGGTGCACCTATTGTGATAATGCCATTGACGGCCACTCGGTATGAGAGCTTTTCCATCATTACATAATTATATCCACTTGGTTGATAATGCAAGATGGCTTACTAATGAATATTATGCTACATATGACTGTTACAGGACTCACTCTATTGTTCTGATGAATGTCTACGAGCTGATGCATTGAACCATCATCCACTACTTGGTTACGACTATGCAGAATTGAAAAACTTTCCACGACCCTCCTCACCAACATCATCCTCGTCATCATCGTGCACATTATCATCTACAACACCTTCCGCAGCGACTACTCCCACAATGTCGTCACCATCTTCTTCTTACTCAGAATACGACACATCGTCCACAGTATATCTTTTATCTCCACCGCCTTCTCCCGTATCCAGTTACGGCAGTGACAAGGATTATACCGCCATGATTTCAAGCTTATACTCTGTCGATCGAACAAATAAGCAGCAAAAACAAAAGCAACAACATGCTACCACAAACAGCATATTTTACATCTAAAGACACCTCATCATTATCATACAGCATCATCATCACTTGCCTTCATTTGTTTAAAGATATTTATCTCTCTTGCATCTCCCAAAAACCGACGAAAACCTAGTTTCACTTATCTGATCCCTTCCTCTGTATCTACGTCTTTTACCAACACCTCCACCCACTCCTCTTTCTTATTTTTACGCCAATTGTGTATATTTTCCATGTCACCCCATTCCGCAATACCCCGCTAAAAGAATAAAATTATCAGATCCTTAAAATTTTTTATCAGATGCTTTTCTTTTTGTTCTTCCTCTCTCTTTTCGTACACCGCGGATAATTTTTTTATCTTGATCTCTCGCATTCTCACTTTATGCACTGGTAATCCAAAAGCATGCGTTTTGATTATCTAGATTTTAAAGCTCTTTTTGACATTAAGATAATCTCCCCGGATTCCTGCTAAACTTCATAAATGCAGCGATCGTCATCATCAAGTTATGTTCGTCTTTTTGCCGCTACAATGATAGGCCACGTTATGCTATAGTACTAGACTACTATTATAATGACGAGATAATAAGCTACTACTACAGCACTTCTTATTGACGCTTGCTTTCAGGAATCCGCTATGTTTGTACATACATACATGTGAACAGCTTCTTGTTACCACATAATGCTTATGTTTTTGGCTTGTATTCGCGATACTTAAAATGACGATCGTTGTCACCATCATACTATAATGTCCTGTATGATATACGTACGTCATTTACGTCAAATCTTGATCTGTATATTTTTTGAAAAAAAGAGTGTTAAGATCAATGGCGATCCAGCATCCGCATTTGTGAAACACACGAGATGTTTATGATATAAGTATAGCCAGCTCGCAAACTATGATGATTATTTTTCTAACTAGCGACCTTTAGTAGTACATTAAACCTTTGGCTCATATTCTCCGTTCTACATTTGATTTAATGCGCATGTCACAGCCGCGATGGTGACTCATTAATCTGATAGGAGACATGTATACAACTATTGTTAGTAAGGTAGTTGGTGCTACCAATGTTTTACACGATGATAATGGCTAATACCATTAATGCGGTGGTTTTTGGCAGTTACGATCATGGGGTGGGTTATTAAAGTTCAACATGATCGAAGGATAGAGAAGTGGCAGCGAATACATTGTAAAGAATTTCTGCATGCTGTTTGCGTCCCTAGGAAGTGAGAAACTCGTAGTGCAATAAAACAACATAAAATTCGGTTTTATAATGTGACATAAAAGTCCTTTTTAATTATAGCTGCTATATGCTATATGTTCTTCATATGCTAAGCAAGTGAGAATACATGAAGTAAGCACGTTGTAGAAAGAAAATGGTCAACTGAAGCTGAAGGATACATATCAGGCAGAAGGAGAAACGATGCTCTCCCATGTGGTAAGTAGTCTTTTTCTTCCCGACACTACACTGCACTAATCAATGGATGACATTTAATGGATCCACCCTATGTCACATGTACATTATGCCTTTAAAACCTGGTGTATATTACACATACGCTCTGCCTGTGCCACATTATGATAACCTAAATAACCAGAGCGACACATATATACATACATATATTGAGCGATTCACTATCCGATTAGTTGACGTATTCCTTTTCTTGTTCCCCTGTACAATAATTGCCTCACTTTTAGTGTTTGCCGGTATAACTAGCCTATTGGTGGGTATTTTTGAGCTAGGCATACAATGTTGTTGTGGTTAATGTGTCCGATGCTCTATTCACTACACAGAATCAATGCCTATATGATATCATTTACAGTACATCGTCATTGTTGTGATTGCTACCGCCGGCAATAGTAATTTATTTGAAAATTCTGTTACGCTTTCTAAGGAGATGAAAAACAAGTGTACTACATGCGGTTCCATACACACTGCGATATTAAATGAAAACAGGGAGAAATCTAATGCTCTTAATGTTTCGATGATAATGCGTCGCTGGTACACTATTTTCTTCTTTGGGAAGGTTTGACAGTGTAGGGGACCAGTTGCAGCACTAACTACTAAACCTGTCTTAACTACCTCGGGCTTTGTCAATATAATATCTGATGCAACACAATCCTGGTTCCCAAGACCATAAAGATCATATTTATCTTGTAAGCTTGTGCTACAGTCCCAGCATGTAAACAATAATGCAGTCTAGTTCGCACTGTAGCTTTTTTATGACGTTTTTCTGGGAGCAGCAGTGATCTTAACCTTAAATAAATATGTGTAAATCTGTAGAATAAGTATTTTTAAATTGTAAATGTAGGTGCGTTTGTGTGATGAGGAAAAGAGTGTGGACATGTATTAGTGATATAATCCTACGCGCCGTCATTGTCGTCGTCATTCACGTTGTGGATAGGGTTATAAATAAGAGCATACTTTGTCGGCTTAACTCTTTCTCTTACTATATGTGCGCTGACTTCTTATTGTGCGTCACTTGGTCGAATGTTGATATATCCGGGGAAGGAGAAAGGCTGGTGCCACATCTGTTTTCGTTATATACACGTTTTAAAAAGCAGAAGACTTCGAGACGATTTTAACTGTTGGTAAGAAGTGTGCACCTGTGTAAAACTCGTATCATTTGAAGTCCTTCTCTTTTACCAAGAAAACAGATAGATAGAGCCCTGTCCACCCGCATACAAGAAGAGCCTCGCTTTCTTCCCGTCTGACACGAGCGCGTGATAGACTAAGAAGTAGTCCGTCTATGATGTGTGTAAACTAAAGTTCATATGCAAACTAACGAGTGCGTGCTAGCTTCTAAACTTCTCATTTTGCTGACCCTTGTTGCTATTTTAACTTCGTTAAATTGACCAGTATACAGTGTGCTACTTTATTCGGTAATTGAGATTGACTATCTTCTCATACTAAAAGCGCTCTTAGCTGACAACTTAGTAATAAGTTTTACACTCTTTTATAAACACGAAAGAATGATGAACATGACTTGAGTGATAATTCTGTTAGCAGCAGCAGGAGTGGTAAGTAGTGGAACAGTAGCGTTTCGTCGACCTTAAATAAATCCTAAGCTATTATACTTACCATTACCACCATTGGAGTAAATTGCTGATGACTGAAGAAATTGAACTGAGATGAACACTCCCTATGCGAAGAAGGATCCCATGGTCCCCAGCATTTTAACGACCATATGTCTCTAGTCCTAAAATGCCAATTCAAAGCAAACCACGGCTATGCTCCCATGATGGCTTGGTGTAACCCAGCTCGGAAGTCTAAATCTCACCGAGCGACGATAGATAAAGAATCTGCAAAAGACAAAAGAAAAAAGATGCATAATAGAATGCGTAGCGGCGGAGTGCTGTTGACTTACAAAAATGTCAGTCCAAAGTAATTAATCATCTCGAGCTTGCATTGTTTTTGCTCACTCTCACATAAAAACTCGTCTTGGTTACGCATGCATTACATATTTCGCCAATTTGGAGATGGCGAACAAAAACATAACTATGAATGCATTATGCAGACGAAAAGATATCATCAGAGTGAAGACAGACCAACAAGCTGAGAATTTGTTAATGGGATAAAAAGAAAGTTTGATAGAGGCAGTTCACGGTAACCACCCTACCCCAACTATACCATCACTACTACCGTCATAGTTGTAAGATTGATGAGGCACCATGGCTGCGCATTTTCTTTCTTTTTCTTTTTCCCCCAATAATTTTTGTTTCTCTCCTCACCTTCTCTTCCTTTCTTCGATAAGTGTTCAGAGGACCCCCTCTTTTCGGAAGGACCTTGGTTTCATGTTGGGCGTTTTTTTGTCCAGGTATTCATGGGTTCGTGGATCCTGTGACAACTTTAGGCGCAGATGCTCGCTTACTCATTTGTACATGCTCGTGGATACTGGTTATACAGACGATGTGGTGCATATGCGATGGTAACTGCGGTGTGTTATCATCCGCATTATATTAAATCTAAGTAACAATTAGAAAGAAAGGAAGCATCCAAAAGAAAAACGGCGTACTACCTGTATGTGTCATCATGCAACGTGGTCCTATGTACAGTATACATGTAAGTAGTCTCTGTTGTTATGTTGCTATGATATGATCAGATTTAGTATTGCTCTGATACAAGAGAAAAAATATATGTACTTTGTCGTCGCTCGGATGATTGTTGTTGTTTATTGTTCTGGCGATCATGAAACTATTACGGTGCTTTCTTTGCTTTTGCTGCTGGTGGCGATCATTTTCGTTTGTTCAGAAGCATTATTATAAATGCACAGATGTTTTTTAGTTCTGGAACCGACCTCGTACAAAGAAATTGAAAACGACAATCTATTTCTATTTTGATGCACCGGGAAAATGATAATTCAAAAAAAAATGCAAGGTATGAAGCCCCATCATCGCCTCGCATCAAGCAAAAACAGATGGACACGACTCCCCCGAGTCAAAAGGGCCACTAATAGTAAACAGCAGTCCATATCGTCAATACACTTCATTAGTGTTGTTGTTGTGTAATTACCATTGCAAGAAATTGTAAGATCTGTTGTTATGTTACCGTGCTGTTACGTACGTTGCTATGATACCGTCGTGAGGGTATAAAGAAAGGGTTGTTTACGTGTGGAGATTGATGAAATAAACGAATCTCCGGCAGCAGCAAAGTTGACAAGCAAAGGTTAAAAAAAAGAGGGCGTCTGTGCTAAACAAGAAGGTTTCGGGGATCGCTTCGTGATTTGGTGATTTGTGTTTCCAGACGGCTGAGTATGAGTGAGCAGTATGTGTGTGGCCTTTGCACAAATAACAGATACACGCACGCACACACAGGGAGAGGCCCATCAAGACGACTTTCCTACCAATCAAAGCGTGCCCCCGTGATGATGATGGGTTCTGCTTGTAACACACTGACATGGGTTCACACTCTATATTTTTTGCTGGTTGCCCAAAAGCAGAAGAGATGTATCATTATTGTTATGGAATAGCACATAAAAAGAGTATTGGCACGCTCTTCCATTCACCCACTACACGGATTGTTGTGGGCGACGTGCGCGTGTGGTAGGCTGCTCGCTGGTCTCCCAATATATATTCTTGATGTTTTTGTGCCCTTCTTTCTTTCACTCTTCTTTCCACTATACTGCTTTTATATTCCTCCTTTTTCCCGACATGTCCCAACGCACGCACACGGCAAAGTTCATCAACAAGGCTTACCCACATACAAACTACTGCCTGCTACACAAAATCTACTACTCTACGACGTGGTGTCCACACTGTGGCCATGATCTCAAGTGACGGTGACGATAAACTGAAGATATTGATGATGATGCAAAGAGAAAACAAAAAAATCAAAGAGGTTGGTTGCCTTACTAAAAGTAGAACATTCGCACGACTCGAGATGCTAACACAAGAATTATTGTTGCTGGCCACATATATAATAGCTTAATATCACGAAGTACATTGAAACGACACACTGTTGTGGGACTGCTGGTCTACGGAATTCACTCGCAACAACGTGTACAGCTACTACTATTACCATTACTCGCCATCATGCTGCGCACTATATACTTACTCTCCTCCTCGCAAAGCTCCTCGTCATATACATTATCACGCCAACGAAAACAGCACAAATCATAACACAGTCGCCATCAAAATATTTGCATAACTTGTATTTACTCTTTACTACAACAAACATTCTCGAAAGGAAAAGACAGTTTCTTGCTGTGTAATTTACTTTTTTCTTCTCCCCTCTTAAAATTCTGGCAAGAAAAGCACTGCTCCAAGACATCTCTTTATAAATAACCTATTCGATAACCTCCAATCCATTATCCTCCCCTACCTCTTACTCTTTTCGTGTAAGGAAATCAACAACAAAAAAGAGCACTTCCTCGCTCCGCTCCGTTTGCTATTCCTGCTGCTGCAGCCCGTGTCTTTATAAATTTTGTTTTTATTTTTTTTTCGTGTCCAGCGAACAGTTTGGCACTTGACGATCCTGGCAAAAAAAAAGGTCTGGACTTTTTTGAAGAGTATATAGCACAAGGTTTTTGTTTATTTTTTTTCTTTTGCTTTGCATTGAATCCAGTATCCGAAGAAGAAAAAGCATACACCAATTTGCAGCACAATAGATCTCATGTTCTATTTGCTTTTTTTTTCTTGCTCCACATGATGGTCCCGGTGCTAAGGTATCAATACTAGGCTGTTGAGGCAGAATTTGGTCATTACTATAACGCCAGAGAGATAAAAAGCCTGGTAATTACGGTAAGCTGCACAGCAGCGGATGATCTAATTTCTTTTCGTTGTTTTGAATGCTCTGTACAAGTAATAACGTGCTGTAAAACAACAAACTTCTTTGTTCAATAATAGGTTTTCTACATGTATAACTGAAGCAGTTGTATCGACCATTTGATCTGCTTTTTGAGTTTCCGATCGTTTTCGCCGCTCAGGCTGTCGCCACCGACTTCTTTGATCATACTGTCAACATGTTTTCTCCATTGAGCAATGGCATCGGGTCCGCTGACAATAACTTCGATTTTTTGATCGTCCGTAACTGTTGAGATAGTTCTGCTATGGAATGTACGAGATCCGTCTTGTTTCGTTCGGCTGACATCGTATCTTAACGAACGTTCGTTAAAATACAGCATATATCTCCAAAGCACAATCATCACATGGCGATAAATGTCCTCCAGGGACTCGAGTTTTACTGGACGTGTTTTGATGTTGAAATGTAGCAATTTCTCGACTAGAAACGTGGTGTGTCGTCCTTTACGCAATTTCATGTACTCTTCAGGCACGCACGAGCAGTCCGAATCGGATAGGTATAGGTCGCATAGAGCGGATAGGAATGTTGTAGATTCAATGATCTTAATATCATCCCCCCAACCCCAATTATCCAGATCAGTAAACAGTAGTAATGCATATAATCGCTGCGTATATTACATTACCTGTATTAAATTGGCACAGCTCTCGACATCAAGTTTCAGAAATCGTCGGTACGTCTGTTCTACTAAGGCCGAAGTGGTGACAAGATTATCGCAATAGGAAAGCACGCCCATCTAATATTCAAACAATGAATCCAAGGGCAGATGAGAAGAAGAGGCATATAGGAAGCGGTGGATCATTAACAGCTGAAGCATCTTTACCATATTCAACAGTCTTCCTGCAAATTCTGCAGCCTCAGCATCTTTTAACCGCGTGGGTTCCCCGTCCTCGCTGGAATGACATCCGAATGCACAGAAGATAATATCGAGGTAGCGATCAAACTGGCTACGGTTTCCGGTACTGTCCTTTCGTAATGTGTTCAAAAACTCGCATTTCTCTAGTGCCGAGTTACTCCCTACATGTAAATAAATGACATTTAGAAAATCAGTGAGTAAGTTACCGATCTTCTGTCTCTTTGCAAAATCCCATCCAGGTGCCCTTTTTTTCAGTGTAAACACACCTCGTCTGTCTCGTAAATCCGCCTCCAGCACTGTAATTATTACATTGAGAACCATACGCCGACGCTAAGAAGTAAAGATATCGTGTTATTGAATATGATGGAAACTATTGTCATATTCCCATTATGGCAAAATGGCTTACCATATGCCCTGCAGGCTGCTTCAACGATTGCTGATCCTGCTGCTTGTTATTTCTGTGCCGTGGTTCGACATATCCAAAACAATAAGCAGCAAGATCCCACAGATCGTCAAACTCAGTGAGGGAGCACTCGTAAGGTTCGTCGTCATCGTCGTCATCGTTCTCCAGTTCTAGTGCGGGGCGATTGATTCGACGATCCTTGAATTGTCCAAAGTACATGGGCTTGAAATTCTTCCAAACTGACTCGAAAGGATCAGGCCCAAAGTATTCCAGCACGTACAAAAGTACCCGCTGAGCTTCTTGTGCCATAAGAATAAGTTCCTTCGGTGTTCGTCTTCTCAAATTCATTGTAGGTCGCAAAATCAGATCGAATAATGCTAGAAGAACGGGTCTTTGATACTTATTAGCACATATGCATAAAAAAAAGAAAATCAAGCAATGACTTACCGCGATGGCTTCCGTCTTGCAGAAATGATTCCTCGAATAATATCCAAAGCTGCGTTGTCTATTTATCCAATAGTACTATTAGTCTTCATAAACTATATTTATTTCCACGTTCTGTTCTTCCTTACAGTGTTCTTCTTCGACGTAATGAATTATCATAGCTTCCAGCTTTGTTTGTATATGGCCCTTGCTATTTCGTGTTTTCTGTAATGCAAGGCCTGGTCCATCGCCATAAAAATATTGGTAGAGTTCTACGCTTTCGGGATCATAGACTAGCAACTGATCTGCGGAATGCTTTTCAACTAGGACACCGTCGGGCGTCACCGTGGTAATCTCATATATAACTCGACCCTTCTACATTCAACAAACACAATAAATTAGGAGAGAAATATCAGGCTAGCCTCTAATTGGTGCGTACTTCATCAATACGATGCTTTGTAATTGGCATTGGGTTAGAAAGAAAAAGAAATGTAGCCGGGGTTTGTTGAGCAAAAGCTTTTATTTATTTTATTGGTTTCTATGTCCAAAATTTAATGCAGGTTGGCTGTGGATGATCAATAGCCACTCCATCCTCCAAAAGACCGGTGCTTTGGTTAATCTTGAAAATGACAATGTTATTGGAGTTCTAGAGTAAAAACATACAGTGTTTTCAGTAATTTTTTTTCGTGGTGTATCATAGAACAAAACAGCTTTGGTTAAATAAACCTTACCTGGTTGCCAACCAACATAAAGTGACCCGATGGATCAATTTTGAACTGTCGAGGATGATCACCACCCGAAGATAGGTAATCCACCACCTTTAACTTTCCAGTGCCATGGTCGACGGCAAAGATCGTGATAAGGTTGACAAAACGCACCGATGCATACAAGAATCTACCGTCCGGTGACAGTTCAATCTCGGCACCACCATTTACCTCGCCTTCTGGCACCGCGTTATGATGCTCGATTTCAGACAACTTTCCTTCTTCACGGTCAAAGTGGAGCACGTAGACTTGCGAGTACAGTTCGGTCATCACATACACGGTTTCGCGGCTTTGGCTAATGGCTACATGGCGAGGGCCAGTACCGTTGGGAAACTTGAAGACGCTTGTTTGCTCAAGCTTGCCATTATCCATCTTTTTGTACACAATCGTCTCGTCAGTTCCCAGGTCGCATGAGACAGCCCAATTCTCGTCCACGAAGTCAAAGGAATGCGCATGTGCTGCCTCTTGTCTATCAGGGACACCACCTGATGGTGGTGAGGTATGGTTAGCCAAATATGCTAGTGCGCCAACACCGCCAGAGGGCAAGATCGGTAACGAGGAGATCGAGCCACCCATGTAATTGGCAGTATAAACGTAAGCACCGTCCGTTTCGGCATAGCAAGGCGAGGCACCATAGTTTGCTTCTTGGTTAATCTCAGTAAGCGATCCATCGTCGGGATTGCGCTGGAACGCAATCACAGAACCGCCGTTGGTGCCTTCATAGTCTCCAACCTCGCTCACGGCATAGAGAGTCTGTGTGTTCTGCTTAATAATAAAATATGAAGGCGCATTGGCCGCTGCCACAAGAGACCCGTCCGTAAGCTCTCCTGTAACATCGTTGAAATCGTACTTGTAGATGCCTTGGCCGCCATTGTCAGTATAACCAGAAACGTACACCGGCATCGTTGCTTGAGCTACGTGCTGTTGGAGAATGAGCGACGTTGCTATGGTCGCAAGAGTTGCCAGGTAACGCATTGCTGCTGCCAATTGATAACGAAAAGAGAGAAAAAAAGAAAGGTTGATTCGTCATTACGACGGAAAAAACTTACTCTTAAATAGTTCTAGAGAGAGAGAGAGAGAGAGGGGTGGATCTCGTAAGGGGTCTAATCCGTTGCAGCGATTTCCCGTTGGACCCTTTGGCTGGTTACATAAGACAAGTGTTCCTCCGATTGGCTGGGGTTGTCAATCTCAGGGAAAAAGTAAAACGTATTTTTCCCAGCGCATTTTATTTCATGCAATATGCATCATGGAGCACTTTTTCTCATCCACAAGAAAACGGTTCCACCGCTGGGAAAATGCTCTTCATTTAGTTCAATCCGGAAAAAATACATACTCATTGGCCATAATATTATAGTTAGTCAGCGTCTCCACCACGCGCAGTAATGGTCAAGGAAGGTTATCACTGATGGCAACAACTGACAACAACAGCAGAAAACGCACATGCGATGTGATAATTGATTTTCATAGCTATCTCGACGTGCCTTCCTATATCTATACACACTATAGAAGCATCCTCCTTGGATCGCTAGCAATGTAGATCTACAAGTGTGAGTATTAGCTGTGGTGGCGTTATAGATATGGGAAAGGTGATCACCGGTTAGGAAAAATTGATTAGCTAATTTCTTTGGAAAGCGAATCGAGTACAACGGGGCGCGATCGAATTTGAGAGATTCACAATATACCCATTCTTCCTTCGATTGCACTGTTTAAATAACTTCCCTTCAACTCAATAGGTACTACAGTACGTTCGTGTAAAGACTTGCTGCACGCGTATACATATTTGTGAAACCACAGCGGGATGCAGACTTACTCAAAATCAAAAGAGCAGTATGTAATGATCAGCGTCAGTATAAAGTAGTCGTGCGTCACATAGTAGTAATAGTATGCATATGTAGTTGTTTGGGTGCTAATAATAGCACCTGTATCTACTCTTGTTAGACATAAAGAATAGACGGTACGGTGTTACTACATGATATGTGGACGGAAATGTACATATAAAGGAGTGATGACTTTATTCCATACATTCTTTTCGGCCTCTTAAAGATGTCAGTACTTTATTGACATGTATCTTTTGCAAACATGCTTCCAGTAGATTGGTTTCCCGGATTTCTTATTTCTCACTTGTACAAAGTTGGTAAAGTAGTGCAGCTATGCAAGCTTACCTGTACGAATGAGGTAACTGTCCCTTATAATCCAATTAACTTACGTAATCGTTGCCAGAAAAGTTAACCTAATTATTACCAGTCGAAAATCAAAAAGCTGAACTTTCTCGTCTTCAGCTAAAGTCTGAAACAAAATATACATTTTGCATTTTTATAAAGACATTCGACCACGGATTTTGCCGATTAGACACTCTAACATAGGTAATTAAGCACAACACTTCGTTTAGAATAGAGCAAAGTAAATCAGCAGTTCATGAGCAAGAGAGTTTACGTCGGGGAAAGCAATAACGGTTGGGGACTCAGAACGAAGTGCCTCATTATTCACACGGAAATATACAGAGCAAAAGAGATACACTATGTAACCTTAGGGTTATCCGGTGAGGTGATATTAAATATAGCAGCATAATTAACAAATAACCGGGGTTATATGTCAATAAGTACTAATATCATATTGCATCTGTCACTCTGCTGCTCGTCGTAGTTATTTACAACGACTTCAAAAAAATATACAGACTCCACCATACTGATTCTTATCCACCGCCAACTCCACTACAAAATACAGACATATAATAAAGCTCTATTATATTATATATGATAGCTAAATTATCTAAGAAGAACTCCAGCAAGAGAACCACTCTTAGAGAATTATGAGCTTACACACGCATGCAGCAGCCCAGCTTCTCCCAGCGCCTAATTTACCAAGACCATCTACAAGCAACGGGTTCGTCGTTGGTGGTTTCGATGTGCGAAAATGACTACCCCAGCTTAAAGATATGATAAGGCGGTCAGGCTGACCTAACTCCAGCGAACCTGTCATGCGACCTTTATAGCCCGTTTCTTTACAAGTAGTTTAGCTGCAGTGTCGAACATCTGATTGTGTAACAAGGAATACTCACCATCAAAACACAAATAAGGTCGCATCTTACAGAGCTGAGCCATTTTGAAGATGGCGCTTTTTTGTTGTTAAATCACGCTACGTGCACCAGCAATTTATTCTGATAGAAACGTTAGTGCGCATGCATAGGCCAAGAGAGAAAAGAGACTATTTTAAAGCTCTTTTTATACATATACAATAAACGTACATAGTAATTCAAGCACGAACAACTTTCCTTGTGAGCCGTTTGTCCAAGGAAGAGTTGAAATATATCGACTAAATATGCAGCATTTTACAATCACATCATGTATCAATTATCAACAAATGCGCGGGGCAGCCTAACAATGGATGTTAGCACGGAATAAGAATCCCCTTTCGCGTAATTCAGCTGTTTAATATGTCTGATACAGATTACTACTATTAAATGGATATACACGGCAGCAATTTCTGGGATGACGCACAGATATATTAAGAATTCCGACTGTTTATAGTGTATACATATATCACTACACAGTAACAACTGTCAATAATGAAGAAATAATGTTGTATATCGGTAACGCCTAAATCTGACCGTATAATATAAGGCAGTACCGGATAAAACGTCATAAACATGCTTCTCATGACTCAATCACAGATCCGAAGGTTAACACATTGCCAAAAAAAAAAGAGGTAGATGCAAGCCTTGACGGTGAAGGGTAATATGGGATGATACCTAGACATTTCCAATCTCAGTAGAACGTGGGGTAAGTAACGCTTAAATGTTAAGGTGGCAAAGCTCATAATGGTGCCTGCGTTCCACAAAATGCGATATGAACTGGGTACCTTCTCTCAAAGTTGTTTCCTACGTTTTGCTTACAAAATGTACGTTACATGGAGTAGTTATATATCGCTGTTGCGCAATTTATGCTCTTGTTTGCTGCATAAGCAGTAATGGTTGTTCACAGATTATGCATAATTATTTAGGATTTACATTGCAAAATAACCCCGTAACTGCGTCCTTTTTTATATAAATAGGTACACACGCGATACATACAGTAATACGCAAAAACACATTCTTTTCAAGCCTCCTAAATTCCAATTGCAGAAAATTCTACTGAAGGTTATGGACCGTATGCGGGATGTCGATATGACGGCACTTATACCTCAAAACAGTTTTGCGTGACCGTTGTAGAAGCATTCAGAGATCCAGAAGCAGATAATTTATTCGCCCAGGTGCACAATGAACACACAACAACGTCAATGGTATATATATCTCTGGCGATCACCCGACCGAAGGATGCTTCGAAAAAAAAGCATTGTCGGTAATTCTTTTTATGTTAGGATTAGTAGCACTTCTTATAAGACGACTCTTCTCAAATATAGCTCTTACAACCATGATTGTTGCTCGATTTTTTAATAAAGTTTTAAGCGTATTGAAACTCATGTTTTATATGTATGCTATATAGTCACAATGGTGGATGGACTCACGGAGTTGGGGAAATGTTCAAAGGCCCTCGAGCTTATGTAAGTACTGTTGGCAGAATGGCGAATTTCATATTATATATACCACAGGGTACAGCAAGGTGGCGGCTACTTATAGCATATCACATTATCACTTAGTTGGCAGTGCATGCCCAAGCTGCTGTCATGTTTGTCAAGTACTCATTTAGCCCAGAAGTTATTTACCTGGTAGCCCTTGGGGAGTGCTATGACACCCTTTCATGGGTTGTGAATACCGATCCATTAGTACATAATTTAAATTGAACAAAGATACCCGTTCTCAGTGATAGTACAAGAGGAAACCTAGCTGCTGCTTTAGCAGGTACACATTTTTTTTGCATCATTCGTATTTGTAAATGGTTATGACAAAATGGTGTGGTTGTTCTATATATTTCTAGACGAGTAAAGACGTAGGAGCACAGTGTTGCAAAGTCAAACTCTGTTTTATCCCGCTGTTTGTGCTACCAATTTTGATAAGGATTCTTACAACGCATTCGCCGAAGATTATTTTGTGACGAAAGGTGCCATGCTAAGGAACTAGAACTGTTATCTTCCAGATGACGATTAGCAAGTTCGACGGATTGTTACTGTATCACTACTGGAGGGTAGTGTCGAGGAATTGAACGGTATCGCTCCGGCTTTATCATGACTGCGGAAGCTCACATTTTGCGCGATGAAGGAGAACCTTATGCGAAGAGATTAATAAAGGCTGGCGTACCTCTAGTTGCAGTCCGCACCCTCGGGACGCTTCATGGTTTCTTGGGCATCGATGGCAGTGGACCCACATCATTATCGGTGTACAATGAAACAGTCGACTTTTTGCACGAGAATTAAACATAACAGCAACTACTAGTGCTGCACAATATAGAATGCATATTTATCCCTTGTTCTAACTATGATATAAATTCTGTCTTCTCAAAACAAACATTGTAAACATCTCAAAAAGGCTCAATTTCTATGCGGCTAGTAACAAAAAGGTAAAAGCTGCTTGAGTTGACTTTTGTGATCCTTCTACACACTAACTTAATATCGTGGGTATGCGTACAAAAACTTTGAGAAAGCACAAATAGCAGTATAAATTTATAAATAAAGCCATTGCAATGGGACCTATTTTCTTTGGATCTACAATCAGCACGTCTGCTAGTATGTATTAAACAGCAACAAAGTAAACATTAGTACTTTAGTGGTATTCCGTTGTATGTATACCTCCGGTTTTTGCAGTATTAAATTTGGACAAAAGTTATTTTGAGGTCGATAGCAACAGGGATTAAATGCGCCACCGATGAAGAAAGGGGTAACAGTGTACAGTCTTTGATGACATTGAATAAAGAGAAAAGTTGAATAGCTTGTGCAACCTTGTTCAACCTAATGATCAGAGTGAACACTTACATACCACCTGCTCAGTGCGATTGGACGCTTGATCTCGGTTCTATATAGTATATACAAACCCACTGATGATAGTTCGGCGAGGTTAATAATTAGTGATGTAACCGTTGACGGGCGTTTGTGTTTAATTGATTCGGGATTATATACTTATACGCGCGTGATAGTTTACAAGCATACTTTGAAATGGCAATCGGGTATATACGAGTCCCACAGAAAGTGGTACATAGAACCGGAATCAAATTCGGACCCGTCCACCCCATAGAGTATAGAATGTCATTTTCAACATATCCGCCTATAAGAAGTTGTACACTGCTAATGCCTGTATATGCCGATCTTTACCGTCCCCTTTGCACCCAACGAAAAACCTGTTCCGAACGGGGCGACGGGTCGTGGTGGAGAGGGAACAACGAGACGATTCCATCCCATCCCTTTCAGACCCGAAAAGTGCTTAATCTTGCTCGCTAATTTATGCCTTTTTGACGTCATGTAAGCATCCGCACGTGCCAATAGCATCGTGAGCTCTCCATTTTGCTTACACATTCTTTCATCGTGATCATTTTTGTCTTCTCTTTCTTGCATAACAGCATATCTCATGTCATAGAACGGATGTCACTGGCATTCTGGGCTACATGCAGGATATCAAAACGCCCAATGCACCTATGAGTTGAGACTTGATACTGCGTAAACAAATGCGCATGATATTGTGGCGTCTTTCAAGTCAGCAACGTGAGCCGCCGGAGAAACCCGGTGAGTCCAAGGTCAAGACGAATATCGGAGTTGGGGGTGACAAGACGAACGCATATGATGATGATGGACGTAGCGGAACGTGAGAAAACGCGGGGACTTCAGGAACACGAAAAACAGTGTGCTGCAACTGCTACCCCGGAATGTCGGTACGTGATACCTTTTGGCATATGCAGAGCGGATCACCAAACAGACTGGTTTCTCCACTGAGTGCTTTCAGTTCCCAATACTTTCACTGTCTCTATCGCGATCCCCATTTAAGAAAAAGGTTATTACATTGCAACAAAAGACTTTCGGGACATACACGACTGTATGCACCTCAGACTCTTTTTATTTCAAGCTACATTTGTTATGTACAGTTTGGAAAAGGAGAAGATATAAAGGGAAAAGGATACACATGTGCCATGGGTGTCTGTGCGGTGATTGCGGAAATTGGATTTAGGGTAAGTATGAAAGTGTGCGTGTCATAAATGGTTTGTTGCATTTAGAGGGCACCATCGACCTTGGCGGCGTGGGTGATCAAGTCAACGACACGGCACGAGTAGCCGAATTCGTTATCGTACCAGGAGATGAGCTTGACGAAGTTGGGGTTCAAGGAGATACCGGCCTTAGCATCGAAGATGGAGGAGTTGGTGTCGCCCAAGAAGTCAGTGGAGACGACCTCATCCTCGGTGTAGCCGAGAATGCCCTTGAGCTCACCCTCAGAGGCGTCCTTGATGGCCTGCTTGATCTCATCGTAGGAGGCACCCTTCTCGATGCGGACAGTAAGATCGACGACGGAAACGTCGGGGTTGGGGACACGGAAGGACATACCGGTCAACTTGCCGTTGAGGTGGGGAATGACCTTACCGACAGCTAATTAAAAGAGAACAGAGAGCGCGTGCTTATTTTTAGTACTGTGCCTTTTGTCAGCAAGAACGGGAAGCTTGGCCACCGCTACGCGTGTAGGCCCCACATCCGAATCTTTCCCTTCCCTTATCCGGGGTACCGGCAGTGCTGCCTTTGATAGACAACACCCCCTCCGCGGTACCACTGCACCTCATCCCATATGACAGCGATCATTTGCATTGAAACTTACCCTTGGCGGCACCAGTAGAGGCGGGGATGATGTTGGCACCGGCGCCACGGCCAGCGCGCCAGTCCTTGCCAGAGGGACCATCGACGGTCTTCTGGGTAGCAGTGGTGGCGTGGACAGTGGTCATCAAACCTTCAACGATCTTGAACTTGTCATCAATGACCTTGGCCAAGGGAGCCAAGCAGTTGGTGGTGCACGAGGCGTTGGAGATGATCTGGTATTCGGACTTGTAGGCATCCAAGTTGACACCGCAGACGAACATGGGGGCATCGGCCGAGGGGGCAGAGATGATGACCTTCTTGGCACCACCGACCAAGTGAGCCTTGGCCTTTTCGATGGTGGTGAAGACACCGGTGGATTCAACGACGTAGGCAGCGCCAGATGGGCCCCACGGGATTTGGGAGGGGTCACGCTCAGCGTAGACAGCAATTTCCTTGCCGTCGACAATGAGCTTGCCATCCTTGTGCTCAACGGTGCCCTTGTAGCGACCGTGGGTGGAGTCGTACTTGAACATGTAGACCATGTAGTCCAAGTCAATGAAGGGGTCGTTGATGGCGACAACCTGGACGTTGGGGTTCTGCAACGAAGCGCGGAGGACAATGCGGCCAATACGACCGAAACTGTTGCGCGTGACAAAGGTTGCATGTCAGTGTCCTGCTTCCTTCCCATGCAACGACGCACCGCCACGGCAAAAAGAAAACGAAAAGGACTTACCCGTTAATACCAACTTGGACAACCATTTTTTTTTAGAGTGAGAGGAAAGTGATGGAATGAAGAAGAAAAGGACCCTTGGTGGGGGCCTCGAGCATCTTGTGAATTTATATTTTTTTTTTACAACTCGACCAGGCCACGTCAGGACGCGACCCGGGGTTGACTCCGATGGCTGCTACTGCTGATGCTGCTGCCTACTGTTTTGCGTTTGGTCGGCATTGGAACACCGACCCCATAAACAACACGCTTACTATTACTGGTTGCTGCTGCTCTGATACGTGCTGTATACGTATAGCAGATGAGATTAATTGCCTTATACCTCCCCTCCGCCCTTGGTGCCCATTCCACTTTCTTCTGGCCAACCCCTGCCTATTTTCATGCCATGCTGCAGAACCATCTGCCACAATTCCAGACAAGAAGACGAGACTCATGTGTGGCCACCCGTCATCCTGGCTATTGTAATCAAGCGCAGCACAGGTTAAATATCATAAACAAGCAGCGCAGTTGAGCGATCATCTCTCACGCAATCGATTGGTTCACAGAGACGCGTGCTGCTATAAAATTTTCTGATGCAGCGAGAGATAGAGCTTGTGCATTGCGCTTTAACTATGCGGGCAAAGCTGGAAAATCGGCTGGAACTTTCGGGGAAATTATTTGGGGCTCAAAGATCGTCGGATAAGAAAAGTTCGCGCATATACCTTTTACACGCCTCTTGCTTTTCTGTATGTGCGTGGTGCGTGGCTTTCTCCTTGATGTTACATATCTCAAGATACAAACAATGGCCGTTTCTTCGAAGCTTCGATCATCAACAATAACTACAAGAGAGACGATTTCAAGGTTAGCAGCAAGAACACCACTGGTTGCTGGTAGGTATACAACTGGGTTTGATATCACAGACTTCTGTATCTGATTTGATCAAAAGTGGGCGATGAACTTATCATTATCTATGCCCAATCATCTCTCAGTTAGGCTGGTAACGCGCTGGAGATTTTACTTTTCTTTTACCCCAGACAGCAATAGATAAGTCCGTGACAACTGATTTAAAAAGAATCATCATCTGCTGCGTTTTTGTTTTGTGCATTTATGGCAAACCCCCATATCGCCATCAGCTTTGATATTTTGTCCTCTCTTCTTCCCTAAATTTGAGCTAATCGTCCAATAATCGCTTACAGCTACATGCGTGACAGCGACTATGGGCAATAGCCTAGAGTCGGTATGCTTTCCTCGTGACAATAATCTTACACAGTGGATAATATGTGCTCGGAAGCACAGTCGGTCAATTTCTACAGATTAACTGCACTAATACAAGGGATAGTGGACTAGTGCCCTTTAGTTTCATTTGAATATAGTAGGTGTATATAGAAAGACATGGTCTAAAAAACAACATGAAGAGTACGGGAGGACACTCGACTTGACTATAGTAATGGTTGCTCCGTGCCTTGGATGACCTTGCGAGATGGCAGAAACTTTGGGGATGAGGATGAGGATGAAACACGTTCATAAACGAACACAAAGAGAAGGGGAGACTTGTGTTTAAGTCAAAGTGATGATGGTCATACATAGTACAGATCGTTGCGCATTATCTCCTGCTATTATATCCTTAGTATTGAAACCACAGCATCGTACTATCTCTTATGAGCCATCACCGCTGTGTTGAATCATCCTTCTTTCATGATTAAGGCTATCGACCGTTTTGTACTGTTATATCGAACTCTGTATTTTTCGCTTAAACTAGAATCTTTCTTAATAAGGTATAGTATCGTTTTAGTAGGATTGACGCTGGGAGACAGCGGTAACCCCTTTGTATAGTTATTACTGTTGTTACTGCCATATGATACTGGTCACCGGTACCCTGCCGGGTTTGTCTCATCACACCCTCTTTCGCTTTTTAATCGTATGATTTCGAGGCATGTAGTGCACTTACCCTCACCATAATCATGGCCGGGTGACTGACCGGGGCCATGGTGTTCACTGTAGAACGTTATGTCAAATACCGCCTCCCCTGGATAGACGTGACAAAAAAACCTGCTCTTGTGAAACCTTATTTATTGTTGCACATACACGACCGCATCCTACGTGTCGTTGTCTTGTTTTCATGTTATTTGTTGCTGCCGTTCTGTCAACGATAGTGTCAGGCATATCATCCTGTGACACCTAGAGGCAAGGAAACACTTTATATTTAATGTTGTCTGGTCCATTACATTGTAAAACGTAGAAAATGGTCACATCGTAATAATATATACAGTAAGTGCATCATGACCAGAAAATACAGTGCGGGCGTCGTAATCTAACAAAAGGGTCTTAGTACTACTGCACCAGGTACAACTTTAGCCTATTGCGTCAACGAATTAAGCAATAACGAAGTCGACCGATTTTGCAATGGGACTGGAATCCTTCAACTTGATCGTTTTGTCGAAACTCTGGGTCCCAAGTACAATACGCAATCCAATCGTTAACCAAGTATGATTGCCACTAGTATATTTGCGTTGCTCCTTCTGATTACAGGCATGGTGGCCGTGCTGTAGAAAGAGCTAAACCCTAAACGGAATTGTAATCCCAGGAAATACAGTAATCCTTTTCAGTCAACGACAAACAAACATTCTTTGAGCTGTTATTCTATCCTTGTGGGAGATTTTGCGTTTCTCGTATCCCGCGCCCGTCGAGCTGCTGGCTTGTGTACATGATCCGACTCGTAAAGTAATCCGGCTGTTTTGGTAAGGACCATCAACGGGTTGGCATTGCTTACAGCTGTAATAATGATAAACAAAAGAGAAGAAAGAAAGAATTCCTTTCTAAAGAGGACTATAATGTAGATGACGCACAGATGAAATAAAATAAAATCACACATACATTGACTGGCATGGCTGTTCTTTTCCCTCGACCCTCGACCCTTTTATGAAAATACAAGAACACTTTTCCGCATGCATGAATCTCCCGTCAATACTGTAGCGGCGAAACGCTGTCAACGGTATACGCAGATCTAGATTTTGTGAGTACACCATGTGAAAACCATCAATGCCTGTCCAGGAGGGTAGTAGGTCATCCTCCGGTAGCTGTCGTCGCAGCCGCTGTTGTTACTGTTAAAACAAGATAGAGTAGGAGGAGGCATCAACGATCCGAAGAGCTCCAAAGCACAATACAATCATGTCGTTCCCCACCAATAGCCCATAAAAGTCGATCAGTGAACCCAAAAGCGTGTGTTTATAGTCAAAGTTGACTGATGGAACGATCCTGGGAATCATGTTTGCAACAGCAAAAATGCAATCATGCGCCCTACTGCTTGTGCGCTTGTACGCGGCATGCAATATGCTGCTGGTACACCATTTATCAGATTTATCGTATATGCTTGTCATGAACCGTTTAGCTTCTGTACCGAGCAAGGACAACCTTGTATGATGAATTACCGTGTCGGATCATAAGTGCACGTTGCGTCTGATAAACAGCAATCGTTTGGTCATGTAGGCTTCTTCTAGAGTGCACACGCGTTTGCTCCATCGTATTTAACTTCCTTTCTTCATCCTCGGCTTTCGCATAAACGTAATGTTGCTCGGGAATCAAAACAGTCGTGCAACAGGAATACTCGTATATGTACTGCATTCGTTTGATTTCTTACTTCTTTTCGTCTTCGTCGTTTTGGTTAACGCACCTTTGGTCGAACCGTATGTATTGTATGCTGAAGTCTCTGCATATCTGCTGGATAACTTGTTGAAACTTCACCAGCTGCGGAGTCCTCCCTGTGGACATTTATTTAATAATAGCTTTTTGTTATAAGGTTTTCTTCACACACACACACTTGCGAGCACAGCATGACCTCTTCTCTAAACGTACCTTGCCGACATATGATTTTGTCTTGTCCGTCGTCCTGGCGATGGTGTTCATCGCCTTCTTTGAAAAAATCTCTCCCGATTGGTTCCAGCTGTTTGACAGAGTATGATATGGTGTTCAACAGTGCTGCCAGGAACGACATCCATAGCATGTGTACCGACAAGCTGCCTGGGTCTGTAAGGTGGATCGTCACTAGACGTTGTGGATGATGACAATGTCGCTGTTGGGCGAAATTCTTATTAGTTATTGCCAATATAAACGACAGGGTCGTTGACCCATATACAGAATCAAATTCGTAGAGATTCGCCTGGTCTACGTAATGCACATATTATTCTATTGTTATGAATACTTTTGGCTCCTTGTACGGTTGGCTGATTACATATGTTACCATAATTCAACCTGAAAGGCTCTCAGTGTATTCGGTAAAGATAAACTAATTGGAGCCAAGAGTATGCTTTTGTTCTAAGTCGCAATTTATTTCAAAAAGATGAACTTCTTTTTGAATAGAAGAGAACAGTGAAAGGAAGAAGCATGTAATAAAACTACTTCTTCGAGGGTGATGCAAGCATTATTAAGAGACACATCTGATATTGCAAGTGTGCAACGATTATTAGATATATTATAATGATAGTGATCTTAATTTCTGTGTAATATAATATCAACAGACTATCGATAGAAGTGATGATACCGAGTCTTATTATATGGCAGTAGTCCCTCTTTCAAAATCAACCTCGATAAGGGAAAGTTCTACAATGCTGGCATAAAGTATATTACTAAGAGTAATGTACATGCTATAAATGTACCGCTTTGCGGATTCTCTTCTACGCTATAAGAGCTTATTTGTTTGAGAGTAACCTTAACATGGGAAACCGTGTTGCTTTTAAGTTTGAATGAACTACACTATACATTCCTTCCCCACTTGCTACGTATGGTGTTGGTACTTTGCCTCGCCGTCTTTTCTCCTACAATTTGTTGACAATTTCTCAAACGCTGTTGTTTGTGTACTTGTTACTGCTAGGAAATTCCGTTTCTTGACCTTGATGGGTACATATTATAACCGCAGTAGGTACGGCTGGGCACGTTAACTCGTTGCGATGATAATAGATTATTACTTATCATATCTAAAGGATTTAACTGACAGCAATGCAGCAGCTATATTTTCTCTTAGTCATCTATTCACGGTTTTAATAATAGTAGATGAGAATATCAGCTCTAATTTACAGCACGAGGAAAATTTATATGAAGAGTATGATATACTACATAGTACTACTACTTGACAAAGAAAAGTCAGCCAGCCCGGAAGAGCAGCACAGGTGCGTCGTCGGTTCGTGTCCGAACCGGAATTGAAAATCAGCTTATACAGCGCTTCGAGGGCCATCCCATACACCTCCTCTTTCAACGGCCATATCTTTTGCCATCCATCCATCCATCGAACATCATGTCGACCGCCGAACTCGCTGTTGTCTACGCTGCCCTCATCCTTCAGGATGGTGAAGTTGAAATCTCCGTACGTTTTGAATCCATCCATTCATGTATTTCCTCATTCACAATGACGAATTCGCAAAATGAAAAAGGGAGAATTCGCGTTACATTATAATCTTGAATTATTCGGGGGAAAATTTAACACCCAATGGTATGATTGTTTAGGCTGACAAGCTTGAGACTTTGGTCAAGAAGGCTGGTGTCACTGTCGAGCCCATCTGGTTCAACATTTTCGCCAAGGCTTTGGAAGGTCAGGACCTTAAGGAATTGTTGAGCGGTTTGTCGCAGCCCGGTGCCAGCGCTGCTCCCGCTGGTGGTGCTGCCGCCGCTGCCGGTGGTGACGCTCCCGCTGCTGAAGAGAAGAAGGAAGAGGAAGCCGAGGAATCGGATGAGGATATGGGCTTCGGTCTTTTCGATTAAACGCATCACAACAGCTTTGTTTTTGTTGTATGATCATCCAATCTACCTTCTCACCAATAAAAAACACCCCAACACAAACCACTCTTCAACCACAGAACCAGTATTATTTGTCCAGACACAGATACGGAATATATGCTGATTTGAGGATAATTGGTAAGAGCGACGGGACGATGAGGGAAAAGTAACAAAGGGGGTGTCTGTTACTGGTGTGAAAATCAAAATATAGGGGAACGATGTGTAGGTGGGCTGTTACAATCGTCAGATTTTTGTCTTTAAATATACGCGTGCCTCGTGAAGTCTCCTTGATCGACTAAAGAAAGATAAACAATAAGACGAACTTCACTCAGCGCTGCTACCCCCCTCGTGCCTAACATTACTAGCCGTTTCTCGAGAGAAGATATATAAATGTGCATTGAAACAAGAACACGCGCAAACAACAATATAATCTCTTGATAACACTTATTTTTTTCCATTCGTTACTTTATTGGCTATCAGCATTATTACTACTATGCAACAGCAACCCATTACATTCCTTATCTTTTCTGTCATTTTCTTGTTTGCCAGTCTCGTTCGATCCGTGCCTCTTGCTGCTGAACGACGTTCCGGTAACGACAACGGCGGTGGTACCGTATTATCCTCGTCTGGAAGTTACCTGACCGACGAATCCTGCCAAGCAGATCTGTCCTGTATACTTCACTGTCTTTTAAACGAGCGGTTCTTATTGGGCGAATGTAACAAGGAAACTCATACATGCGAATGTACTAGTCCGTTGTTTCACGATGACATCCAAAAGGAGCCCAAGGTGATTGTTGTTCCTGCTGGCCAAGATGGTAGCAGCACCACTAGCAGTAACGGCGACGCAGCTCCGTTGTCATCGTCTTCGGACGGTGCCCAGCAATATTAACGACGAACGGAAACAAAGCAGCTACTGCAGCAGCAGTTAATAATAGTAACTAGTACTTGGCCATAGAATTCATCTCCCTTCTTGTACGAGTGTTCGATACATATGTCATTTTTAATGGGACAATTGTTAGTATTCATTTCCACATTGTTGGGAAAGGGTTACTTAATGTTTCATCATCGTCTCTTGTTTCCTTCCCACCCTCTCTAGTAATACACATCATATTGTTACGGTGAGTTTGGGGTATTCCAGGTAGTTGCGTAACGGTTTATGTGTATGTTTTGTAGTGAGCACCAGTAATAATATTATTTATATATTTATTATTTACTTGTGTTTTGAAGTTTTCTGGCTTCTACAATACGCTGTACTAAATCGGAAGCCACCGCTGTTTCTAGACAGACGCACACTACATATGATTCATATGTGCTTGGTGGTAGCACTACTATGTACCGTAGATAAGGCGTCTGGTAAAAAAGAAAGACGTAAGATGGGCTGGTATAATATGCATATTTATGGCTTACCGGGATTGGCAAGATGCATACATGTTTTCGCAATTTTCTTATAGAACACGCACACTATACGCACTAATGCTCCACCCGCTTACTCAACAGCAATAATATTCATGCAGTAACTCAGATATTCGATTAATATGATGGTAACACCAGGGCAACACACGCACGCGCGTAATTTATGTATGTGTCTATACATTCGGAAAACCCGTGCTCTTTTGTTGTTGTTGTTTTGAGAGTGTGGATGATGACAAAAAAGAAGACGGATCGTCGTCGGCTTTGTACAGTGGCGATGTTATACTGTAAATGTACATATCGAAATACTCCAATACTCATTACGATTGCACATGCTGCATAAGATTTTGTATATAAAATGTTATATACAATAATACTATAGATAGAGAAACAGACAGCCAATGGGCGTTTATATGTGAACAACAGCATGCAAGAGTTACAAAATCTGGACCATCACCACTACAGCCGTCGCTGACCGCTATTCTACTACTTTCTTTTCATGCTAGTGTACTATGCTGACGAGCTCAACCAAGAAGAAGCCATGGTCATGTACATACATTATATATGAGAAAAATATTGTCTGGTTCCTCTCTTCCAATACAGCATCGCATGACAGCTGCTGTGCTAGTGTAGATGATTTGTTTCCGAATTTATAATAGAGCTAGACGATGCAATTGAAATTTGTTTCGTGTGCTAAAGTCTAGTAGATGATGAGTGGTTTATAGCGCAACAGCAATGACGGCGGTTACTCATAAATGGATTTCAGCGTGTCTTTCTACAGTATTAGACAAACTCACGTATAGACTACAGTACAGTCATATAAAAGTAATGGGTCGCAAGTGTCTTTTTGCTCCCGTGGATACAATTGGCTCTTTGACCCTCCCCGTGCTTTGAATTCACACACTCACTCAGCAATAGCATCAATGCTGCTGCTGATGGCCCCATGACTTGTGTCTTTGCTCAATTCTTCTTTCATGAGAGCGAGGCATCACACCTTCTTTTCTTATTTTGCTACTCCTCTCTGTCACAAGCAAGGGATCGATTAGGGGGATGAACGTGTGGTGTGTGTGTGTGGGGAGAGGAAGAGCTATGCAAAAATGCCCGGAAAATGGGTTCCAAAAGAAACCGAGGTTGATAGGAACAAGACCCCGCCCGCTTCTTGCTGCTGCTGCTGCTGCTGCTGCCGGCCCCTAATAGGATAGAAAGTAGGCAGTGAACGGATAGGAAAGCATGCAGAAAGCCTATCGAGAAAATAGGAGTTGGGGGAGGAGGAGGGGAGGCGAAAAGGCGAAAAGCTAGAGCCGATCAAGATACTTTCTTCTTTTCGCTTTATTTTTATTTTAAACTTTTTTTTTGTGCTCAGGTAGACAGTAGCCCACTGTCTTGCCAATTCAAATCATCCGCTGCTACTACAGCCACCACAAGCACTTGCACTAGATCATAACTGTGCTAGTTTCGAGTAAGAGATAGAGGGAGTGAACGATACAAAAAAAAGAGAATAGCCCTCTCTTTTTCCCCTTTGCATCCTCCTTAAAGAAGTCCCACTATCATTACCACCTTATCATCATCAATCGTCAGCCATCGCCATCTTCTTCTTCTTCTTTCTCTCTCCATACCATTTCCAGCGTTTGACGCTCTTATTCTATTTTTTAACATCTAAAAGCCTAGTAATACCCTATATTATTTAATCGACCAAAAGCCAGCGGTTTTGGGGTAGGTTCCATTATGCAAGAATCATTCGCTAATCACAAAGAGCCCACCCTCCCCCAGTCCAAACGGTGTGATTAAGTAACCAACTAACTCTCCCTCTCTCTCTCTCTCTCTCTCACGCGTAATAAACCATGCGTGTTCATTGTGTAGATAATAATACGAATAATAATACCTATTATTGCCAACGTAAACAAAAGAACGCCTACCTCCCTCTTCCTTTTCTCTCTATCTCTCTCTTCAATATTTTGTATCTACCACACGCCTCTCTCCATATAGCAAAAATTAGAGTCAATGACCGCAGCCACTACGACATTACCAGAGCAACATCAGCAATTACGGCAGTCAGCTTCAGCAGCGGCGGCAGCAGCAGCGGTTGCAATGACCAACAAGCGGAGATGCAGCGGTTCTGCATTACCAGGTGAACATGATCAACAACGCCGACGACAAAGGAGACCTTCTTCGCTGTGCGTTTTGCCACCGCCGCCGACGGCCACGAGTAATTTGCCGCCACCACTACCACCGCATATAACAATTAACACCGCCAATAGTAGCACTGCGACTGCCACCACGACGACGACGACTACTACTACTACTACTACTACTATAACACCACCACCGGAAAAGAACGACGATAACGACAAAGACGAAGAAGAGGATGACGACGAAGATGATGAATACCACAATAATCTACGAAAAACAACGCGCAAAAACGTTTGCTCATGGTCATCCACATCATCGTGCTTTTCTACTGCCTCATCACTCACATCAGTATCAACACCCGTTACAGCAACTGCAGCTGCTACGCTATTAACAACACGTGCGCTACTACTACCGTTGGATCTGGAGGAGGAGGACGATGAAGATAATGACGCTGATATGGATAGTACTAAACAAAGCAACAACAACAGCAGCAGCAGCAACAGCAACGAAACTGAGCATGAAATGCATCAACGGCAGTGGCGCAAACGGGTCAGCAGGTCTCTTGGCCGATCAGCATCCAATGGCGACGCAGCCAAGGTGCATCAGATATTGACTGATGAACGATTAAGGCCGTTTCTCGATATTGATGCGACGGATGACGAACAAGACGGCACCACGCCCTTGATTTATGCTGCTTGTTTTGGCAAGGCGGATGTGGTTCATGTCTTGCTTGATGCCGGTGCCAAGGTGGATGTCCAAGACAAACGTAAGTTACTTTTTCTACTACTTAAAAGGGGGGTTGGTTAGCAAGTTAGTTAGCAGTGGTGGCGGTTATGGTTGAATGTTATCTGTCGACTACGGAAAAAAAAAGGGGGTGACAAAGGATAAAAGCAGTTTGTAAAGAAGAAAAAAAAAGCTAGGGTGAAAGCTGTCAAAGGAGACGCATGTGGTTTGAAGGAAGAGAGAAAAGGGAACCCACGAAGCAAAACTTTATGTGGGGTTTTCTTGCATCTGCAAATGATGCAGGTGTCCTCAGCTCTCTTTCTCTCTCTCTCTCTCTAGCGCATAGCATCCCATCGTCTACCATCCCATCACCGTCGAGGCATTTTGAGTTGGCTGACCCTTGAACCTTCTTTTTTCCCTTCTTCTGATGTTTGTTGTTGTTGCAATACTGTAGGCGGCTGGACGGCGCTCATGTGGGCTACGACCAACAGCCATAGCCAAGTTGTGGAGCTGCTTCTTGACCATGGTGCATCTTCCAATGCGAGGTCGGCGCGGGGTCGCACAGCGCTCGACTTCATTGACACTGAGAATGAACAAATGATCCACATCATGTCACATCTTGAGGACAGCAGTGTTTCATCCGACTCCCCCTCAAGCAGCAGCACAAGCTCCGCTTTACGGAGAAGAAAGAGCTTCCGTCGTCATCCTCTGTCTCCTGTCCCTCCAGCATTGGCTCCAACATTAGAACGAGATAACAGCAAAGGCGAAGAAGAAGAAGAAGGAGGGGACGGTGAAGACGAAGACCCGCTCGACTTTTACTATCAGTCCAACCAAGACACTGAACGTAGCCATCGCGAGTTGATGCAGATCGGCGAGCAAGAATATGCAGCTGCTACAGGTGCAAATCAGGACAGAAACAGCAGCAACAATAACGACGACGACGACGACGACGACGACGATGAAAAAGATGAGCTAGCCAGCTGCGAGGCTAGCATGCAATCCATCCACAAGTTTGACTGGGACAAGTGTCTGCCTGATCAAATGTTTGTGTTTAGCGAAGAAAACGTCCAACACATCCTCGACACGGCCATTACCAACCTGTCACTTCCGATGAAGACACAGCAGGAAATCTGGGTGCCGGCCAACATCATCTTCCTAAGCGCACGATTTGCCCATTACTATTCGAGCCGGGACCTCCTCCACACGTTTCTAAACGCAGCTGTTGCCAAGATCAATCATGTGCTCAAGGTACTACTATTGCTAATGCTCGTTTCTTTTCATTGTTGCTGTTGTTGTTGCTGCTGCTGCAAAGTACATGTGCTGGATTTGCGCGGGCTTTGTTCTGTGCTGGAATACACACTTTGCCTGAACACAGTCAAAACAAAAACAAAAACAAAACAACAACTTTAACCTTGACTTCTCTTCTATTCCTAACTACTTTACCCACACACAAACACACAAAGGCAAACTCCGGCGATGTCCACACATTAGCGTTTTGGATGGCCAATCTGTCCCAGCTGCTGTACTATCTCAAAAAGGACTCTGGATTAATAGTTGCCACCGCCGAGCATCAGCTCGAACTGTCAGAGCTGATCTGCGAGACATACACGTTACTTGTCATGGACTCGGAGCAGCGGCTAGACAAAATCTTGGAGCCGGCTATGCTTGGACACGAGCCCATCCAGGGCCTGACTGAGCAGGTCGACTTTGCCGACGACTGGCAGCGCCGCTTTTCATTCTTTTATCGTCGCAACAGCACACGAAGCAATGGCGGACGCAAATCAACTGCAGGCAACAGCAATACCAATAACGGCAACTACAGTGAGCCATCATCACCTTCTATCGTGGTCACAACCCCGTCATCACCACGCAGCTTGTCGCCACAATCCATCACATCCTTATTATCGTCAATTCTCTATGTGCTGCAGTCCTACGAAGTCCACCCGGCCATTGTCCTGCAAGCGATCGCACAATTTTTCCATTTCTTGTCATGCGAGATGTTCAATCGGATTTTAAGCAACAAGAAATACCTGTGCCGGTCCAAAGCGCTGCAGATCCGGATGAACGTGACGGCACTAGAAGAATGGATGCGTGAGAGTCAGCTTCCGAGCCATTTGGCGTCGTATTTCAACCCATTGGTGCAGCTGCTGCAGCTGCTGCAATGCGTCTCGCAGCTGAACGAATTGATGCTGTTTGTCAACACCATGAAAACGTTTGATGTCCTGAACCCGTTACAGATCAAACGGTGCGTGCTCAATTACCGTTATGAAGTGTCAGAGCCGCGATTGCCTGATGAAGTCAACCACTATGTCATGCAGATTGCAGAAGATACAGTACGTCAGCAACAACAACAACAACAACAACAAACATCGTATCGGGGATCATGTGATACAACACGACGAGACAGTTCATCCACGCGCAGCGCAGGATCACGACCAACAAGTGTATCAAGTCTTGGCAGCTTATTCATGGCTAGTGTTGTTGGTAGCCACAAGGCCAAGCTTCAGCAGCAACAGCAAGCTCAGCAGCAGCAGCAGCAGCAAAATGAAGACAACGATGCTGATGGTGACCGACAAGACGATGGATTAAAAGACAATGAAAAGCCACAAGAGGAGCAACTACAACAGCAGCCACAGCAAGACAAAGAGGAAATACGGGACCATGAGGGACTACGCGAATGGACGGTCGAGAAACGCGATAGCCGGTACATGCTGCCATTCTCGTTACCGACTACAAGCGGCTGGGGCAAAAAGATCAGTCCAGCGTGTGATTCAAACAATCATAGTCAGCCGGTCGGCAGTAACAGTGACGGTGGCAAGGCGAGCGAAGCGATGAGTGTGTCGGATGCCATGTGTCAAGAGTTCAAACAAAAGCTGAGTGCGGAACGAGCAAAAACTGCAAGAGAACGTGGTATCGTGCCGACTATTCCAGAAGAGTGGATGGACAGATTAGACAGCAATCTTGTCTCATAATACGTAACCTCCCTGGCATCGTAATAGCAATAAGAATAATAAAAAAGTACCTTCTTCTCTTTTCATTACCACCTGCTGCACTTCTTCTTCTACCCGCCAAAAAGAAAGAGTATGCGCGTTTTTGTTATTGTCATCGTCGTCATGTATTATGTACGATGATGAGCTTTTGTCCAGGGGAGAGGCGGACTTTAATACTGTCAAAGGATACGTTGTCAAAAACGTTTCAAGATCACACGCAGTTCTTGTGTATATTGCCTACATACACACACACACAACTCCCTCACAGTATTCTCAATCAGCAAATATAAAAAGGACAGTCATACACTAGCAATTTTTGTCTTTTTCTACCTTCTTCCCGCCTATTACTTTCCATAAAAACGAAAACCATGCCTTTCCGCCATATCTGTCCCGTGTGCAGTGCTGATTTGGCACGACAAACCCATCATGCATGGTGTGCGTTGCACAAGTGAGTATTCCCACCTTCCCCCCCAAAATCTATATGGTAATGGAATCCCGGATTGACTGATTGACGAAAAACAATAGCGGTCGATATCGAGCCACGCGCCATTTCAGCGACGACCAGCCCGTACTACTTCATCGTCATCAACAAGAAGCACCACCACTTTGTGATGATGATAGCTTCACCGTGACAGTACTGCAGACCCACGTATTTCGACAATAATAACGCCACAATTATCCCGTAATAACCCGTATATTCAACTACTAGTACTTTTATATATGAGCAAACACCGTTCCATTTACATGCAACACACACACACACAACAACAACAACAACAACAACAACAGACATAGACGATGATATGTGTTCCTTTGCAACGTTTCTGCTATTACTCTTGGCTGCCCACAAAAGAACAAAAGAGATGTACATACACACTTTATTTACACTGTTACTACTAGTACTTACTACTACCTCTACTTGTACTATTGTTACTATATGCACAACTACCACTACCCACAGCAACGAATAAACATATGGAATAATTGGCAATCAGCAATAAGGAAAGACAAAAATGTTGCCAGCTGCTACTGCTGCGCGTGCGTGCGTGAATAGAGAGTATTCGCTCGGCAAAAAGAAAAAGGCGAAGCACACTTGTAATTCGACTCCTTACTTTGAGTCCATCCCCTTTCAAATTATCGCAACTCCTTTTTTTTTATTTTATGTACAGTAGTAAGCCCCCCCTCCCCCTGTTTTGTCCTTCTTTTTTTAAACATTGAATTGAATTGATGATGATGATGATCAACCCACAGCAGCAACAACAACAGCAACAGCAGCACGCATGTAAAAACTTATTTTTGGCATTTTGCCTGCTCAACCTATCCGATCACTCTTTGTGCACTGAACAATTCTCTTCCTTTCTTTCTCCCATATTCACTACATACCTTGGCACTCACCCACTCACCCAACGCTTATTTGCTTTGAGCATTAAGGCATTCATCACCAAAGAGACACAAACGTCGTTTTCTTCTCTCTTGCCTCCCTTTCCTTTCTTTTACCTTACTTTCCATACCACGTACGCATACACACATACAAGCACACACGCACTCTCTCTATGATATTGGCACTATTCCATGTCACAAAGCGTCACCAACAATAACAACGCGGAGCCAACAAACGGCACCTCAATCTTTGGCATACACCTTAGCCCTGATCCTCACAACGAAATTACTCAAGTCGACAATGAGACCGTAATCATTCGACCACGATTAAACACCACTGGACTTACTGAGCTCAAAGTAAGCTCATTATGAGTAATGACGACACGACTACAGTGACCATTTATAAGAAGCAGAAAGAGAAGCTCACGTTTATTACTACTTCAACAGATCGGCTTATTGTTACCGTTTAGTCAAACCAACGACGAATTCACCGCAGAAATCGTATGGGGGTGAGTTTTTTCATCTCTTTCTTATTTTAGGCAATTTAAGAACCAAGTAAAATCAGCTTTTGCTTGTGCCGATAGTAAAGAAAGAAAGCCGAGAACACATAGAAAAGGGGTGTGCGCGTGTGGAGTTGTTGATGGCAGGAAAGGGACTAGTTGTTGGTTAGCATGAACTGATGGTGCCTTTATGTATGTGCGTGGGTTACACGAAATCTTGCTTTTTTTTTGTTTTCGCATATGTGTGTGCTTTTAGAGGATCGTCCGCAATCCGCATGGCCCTGAATGACATTAATACACGCGGTTTGATTCCTGGCGCCTATGTCACCCTGATAAAAAAAGACTCATTTCCTGAAGCCTCCATTGATCAAAGCGCCGTCACTGACGCCGTCTATGCGTCAGTAACCTTGCTACAACAGGGCGTTATTGGTGTCATTGGTGATGTTTCGAGTTCCTGGACGAGTTTAAGTGCTTTGATGACTAGCACTCTCGAAATCCCTCAATGCTCATTTACGGCCAGCGCTAGTAAGTGATTTCTTCTTCTCATACGCATTTCTTGTGTGCACATTCAATAATAAGCTCATCTTTAATAGTCGCATTCTCGGATAAAACCCAATACAAGTACTTTTTTCGCACGATTCCAACGCAGGTGATCATGGCCGATGTGATGCTTGCATTTGCAGCCAAACAAGGCTGGTCCAAAGTAGGCATCATCTATACAGACGATCCCATAGGTCAACAATGTATGTCTTTTATATAATTATATACATACACGCTACTGCTTTTGTATAAAAATTATTACTTACAGCTTGTACCTTTTCTAATACTAGTCTGCCAGCATGCGATCATTCAGGCTAGCAACATCAACATGCAAATCATACGCTACCAAGCAATTTCCCAAGAAGCCCCACAACAAGACGCCGCCGGCTCGTTACATAGTGTTACGACAGGTGGCGCACGGATAATCTTGGTAGCAGCGACGGGCGATGCATTAAATTCGTTGATGCTTCAAGCAGCCGAAATGGGATACTTGTCGGACGACTATGTATGGCTCTTGATCGGTGACGTGACTGACCAATTGCAAGAAGCTACCGATGCACGAAATGCCAATTTAACTTTACCATCAGCAGCAGCAACCACGACAACAACCGGTTCATCGAATTATCCGTTGGCGATAAATAGCTCAACACCAATCAATTTCAATGAAACGTATAACGGTTTATTCATGTTTGATAACTGGTTATCTCCCTTTGGGTATCCTCCATTCGAAACTTTTCTCGATGCATGGTCACGATTGGACCCAAACGCGTATGTCTAATCTATCGAGCAGTGTGATAGCAAGAGGAGAAGAGAAATGCTAAATTGATGTACGCATTTTTTTTACTTAGGTATCCGTATGCTGGAAACCGTACCATAACAACCAACGAAGGGTAAAAATAGATAGAGCTATAGCGAATCTAAGAATGAGAGCAACAAGGAAGCAGTACTGCATGCTGCTGCATAACACCTTGGGTATATACTTTACTCACGCGTGTTTTTTATCTTTCGAAAATAGTCTCGCGTATTCATGCATGATGGTCATGGCCGAAGGTTTCAGCCACACAATTGCCAACACAACCAACCAGACTCTCGGCCTGAATCAGCTGGCAACCGGAGATCTGGGCCAGTACATGAGCCCTCCAGCTTTCAATGTCGGCTACGTTGGTCCAGAAGGTCCCATGATATTCGACTCGAACGGTGATGTTACTACGGCGTATGTTTTTATCTTACTTTTGTTTTTTGTTAAACATTGCTCAACTGAAAACCCCTTACCTATTCTATATGTCTCTCTACCCTTCAAATGATTACAGCAATTATTTGATTTATAACTTGCAGCATGGCCTAAGCAAGACTGTGGCTGAAAGCATGGATGGCGATATCAAACTCACAGGATCACTCATGTACCATGACGGCACCTCTAATGTAAAGTGACAAGAAGGACGTGCTATAAAGAATCGCATAGAAAAGAGAATCGTAATTCAATCTGACAAAAAAATCTTTTCTTCTCTGGAAAAGAATAGCCACCATCTGATGCTCCACCTAGTATATCACTTAATCCCGGTTTGAATACAGCTATCGCCCAGGTTATCTTGGTCGCGTCCTCTTTGGGTATATTGATCGCCCTCGCTGTCCTACTCTTGGTTATTGTCTATCGCAAGAATGAAATATTCAAGGCTTCCAGGTAAGTGTACACATAAAGAAGAAACCCCACTCTATGCCACTATCAGAGTACTCACACATATGCAATACAGTCCATTATTCTGCTGCCTTGAGCTAGTTGGATTTATTATGACTTATCTATCTGTCATCATGATGATTGGTATACCAGATAGTGCAACCTGCTACGCTACGCCTATCTTGTTCAACCTCGGCTTTCTATTAATCCTTGGGTAAGTATATCTATAAAGCAAAAACAAAAAAAAACAATAACTTAAAAGGGTTTGATGTGTTGCTGCCAAGACGAACATTAACTCCTAACTTCTATTGTCACAGAAACATGATTGCCAAAAATTATCGAATCTATCGAATTTTTAACAATATCTTCATCACACGTACGGTTATTACAGATCTCCAATTGATCAAAACAACTTCTATGGTGGTTGCACTAGATATGGTAATTTAAATTAAAGTTGCAAATGCAAAGGTGAAGAAAGCAGATGTCTAAGCCTTTAGCAAAACAACAATAGATTATTTTAGTGATCGGTCTGATTGTATGCCGACCACAACCACAGCGAATCGATGTTTCGTTCTCAAGCCATTATTGGGAATGTCATGCAACGCGGGCTGCTACCGATATCGTGTTTCTGATATTATCCACAGTATATGCAGCTGCCATGCTCCTGTTTGCCACGTTCTTGGCGTACAAAACCCGTGCTGCCGGTCAGCGATATAGCCATTATAGCGAGACGAAACAGATGGGTTTGTCGGTCTAGTAAGTTTTATCGATCATAGCTTTCTCCTTATATAGCTCTCTACTTAAATAAAGAAAACTTCCATGTATGCTTACCAACAACTTCTTCTTATTTTGTCCGTCATAAACTGTAGCAATATTTTATTTTCGGCATTGGTCGGATTCGCTGTCTTGGTTAATCCAATGGCCGACTTTTACACGAAATACTACATTCAAGTCATCACTATTCTATGGGCAACAACGTTTTCTCTGCTTGCTCTATTTCTGCCCAAAGTTCATGCATTTGTCAAGCAACAACGCAAGGCAGGGGCCGGGGTATTTGCGATCTATGACCACTGTTTAAACCGGTTACGCAGGCATCAACAAAAAAGGGATCGCTCCAACTCGATGCATCCATCCCATAATCATTATCAGCAAGAATCATCCATGAGCCAACATTCCGGAACAGCATACGGCAACGGTAGCTTACACACTGGTATTGGTGTTGGTGGTGAACTGATCAGCTTGGATCAAATGATGCATGTGCCTTTGGATTCCGGTGGCAACTATGTTGAAGTCCACGAAGGCGAGATGCCCATCCGTCGTGTTTTTCGATACTTCCCGGTCCTGTCCCATTGGCAGATGCAGCATATCATGGTATTCCCATGCCTGGGCTACTTTTCATTCTTCTCAGAACGGACCAAGGAAGGTGCAGTCATGTCGTATCGTGAAGCCACCATCCATTCCGCCCAACTCGAAGAATACGTGCTCAAGATCCATGGCCAAGGCATGCATGACATGTACATCCAATTGCCTGATCTCGATGCGCTAAAAACGTGGGAACAGGCCTTTAATAACAGCCATATCAGCAAGAAACAAAACAGAAAGAAGAAGAATATTGGCAGCTCGTCGTTTTTGCGAATGGATAGTGATAATGACGATGAGGATGAGGCAAAGCAGATGTCATCGTCATATTTGGCTCCACCCTCATCGACGAATCTCAGAACAACCCCTTCTCCTCCCCCACCAGCTTTAGGCATGCCTGTATCAGAAGTGCTATCCCAATTAACACCACCTCCGCATTCGTCACAACGTAGTCTGTTGGGGAGACGGCAGAGTGAACGAAGTAGCGTGACCAGTGAGACGCTTGAAGTGCATGATCATCCGGTACGATTACCATCCTTGTAAATTATTATTACTGTTTATTACTCTTTTTTCCCTTGCATCCATCTATTCTTTTCGTTCTTTTCTTTTGTCTTCTTATATATACAATCATATGCACGTAATTACTACATCATCTCTTCTCCTTCTATTGTTGTTGTTGTTTCCATCCATTCATCCTCCTTCACAAATACAAGAATAAAAAGCACTGCATTCATCATCATCGATCTTTATATACCGCATGAGGCCACATTGATATCCTGTCCTATGTGGCTATTTTTTTTTGCATGTGCATAGCAATATACAGGTATCCACGATGCCGATTCTTCATTCTTGTAGACCTTAGAAGGGAAAAAGTGTAAATATGATTGTTATAACTCTTTGTGTATGGGTTTTTCTGCATATTTGAAGAATGAGAGCTCTTAAGGTCACTAGATCATACTTAAAATGTAGTGGACTAGGGCTGTATCGCAACTGCTGAGGTTACTTTATCAATAGATTACTTCTTATAAGTTGATGATGCTGGAAGGTTTAGTTCCTTTCACTAATGTTGCTGCTAAGCTTGCGTCTCTCTTGCTTCGGCGAAGGCATGCATGGAGAAAGCGTTATGGGCGGTGTCACATTTACCACATGGCACCCAACACCGTGATAGAGCCAAAGAGACAGAAGCAGAGGCCTCCGCGAAGCTTATTCTGCTCGTTGTAATAAGATTAGGGGTCATGGTGACAAATGAAAGAAGCAGGTGTTGAAAGAGTGTTTCCGGCCTGCTCACAGTATACGAAATCAATTTTTCATGCAGTCAGCAGGTCTTTCGGCAGGTGCCAATTCTGAGGATCTATATATATATACCGCAAACAATGCATTTGTTTTTAGCTATAACTGTTTCACATGCTGATTTACTTGGTTTCTCAAAGATTCTGTTGAGTGATGGTGAAAAGCGAGTGGTTGTAAAATAGAGGTCATCGTAGTGTTCGGGATGCGGGTGGAGCTAGAGGAAGAGTTGTGAAAAGGAAGATGGGAATGAGACAATTGTCAAAAAGAACGCTGGCAAGTAAGTAACAGGCTCATTCAGCAGGACCGAGTTCTGTTACAGTAATGTTTGAGTCAGCTAAGAGCTTCCACTTTTGCACTTCCGATGAATGCACTCTCTACACTTTTTTGCTACATATTCTTAATACTTTGACAGGTTTATTGCCTCTCGCTTGCTGCAAGTAGTCCGTGTTCTTTGCACCAATCTAACTGTCGCAAAAAGCAGAGGTTCGCCGTAATCAAATTTACTACACTGAACTTTAAAAGCGTAGACTACATAACACATAAGCGGTGTAAAAGAGCGAAATGTGACAAATGGGACTAGATGAATATATGTGTGTGTGTTTCAAAGAAGTATTTTCATCACAAGAGACGTCCAGTGGAGTGCCAGATCCAACGGCTCGCGAGTATCATAGACTATGACTGTAGTAACTACAAATTTCTTCAAATCGACACCTTTCATAGTATGTTTTGGGCACTACCTCGAGCAGTGTTTTACAGGTCTTTAACCTTGACTACCGGCCCAATTTAAGCATGCATTTCATTAAAGCATTCAAGGTTATACGTAGTAGGTATGTATGGCTACTGCAGAAGAAAAATCTCATTATCATATAATAATGACAGCTGTTAATCAAGCAAGTAAAGCATGAAACGCCATTTACTCCCGAAATTTACATTGGTGAGCACATCAAGCGAAACATACTATCACAATACTACTTACAATACAACAGCCAGAAAGCTAATAGTGAAGCCTTCTTAGAAGCAATAAATATATATAGTATATGTACAGCAAGTTTATTTTTATTTAAATCATTTCCAACAAGCGATGGTAGTCCTCGATCACGTTCTCAAATGTTAGATCCAGTTTTTCTTTTCGATCCTCTGGGTCCAAGTCGCGCAAAGCATCCTAGAATTCAGAGACAGTACCGTCATTAAGAGACAAATATATACACAGGTAAATCGTGCTAGGAATTCTCTTACCAAATTGAACAAGTATAATCGTTGCTTTACTTGAAGTCGGAATAATCTGTATGCTTCTTTTTGTAATCTGTTTACGCGAGACAGCAAATACATTTCAACGCATCTTTGCATTTGCCGCTAGATAATAAATGTAGAGTATGTTTGTTTTTAAAAATTAAGGCGCGTGTATATAATATAGCATATCCCGTTTTTCATTTTAACTACTTACATCTGTCAATTTATATTTTTGGCGCATTTCCTTCATTACCTTTCTGGGAACAGGTGCAATCAATTTATCAAAAGCGTTATGACTGTTCAAGTAACGCATATCGTTTCGATCCCGCATATCTGCAAACGCTTCACTTGGATCCTCCACCGTAAGCTCTTTGACATCACTTCGTGCCATGCAGGTTTGATAAATGATTCGATACAATTCACCTAACAAAAAAAATGAATTAGCATCGACTACGCTCGTCATTATATAATATGTATGCAATTTTCCCCCTTTCTCACTGTGCCTTTCTGAACACTCACTGCCATGTCCTTGCTGCTGATAAGGTGGAAGAATCAAGAATTGGCTACAATTCATATTTTTTTTTAATTTTGAGTACCCATGAATCATTCTGAATTTGAAATCCCTCTGTACCTGATTCGGAGACGTGTGCATTCAGGCCAGTAAAAGAAGGGGTACGTCGTACAGTAACCCATAAAATGATAAATGGTCGATCCTCCGACATTTTGACGCTTGAACCTACACATATGTGAGCATCCAACAATTTATGATCCTTTCGTGCCAATGAATACACTTACATTATGTAAATCTCCCATTTTTCGTCATCTTCCTCAATATAACTCGATCCCTCAATGAACAGCAATACAAAAAACTGCATTCGTCGATGGTATTGCTTGAACCGCTCGTCTGCAAACGATGCCTTGTGAAAGAGAAAAGAGTCAGCACCCATCACCACACATGATCCCAAATAGTTATCGCTCTTACAAATAGCCAAACCTAAGCAACTTACTCTATATATTTCGAAATGTTCCTCTTCACCACTGTCGCTTGATTCACGCGTATATTCGTGAATTTTTTCGCCAATAGGCCGGAACGTTTCGGCGTCTTCTTGCACAGCGCGCACAAACTCGTCATAATTAGAAAAGCAATCTGGATTTGATAGGTGAGTATAGATTTTTTTCCCTCGGGATTCTTTTGCAGTATCAGTATCAGTAAGTATATATAACTTATAACTTACCTTGCTTGGGTAAAAAGTCTAAAAGCATATTAGACACGTCGTCTGCACCTTCTGGTTCTGCGGAGGCCGATGATGACGAGCTCGGCTGATATTTCTGTTCATAATTAATGCGAGGATAAATGCGAAGCGATCCCGATGTATATGAAATCTATCATTTAGAAAAAGAGTGGGCGAGAGAGAGAGAGAGAGAGAGAAAGTGAGTAGATCATTCTGGAGAAGAAACGCGACCGTAAATGATCAAGCCAGCACGAAAACGATCGGACCTTAATGGAAAGACCCTTATAACCAAATACGACTTCTTGTTCACCAAAGATTGGATATGTAAAAGTAGGTTCAAAAGTTGTGTCGGTCGTAGGTTCAGAATCCTGATAATCTATTTGTGGTTGCACTATAAGATTGAGTGGTTGGATTAACAAAGGTTGTTCGTATACGTGGATCAATAATAGGTACGCGTCCCGTTCAAGAGTTTTCCAAGATTTTTACCTAAGCTTAATTTCATGCATTCTGTTGTTTTGCAGATCCAAGGCGCCAAATGCGCGATGTTGGGTGGAGCAGCCATCATTGTATTTAAATTGTATTTAAGTGGAAGAAAACTGAGAGCAGGAGTTTTCAGGAGAATCCAGTTTTCCGAAAACCAAGACGCGCCCGCGATTTTTCGAGTGCAGATAACGCAGGGTATGTATCATCAGCTACCAGTTCTGATGCACACACATCAAAGCCAGGTGTTATGCACGACATGATTAATACGTCTTTATGCTCAAAAATGCCGACAAAAATGGATACCGTTTCTCATTTACCAACTAGCAATAGCAATCTTTTAAAATCTCGGCTTTAATAGCATATATTGATGCTCGTTGGTTTTTAAGGCTTAATTATAAACATCAGCCCACGAATCAAAGCCTCAAGTTTACATTTGGCAAGCATTTGGTCTGAAACTTACTGAGCCACATAGGCTTATGAGTTATCATTGATAGATTTACTGTGCTATGTATCTTCTTTTGAAAACAGAGCCTGTATTCACCTGCTATTGCTGCTTCCTATGTTTGTCGCTTAATCAAAAAGATAGAGTTCGAAACTGTGATACGTGATAGTATATGTGATATCTGAGATGTGAATGGATGTTTTATCTCTTGTGCTTTTATATAGTAGTGTAGATAATTTATACATAGTTGTTTTTCAATGTGATTTCTGTTTGGTGTTTTTTAGTTCCTGGCCACCCCAAGTCGATAGCCATACTGCACTAAATATGACAAAACCGACAATCATACTACCAACCGATGCGTAATACGGGTATGCTGCAGTTAAGAAACGGGCATACTCGTTGTGTCTGAATGGTCGAAGAGCGACGACATCTTCGGCAAGTATGTACGTAAGACCGGGACGCTTGTAGTTGACCTTGAATGTGAAAACGCCATATACATCTGGCAAACGAACATGGGCAGTGTATCGACCGTAGTGATGTTTTGGCGCAACAGGAGCTTGCTTCAAGGTTGTGCGGATGTAAGGATCGAGCATGATCAATTCGAGTTGAATATCGCTCGCCTTGAAAGGAACCCATTCATCGTTGACGTATTCAGAGATTTCAAGAATGTACATCTGATTGATGAAACAAACTTTGAGTTAGTAACAGCGTTATGGGAAGGGAACCGCTCGCGATCGATTTAAATAATACTGACAATCTCGTCCTTAATTCTGTATGCTTCGGGCTGGACGGTTTCATTGGCTTTATGATGACGATGGTCGACAACCTTGAGAACACCTTTCTCTTGGAAGGTCCACTTGGCGAGCTCATCAACAAATTGGCTGTTTCCAGATGGAACATGTCTGTCAACGGTTTCGTTAGTATCGAGTTTTTCGAAAGAATATGTTTATCTGGGACTTTACCTTTTGGCAGTACCGTTGGGACGAGTTTGCTCGACCTTTTTCTCAAAGAAACTATAAACCATGCACAGAATTAATGCAACCATCTTTTATCCCCTTTTTGAAGTTGAAATTTCCACACGGACCTGTCCGAAAACAAGTCAATCGAGCCCGAAAATGAGGCCCGGGCCGAGTTTTTTGCCTGGAATGCTGCCACAAGTTCAACATCATCGCTGCCTGCAATTGACGCACTATACGAGTCGGAAGTAAAGGCAGTCGATTCAGCTTTCAATATACTGTTGAGGAGAGGGATCTGACCGAGAGATAGCCCAACGCCGCGATACAGAATAGGGGTTTTAATGCCGTCAATGATGCTGCTCGGTGCATCGATACGCGACGTCGAAATAAGATCGTGTTCGCTGTCTTTATGATCGTACACACTGGTACCCGAAGCATCATATTCCACATCAAACTCGGCTGCAAGGTCGCGAATAGCCAAACTGGGGTCGTTTCCTGTAGCGACAAGGAGATTGCCGCCATCGTTGACAAACTTGACAAGTTGGACATTGCTGAAGCTCTTGTGCTTTGCGACATCTATATATACAAAGCCCATCATTCGTAGGTTAGGAAGTCGTGTCTAGTAAAGCTTGACGTATGCGCTTAGTAACAAAAGCAGAGATCTTGTTCGGTACCTTTTGATTTGTATGCGAAGTGAATGACATGATCGTACAGGAACTCGCCGTACTTTTCCAAAAGTGCTGGGCGATCTTCTGAAGGCGTCAAAAACGAAAGTTTGAAATCGCGATCTACATTATTATGAAACATTAATCTTACTCTCTTTTGCTACGATTGTTTCGTCGGTCTACTTATCACTGAGTAAATTAGTACCTTGAAGCGATTGCCAGAACCGCGAGTATAAATCTTTATCCGCGAGATCATCTAGTAAAACCAGGACGCGATCACCCGTTACTGATTTTGCCTCGGCATTTGTGAAAAGAGAGACCAGCAACGAGATTGCTAGTACAACTAATACTATTGGGCTTCTCATCTTTTGCGACAAAGCAAAAAAGCAGGAAAGCGAGTTTGCTTCGCAGGAATGCTTGCCACGTCAATATTATATGATACTCATTTATGCGGAGTTCTAATCGCGTTCAGGTAGCACAGGATTATAATGGATTGCCTTGTGTAGAACCTATTTACAATTATGCAAAGCATTTATTAAAAGAGTATAATATAATGTAGATGTAAGCAAGCTTATGTTAGGTTTAGTATGCTATCATTATGGCGAGAGTCGCTATCGTTCGTCGTTTAATGCTCTTTCCATGTCATTAACTTCTTCCTGTGGTATAATCTCGCGTTCTGCGTAGATGGCCTTGTTTTCCACTTCAGAGAGAGTGGCAACGTTGACAGCGAAGAAGCCAATAAGAACCAATATGGCGCCAGCTGCATATTGAATACCAGGGACAATGTGCTTGAATATCAGATCGCCTACTAGAGCCAGAGGGATCTAATACTGATAGAATTAGTCGACTGTTGTGTAGTATCTATAAACTTCCAAGTATTTATCTCGACATAACAAAGAGATACGCACCGTTAATGATATACCCAATGTAACAACAAGTGGCGAGGTCATGAGCATGGCCAGCAGCCAGAGATAGTCAGACCTATTGAAATGGTTAGCTGAATGATAAACCAGAATAGCGAACAGCAAGGTACTTACAAGAATGTTCCAATAAATGCGTTCAAAAGTAAAGTTGCCCCGAGGACACCTCCATGTGGCAGTTCGAATGTTTCCAACCCGAGCCAGTGCAGTATCGGAAATATCGGCCAAAGTAACAGGACATTAAACGAACCGACAAAGCCAAAGAACAATGGCATATTGATACGCGACTCATCACGAATGCGATATTTTAGCAACGTGGTATAGCAGCCATAAAAAAGGGCACCAGTAAGAGCGAGGAAATCGCCAATCAACGGTGCAGACGCCTCGACCATTTCGGCATTGGGCTCCTGAGGCTTTTTGTTCGCCGACTCTTGATCAGAATAGGATACCAACACAACGCCGCCAAAACTAAACACCATCAATCGATTAGAAACATGGAACCTGTCAAAAAGACATTGTTCAAGCAATATCCTATAGAAATCAGAATCCAACCTGACAGCTACTGCCGCAATCCTGATCAGTGTAAGCCTTTCGACTCGAAATAGTGCACCAATAGCCAATGTAAATAAACCTGCAGCAAAAAGAAGAAAAAGAGTAGATCGTGTTGCGTATAGATTCAGTGAGCATGAAAGGGAGAAACCATGGGATGGTATCATCGTGACCCATGTGTATGGACTACAATAATAATACCTGATGTGGATGATAAAATGGTGCTGCTCCCGACAGAAGTGTATGCTAAGCTAGCATTTGTCGTATAATTGGCGCAAAACCAAAGGATACAGAACGCCAGACTTAGTCGAATAGTTTCGATCGTGTTGAGCCTCTCGCTATTACTGCCATGCCCTTCTCCTCCCTCAATTACTACGGTTCGCATTTCATTTTCTAAATCCAAACTCGGTCGATTCGGCTTTTTTTTCACCGCCATTCCGTTCCGTTTAAATTTAGTATATCAGGGTTTTTCACAGACAGATCGCTTATCTGTCGCCTCTTGATTTTGATCGTTTACCTCGTTGTTGTTATTGTTGGTGGTACGATAGCTTGTTGTAGGGTCTTCGCGCATTATTAATCTGAAAAATATAAGGCAGGATCGAGGTTATCTCCATGATTCCGTTGTGTTAAGCAGTAGATGCTGACAGTAAGAACTGATAATGCAAATCAGAAGAGAACATGTAATGAGAGAGAGACGAACTTTGCATACTCTTCTGGAGAAAATACGTTTTTACGTCTGCGTGCAAATAGTAATGGTAAAAGGTAGAATGAAAAAGTCGCTGTGTTAAGGTATGTCACTAGGAACGGTTTATCGTAGTTTTGTTCGCCAAATATACTCTATTGAAAAGAAATGGTTGGCCTTCACTTTTCCTCTTTTTGCTCGCTTATCGCTTGAAGGTGGTCAATGTTATTCTGAACTTACGTTCATGGCAAATGAAGAGCTGACCCATATAAAAACCACGGCAATCAGGGCACAAATACCCGCCAAGTATCGTCGCCGAGGTGGTCGGCTCTCATTGTCAGCCATTGCGAGTATGAGTTGTTTTAGTTCCTGCGTGGAAAAAGTAAAGGTTGTCAGGAACAAGGAAAGAAAAGAGGGAAGAGTCTTTAACAAATTCGGATTTGCCTGCTGCAGTTGTGTGACTCGATTACATTACAGAATGGCACCATCGTTCTATGCATATATACGTCTTTCTTAGTATTCTTCCAAGCGTTCATCAAGACCGATTGCCGAATAACTGGCTAGGTACAATAGAACACCTTCAATTTTCTCCTCATCCAATAACACTGACTTGGACATTACTCTAGCCGGCTAGTCATTTCTCCTGTAGTTACTTTTACATTTCCTTTGGTGACATAAACTTGCCCTTCCCTTCCTATTTCACCCTTCGCTTGTCGCCAAGGTAAAAATAGCAACAAGCACATACAAACAACAACAACAACAACACCTAAAATACAACAAAGAGACGTTCTCCTATATATCCCTATATACTGGACGTTGTAAACATTCGACAGCTACCGTGCTCGAATGCGGGAACAATTGTTAGCTAAACGGCACACAGCCTTTGCACCTCGACAAGACCCTTCTTTGACTGATGATGAAGTCGATGAACCTTGGGAGAACAATCGACGATACGGTGTCGTTGTCGACGCAGGATCATCTGGTTCCAGAGTTTATGTCTATTCCTGGAAGGACCATGAACACGTAAAATCTACGATGACACCTGAAGAACTCAGAGGCAGTATACCCATCGTCGAACGCGGCGATTCACTAGGCCTTAAGTGGACTCGACGAGAAGAGCCTGGTATGCAACCAATTCAGTAATAATGGGCAGTGGAATTGGCCAAAAGAGTTTTTAAGCTCACGAATGTTTTTATTGAAAGGTATATCCACGTATGGCAGTCGGGCACAAGAAGTTGGCGAGCATTTAAAACTGCTTTTGGATTTTGCAACCGAAGTTGTACCTACCGAAAGCCACGACAAAACACCAGTGTTTTTGATGGCAACCGCAGGCATGCGACTGTTGCCAAGCGAAGAGCAGACGGCACTTTTGAATGCGACATGCAATTATATTCATGACAACTATGCGTTTTTCATCAGCGATTGCGACACTCATATCCGCGTCATCCCCGGCGAGCTGGAGGGCATTTATGGCTGGGTGGCTGTGAACTATCTCATGGGAGGCTTTGATACAAGTATCCAGGCATCCATGGATGGCAGTGTTCGGCAACCAGGTGAACAGCATCATACATTTGGTTTCCTGGATATGGGCGGTGCAAGTGCCCAAATCGCATTTGAACCAGAACACCATCAACGCGAGGAGCATTTTGACGACCTGAGCCGGATATACCTGCACACACTAGATGGCAAAAAGGTGGAGTACGACGTTTTCGTCACAACGTTCTTGGGTTACGGGAGCAACGAAGCGCGACGAAGATATCTTGAGGAACGCGTCAAGCAGGCACATATGCAGAATAAGGACGGCAAGAGCTTGTTGGACGAACATCGGACACTTCATTTGGAAGATCCTTGCTTGCCGCCTGGTCTCGATTTGACCGACTCCCACTCAACCAGCGTTCCGCTGACTCTGCACGGCACAGGCTCGTTCAGCCAGTGTATTGAGTACACGTCGCCGCTGCTGAACAAGGATGCCGATTGTCCTGCAAAGCCTTGCTTGTTCAACGGTGTACACACGCCACACATCGACTGGTCTGTAAATAAATTCGTCGGCATTTCCGAGTACTGGTATTCTTCACACGACATTCTTGGCTTGGGTGGCGTGTACGACTTTACTGAGTATGAGAACAAGGCAACGGAATACTGCGAAAGAGATTGGAAAGAAATTGCGGATGAACACAAGGATTTGGATCCAGCAGATATTCAGCATCACCAAATGCAGTGCTTCAAGTCGGCGTGGATCGTCAACGTACTGCATGACGGTATAGAGATCCCGCGCATTGTAGATCCAGCACATGGTACAATCCCTGATGACCAGGAGCTCTTGGAACAGTCCATTGAAAGCATCGAATCAAAGAACTGGAGTCCTCCTTTTCAAAGTATCGACACTATCAACGACATTCAAGTATCTTGGACGTTGGGTGCGATGGTGCTCCACGTGGCAAACCAGATCCCATTAGTTGACTCCGATGATTCGTATCAAGGCCATAGCACCGATGATGAGGAGTCGCACATGATTGTTGACGGCGTAGAGCTCCCAAGACCTCACACATCAGGCATCGACCGGCACCCTACCGAGAAGGAGACAGACGTTCTGGATTCGCTGTGGTTTAAATCTTCATCGTTCGACAGTATGACTCTAATGTTTGTGATGCTCTGCTTCTCTGTGTTTCTATGGTGCGTTTACAAGAAGGTTGGCCGTAGGCGACGGTCGATGGAAGAAGCACGATGGGAAGGTCCTAATGGAGGCCTGTTGGGAAATGGAGGATATTCGTCGTCGTTTTCCCCTTACGCGTTGGCTAGCTCGCTTGGAACGGCTCTATCTCGATCTACTCTTGCTTTGCGCACATGGGCATCAAGGGTACTGAAGGGAAGACCAACACAACCATCGAATGGTATCGATGTGGACACGTTCTCGGAGCAGCTGGATACCGTGGCTATCAATATCAGTGGTAGTGGCACCAACAGCCCGACTGGTCGACCAGGACCTATTGCGACACTTGGCCCATCTTCCCGCTCACAAAGCGCTATATCCATGAAATACTGGAGTAAAAAGCGCTACAGTGGTGACAGTCATGCGTCCTTGTTCCCACCCCAGTATGAAAACCGTATACCGCTGCGAAGCTCGTCCTCGTCCGTCAATCTAGCAAATAGAGCCAGCTCAAGCAGTAATAGCGGCAGTCCTGACAGTTAGCATATATTCATATCAAAAAGCAAACCAAACATCTACACATACACATTATCTGGCATCTCTCACACAAAAACGTACTAATTTTTAAAAAACATTATAACATATAGCACATTTCCCTGTCTTTCTGTCTCCCTTTACCCTCAAAACCACCAATAATTTAAGCCCACTCTTAAACCGCCCGCCGATAATACATAGAAGGATTAGCATTTGTGCTTACATAGTTGTATTACATGTATTCTTGTTGTTAAGTAACCACATATATCATTGTTCGATGCAAGTGAAAGTCAACGACAGCCTCATATTGGAAAAGTAGAGAGCGATAGTAGACGAGGGAGTAAAAGGAGATACATGTAGAAAAAGAAGTGATAGAGAGAGAGTAGAGAAAAGAAAAAAGAGAGGAGAAGGTAGTGGGAGGGGTGAAAGCGAACAGCCGCAGGGATTGATTGAATGCATATCGCATAGCGATATACAAAGACACCTATTAATAAAATGAGATATCCGCATCACCTTCAGCGGGAGCATCCAGATCAACATAGGACTTGACCTGGCGTGGATCTTTCGGGAGATCATCATCCAAGTCATAACTGAGATAAAATTGTTTGGTCAATGTACGTAAACGGATGCACTCACACGGATGACTTATGGCCGAGACGATGTCTATCAGAAACTTACTTTGAAGAACTCAGTGCTAGTCTGCCGCCAAGTCTTTCATTGATGCCCTTGCCACGTCCTGGGCCTCCTCGTCGGTTGCCGGGGCCACCTGGACCGCCGCCACCACCCATAGCCCAATTGGGATCAACGAACCCAATTCTAGGGATCTGATCCCAAGGAGTTCCAAAGGTAGCACCTGGTACATGGCTCATGCCTGGTGGTCCACGCATACCACCCCCATTCATACCAGACATCATAAAAGGCATGGACATTGGCATACCGTTGCCCATGGCTCCCATTGGCATGTTACCAGCATTCGCATTCGGGTTGTTTACCGGAACCAGGTGGTTAGGATCGCATATATAGTTGTTGTAGAACTCAACTTCTTCCTTAATAGCATCGATTTCCTCCGGGTGTTTTGAAAAAATGTGCTTTTCAACGTACTCAAAGCCCTTGAATGCTTTAGCACAGTCACCCACTCGACATTTGTATTTCGCTTCGTGTTCCTTTAGTACGTGTTCCTTCACATAAGCATCGGTTTCTCTATAGTGATATTGATAAATACCATTAGTTTGTTCATTTATCTTTCAACTAAGTATTCTCTTTTAGGGGGATAACCTTACGTTTTCAAGACCTTGCCTCCTAAACGTTCAAGTTCACGGTCATCTGGGACACTGATCTTCATGGCAATCTTCTGGTCAATATTCTTGCACCATTGTACTCCTACCGATATAACGCAAAAACGAAAACCAGGTAAACAAGCGTTTACGTTGTTATTAAAATACTTAGATACAGAAACAACTGCTTACCATTTTTCTCATTCTTCGCTGACTGCTTTGGATCTCCCTCTTCACCCGCTGTTCCAACTTTCCGAAGATGCGGATCAACGCACCGTCTATTAATCTCTTCTTGCGAGTCGCACTCAAGGGCACAATAGTAGCAGTACATATGCACATGTCTCAAATAAGCCAGGATCATATCCAGTTCTTTCTTCAGACTCCAACTCTCTTCAATGCTCTGGTTATCGATATCCATGTCTGCACCCGACTTGTCATTATTGCTCTCGGTTGGATCTTCTCCTTCTGCTCCGGTTTCAGTTGTAGAAGTGGCACTTTTATGCTTTGCAATAACCTCCTTGGCACGTGCCAAGACAGCCTGCAATCCATTCACGTCGCCACCAAGCTCTGCCTCGAGATGCTTCGCCAACTGTTTTGCCTGGTCAAGATCCTTTTGCAGACGTTTGGAAGTCGACGCGATTTCCGGGGTAACTTTGGAAGTCCTTGACTGATATTGATTCTTGTAATTCATTGCCAGGTGGAAAACGAAATCGTCGATCTTTTTACATAGATATAGATACATATCGACACATGTTGTTGTTGTTGACATATATATTTGTAAATAAACGCGTTCCGTAACCTTATAAAAAACACAAAACCGAGAATATACCCCCTTCCCCCTTCCATGTATGTATAATGCTTTTTATATACGGCACCTTTCGGCTATCCAGTTCGTTAAACGCTTTTTGCATGTCGGTGCCGTGCTTGAAATGTATCCAGCCAATTCGATGGAACTTTTTGTTGGGGCTAGGTTCGGATAATACGACATATTCAAATCCATCTACACCACTACACATCTGGCGAAGAAAAATGTACACGAAAAGGAATAAGGCGCGTGTTTGTGTTTGCATTTGCGTTTATGTTGTGAATTGTGTGAGCTCATGCACAGGTTCTTGACCCATCCAATAAAACGTGACCAGTTTACCTCGATGATCTTTTCGCGTGCGATGGTTGGAGGGACAGTTTTGATAACCAAATGGTCTTCATATTCCTTCGTTGACATATCCGCATCTTCTTCTTGTCCAGCATTTTCTGTAGTTTCCTCTTCCTTCGTCGTCGTTCCGGGACCAGTAGCAGCAATGATATCCTCATTGTTTCCTGGCTCTTGATCAGCAGAGGTGCCTGCTGCTGCTACTGTCTTCGAGAGTTCGTCATAATTCACATCATCGTATTTGCCATCCTCGAGATCCTTTGTAAACTGTTGCAAGCTCTGCAGCCGACGCTTTTTGGTATCTTCAATTCGATCTTTGGCAATTTTCGGGTGGTACTTTTCTTGGAACCATTGCTTCTCTTTGTTGTTGTTGAAAAATGCGCTCAATTGTCGACCCAAAACCTTTTCTCTGTACTGCTGGTAACGTTTCTGTAGTTCGTCGTCGTCGAAATGACTTCGTGAGTGAACAGTTCGTAAGTGTTCACAGAATAGCTTGAAAGGCACAACGTAATCGAGCTGATCCAAGTCCGGCGCAGGCATTCTAGGTTTTTTTAAAGAAATCATGTTTAGTTTTCGCGATATGCAAACACACCTTCCATTCACATATCTTGATTCATGTATCATATGTGCACACCTTCCCATTGCTGGCCATCCTCCTCCCACCATTGGCATATTCACAACGTCTATAAAAATAAAATTGACAGCGTACGGAGCAACAGAAAGGTCAACATGATATCTTCTGTAGGCCAAATCGCTGTGCATCGAGGACACAAAGAAAAGTCCACTCACCTCCTATCATTGGATAGTTAAATGCAGGGGAGCTCTGAGACTCTGATAAGCTACTGTAGCGTGGGGCCGGTGCATACCCATCGCGTTCATAATTAGGAATATAGTGATCGCCATCAGGCTGGTCATGATGGTAATCAGGGTCGCGCTGTCCACCTCCCCGTGGCATCGCCCTATAATCGCCACCATGAGACGGTGACCCCATCTTTGAAAATGACGCTCGTCGTTTACTGTGTCGTCGTTCTTTTGATGATTATGATTCAAATTAATAGAACAAGACGTATTAGTGTGACAATTTCCACTTTGTTTCTTTCTGGACGTGAATTGCTCCTGATTCAATCTGTAGTCAAGAAATCTTGATTTCCTTTTTTTACCTTCAGGTGGTGTGATACTACGACGGTGTCTCTTCTTGCGATCATAGCGATCATAGTCGTCAGGAGGTGGTCGACTGTACATTGCATGATCGCGCTCCAGACTTCTTTCCCGTCGAAATTTATCTCGTCCGTGTGTACGTGGAGAATATTCGTCATCCGACCAATCGTACCCTGCTCCAATGCCACCTCCTCGTCCAACGGGAGAGTAGTTTCTGCGATCAGTCATTGACGAAAATGAAAGAGTTTTTCAGTTAAAAAAAGATGTTGGGGTTTGTGATTTACAAAGAGCAAGAATTATACAGGGAGAGACTGTGTGTAAAAGAAGGAAAAGTTTTTTTTTGTCTGTCGTTTCTTATGTCAGGGACAAAACGCCAAGGTAAGAAAGCAGGTAGGTGACAGAGGGGGAAGGAGCAAAGCACCACACTGTTAAATTGATGATTAACCAATGGCAACCCGGAATTTTTTAAACCCACCAGCGCCTGTCCAAGACTTTGAAATGATCTTTAAGAGGAAGTTTCTATTCTACTGTCACCACTTTTTTTTACCGCGTTGAGCATTATCGTTTAGTTTACGAGCCACTAGTAGCTTCTATATGGAATACTTGCACATGATAGGGAACACGACATAATAAGCTCATTACTTGAATAGAGTCGGCTGCAAAAGGCGTTTTAATATGGTACCAGCAATTTTCATGTACCCATTGTTGTTTGTGCAAGCATATCCTCAAGCGTGCTAACGACGAGTGGCACATAGAGCATGAGATTTTAACTATTACAAGCACAACCAAAGAAAGAGAGCCTCATTATTTACTTATGAAGCTAAAAAGCTTACATGAAAAGCCAATAAGCAGTAAGTCAACATGATAGTATCTCAGTGAGATGACTTTCGACATATGGTGAGCATATTACTTTATGTTGTAGTAGAGGATTTAAGACGATTGTTTTATTTCTATCGAAAAAATTTATTGCTGCTCTCTTCCCTTGACGTAAGTGGCAATCAATTTGCCAAATAGCTCACCCTGCAATCGCGCCACCTCTAATTCCTTCTTGCTCGGTTGTCGCGAGCCATCGCTATTACTAAAAAATAGAGAACATTTTATTGTAAGTACTTACAAAAGAATCAATATCATATGATATAGTCAAATAACGAGCATCGATATAAGAGATTGGAACAACATACGCGATAGTACCGGCACCATATGCCGATCCACCAACAATTTCAGAGTTGTCACTTAGATGCTGTGCATAACATATATTGTAAGTTCAACTTCTACATTCTTCAGGAGCTCGCGTTATTTCTTCTTACCGGACTGGTGAATCCAAGGGGAACGTAGCTGATTCCGTGATGTGCCAAGTATGGAATGGTGGTTAATGCCGTGGTTTCTTGACCTATATGTGGTACAAAAAGGTTGGATCAGCATAACGCGAACAGTGATGTATTTACAGTGAGTGTACATGTACTGAAGCAATAACTTTTACCTCCATGCTGAGAATTGGTTGAGAAGAATGTGCCTGCAAATTTGCCTGCCAAAGCATTACGTGCCCACAGGGAGCCAGTAGCGTCAAAGAAAGATTTCATCTGCAATATGGTGATTATAATATGTAAATTTTCTCATAGCTTGTAAAACAAAGTAGCATATGGCGCTTGTTCTCAAATGAACTTCACAAACACAAACCTGAGCAGGCATAGTGCCGAATCGCGTTCCAAACCCAAACAGGAATCCATCGGCTTCCTTGAGCTGATCCACTTTGATGATAGGAATATTTGGCTTTAAAGGTGCACGCATCATTTTCAGAACTTCATCGGGTAGGGTTTCAGGAACTATTTTGGTTTAGATGACATGTAAGTGTCAAAACCCCTTTCCACCTGATAACGAGAAATGCGTTGTGCGTGGGAAACTTTTTCACCTGTACCTTGATAAATGGTCGATTGTACACCAGCGGCCTTCAATCCATGCTCTGCTTCAACAGCAAGCTTGTAGACATGATGGTAAAGAGTATAGATAATTATGTTAACTTTGGGTGGTGGCATGATTTTCAGTGGGACGTGCGTGTCGTCGTCAATCCGGTATCGAAGATAAGAGGAGAAAGGGTTCTTTTTTAAATACCATAGCCATTGATTTATCGGAGTTCAATGCAAGAGCTGCTTATTGAGAGATGACACATGCTCCCTATCACTTAGTAATGTTAACACGATCCGTCGGATTTCCTTCTCAAAATGGTCTGAAACTGCATACAAGCAGTTTCCATGCTTATCAACCCTTACGTCGCACAACTGGAAGCCATTTATGTGATCATTACTAACATTTGGCATACTTGCTGCTGTCGAGCTGTTGTAACTTAATGGTCCCAAATCATTTGATACTACACACTATTTGATGGTTGAATCTTTTTGTGTGTGTTAACTTACGAATCCATGCGTTAACTAGCAAAACAGGAAAAAAAACTCGAAGAATGAAAACAATCCATTACATTTAGGAACTATCACTTTGCTACATGCTGGTTACTAAGGACTTTTCCTCTAAATAAGTGATGCTTTGGCACATCCTGTCCGGCTACTACTTAACTAACGCATTGCTGGTGCCACAGAATAAGACAACAGTATATTTTCAGTAAACGAAGAGAAAAAAGCGGTGGCAAAATCCTACATGGATGCTATTTGTTCAGCTTATATCATTTTAACGACAAAATTCTGCCAGAAACGCTGTTGCAGTGCACGCGCCAGATGGCTTGGTACGTGCAAGCGATATAGTGTTGGGCAGAGACATGGCGCAAAAGTCTGAAATAGCAATTATTTTCTTGAAGCGGCTTTTACGGAACCTCATTGGCTAAAATCAAGAGCCACAGAAACCATTGGTTCATAACTTAGAACGGCAAAGTTCTCGTTGTTGCTTACAGTTTTTCATTCTGCTCTCTTTTTCGTTTCGACAACTGACCGTACAGCACGCCAATGAATCAATTTACAGGTTCAAATGTTCAATCTGAAGCGTACATGCAAAACTTTATGAGTCTGCCTCCTGAAATGCAGTCGATGTCAGCAGCACAACAACAGCTACCTACGCAACATCAACAGCTCATGTCTCAGCAACCTCAGGTAAAGAATAATAAAAAATGGTGTCAAGACCTGATTCTGTTCTTTCAAAGGAAGGTTACCGTGCTAACTGTTTTTATTGAATTTTTTTATGATTCATCGTATCTTGAATTGACTAGGCTTATGGGCAACAAGGTAAGCGGAAGAGAAAAAAGAACTGTCATTGCTGTCAGTAGTAGCACTGTGATGAAGCGCGCGCGTTTGAACTCTTTAATCTTACTTGCTTGTACCTACCATATAGCAGCATCCACAATGGCACAAATGGCAGGCAACATGCAAAGGCCTATGATGCAACCACAGCAGCAAGCACAACAGTTTCGACCTGCAAATTTTGCGCAGCAACAGGCATGGTTTGCTAAACAACAAATGATGCTCCAACAACAGCAACAGCAACAGCAACAGCAACAGCAACAACAACAACGAAATACGATGGATGAACAGCGGAGACAGATGCTTATGATGCAACATCAACAGCAACTTCAAATGCAAAAGTCCATGTCGCCTGGAAGTGTTCCTCCCGGCGTCAGTGGTGCAGCCCCACCAGTCCAGTCACCAAGTACATCCATGACCCCTACATCAGCGATCAATAATCCAGTAACACCAAGTCCTGCCATAATGGCAAATGGTCGCGACAAGTCGAAATCAAACAATGACATTAATGCGAAACGAGTGGAAACGGTACGGTAGGATTAGGCATGAAGGATGAGTACAAAGTGGAACGGATTTACTGACGACATATGTGTCATCTCTCTTGTTAAAATTTAGATTTTAAGTATGAATCAGGAATTGATCCGTTTATGTGTCTTTCAACAACAAAGCCCTCAAGAGGCTGATATCTCTCCGTAAGTTCATGGGTCATTCGATCTCATATTTAGATTGTCTATTAGACAAAGCACAAAAGGCACTAATGAAGTCACGGTATCAGATACCAAACACGGCTACAGTCTAACTTGACTTACCTCGCCACCATGGCGGATATATCCATGATCAAACCGGGGGAGGTTGGTATATTTGGCGTGGGCATGGATGGGAGAGGGAACAGATCTGTTGATGAGATGGAATGCTCTATGCCAGCTTTTTACTGATCGAAAAGTATGTGATCTTACATAGGAACAAAAAACGCCCACACCTCCCGACTTAAATCCATTACCACCGCCCAAATCTGACATTGCCAAAAAGATCCACGCTCTGTTAAACACTGCGCAAATGCTATTTAAGGATGAACAAGATTCAAAGTTAAATAACGGCAATAATCCTCCCAGCTCACCTTTCTCTCAGAGTCGAAGCGTTCAGCAGTCGCCTGTTCAACAACAGCTGCAGCAAGCTATATCAACGCCACAACAACAACAGCAGCATCAGCCGCAACAACGGGCCACCCCTCCATCGCAGCCGCAGACTCCACGGCAACAACCGCAAACGCCACAACAACAACAGGCGCAACTTATGCGTCAACAACAACAGACGCCTCCGCAACAACAAAACCAACCACCGCAGCAGCAGGCTCATACGCCGCAAACATCTGCTGCGCTACCGCAACAACATCAATCACCACAGCTCTCACAGCAACAACAAACGCCACAACAACAGCAACAATTTTTCAACGGTGTTAATATGTCAATGGCGGGTTCGCCTGCTACACGAAACGCCATGATGGACCCCCAAACCTTGCTCCAACAGCAGCAGCAAGATCAGATGATGCAACAGCGGTTAAGACAACAGCAACATTTGCAACAACAACGACAGCGAATGATGATACCAATGGGCATGGGTGGTGTATCGGGTGCAGATATCATGATGAACAACAGTGGGTACAGCCCTGCTAACTCTGTAGTACCTTCCGGCTCACCCATGTCTCAATCACTCGATGCACTATCGCCCAGTATGACATCCACGCCCACAAGTATGCCGACCGTCCCTGGCTCGATGAACCCCAGCGACTTGATGATGAATGCCAGTGCTGCTGGAATGATAAATCCAGCCATGGTCATGAATAACCCTGGACTCAATATGATGGCAGCTGGCATGTACAACGGAAGTGGCGGAGCAGGAGCTGGCGGTACTGGAGGAGGAGCAGGAGGAGGCGAAGATATGAGCAATTTCCAGAATGTAGTGATGATGATGCAGCGGTTACAGCAGCAACAACAACAGCAGCAGCAGCAACAAAAAGAGTTCGAAGATGCTTTTGCGAGCCGATCCGGATAAAAGAAAAGAAAAGGTTACGAAAACACACTCTCTTATGTACATCTTTGCAAAAGAAAAAAAAAAGACACACACACTTGGCATATTTCCCCTCACCCATCATGCGTGATTCCCACTGTTTATCTCATTCTATGGAATGGATCGTACTCAATGTATTAAACATAATTAAACATGAAGAGTAGTTACTCGTCTTAATCATATTCAACTCTTTTCCATCCATGATGATGTTACAATTGGGTAGCCTCCAAAGCCTCATAGACAGATTGTATCCGTCTATCGCAAACTCTGTCTTAAGGGTAACAGCTTTACTTGGAGTAATCCTAGAATATGTGGCAAATAGCCTAATCAAACGTCTGAAGCTACTCATATCTATGTATACGCAGTCTTGGTGACATCTACGTTGAGTGTTCTGATCGAATCAGAGTAGCGCACGATTCATTTCTTGGTATAACCTAAATTGCTACCGACAGACGCATCGGTGAATGTTTGTTTGTATGATGATTAGAAGAAATATACGCAAAGACCGTGCTGGTTCCATTTGCGAGGACAAACATTGGAAAAAACATTGCGATATACAGCAACACACTATACGGTGAAACTATCTATAAAGATTTTATAATCGATTGCATACATAGCATTTTATTTTCCATGGAGTATATATTATGCTTAGATCCTGTCGTGAGCCGCTCGGCACACTTCATTCATCCCTCCTTTCTTTCTTTCTTTCTTTTTTATCCTATTGCTTTTGTATTTTTTGATATTTTGCAGTTATATACAGACATATACGAACGTCACTTTCGGAGATAAACATAGCAGTTATATCACATGCGTTTCCTTGTAGCTTGGAGTATCGTTGCTGCCTTGGCAACACTTGATGCTACTACTGTTCTTGCTGAAGACAAAAAACTTCTTCCACAAACATCTCCAGCATGGCTTGCCAATATTCCGACACCTACTGGCAATGCTGTGATCACCCAGTATCCCAAAGACGACACAATCAAAGCCCAGCCTCTCCCTGGACCCTACAAAATCGACTTGAACAAATATCCCAAGCAGCTACAGATGCCGCCAACCGATTCGCCTGAAGTACAGGACGTGATCAAGCAGCTCGACTGGTCTAAGATCCCCAAAGCCCAACAGCGCGTTATTAAGACGTGGGCCGTCGATACATCTGGCTATCCCAAGACAGATCCTGATTGCTGGTGGTCGGCGAGTACTTGCAAGCGGCCCAAGCTCTCGTATTTGCCTGACGATATATACACTTGTCCACAAGCTGGTCATTGGGGCTTGAATTACGATGATGGCCCCCTCAAAGTTTATAGTTTCGATCAGTCGGAAAAGGCATGGGAAGAGCCTCGTTTTTATAACTTTCTGATAGAGCACAGCAAGCAAAAAGCAACTATGTTCTGTAAGTTAATACCATGGTACTACATCAAGTGCATAGATAATAAGATTGCATATAAAGTAATGGCTAATATATTCTCCAACACATTAGTCATTGGATCCAATGTGGTGGCATTTCCTGAAGCTGCACAACGTGCATTAAACGACGGTCATACTATTTGCGCTCATACCTGGTCACACAAGCAAATGACATCGCTTTCAAACGAGCAGATCGTCGCCGAGTTATATTGGACACACAGAGCTATCAAAGAGGTGTTGGGAGTCACACCCAAATGCTGGAGACCTCCGTATGGTGATGTGGACGATCGAGTGCGAGCCATTGCCTGGCAGATGGGTATGCGTACTGTTATATGGGACCAAGACTCGAATGATTGGAATTTGGTAAATTTTTCTTGCGTGTTTGTGTGGTACGGAAGCAAATCCGGCGATCGAAGACAGCAACTGACAGCTTTTTACGCACCTTTAATTACTAATCAACATGAGCTGCAATAGTATGGTACTCCTGCTCGCGGCTCTGTTTCGCCACAGGAAATTGATGGTCATTTTACTGATTGGATTGCGAAGCGTGTCAACAACATGGACAATGAACACGGCCATATTACACTGGTAACTAGAAAACTTTGTTTATTCTTGGCAAACAAGTCGCGACTAACAAGGAAAAATTCGCCATACAATGATATACAAACTCGTGTAGCAACATGAAAACAGCAACTCGACCATATCAATGGCTGAACGATGGCTACCTAAACTTCAACAAGCCTTTGAGGTGATGCCCATCCACAAGTGTATCAACGACCCATATCCCTACTGGGAAAAGTCTTGGGCTTATCCAACGTTGGAAAACGCTAACCCCCCTCTTAACCAAGTGGATCCGTCTTCGCCACAAACACCTAAAACTACATCTGACGCACCCAGTGGTCGACATGCAGGTGGCTCGTCTACTATCACCCAGTCATTTGCCGGAAGTGTTATCAGGAGCCATGCATTAGGCTTGACAGCATATGTTTGCGCGTTGGGAGTACTTGTCCTAGCCTTATGAAACTCTTTCCAAAATGACCTTAGATTATTCCAACTCTTTCTTTCTTTCTGTAAAATGAGAAACAGTAGAAGATCAACTGCGAATAAAAATAATCATTAAAAGTCAACTAGGCTGATGGTTCTATGCCGCATGATCAGAGTACTTGATGCATCTATGTAGCTAAGAATGATAAGCAGCGGCAGGAAAAAAATCCTGTGGTGCATGTACTATATATTGCATATGTATTTACTGTTTTTAAGTTGATATCTATCAAGATAATATTGAAAGAAGTCATCGCTTGGGGTATGGCATTATTCGTCCACGAAAAGTGATCGCAAGCAGCGGCCTGAACTCCCGGTGCCAAGCTGTGTGAAGCTGGCTCAGCAGGCGGAGTTCAGACACGAGAACTTCCTGTGCACTACGTACCAATACAGAGCAACCCTTTTCTATTCTGCATATTGCAAGTCCAATAATAATCGAACATCATGAGTTTTCTGTTAGTATTAACACAATAAAATGCGTTAAGAGAATTCCTTGCTAACATTAGCTCTTAAAGATCTGGTTTTAAAAAGGGCCTGAATAGGGCTGGTACCACGGTATGTTTAATAGCAGAATTTCGTAGAAATAAAACAGTTACCAAAGGAAGGGCGGTTAATAAAAAAAAGACAGATACTAATGGAAGACTTCCCTCATGCCAACAACTGTAGATAATGCAACGAACTGGTGCAACCGATCGAACAACAGACACTGAATTCGACGAAGAATACGAACGTTTCAAAATGTAAAAGGAGAATGAAGACGATAGATGCATTGTTGTTCGCCAATTCGACAACTAACCTGTTCTTATGGATGCATACTAAATATCGTTCTAGCTTAGAGAAAAAGTCTGATAAACTGACAAAGCAAGCAAAAGGATACATTGATTCTTTAAGAGGTAACAAGGAAAGGAAGAGGGACAATTGCAATTTATGCGATATTGTGTATAACTATTTCTAGAACATATTGTATGCTTTGTGAATTATGTTAGGTATGACCGCTGCTCAGCTACGAATTTCGCAAACCATTGGCCAATTCTACGACGACACAATTATAATGGGACCCGGCGGCCAAGAGTACAAAAAAGTCATCGAACGACTCGACGAGGATGCAAAGACAGATATGGTAAGAAGTAGCTGATCCGTATCTGTGTAAAAAATACCCCTTACACTCGAGTCTGCTTGCTTTCTCATTCAACAGGATAAGGTGTTCCGAACAACCGTCCTTGAACCACTGGCGCGCTTCTGCTCCTACTTCCCTCAGGTGAATGATGCGGTTAAGCGGCGCCAAAAGAAACTATTGGACTACGATACGCATCGTTCTAAGGTCCGGAAATTGGTGGATAAGCCTAGCGAAGATCCTTCGCGTTTGCCAAGAGTAAGTTTCGCTTGTTAGAATCACAGCAGCCGAGAAAGAACAGGATGGAAGAAGGCAGACATTAATTTTATTGTTAAAAACATTCATCGTATCAAGGCGGAACAAGAAGCAAACATGGCTAGAGAAATGTACGAGAACCTCAACACAATTCTGATAGAGGATCTGCCCAAGTTTGTCGAGCTCAGAGTTGCTTACTGCGATCCAATTTTCGAGGCTCTTGTTAAATCCCAACTCCGTTTCTGCCAAAACAGTTATGAACAGTTAGAAGGGCTGCGGAACCACTTTCCTCCCGAAACTGAACATGCCGATAGACGCGTGGATGACGTGTTGCAGCAGATGAGAGAGTTGAGCATTTGTGGGAACTTTTAATAATAAAAATGTGTCTTGTAAAGCGTGTGTAATGTGGGGGAGAATTCTGCATTATCTACTATATACGTGCCCTTTCTTTTCTCTGTAGACTTTTCTTCGCTTTAACACTTTATCATCGTTATATGGCACTCGACACTTACATGGGTCATCTTACTACATATCCTTTAAGCTGAGGTAACACAATCACCTCACCAGCATATATACTCTTTAGGCACAGTGTTCATCTATCATTATGTATAAGCCGTTAGTTTCAATCACTGTGTAAAGTGCCATCTATAAGTACGATAAATTTCATGTAGGAAAAGAGCAACGTTAACGTTATTGAGCACGAACAAAGGTGTACCTAGTAACGTGGTGGTTCAATCAAACTGAGCAGGTTTTTGCTTATATTGCATGATCATTTTAAACAATTTTAAGCAGTGACAGGTCGCTATGGTGATGCTTAAATGAGATGAAGTCATATCAAAAGGGCTTTACGAATACATACAAAAGCTTCTAGACTTTGGACGATAACTACCAAGATAGTAAAATGTTCACCCGATTTCCCTTTTATATCTAGGTGCACCGAATTCATGGAGCGCCATAGATTCTTCAGCGAGTTCGGCACGAGGGCAGAGTACTTTGACGTAGATATGCCGATCCGGGCCGAGAATGCGTAAACAACAAACCGTTCGTTTATAAATACAAACCAGCGTTAGCCTGATACAAAAGCTACTGTAAGTTATGAGGCTCGTTTCACAGGGCAGTGAAGCATGCATCTTTGTGTTCTTGGCAACAGACGAGCCTTCATTCCTCCCTGTTAGACATTTAAATAAGAATGCTGCATAGCGTTTCATGTACAGCGAACTGCGAACTTTAGTATGTATATGATAATGAACTTGTCATATGTTTGTCAGACACTAGAGGATATTTCTTGTTCTGGCTGTGTTATGCATAATGACTTCGTATAAATAATTAAAAAGGAAAGATAATATCTGTTATAGACAATGCTATGTAAAAACTTTATCTTCCGCATTAATCGATAACATACGGAATGGGACGATCCTTTATTATTTATCCTAGGCCAAAGGTTTGTATCACTAGCCAATCCTACATTGAGCAACCTTGTGTCTTGTTTTCTGTCAAGATAGAAGACCATAGCTGGACTTCGGGCATTGCTTGCCAGTGTAACGTAGACCAAACATGTGGCTGACGTGCTGATGCACTATCTGCAGCTGGGTGTTTCTAGAGGAAAAAAAAAGAGCACGTTGTCGAGAGAGTATGTTGTAAACGCTAAAACTGATCCCCGATAATCCGTACACGGGCAAGGCGTAGGGTGGGCGAAGACTGGTTCGCCTAAACTGTTGATGATCCAAAAAGAGATGTAAATGGGTTCCAACAGCCAAAATTAGTAGAAGTGAGAAAACTTTAATTGTCTGCGAAGGTAAACCGGGCCGAGCAATTCCTTTTAATTTTATTGGTCAGAGCAGCATAAACAAACTCCGTAAAATCCCATTGGCTGTCGAATTCCCTGCTGAATCTGCATGTTTTCTCCTTCCCGGCCGCCGAGCACCGGGTTCATTCGCCGCAACAAAAAGCAAAATGAAACAATCCGAAAAGCATAGGAGCGTGAAACGTACAGGTTTCTGATAAAGGAGAAGAGAATTTGGAAGGGGTAACATCTGGGCGAGTAAAGATAGTGAGAAAAATAGAGATGCCAAACTCGTAAATACAGGATGATATTTAACCGTATCCATTTCGGTCAGTTATTAATCAGTTGCTATACTGTACGACGACATGGTGACAAAATATACAATCTTTCAACATCGAAAAAGCAGAAAATCCTGGCTCTCGTGTTTGTCCAATAGGATTTGGAGGAATCCATGATCCATCCGCAAAGAGATCTTCTGTGGCACAGATTCGACGAAACAAGCGGTTGAACGTGCTAAACACGGGCCGAGGTTGGGCATCCGCCAGATCACGGCGGAACTCATCCGCTACGTGCGTAGAAATTCTACATAAATATAAACGTGGCATTTGTAATTCATTTGTTCACAGTCGCTTAATATTACATACAACCACTTCTGTTGTTAATGAGTAAAGAGAAAACAGAAGTCTCTCCTCAAAACGACGACCGAGTTTCAGCAGAGACGATCCTCGAGCCCATCGGCACTAAAGGCTCCTTCGGCGAACCTGATGCTAACCAGGTCGATGTCGATGGTTATTATCATTTCATAATTTCTCTTTTTTTTATCAGTCTTCTTTCTCGACGTTTCAATAAAACTCATACCGTTTGTTATATTACTGTTATTTAGCTGCTATTGGTGAATACCGTGAATTAAAGCGTGAATTATCTCGTATTAGCCGTCAATCTGTCAACGAAAGCAAAATCGAAGCAGGTGCTGCTGCTCAAGAAGAGTTCAACCTCGATGATTTCTTGAGTGGAATGGGCAACGATGCCGAACAAGCAGGACATACACCCAAACAATTGGGACTTGTCTGGCGCGACCTTACAGTTAAGGTAAATATATCAACATGCTTTGCTTGTTATCATTACCTTTACTTGTTTCTCATTGCACGTAACAAAAGGTTTACTAACATGATTGTATAACATCTAGGGTCTTGGTGCTGGCGCTCACGTAGTTCCCACTGTTGCGAATGGTATCATCAATGCGCTTCAATTCTGGAAGTATTTCGGTATTGGCGTGAACAAGACCAAGAAGACCATCCTTCGAGGGCTCAATGGTTTCTGTAAAGATGGTGAAATGTTACTCGTCCTTGGTCGCCCTGGCGCTGGTTGTACTAGTTTGCTGAAAATTTTGGCCAATGTACGCGGTTCCTACACAGATATCGATGGTGTAGTCAGCTACGGTGGCATTGACCCGAAAACCTTCGAAAAATACTATCGTGGCCAAGTCATCTATAATGAAGAAGAAGATCAACATTATCCTACGTAAGCATTACCGCTCATATTTTAAAAGGATCAGGATTTTGAATATGATTATCTTGGCATACTAACTCTATAATTGATTAGCCTTACTGCACGTCAAACCTTGCAGTTTGCTTTACGCTGTAAGACTCCTGGTGCTCGTCTTCCGGATGAAACCAAGAATGATTTCGTTGAGAAGATCATTTACCTCCTTGGTAACATGCTGGGTCTCACCAAGCAAATGAACACCATGGTCGGTAACGCTTTCGTCCGTGGTCTTTCTGGTGGTGAACGCAAGCGTCTCTCGATTGCCGAAGTTATGACCACCCAAAGTTCGATCAACTGCTGGGATTGTTCTACCCGTGGTCTCGATGCTGCATCTGCCCTTGATTATGTTCGTTCCCTTCGTATCATGACCGACGTGTTCAAGAAGACGACAGTCGCTACCTTGTACCAGGCATCGAACAACATCTACAGTTTGTTTGATAAGGTCTTGTTGCTCGATGACGGTTACTGTATCTTTTTTGGTCCTATTAGTGAGGCAAAGCCTTACTTTGAAGGACTCGGATTCCACTGCCCCCCTCGTAAATCGATTCCCGATTTCCTCACTGGTCTTTGCAACCCCTTGGAACGTGAAATCAAGCCCGGTTTCGAGAACTCAGCCCCACAGTTCGCATCCGAATTTCAAGAGCAATATTACAAGTCTGAAATCCACCAACGCATGATGGCCGAATTGCAAGCTTACGAACAACGTATCGACCAGGAAAAGCCCGGCGACCGCTTTAAAGAGGCTGTCGCTGAGGAGCACCAGAAACATGCTTCCAACCGTGAACCCTACACTTCATCATTCTGGCAACAAGTCAAGGCACTTACCGTCCGTCAATATCATCTTTTGATTAAGGATTACCCTGCTCTTATCTCTCGTTATGGTACTATTATCATTCAAGGTCTCATCACTGCATCGTGCTTCTTCAACATTCCGTTGACCGGTATCGGTGCATTCTCTCGTGGTGGTGCCTTATTCTTTGCTTTGCTATTCAACGCTTTCATTTCCCAAACTGAATTGGTGAACTTCTTGATGGGTCGACCGGTACTTTCAAAGCAAAAGCACTTTGCCATGTTCCGACCTTCTGCATTCTATATTGCTCAAGTAATCCTGGATGTCCCTTACGCCGTCGTTCAAGGTAAATAGCTAATCCTTTTTTTAAGTGTGTACCGACAGACTATTAATAGTTACGCAATTTCTGTAATTTTCCTTTCTTTCTAGTCTTACTTTTTGAGATTTGCTCATACTTCATGATGGGTCTTAACCTTGATGCCGGACGATTCTTCACCTACTTTATTACCTTGTTCTTCATCAACATGATGATGAATGGCTTGTTCCGATTCTTTGGTGCCATCACAGCAGACTTTTTCCTTGCCAATCAAATTGCTGGTTTCGTTCTTATCACCGCCGTGACCTACACTGGTTATGTGATTCATTACTACTCCATGCATCCTTGGTTATTCTGGTACGTTTTATTACCTGATTTATCCTATAAATAATGATAGTGTGTACTCATATAAAATCATATCTTTTACAGGGTTTACTGGATAAATCCTCTCGCATATGGTTACAAGGCTCTCTTGATCAACGAAATGCAGGGCCAAATTTACTCTTGCGATGGTATCGGCAACGCTGTACCTTATGGTCCTGGCTACGACGACTGGACTCATATGGTGTGCACCATGAAGGGTGGCACTCCTGGTCAAAACTTTGTCCGTGGTGATGACTACTTGCGCACTGCTTTGAACTATGAACCCAACCACTTATGGGCTCCTGACTTTGTCGCTGTCGTTGGATTTTTCCTGCTGTTTACTTTTGCCACTGCTACTTGCATGGATTACATCAATGCTGACAAAGGTGGCGCTCTTACTAAATTATACTTGCCCGGTAAAGCTCCTAAACCTCGTACTGACGAAGAAGAAGACGAAAGACGACACAGACAAGCAGAAATTACCAACAACATGGAAAGCATCTCCACCGGTACAACATTCTCATGGCAACACGTTCACTACGAGGTTCCTTTCAAGGGTGGACCATTGCATTTGCTAAACGATATTTCCGGTATCGTCAAGCCTGGTCATTTAACTGCTCTCATGGGTTCTTCTGGTGCGGGTAAAACAACTCTTCTCGATGTTTTGGCCAAGCGAAAGACCATTGGCAAGGTTGACGGTCGTGTATATCTCAACAACGAAGCGCTGATGTCTGATTTTGAGCGTATCACTGGTTACTGTGAGCAAATGGATATTCACCAGCCGGCAGTCACTGTTCGCGAAGGCATGCAATTCTCTGCTTATCTGCGTCAAGATGCCGATGTTCCCAAGGAAGAAAAGGACGCCTATGTCGAGCAGATCATTACCCTGTTGGAAATGGAAGATATTGCTGACTGTCAGATCGGTGAAGTCGAACACGGTGTCGGTATCTCGGTTGAAGAACGCAAACGTCTCACGATTGGTATGGAACTTGTCGCCAAGCCTAAGCTGCTTTTCTTGGATGAACCTACTTCTGGTTTGGACGCCCAAAGCTCTTACAACATTGTCCGCTTCATCCGCAAGTTGGCCGATGCCGGTTGGCCCGTCTTGTGTACCATCCATCAACCCTCTGCCATTCTGTTCGAACACTTTGATCACTTGTTGCTTTTGGTCCGTGGTGGTCGCACTGCTTACTATGGTGAAATTGGCAAGGATGCCCGTACCATGATTGACTACTTTGAATCCAACGGTGGCCCTACCTGCTCTCCCGATGCCAACCCTGCCGAATACATTCTGGAAGTTGTTGGTGCTGGTACTGCTGGCAAGGCTACACGCGACTGGGCTGATATTTGGGCCAACTCTGCACAGGCACAAGCTCTCGAAGAAGAATTGGAAGAAATTCATCAGCACGCTGAAAAGAACCCTACTCGTAAATCTCTTACTTACGCCAATGGTTTCTGGTACCAATTCAGCCTTGTGCTGAAACGCATGACGACTGCCTACTGGCGCTCGCCTCAGTACAACATTGGTAGATTTGTTACCTTGATGTTCACCGCTTTGATTAACGGTTTCAGTTACTGGAAGATGTCTTACACCACTACCGATATGCAGAACCGTCTCTTTGTTTTGCTTTCTACCTTCATTATGGCAAACATTTTGGTATGTCTTTGTTTTCTTTTCACATTATATTTTACCTGCACTGTAACATGTTTTCTTGCTTTTTCTTCTAGATTATTCTTGCACAACCCAAGTTTATGACTGAAAGACTCTACTTCCGTCGCGAGTACGCGTCGCGTTTCTATGGCTGGATGCCTTTCGCGTTCTCTGCAGTACTGGTCGAAATCCCGTATATTCTGTTTTTCTGCGCCTTCTTTATGTGCGGTTTTTACTGGACTGCCGGTTTGGTCAATACTTCGGAAGCTTGTGGCTACTTCTACGTCATGCTTATATTCTTTGTTTTCTGGGCCGTTACACTTGGTTTTGTCATTGCTGGTGCTGCCGAAAACCCGCTCATGGCATCTGTCATCAACCCCATCATTATCTCCATGTTGATTCTGTTCGCTGGTTTGATGCAACCTCCTTCCTCTATGCCTCATTTCTGGAGCTCTTGGATGTACTGGTTGGGTACGTAAATCTACACATATCATGAGCTATCAAGTTTGCCAATACTCAAGTCCACACCACTATTTCTAGACCCGTTCCATTACTATATTGAAGGTCTCGCGGTCAACGAACTCGAAAATCTTCCGGTGGTTTGTAACGATGATGATTATGTAAGCTTCACACCTCCCGCTGGCCAGACTTGTGGTGATTATACCGCCAACTTTTTCAGCATGGGTGCCACTGGATATATCGAAGACGGAAACGCTACCGACGTATGCCGATACTGCACATACAGCTCTGGCAAGGAATATTACACGACAACCTATGGTTGGGACGCTGCAAACAAATGGCGCAACTTTGGTATCATCATTTGCTACTTTGCATTCAACGTCCTCGTGTTCTTGGCTCTCTGCTTCTGGAAGAAGAAGGGAAAGAGATAAACGACATCTCCTTCTATCTTCTCCCTTTCCATTTTTCTTCATTTCTTCCGTTTTACGGCTTTCATTCACACTTACATACACCGCGCATTAAAAACTCACACTTCTATTACCTGTACATTTAAAGCTCTACACACAACGCATACGCACAAATTCAACTAAATCTCACTATGTAGCATTTTTATTACACGCACGTACACTTTTTATTTTAGCTGATACCGCAAATAAATAAACTTTCTTGATCTTCTTTAACAAGTAATTGCTGTCGCCCTCACTTTTTAATTCTTATGCAGCCATTTTAAGCAGCTGCCTTTAACACCATATCAACATTACCCTTTTAATAAAATTTATGCGCGCATGGATACGCATGAGTAAATCGTCTGTGATTGATCTCATGAACGTGAACGAAAAAGGGTCTGTGCTCTATGGTTTCTTTTGAACTTGTCTCCGCTAAATAGCTGCAAATGTTAATCATGTGCTGCTAAGCTCATAAAATGGTAGAAATTTAATACCGGAAATGGTAGTTATACGTTTTTTTGACATCTTTGGTCCAAAGAAGCGCGGTTCTCGTGTAACATGAACGCATTGACCACTGCCAGAGTCAGATTGTTCGTGGCACTCAACTTAGCATATTGAAGCAGGTTGGAACATATAGTACTTTGTTGATGTTATGTTGAGAATATAGCTAGAAAGGTTTGTACTTCTTAATGGCACGTATATTTTGAGTCACCTGTGGAGGCCTTCTCATAACTACAGTTAGATTTTGTTGCGTTGCTTGGATGTTTACTAATATGCAGGTTAATAAGACGCTGTTTGTTCAAACAAAGGATGCTGTTAAGCCAAATGTCTTTTTTGATTGGTAATGTTGCAGTAGCAGTAAATCGCTGGGTGGGTTACAAAATTATACATCGATCTGCACTGCAGTGTGGGTTTAGCGTTGCATTTTTCAAATCATCGTCGACAAAAAAACGGAGCTGTGATCCTTAAAATGATTTGATTTGAACAGATTCACAGATTGTTAGATGTCAAACCTGTGACAAGAAGTTTGTGATTTAGCTCTTTGTTTCATCTACGGCTTGCCGCAGTTTCTTAATCAACTTCAGTACCTACCTTGAGCTTGTACAGATCAAACATCCCGAATTTTACCGGATTTGGTGATTTCAATTTTCGTCGAAAAGTCCGCAACGCTTTACAACTATGATTGTATTCATGGGCTACGATTGTTTTTCAGTGGTATGCACCTTATTAGTTGTACATGCAAAAAAGTGACCCGAAAAACAGGTCCAACAATATGCTGCACACTAAAGACGCTCTTAGCAGAGATCAAAGTGTGCGTCATGTAGCTGTAGATCACAAAATTGAACTTGAGAGTTTTGACACGATCGCTACAGATCTACAAGGAAGGGCGTGGATGTAAAGTAAATTTTCACATAATCAAGGAATCATAATTTGTAGACCTCGTAATGATCTCCAGGCAGATTTTCTGTTCACTCGCTTGCAGTATGTATGCCCACTTCGTCAATTGTCAGATCCGCCCGCATATACAAGCGCGAAAAGTTTGTGCTCGCACGTGGAGAATGCTTGGCGGCGGTTGTCGTTATCTTCGGCTCTTTTTTAGAGTGAATGCGGCAAAATTGTTATACCTTGGTCTGATGTATATTTTGGTTCCGCGTATTGACTAACCCGGACATTTGCTGAACTGTGCAGGCTATTAACAGAATAGATGATTGATAAGGAGAGATGAAGGTGATAAGCAGTGCGCACGCGTACGAATGATGTTCTTGCTCAGATCTTGTATAAAGCTCATTGACTTTGACCATAAAAACAAAGTCTTTGTTTGCTTTCATATTAGTCGCTGGTTTTCTATCAACCTAACGATGAAAGAACTATTTTGCTGCAGACTGGTATGAATCGCGCTACTGCGGAAAGCGGTCGAAGGACGGCCCGCTTTTTGGAGCGGAGACGTAGTTGATCTCCGTTTGCCTCAAACATGATGAGCCCGGGCAGTAGCTCCGTTCGAATAGCGAAGCAAAGAAAAAAATCTTATAAAAGACCAGCAGAAGCACGGATCCCTGAATTAGTGCCTCGTTTATACTTTTTCTTCGATGGACCAAGAGAAGACAGAAGTTCAACCGTCACACGACGACCGGGCATCTGCGGATACTATTCTCGAGCCCATTGGCACCAAAGGATCGTTCGGTGAACCTGATGCAAACCAAGTCGATATTGATGGTATGCAGCACTTTTTAATTCCCTGTTTGTCGATTCTGTATGATATATATAAACCAAGAGAAACTAACCATCCGCTGGTCTTTCTGTACAGCTGCCGTTAATGAATACGAAGATCTGAAGCGTGAACTCTCCCGGGTCAGCCGTAAATCGACGCATGCAAGCAAGGTCGAAGAAGGTGCCGTTGCTTCAGAAGAGTTCAACCTTGATGAATTTTTAAACGGAATGCAGAATGATGCTGCACAAGTTGGGCACAAGCCGAAGCATTTAGGTGTTATTTTTAAGGACTTGACCGTCAAGGTGAGTTTTAGTGCTACTGCTACGCTGTCATGCCTGATCTGTCAATCTCTTCTTCCTTATCAAATAAATACTCCTTAAATATAGGGCCTTGGTGCTGGCGCTCACGTTGTTCCCACTGTGGCAAGTGGTCTTTTAGCCGCTGTACAGTTCTGGAAATTTTTTGGCATCGGAACCAACACCACCAAGAAGACTATCCTGCGGGGTATCAGTGGCTTTTGCAAAGACGGTGAAATGTTATTGGTCCTTGGCCGTCCAGGCGCTGGCTGTACTAGTTTGCTCAAGGTTTTAGCCAATGTGCGCGGATCCTATACTGATATCGATGGTGAAGTCAGCTATGGCGGCATCGATCCCAGAACATTTTCCAAATTTTATCGTGGTCAAGTCATCTACAACGAAGAAGAAGATCAGCATTACCCCACGTATGTTATCAAGCCATATCTATGAATATTAACAGATCAAACTCAGGCATGATTTTGCTAACAGAGATTCACTTGATTTTCAGGCTCTCTACACGCCAGACCTTGCAGTTTGCTTTACGCTGTAAAACTCCTGGTGCTCGTCTTCCGGATGAAACCAAGAATGATTTCGTTGAGAAGATCATCTACCTCCTTGGTAACATGCTGGGTCTCACCAAGCAAATGAACACCATGGTCGGTAACGCTTTCGTCCGTGGTCTTTCTGGTGGTGAACGCAAGCGTCTATCTATTGCCGAAGTTATGACCACCCAAAGCTCGATCAACTGCTGGGATTGTTCTACCCGTGGTCTTGATGCTGCATCTGCCCTTGATTACGTTCGTTCCCTCCGTATCATGACCGATGTATTCAAGAAGACGACTGTTTCCACGTTATACCAAGCATCCAACAGCATTTTTAGCTTGTTCGACAAGGTCATGCTGCTCGACGACGGTTACTGCATCTACTTTGGTCCTGTCACAGAAGCAAAGGCTTACTTTGAAGATCTCGGATTTTACTGCCCCCCTCGTAAATCGATTCCTGATTTCCTAACTGGTCTCTGCAACCCTTTGGAACGAGAGATCAAGCCCGGTTTTGAGAAAACAGCCCCACAGCATGCATCTGATTTCCAGGCTATTTACTATCAGTCTGAAATCCACCAACGTATGATGGCTGAACTGCAAGCCTTCGAGCAACAAGTCGCTCAAGAAAAGCCTGGTGACCTTTTCAAGGAGGCTGTCAATGAAGAACATCAAAAGCGTGCCCTCAAGAGTGCACCTTACACCGCGTCCTTCTGGCAGCAAGTCATCGCACTTACCATCCGTCAATATCATCTTCTGATTAAGGATTACCCTGCTCTTATCTCTCGTTACGGTACCATTCTTATTCAAGGTCTCATCACTGCATCGTGTTTCTTCAATATTCCGTTGACCGGTATCGGTGCATTCTCTCGTGGTGGTGCCTTGTTCTTTGCTTTGCTGTTCAACTCTTTCATCTCGCAAACCGAATTGGTCAACTTCTTGATGGGTCGACCTGTGTTATCCAAGCAAAAGCACTTTGCCATGTTCCAACCTTCAGCTTTCTACATTGCACAAGTGATTTTAGATGTTCCCTATGCTGTTGTCCAAGGTAAATGTACATTCTAATGCATGCCCGTGGATTATATACGGTAATATGATGCTAAAACAAATGCCCGATTTTTATAGTTTTGCTCTTTGAAATTTGCTCATACTTCATGATGGGTCTTAACCTTGATGCTGGACGATTCTTTACCTTTTTCATCACCCTATTCTTCATCAACATGATGATGAATGGTTTGTTCCGATTCTTTGGTGCTATTACATCCAGTTTCTTCCTCGCTACCCAAATCTCTGGCGTTATTCTCATTTCTTTGGTTACATACACCGGTTATGTGATTCCCTACAACTCTATGCACCCATGGCTTTTCTGGATTTACTGGATTAACCCTCTCGCATATGGCTACAAGGCTCTCCTGATCAACGAAATGCAGGGTCAAGTTTACTCTTGCGATGGTATCGGCAACGCTGTACCCTATGGTCCTGGCTATGACGATTGGGCTCATATGGTGTGCACCATGAAGGGTGGTACTCCTGGCGAGAACTTTGTCCGTGGTGATGACTACTTGCGCTCTGCTTTGAGCTATGAACCCAACCACTTATGGGCTCCTGACTTTGTCGCTGTCGTCGGTTTCTTCTTGTTATTCACTTTTGGCACTGCCGCCGCCATGGAATGGATCAACACTGATAAGGGTGGTGCTCTTACCAAGCTTTACTTGCCTGGCAAAGCTCCAAAAGCTCGTACGGACGAAGAAGAAGACGAGCGTCGTCGCAAGCAAACTGATATCACCAACAACATGGGAGGTATTGCTACCGGTACTACCTTCTCGTGGCATCATATCCACTACGAAGTTCCATTCAAGGGTGGACCATTGCATTTGCTAAACGATATTTCCGGTATCGTCAAGCCTGGTCATTTAACTGCTCTCATGGGTTCTTCTGGTGCTGGTAAAACAACTCTTCTCGATGTTTTGGCCAAGCGAAAGACCATTGGCAAGGTTGACGGTCGTGTATATCTCAACAACGAAGCGCTGATGTCTGATTTTGAGCGTATCACTGGTTACTGTGAGCAAATGGATATTCACCAGCCGGCAGTCACTGTTCGCGAAGGCATGCAATTCTCTGCTTATCTGCGTCAAGATGCCGATGTTCCCAAGGAAGAAAAGGATGCCTATGTCGAGCAGATCATTACCCTGTTGGAAATGGAAGATATTGCTGATTGCCAGATCGGTGAAGTCGACCACGGTGTCGGTATCTCGGTTGAAGAACGCAAGCGTCTCACGATTGGTATGGAACTTGTCGCTAAGCCTAAGCTGCTTTTCTTGGACGAACCTACTTCAGGTTTGGACGCCCAAAGCTCTTACAACATTGTCCGTTTCATCCGCAAGTTGGCCGATGCCGGTTGGCCCGTCTTGTGTACCATCCATCAACCCTCTGCCATTCTGTTCGAACACTTTGATCACTTGTTGCTTTTGGTCCGTGGTGGTCGCACTGCTTACTATGGTGAAATTGGCGAGGATGCCCGTACCATGATTGACTACTTTGAATCCAACGGTGGCCCTACCTGCTCTTCCGATGCCAACCCTGCCGAATACATTCTGGAAGTTGTCGGTGCTGGTACTGCTGGCAAGGCTACACGCGACTGGGCTGATATTTGGGCCAACTCTGCACAGGCACAAGCTCTCGAAGAAGAATTGGAAGGAATCCATCAGCACGCTGAAAAGAACCCTACTCGTGAATCGCTCACCTATGCAACTGGCTTTTCGTTCCAATTTTGGCTTGTACTAAAGCGGATGACACTTGCTTACTGGCGCTCGCCTGATTACAACATTGGCCGTTTTATTACTCTGATGTTTACTGCCTTGATCAACGGTTTTACCTATTGGAAGATGTCTTACACCACCTCCGATATGCAGAACCGTCTTTTTGTTTTGCTTTCTACCTTCATTATGGCAAACATTTTGGTATGTTTTTTTTTCACTATAACTTTTTTATTATCTCAATATCCTAAAGCTAACATTTTCTCTTGCTATTTTTTCCAGATTATCCTTGCACAACCCAAGTTCATGACTGAAAGACTCTATTTCAGACGCGAATACGCGTCACGTTTCTATGGCTGGATGCCTTTCGCATTCTCTGCTATCTTGGTTGAAATCCCCTACATCCTGTTCCTGTGTGCCTTCTTCATGTGCGGTTTCTACTGGACGGCTGGTTTGGTCAACACTCCAGAAGCCTGCGGCTACTTTTATCTTATCCTTGTCTTCTTTGTTTTCTGGGCTGTCACTCTCGGTTTCGTCATTGCTGGTGCTGCCGAAAATCCACTCATGGCTTCTGTTATCAATCCTGTCATCATCTCTATGTTAATTCTGTTCGCCGGTTTGATGCAAACACCTGACTCGATGCCGAAGTTCTGGAGCTCATGGATGTACTGGGTGGACCCATTCCATTATTATATCGAAGGTCTGGCGGTCAACGAACTGGAGGACCTTCTGGTTATCTGTAACGACGCCGACTTTGTCAACTTCACGCCTCCCGCTGGCCAGACATGCGGAGAATATACTGCCAACTTCTTTTCAATGGGTGCTACTGGTTACATCGATGACAGCAACGCTACCGATGTATGCAAATACTGCTCGTACAGTTCGGGCAAGGAGTATTATACGACCATGTATGACTGGGATGCTGGTAACAAATGGCGGAATTTGGGAATTTTGATCTGCTACTTTGCCTTCAATGTTCTTGTCTTTTTGGGTCTTTGCTTCTTGAAAAGAAAGGGAAGACGATAAATAGTTCATTCTCTCTATCTTTCTCCATTTTGCTTTTTCAGGCCATATTCTGCATATTTGTTCATGTATTTCTTGTTCCTTCTCCTTTAATCTATATTTACTACGCATTTTACAGCTAATACTTCACACATACACTCTGCATTGAATCTATAATCCCTCATTACTATGTACGTTGCTATATTATAGCGCAATAAAACGTTTTAGACTTAAAAATCAAACAATCCCATTTTCAACACTCACAAACCGCAAGGACAGATATGACTTACAGTCATTTTACGGTCTCTGATTGAAGTTTAATCGTGCAGCGTTTTAAATATCGTGTTCTAAATAAATATTTCATACTGTTTAAAAAATAATGCAAGTATGGCATACATTATAGAACACTGATATTGCATAAAGCCATTATTTTGATATCTACTTTCATCCTTTGTCTTAAATGACAGTATGATGTGCATAAATTTTTCTGTTCTCCTACTGCGTTTAAGCAACCGACTTAATATACCTAAGGAGTGTTAGATAGATCAATTTGAAATCAATACAAACATTGACTGAATCCTTCAGTTTGTTCTTGTTATACTAGCCTTATTACCAAATGTTTGTTTTTCTTCAGATTTCAATTTAAACCAAGACTAGAAACCCGAGACCCACATAGTAGCAGGTCCCATCCGTCGACAAATAGAAAACAGTTCCTTATTTTGGCCGATATTATCACTACTTTTCTTTTGTCTTCTTACTCTTTCGTAAACCCTAGTTTAAAAAGTATTTCGCCTACTAGTATTACTAGTAACCGATACACATGCTAAGCGATATTAATACTGCATTCTCACAGAGAAAGTGTCGTCAAGACTGCGAGGAAGAAGATACCGGATCATGCACACAAACTGTCGTCGATGTTGACCCACCTCCGCTAAAAACCTATCCACAAGCATGGATGGTTCTCTTTTTCCTGGTACTGCTTCGCACTGCCGTGGCGGTATTCCAATTTACTTTTAGTGTTGTCCCAAACCTTACCGCAGAATTCTTCTCAGTCTCGCTGACAGGTGTCAATTGGTTGGCCAATGTACAATGCCTAGTATACGTTGTGCTCAGCTTTTTTACTGGTTGGCTCTTTGAACGATTGGGTGTCAAGCGATCGGTGAGTGCCTTCCTTCACCTTAGAAGCATCGTTAAGTTCACCGAGTAAATGCTAATAATTTCTCCTTCCCCCCCTTTTTTTTGCCGTTTACAATTGTATAGCTTATCCTTGCTGGCTTTCTATGTGCTGCTGGATCAGCCATCCGATTTATATCCAGTAAACTACGTTCATTTCCACTGGTGATGGTTGGTCAAGTTATTGGGTCTGCAGCATCACCGCTTTCATTAAACATTATGACGATGGTAGATAAATAGCATATATTAGTAGCCACACAATTACAGACACAGGGCAGTATTTGATGTTTAATTTATTTGTTTGTATTCTAGGTTGCATCCACCTGGTTTACAGAGAGCATGCGAGCAACAGCAGGAATGTTTGTAGGTAAAGTGATAATCGATAAGTTACAACGGGGAGTAAAAAAAAGAGCTACAGCAACAAACATACCATTTGATCATACTCATAAGTATTTAATATACTTACTCATCAACATTGCATTATCATCATCATGTTATTGTAATACACAACAGCGTCGAACTATGGAGCTATTTTGGGCATGTTCATGATCCCAGCTACTACATCGCAGCTCGAGCAGATCCCGATGACCGTACGTCCATATTTATGAAGATAACATCGATCGCACAGCAAAACGAGAAGACGAAAGATATACTCACACTATGATGTCACTGCAACCAAAAAATAGTTATTGATAGTGACAGTTATTGCCGTGGTTGCCTTTGTGCCTCTGGTGTTTATGCCTGCTAAACCTCCAACGCCTCCTTCATTTGTCCAAAATCAAGACCGACCATCCTTTTTCGCTGGATTAAAGCTACTTGCACGAAACTACAATTTTTGGATTCTCTTTGTAATTCACAGCTTAAACGTCGGCCTCAGTATAGCATTTGGAACTATATTTACTCAAATGATTTCGCCATATGGATATAGCGATACTGATGCTGGGCAACTAAATGCAATCGCCTTTTTTGCAGGCACGCTTGGTTGCTGTAAGTGCTGGCTATTAATATTACTAGTTACATAATAACAGCGTAAAAAAAGTACTTACATAGAGTTGGGAACTCTTTGTAGCTGTCGCTGGACCCGTTCTGGATAAGACAAAACAGCACAAACTCTTCTTAAAACTGATTGCTCCCATGGTGCTAGTGAGCGACGTTGGACTTATTTTTATCAGTAAGTATATTCATGCCCCACAAAAATATTCTTTTTTCTTTACTGACTTATTATATTCTAGTACGCAAAGATTCATATGCTGCCATTTTATTTGTCATGGCTATCAACCAGTTCTTTCTGTCATTTCTGGTCCCAGTAGTGATTGAACTCGGTAGTGAGAGTAAGTCGCTACGGAAGACCGACATTGGTATAAAGAGATGTCTAATAATATGATATGTTACATAATTCTTGTACGATTCATAAACTAGCATCCTACCCCGTATCAGAAGCAACGACCAGTTCGATTCTCTGGCAAGGCGCTCAAGTATTTGGTTTTATTCTTGTGGTAGTAATGGATGCTGTCCGGGATCCCCGTGGCAATCCGCCAAACAATCTATACAAGGCATTGATAATTCAAGCTGGATTGGCCGGTGCTATTATGATTCTCGCGTTTCTGTTCATGGGTCGCATGGGGCGGTCTGAAGCAATTGCTTGGCAGAAAGAACAACAAGAGCGATCTAAGGAAAAGTCTTTTGAAAAACCTAGTACAACGCTGAGTAACTTGTCTTTAGGGATTGCGGGCCATCAAGGCGACTCAGAAAAAAAGGATGTTTTTCAAGAGGAAATATCGAGAAAGTTATAACCATTCCCAGTATTGTTTATGTGCACCTTTAAAATGAGGAAGGTGTTATCGTTGCTATCTCAGAAAAGTAGTACAGATAAAGATCATTATACGAACTATACAATCTAAAAATGTCAATGTATGGTAGTACCAGTACTTGATTGTCATCTACTTAGTGGGATGGAAGCTTTTATTAAGAATTAGTGCAAGGTAGCATCGTTCTTATCGTCCAATTAGAATCATGCTATGATCTCCCAAATTGTGATATCAAACTGTGTGCTATTTCGCTACTGAAGTTGTTTACATAATGAAAAGAAGGGCTCTTTACTAAAGTGCCTATACTATTTCAATTCAAGAGGTATGTACACAACCTAAATAAGCCATCTTATTTAAATTTCAAGTATCTGGATCTGATGCTTTTGTCTTAGTAACATGGAGAACAGTCGATACGTCTCAACAAGTGGAATTTTTTTTGATAGTAGCAAAGGGATATAGAAATTTTATTCATGTTCTGACTTATTGATATTCAGAGATCTTGGACTTTCCGTTCTGGTCAACAATGCCCCAATGAGGCTCGATATTGTAAGCACCGCCACCCTTCCACTTGCTGTCGTGGGATTCAAAGTAGTAGTATTTGATGTCGCTATTCATCAAAGCCTTGACCACCGTGGACATTTCGTCGGTACCAGGCTTAGCGTCACCATTAGTGTCGCCTTCGGACGGCCAGCCGACCTCGCCGATCACAATGTCCTTGCCACTAGCCTTGCCCTTGAAGCTGCTGAGCTGTTGCTGCAAGTTCTGGACAGCTTCGTCAGCGGAAACGCCACCGAAAAAGGGGTGAATGTTGACCCAGACGATATCCGAAGCATCGATCATGTCGCTGCTGAAACCAGCGGCCGTTTCGACGGTGCCAACCTTGTACTCGCCAAACTTTTGCTTGATTTCCTTGATCCTGGAGGCGACGGAAGAGGCATCCATAAGACCAGCATGGACAGCTTCGTTACCAACGGCAATGCCAGAGATCAAGTTCTTGTTGGCGCCTTCCAATGCCTTTTCGAGGTTGGAGACTTCGCTGTCATCGTTATCGCCGCCAATCCAGATCGCCGCCAAAACCTTCATATCGCCGCCGTTTTCTTGGATAGCGTTCAAAATGTTGGGGAGTTGGTCGCATTCTTGTGAGTAGGTACGGATGTTCATAATGCCGTTGTCCTTGAAGCGCTTGATGGATTCCGAGACCTGCTCGGCGCTGTGGCAGGATCCGTCAGAACCCTTGGCTGTGTATGTGATGCCCCAGAGACTACCAGCGTCGCGTTTGGTGGGAAGTGCCTGAACCAGTCCGGCAATAAGGAGCGAAGCGAGAAGAGCGAGTGAAAATTGCATGGTGAGGGATGTATTGGTAAAGCTGAGCCTGCAGCAAAAGGAAAGGATGATGATGAGGAGAAAAGAAGAACGACGCAAACGTGGGCTTTTATAAACTTTTTTTCTCATCCAAGATTGGGTTACCCAGACTAACACCTGAACCTTCTAATTGCTGATTTAAAGGCACTCATTGCTATTCGCCATGTCTCACTGCCCATCAAGGTCCAGATCTTTCTTCCTCCGTTACTTTTTCTGCTCCAGCGAATTTGGAAGCGGAAGACGTCAAATTGTTTCAGACAAATTTCTGGGCGATCCCGCACCCCACTTTACTTTTAGTGTCACCCAGCAGGCTGGATCATCAACTGTAAACATTGATGCTGTACAAAAAGATGGTCAGTGCACTGGCGTTCAGTCTATTAACGCTGTTAGGATTAGCTTCATTTAGGACAATGGCTATGGCTATGTAGACTACATGACATACTGCTCTCTGTGCCGCACTTCTTTTCTGTAACCGAGTGACTGTTTCGCAATTAGTTTCTGATCTAGTCCCATTGATCTGGAACACGGCCAAATAAGCTAGTGTCATTGTTCCAAAGTAATCGCTCATGCTAGGTCCAGTTCCAAAATAATCATCATTGCAACACAAAGCACCCTGATATTTGTTTCACGATAATAACAATAATAAATAAATAAAAAACTCTTTATTATAATAATACTGCAAGCGAAAAAGAGAAGAGTTACTGTACAATTGTAGAATATGGGGGAAGAGGGTAACGTTCGGATATATGGACATGAGTGCGGCAAAAAGGTGAAGGAGAAGGTGACTGGAGCAATCAGAGGGTTCTTTTTCTTTTTGAAAATAGTAGATAAATAAGGAAAGCAGAAGGGAGGGGTATATCGTTATCAACATCATCAGTAGAACGGACTGGCCACTCGTTCAGATTGCTGCTCCTGTTGCTCCTGTTGCTGTTCCATACTATCCCATCGTCGTCTCAGTTCGTCGACACTGCCGCTGCTGTGACGTTGGTAAGACATCTTGGCACGCGAAGCTCTGGTTGGTGTTTGCGAGAGTCGGTCAAACACATTGTTAGCGGGCGTGGTCGGACGTTCCAGCGTCGACAAACTAGGCATGGTTTGACGCTTGTATTGGCGCTGGATGGAAGAGTAATTGGCTAGCGGCGATGACGGCGGAAGCGGAGGAGGGTGTTGCACCATGTCATTTACTTCAGCAGTTTCCCGTCCGTTAGGAATGGGTCCCGCTGCCGAGCCGACCAGTGACAGCTCTCGAAGTGACGCTCGGTGTCGAGGCTGCTGTGGCTGCTGCTGCTGCTGCTGTTGCTGTTGCTGCTGAAGGTTGTTGAGTGTGTATGCTCGTTTGCGCTGTTGTTGTTGCTGCTGCTGTGAGCTTGCCGACGACACTGTGTTGTTCCACGAATTCGCAGATTGTGACGACGAGTAGTCAGACTGCACTGATGAACGACGAAGATGGCTGCTTCGAATGGAAGAAGTAGAGGAGTCGCGGTCAGTAGCGTATCGTGCAAATTCAGCTGGACTGATCATGGTGATCGGGACGGGTGACTCGGAACCTCCCGCTCGCTGCTGCCATGACAGCCGTTTCTGGATCATGTTGTAGAATCGATCCGGTGATGGTGTTGTATCGCGACCCGGACTACGCTTGTCAACCATCGATTTGAGAGGCTGTGGTGGTTTGCTGCATCCCAGCGTGGGTGATTTCTGTGGAGACGATGGCGATTCTTCTACGGTGCTAGCTGTGCTTGGCATCAAGATGTCGTCGGCAATGAAGGAGGTGGAGGCAACGGATGACCCCGAGGAGTCCGCGCCATTGCCGCCCACGGCTGTCAATTCAATGTCCGGTTCAGGGGTGGCGATCATGCCACGAAGACCATCCTCGTAAATCTTGTCAAAGATGGTGTTGCCGCCATTAATATATTCTTCAATCTTGGCATCAATGGGAGACGCTCCTCGCGCTTCGGCATCAGGGCTAGATCGTTCTTCGAGCTTGCGGATGCGACGCTCGTTCTCCACTGTCGTAGCAATAGCAGCACGCTTCATGACGATCAATGTACGCCGCAGGTCCATCACTGTCTTCTCAAGGTTCTGCTGCGTCACCTGACGGTTGCATTCGCTCATGCGCAGATCCATGATATCCTCCACCAATGATTCGGCGATACGTTTGCACTCGTCGGCCTCGAGTGACTTGAGCAGCTTGACGGTGATATCGTAAGCCATCTCAGGTGCCGCATTACTTGGGACGCTGAATTGCTCTTCGAATGCATCCATGTCTGCCCATTCATCGGTTGGTGCTGGGTTGGTGATGATTTCGTCGGCAAAGGTGACGTGCTTCTCTGTTCGTGCGGCGGCGATGGCACTGCCTGCATTTCCCATTTCGTCCTCGAGTGATTCGCCGGCTGCTTCAGATTGCAGAGCACGGATACGCGCAGATAGATAAGAAATCTCTGCAGACATCAAGTCGATACGCTCATCCATGAGTTCAATGGCCATCGTGTCCATAGGCTCGCCTGTTGCATCGGCGTTCTCCTTTTCGGCGAGATAAATGTGCTTGCGCTCCTCAAGCAAATCCAGTTTCTCGCTAGCAAGTCGTTCGCGGCGTACAAGCAGCTGTTCCATCTCAACTACCGCCTGCTTGCCTTGGATAAACTGGCATAAGGCCTTGTCCAGTAGCTCCTTCTTGCGTGTGGAACGGACTTGAACAGGGATGGGGTTCACCTTCTTGCGTATGCGACGATTGCCGAAGCCAAGACCACCACGAGCGACAATAGCGAAACTACCACCGACAATGTGCGAAACCCTGCCCAAAAGACGCTCGTCCAGGATGCCACCCTCGCGCACCGCCTTCTTCAGTACATTGGTCATTTGCTTGAGTTGGTTGTGGTTGATTAAGATCTCCTCATTACGCTTCTTGAGCATCACTTTTTGGTTTTCGTGCTCACGCTCCAGTCGACGCTTGGCCATGTTGGCTTCTGCCTGCTGTCGTTGCAGCTGGTGGATTCTGCGTTCTTGGGAAGACATTTGTTCGCGTACACGCTCGGCTTCTGCCTTCATTCGCTTGACCATGCGCTTCTTTTCGACCTGCAGGGTTTCGACATTGACACGCAGTGATCGGAGCAGCGTTTCGTTCTGGTTGCGTGTGGCCTGCATTGTCATTGTGGTCTGAGAATACTTGCGCCGCAATTCTTGGATTTCCGAGAGCAAGGTCTTCGTTTTTGCTTCGTAGGCATGACGAATGTCGATCAGCTGCTGCTTCTCCTTCATCTGAACAGCCATGTCCGACTTGGTTGAGACGAAGCGGCTCTTGGTGCGCATCAAGGCAGCATCACGCTCGCGTTGCAGCTCGGCAAGTTGTGCTTGAAGGTGTGTGATCTTGTCGTCAAACTTGCGTCGCATAAACGCATATTCGGTCTCTGACTTTTCAAGATGGGACACAAGCTTCTCCTTCACCTTGATGTCTGACTGGATCTGATGGAGCATGCGCACCATCTGTGGATTATGTTTGCTGTTTTCTTGCAAAATGAGCATGGCCTTGCTGGTGCTATTGTTGCTATCGAACGAATGGTCCGTCGTCGATGCTACGTCGGATTGCTGTTTTGCTTTCTCCGGATCCTCCCACGATGGCACCGCCTAAATGTAGATTTCAGAAATGTCAGAATGAGTGAGTATATACTTTGTAGTTTGGAGCCAACAATGAATATTATACATACCAGCGTCTCGATTTCGTCCAAGAGTTCGCTATCGGTACGGAAATGACCACCGTTCTCGTTACCAACAGGCGACGGGGTTGCTGAGAATGTGCCTTCATCCGAATGGGCACGATGCATGTCGTTACCGTGAATACGTCGTTCTTCTTCTTCAAATGCCTCGAGCTCTTCTTCCCAAGCCTTGGCAGTGTCATCTAGAGGCTTGACGAGCTCGAGGACCTCCATACCCTTGCGTATCTCGTCGCGTGCTTTGGCGATGCTGTCCTTGACCTCTTGACGGATGTCTTCGTCCTGGTCATTGACGAAACCTTCGTCTTCTTCGAATTCAGGAATGTCTGGCTCAGGATAGCTCGTGGCAGTTGAGGTGGATGGCTTATTGGCGGTGCGGGTGTAACGCTGTCGCGAGGCAACCTTGGCTGGACGCACTGTCGTGGTTGTACTGCTGGAAGTGGCGCTCATGCGGCCACCGCGTCGACGTCGATGGCGCTTACGTCTCTGGCTATTTGACGCACTGGGCTCAGCACGTGGTCGATTACTACTACAGGAAATTGATCCCGAAAAGCTGGCTTGTTGTTTTGCTAACGCCATCGCTTGCATGGCAGGCTTGACGCTTTCTAGAAATACGAGTCGATCGCGTGTATCGGCTAATTCGTTGTTCAAATCCTGGATCGTCTTTTGATATTGGGCAATGATGGGATGTGTCTGCAGCTTTTGGCTCTTTTCGGCGTTGTCGCTGATGGGTCGGGGAGAGCCATCGTCGTTTTCATCGCTGTTACCGACAAATTCTCCAAGCTCACGCTCCATAAGAAGTGTGTCGCGTTCGCTCGTCACTTGAATCATGCTGGTGCTCATGTCGTCGATACGGTCACGTAGACGGGTCACTTCGCTGCGTAATGCTCGTACTTCTTCGTCGCGTTGAATGCTGCCTGCATATGTGTCTCCAGCACCTTCTGCACGCAGAGACTGTATTTCCATGCGGAGGCGGGCAACAAGCGATCGAAGCTGATTGACTTCAATGGAGCTACCGGCGAAGTCTTGGTTGACAGTAACACGGTTCTTAATGTTGCGAGCACGATTGGCGTATTTGAGTGTGTTGAGCGTTTCCATGAAATTGCTGTCTGCTGGTGAAACGCAGGCAAGCATCAAAGTTTGGCTGTTGCCGCCCAATGAATCTTGGAGCAGTCTAGTAAGCTTAGAATCTCTGTAAGGGATATGCGTAGCCCGCCGCGTATCGTCACCAAGGGCTGAGATGACGTTTCCCAGTGCCAGCAGGCCAGAGTTGATGGCAATGCCTTCTTTAGCACGGTCGCCTTGTGCTTTTGTGCGATTTAGCTAGTAATAGATAGCGACAGTTGCGTTGCGGACGATCATGAAATGCATAAATTTGGGTGAGCTTACTATATCTGATCATTAATGATGTTATTATTCCCATTTTCAACATACCCGCTCAGAACCAGCCAAGTCGACAAAGTGGAACTTGCTAGTGAGTGTTTGGGGAGACTTGTTGCCGTTGCCCCCGTTCTCCTCATCGCCTCCGGCTGGTTGGGTCTGCTTGAGAATGACGGAGAAAATTGCATGCGAACGGGAGGACACTGTGTTCATTTCGGTGGATCCAGTTGTGCGGCACAAGGAGCCTCTGGCCAGTAAACTATATCAGCCAATTCAGGGGAATGGGGTTAAGAATGAGGAGAAGAAGATTTGGACCATCCTTATTAGCCACCAAAAAGATCTGTCGAAACGCGACAGTGAAGAGAAAAAGAGAGAGAGTAGGGCAATATTTACCCTAGCAATTCTTCAGGGCCAGCACAAGGCTCCTCCCTGACGCCGCTCCAGTAGATGTTACCGGCAATGTCTTCACGGATAGAAATCTCTGTGGAACCAACGGAATTGCCATTCTTGCGCTTTTGGGCTGTGCTCGGATTCAACAGGTCGATCAGTTCTTCGTTGTACAGCTCCAAGAACGATACGGCAACTTCGTAATTGTATTCTGGGTCTTGATCTGCACGTTCCTGTAATTTCTCAAAAAGCTCTAATATGCAGCGAGGTACGATGCCTATAGGAGGAAAAAAGTATAAAAGCAATGATAGGTCGACAATGGCATGTGTAATGGAGAAGGGGCAGTCAGTATAGCACATTCTGAGGTTATACAATTCCTTATTATTTTTTGTGTCATTGGTGGCGGACCTTCATTTTCGGGGTCGTTGGTGTTCTCTAAACCGGTTCCCATACTATACGTCTTGCCCGATCCGGTTTGACTAGAAAAGATTCAGCGTTTCTTTTTCATTAAGCTTCGAACATGGCTGACACTCATAGTCAAATAGATGGACGGAGTGGGGGGGGGTATGAGATATGATAGTGATGGTGCTTACCCGTAAGCTAGAATGGTTGCATTGAAACTAAACAGGAGACCAAGAAGATGATATAAAAACAAACAAGTCAGGACGCACGCATATAATTGGAGAGAGTTAGGGACAGCCATGTTAGTATATTTTTTTTACCCGTCCATGAACTTCTGCATCAATGGTGCAGCAGCGTTGTGATATACGTTGGCTTGGACAGTGCTGCTGTCGAACACATAATCGTAGGTGAAGGATTTGTCTGTGCCAATCAAGATTTGGGGTTCGTTGGGAATGTATGACAGGCATTCGCTGCAATTGCTGAGCTGCTCTTTCTGTGTCAATGGTCGGACACGCAAGCCCACCCTACATGTCAATGTTGAGTTTTATTTTAATACCATGTATTGAAGCTGTTGTTGTTGTTTTTGTTGTTGTTGCTTGCTTGCTGCGGTTGCTGATAGAGGGTACAGTGCAATGTATGTATTATTACCTCACGGCAGTCGAAGTCATGGGTGGTTGCTAGGTGGTTGCTAGGTGGACGATGGGTCTATTATGGGTATATACTCTATATACAAAGGCCTCGATTATAGGTGTATCGAAAAATATAAGCTTTTAGGAGCTGCAAGCGAAGAAAAAGTAGGAAAGAGAGGCGAAGAAGAAGAAGAAGAAGCAAAGAAAAAGGGAAACGGACAACAAGCCGAGGGTTACTACGCTCTGTCTGTGATGCCTGGCTCTCGCTCTCTCTCTCTCTCTCTCTCTCTCTCTCGCTATGCGTACAAGGTTGGATCGGGCTGTGTTACACAGGTGCCTTTCCCCGGTTGGTTGTTCCGATCATTCGCAAATGCATTTCATTCTTCTCGTCAATCTACGACTACAGTCTGCCTTATTCTTTGCTTTGGATCTACGGCCACCTTAGCAGCTCTAGCACTACTACTTTTGTATTGTTCAGGTCACAGGTACGCTCTCGCTCACTATCATCATACGTCCGAACTCGAATGCTAACCGGCCCCCCCGCCCTCTCCGAATCCTTATCGGTCCGGTGTCTCCGCCAATCCACCTAGACTTGCCCCCCATATTTTCTTATCCTCCTAAGTTATTTGCTGCAGCATATGCTCGTAACGGTTTCCCTCCATCAGCTGGTGTTATTGTTTGTCGTGCATTTGTATCCTAGGCAACAACATTACAAGCCAACCTTGAGGGTTGATTGTTGATGGCATCAAAGAAGATCGCTCCCTCTCCCTCTGCTTAGGCTAGACACTTTATACTTGTTGACAGGTAACTTGTCTAAATGTATGATTGACGGATGATAAATTTATTTTAGGGGGTCAAGTGCAACCTTTCTAATCGCCGCATGCACTACAAAGTGCTCTGTCGTGTCTTTTTGCCACGCAACGTGTTGCGCGGACAAGAGCCTTTTTTTCGTCGCTTGTGTTCAGATCCTACGTGTCACACGCGCTCTGAAAGCTCATCTGTGCGCCCGTTGCCGAATCACTTCTCGTCCGAACATGTAAAAGCGACCGATCGGAGGTACCGGGAGAGAGAGGAAGGAGGAAGAAAATGAAGAACGAGATCAGGTGATATGCCCGCGCACACACCACAGTGCGTTGTATCGAAACGACGAAACATGCATGCATTAATTAACACGACTTTTTTAATGGTGGAGGAGATAAAAATATCGATTATATAAGAGATGAACATAATTGCACAATGTAGTTTGGTGAGGCAAGGCAGATTTTAAACTTAATGAAAGAACCTACTTTAATGCTTAATGGCTTTTGTAATTAACATTCTATCCGTAACTCTAATCGTGACTGCTGTACTTGAGAAGTCGACGTGGCTAAAGCTATGCGATACGTACATCGTTGACTATACACCATAACCCAGGGTCCAACGTACTTGATACCTTGCTCGCCCTTCTAAATTTGAAGTCTATCTTACGTAACGTATATCATTGATTAATTATGGAATTTGCCATTTTCTAAGTAAACATGTATACGTCGACTTATATCAAGCTAAGCAGGAAAACACGGGGCTTTCATGTATTTAATTCAGCTGTGAGATTGGAGGTAGGGATAGCGCGCAGACAGGAAATGTGTATATCCAACTTCTTAAAGCATGCATCACTGTAATGCATTGATGTTGGTCGCGATGTGATCGCCTCTACAAATGCATTAGTATGCATTACTCAGACATGATATGATGCTGCTGCTATTTATCCCTTTATCGGTGCCTGTGTTTATCAATAATGTGTATGATATGTTTACATGTTTTGTATCCCCGTTAATTTCATATACCAGCTTTCAATCGTCAATATCTTCCTATGTAACATTTAAAACCATCCAATATCATGAAATGACAGAGGTTGCTAGTGCAAATATTCGCGTCAACTTTCATTCGCATAAAACAGGGAAAGTCTACTTTCAATTTTAACGCGAAACGACTCTCTTGTATGTACACGACATCAGTGCAAACACAGAGATGAGCTTGGTGGAAATATATCAATTTAAAATGCACTTGCCATGATTATAATGCTGCAACACGTGAAATCGGCCGTGTACTTTTCAAAAAGCAGCTCATAAGGGGGATTGACTGAATACAGGACAGCTTCCTGTTCACTGATTCAAAAGTACATTTCAAAGATGTTCCCGTCAGAATATGTAGAGTACTGTTTCGATAACCAATGATGGCTACTGGCACATGATGATACGGCTCAACATTGCGCATGCGCGCTTGTAATATTGCTAATAACCATATACAGCATCGCTATTGTTTTACCAGACCCCTTCGCCCAGAAGTATATATGGTGCAGGCTCTTTTCGCTTACATTGAGAACAAAAGTTGCCGCACGCATCAATCAAACGAAAGTGAGACTTAAAGCGGATACCGTTCATCACTTAGTGGTTTCTAGGTGTTCTTTGTATCTTAAATCTTTTTGTAGGTTTATTTGGATTTTAGTGCAGTTAGCACAAGACGAAAAGCAAATGTACAGTTGAGATGTGGTGCTTTATTATTAAATTACATGCATGGGAATATGGGTGATGAATGATGAATGATGTAAAAGGAGTAGATAAACAAATGCAATAGTTATAGGGCGTGCGGAAAATGCGTAAAGATAGTAAATGTGAGCTTATTTAGCTGTTGAATAACCGTGTGTAGAGTCGATCATGCATGCCTTGACATACATCAAGGAGCGGGTTGGTTTGACAGCAGTCCTCCATTGGGATGTCCGCAGTTTCCTTGACAATGCGTTCGATTGGTTCCCGCGACTGAAACAGAAGCTTCTGAGCTTCGTACGGGCCAATAACGTTCATCCGAACTGCCGATGAATATAGCGTCCGTGTAAAAAGGTATAACCACAAATGGAGGGTATTTTCTGTTGTAATAGCTCCTGGATCAATAAACCTCTCCACCTAAGCAAACCCGTCTCTCCTTCACCTTATAGTATGTCGAATAAAAGTACTTACCAAGATCCACTTTGAGATAACGGCATACAAGACCAAAGCAAATAGGAAAATGACCATCGACCTTTTCTGCACGGATCATTGTCTTGAACCGTTTCATAATGGAGATATCCAAGCCATTGTCATTCTCTGATGTCTCTGTGAAGCACTTGAGATAAAGCGTAACCATCGCAACGCCCTGAGCTAGTGAAGCACGTCGTCCAACCGTGTTGGCCACCATGACAGCATCGCAGACCGCATCGCATTCTTCAAGCCAGTCCAGGGGATCGGCATGGTCGAGTGCTTCAAAACCCGCGCGAACAAAACTGGACGTGTTGCATGCATAGTTGTGGTTGGCACTGGTGACAAACTCGGTCAAGTTGGTCGAGTCGAGTAGACCTGCTTGGTGTGTAGCCTCGAGACCCGACGAGGCCACGAATCCGCCAGTTGGTAATGCTGAATCGGTCAAAATGTATAGCAGCCAGCTGCTGGTTTCATTCGATACAAATGGTATAGTCATGGACAAAAAAGATAAAGTGTTTTATTAAATAAAAGATAAAGAGGAGGAAGGAGAAGAATCCGGGGATTTGGGGAAAAGTGTGGAGGGGGCGCTGGTTATATATAAGGACGAAAATAAACCTATCTTATCTCGTTTCGGGATCTCAGCTCGGGTGGGACATTGAGATATGTATGTGAGAAGAAACAGGGTGATTGCAACCCGTTCTTTTCCCCGTGCTGTGTAATCAATCGTTAGAGTGAAAATAGCATGAATCCAAGCAGCGGCATGGCCTAACAAAAAATAGTGTGCAAAAGAAAAGCAAATCTTGTTACGTACACTCCCTGTCTCACGAGCCCTCCCTTGAATCTCCCAACCGCCGAGGGGGTTCGTCGATGACAACGGATTAAAGTCAGCTGAGATTTGATCAAAGCAGCAGGACCGAGCCCGCAAACGCAACCCTGTTCTCTCTTTTGCAACCAGCATACTTTCTTTTGCTTTAGCCCACCTACAACCCACCCTTTACTCCACCCAAAACATCTTCAACAATAATGAGTCCCAAAGGACAGCTTCATCGTCAACTGTGGTGCATTGCGAACAGTAATTGTCAGCGTCTCGGAAATAACCGTGTCCGGATACTGGTACCCCAGCGCAGCTATCTGTCATTACTGTCAAGGCGATCCTCAGTGCGGCCCGGCATCAAGGCGTTAACGCCATGTCGTTACTCTTATTATACCATGGAGTACGGGTCACAGGACGCTTCGCCACCGCCACCTCCACCACAACAGTCCCCATTCCCACACGACCATTTCGAAGCAGCTCGATTGACAGACCCACGCACGGTATATATTCATTTCGATGCACAAGCTTTCTGAATATATATATTGATATATTTATATGCTCATCCTATATCGTTTATATTTTAATGTCTGTTGCGTTCGGGCTCTCCTTACAAAACTATAAAAAAACAATACTACATAGATTGTCAAACATCTCAACGACTACGTTATCGGTCAAGAACGGGCAAAAAAGATTCTCGCGGTGGCCGTGTTTAATCACTACAATAGAGTGCGAGCCAATCTGGCTCGACAATGGGCAAAACGACAAAGAGAGGCAGTGCCTGTGGATGGGGAAGAACGGCATCATGCAGACCACCATCGGCCTACGCTCCCACAGGACTATTATGCAAGCAGTCCAATACAAGGTGTCGGGGCTGCGGAATTAGTGCCAGCTGAACGTTATGGTACGATAGGCAAAAATTCCCCTCAACCATCACAACACCCACCATATAATCCACGTTTAGGCTCCCAGAGACGGGCGTGGCTCAATCCACCAACCCAAATGGGTGGTATGCGATCTTTGGCAGATTCTGAAAGCAAAGCTTCATCTGCTATTGATACAGACACTGACGTGCAGGACACGACCGTGTATGAGAAGAGTAATGTTTTACTTATCGGCCCGACTGGATCTGGTAATTGATCGACAAAATGGAATGGAAGGGACATTGGCCGGTAGAGTATATCTAATACTTTCGTTTCAAGGCAAAACGCTTCTGGCAAGAACATTGGCCCAGGTATTACAGGTTCCGTTCTCCATGTCGGATGCAACCCCGTTTACGCAGGCAGGCTATGTAGGCGAAGATGTTGAATTGGTTATTCAGCGATTATTACAGGTATACTACAAGCCAGTTCTTTTAGTGGCTGTGTTAGGAAAAACAAATGCTTGTATATGTGTTTTTGACTCGGGATAAAATCTTGCGCGCATCACTTGGATATTATATGTAGTCATGCGATTACGACGTGAAGAAAGCCGAAACGGGTATAGTATTTATCGACGAAATCGACAAGATTGCACGACGATCCGACTCGCTATCGACTTCACGAGACGTGTCTGGTGAAGGTGTACAGCAATCTCTATTACGTATGTTGGAAGGAACTGTGGTGAATGTAACCGACAAGTCGGGCGCTAGCAGTAGTCAAAATCGTCGCGGTGGCATGCCTGGATCGCTTGGAAATGGACAAAATGGCGGCAAGGGCGAAACCTATGCTGTAGACACAAGCAACATTTTGTTTATACTCAGTGGAGCATTTATTGGGTTGGAAAAGACGGTGCAGGATCGTTTGGCGAAAGGAGTAAGTAATTACCCAAAGTGGCATGATTATTCTTGTTGATGAATGTTATTTCTCATGAGACTTGTTTTTAGTCTATTGGTTTTGATGCGACTTTACGTTCACCCTCAGAAGATCGGATAGAGGGACTGGATGGAGGTCATCCACTGTCTCTTGTTGAGCCTTCAGGTAACTTGCTTTTTACCATCGGTCGTCATGGATTATAATCGGAACGTGAAGAACTTTAACCTTTGCATTTATAATAGATCTTGTAAAATATGGTTTGGTAGGTTTTTTTTTTCATTTGCATGTTGAGTAAATGGTATTTTCTTCTAGTAACACTATCTAATAGATACCAGAATTCGTGGGACGCTTACCAGTCCTTGCATCAGTGAACAACTTGTCGGTTGATGATCTTGTCCGTGTCATGACCGAGCCTAAAAATTCGTTGTTGCGGCAATACGAAGGCCTGTTTGATCTTAATCAGGTATACTTTTATTCACTCTTAACTTTGATTTGCATTATATGAATATGATGCATGCATGCTGGTGGTGAGCGCAGACTTAAAAACATTTCAATATATGCATAGGTTGAGTTACATTTCAGTAAAACGGCATTGCAGAACATCGCCGGACAAGCGATAGAGAAAAAGACGGGTGCTCGTGGTTTACGTCGGATCATGGTAAGTCTCAGAGAAAGATTAAAGCAAGGGAGCGCAAGTACAACTGACAATATACGCTTATAGGAAAACATTCTTTTGGATCCCATGTATGATACACCTGGAACAATTATCCGCCATGTAGTGATCGACAGCAAGGTAATCTCCAAGGAAAAGTCAGCCATTTATCTTGATGGCGACAAGAAGCATATGGCGACACAGATTGTTGCTGAGGATGACGATGCACCTATCGATAAGGCAGAGCCCACTGTGCGCCAACAGATGACCCAAGCATAACAGAGAAAAAAGAACAGGCTCTCTGATAGCAGCTGTAGTCGGTCAGTAGATTTCTACACGCATTCTCTCTTTTCATCATCTCCACTTGTATTATACACATTCTTTTTTTTTCTGTGTCTTGTTTATTCCCTCCCCATATCTCACTCTCCTTATATACACTTTTGTTTTCAAATGATTGAGGTTTTTTTATTCGCTCATTTCGCTATCATCATCTGTAATCCTACGCCTTGGTTTGTTGGTGGTTTTAAAGAATAAGGGCTCGTCTTCTTCGTCGTCGTCGTCATCATCAGTTTTGTGAATATTTTCATCATGCTTATCCATTTCAATGCTGCTGCTGCTGTGTTGTTGCAGTTGTTCTCGTGGCTTTTCTGGAATGGGTATGTCATAATCTTCGTCGTTATCGTCATCGTCGCTCATTGCTTGTAGCCCATCAGGTTTCTCTGCTGCATTAGATGGTTTAGATTGTTGTGTTGGTCGTTGTTTGCCTGCGCTGTTTGTTGAAGTACTCGTGTCTGTCGTAGTGGTAGGAGGGGTATCTTCGACATTGGTTCGAACACCAGTCAAGTAATCCAAAAACAGTTCATTATCCTCGTCAGAATCGTCATCCTCCGAGTTGCTATTGTTTTCAACAGGAACGTTGGTTTCTTCGGCAGGTCCAGCCTCTTCCTCATCATCTTCATCATCTAGCAACGAGCCACAGATATGGATACCAATCATCGATGCTTAAGTATAATACAAATATATCATGGCCGCTTGCTTCTGTTATCCTTACCTTGGTTAGATTTGTCTGGATCATTCTCGTTAAGCGCATTCTGTTTTTCGTAGTATTCATCTTGCCATTGGCTTAAAGTATACTGTAATCGCAATATACCAATGTAAATAAATAACCAACAAAAATCCAAAATAAGTATATCTGTTTATACCTTTACTCGTGCCTGCCCTGTCGCCTTCATCACCATACGTGCAAAATCACGAATTTGCAAACGAGGATAAAGACTATGTGCCCACACAGTATAATAATCGATAAGTTTCCTTAAATCATCATCCTATTTTTAATGATAGAAGCAGTTTTTTTTGTGAGTTTTCCTCTCTTTCCGCATATGCAGGTGAAAACGATTCGAAAAATCTACCTCGAAGCCTTTGCCTTGAAACTTTAACCAAGGTGTTTCATGGCGTAATCGTGGTAAGCCCTTTGCATCTAATAGACTATACACCTCACAATCAGTTTCCTTTCCTTGTTAAGGCACAGCTGGCAATTGTAATAGCATTTACTAAGGTCTTACAGATCGGCATCGAGCTTTTTGAATTTTCTGCGTTTCGACGTACTGGGTCCATCATCATTAGATCGTTTGCCTGTTGTTGCTGCTAATGGATCAAATGTCGTGTCCTTTTCTTTTGGATCGTTGTTTGATTTGTCGTCCGTTTTAGAAAAGGGATCATAGTCGTCGAGAAGCAATGCGTCAAGTTCGTCAATATCCATTTTTCGTGGGTATGTGTGTGTGTGCAGAGAAGGGGAAACAGAAGAAAACGCGTCGCGCTACTGAAACAAATTCCGAAAAGAGAAAAGGGACATTTCGAGACGCGTCAAAATCAACTAAAGAAGGCAGACGCGTTCGTGTTGTGCTTTTTTATTTATTCAATAAGCAAATAAATGTATTACAGAAAATGTATTAAGTTAGAGAGTAGAAGGACATAGTATTATTACAGAAGTATTATTGTCACAAGATATTAAATACGATAGAAAATAAAAATAGGAACGAAGATATGTATAATGAAATAAAATATACTAACTATTTTTTCTGAAATATAACGTTCATTTCTTCAAGTGAGCGTCCAGCAGTCTATAATAACACATAAAGACATGTAGCGTAAGTGTGATTCGTCTTCATTAGGCATTACCTCAAGTCTCCATGAACAAATATCAGATTAACTTCTTACCTCTGGCACAAAGAAGAAAACAAGGACCCAGAATATCAATGAAATACCAGCATAAAACCAGAATGTGCCTGCCGCTGTCATGGCGTTAATCATTGAAAGATATGTGATGGAGATGACGAGGTTGCAGATCCAGTTGACACCCGTCGCAACACCGGTACCCTTGCCACGCAAAGCAATAGGGAAGATTTCACTTTGCATCACCCAACTAATATGGATTGAAAAAAAAGTTATTATTATCTAGTTCTCCTTGAAACAAATAAACGAGAGAGAGAAACTTACGGCGCATAGCCAAGGCCCAATGCATAGCCGGCGACGTAAACAATCAAGAATGCGAGTAAGACACCTGTGATAGCCGTATCGTTGCTCTTTGGAGGACAGCCCGTTGAGCTCTGATACAAGTCGGTTGTTCCCAAAACATCCAACGGCATGCACTGATCCTGAGAAATGGACCACCCACACCTGTCATCATTGATGCAACGGGCACAATGCGTTGTGTAGCCCGAGCACAAATCCTGCTTAGTGATGAATCCTTGCTGTGCTGCAAACGTAGCACCCAGTGCGATTAGACCGGCTATCATAATCAGCATGGTCACCACGAGCAGGCGACGACGTCCGACTTTGTCAATCATGGTGATGGCGACTGCAGTAAACACCATGTTGGTTGCTGATACAATGATGGCTACTGTTGTCGAGTTTTGGTGGTCACGGAAGCCAGCCATGCGTAGAATAGTTGCTGCATAATACATGGCTGTGTTGAAGCCCGATAACTGTTGTGCTGCTTGAAGGATGCATGCTATGTAGATGATGATTGAACGATATGTTCTAGCCTAAGTTTCTGTAAATCTCTTTTTCTTTGATCTATCGTCTGACATACCAATGATCAATGGGTGATAGTTTTCGCGCTTTTTGAAATCCTTGTATGTGGACGAGCGGGATATTGCAACTTCGTCTGCGATTGAGCTGATTTCACGATCCAGGAAGCTGTCTGAAACTGAATTACCATAGATACGACGAAGCGAAGCTTTTGCCTGATCGGCTTTACCAACAGCGACTAATCGACGAGGGGATTCGGGAAGGAATGGCATGACTATAAGAAGTATACGAAGATACTGATGAGTTTATGATCAATGCTGTACTTACAGTTTTTCGTCGTTTTCTAATAAACACATACCGACAAGCTGGATAAGTGCTGGAATACCAGCCAAACCAAACATGTAGCGCCATCCATCATGCACATTGGCAAAAGCAATATTGATCACGTAGGCAATTACCTGCCCAAAAGTCACGACCAATGTATTCAAGGTGGTTAGGCGACCACGGATTTGCCTTGGCGATACCTCGCCTTAAAGGAAAAGGAAGAAGAATGACATTAACCAACCATCTCCGCAACCCCAAGGAACCGAAAGACTTACTGATATATACAGGGACCAACATGGATGACATGCCGACGCCGACACCTACAACCAAACGACCGAAAAGCAAAACGCCATACGACCGGGGCAAAGCGAGCAGTAAGGCACCGGCTATAAAGACAAGACAAGAAATCATGATCAATGGCTGAATAATTCAACCACTGTGAGTGAGTACAAAAATTTTCTGTTGAAGAAAAAAAAATCTCACGTGTCTATCCAATCCGTTTGGTTTTTACCTTTCTTCCAAATCGGTCGGATAACTAGTTTCAGTCAAATCAGAGCAAAGTACGAATAGTGTGAGCTCGCGTGATAAGAAATATGCATTAAATCATTTGGACCGTAATAACAAACAAATGTAATTTACTTACCAGACCAGTGAAGAAGCCGCCAAAAATAGCACCAAAGGTCGTTCCTCCGACAACCAACTCCTTATCGACATCGTCCATATGGAAATCATTCTGCAGTGGCTGGAGTGCGCCAGAAATAACTAGTTGTGCCAGGTAGCAGATGCATTATCAGCGTAGGTTCAAAAGTGACCACTAGCAAGTTACTGTAAGTATTATCATAGATTATAGGCTTACCGCCGGTATCATAGCCAAAGAGGAAGCCGCCTACACAAATACAAGTGACAAGGATATAGGTGTACAATGAAGCAGTGCCAACCTGCTCAATGTCGTTGTCATGGGAATCAAAACTTTCGCTCGTAGTAAGATTTGAAGTCAATGTCCGTTGCTTGTTGTCTCGATCGTCTTTTGACTCGGACTCCATGATGACACCTCTCCCTTTTGTTGGTAAGTCAGAAAACCACTCAAATAATTTCCCTCTTCCTCCCAGTGACGGTCCTTTATATATGCCGGGATTATCTCTCTGGTCTGTGTGAGACCTTCGGTGGATGTTTCCGGAAATTCAACAGCAGCTTACCAAGAGGAAGTACGCAGTAAGGCTCAACCCCTACCATCCGTCGTTTCCTGCCTGTCCGTCACGGTTGTATGTCTTCCTTTTTCACACGTCAACGCTTTGATCAAAGCACTACTGCTACGTTTCTCCTCGGTCAATTTGAAATGTCCGTGCGCTAAGTTGAAAATGGATATGGCCATTTGATCCGCCCCATATGAAAACAACAAGCAGAAGACGAAAAAATGTCAATTCTTGTTTTCTCGTAGTACAACCTTAATATAATTTCCCTCACACAAAATCCACAGTTCGGGCAAAGCGACAATCCAATACCATGGTTTCCTATAGCAAACAATAGGATTATTTTCGAGTCCAAGAAAAGTATATATATTATATTATATTATATTTTTTGTTATTGTTGAGCTTATACAAAAAAAGAGGATGTTGTTACAAAATTGCTACAGGTTAAAGTGGCACAGTTGGAGTAGTAAAGAATGTTGAACAGCAAAGAGAGCAATACAAAAGGGTGTTACAAAATTGAGCGAGAAAAGAGTGATCTATCATATACATTGTATCGTGTATGTAAAGTGTGTATGTGTGAAGATGTGTGTGTGTGTGTGTGTGTGTGTGTGAGAGCAACAGCTGTTGCCTTTGTTTTAGCGTCTTCCGGTTCTCTTCCAATAGCAAAGGCCAAGGAACGCCATCACGTTGAACGCAAAGAAGGCGACAATAATACCCAGATCTCTCCACTTGTTGGCTGCGTTCCATCCAAAAGTCAGTTCATAGTACTCTGCGCCAGATTTGAATGTGCAGTAGTTGCAAACATCGGTTGCGTTTGGGTTATCCACATAGCCAGGTGCTTCCATAGCAAAGTAGTTTGAGAGGTACTGCTCACAAGTCTGGCCGGGTGGCGGTGTAAACTTGACAAAGTCGAGATCGTTACACACGACCGGCAGATGCTCCATTTCGTTGACCGCCAGACCTTCAATGTAATAATGGAAAGGGTTAAGCCAGTACATCCAGGCACTCCAAAACCGTGGCATGGCACTCTCCGTTTGCATCAGACCAGCGAAGAGAATAAGCATCGAAATGACCAGCGGGTTGATCACGGCTGCCATGGTCGGAATCTCGGCAATGGATGCGATCAAGAAACCCAGGGTGACCGCCCAGAATACAAAGATAATCAGCATGAGATAAAAGTAGCCGCACGCTTCAGGGGTGTTCACTAAACCAACAGTCCAATAGACGCCACACATGAAAAATGCACTGAGCACCAAAATGTATGGGATTTCCACGAGAACCGAAGTAAAGGCAAACGGCATCCAGCCATAGAAACGCGAGGCGTATTCGCGTCTGAAGTAGAGTCTTTCAGTCATGAACTTGGGTTGAGCAAGAATGATCTAGAAGAAAAAAAAGCAAGCAGAGCATGTCAGAGAAGAGACAAACAAATGTGGTAGGAGCCACTAGTACTTTGAGACAACTTACCAAAATGTTAGCCATGATGAAGGTTCCGAACAAAACGAACAAACGGTTCTGCATGTCGGATGATGTGAGAGTGATCTTCCAGTATGTAAAGCCATTGAGCAGGGCAGTGAACATCAAAGTAATGAATCGGCCGATGTTGTAGTCAGGTGAGCGCCAGTAGACAAGCATCATACGCTTGTGTACCAGATGAAACTGGTACCAGAATCCGGTAGCGTAAGTTAGCGCCGTTCGGTTTGGTGATTGATTAGCTGTTTGGTGGATGTTTTCGAGTTCGTCTTCAAGTGCTTGGGCTTCAGCAGACTTGGCCCAGATATCAGCCCAGTCGCGCTTTGCCTTGCCAGCAGTACCAGCACCAACAACTTCCAAAATGTATTCCGCAGGATTGGCATTAGGAGAACAGATAGGTCCACCGTTGGATTCAAAGTAGTCAATCATGGTACGGGCATCCTCGCCAATTTCACCATAGTAAGCAGTGCGTCCACCACGGACCAAAAGCAACAAGTGATCAAAGTGCTCGAACAGAATGGCAGAGGGTTGATGGATGGTACACAAGACGGGCCAGCCGGCATCGGCCAACTTGCGGATGAAACGGACGATGTTGTAAGAGCTTTGGGCGTCCAGACCGGAAGTAGGTTCGTCCAAGAAAAGCAGCTTAGGCTTGGCGACAAGTTCCATACCAATCGTAAGTCGCTTGCGTTCTTCAACTGAGATACCAATACCGTGGCTAACGTCACCAATCTGAGCATCAGAAATATCCTCCATCTCCAAAAGCGTGATGATTTGTTCAACATATGTGTCCTTTTCAGATTGAGGTACATCGGCGTCTTGACGTAAGTAAGCAGAGAAGCGCAAGGCCTCACGCACAGTGACGGCTGGCTGATGAATGTCCATTTGCTCACAATAACCAGTGATACGCTCGAAATCAGACATCAGCGCTTCGTTGTTGAGATAGACACGACCGTCGACCTTGCCAATGGTTTTTCGCTTGGCTAATACATCGAGAAGAGTTGTTTTACCCGCACCAGAAGAACCCATGAGAGCAGTCAAATGGCCGGGTCGGACAATGCCAGAGATGTCGTTGAGGAGCTGCAAAGGTCCGCCTTTGAATGGAACTTCGTAGCTTATATGATGCCATGAGAAAGTCGTGCCTGTGGCGATTGTATCCATCTTTTCAGTGACTTCCACCTGTTTCTGTCGTCGTTCTTCTTCTTCCTTGGTCGTGCGAGGTTTTGGGGCTTTGCCAGGGACATAAACTTTAGTTAGAGCACCGCCCTTGTTTGTTGAAATGTATTCCATGGCCAATGCGGTCATAGCAGTAAAGAGCAAGAAGAAACCGACACACGCAACGAAATCGGGTGCCCAAAGGTGGTTGGGCTCGTAGCTGAGTGCTTGGCGAAGATAATCGTCACCCCGTACAAAGTTTTCGCCAGAATTACCGCCCTTCATGGTACAGACCTTGTGTGCCCAGTCATCGTAACCAGGACCGAAGGGTACGGCATTGCCTTGACCCTCACACGAGTAAATTTGGCCTTCCATTTCGTTCACTAGCAGAGCCTTGTAGCCATAAGCTAGCGGATTAATCCAGTAGATCCTATTATTCAAATAATGTTTGTATCAGTAACAATAGTCATGCTACTATCATAGTTCATTGTTTTGGAAGCTATTATACGATTCTTACCAGAATAACCATGGATGCATAAAGTTGTATGGAATTACATAACCGGTGTAAATGACACACGAGATAAGCAATACACCAGAAAGCTGTGTTGCAAAGAAAAAACTTGTAGTAATCGCACCAAAGAATCTAAACATAGTGCATGTATTGTTAGTTTAATGACAGAGCTTTAGTACATACTCATTGTTGTCCTTAAATGCTTTATAAGTACCTGAAAAATCCATTCATCATCATGTTGATAAAGAATAGAATGATGAAGTAGGTAAAGAATCGACCAGCGGTAAGATTCAGACCCATCATAAAGTACGAACAGATTTCAAACAAGAGCACTACAATGCAATAGCATGTTAGGATAAACCTCACGACAAGTGATTAAAGATGTAATGAGAAACTTACCTTGAACGACAGCATATGGAATATCCATAATCACTTGAGCGATATAGAATGCCGATGGACGATACATAGCAAAATGTTTGTGCTTCTCAAGGATCGGACGGCCCGTCAAGAAATTGACAAGCTCGGATTGTGAGATGAAAGAGTTGAACAGAACAGCAAACAGCAAAGCACCACTGCGGGAAAAGGCGCCGGTGCCAGTTAAAGGGATATTAAAGAAACAGGAGGCGGTGATGAGACCTTGGATCAAGATGGAGCCATATCGAGAAATGAGAGCTTGATAATCCTTGATCAACAGATGGTATTGGCGAATAGTGAGTGCTTTGACTTGCTGATAGAATGATGCGGTGTAAGGATGTTTGGCAGGGGCTCGTTTTTGATGCTCTTCGCGCACGGCTTCCTTGAACAGTTCGGCGGGATTCTCGAGATTAATTTTTTCCTCGTATTCTTGGAGTTCTGCTACCATGCTCTTGTAGATGTCGGATTCATAGTAGCGGTCTTGAAAATCTGGCGCGTGCTGTGGGACAGTGTCATCAAATCCTGGTTTGATCTCACGTTCAAGTGGGTTACATAAACCGGTGAGGAAATCAGGCACACTCTTGCGGGGTGGGCAGTGGAAGCCAAGATTTTCAAAGTATGCCTTGGCCTTACCAACAGGGCCAAAATATATACAGTAGCCATCGTCTAATAGCAGGACCTTGTCGAATAAGTTGAAGATGCTGTTGGAAGCCTGGTACAGTGTAGCAATGGTCGTCTTGTTGAACACGTCAGTCATGATACGGAGAGAGCGGACATAATCGAGGGCAGAAGCAGCATCAAGACCACGGGTGGAGCAATCCCAGCAGTTGATCGAACTCTGAGTAGTCATGACCTCGGCAATAGATAGACGCTTGCGTTCACCACCAGAAAGACCACGTACAAAAGCATTGCCAACGAGAGTGTTCATTTGCTTGGTGAGGCCCAACATATTTCCGAGAAGATAAATGATTTTGTTGACAAAGTCTTTTTGTGTTTCATCAGGAAGACGGTTGCCAGGCGTTTTGGTGCGCAGTGCAAACTGGAGTGTTTGCTTCAAAGTAAGTCTATATGCGTGCAATTTGCATCTAGTGAGTAATGTTGCTCAATTGGCTTTGATTTATATATAAAGAAAGTCAGTGACACTTTACGTTGGATAGTGCTGATCTTCTTCTTCGTTGTAGACGACTTGGCCACGATACTGCTGGGCGAATGTGTGTGGATCAATGCCCCCGTAGCTGACTTCGCCTTCAATTTTGGTGTATGAGGCACGCATATTGGCCAAGATCTTGAGCAACGTGGTACACCCGGCTCCAGGTCGGCCCAGGACTAGAAGCATTTCCCCGTCTTTACAAAAACCAGTCAAGCCACGCAAAATCGTTTTTTTGCTGCCGCCCATCCCGATTCCGAAATATCTCCATGGCCGAAGTACCTTGGTCAAATCGCTGAGTACGGTGGGAATCGTGTGAGCATCTGCACCCAAGCCCTATCATCGATTAATGATTTTACTTTGTTTAGCAGGCGCACACGCAGTGGTACAAAGCAGAAAGTGGTGCTATATATGGTGATCTGTGTATGATTTTGAGTTCATACCTCGACTGTCAAATGTTTCCACACAATTCCGAGATGTTTGGGTGTCGTTCCCGCTTGTTGATTTTCATGAGACATGCCGTGCAAAAACTCATCCAAGTTGAACTCCTCCTGAGCAGCAATGCCTTCTTCGAGTTTGCCTTCGTGTGTCGTGGATTGGCGGCTGATCCGAGATAGTTCCTTTTTCAACTCATTGTACTCTTCGATGGCCGCTAATATTCCAATTTGCGTTTCAGATCAGAAAAACTGAACCTCAATTCTAGCGTGAAGCATGTAAAGAAGCAAAGTGGACTCTCACCTTCAACGTCGACAGCATTTGCAGTAGGCTCGCCGTACGTGCCGTTGCGTCCGGCAGAGTCAGCAATGGTGTCAACCGAATCCGCAACAGACGGTGGTGCAGCAGATCCAAGATCTTTCACCATAATGGGTGTAGTGCTGTAAGTGGTAGTAGCGGGAGGAGAGGAATAAAAAAAGGGGTGCGAAGGAAGTAAAGAAAGGTGGAGAGTGAAATGAACCTGGAAGGAAACAGATCGCTGTATTTATACTCATTTCCGGTTCTGTTTCCAGTATATTCACGCTGTTCTAACAGTCGCGTATTGTTTGGTTAGATCAGATTTGTACCGTAGCCTCCTTTGTCAATTAGGTAACGCATTTTCTTTGTTCATGTAAATTGCTGTCTACAACCTTTTTATTATGCCGATCCTTGTAACCATCGTCAGCGCCATCATCATTAGTAGCAGAAGAAATGGCGTTTGGTCATTATCGGTGGACAGATCGAACGACAATAGCGAAAAGCGCCCTTGCTTATTGCTTCAAATGTCGTGTTCGGAAACAATTCTCTGATCTGCGATCGCGGAGATGACAATTGTCTTGCTGGTAAAATGCACACTCCAAAAAAGTTCAATTCGGAAAAACAGTACGCCCGCAACCGCATGGTCTGCGTGACATGAAAGAATTTATTTTTTGCTGCGGCAACGCTTCGTTCTACACTAAATAAAGCCGAGCCATTGGGGCAAACATGGCGCAGTAGGCTTGAATGGGATGGAAACCCGCAGCAATCTTGTCTCCCAGCCAATGGCAACAGCACTCTGACTGCAACGCGTAACGATAAGATTTCCCTTCATGTTTGATTCGTATACGCGTGCCCACTAGCTACAGAATAGACATCGGAAGAGACACTCCGTGTGTACAGCAACAACAAAAGGTTATCTTGCTTTTCTTTTTGGGGATAATAATGATATGCTTACATCGTCCCCCCTTGAATGATCCGCATAGCGTTGTAACCCTCCGACGTTATATCTAGTTGTTGCTCATACACAAATCAACTTCGCCTCTACCCCTTAAAAATTGTACACAACGGAAGGCAGAATTATAAAATATCGGCATGCAGGGGGTGACAAACTTTGATAAACCATGTGGTTTACACGGACTTCTCAAAAGGAGGTTGCTGATACTATAATTTTTTTTAAAACTGTTCAACTGCCAACTGCTAAACAAATGCTTACTTGCTAGCACATGTATAGTGTAGTATCTTTGACCGCCTATATTACGTGCTTAATGATTACTACAGTAATATCTTGTCCATTGTGTGGATCTTTGAAAAAAAAACCTAAATCAGATTATTGTTTAACGGCAACTAAATAGGCCCGAGCCGAGGAAGTAGCTATTATTGTTTATCTCTCGCCCGCAACATGTGACATTATACATTGATTTTGCCGAGGCAGAAGACCTTGTCGCTTATCCCGTAAACATAGTCATACCGACGACATTTGCAGTAGTATAACAATAGAGAACTATATGAATACGTGTCGATATATAAAAATGGACACCCATTCAACAATAAGCTTACCGCATCAGGTCGTGACTCACTTTCTCTGCTTTGCCCACTAACCGTAGACTAAAAAATTGGCGTGGGACTCTTTTAAAAGTGAAGCTATCGCTAGCACCGCCATATGAACCAGCCCTATGTTGTGATTGTATTGAAAAATAATGTAGTTGACTTAGAATCATTGGAAGGGATCTATCCATCCCAATAAATTTTAAGTACAACGTAGGATACATTCATCGATTGATTAACCAAGACATTCCTCTTATCGTACCTGGAGAAAACACATAACCTGATACTCTGCAGATACAAAAGTGCTAAAAATTGTTTCGTCACCTCACTGAACCCCTTTTTTTCTGCTGTATGATAGATCGTCATCGGCTTAACCTTCGCCGAAAAATTTCACCGAGGACTATTTACACTTGTGGACAATAGAAGAGAGAGAACTCTTGCATCCTGCACCAGGAGTACACGTAACGTAGTTACTATTTAAATACCTCCTAGAGCTGTCTGCAGCTCGCGATATAATTTTTTTGTACGACATGATCGTGATGTTTTCTCTCGCCAGCATATGGGTGTTCCTTATTTGGTCAAAAGATTTCGGTCTTGGCTGTGCGAGCTTCGACTAACAGAGGTATGCAACATTGTTAAACGGAACCATTGGTCACTCTTCTCTTTTTCTTCTGTTCAAGCTGCGGATGTATGCATGGGATAGAGCTACAGGAATGGCTGTGACTCTGCCGCTGCGGGTGTATTAACTAGACGACATAATCTCTGTATCATTGAAAAGGTGAGGTCAGACCCTTTACTCAGCCTCGTATGTACACTGCTGTAGTGAAAATAAACACAGGGGCCAGGTTCTTTAAAATATGCACAAGGGTGTCTTACAACGGATGATGTCAATACCAGCATACCTTTATAAAGTACCTTCTTTTCTTTGTAACTAGGTTAGCGAGTGTTTTCTCGGTACGGTCCATCAAAATCTAGATTCTGCAATTTTTTTTTTATTTGTCGTTGTCCATTCGTGATTTTATTGTCTATAAAATTTCTGGTTCGTGGCCAAGCAGCGCGTGTAGTGCATCTGTGGTAGTTTCCATAACCTTTGATAAATGTGTCAGATCATAAGCCATGTGATGAAGTAACCCTAAATTTACCATAGCTTTTTCAGGTGACTCTTGCTTGTATTTAGTTGTTTGTCGAAGCACCTTCGAGAACACGGAGGCATGTTCGGCTGAAGAGATAGCGTATGAAAATACTTCATATACTGTATCTTCCCCGTGTTTTTCTACCGGTTCTTGTAATCTTTTTGCGGCCAGAAACGAATGTCATTCGTATAGGCAAAGCCTTGTTTTACATCGGTCCTACTGAAGCGCCAAAATAATTGCGAATTTTGATTGTCTCGAGCTCTTCCCAGATGTGGTTCGTCATGAACTTTGCAGGTCGCAAGGGCGACAAAAGCTTGACCTGGTCCGGCGCGATCAAGAATGATATTTTTTAATGCTGCGTGTGTGGATCCCGCCATTCAAGTGATACAGCCTGTGAAGAAATGTCGATAATTTGCTTGTCGCCCGCTTCTTTAGCGAATCGGGCAAACTCGGTTTTCAGATGGATCATACTGCTATAGTCGACAGCCAAAAGGAGCAGTCGTGAATGACCTAGGACCGATCGTATAAAGGGCTCCTTATCATCGCAGTCGCCTTGCACTACGTCGAGAAGAGATGTGTTGTCATGATTGACGAGATGTTGCTTAGTAACCCTCACTGGAGAACGGACATAGACGGTTGTGGGCATGCCGTTTTGTAGCAACCGCATTTCGACCAATGTTACCTTTACCACCAATGACATATACTTTTTCTTCTTGAGGCGTTATTTTAATGGTTGGTACGTCTGATAAATCTTAAGCTGTTATACAGTATATATACATACATCAAGTAGATTCCACTGCTTATTACCAATCCAAGAATGTGTCATATGATTTAGTAAGCTAAGCATATTTGACGTGTACACTTCCATTTGAAGAATGAACTGATGTTTGTACCACAATAACCCACAAGTACAACAACTTATTGAAACAATTTGCTACAAATTCGTTTGATAGATCCTAGATCATGCGGTCATACTTTTATTGAATACCGTGTACCGCAATTGATGGATGCCACTACACTCGCTCCAATTATGTACAGTACTGTAAACAAGTAGGCTAATCTATAATACAGTAACTGTACATTACCTATGTATTACTTTTTAAATATTATAGATATACTCAAGACGCGGCATGATCGATACAACTTGATATAATCGCAAACGTGAAGCCAATGATGCTGTATACGTTACTGTCGACGAAGACGGATGAGTGACAGATCATACGACTTCTAGTGTTATGAAACATGAACTAATAATGAACGACTCTTACAGTAGGAGATGTAGCAGCGGTTTTTATTTATTACAATTGCAAGAGATAAGCATAGTTGAAAATACTGATAGTATAAGGAAGGCTAGTTGACCTGCGCCTTGCTGAGCATGCGGTCGCTTTCTTCCGGTACTAGTGTTTTAAGGGTATGATACAGAAACTAAAGAGGTAACTGTAGGTAAATATTCAAAATAACTATATAACACATCTGTGGTAGGGTGATCGATGAGAGTATATACTACTAATGCCTGATATGATTCTGGTGACGAATGCCCAGGGCACGGCGATATTAAGCACCTAATTTCTGCCACCGTTGATGCTGTACTTTCAAAATATGAGCCTCGTACAAGAATGACTCAGTAGCAGCAAGCATACAGACCGTGTCGCTCATGACAACAGATTTAGCAACCTACTGTCTGAACCTTCTTTTGTCTGGTAGTATCCGTCACCGATTTCAAGACAGCCAAGCTCCTTGCCTCCCGACGAGGAAACCTTAATCATATTTCTGTTCCACGGCATCGATAGCAGAAAGGAGACGCTTTGCATTTTTGGTAGGACATTTTCGGTACTTTTGCTAATTCGTACTAGTAAAAACAAAGTGATACTTTTACTGACTTACCGTCAGCTTTGGTATTTGAATCTTTTTATGGTACGGCCGTGTTACAAAACTAAATTCACTTGTTTAATTGATCAGCCTCAAACTGGCGTTCTGCCTCAAATGTGCCGTTTTCGAGAGGTCCCGTTCAATGTTTTAGAGCTCGATCGAGATCCAGACTTTCAAGGGTTCCTTCAGCAGATCCTTATCAATTCAGCGCATATTTGTAGCATCTACCAGTGTCGACTATGCAAAGAATACTTATTCAAATTGCATGCATATAACGATCGCCGTCTCGATTTTTTTTTTCATTCTTTTTACTAGCTTTGACACCTTAGCCACTAGTGCTTCTATCTCTTTCGGTAGATCTGGAAGTAGCTTTCTGCCCTCTCCGGCGATCTCTTTAAATTGTTTAATCGCTATACTCGCTTGCTTCCAGCTCTTAAAAAATTCAATCTTTGGTTTCTTGCAGGACTATCTAGCAAACACGTAATGAGAATCATGTACATCTAATATTCTGTATTCAATATCTCTAGCTACTGATAATAGTCGCTGCTGAGGGCAAAGCTTGTTATTTTATCCTCAGAAGAAAACGATAACATTCCCATGTTCTTCAGCAGCCTCTTTGGAAGCTGGCATAGTTCAAAAATAGCTTTTCTTGATCATCTGTATCAAATGAGCTACCCCATGGCGCTCGGTGCCATTCAACATTTTGGTTGTCTCACGGGAAGCCTACCGCAAATCTCCCTTCAAAACCGAAAATCCTGGTTACTTGCGCAAGCTTATTCGCCTAAATATGGTTCTAGGGCACGTACGCTGTGCTAACTGATTGTTGTTATTGCTACTTGGTTTTTAAACATTTGATTGCATTACTGTATAACAGATGATATGCTATTAGAGACAGCATTAATGAAGGATCGCTTATGCGCCAAAATGAGGTAAGACGCTATTTAAATGCTCAAAGGACCGAGGAAGAATGTATGTATCCATAATCATTACCGGTAATTTCAGTCCCCCATTAATCAATAATGCTCATAAGACACGAATGAATAGCGCTTCTAGAGAAGAATTTGTGGGTGATGCAGGAAAGGACATGGACGAGGTAAGGAAAAACGAAGTTGCATACGTAGATTTACCGGTATAATCTCTTTGGTACATAACAGTGAAATGTTTACTGGTCGCATTTCACTGCTCTGAATAAACGTACATGAGGATCGTGGAGCAAGAGCAGTACAATCTTTTCGAAGTACTGGCGGAGCTCTACAAGTACCTAGCATATAATAAGATATTGGAGGATCGCTTGCAGGCCCTTGTCGTTATCCTTAGAAACAACTTTGCTGATAAACAATCCTGCGTGGCGCGACACGTAACCGTCTCAACAGCGGTCCGCCATGGGCAAGACTGTACAAGTAGTGGTTTCAATATGCATAAAATGTCCCTGCTGATGAGCTGACTAAATGGACGTTGAGAAAAATCAAGGGGAGGTTGAATGAGGATGATGCCGTATACAGTTAAAAAGAGCTCAATATTGTTGCAAACATTGTAGGATCGTGTTGCGGGGATCCCACAGCCAAGGATTTACCAAGAGAAGAGCAGTTCCAAAAAGTTGCAAATTATACAGCAGCAAATAGTACCTTGAGCGTTGCTGGTATGATACTAATTTTCGAAATTAACACGATTCCAGCAAGGTATGCCCGAATAATATCCACTCGTACAGGGTAAAGGGTGCTACACGTGGCGCAAAGCAACACTGGTCTTAGCTCAATGTAGCTAAAAATAATATGATCGGTTTAGCAAAACACCAGTTTAACACCGATATTTTAACAAGCGGCACAGTATGTCACATAGCAACCTACTATCTATACGGCGACCCAGCATGATTTATCAAGTAGACGGCTGGATTATGAGTGTGTGCAGTGGAGTCTACTTGTAGGCTCACATCTGAGCCTCCCCTCCCCCGATTTTTACTAATGAATATAAAAGATTCAATCGTCATCCCGCTACTTATAGCAGATTTTTTCATGTTCCTTTACATCAACCTTCTTAAACCACGACAATGTAGCTGAGCAGTAGATAATACATACACATTATATATATATATATATATGATTTCTTTTAGAGGTGTAAGGCTGAGACTGTATACAAGGGCGGAATAGAGAGAGGGGTGGATCAAGGAGGAATTACACAAAAAACAGTTATCTAAACAGGGACAGGCAAAGAATAAGAGGCAAGCAGCTCTGTGTCCTTAGAAATATCTTTCAGGGCAACCACCGAAATGTCATGGTTATCGCCGAAGACGACCTTGACGTTGGGCTCTGCTTCGGACTGACCAATGTAAGTGGAGATTTTGTAAAGGGCGGCCCCGACAGGCTTCTTGTCGTTAGATGTCTTGCGCATGTGCTCGCTCGATTCCTGTTCATTCACAAGGTTAGACACGATACTTCTCTTTTTTTTTCGGGAAGCCTATAAACACAAACGAAGAAGACTTACTGATACAACCACGTCTTCACCGATGTTAACACCATATGCGTTGAAGAGCATTTTGCCCTTGAGCATCAAATAAATTTCATCAGTCAAGAACTCGTTGATACCCTGGACCTTGGTACCCAACATTTCCTTCAGCATCTCAATTTCACGTTTTGTGTTTTCGGTGGCAGAGGTATCGAGGTAGCGGAAACGGTCGATGTGATCCCACGAGTTAAAGGTGCTGTCCGACGACTGGCCGTTACGAGTGCGCTCCATCTCTTCAGCAACCATGGTGCTCAAAAATTTCGCAATCATGCTCGAGTACTTGACGTTGTTCTCCTTTGTGTATTCGAAAAAGGCCAACTCCTTGTTAGAGACATCAGCCTCTCCTTCTTGGGGCTTGTTGTTGGTGCAGAGGTAGCGATGGTAGTTTTCGGTGGCGACCTTTTCACACTCTGCACTGCAGAATGCAACCTTGTCGCAGTTGGAACATGTCACCTTATCTTCGGGCACCTTTCTCAAACAGTAGTTGCAGTATTCACCCTAGAGATAAAAACAATAGGGTTCCAGCATATTGCACGGTTCCCCTTTTTCTCTCAGCACATACATTCTTGTAATGATACGATTCCATAGCTATCAAATCAAAATTGCCCTTTGACTATACCTCAAGAGCAGGGTGTAAGCCAGAGACCAGGGGTGTCTCAGTATAAATAGTCTGACCATCCTTCAAATCCTCGTTTGCCACCAATCCACGGCGGACAATAGGCTTGTGCTCGGGAGTCTCGCCAGCAGGAAGCTCACCCAGGCGAACATGCGTCTCCTTCGGCGGGAACTCCTCATAGAACTTGGCCTGACGTTTGTTTTGCTTTGTATTGATTTTTGACACAGCCCTGTGTTAGCAACGGAATGCATGAATACGCCTCGACCCTTCACAAATTACCTCTAGTGCCATCAGCTGGACAACTGTCTGGAACACAGGCTCGGGCACGGTCTTTTGATAGATCATGATAAGTTCCAAAGGAGCGGGGTAGACCTTCAATGCCTTGAAGAATGGCAACACTGCATCGTTATAGTATGCCTCGCCTTTTATGACAGAACATCCTTTTAGCTTGTATCCCACCCTTTCTTCTCTGGTTGCAGAAAATGTTGGAATTTAATAAAACCATGCTTTTACCTGCATTGCAAAGCTGCTCGCCAGCAGCCACTTGAGTCATAAAGTACTTTTCCTTTTCCTCAGCGGTTGCTGGCAGAGTCTCCTTTGCCACGGCGTCCAATACATAGTCAATAAGCTTGAGCTTCCCTTGCTTGGCTTCGTCCTCGGCAGCCTTGGCGGCCTTCTTGACCTTCTTGCGCTCGCGCTCTTCGTTAGTGTTTAACCAGTTAGCCTTCAATGTCTCCTTTTTTGTTGACCGTTGAATAACGCGTTTTTTTTTCTGCAGACTCACTCATTTGCTTTCTCACTTCGGGATCGTTTCGTCGCTTATGATCAAAATAAACGGCATAGCCCAGGGTGGCAGCTACTACAGCGCCAGCGGTTGCGAGAGCAAAAGTTTTGGGCTTCATGCCAAGAATCAAAGACGATTGAGAGCTCGAATTGTCAGCCATGGTCTGCGTCTCAGTAGGACGGAAAAAGAAAGAGGTGAAAGGGAGAGCGGCTTGAATTGCCGTACCCCGTCCCAAAGGCAAGGGATTCGTGACAGCATTGTCTTCTCAGTGCGGCTTTTCACACTAACTTTTGGCGCTAAAATCTTAATTTTAAAGACCGTTGAATCCTTTTTCGCATGTGGCGGGCCTTTCTTTTATTAAGCTTTTCTTTTATGTGCTATTGCTATTGTTCAATGATTATAAGGGATGCGAAAGTAACTACACGACGGAAGCAAATCCCACGCGATAATCATCCATGTCGAACACCGTGTACAGAGAGCGCAATGCACCTTCACCTAGATAATAGAATCCTGCAAATACAAATTCCTAATCTTCTGTCGCAGTAGTGGACAAAGGAGCGATACTAAAGGCGCATGTCTCTGCTTCTGCGGCATTGTGAGCGTCCAATGGAATCACGAGTTGATGGATAGGGACAGCCAGACTGAACATATACGACTCAGTAAATTCAGAAATGCTGAGCTGGATGTGGTCGTTGGCGCCTTGGTCCTTCTTTTCCGTAGCATAGTCGCAGTCAATACGATGCGCACCGGCAGTGAAAAGGTTCTCGTCGTGTTCAGCATTGTCGGTAAACGACTTTACAGTTCCTTCAGCAACGTCTTTGGAGACATAGGAGAGAACAGAGCCAGTGACAAGGACAAATGGCTCAACAACAGCTGTGGTTGCTTTCTTGCTATCGTCATCGTTCTTCTCGCTAGTATATTTGAGCTGATAGCCGAATGATGAATCTAATCCAAGACCGCCAACAGCCCAGTACAAATACTTGGATTGGAGCTGTAGCTGTTGTTGCTTATTGCTGTTATCTTGGTTCTGCTGCTGACCGACGTTGTATGCCACGACGGGCGCATACGTTATGTCGCCTGTGCATTTGGACTCGTCTACACCGCTGTTCACTTTTAGCTAGGCAATTTATTGTTTTAGCATCTTACTTCAACACCATCCCTCTATACATTACTTAAACTAGCTTCTAGTGCACCAATTCAACATGAGCAGACTGAAAAAACGCTCCAGATTTGGCAAATCTAACTATGATAAGGGTAAATGCGCCAAACAAATACAAGACATACAAGCAGCAGAGCAGGAGTCGATACAGGATTGGAAGAAGACGCGACTGTCAGCGATGTCAAGGACAGTGAAGAAGAGATCATGGACAGCGACGAGAATGAAGAATACGACTTGTAAATCCCTGAGGTCGACCTTGTCAGTGTGGAAAAAAGCCTGAACGACGCGTTATTGTAGGTTCCTGGCACTGATGAGAAAGAACGCAACTCCTATTACGCCAAAGACTCAAAGCGCACAGTTAAAAAGGCTGAAGAAAAGAAAGAGAGAATGCAGTGAGGCTGCCTACGCGTGGATGAGATGTTTTGGCTAAAGAGGGTTGAGATGAAGATTAAGAAAGAAGAGGAAAAGTGGGCCGATGACGACAAAGTCGAATTAACAATCGCAGCACTTAGGCCTTATACAAACCTATATCTAAAAACGCCTGATGTTGATCGTTTGCAGAGAGCGCATTTTGCCACGTTGTATCACTTTATGATGATATCACAGAAAGAGGAGAAGGTAGGCGCATCTGAGAAGTTGAGCCCGGTGCATTGGAATTGTGGTCAACGGTTTGCAAAAAGCATCCGAGGTTGGGCGAATGAGTATTTGAAAACTGGGAGATTGACGCCTTTGGTCAAAGGAGCCCACATCAAGACCATGTCTATACATGCTGATGAGCATATTGAGGAAAAATGCGTTGCTTTTTTCAGATCAATGAAGCCCGAAAAAAGAACGGTTATTGCATTGCGAGAGTTTATTCTACATGACCTTGTACTAGATGCGGCCAACCCTGCCTGAACAGCGCATTGGGATTGCGGTATCTGAATCCACCGTACGACGATACCTAAAGAAATGGGAGTCTAAATCGAAGAAAGCCCAAGCGCCATACATCGACGGTTATGAAAGAGAAGACGTCGTTATTTATCGTAAGGAATGGGCAATAAGAATGCTTGAGCACAGACAGCTCATGACGCGGTATGATGAGGATGAAGGAGCAGAACGAGCGGTTGCCAGGGTTTGGGAGCATGAAAAAGTGTTGGTCACACACGATGAGACCTACTTCTACGCCAACGACTTCAAGCGAGGTGTGTATTTGGCTTCCAACGAGAGCCTGATCAAAAAGAAAGGTCAAGGCGGTACAATCATGCTCAGTGCTTTCCCTTGTTCCTGCCACAGTCTTTTTTCATACAAGACGATCATTCCTCCTGGCGCTCAAAACGACGGCTATTCGAAAAAGACCGACATGGCCAACAAGCTTGAATCAGCAATAGAAGAGTTTCAGAAATTGCATCCCAACTGCGTTGGCTTTTCCTACTTTGACCACAGCTCCAACCATTCTGCAATGCCCGATGATGCGCTTAATGCATACAGAATGAATATGAGCTCTGGCGGGAAACAGATTGATCAAGAAACGGCGGTTACTATGGCAACAACGGAGAATGGATTGTGCAGCCAATGGTGGATGCTAATGGTGTGCCTCGGGGACCTCAAGCCATACTTAAGGAGAGGAACCTTTGGCCCACACAAGGATTAATCCGTCACTGCAAGCAAGAGAGTACTGTCAATTGCTGCGCTGTACATATCTTATTCTCCCAACCAGATTTCGAGCAGCAGAAGTCGCTCTCCAAGAAATTTGTAAGAAGGACCATATGATATTCGAGTTATATCCCAAGTTCCGTTGCGAGTGTAACCGGATCGAAAGAGTGTGGGTTGAGATGAAAAGCATCACTCGGGGCGAATATGCCTATTCTTTCTCATCATTGCAACAACGCGTAAAGGACCTTCCACAACGCATTAGCATCAAGCACATGTTTAATTATGAGAATCGTGCCTGGAGGTTTATTGAGATGTACAGCAGAGGACTCGACATGCGGCATGCTGAATGGGCAGTGAGTTAGTACAAGAGCCATCGTCGCCTCCCTCCAACTTTAGAATTCTCCAATTTTCAATAAAGGCAATTCCAAACTTTATTTTCAGCATCTGAGGGGGGACCTTTCTAACTGACTTACACTTTATCCACAGTTCCAGCAAAAATGGTATGTAGTTTTGGCAGGTCCATCCTAATAAGAGCACTTTGGGTATGTCACACAGTTGTAACATTTGCCTATTCATCCGTAAAAAAACTTAACCCTTGATTGCTAATGTTACGCTGCCCCTCCAACGACGCGACTTGGGGCATACTTTCGTTTTACAGTATTATACATTCCTTTACAACAAAAGGAGTACTGTATATATGCGTAACTAATCCAGGAAACGAGGATCCTGTATGCTACTGATTAGATTAGTCTAAAGTTAGCTCAGCGATATGGTTATATCTTCTGTAATTAAGCTACTCTATTTATCTTACTCCAATGAACCTAACGCACCTATTTGTCTGAGCGATACCAGCACCTCAAATCATACATACATCGCAGACGTCGCAGCAACCAAACCTTCTTTTCAATAACAGAATTGTGGTAATTACGAATATGTCTTTTTGCACTTGTAAATATCTACAAAAGCTCACCTCCTGAGGAACGTATTGACCGGTTCCTCCATACATTTGTACAAGAGAAATTCTAGGGCTCACTTCGTCGCAGTCCAAAGCAAAGTCGGGGTTCTTTGCGTTTTCGTTGGCGACAATAATGCTATGAAACTATCAGGCTTGGATCGTATCTATTTGTGTAAAAGCAGCAACCATGATTTACAACATTATCCTAATGAAAGGGTGTTTGCAATACGCGATAACCCGTCAGTACTGGGAATGATTTAGATGAATATCGGGGGCGTTAAAGGAATAAAGGCTATTTTGTTGATACTTAACAGTGATGAATATTCTATTAGAGTCTTCTATTATGCTAAACTGATTGCAAGAGGGGAAAGTTCTTAAAAATTCTATATTTCTTATCCTTGTTACTATAAGTGCCTAAGCTCCCTCGTGGACAATAAATTTAGAAAAGGGACCGGGAATATCTCGTATGTATACTGTACGAATTGAAGATCTCAAGGACCCCAGGATTGGCTCAATAGGATACTGATGGATCATGGAATTATATAGTTATCATTTGGAGCACAAGTCATATTAGTCTTTTGTATCGGACACCGTTCTTTATATGATATTTAGTTCACTTTATTGACTATATCGGTATGGGCCCCCTCTCAATTTGTATGATTTTGCGATATTTGTAATTGGTACTTATATGGTTTTGGATACTGGCAGTTTAAGAGTCGAACTTAGCCTATTTCGATCTACAATAAACGGAAAACAATTTCGTCGACTTTCTGATGCACTAGTATGGGATCTTAACGAAGTATTGATGTACAGATAATCAAATTGACATGGAGAAGTATGTATGTTTATTTGAGCAGTTTTACAAAGAGTAAAAAATTGGTATTATGCTACAGAATTTAAGTAATTTAAAGAAAGTTTACAAAGTTTATTCCTCATCATCATCATCGTCATCATTATCGTCATCGTCATCGCTACTTTCTGCCTTTGGATTGAAAAGATGCTTCCGCTTCTTCTTGCCCAGAAGGGCCTGTCGCTGTAGATCTTTCTTTCTCTTGATGGCACCTTGTTTGCTCCTTTCCTTTTCAGCTTCCATGGCCGACTTGCGTACTACAACAAATGTCTTTGGATCTGCCTTTATGATTTCTGCATTCTCGCCCTTGCTCACACCTTCTTTGAATCCGAGAGTACGACGATGCTCGTATCCTGGGTATATATCCGGATGGAAAGGGAAAGTGGTTTTGATTGCCTTGCCTGTCGTTTTGGCTAGTGTTCGAATATCCCACAAATCGTAAGGCTTACACGTCTTAATAGTGACATGCATCTCGCCTTCAGGTAGCGGTTGCAAATCATTATCGTTTTGTTCGTCGTCGAATCCTTCAAGTAATTCCTCTTCATCATCCTCTTGTTGCTGGTTTTTGATCGGATGGAAACGGCTTGTTTCTCCCTCTTTGGATAAGAGAGGCACGGCGGAAGCAAAAAATTCATTCAGCAGCTTTTGATTTGCGCGTATGTTGTGATCTTGATCTTTGATACCGGCACCTGATAAAGACTCTATGTTAGTAAAGCTTACAGGAGCGAGCCGCTTTTGATTCGCATTTTCAATCCAACCCCGTCTTTTTTTAACGTACCTGCATGTGGAAAGTTGAAAATGATCTTTGTATATCGGTTCTTCCGTAAGTCCTTGTACTTTCTTAGCTTTGTACCATCAATTTCAAACAGCACAGTTACGCCGAGCTCTTTGAGTGTAGCCACGTTGGATTTGGCTTCGTCTGCATATTTTTCGTACAACATTTGTTCGCTGTCATAACATGTCGCAATAATATTACCAGGATTGCTTGCCATGTAATGCTCGGCAATGGACTTTGCAAAAGAGAAGTTGCCTTCTCCAATCAATAGCACTCGATCCGTACTGGTGAATTTCGGTTTTCGACCATGTTTCGGATGGGTCTTTTGTTTTTGCTTCGTTTGTGCAATTCGAGCCTGATGGGATTGTTGTTTATATTTTTCTCGTTTATGTGCTTCAGCAAGATTAAGTACATTCTTTAATGAGGTCTTGAGTTTTTTCTTCTTAGGTGGCATTACGGGAGAGATGGAGACAGAAGGGTAAAATAGAAAGTGTTGTACAAAGGGATTCACTTTTTTTAAAATTCATGCATGAAAAATATCAAGGAATAAGCCACCGATTTACTTTTTGGTAGCCTTAAGTACAGGTTTCGGTACTTTTAGGAGACCGTAAAGCTTATCGCGTGTAGCTTTAATCTCGGGCAATGCCCCCGACCTAATGACAGTTTGCTCAGTGATAAGTCTCTAGGAGACATTATTTCTCAAGGGGAAAAGAACTTACCAATCGGTTCCTGTGATAATCTCCTCTGCCTTCATTGTTCCTTCAGTCATTTCTTCGTCGTCAAGCACGGATATGTACGTGTAGAGCTGATCCGACACTTCCATCCGCACCTATATTGTGTATCGTCATATAAGTGAGGGAATACATCCTTCCTATAGTAACACTTCTTTTTGATATATCAAATACTTACCCTTGGGAACGCATGGATGAGATAAGACAGCATTTGCTGAATCGCCTTGACTTTGACTTGGCTACACTGCAACGACGTCATACCAGCGTACACTTTTGTTGCTGACAGAAGCTTGCGAATATTTTTACTTTTGAAGCACTCTTTGCGTACAGCGATGAGGAAATTATTATGTCTGAATGATTATTTGAGTTAACAGCCTTTTTCTTTGGGGAGCAAATGGTTAACTTGAGTTCCGACTTACATGACATCTTTCTCTATTTTACCAAGCGTTCCAGATTCATACAGCAGTCCAACAACATCCATTAAAGGTAGTATTACGCGATCCTGTTTTTCATAGTTTGTGAAGATCTGAAGTAGGTTACGTGCCATATTTTCTAGTGATACGGAACCATATGATGAAGTGGTTGGTAAGCTGTTCATATAATCGATCAGGCAAGAGCTTGAGTGGCGTACCTAGTTAAGAGTAAGGAAAAGCTCGTGAGTAGATGATCAAAGCTCCTTGCACAAACTTAACGCATACCAATGACTCTGTCAAACCACCGGCACTAGAGATTAAACCTGTCAATAATTCAAAACGATATGGTTCGGCACTCAGGATATGTGTCATCACTGGATAAAGATCAGCTGGTGATGACCAAGATATGTCACTAAATGGTATATGTTAATATCCAGAAGAAGAACGAAAGAAAACAGAGCCTAAACTTGCAAAAAAACAAACCTACCTTGTTATGTATTTTTCTAACATTTCTCGATTGGGTATATCTAATAGCACTGGATTTTTGGTGCTCTTTGTATAAAGCAAATCACATAGCACTGTGCCGGCACAGTCTCGCACTCGATCAATGCGCTCTACACTCTGCTTTAGCAAAGCAGCAATGACGCGTGTAATACCCGTAGTTGTCAAAAAGCACGTCTCTGGAGGCGAGGTTGCGTCAATTCGAGCAATGAGGGGTAACAAGCACTGTAAACATTCCATACTAGCTGAGCGAACCCACGAACCAACGTCGCCGCGCTGGTCCGTGCTGTAATCCGCCAGACAGAGTTGTAGGCTATTCAGCAGCGCCTCGAAATCATCTTTTGACAACACTATCAACCAGCATTGCTTTGTAAATAACTAGCTACATACCATACAGTTAATGATGTAAATATGGCGTACCTTGCTTGAACTCGCCGTCAACGTTGACAATGATATTCCTCAAACCAATCACCGCATTACGCTTCGCTTCTGCATCATTTGCTTGTTGCTCCTGCTAATGAGAATATTGTTTCAAATTAGTCTCTAAGAGCACATGACAGCGCACATAGCTCAGCATATACATTGAAGATACCTGGACTTGGGCCGCCGAGCATAGATGTCTTAGAACATCTGGAAGCCAGGCTCTTCGGTCATCTACCAGATACGACACCTTGCCTAGAGCAAGAGCGTAGCCTCGTCGGCCATACACCAAACGTGCAGAGGCAATTTTGTCTAAGCATGTATACGTCTCTTCCTTTGATATACCATATGTAGCGGCAATTGCACCAAAGGCAGCAACGGCAAATTCCTGCACATTTTCTTCCTTGCGTTCCAGCGATGAATGTACCATATTCTTCCAAGTATCTAAAGCCGTCGTCATAACTTGCTTTTCGACAACAATCGGAAAGTTTGGTATATGCACAATAGCCATAGATTCAACAAGTCGGCAGACAGCTTCTCGAATATGTTCAGACCCAAACGTAGTCAGTGACTTTGGAGGAATCCGGGAAGGGATCGAGCCCAGCTCTTTAATTAGCTGCTGCTTGGATTGCCAATAAGCTTCCAGCTCAGTATCGTTGTCTCTGCACTGTTTCAATGCAAGGCAGATCTCTGCGGTTGCAAGTAGAGCGCCATGTGAAATCTGCATGTCTTTATGTACAGCATAAGGAGCCTATATAGATAGATATGAGATGAGTATATCGCGTCTTCGATCAAGTACCCTCACTTTCTTAACGATTTGTGAAGAGTCAACTTACGAGATCAGGTAGTATCAAATTGATAAAGTAATACGGTTGCAACGTAGCAAGTCTTTGTAGAGCAGATGCAGCCAACACGCGCATTGCCTTATCCCAATGTCTTGTGGTGGTTGATACCAAATGGTTGACCAAAGTGTCGGTATAATCTTTGTATCTAAATTTGACGAGTAAGCGTTACCGGGCTGGCTTATCTTCTCATTTACTTGTCTTACTTCGCGATTTCAAAAGCGACGCTTAAGAAAGCATTGCTCCGGTTACCAAGGCTAAAATAATCAGCTAGCTGGATGATGTCTATACCACACGGAAAAATACCCTAGAACTGCAATTTAGATTCCATCTCCTTACAAGCTTATCAATCTTTTGACACCTAGAACAAAAAAACTCACCTGTCGCCCCACATTCTCTTGAAAAGCGGCACTGCTTGCGCGACGAACATTAATTTCTCGATCGAACACAGATACGACCACTAGGTTTTTGGCAATATGACCGACAAACGGTTCCATTACAGAGGGCGCGTATGCTCTTGCGAATGACCAACATACATAACAAGCTGCATCGCGTACATGTGCACCAATCGAGTGGGATCCTCGCTTTAAATCGAATTTCAACGCCTAATAATAGCCAATGTATAAGTATCTATAAACGTCCGCAATGTTAAGGCACGAATGGATACCCTACCAGCATAATCCATGGGATGGTTTCTTTCAAACGGTGAGGAAGCAATAGTCCACGACGAGCGAGTTCTGCAACTGCAAGTGAAGCACCGTGCCATGTACTATCTGAGACAGCACTCAGATCCAGTTTGAGAGTGGATGGGCTTATCAGCGTGTTTTCTTGGAATAGTTCCAGCAAATAATCAATCACATCTTCAGCAAGTTCATGTGGCAATCGTTGGGTAATGCGACCAATGCCTTTAGCGGCAGACCATCGCACAATAGTATCCTTTAGTATAAATTGTGAGTATACCGTTTAAAATTGATTTTACACATATCTTTTTTTTTTCTCTTTATCATTACCTTGTCACGCAAGCCATTAAGCAGAATATCAATCACAGTTTCCAGATTATCCGATACGTATTCGTCGTCATCAGTGTTACCTTGACTACCACTCTCAAGATCTATCAGATCACCTGCTTTTGCTGTTGCAGTGGATGACCCGTCGCCCAGATTCTGTCGCATTGAGCGATGGCCGCGTTGATACCTCCATGGTGCAATTTTTGGTTTGAGATAGCATAATCCAACGCGTTGAGTAAGTTTTGTACGTAGTTTGCGAACCAAAGAGTTGTTCTCGTATTTATCGAAGAAATCCATCGTAAGCAGTGGTATCACACCATTGTCCAGCGTTGGCAATAGCACTTCACGTGATGCGTATATGTATATTGAGCACAAGCTTGATAGAATACCGGTAATCTGTATGAATACATATTTGTCTTAGTATTACATACAAGTTAAACAGACCATCAATATGTAGCATGTGACGTACCTCAAATACATCTGCATCTGAATTAAGTCGCATCTTTGTCCAGTCGATATAAGGCATTAATGCATCGCCTATATCGCGTCTACTCACAGTGATGTTAGTAGCTATGGCTATTTGACAAAATTATAATCGATCATTACTACCTGCTAAGTAATCGTGCTAACAATAAACCAGCACCATCACGTTCTTTTCCTGTTGATTTCAGAAACTCTTTACACACATTAAACATTCGCGATATCAACGAAGCCTAAAAGTAAAAAGAGTGTAAGAAAAATCGTTATCCTGTAAAGAGAGAGACAATGTATCGACCAGCTTCTCAGATTTACCTCAGTGTTGGATGCACTATCGACGCGTTTTAGATCAAACGGGATCATACAAATCAGCGATAGCCAAATGAAACAGATATAGCGTGTCTCCCAGGGTACGGATCGATCATCCATGACGCATAAAAATTCGAAAACGGGCTCCAAATCAGCAACATCATGCGACATGAATTTCACTATTCCCAAAGAAAGCATATATCAGAGACATGTTCCTATACTTATCGTTCTCCTCATTTCCTAATTCTCGTTCACCAAAGAAAGGCACAGGTGTATATGTACCTACGGTCTTGTATCCCCGCGTTTTTGTTACCAAGTAGAGATATCGGAAAAGCAAGTGCCCTGTCGAATTGGGTGAAAAATCTTGTGGACGCTCCACATATTCTCTGAGTTTCACAATGACAGGCCCAACAAGGTTCTCCAAGTAGGGATCCATCAAATGAGATTGTTCTTGGTACATGTCGAGCTTAAAGAAATACCGTATATAACGTGTATATAATATGCGTATGTGTCAGGAACCACTGTGTTTTACGTTTTAGCTACCCGAAGTACGTAGATCAGCTTACAATCTCGCTTAAACGTTTAATAATTTTCGCGCCCTTGTCCGCATCGGTTCCAGTTAGCAGGATGTTGAGTAGTTCAGTGATTTCGTTCGCATGGTCAAAATGTGACTTGGTGTGGGATACTATGTCTCCCTCCATGTCACTTTTTTTCGTCGAGTGTTCGGGGCAAAGCAAAAGAGGGCTGCAGTCTGAGGGTCCGCTAAATGAACACTTTCGATTTTTAGGGTAACACCAACCAATTCAGGAACTCTTCTTTTTCGCTTTCTCCCCTTGTGGTTGCTGCTGCAGTAATAAGAACGGAACAATGAATACTCATCACGAAAAACCGCATTCGTTCTTCGATTCTCGACGGCAAGTCACCGTCAGAGAAAGTTCTGCAGAGCGATTACAAAAGGCTGCCAGAGGTTAGCAAATGGAGCAATAACAAAAGTATCAAGTTTTACGCCGATTGTATCGTTTTGTTTTAACATCGTTTATTCTTTTTCTTTTCAAAGATGGCAATGTACCTGCTGTCAAACGATTGCTAAAAAAGGTCTCCAACATACAAAACCCGGACCCAGAGACTGGATAGTAAGATATCACATACTTTGTTTGTCGTGTTATATGGTATTAATGCTCGTTTACTTTAAAGCACAACGCTTATGTATGCAACAAGACATGGCCATGTAGAACTTGTGGATCTTTTGCTGGAAATGGGCCATGAAGAAGAAGTTATATCCATGGTGAGCTATCAATATCCAAATAAGAACAGCTATTTTTGATCGATATATTCTTTTATCATCATAATAATACGATCTACTACTAGGATAACGAAGGCATGACAGTATTGATGATCGCCGCAATATACAACCATCAAGAGGTATCACCAGTGGTAGCAGTGATTGAACTACCTACGTAATAAATGCTGTATTTAATACATGACTGACGACCTCTTCCTCTCCGTGATTGTTAATCATACTAGATATTTTATAGCTACGTTACACGATATCCAGAGTGTATTCATGCTATAAACAAGAACGGCTGGACCGCCCTGTTATATGCCGCTCGGGCAGGCAATGCTGCCCTAGTCAGTGTGAGTTCTCCCTAATGTCATAGTGATGTCGCCTATTACTTATATAACTTCCCGTATATGCTAGTATTTATTGTCAATATCGGCTGACATCGATCATGTTGATAATGATGGAAATTCGGCACTACACCATGCATCGGCCTGGGGCCATTGCACAGTCATGGAACTTCTGGTGGTAACTTAATATCAAAGTCAGAAACATCTAGACAAGAGGACATGGAACTTATACGTGCTTATAGTCTCAAGGATGTAATGTGGATTTGGAAAACAACAATCATTTTACTGCTGCCGATTATGCATATTCGTTTGCAGTTCAGGATCATCTCAAAGGTGGGGAAGGGAACAAGGATGACTTTGTAAATGCTATTTTCAGGATATGCTGAAACGAGGGAGACTCACTGTGTCCTGTACATTTCTGTAGACATTGCCAATATCTTATTTACCGACGAGTCGTCACTATCCCTTGCATCCTCTTATAAATCATCCATCGTGACAAACAATGTCAGTAGCCGACCGTATCCTCCACCGGCATCTTCTCTCTTGTCCCATTCTGCATTCAGTAGTTCCGTTGCCATATCTCGTGGCCCTTCGTTCCCCGGCTACGACTCTCCTACTCCCCGTGCATCCACATCATCTTCATCGGTCGCTGCAGCGAACGGCATTCCCATTAACATCCCATCAAGTCCTCGTGGCTCTCATTTTTACCCTCCCACAGGCAGTCCATCTTCACATTTCAATTGAGCTGAAATAAAGTATATCACGGCACCAGTAAGGCACCGCTGGTCAGTGCTTCTTAATTGTTTTCGACTTTTTTATTATTTGATAAGAAATTGCAAAAACGCTACAAGTACAGTTTAACGGCAACGATGAAAAACGGTAAGAAAAAAAGAACTGCTGTCATGCCCATATCTACATGATATTTTATTGGATAATTGCAGTTAGAATACAGCTAGTGTTATCAATGTGGTTATATACGTTTGGAAGGAGAGTGTTGTGACAAATTACCTTGAGCAGATGGTCCCAACTGCCAGTGCACAGTGCCATTCCATCACTTGAAATGCCTAGACATGACACTCGATTCTCGTGTCCATTTAATATCCCTACACGATCGCCTCGCAGCGTGTCCCATACGTGACAATTGTAATCATCGTAACCGCCAAACAGCAGTCGACCAGATATTGAAAAGGCAATCGAGGTGATACCGCAAAAGATTTGTTCGTGTGTAAAGATGTTGAGCTCGCGGTCCGCTCGTAAATCAAATAAGCGGCAGCTAGCATCGTCCGATCCTGTTCCTATAGCGTTACCGTCAGGGAAAAATTGCACTGCGTTGATGTCTGATTCGTGTCCACTGAAGGTTTGCACGCATTTTTTTGAACGGATGTCCCATATTTTGGCCGTTGCATCGCACGCACCAGAGCAAAATATATTGGGATTGGGTGATACCGATAAACTTCCAGAGTTTGAAAAAGAAAAGCTGGTATTAAACTCCCTTTTCTTCTTCTTCCTCCCTAAAGTACTACAAAGTACATACAGGACCTCTTTTTTTTTTACCTCATCACATCACCCGTATGATCAGCAAACTCTTCTAGCTTTTGGCCAGCGTCTATATCCCAAAGGATGCATGTCGTATCACCGCTGGACGTCACAATTCGATTGTCAGTAATAAACCGACAACAGCTTAAATAGCCCGTGTGTGCCGATAATTCACGCGCAGGCTGTTTTGGACCATCACGCGACTGAAGATTGTACACTGAGCAAATGTTGTCGAGACCTCCAGAAGCAACGAGGTTGCCTGACAAGCTGTATGCAACGGTCATAACCCATGATGATCGTAGTGGTATCGCGAACAGTTTGTTGGTGGTGTATGCGTCCCAGACCAGTAGTTTTCCGTCTTGTGATGCTGAAACAAGATGCCGCCTATCTGCTGCCCAGCACATGGCATATATTTTGGCTAAATGGCCTTTTAATGTACGTCGTACTTTCATCGTCAATCTTGGTAGGGATTCGACCTCCATTGCTGCTTGTGGAACTTTGAAAATTATGCATGTGTCATTGATGTACGTGTGTGTAACATTAGCAACCAGTAGCCTAGCAGCATAATTTTTTTAGAAATATTCTCCTTACGCGTGGTATCTGCTAAGGAATCCTTCTTGCGTTTTATCTTGTCTTTAAGCTTTTCAGCCTCACGTTTGGCCGCCGTGGTGCGCTGTACAATGTCGTCATCGCTAGAGCTCATTATATCCCGAATACGTGCAGGATGGAACGTGGATTCACGAACTTGAGGGAATTGCTCTTTCTTTTTACGATCAAATAAATGTGGAGGATCGATTAATGGAGGAATGGGTGAAGAGGGAATCTACTAAACGAAAAATGAATTTGGCGGTGATAAGACGTGTGTGTATGTATTGAAAAACTCCTTTACAACGGAGGGTGGGGATGAGAAAACAGAAAGTACACAACAACAATATAAACAATGAATAGCACCAGCAACAGTGTGTTAGAAAATGTGCGTTGATTTGCAAACGAAAAAATGGTCCGCGTAAAAAAAAGAGAACGTTTGTTTGTTAGTTTCGTAAGTGTAGCGAGCTATTTACATATTTGGGATTTTTATACAGAGTATTGGGATACAAGCAACCCGAAAATACGGGGAAAAGGTATAGTGTAGTTGTAGTAACAGTAGTATAAGTATTAGTGGTAACCAAAGAGGTAACTATTGCTTATGGTTGTTGTTGTGGCACTAAATCTTCTGGTTCTAATTCGTCGTCACTTGATGTTAAATCAATGACGTTAGTATTCGGCTTTTGAGAAGGAGGAAGAACAGATGCCGACATTTCGAAAGCATGCCTGCCTATATCGTTATTGTCGCCTTCGTTAAGGATAGCAAGTGCTGTATCAGCAGCTATACTGGATGATCGATTATTTGTGACGAAAGAGCTCGAGCCCGGAGTAGAACTGCCGTCTGACAAATCTGGCTCCTCCTTGATCTGCTGCAGTTCGCCATTTGCCCCAATTCGGACCGTGTCTGCATTGCGACCGACAGTATCCAGTATATCCTTAAAATAGCCGTCCACGAAAAGATCATCAAAAGATGCAATCGGCCGAGAACAAGAAGGACATGACCAAGTTGGCGTCTGCTCATTCATCTTCAGAAATGTGTATGCATCGAAACATTGTGCGTGTGAACATGATGAGGCTCGAATTGGCGTCTGTATTCGAGAAAACGCAAGCTACAATGGATATTGTCAGTACTTCTTACATGTGTAACAGCCCCATTTCTTGCAGGCACAGCATGGCAGCTAATACTTACTGGACATTTCATCGAAAGCGTTTGGAACTCAATGAAAACATCAGCTTCTTCCTGATTTTTGGCAACTAATACATATGAACAGAGCGATATATCAGCTTATCTGTTAAGAAAATCCATATGTGGAGCCCATTTAAAACACCCAGCTTTTTGCACTTACATTTCTGAAGCACGTCTTCTTTTGGAAGGAATTGTGTAAGCACCAACTTCTCCACAAGAGACTCGACCGAGTGGCGTTGAACAAAGCGAACACAAGCGACAAAGTCCTGCTTCTTTTTCCTTTTAATATAACCTTCCCTGCAAATTTCTATTTTTGTCCAACACGAAAAATGACTTACAGAATTATTGCTTGCGTAATGTATTTCAACGACATTATCGGTCGACAGCTGAATGAAATTTGTAATGTCAGGTGGGTGGATTGTTCCTGGAGTTTTTTTAATTCCGCGCAGTTGCTAACAATAAGAAAGAGTAGCACAAACGACATATATAATAGTGAGCTTCATTATCATTATCATTATCAATATTAATGTGCTCATAGTAATATACAATCCACCATATACCCATATCTTTCAATATACCTGACCCGACAGAACGCACGTCTTGTTCACTTTGATATCACAAATTTCCGGAAACTCTAATACACCAGGATTTTGCTGACCACCATACTTGGAACAGAATAATCTAACTTCGTGTGTTCCAGCTTGGATCAATTGCTGCTGGAGAGTTGTCAATGTAAATGTAAGCACTCGGCTGTATCTCATATATACGACGGAACCTATTGGAAACAAGATAGAGTAGTTAATAATTGAAACTGGCAATCTCATCTTCGAGACGTTTCACTATCCGTACTGAATATAAACTTACATTCACAAAGTACAGGGAGTGTGAGTTCATCGACAACTTCAAAATAAGGTCCATACTTGAACGCTGCTCTCACTGTTTGACTGTTGATATTGTCGTTGTTCAATTGCTGAGAATCCCCAGCTTGACAAGATTCTATATGTTGTTGCTGTTGTATCACCGCTGATGTAGATACCTGTGTTATTCGATACAGAAGAACAAGTTTTCCATCTTGAGTATCCCACTTATACCTACGTTATACATGTAAGTAATATAAGCATAAACTGATAAAGAACAATACAAATATTAGTGTGTAAAAGTATTACTGCTTTTCCTGACAAACTAACTCACTTGTCTTGGGCATCGTTCATTGCACTGATCATTAAGTGCAAGCGATCGGTTCGATTTAGGCGGGCGAAGGAATTAAATCTCTGAACAATTCGATCAACAAGCAGAGCTTTCGTTCCAGTGACGTTCGTTTTTACACCAGGGATAGCTTGGTTCATTCTTCGGATAATATTCTGGATCTCGACGACCTTGAGCGTGATTAAGGGCCGGTACAGTACAGATTCCTTTCCAAAAAGTGTTAAAATAAAACATCGTTTGAATTATTGTCTTGAAACGACAATAATGCAAATCATGCGCTACTTACTAGACTCGTTTGTTCCATTTTGAATTTTTAAAGATTACCCCGATCTGACAACTTCGGTTTTTTAAGCGAAACGCTGTTACCCACTGTCGCATAGAAAAATTCTTTGCTGAGTGAAAATGCATGATGAATCCATCCTAAGCTATCCTTTGTGTTACCTAAATGCAGGACTACGCCCTCCAGAAATCGTTACTGTAACATATACACTGGGAGATACTGCTTGGTAAGAACTACTTGATTGTATGCCCATACGTTAAAGTACACAGTTATTATAAGGCATTCCGTATAGTTTTGTGTGCGTCCAAGCTTGGTAGTCCGGTTGCCTATGCACACATATTCACTGTATAAGAAGTAGCCTGTAAACCCAAAGTGAGTCACAAGATGGAAGGAGTTATACATACTCACACATAGCTCTGTAGAATATACATCGATTAACGTGCTGTTCTCATGATATATCTGCCAGCAACACATAAAGCATCCACCTTAATTGCGTAAAATTCAAACATATGCAGCATGCATAATCTACATAATTGAGAACTTATATTTCCTATCGACGCCTTTTCGTACCGCAAATAAAGAGCACAGGATATACTGCTTTTTATACTTACCGACTTACAGAAGAATATCTAGATGGTGAATGGGAGACTTTATTTTCAATTTTTTGCTACAGTATGCATCATATAAGCGATAGTAGAAGTTCTTGTTTGTACTTGAAACAGCTTGAAACATAACGAGTGTCTTCGCTGTAATGCATGACATCCGCAGCAGCAGTTTCCAGCGGAGATTCAAAAGCGATCTTTCACTTCTGCGACTTGCGACGACAATGGCACGGCAACAAGCAGTTGTTCGACTACTTATAAACCATGGCCGAATTAAATCTGGTAAGTAGCACACATACTTTTCCTGCTATTTTAATTTGTACATCTTATATTTTGTAAAATTGAACTCATTGCTTTACCTACTATTGTTATTTTATGCAAAGCGAACTGTACTCTACAGCCCTTTAATCTCTCTCAAGGTTGTCGAGATCCAGAATATTATTCGAGAAATGAATCACAGTGGGCTTGTTTCGAGAACGCCTGTTACCGGAACGAAAGCACTTCTTGTCGATCGAGTTGTACATGTTATAAGCTCTTTCATTAACCTGAACCCATCCAATCGCGTTAACACTCTGATCAGCACAATAAACAACGCACAAAGCCGGTGAGTAATTTAGTTCATTAGCAACAGCAGCTGTAACCACGTTTATGCATAAACACGCAAATAGGCATACTGTGCTATGCTTTCAAATTATTTATATTATTGTATATGGTACGATTATAGATACAAGTGGGGTATTCAAAGGGGAAAGCTTGTTTTTGCGCCTCAAAGAACACACTCTTTTACATCAGCGACAGTACAACTACCGGGAATGATACACTCTTCTCAAGGTCGAGCTTCACAACAGTTGAGCAACAGCAGCCTTAGCAACAATAAATCAGTGACAGCAGCGTTCAAGTACGGACCTTATTTCGAAGTTGTCGGCGAACTCACACCTCCTGTACTTTTTGAATGTAAGATTAGCTCAGGGCGGACGGGGAAATGTTTAAAGCCAAGCGATTACTCACCATTTTACTCGAATTAGCTATTTTGCATATGAGATCTAACCGGGTGTTTGCGTTCATGCTAACTCTTCTTCAGCAACAGCTGATCAAAAATGGAACGCACGAAGTCCGGGTTTTTTGCTCCAAATATACCGACCACCAAAAAGCTGGTCTGTTGGAGTTTCCGGAGATATGCGAGATCAAAGTTAACAGTAATTCCATTCTGTCAGGACAGGTATGTTGGCATTTATACTCGATGCGGGGAGTGATGGATTATTGATGACTGTGAATGTAATGTTGAATATGCTTTTATTGTTTTTGATGAAACTCGTGTATGGTGTTTATCGTAGCGTCTTCGCGGGATCAAGGGATCTCCAGGAACCATACATCCACCCGATATTACAAGTTTCATACAGCTGTCCACCAGAAACGTCGTCGAGATATGTTACGCAAGCAATAATTCTGTAAGTCATTTTTCGTGTTGGACAAAAATAGAAATTTGCAGGGAAGGTTATATTTAAAGTAAAAAGAAGCAGGACTTTGTCGCTTGTGTTCGCTTTGTTCAACGCCACTCGGTCGAGTCTCTTGTGGAGAAGTTGGTGCTTACACAATTCCTTCCAAAAGAAGACGTGCTTCAGAAATGTAAGTACAAAAAGCTGGGTGTTTTAAATGGGCTCCACATATGGATTTTCCTAACAGATAAGCTGATATATCGCTCTGTTCATATGTATTAGTTGCCAAAAATCAGGAAGAAGCTGATGTTTTCATTGAGTTCCAAACGCTTTCGATGAAATGTCCAGTAAGTATTAGCTGCCATGCTGTGCCTGCAAGAAATGGGGCTGTTACACATGTAAGAAGTACTGACAATATCCATTGTAGCTTGCGTTTTCTCGAATACAGACGCCAATTCGAGCCTCAACATGTTCACACGCACAATGTTTCGATGCATACACATTTCTGAAGATGAATGAGCAGACGCCAACTTGGTCATGTCCTTCTTGTTCTCGGCCGATTGCATCTTTTGATGATCTTTTCGTGGACGGCTATTTTAAGGATATACTGGATACTGTCGGTCGCAATGCAGACACGGTCCGAATTGGGGCAAATGGCGAACTGCAGCAGATCAAGGAGGAGCCAGATTTGTCAGACGGAAGCTCTACTCCGGGCTTGGGGTCGGGCTTTTTGGATACAAATAATCGATCATCCAGTACAGCTGCTGATTCAGCAATTACTGTCTTTCTTGACGATGACGATGAAGATGAGGTTGACAATCTCATTAAAGGAAGACATGAATTTGAGCAGAGAGGAATCAAGCGACATGCTTCCGAAGAACCTGTCTCTATCCCTTCTGCGCAGCGACCAAAAAATACCGTTATTGATTTAACGTTAAGCGACGATGATGATGACGAGACCGAGGTGGAGGAACATGCGGCAGCAAACGGAAGCACACCAGAAGCACTTAATAGCGTTAAAAACCAGACGCTCAGTTCCTCTGCAACTTCTTACAGCACTAATACTGCTATTACGTCATCGCCTATACAGAAACAGCAACAGCAACAGCCGTCAATCCCACAACCGCAACCACAGCCACCACAGTTAATAGCACCACGACTTTCATGGAACCCATCCGCACCCGCAGAGAATGCAAATGTTACGCTTCCACCGAGACTTGTTGTGATGCTACCGCAACCTCCTCAACCTTAACAAGTACCAGACGCACCCTTTGCTGTGGTATTTGGAACAGCTACAGCCAATCCTACTACTGCCGATCTCCCCGGGTCACATACATACTAGTGTCTTTCTTCATATACCCATAATTTCTATCTATCTGTAAATAGCATATTGACAGCATTTCATACGTGGAACTAATAGCCCACCACCTAAGAAAGACATTCTATTGGCCGATCGTTTTGGGCTTGCAAATCAATGCATATATACACTGTGTTACCGGTATGTGATTGTTGTCAGTGTTGCTGTGTGCTTTCGGTAAAAAAACACTTTGAAATGCCTATATGCGTCTAATCGCCAACATTTTTATTTAGTTTTTTCCTATGATATATTATCCTTTTGCCCAGCCCTTCTATCCACTTAATTGTATATGAATAGAAATTAAAGCCTTCCTTCAAGTTTGTGAATCCACGTACATATAATTTTGCATATCTTAAAAGATAAAGTGGCATCCGGCGAAAAATGAAATTATTGTTTGACACCATACGTATGGTAATGTCTTCTAGAAATTTCAACAGCAAAACCATGACTGTTGCTTTTGTTAAAGACACACACATAAAGGGTATCATTCATCTAATATTTTTCATGGTAAAATGCAGGACCTGCACCCGGAGGCTGCCTGAGGTGAAGAGTATGCCGTTCGCATGAAGCGAAGCAGCATCCAAAAATAGTTATAGAACAGAGGCTACTAGGTGATACAAAGAGTGAAAAAGGGAGAGGGGGAAAAAGTATACTTGAATGTAATACATAAACGCTTTAACGACTTCCGCGGTCAGAGCAAAAGCAAAGGCACACGCAAGAAATTTGAACTGTCGCCATCAGGATGATTGGATAAACGATCTTAACCGCAGGAGACAGGTTCTTGACACGAAGGCGAGAATTCTTGAGAACAAGCCTTGCTCTTCTTCCAACAGCATTAATCCAGTCTTCACTGCTTGTATGATATGGCAGGCACTTAAACCCACAGTACAGAAGCAGCACCAAAGCACGGCCATGTAGGAGTATATTGAGAAAGAAAGAAAGAAAGAAAGAGCAAGAAGAATTACGACTGAACTACATACATCAAAGTGCTTTTTTGGCATTCCATGTCCACGTTCTTTCATTCGTTCATTCAACATATACAGCAGATAGACACTCGGTATTACCGATGAACCTCTCTCAGGCCACTTACATGTCCTTCTTTGCTTGGTAGAGAGAGAGAAAAGGAATGCAACATAAACGGCCAATCCTGACGAAAAAGGAGGGAGAAAATACGCAACCCATCGTGTCGATCACAGGAACTTGTTGCACACGCGTTGCTCAAATGCCGTCTTTTTCACGCCTTTAAGCACTTACAAACAGCGACAGCTATAGTGCACAGACACATTTGATCAATAACACGTAGAGTACTGTACTGCAGCCGAAGCAGCAAGAGCCATACGGATAACATATCATGTAGACATGGTGTGGCAGGCGTGGGTAAACTTGATGAGATCTTGGCGATGCCAGCTGGCAGCAACATGGATGGATGGATAGGCTTGACACTTGAACAAATGATGGTGATAGCTTGATGCATAACACGCCTTGAGCCGCAGCAGCCGAACGCAATGGCATAAAGCTTGGCGTTGATTGCCTTGATAAAGGCGGCATGGATGCGAGAGAGACTTCTTGTCCCTTGTTGGACAGCAGTCTTGACAGAGAAGAAGCAGAATCATGAAGGATATAGTGCCGGCGAGCGGGAATGGATGTAGTGAAAATATCATTGATAAAGCATGGAGGGTAAAAGAAGAACGAGAAATGACAAGGGCGTACGACACAGATTCTGTACACGCATCACGGGTATTCTAATATACTTTTTGATGGCGAAAAAAAGTAGAGCAGGGAACAAATAAGACCTTGATACTTTTTTTTTCTTTAAATTACAAGAAAGAATAATAGCGACTGGTTCATACTGACGGCGTGTTCAGCTGTCCATGCGTAGCCAATACAACGAAAGCAGTGACCCCAAAGCGCATCAATTCTAGCTCGATCAGGTCATAGTGCTCGTTGCTCCTCCTTATAAACCGAGAAAATGTTTTATGTGATACTCGGTAGATGACTTATGACTCACTTAAAATTCGTTTTTTTTGTTCTTGCCATGCGTTTCTATCGATTTCTGCGTTGTTTTATGATGTTGATGCACTTCTGCCCATGTTTTTGTGTTTAGTTCATATAATGGTAAGCCAAAGTTGTCTACAGAGAGCAAATCGCCATCCTGCTTTTGGCCAAATATACCGAGTATCGCCTTAACACCAAATCGTACACTGATGAGAGTGTGCCAGATACGACTGGCAGCCTTTACTAGTGCAAAAAATTATTTATTTGCCGTTTCCGACTTTATCTATAAATTCCCGTGGATAGTTTCTCTATGGGGCATAGTTAAGTTAGTATGACAGATGCAGTATCTCTCAGAAAGCACAGCAGAAAATTAACAGAATACTAAAATACAATTGATTTTGCTACACATGTTTGATTTAAAGTCACGTACTGATGGATATAGATATGGTTTTAAAACGCTGTTGCTACAGAGGGTCTCTGGCTTTGCCCTCAACATAGGGATCAAGGGGGAAACCGCCTTGCGTTGCGTTCTCGTTGAATGACACATAGCGAAGCGAGACAGGAACCGCTAGTAGAACTAGAGCTTGATATACACTAATCGCATGAGAAACATTATGAGGGTCAGACCTTCTATACCATCGTTAATGTTGAAAGAAGCTGTAGGTAAGATGCGTCATTCTCCCGATAGTCATACTAATGGAAACTATGCATACAGCGGATACATATGATTTACGATGCGATAAACCATATCATCTCACCAGACTATTTAAAACATGACTTAAAGAAGTAGTCGTTCTCAGCATCTGATGTCGTATGTTTTAAGCGTCCTTTCAATACAAAGTACTGGTGTTATGTAAGCAAAAGATAGTTTGTCAAAGTAAACTGTTATCTGATGATTCACGACGGCTGTTAAATAAATATATAATGAACGTTTTTAACAGGTTAAACTCGTAGAAGACGATAATCGTTATTTTTAATTGCAGAATATCATTAACAGCTAGTGTAATTCTAAGTAAATATACCATATTATTTCTTCTTTTCTCGTGATCTGTCTACTGTATGTGGAAAGAGAAGAATCATCTACCAAGATCAAAACCCATTTACTGTGAGTCGTTTGAAGTTATCTTAACCTTCATCAAATACATACAAGGAAGAGACTCTGATAGTGTTTTACAAACATGACGGAAACAACAAGAAGAATAAAAAGAATTGAATACCATGCACCATATTTTAGCAAAAGCAGAACCAACCTAAATTTTAACAATTTATTTAGTGCATACTGGAAATCATCACGAAAGATTAAAAACACATGACTTTACTTCACTGTTGCCTCACATTAAGCCTTAGAACTTGGACTATATTGTGTTTCCCGGAATAAAGTCGCGCGACAGTGGCGCTTACCCCAGGTGATACATACATGTTCTGATTGGTGTGTCACGGAATGCCTTGCGTATCTTCGTTGTCCACTTCAATCCGGGCTGTATAGGCGGTAGGTTTGGTTCCTGTAGTTACTATAATCTTGTGAAAAGGTACCATGCTGTATGATAGCGGATTGAGAATGAATGGATATAGCGAATGACAAACAAGCAAACCTTGATTTTCTTATATAGAACACTGCATGATCGTTATGTATCTTTTTTGATCCGGCGATGCACATAGTTTTGTGTATCAACAATGTTTGTAAACACTCTTGACAATCGCAACCGGTCGGCTGGTAGACCGGCTTCCAATAGATCTATCAAGAGTTATATGTTAAGCACAACAACAGCAACAAACCAGCTACGAGATGAGTATCTCTTTGTATAGCACACTTGAGCAAATTCTAATCAATAATATTTCTGAATAGAAAGCTTCTATTAATATTGGTACTCTGAGTCATTTACAAGAGCCGTAAAAATGGTTATATACGGAACTTCAGCCTTCTTGTACTTGAATGCTGCTCATCTGAGCATACTGTGATGTACTCTACTACTACTACTACCATTCCTGTTGCAGATACAAAACGGCATAGTCGCCCTTCCTGCAACATTAGTGCATTATACACACAGATAAGCTAATTATCAAACTCATAAAAAAACGACTGAATGGTGGATGGAATGTTGAGCACACACAGCATCGGGTACATATTTACATGCATTTTTCCTTTTCTGCAAGTTTTTGACCGAAATCTAAAAATATGAAGGCTGCATGGAATAGCACCCCAGAGCCAATAGTGTGGTCATTGTCATACCATAGGCTTTTTTTGTAACATTTAAGGTTTTTCACTTGTTAAAAATAGGAGCAATGTAGTTTTAATTATGAACAATATGCTACCACTGAAGGCAGAAGCAGTGACCCTGGTTGGAAATAGAAAGCTGCTCATGATGACGACAATTAACTTAAACAAGAAAACCAGAAAATGAGGCGTTGCAATAACCTAAAAAACTCATCAATATCGCCGAATTACGATTGGAGACTAGGATCGACTTAATGCCCGTAATTAATACAGTATTTACTTGACAAAAAAACAATTGATTAGTCGACTGTAATGTTTATTTACAGCAGCAGCAGTAGCAGCAACAACAACAAGAAGAGATGCCAGCATACTGCAGGTGGACTTGCCATCGATGGCAAATACACAAGCTATGCACACAACAGTTTGTTTACTGTCCATGACTCTTTTGTTATTATGTGTCTTGTGAGACCCTGTGATTCAACGTTCGTCGATTCAACCAACCCATACTTTATACCCATCTTCGAAAAAGAAGCCATGCTTTCCAACGTACAAATTTATGTACTACAGTCTATCAAAAAGTTGAAAGAAAGTGCTTCGCTATGGAACCCCGGATGTTTTGACAACGAATGAAAGCTGTGGATGTGAGTGCGGGGACCGGACGGACAGGCACCAGACGATTATTATGTCACTTTTGCAAAGTGGCTGAATAATAGAAACAAACTGTGGTGGCACAATCCAAGGGCGTGTAACCTAACGAAGCTTCTAAGAGAGAGAGAGAGAGAGTTCTCGGTGGGGGATTGAAAAAGTCATCGTCAGATATATTAAAAGACACAGTGCATTTTAAGAAAAGGTTATTATTGCTATTTATGTTGCTGTTATTGATGCTGCTCAATGTCATTAACTTGGTTTGTATAGAAGGAATGTAGAAGCTAGGTACATAAAGCGGTTTCCTATAAAGGACTTAGAAAGTGATGCGATCCTTTTTTGGTAAACGTAACAGAAAAGCTCTCGCTCTCTTTAAAAAAGAAGCAGAGGCTCAGCAGTAGAAGATTGCATTTCATAGGCCCTTAATGTTTCTCATCGTTATCAATCGCCTATTTAGTGGTGGTGGCTGAACTCTCTTTTCAGCCTATCGGGTGGTGGCTAGTGCTTTCTCTTTCCCCCCCTTTCCTTATACCCTTCCGATGCAACTGATAAACGGGATATTCGGAAGTTGCTGCATTGTGATTCTCTCTCCACTCGTTTTTCTCCCCACCGAAAGGTGCCACGAGAATAAGAACAAAATTGATTCAAATCATTTGACCATCATCTTGTGGCCGTTGAATAATTAAGAGAGAAGAGAGAAAAGGAGGACGAGATAGGAGGAGTAAGTGGATGAAGCAGCGGCACCCAATGGTGCCATTAACGTGCATGTGACAAGCGATCTTGCACATCAACAAAAAACCAAAAGTATTAGAGAGTCTCTTCACATGACGGTATAGTAGTAGGCGTTCTAAATACCAATCAAAAACAAGCTTATTCAGGTACATCATCCCTCCCCCCAACCACCTAGTGCAGCACCGGCACCATTTCAAATATAGAGCCCAGTATTAGTCCATTCGATTGTCGGCGACTACTGCTGTCAATTAGCGAGACCATGTGAATTACATGAAGAAAAAGAATAGCTCTTGGAAATTCATTCGTATATATTCAGAAAGTTCTGTCAAATCAGTGAGTGAGTGAGTGAATGAAGGGTGATATGCAGTAGAGTGGCCGTGTATACAACAAAGAAGGGTAGAATAAATAGAAGAAAAGAATAGGATAATGTAAAGAAACAATAAGAAGTAATTACAGCAAAGAAAATAGAGAGGAATATACAAACAAAAAGAAATAGAAATCTAAATACAGTGGTGGTGGATATGTATCGACGCTAGTACGATATTTGTCAGCGTCCTGTACAGTGAGTGTCAGCGGAAGACAACAGTGCCGCTCTCTGGATAGCGAGGCTTCTTGCGCCGTTCGTGTGTCTTGCGATGGCGCTCCATGTCATACTTACGAGCAAACGCTTTGGCGCAGGAATCGCAGGCAAAGTTCTTTTCGCGGTTCGGGTCGTGCGTGAGGATGTGCTCCTTCATGTTGTTTGCTCGATTGCTTGTATGCGAGCATTTAGGGCATTTATGGATAGTGCGCCGTATGGCTGGAGGACGTCGTGGTCGTTGTTGTTGACGTCTTTGTGATCTCGGTAGACGCTGCTGCTGCCGTCGTCTTTGCCGTTGTTCTTGATGCTGCTGCTGTTGTGATACTGCTGGAGCTGCTTCCTCCGTATCAGCTTGTTTTACACAAACAACCTGTTGCTGTTCCTGCTCACTGATAGGTGACGGAGCATGATCTTCAATAGGCAGCTGTTGCTCTTCATACATCATAGATCCATAGAGCTGTTGCTGTTTGACCCAAGAATAAATGTCCCAATCTATGGGCAATGAAGAGGAGGGTATATTGCTCTCGTTTTGTTGGTGCGGATGTTGTTGATGATGGAGGTGGGGCTGTAACAACAATTGATCGTCAAAGGATGATATGGTGGACGGTTGCTGCTGTTGCTGCTGTTGTTGTTGAAAAGGATTCGAAAACACAGAGTGCTCGGAATGAACCGAAGGTGAAGCAATGACAAGGTGGTCCATCATGTTGCCAAGTATGGACGACGAGCACGATGCTTGTGCAGGCGAAATCGACAAGATAGGGGTGGTAATGCATTGAGGGTTAATAGTAGACCCGAACAAGTCAGATGATGACTGTTGCTGCTGCTGCCCTTGCTGCTGTTGTGGGATATCAATGGCGCCACCATTGTTGTTATTGTTGTGCATCTGTTGATAGTGGTGATGATGTTGATGTGAATACGAGGACGCTTGTGATGGCGGAGCTTGGAATGATCCGAAACTATCAATGGAGGAACCACCCAGTGCCAATAGTGGCGTCTGGGAACACGAAGAAGCTCGGGACCCGCGCACTTGCATATAATTGTTGCTTTCAACGGACGACGTCGTGGTCAAGGCCAGCGTTGGAGGCTGTTGCTGTTGGTGTAGCTGGCTGCTATCTCCGGATGAGTGCTGTGGAGTAACCCACAGCATATCAGGATCTGCGTTGGGTGGCAGCTGCTGTTGTTCGCCAAGCAGGTCGCCCAGCGGAAAGTCCTGGTCGTAAGAGCCTGATGGGAAGTACAACGTTTCATCGGGTGGGACGGATAATGAGGAGTGTGATCCAAAGGATGATGCGTGGATGTTCGGCATGAAATCTACGCACATCAAGCAAAGGTCAACACCACATGATATTTTTCGTGTTATTTTGATGTGCCTTTGCACTTACCAGTTCTGGTACGATCTGGCGAGTTGCTCAGGTCGCTCATAGAGAGAGGCGAAGTGACGTTCTGTGCGTAAGGCGACAAAAAGGAACCAGGGGAGGGGTAGCCATGGTTCGGTTGCTGTATGGGAATAGGCGAGGCAGCGACAGCAGCAGGAACTGTAGCAGCTGGTGCACAGGGTTGTGGTTGTTGTTGTTGTCTCGCAGCAGTAGCAGCAGCGACAGGATCGACTGGCGTTTCTATATAGCAGCTGTCTTCCGACGCCGAGTCGCCCGAGGTAAAGTCTTGGCCGTTGTTGTTGTTGTTGTTGTCGGACGGTGTTGCTGTGGTTGACACATAAGAAGGCTTGGCAACCAGACGGTTGAAGAACATTTGCAGAGTGGACGACATGATTATATATGGAACGATGAACGGTCAGTCCGGATGAAGCAGCGGAATGATGAGTTGAAGAATAATGGCTGGAAAATGTGTGCCGTGAGAGTGAGTGTGTGTGTAAGGTAGGAGGTGGAGAAGGAGGAAGAAAACGGAATGACAATGAAAAAGAAGCACACACAACGCTTTTATATAGACGCCGCCGCCGCCGCCGCCGCTCTGTGTGATTGTGTGCGTGAGCCTCTGTGTGTGTGTGAGTGTTTAATGCGGTTAAAAATTGCGCAGCGAAGGGTGTCTCTCTCTCTCTCTCTTACTAACTCACTCGCACTAATTCTCTCCGGTTCCTACTCCCCCAAGGCTTGTAACCAACCAACCCCCCATCCTCCTCTCTCCCCCACCTTCCCCTTGAGTGGTAACCAAGTGACAATGAACAAGGTTACGCAAGCGGAAATTTTCGAAAGAACAGCAAATAATGGTGATCGCGTGGCAGCATCGCACGACTCTATTCAACTCTTCGTATGCTGTCTTTGGGCCTGTGGTATATGTACGGTATGCACAGGAGAGGGTGCCTTCTTTCTGTCTGTCTATCTATCTATCTCTTCCTCTGTCTCTACTACTCTTCTATTACTATTATGTGATCGCATTTCCCTATTCTCTTCTCGCCCTTCTTCCCCCAATCCATTTGTTGCGCTTTGAACACGCGCCACATTTTTGCTTTACTTCCAGGGGTGCATGCTTTCACCAATTAGTGTCACTTCCTTGGTTTATTATACTGTCTCCGGAGCAAAGAAAAGCCGATTGCATCATTCTCTACCAAGTACCCTGTTCTGTCAAAAACCCATGGATGGAGTGGTCCATGCTTAAAGGAAACGTAATATGATAGAAACACCCATGCAATTGTATTTAACGATATGACAGACGCTTGTCTTGACTTCAACCACCTTTTTCCCTTCTCGTCACTTTATTTTAAGCAACAATGTTTCCAGCTAACGGAGCAGTATCAGCACCCGTCCAGTTCCCGAAACAATGGATCTCAAGCATCGATTGGAACATACAGCCCAAGGCTAACCGAAAGACATCCATCATTTGTACTATTGGTCCTGCTACCAACAACAAGGACAAGCTAGTCGAATTGATGGATGCCGGTATGAATATCGTACGCATGAACTTTTCTCATGGCGACTACGATGTAAGTAAACTGTTTCTGCCTTTTATCGTGACCGATTAGCAAAGGTAACATGACTCCGCACCCCTATCCTCTTGGTAGTACCATGGCTCTGTACTAGGAAATGCACGAGCAGCCGCTGCAGGTGAGTAAGCATTAGCTCCAAAAAAATCCATGTAACGGTATATCGCTAAATAGGCAAAATACATACTATCGATGCATAGAACGACCCGAAAAAGCACTGGCCATTGCACTCGATACCAAGGGTCCTGAAATCCGCACGGGCTCGATGCGTGACGGTAAAGATGCCTCCATCACTAAAGGACAAGATGCCATTATCACCACGGATGACCAATACAAGGATCTCTGTGACGACAAGGTCATTTATCTTGACTACAAGAACATTACCAAAGTGATTGACGTGGGCAAGAATGTGTATATCGACGACGGCTCATTATCGTTTCAAGTCTTGGAGAAACAAGACGATCACCTCAAAGTGCGCGCCTTGAATAATGGTAAACTCTCTTCGAAAAAAGGTGTCAATCTGCCTGGCACACCTGTTGACTTACCCGCCTTGTCTGAAAAGGACAAGAGCGATCTCGCGTGGGGTGTTGAGCATGGTGTCGATATGGTGTTTGCATCGTTTATTCGTCGCGCTCAAGACGTTAAAGACATTCGCCGCGTGCTCGGTAACAAGGGTAAAAACATCAAGATTTTGTGCAAAATTGAGAACCACCAAGGCTGTGAGAACTTTGACGAGATTTTACACGAGACCGATGGCATCATGATTGCTCGTGGTGATATGGGTATCGAGATTCCTTGTGAGCGAGTGTTTGTTGCTCAAAAAATGATGACTGCGAAATGCAACTTGGTCGGCAAGCCCGTAGCATGCGCCACCCAAATGCTGGATTCCATGACTTATAATCCACGTCCCACACGAGCCGAAGTGTCCGATGTTGCCAATGCCGTACTGGACGGTGCAGATCTGGTCATGCTTTCCGGCGAAACGGCCAAAGGCTCTTACCCAGTTGAGACGGTACGAACCATGGCGGCAACGTGTGAACTAGCTGAAACCGTGATTTGCTACCCGCCGTTGTTCAATGAGCTCCGCACGCTTACTCCTTGGCCAACTGATACAACAGAGACAATCGCTTGCGCCGCAGTGTCTGCTGCCGCAGAACAGAACGCTGGTGCTATTATTGTCCTCTCGAAATCGGGTCACACGGCTCGTTTGGCCGCAAAGTATCGTCCCTCGCAACCTATCATTGTCGTCACGCGAAACGAGGAAACCGCTCGACAGGCCCACTTGAACCGCGGCGTGTTCCCCTTTATCCATTTGGAGCAGCCGCTTGACAATTGGCAGGATGATGTCGAGTGCCGTATTCGATATGGTGTCAAGCATGGCAAAGCGGCCGGTTTGCTTCAATCAAACGAGTCAGTCATCGTTGTTCAAGGATGGAAGGGTGGTTTGGGAAATACCAACACGATCCGCGTTCTGATCGCTCCTTAACTGTTGCAACCGTGGGCCACTGCCATTGACATTGTATTTATTTTTGTGACCTAATAACATACACAACTTGTAACGATGTAGTTAATGCACTCTTTTTTCTATTAATAATTCATATACAAATACATGCAGCTTGAACTGGCGAGCATCACCCTGCATATGCATTTCTTCTTTGCTTTTTACCATTCTTGAGATTGTTTGAGATTTGTTGCCACAATCAGAAGCATGATGTATCTATAAAAAACACCACTGAACCTTCCTTGATTGCTTCTTCTCGAGGAGACTGTCAGAAACAACGGTGGATACATTCCCGCGAGTTCCAAGCAGACGACTATTGCTCCCGACGCTGGCAAAGTTGTATATTGTACTATTTGCGTGTTACTATGTGTCCAAGCATGGCAGCTTCTATTGATGCTCTGATCAAACTGATACATCAAACTGTGAATAGACGCACGAACGAATAATTCGATATGGCGGGAACCAACTTATTGCCATATACGGAAAGCTGTTGACACTGTATACTGGCTCTACAAAGCGCCAGGTAATCTGACTGTACTAAACATGCTCTTATCAAACAGGTATTTCACTTGCCAATGTAAGAACATATGCGGTTGTTGATGTAAAAGTGTACGGCATTTAGCTATGTAAAAGTGCTACGCCAGAGAGCAAGTCACCAAGAATCCCATACTCCGGCAAAACCCTCTGTATAACTTCATACATTTCCTGACTTCATATGACCCATTCTATATTTTAAACCTTCACAGCCAAGCCAATTCTTGAGAGTTACAATCTACAGTTGATCTACACACTCTCTTACTCAGTAGTACATGCTACGTACCATGGAGACCCGATTTTTTTAATAGAAGCTACGATCACCAATAATATGTCGTAAAAAAATCAAAACGCTGAGCGACTCAAACATTCTGTAGCACAAAATAGGGTTGCAAAGGTGAAAGGATAATCCATGATGTATAAAAGCTAGTTTGTCCGATGACGACATTGTATATCCAATGCAATGAACGCAGAAGATCATACACATTGATCTTTTTTCTTTGGGGGGGAGGGTGGAGTGCTCTGTGTATGGCTGCGCGCCACCACCTGTACTACAGTGTTATTTAGGTGATGAGTTTGCTGGCTGTTGTCGAGGGATACAAAATCCCAAATTCGTTGTTATCGGCACTCTCGCGTGCGTTTTTGCCTTACATGCGCCATTTTCGCCTCACTCTGCTGAGCCATATATCATTTACCTATAGTAGCAGTAGTCGACTGCGACTATTATACTACTAACTGTTATTAATAGGGTTTCACACGAACGTGGGGCACGTCAAATTGTTTTGCGATGCTGCTGCACGCCCTGTTACGTAAAGTGGTACGGGTATAACAAAATAAATGACGGGAATAAGGAAAATAGTGCAGCAAATATTTGTACCAATCCTATAGCGGTAGTTACAAGGCTCGTTAGCGTTCATGTTGTGGACTTTTAAAACCATGATATCAGTGTACTTCGAGGGCTCACATCGAGAAACAATAGCTGAGCTTACAGTAAATATGATAGGGTTGCTTATTTCTTTTAAAGAAGTCTTTATAGAATAAAGAGCAAAATACCTTTCTCTATCAATTTTTTTGCACCAGACGACTATACGTAAGTATATGTTGTCACTCTTCTGGCATTATGGCTTTCCATTATCAGTACATATAATATGAATCATACTGAGAAAGATCACGGTAAAACATCGCATTTCGTTTGTATCATAGCATATACTCGTTCGATATTATGGGAACGTCGCTTGAAATTTTCAATCGATAATACATCACACATGAGACATTTCACAAAGCATTTTCAATACGCGCGCGATACTGTAGCAACTTTGGGGCATTGACGTTTGCATTTAAAAGCTGGTGCCTTTGCCCATTAATACTGTACTCATCGTAAACATACTCAAGAGACTTTTTAATAAGCTACTAATCATTCGTATATTGGAACCCTTTTTGCAAAAAAAAATATCTTTAAAATAATAACACGCACCTCTATCTAGTGCTATGCATAAATATCTTCATTCTTGCACACGTACAGTGGACCCCCTTTGATGTCAACCCCTTTAGTGTCGATCCCCGACAAGGTCAACGTTTTTCTGAGCACCTCACATTTTAGCAGAGATAAAATGTCAACTTTTACGTAAGGTCAATGTCAACACCTTAGCCAGGATTGACTTCTTATCGAGGTCAACATATCCAATCAAAAAAGTTTATTTCGTTGAAAATATTTTGTCAGGGACGACTCCGTTGCATACATACACTGTGTCGGGATGTGTTGGTTCAATATCTTTATCATCCGGTTTAACTTTGTGCCTGATTAGTCCACACCCACCAAACGTCAATCCCCGTCAGCGTCGACACTTTCAGCTGAACTTGAGGGTTGACAATAGCGGGGGTCCACTGTAATAAGTCCATAATAAGAGGGCATGATCCATATTTCAACACATGGCTAATGTGGTTATCCTGGAAAAATGGAAGCTCTCAACGAATGCACATGCTGCAAGACACGATTGCTGGTCACGTGGTACTGTTGTTATTCTTGCCTTATTCTGCAAGAAGTACGAAAAGACATTCTTTTGTCAAGACTAAATCCGTAATAAATTCAAAAGGTTCTAGTGTACTTACATTAGCACTACACAGGATTAGGTACTGCTGTTTCTACGTAGACAACGTATACTTTCTAACCCTGCTGCTATGCGACAGAGTGTGTGACAAAAAGAGAATACCCTTGGCATCCCAGCCCTAGTAGTAGCGAAACTAATTTGAAATCAACTTGAGCCGCATTACCTACTAATGCTGCCGTCAATTTTATCATAAGAAGTTGATCGCTACTGCTATTTCCTTTTGGCATACATACCTTTGATACGTAACTTGGTGCGTTATGTCCGATGGATCGGACTGGATCTACAAACCTTAACCTGCACGATAAGGTATTTGGTTCGTTTTTCCTCCGAACATCGGCTTGCTGCAAAAGAGAGTTCAGTGTTGCAAAGCTACTGTACGACCGTAAAAAAAAATCATCTCGCTCTAAAAGAGCGGGCCCTTTTTAACACTCACGCAGAGAGCATACATATATATATATTTTCCATCAATAGGAAGAAAACCTCTTGTTTTTTTTCTTTCTCGTCTCTTTTTTTTTTTCTCCTTCTTCTTAATTACCACTCATAAATTTGCTTGGCCATGGCACCCACGGACGACTACGCACCTTCAAGCTGCTTTGGTAACCTGTTCTCGGGTTTCACTAAAAAGAAACAGCCTGCTCGTCGATCCGTGCAAGCAGCGCGTACCGAGCACCATTCTGCTGCTCCGTCGTACTATCCCGCGACCTCGGAGAAACTGCCTGCTTACGATGAATGCGTGTCCAAGGTCCATACAGAAACTAGGATTATACGCAAAGAAGGGATAACATTGCTGACATGGAAAAAAAAAACTCTTATTAGGCATTTGAGCAACTGGATGTCAAGGTCGACAGTGAAACGGAGAACATTGTCGCTAACGCCATTGACAATGTTTCTGATGAGCTGCGCACAATTAGTTTGGACGTATGTTACCCCAAAGTTTCAAGGAAAAAAAGGGAAAGGCTGGTTGGTGGAGTCGAGATAGTTTTCATATCCTTAAGAAATGTGATTTTTTTGTGTATGGAAAATTAGCTCCATGAACATATGGAAACTGGCATGAAGGAGTTCCATGCACACAAACTTCTCACGGACTATCTCGAAGGCAAGGGCTTCACTGTGACCCGCCATGCTTATGGTATGGAGACTGCTTTCACGGCCGAGTACAGCAATGGTCCCGGCAAGCGCATTGCTTTCTGCTCAGAATACGATGGTCTTCCTGGGTAAAAATTGATAATTTCAAATACGCGATCATCAATGTCATCATCAGCAAGCACCTCTCTCTAATTATCGTACAATATGATATACTGTGCCATATTCTAGTCTCGGCCAAGCATGCGGTCACAACCTTATTGCAATCAGTGGTCTTGCTGCCGCCATTGGTACCAAGGCTGTTCTGGACAGTGGAAAGGCCTCTGGTAAGGTCATCCTCTATGGAACACCCGCCGAAGGTACGTATCAATCATCCGATCCTTCTAAATCTGTGCCAGGAAGGCATATCTGATCTTATCCCCGTTTAGAGCTTTCTATTGGTAAAGTTATTCTTTGCAACAAGGGTGTCATCCAAGACAATGTTGATGTTGCATTGATGCTTCATCCTGCGTAAGTGTAACCTTTTGTAGTATGGCTACACTGAGTTTAGATAGCTCACACACACACACACACATTGATATATTTGATATAGTGCTTATCACGCCGAGCGCGGTGCTATGATTGCTGTCAACGACGTCCGTCTGGAGTTCTTTGGCAAAGCAAGCCATGCTTCGGGTAAGTGACTTTGTGCTTTCTCCTAGCAAATTGCTTCTATATCGAAAGAGAGTTTCTCTAATCAATGTTACATGAAACCTTTGGATAGCTGCACCATGGGAAGGTAAAATAAAACTCCGTTTTTTCGTGTTACCAAGGTCGGAAAGAAGAGGAAGAAATAAGCTAACATATGCAACAACTGATAGGCGTTAATGCACTGGATGCCATGGTTCAGGTTTGGAACGGTATCAGTATGATGCGCCAACAGCTTTTGCCCACTGACAGGTAAAGTGGATTAAAGATGTGCTGTCGTATTTGCTGTAAGCTCCATCTTTAGTTATTATCTGACTCTATGCATTGCTCCTTTTTTGTTTGACTATGCAGAGTGCACGGTATCGTGACAGATGGTGGCAAAGCAGTAAGTGGATTCCTTTGGGTATACATAATACTTGTGTAATTGAATTCCTTCAAGTTTACTGACCAACGGATTACTTTTTAGCCTAATGTTATTCCGGACTATACATCGGCATTTTTCTTTGTCCGTACAACTAAATATCCTCAGATTGGCCGTCTGATGCACAAGATGGAAGAATGCTTCAAAGCAGCTGCGCTGGCGACAGGCTGTGAAGTCAAATGGACTTGGCGTGAGATTGGCGTTACCAAAGGCAAGCTATACCTGCGTCAAACGTAGAGTTCGAGGGTCATGTTGCTATAATTCGCCAACACATATAAATTTTTGTAGATGTCGTACCAAATGGACCCATGGCGGACGTGTACAAGCGTTACATGGAAAAGGAAGGCGGCATTCAGTTCCCTAGCCTTGCTGAACAATCAAACTTAGGTGGAGGCGGTACAGGTACTCTATCTATCTAATGGAGCAGCCAAAGTATCCACCGACGGACTATGACTAAAACGATCATTTTTTGTCTAGATTTCGGCAACATCAGCTATGAGGTCCCTAGTTTGCATCCCATGTTCGGTATCCACACAACTGCTGCCAATCATACTATCCAGTTCGTGGGTGCTGCAAAAACCGAGGTTGCACACAAAGATACCATCTTGGCTGCCAAGGCATTGACCGTCACTGCTTCGCGCGTCCTGAAGGATGAGGGCTTTTATCAGGCCATCAAGAAGGACTTTGAGAACAACGTTAAAAGCAACAACGGTGCCTTGTAGCGACCTTTTTCATTCGTTCTGCCCCCATTATTTGGAGAGCATTGGATATCTGTATTGTAACAAAATAATATATCATTTTTCGTGAAAGAAGAAGGCATATATGCTGCTGATTGCTGTCAAGAAGATGATATATCGACACAGAGCGATATAGTAAGTGTTTTTTAATCTGAATAAGTTCCACCTATCCGTCGGAAAGAATGACTGAGATTCCATTTTCGTGATACGGAAACAGTCTAAACCATATAGGGACACCTTCATGGCCCATGTCCTTTCCCCTTTCTTCCGTTAAACAGAAAAACTTTGCTGCTTCTTTCTTTTTTTTTTTTTCATATATATAAGCAAACAACTACAACTGTAGACGCCGCTGGCCGCCGTTTCTTTTTCATTTCTACATACCTTATATACATACATATACACACACAGAGCACAAGTGAGAAAGAAATCATGAAGCTTTTCGAGACAGTTCACGACTACAACTACGAGTGGAGCCTTGTCTCTGCTGCCAATTGGCGCAAGTACCCTAATGAAAATGCAACACATGTAAAATGCGTCGACATTTTAAACCAGCACATCGATCCTGACACTGGCGTTCTGACTACAGAACGTCTCTTTACAGTCAAACAAAACGTACCGACCTTAATCCTCAAGGTACCGCTTTCTTTCTTTCTTTTGCCAATACTACCCCGCTTTATCTCCTGGCGTCGATTTATAAATATTCACATGGCTTGTAATTCCTAATAGATTCTTGGCTCGGATACGACGCACTATGTCCGAGAAGTCTCCACCATCGACCCACGAACAAAAACATTGACCATGTGCAGCGTAAACCTGACCATGTCCAACTTGCTGACCGTAGAAGAAACCATCCGTTATCAAGAGCATCCTGAGGATCCCTTAAAGTGAGTCTTTGTTTCTGAGGCTTCTTTGTTAAAGTTTCATTTGCTTGCACATGGCGCACTAACAAAGAGGTAAACAATAGAACAAAGTTCACGCAACAAGCAGCCATCTCTGCAGGTAGTCTGGTGTCACGATGGGGCAACCTACTCGAGGACTTTACGCTCAAGCGGTTCCAGCAGAACGCAGCAACGGGCCGTGAAGGCTTCTCCAAGGTCCTGGAGCGGTTTGTGGTGATGGCGGAAGCAGGGCAGCAGCAGCAGAAGGCGGTCCGTTCCGACAACGAAAACAACAACAACAGCAGCAGCAGCAACAGCAACAGCAACTAGAAAAGCACTATAACAAGCAACCCCCCCCCTCCTCCCAGCAAAAAAAAAAAAAAAAAATTATATACCAAAGGAGAGAAAGAGCGAAGCAGAAAGCCAAAAGAGCAGCCCTTGCTTTTCTTTTTATACATACGAGCACCAGCAACAGTCCTTTTTGGCATGTATACACAAAAACGCGCCCCTTTCTTTTATATTCTACAGCCACACACTGTGCATAGTGCTCCCCTCCTCATCACCATCCCACATACACACACGCCCATCAAGAGAGACGCGCCCATCTTCTCTTTTCATACTTTGCACATATAGACCTTGTACAGAAAAAGTAAAAAAGTCGCTTTTCTTTTGCTAAACTCAAAGCATGACGTATGGTGTACAACGTACTAAGTAGTCGCAAAGAAGGCGTATCAGAGTTTGCAAAAGGGGGGGGAGGCTCCTTCTGCTATTAAACATTCTGTCCAGAAGTCCAAAACCGGATGTTTCAGCGTCCATTCATCATATGTGGAGGCAACACATGCTCTTGTACTTGGCGGTGGCAGAGTGATCAATGTGCATGTTCCAATCACACACACACACAAACTCTAGCATTCCCTCCCCCCCCCACAAACACTCCCCCCACCCTTCTTTTTTGCTTCTGCCGTCATACCATTTATGCAAACTGGGTTGTTAAGGGAACCCCTTGCTCCCTCTTTAAAGTGCGTTGCATTAATGTGTGTCTATGTTTGCAGCAGAAGAGTCGCCAAGACGAAACGGAAAGGGGATGACAAGAGAAAGAGTATAGGGGAGGAGGGGGGCTCCACATCTTAACAATCATGGTCGTCTTGAATGGACACACACACACACTTGAAACAAACGTACGTGTCAGCAACTATTACCTGATGTGCTCTTGGCATGTATTGGTGGTGCTGCTAGTACACAAAGTAGCTAGTAGAGCACGCATCATGAAAGTACGGTCTTCCATATGGCTGCTGCTGCTGCTGCTGCTGGTGGTTGTTGTGGTGAATGAGTCATTCAATGTGAGTTGTTGTGCTGCTTTGCCGATCAACGCTGTGTTTGGAGACGACCATGGAAAATAAAAAACATCACGCCGTCGGGTTGTACGTTTTAAGCAGCTCTGGTTGTCGTCGTAGTAGAGTTGCACAAGATACAGGGTGAAACAAAGCGACCCTATTTTTTTTCAACAGGCACTCTCTCTTGTCTTGGGGTATCCTTGTGGGTTTGCCCTATTTTGCGCCACTGCAGTCCCAAAAAGTTTGCAAGCAGAGACGACAAATAAAGAAAAAGAGCCAAGAATGCGTGAACACTCGTTTCTCCTTTTCTTCTTCTTTTTGCTCTCACTTGCCTCTTTTTTACTCACTACTATCACCACTTCTACACCCGCCTTTTTCCCCCAGATTCATCCATGACACTGGTTGCAAATACTAATCCAGTAGCACGGGAAAAGAGCAAATCATGGTTATTCAACTGGCTTACCCAATGGACGAGCAGTAGTAACAGTAACAGTAACAGCCGGCGTAGCAGTTGCTGTAGTTGCTCCAGCGAGCGGCGGCACTACGACAACACCAACACCACCAATGACCACGTTGACGAAATCATGATCGTTGAGCCCAACGACAAATTATCCATCTACCGTGTGGAAACAAACCACTCGTCATCCAACAGCACATTCGACAACGATCCACTTGCATCCACAACTACCATCCATGAACAACAACAACAGCAACAGCAACTTTTACACCACCAACAAAAGCGCCACATTTCGTTCCCGCAGCACCAACCGCACCGTTTCAACATCGCCTTGACAACCCCTTCGTCAGAGCGTCGGAACTCACAGCAGACAACAGCAAGTTCCGTCTTATCCGACGACCAGTTTTCCTCCGCATCATGCCACCGCAGAAACAGCAACGAGCGCTCCATACTGAGTGAGCTGTGGTCCAAAGCGCGGAAACATCACCCACATTACCCGCGTTTCCACTGGCCACACAGACGACACCGTCGTCACCACCACCATCGTCATCACCATAGACACCGTCTCTATGACAACGAAGATCTAGCACATAGCGTTGGAGGCACGCCTCCTCGTCTCTCACATGACGAATCAATAGCAAGCAGTAGTAGTGCTACTGCAGTGGCTGCATCTACCACGGCTGCAGCTGCCTACGAAGTACAGAACATGGCGTCAAGCTACCAAGACCAACATTTATTATTTTCCCCACAACCATCGCCGACGCAGCGTAAACGCCACTCGATCACATCACTCATATCAGCAGGCGATCGCATCAGCTTGTCGTCACGACCCGCATCTATCTTCCGTTCTCAACCCGGGTCACCTGTTTTTGCGGCTCTCTTGAAGGACGGACAGCTGTACGACGAAGAAGATGGTGATGTGGACCCGTATTGGCTAGACGATCCACTACAACCCACACGACAGCAACAAGAACGATGGGTGGTCAAACCAGAGCTCGTACAGATAGCAATGGATGATGGGTAAGCTCCTTTCTGGGGTGGGTGGGTAGTGTTACAGCGACAGTGGCCGTGTGAAGAATGAATGAGTATAAAACGTATGAGAACAATGGCTGGGGGAGAGAAATGAAGGCAACACAAAAAAAATTCATGCATGCGTTCCAAAAAAAAGACTTTTTTGTAGTCCGTTCGATATTTCGCCCTCAGCCGGTGCCTCAGAAAAACATGTTCTCCATGTTGGGTAAGCCGAGGGACGATGAAAAGAGAAAAAAAGGGGATCGAGTAAATAATGCGTTATGTGAACAGGACAAACAAACATTAGGACTAGTAGTAGTAACCACCATCTGACTGCTTTCATAGATGCGGAGACGGGGCGTGGGCTACAGAAGTTGCGCTGGAGTATCCAAGATGGAGGGTCGTCGGCATGGACGATCGGCTAGGCGGCACTTGTCCTAACCGTCGTATGGTGCCTCGAAACTTTAAATTCATCCGCTGCTATGAGTCGCTGCTGGAAGGCCTGAAAAACATGCCTGACGATTCATTCGACCTGGTCCACTGCCGCTTCCTGCTCCTGTCATTTCCTGCGGACCAGTACCAGGAGCTTGTGCGGCAATGCTGGCGCGTCTGCAAGCCAGGGGGCTTTGTTGAGCTGCTAGAGATGGATATGCGTATTTATTATGACCGCCCCTTGGTGGGCAAGGTCACGCAAACATTCAACTCGGAAGGTAGCAGTGGTTCTTTTTTTTTCTGTCGTTCTATTTACTTATCGAGTAGACTAAACACATCATCCTTCTTTTCTATTCTTTTTTTTTTTTTTACAATGAAACAAGTCATTCATGTGATCGAATCCAAGTCATTGGACCCGCGTCTCGCCAGACAGCTCAAGGACGTTTTCGGCAAATTGACCCGACCCGATGACGACGTAGAGAAAAACTATCGCATTCTTTACCATGGCAATTATGCGTCCTTGCCACTAGGCATCTGGGGTGGTCGCATCGGGGTCATGTTTCGTGATGATTTGCGCGAGCTCTTTGAGCAGTTCCAGCCTGCGGTTGCTGCAAATAACCAGACGCAGACACGGACCGAACTTGAGTTGGAATCGGCATTCGAGACGATGGATGCTGAAATGGATCTACAACGAGCATTCATGAACCTTCACTTTGCATATGCCCAAAAGGTCGAGCGCGTGTAAACCCATTATTGCTGAATAAGTCCCACACACACGCACAATACAACATACCACTATTTCCTTTTACATATACTTCCAAGTTATCCATTTTGTACAGTTTGATATTCTTAGCTAGCCCCCCCTCTTTCCATGCATGTGTATTTTTGTATTTTTTTTTTCCATTCATCTTGTCTTTTTCACACGCATATCATATACCAAACCCAAAAAAAATTCCATGACGTACTAATAGCGTCCCGCCGTTATTTTACTGTGGCAATCACTCTTTCTAGGTATATCTTTATTTGCCTCTCCTATCGAGCCTTATCTACTTGCTTTTTATCGTCATCAGCAGCTGTGATCATTGTATTGTCGCAAAGAGAAAGGGCCAATGGTACTAAAAAGAAAAGTTGCTATCCTGTTATACATTTCATATCATCATGCATCCTGCCAAACAATCATAATATTCATTCACAATACCGACCTTTATAAATCTAATACACACTAATATGTAGCATAATTAAAGCACTCTAAACAATCAGAGGATGTTTATGTTACGTACTTTAAGGGCATCAGCGTGTGTAATAGTACTAGTACCTCGATTGCCAATGATGCAACCTAAATTCCTTGCGTATTTTTGAACATCTGCAAATTTCTTTGCTGTATTGGAAACTGTGTACATACAGTACAGTGTCGTTATTATGTTGAGAATGATATCGGTGAAGACATAAATCTTGCGTTAAAGGACCATCTCGCCAAGGGAGCTGCTAATATTGAAGTGCTGCCTCATAAGTTCTCGCTCATAGCTGTACTTGTTTTGATGGCTTCGTTCATATCCTTGCCAATGTAGAATGACGTCTATAAAAGGAAGCTTGCTGATGCGCCACTAGCACTGAATATATTGCTGTGGCTGATATGGTGGCGTAACATCTCATCCATCCTCTATCATTCTATTCAAACATATGTACGCACTCGATGGGTATGCAGACCAAGTAGGAAGAAATTTCTTATTGTAAATGCAATTAAAGTTTATGATATCTTTAAGCAGAAATCTATAATAACATATTCTAAGATCGTACCTGAATACTGGCTGGCCATATTACAAAATAATTGCAGCCATGTGTCCTTTTCAGTATAATCTCAGGATGATACTCATCCTTAAGCTAAGGTAAAAATAATACAATCGTGAACGTAGTCAGTAAATCGCTATATGCTACTACTACTACTGCTATTGTCAAAAGAGTATCAACATCGGTGGAAGAGCGTCGGAAAAGGATATCTGCCGATGTGACTGACTCCGCCGCTTGAGCAAACCGTGAGCGCGGGAGGCTTTCTGGTAAACATATAATTTTTTGACATTTTCCACCACAAAGTAAGGAAACAAAAAAAAGAAACGATTCAGTAACAAGGTAGCAAACTTAAACTGTTATTTAACTCTTGAAATCTTACAAATTAGAAATATACACCACAAAATGCTTCGAACACTGATCCAGCAACACGTCACCAGACGATCATATACCACCACCGCCACCGAACGAGCTTACTTCATTTCACGAACTGCCAACAAAGGATTACCCGTCTATACCGACTTCAAGAACGGAGGCACGCAACAATTGACCATTATTCGTCGCGTTGAAGGCGATGCCGAAGCACTGAAAAACGAAATTGTGGAACTGTTTCCCGAAGCACCCAAGAACTTTGCACGTGTCAACCCAGTTAACAACCAGGTTATCTTGAAAGGTGTCCACATGAATGAGATCAAGCAGTGGCTTGTTGAAAAGGGATTTTAAGACGTTCTTTATCTTCTTCCTCCCTCCCTGTCTCCCTCTCCAATAATAACATAGTATAGAACACACACAAAAAAAGACAAACGCACATATACACACATGCTTGTAAATATATTTCTTTCAACTATTATACTATACATTAATGTAGTATCGGCAGTCTAGTAGTAGGGTTTTTGGGATGGTTGGCTAATATGTGGGTAAACTGGATATAAAGTAGACATGTGCTAACTATGAGGTATCAGATACATTAGCATGTACTATATATAATCGCAGGGAAAGACGTAAGTACGACGTAATGGCCCTCTAGTTTTTGTTGACGCATCATGAAAAGCGATGATGGGAGTGATTGATTCAGATTTTCTTGCATTAAAGAGTCCAAAAAGGCCCGTTTTTCCCATTCAACACTTTCTTTTTCCTCTATCTTTTCTCCACATATCACCTTCCACTCAAAAAAAAAAAGAGCGACCAACTGACTATGGCGTATCATCCCGACATTCCATTGAGCCGCACCTTCATGGTTATGACACTGGAATCTTTTCTTGATGACTGGGCTGTCCGTGCCACCTGGATGGCATACAGTGCACTGTTTTCTCTCTGGTGCGCATCATGGCTTGCCAGTGCTGTCTCTACTGGTCATCGACAACCGTGGTCTCGTCGTGTGGTCATTGACGGTGATGGAAACTCGCTTCCGCAGCAAGAACAAGTGGCTTCAACGGCGAGTGACCCAGCCAGCACATCTATGCAAGAGAAGGACGAGACCCAAGATGAAAAACTGTCTTCTTTGAAAAAGTCGGTAGCCACCAAAGCAGCGAAAACGCCAATGTCGCGTCATGATGCTGTTGCTCCCACTCCCTCCAAGACATCATCTGTTCAATCGTTTCTTGAGGTAAAAAAAAAAAAAGAAGCGAAAAGAATGTTTTACAGAATGTATTCGTTTCGTTTCTATATTACTCCTAACACACAGCATACACATGCGTAGAGCCTCAAGGAGTCTCGTGATATGCTGCGAGATCTCTCCCAGATGCTGATTTCTGCGCTTACAGTCAACACCTTTGCCAGCGGAACTCAACGAACGGCCATGGTGATTTCGTATTTGTAAGTAGTGGCAGTACATAATGGTCTTAGTTATGTAGCAGTCGATGTTATGATGGATGCAGAAGCTAAGGTTGATATACTAACAATCACACGTACCATGTACTAGTTTCTTGTCGTATGGCATCTATTCTGTTTTGAGCAACAACGCCAAAACTGTTCCCACTGACGGAAGATGGTCAGTCCACAAGGTTGCCAAGGCTGGATTGCCCGTTGCAGCCATTGCCATTATCGGGCTTGCCTGGTATGAAGGCTTCTAATGCGTGTCCGTTGTTCTTACCTACGTAGCTGCTAGTACATTCAAAAAAAAATCCAGAATGAAGTAACCAATGCATAAGATCTGAAAACAAACAACAAACTTGTTTATATGATACCAACATCCTTGCTTTACACTTGTATTACGGACCCATTTTTTCCCTTTGCAAACACAATAATAAAGAAGCGCACTCTTGCATTTCAATAATGATAATATAACTTTCATGATAGTACATCGGATCATGCTAACTCTTTCTAGATACATCATAAAATAACAAATCAACTTCATCACGATATATATTGGACTACGAAAAGCAGAGTAAGATATATGTAAAGGCATTTACATATAGAGCACCAAAACCTGTATGCCAAATGTTGAAAAGATTAATCCTCTTTCTTTTCTGGTTTATATTTTGTGCTTTTAATTTTTCGATATGTACAAAGTAGAGAAAATAAATTTATGCTGCACCATCAACTGGTGCTTCGCTTGTGGTAGCAGCTGTAGTGGTACTAGTGGGAGTAGAGGGTTGCGATGAACCATTCGACATCGCGCCGGTATACCATGAAAACTCAAGCTTTCCGCGAGGTGTACTTGTTCCGCCCACCATTGCCTACAGTGTTCCATCCATCAAAGTCAATAAATGCCTTTTTTACATATACAAAACAGAATACACATCTCATAAACCGTATCTTTTCTTCCTTTCCAATTGCCATACCTTTTCTGATTCGAAACGCTGGCTATAATCCACAATAATACCATCTTCATGTGATTCGACCATCGTTAAGTTACCGAATTGCTATACAATTTGTGATGCATAAGTGTTGGCTTTTCACTCTATCCAACAAACAAAAATTTCCCTCTTATTGATACGCTACCTCAAAATGCTTACGCATCTCATCCTTTGCATCCTCAGGAACACCTTTTACAAATATCTTAGTTGGGCGATTATCCAAGCTGTAACGCACCGCGCCACCACCTCGCATTCTCGGGTAACCCCGTCCACGACCATAATAGCCACCACGGCCTCCGTGGTAACCACCACCCTGACTCTGTGGTGTGATTCCAAGAGATGCAGCCTGTTGTTGATAAAGATGTTAAAAACATTCGCCAATCATGCTCACATGTAGCACACTCTCATAACCCCTTCTAACCAATTTACCTCTGCTTCTAATTTCGCCAGCTTGGCGGCAAGCTCTTCTGAAGATGTAGCGGTTGCACCATCAGCGGTCTCACCGGTTGGTTCTGAAGCAGTAGCATAAGGAGATGCTTCAGCAGGCGTCTGTTGAGTGGGAGCTTGTGCACTGGCGGATGCCGCCGCGGTAGTCGTCATGGAAGGAGGTAAAGCTGAAGCTTTTGCTGCGCGTGAGATATCGATATCTTTCGCAATTTTTTTAAGAGATTTCAACAGCTCTTCCTTTTCCGCTTTCGTCATATCCTTGGAGTTTGAGAGCTTCCCCATCAGTTGCTTTTGTTCTTCAATCTGCTTCTGTAGCAGCTGCTCCTTTTGCTTTTGGACGTCAAGGATAGCCTTCATGCGTTCCTGATGCTTCTTTTGCTTCTCCTCCCGTAGCTTGGCAAGTTCAGCGGCTCGTGCAGCAACTTCTTCCGGATCAGGCTCGCTTTGTCGTTTCATAGATGTCGTAGTCGATGGTGATGATTTAGTGTCTGGCTTTGCTCGTCCTCCAGAGGCGTCGGATGATGCTGCCTTATTATCGTCTTCATTCTCTTTGCACCAATACACTTTCACGAAACGATTGTCGAATATAGGGTCGGGTGAGCTATAGGCCGCATTTGCTTCTGCATTGGTTGCAAACTGTAAGATGGCTTTGTGCATGTGACTTTGGACGCTGATGTTGGTCAGGGAACCGAACTTTTTAAAGTACTCGTTGACTTTCGAAATCTCGCAGAATTCCGTCGGTATATTTTCTACCACCAGGGTCGTGTTTTGTCGCTTATGGTGTACTGGTCCCATATGACCGCCGCCACGTCCTCGACCGCCTCGTCCTCCTCGACCCCGCATCATTCCTCCACCACGAGGTGTAGCAAACATCCGATTACCGCCCATGTTGTCAGAAGTTGCAGGCATCATCATGCCAGGAACATCAACGGGGAACGATGGAATGTTGCCACTGTTTGGCATCAGTGTTGCGCGTTCTGGGTCATATGCATCTAGGGTACCATGAAAGTAGTGCGAGTTAGATGCATCATTCAATTATGATCTCTCATACCAACGACATCTTTATGATTACTACCACCGCCAATTATTACCAAAGTTACCAGGCATTCCAAAGAACGGTGGTGCTGCCTGTTGTTGCTGATACAGAGGTGGGCCCATTTGAGTAGACACATTGGGAAAAGTTGGTGTGCTGAACGAACCATCGTCTACAACAATTCTGTCTGCTCCATGATCGTATGGGCACATATCACCTCGCGTACAGTATCCCCTTTCTAAAACAAACATAAAAAAGTCACATATAACAGGCACATGTTAATCTTCATAATGAAGTTGATGGGTTTTCCATACAGCGTAAAACAAGAATTGCGTTTACACGTACCATTATAATCTCGGCAAAGAGGACGCATAGGACGACCGCCACTTATATCGCCTCGATATCCACCACGACCTCCTCCTCCTCCTGGTCCTCGATGCGGCGGTAATGACGACAGATGTTGCTGTCTGCGGTCATACATGGCTGCAGGTCCTCGAGGAATCGAGTTTGAACCCGTACGATAACCTTCGTTACGTGAATGTCTACTGCCTCCATAGCCATCAGATACGTGGCGTCTGTCTCTGCTGCTACCGCTGCTATTATAATGTCTATCATCTCCAGAGGAACGCGAATATCGACCGTCGTTGTCGCGTGCTGCTTCCGACCTTGGTCGTCGATGCTTGAAATTGCGGTCGCCGTCATCCTCCTCATCAGAATAATCGCTTGCCTGACGACTGCGTTCTGGTGCACGTGAATCATTGTTACTATCGTGTTTGTCGTTCGAATCATATCCTAATTCCTTGAACAATCTGTCAATGAAAGGACCGGTCTCTATAAAGTAAATATATTTTCAAAAGTTAAAAAAAGTTAATATAATACTGGACTAAAACCACACAACGTACGACCAAATATAAGTGGTGTGTTCATGATGCTTTACGGCAAGTAAGAAAGAAAGAAACTTACGATCGCCAAAAAATTCCCTCAACTTCTCGTCAAGTGATTGTCGAAGAATGTGTGGTGGATCACCAGAACCTATCAAGGCGGTAATGTACTGCGCTACCAAGTCCGGATCAGCATCGCATCTATACGTGAACATCCATTAGCTCTCGCATTAAAAACTCAATGCATTTGCTAGAACGTACAATGTTTGGACTTCACGAATAAGATAGGATTGAAGTGCAGAACCCTGTAAATTGCTTGACATGACAGGCAACTTATAAAAAAAAGGGGAAGAAGGAAAGATCGAGTAACGCAGCTCTTTTTTTTTCTTACGTTGAGTGAGCGGACGCTGTGTTTTTTTTTTGGCTTCTTGCTTTACAGGCAACTCAGCTTGATTTCGTCGTTGCGCCACGTGACCTCTTATTTTTGCTGCGCGCTGGTACGATGCCTTGATTTCAAAACTACAATGATTTCTCTTTATGTATAAACATGTATAGAAGCTACTTATAGGTAAAAAAAAGAGCAAGGTGTATTCATTGCATTTTAAAAGTCGCTCTACTATATCGATCATAAAGTAATTCTTTGTTCCCAGATCCTGTGTTCTTCGGCTTTTTAGGAAAGGTTGAGAGCTCCCCTTGCTATGTTTAATCGTTGAATTTGGTGCTGAACTCGCTACATAGCGCTGTTAATATTTACCTTATTCGACAAAGATATGCGGGCTAGATGCTGGACAAGGATACTCACTTGTAAGTGTGATCGTTTGCTTGCTTTTCCTCTTCTTCTCCTTTATTTTGGTGAAGTATTGTTTGTTATTGGATGGAGCTATAATCATCTATTAAAATAGTAGTTGTGAATATGATCTTGCGTCACGGGTGGTCAAATCATACGGATACCATCGACGACAACTGTAGAAAGAGATTTCGCCATCGGCGATGATAATAATCATCTGTTACTGTTTTCTCTCCATTACTCTCTAGGTACGATGATAAAGAAAAACAGCCAAGATATCCCTTTAAATTACGCTAACCAAGAGTAGCTGAACTTGGAGTGAGCTGACTATGTAAAAACAGTACTTTGCACAATAATGTTGCTGCCATATGCCATGTTTTGTTGACACTGTATTGAGCATCATCTGATGTACCAAAGCTGACGCAATCGTTTTTACATACAATAAGAGAGAAATTGTCTAAGCGCACGACGAGTGATGAACGAACAGAATGTGGAGTTTGAGAATTATCACATATCTCACGAAAGGCCAAACATGCTAGTTTTGGGCATACATCGCAACACATCCTTTTTGATGTAAGTTAGTACTTTTCCAAATATAATTCTTGCTTTCTAATATTGCATAAACGTCGACGAGAAGCTGATAGATGAAAAGCGTTTTAGCAGCGCAGTATTCATACAGTATATGCTCCGTAGTTGAAAAGGGGCAGGGGTGATGGTGTCGCTGTTGGTGTTGACTTGTGATACTGGTGATGTGATGATGGCAAATGCATCACAGGAGGTTGTTGGGGAATGACTTCTGTTTATAGTTAGTGGTATCAGTGATGCTGACGCCACACAGCAGCACATATGCAAAACGTAGCATCGATATGTATGGAATTGATCGTTGTGCTTCTTTGAAATACCAAACGTGTACGATACAGAATCGAAAAAAAAAAGCAGAATATAATTTCGGGTCATGAGATCCTGCTCCCCCGTTTAGATTGCTTAGGATATAGCTTTGCTGTGTTTATGTATTGCTGCTATATTGCTGTGTATATACTATTCAGATACTCATATAAAATCCAATAGCGATGCTGACACGGTTGTCTTTTAAATTCTTTGCCTGGGGTTCAAAAACAAAAGTGAGGCAAAATGGCAGATCGACAAAAGAAGACAACAGTTCGTTTTGAATGGGTGGGTGTGTACAGCATATGCAAGATGGGGCCGTTCCACCCCCAAATATGGATGTAGACAGAAAGAGAGCCGTTGTCTAACTGGGGCTCTCGACAACAACATTATCATCACAGACGTATCACCCTGCTTACGCAAATATACAAACTTGTACCCTTTCATCTACGAGTCGACAGTAGGGAGAACAACCTGAAAGAGATAAATGGATGCATTTACTATTGAACGAGGCATGCATTTTCTTTTAAACGATGGTGCTGGTTGTGTTGTGTGTTTCCTTGTGAGGTGCTGGTTTCAATAGGCCCAATCTGATTGGCTGACTGGCTGGCGTTTCTTAGGGAAAGAAGAGACACAATGACAGGAAATCCAGCTACGCGTGCGCACCATACGCATACATCACACCGGCTGTTTCCAGCACGGCCTTTATTGTGCGATATTTCCACGTTTTTCCTGCTGTTGGTAGTGCTTGTTGAGCAGCATTATTAGTGTTATTTTGCAAAGAATGCCGACCCATATTTCTTTGGCTCTTACATATATAACTTGGTCAGTTTTCATCTCTTTTATTTTTCCTCTTATTTGCTCTCCCATTCTTTCCTGTTTCTGCTCGAGTAGTGCCCCCCTCCTCTCTTTAATAATCAAGATAACTGCTAGCTTTTCAACACTAGCTTCACTGAACCCACACTCCCATTCTTTTACTCTACACTGTCCAATCAAATGTACAGCTGTGACCTGTTCTATGGAGATGAGGCATTTAATTTTGGACAAGATGAAAAGCATCAATTACAGCAACAACAATCCCTCTTTCAGCACCATCAGCAGCAGCAGCTACAGCAGCAACACCAACACCAAGGGTTACTCTTGAACGACGCATACCCCAAACTACAGCCTTTATTGGATTACACACCGGACTTGGTTCCTAATGATACGCCAGACGACGATCCATTAACGAGCTTTGACGATTTATGCATGCCAACCTCGTCGTCGTCACCTCAGGTATCGTCGTATTTACAATATCTCAAAGAACCACCCGCGTCGGTCGACTATTCAAGCGTAATGATGCCCGTAATGTCAGCAGCGACATCAGCTACTTCCACAGTCGACGATGCTTCTGCTGCTGCTGCTGCTGCCGCAGCCGCAGCCGCAGCATGTTGTTGGCCTGGAATGGACGCCACTGCAAACAGTCTACTTCTATGTCCAAACACAATGTTAGCACCCGAAATTTCAACAACACCAACAGCAACAGCATCGACAACGACAGGACTACGAGCAGGAGGAAACAACTGGTTTTGTGAGCCTCCTGAAGCCTACTTTGGCAGCGATTTCTGCAGCGAACCAACCAGCAGTAGTCCTGACGACGGTTTTCACCATGATTCGCTAAGTGGCATGACCCGAGAATACGTCAGTCTGAGCGTAAGTTTTATTTTTGGATGAAATATACCAAAACAAGAAAGGGGAAGATTGAGCGGGAGGACATGGGTTTTCTGTCGTGTAACATATGCACCGACAATCATCCATATATGCAAAAAAACGTATATATTCAAGTATAGCGGTAATTTACAGGATGTCAACTCGTTTGTCGCAGAAGCAGATTCTCAAAAGCATGCTGCGTCTATCCACCTTTCCTATTCGACTCCAGAGAACTTACAGTTTCTCGGAAACGAGGACAGCCTAGCACAATTGTCAAGCTTTGCTTCTGTGCCGGCGTCATTAACCAACTTGGCGCCTCCTCTCCCACCACCTTCCCATCATAATCACAACCATCTCAATGAACATCAGCACCACAGCAATCAAAACCAGCCATCATTAACACCACAATCTCCCGATCACGATGACTCTGACAGTGAAACAGTATCCTCCACTCGGTCAATCACATACTGGAAAGGCGACTTGTGGAAATCTGCCTACGACAAAGTGGCAATGAAGCGGTCGAGGAGAAAGAAGATCAACAGAAAGAAGTCGGATATTTTATCCAAACACAAGCGTAGCGGCAACAATAACAAGAAGTCGGTTTCTCGGTCTTCACCATTGCCTGCATCCGAGAGTATCAGTACATTTTTAGCACGCCAAAGATTATCAGATGACGAAGAGCAGCACCAGCCTCCACAACCACAGCATCCACCAGAAGAGGAATACGACATGGAAGAGGAGGATGACGAATATGTTTTCCGTGGTGATGGTAATGATTCATCAATGATAGCATATTGGGTGCAGAAACAACGATAGCAATGGCGGCAATGCAATGAAAGCTGACGTTACTTAAAAAAAATGTGCAGGCCAATCTACTAGTAGCCTGAGAAAGGGCCGAAACGTCGACAAAGCATGTAACCACTGCAAGCGATCTCATTTGCGCTGTGATAACATGCGGCCGTGTCGACGATGCGTTGCCACAGGGAAAACTGGATGCAAAGATGTCGAGCATAAACCAAGAGGTCGGCCAAGGCTCAACAAGAACCAACATAGTGTAAAGACCAGAGGAATATAAAGAAGGTGTTGCATACTTTCCTTACTTCCACTTTTCATCCCTTTCCCCTCTTCTAGATCACTTCTTGAGACTTAGTTATAGTTCGACACACATCCTCCTACCTTCCCTATAATTTTCATCCGACCTTTATACCCTTTTATTTTACAATTACTATAACTATCACTATTACTACTTCGTACGTGTATAAACTGAAAAATGTATAAACACGAACCCGCCAAATAATCACGTAAAGGCGATAATTCAACAATTAATAAATGTTCCGACCCATTTCACTACAACTATGATATCCGTAGAGCAATATTGCTTTTAAATAATTACTATTATTACTGCGCATCACCCTTTATCTAAAACATTGCGCTACATATATATGATATTATATGGTGTGTGTGTGTGTGTATGTGGGTGGGCGTTCGGTGTACACGTAAGAGATACAAATTAAATGTTGCTGTCACTACTACTGCCATCGCCACTACCAGCTCCACTTCCCGGGGGATGAAGTAAGTTGTGGTTCTGGTCGTCGTTAAGTACAATATCCTTCTCATTCGGAGAAAACTCGGACGTTGTCTGTCGCAAATCTAACGCAGAATGCGAGCTACCATAACTGGATCTATCCAGCTTGAATGAAGACATGGCTTCCCGGAATCCAAAGTCAAGTGAGTTGGCCGGTGATGAATTGTGCTGCTTATCAAATGCAAAGAGACGAAGCGCGGTAACAGCCTGTACGTTTTGACGGTCGACAGCAAGATCTAGCGGTGCCTACATTGAGCAGAAGATAGATAAAAGATATATACTGTTTAAAACGTGCTGTGCCCTTCCATCGCATTCTAGTGATCGACATATTCCAAAAGAGGTTACCTTCCCAGATTCATCTCTTGCATCGGCTTTTGCATATCTTTTTAATAACGCCAGCACCAGCCGGACATTATTGTTCGCCGCAGCATAGTGAAGGCTGGACCAACCCTTCGCATCGGATTGATTCACATCACTGAACCATTGTAACAAAAACTCTACAGCAATTTCATCGCCTTGTTCAACTGCTTTATGTAGAGCCGTTTGACCTTCTTGGTTTGGATTTTTGTAATCTACTTTGGCCCCTTGAGCAAGATAACGCAAAGCATCCGTAAGGCGCGACTCTGTAATTGCATCCCAGAACTCCTAAATATTTATAGTTGAGACACGCATTAAATCGGTATATGCTTCGTAGAGTTGCCTAACAATAAAGACGAGTATACAGAGAAATACCAGTTTCTCCATGTTACCTGATTGAGCACCGCCTCGTCTTCGGTCTTCCGTGCTACAAAGGATCGCTTCACATATTTTTCTGTAATCCACAAATCTCGCTCCGGTCTAAGACGGGTTTAGAAAATGAGCTTCTAGAATCGAGATATCATGTCTTAGATCACTGACCTTGTTGAATCTTGATGAATGCGGAAAGTCCCCATATCTTGCGGGATCCTTTCTTGAAATATTTCGTTTGCAACCGTATTGCCGAGTCGAAGCATTATCTTTTTCGTAGAAATCCCAAAAAAAGGTGGTGCGATTACTATGGGATAAGTGCTGCCTGCTTTTGCTGCTAGTGGCACTATTATGAATTAACACTGTACCTCGATCGTTTCAGACTCCCACTTATCAAGGGCAAGGGATCGTACTTTGCTGACGTGAACACCAAGGCTTCGATGGATACCTGAGCACTCAATGCATACAATCACACCAAGATTCGTACTGGCCCATTCTGGACCGGATGTTCCACAGTCTGCGCATAAATTGTTTCCTGGTTCTTCACGTAATGTTTTCAAAAGTTGCTGGTCCGTTTCTGAGTTTGTTGATGAGAATTCTTTCAACTTGGATTTAGGTGAGGAGTCAGACGTGCCCTAAATGATAGTATGTTTGGTTTCTGCATAAGTAGCTGAAAATGTCATCGTATGCTGCTGAAAGAAAGGAAGAAAAAGGGAGTGATTTTGTATATACCGATGTTGCCGGTTCAGGCATCGCATTGTCAGAGTTGAGTGCCATTTGGTTCGCCATCCTCAAACGGTTGACCCATTCATGCATATCTTGATCGTTTTCGGCTTGCAGAACAAGGATACTGTTATGAACATACATCATCCGTTGTTGTTAACCATCAGCTTTAATATATACACCTCGTCGGTCTTTTTACAGACAGATGTAACAATCTTACCGTGAAGGAGAAATGACCTCAAAGCAAAAACGGCGATCGTAACCATCCGTAAGTTTGACACTGCACACGCGTAGATTATATGATGTTGGAAGATCGTCGTCTTTAGGTTGCTGTTGAAATAAAACCAGAAATACAGATAATCAGTCGAACTCGTTATTTGAGCAAACTATTGTGGTAAGTTTACATTCACTAGCTTGATGTACACATACCTTTGGACCGCGGTAAGTGCACTTCAACTCTTCTCCCTCAATGATGAAGTATTTACGGACCCAACTTTGCAATACACGCCCCCCTCTTCGTTCAAATAGGTAGCCTGATTTTGACACTGAGGACGACGATGGTGGATGGGTGGGTGCTAGAGGGGAACCTGGCGAAATACCATGCATGGGACTGTATTCCGATGCAGCATTCTTTTCCATACCACAATTGACGTATGAGCAATCACTGCACGCTATCCTCTTTCATCCCCTATAATCCTCCATATTATCCATCTTAACTCACCTGTGCACAAGTGTCTTGATAGTTGCGGCTCTCTACTGACTCTTCAACGTATCGTTGTCGCGACTATATGTTCTCCACATCACTTAGCTAACTTTACTCCTCTGTTTCCCACCATAGTAGTTTAACCTACATCATGTATTAAGCCTGTATAAAGCATAGTAAGTAAGCGGCTGTCCTGATGTTTTATTTTTTCCACGGAGTCTTTTTTTGTGTACCTGTCAAGTCGCGCATATATGGCTCGAGGTCTTTTAAAATTTCGTAGCTTTGATGATGAAACACTGACTCGGTATACATGTAAGCGAGTACCTAACATATTCTCAGCATCGTCAGGCTGACTCCAAAAGAAAACATGTGTCCATGCATCCCTTTTTTCTTTTCTTTCTTACATTCTCCATGTAGTCGACTTTCTTCCTGGCCTCGACATCGTTCAGTGTTTGTACATAATCCATGTAAACTTGATGAAATCCTTTTCGTGTATCGGCCAGCTCGTTTGCGGCCTATCCAATTCGATAAGCTGCCATCACTTGGCTGAGATTTGTCGGAAAGGGGGATGAATGGGAGTATGATTCTGGATAAGCGAAGGAAAGAAAAAATTGCCACAAACACATGCCTCGGGTATCATAGGGTCTCTTGGTTTTTTGGACATATACTTGCTCAACGCCGAATCCACATCATCGCTTGATTTTTCAAATCGCTTCCTTACATCCTATAGTTATGTTTTCGGTCAGTACTGCAGGATTTTATAGCTTGGTGAATATTTAAGACTTTGGAGTATATGAAATACTTACTTTGACCGGTGAAAGTGTGTCCCTCATGAATTTTTCAAGCGGCTCAATAAATGTAGTGGCTACGTGCGAATTCTATGATCCGCCATCCGTTATTGAGTATGATAATATGTTTTGATTAAGGTCACGTAGTATGGATCACAATTAATAGTTATAACATTGATAATACGACTTACAAACATATGGCGGCATTTTTCGACCTCAAGCATAGACTTGCCAAACTTTTCCAGCGCGTGTGCTATAATTGAAAAGCAAATGCACAGTTATCATCTTGACACTCCTTCCTGGCTTCTCTTGCTTCTTTCGCTGATCACACTTGATAAAGCTTATTCTATCCTCCTCTTCTTCTTTTCGTGTTATCGTTTTTATTTCTTTTTCTTTTGTGTTAACTCATCGTAGCTTTACCAACAATAGGGTCATCTTGAGATTGTCCAAATGTCAGAAAGCCAAGTGCAAGTTCTTGTTGGCGCAAGCTATACTCTTTATAATACAATACAGAATTGAGCCACACAGTTTTGCACTGTTCTCTTTTGTGATGCCACACATTACTTCTTCTTCTCTTTCCTCTCTCATTCTAAGCCAGGACATCATTTCTTTACCGCTGGAAAGGTTCACTTGGGCACGAGAAAGCTTTAAAAGGGATTTGAGGGACGATTCAAAGTTCTGGATATTTTCTTCGTGGGCAACGACACGTTTACGAAAAGTGGGCGAATCCTCAAGGCAGCCCTTCAGGTCGAGAGCGGGCATAATGAGAATCTTGTTACAGGGTGGTGCGTGTTATAAGAGCTTAGCAGGTAAGTGTACGATCCCTCGAGACAAGAATAGTACGCAACGCTTCTTTGCATGGCAGATTAACTCCGCAAACCTTGTGTGCCCTGGAGAGCGGGTGGTTGTCATGACAACAGTTGGCTGTGTAGGACCGATTTTCCGGCAACAAGATAAACTGTTATACTGTAATCCTACTAGACTTCCACCTATTCATGCAATCTATGTGTTGTCATGGACTCTTCTAAGCTTTTAGTTACCTCAAAGCATCATTCATAAGGAAAAGGGGCCTGCCGGTTGCATTCTGGTTTCGACTCGAACAAGCTTTATATGAAAGAAGCACACAAATCTTTTGTCAGGACGCAACAAACTACCCATGATGACAACAGCTATGCTTGTTTTGTGAGTCTTATTATATGAGTGATAGCAACGAGATAACATTCGTAGCCAGTGCATCTAACCCTCGATATCCATAATCATTGGAGGAACTTAATAAGAAGATTAAGCGTTTCTATGGTTCTACCGTATGTATTTTATGGTAATGTACATGATTGGCAAAACTAGCGTCATGGCGTTTCCTTTCCTATCATCTGCAGCGTACTCCATGCGATTATCATCTATGGCTTTTGAAATTTCGTCGGTTGTGCTGTTAGAAGTGCTTCTTGAAAATATCAGTTAAATATGACACATTATTATGTGGAGGGTCTTTAATGATGGCAGAGTCGTACAGTTACTACATATGACGTTTCCAATCTTTGAACAGTTTCTAAAACGATTATAGTTTACTAATCGTGCTTTATAGATAGGTACTTATTTGGTATAATACGGTTTAGCACAATTATGGCTAGTGTACACTTATGAAGTTTCTCTTGATCCTTGCTGCGACTTACGTGGATGTATGAGAGTTCGATTACAGCAGTTACATAAACATGTTACTGCGGTATGGTCGCTCGGAATTTTTATATTGACGGGGATGCTTCCACGCTTTTGAATGAAAAGATAGAAAATACATTCTATTAATCACTAGCAATGTTAACCATCAAGTACCGTGTTGTACGCATCGCTTGTATTTGTGACGTACCAAAATATTACTGTACGCTTTCAGTGAAAAGCTGGTCGCCCTTCATTCTCACATTGAGCAAAAACACAAAAGATAATGTATATATCAGCAGTTTATGGATGCGCTACACAGTTTTCGTCTTTCCGATACATGTTGAACATATACAGAAAAACTGATACATTTTCAGCTCTCATATGAGCACTGTAAACTACCCGGCTTTCTCCAGAAGTCCGTTACTTTTTCCCAAGCGAGCTTGTCCACAGCGAAAATGTCAAACAACGTTTTCCCAGAGATGAAACAAACACAAAGTATGAGATAGCGTGTGAATTGCTTTGAGTCCAAACAAAAGAGAGAGATGCGTTAGGTGGGACAACCAGTGAGCTATCTTGGACAGAGGTTCCTTAATAGAGTTATTGATCCGCTGTCTTAAATCATTTTTATTATCAAAGTATGCTACGATTCAAATATTCTATAAGCACACATTATAGACGTAGCTGCTCTATCTAGAAAATAGAAGCATTTAATATATGCCCGTAAAAAGAAAATTACTGATTCTTTGATCCACCATGTATAGTAATAATAAGAGATTGTTTTCGGTAGGTTAAGCCCAAAATGAAAACTACCAGATTAAGAGTTAGTACCACCATCGGATCACACAAAAGCCAATTTTTTTTCCTCGGCTGCGATGACAAAGTATCAGTTGATCTTAGGAAATCTAGAGGACATATGCTAATTTATTCACCACCGATTATTCAAAAGATACTACCAATGAACCACCTACTGTTCAGACAAGTTCGGGGCATGACTAAGCTACAAATCAGTTAACCTAACGGAAAAGACGAAGATTGCTTGCCGGCAAGAAGGATCTTGCAGTGAAAACCCATTCCTTTGAACTCAAGTTCTACGGTGGAATACGCTGCCCACGTTATTTGACATGCCCAGAAGCGTGCGCAAAAATTTGGGCGTTGCCGTGTGTGAATGCACTATACTTTGCATTACTAAATGCATTGCACAGGAAAAATTTTGCCTCTTTTTGATTGTGTAGTGCTGTTAGAGAAAATGATAATAAATCCGTACTTTTTTTTTTGACATAAAAATCCTTTCTTTTAAATTTGTATCCCTTTTTCACAGCGCATTTTGTTTGTTTGTAACATCACTTTTCGTACTTACCAAGCATGTTCTTTTTAAAGAAGAGATCGGGGCAAGGAGGTGGAGGCGACAGCTCACCCGACAGCGGCAGTCTTAACAAAGCAGACAATATCCATGCGGAGAAGGCAACCGGAAATAGTTCACCTATTAGCATGTCTGAGCTTTCTCCACCTGTGGATGAAAAGGAGTTGCGACGACTGATGTGGAAAATCGATCTACGAATCATCCCACTTGTTGCCCTCCTTTATCTTCTTTCTTACTTGGATCGTGTTAATATCGGTATGTCAGCTTTAGTAAAAGCAATTAGTACAACAATTTTACTTACTAGAGCGGGCCCTATCCTCTGTTTCTCGTAAAGGCAACGCCAAGATAGCTGGTCTGATGGACGATGTCGATATGACCAGTGACGACTATAACTGGGCATTATCTATTTTCTACATTGGTTATGTAAGAATAAGCGACACAAGTATAGTGACAGCGGTATCCATACTAACGCCAATCTATTTAATCACGCTTTAGATTATATTTGAAATACCTTCGAATATTATCCTGAAAAAGATCGGTCCAAGGATATGGCTTTCATCAAGTAATTACTAACTATACTTAATATATATTATGGACGAAAAGTTTGAGCAGAAATGTTAACGATCGGCTCTGATGTATGCTGTTAATTTACAAAACGAAATTTACAGTAATGGTGACCTGGGGTGTCATTCTAGCAGCGATGGCTAAAGTCAAAACTGGACAGCATCTCCTTGCCGCCAGATTCTTCCTCGGCGTTGCTGAGGTTTCTGATCTTTCGCTCTCTTCTCAAATAAGGTTACTGTATGTAACTGGTCAAGTACTAATGCTAGTAGTTTATAACTATTAGGCAGGTCTGTACCCCGGCGTTCTCTTTTATCTGTCGCTGTGGTACACGAGAAAACAGCAGGCTACGGTATGGGACTTTGTTGTCGTGTTAGGATAATTTAATCTGATGTGGATCCTAAAATACTAAGGAAGAAACACTTATAAATCTGTAACATTAGCGAATTGCTATCTTCTATGGAAGCTCTACTTTAGCAGGTGTAAGTACATTTTCATCATGTCTTCAACATGTTGTTCTAATCATTTGCTTAGTCGGTGATTAATAGTGATATTTTCTCTTCATACTTGTATTAGGCATTCGGCGGCGTTCTGGTACGACCGGGCATAATATCCTTGTGCGCGTGTTTAGTCAAAATGTCCATTTCACTTGTTACTAACGTTTTATACTTTAAACGACAGGCTTACGGTATAATGCATATGAAAGGCCTTGCGGGGTTGAGCGGCTGGCAATGGATTTTCATCATTGAAGCTATTCCCACAATCCTAGTTGGAGCGTTGACTTACTTCATTCTACCCGACTATCCGGAAAAGGCAACGAGTAAGTATTTGCTTCTTCATACATTTCTCACTGCTAACGTAAACAGTTGAAGCCGAAGATCGTTAAAGATTCTTTTACTTAAAAAACAGTGCTTAATGAGCGTGAGCGAGAAATCATTGTTGGCTTAATGAAGGTGGATGTTGGACCTGCTGTCGAGAAACACTGGTCTTGGATACAATTTTGGGCGGTGTTCAAGGACTGGAAATCGTATGCTTATGGCTTGCTATCACTCGCTGCATGCACTCCTATGTTCTCCCTGAGCATGTTTTTACCTAGTATCATTCGTGATCTCGGGTTTGAAAGTGTCACAGCGCAAGCGATGACAAGTGTTCCGTACGCTATTGGTAAGTGCAAGCTTTGAAATCTTTTGGTGAATACGAGAAACACAATGTCATTAACGCGCTTTATATATATAATGACTACAGCCTTTGTGATCACCGTTCTCAATGCTATAAGCGCTGATAGGCATCAAGAACGTGCATTCCATATTGCCATTCCTTCATTTGTGGGTGTTATCGGCTACATGCTTCTGATTGTCTTGCGGAATAGTGGCTCAGCAGCACGCTATGTAGCAGCCATCATTACCGTTACTGGTGCGTTTGCAGAGTCTCCTCCAAAAACATCCTGGTTTTCCAACAATTTTGGTGGACAGACGAAGCGTGCCGTAGCATTAGGTTTGATCATAGCTATTGGAAATATCGGAGGAGTACTGGGCGGTCATCTATACAGAGAAGACGACGCTCCATATTATGTCCGCGGTCATGCTATTAATTTGAGTCTGATGGGAGTACTTGTGATTCTGTCACTAAGTATCAAGTTCATAATGTATCGTATCAACAAGAAACGCGATAATTTGACATCAGAGGAGTACCGCATTGCTTGTGAAGGTGAAGAGCTATGCGACAAGGTACAGTAATTTTTTAATATATCGCTGTTTGATAATTGAGCGGTTTATAAATTGAAAGCTAACAATCCCATCTGTTCTATACACTTATATAATCTAGCATCCTGATTTTAGATACATTCTTTGAATTGCGCCGTTTTATGATATAAGCTTACATGAGCTAGACCTATATAAATATAAGTGATATTATATCTACTTATTAAAACATACTACACGACATTTAAATTGTATACAATGTAAAAATGTAGATTATAATAACAGTACATAAAAGTGCTGTGCTGGTAGATTTCACTATGAAGAAAGGCCGACCGGCCCCACTCATTATGAGATCTGTGTTGATGTCTTTACGTACCATAAAAGTGTTGGACTATGCACCATGTCATGTCGCAGGGAATAAAACGGTTGTTTAATTCATTCGTTGTAAAGGGTTTATCCACAGAAATATAGTACATATGCACTAGAAAAGGACAATAAGTTGCTCACAGAAAATGCTTATGTTTTCCCATCGAGGAAAAAATACATAAAGATGCAGCAGTTCAAAAACTCTGAATAAGGAACTTTCATTTAAAAAGAAACAGAGAGGATTTCGTGCCTCCTACATATGATATCTTTCATCTGTTTTGGAAAAGAAGATTAAATTCGAAACCCCAATCCTTTAGAAGACACATCTGCCACGATCGGTAATTTCCGCAAATAAGTACAGTATGCATGTTTAGAGCAGTAGTAACACCGTAATTGTAATATATATGCATTATCAAAGTTGAATTTATAGTGTGCGTACTACTGCGTTATGAATTTGATTTGCAAAGGTATTTAATCATACATTTATACAACGTAAATTGTTAGTAACCACGGAAAGCAAGCACTTATTTACAGGATCCTTGCCATTTCTTTACGATATCGTTTCCGTCTGAGCCCTGTAAACTTCCAGAACGTTGTCTCTTCAATTTAACAATTTCATCATAGTCGTTGGGAAACGTGAGTGCCGCGTTTGGTTCTGCCTTGGACTCGCTGGGAGCAATGCTTTTCAAAAGTCGACGGAAGGCTTTCTGAATTGCTGTGATTTTCTGTGGATTTCGTGTGAAAACGCGGACAACGACTTCTTCAAACTGCTGTGGAATCATGTAAGAGACTTGCTGTTTGGGGATCGTAAAAGATTCTAATTTACAAAGATACCGTAATAGCGATTTTAATCATTTCGGTTAGTATTCAATAGATTTTAAGTATCCCAAATATCAGCCGTATGTGTATTAGCAGATCGTACCGTTATCATTAAACTTAGAGTAAAACCGGATTGAATCGACCGGGTTTCTGTCCTTCATTGCGTAGTTGATCTTGATCCACTTTACAATCACATCATCCTCGGTCAAATAGTCGTTGTTGCTTTGATGTGATACTATTTCAGTTGCCGTGATTGTGCTCTATTTTATATATTAATATTCAAACAGATCGATATGATAACTAAGAAGAAAATCAAGAGAGTTTTTGTACCTTATTCATATGAGCTGCAAGTTCCGTAGGTAGCAAGAATTCATCGACAAACTTATATAGATCTCTTGTTCTCAAACGTCGCATGATTGATCGTGACTTTTCCAACTCTTTTGTTTTTGAACGTTCGATCACACGCAAAATATCGTCTGTCAAATTCAAATATTCTTCTGGCTTATCCACAGCAGACGAAATACCAAGTTGGGAATCTTTTTGTTTTTCAAAAGGTGAGAAAGTTGGTTTTAAAAAAGGAAGCCGTAAACGGTGGATACTTACCAGCGTGAATCATTGCATCGGTAATCATCATTTCAACAGCCTCAGCTAACAGCAAAAGTAATGAGCTACTATGTAAGGATAAAAAATTTGATCAAGGCAGAATTTTCTTACCAACACGGTGTGTATAAATACGTTTGAAAAGACTGTATCTTGTATAAAACATCTCGTATAAATTGTACTATTTGTTACATGATGCCGTTAGTTTTAGAAAGCTTTAGAAGGATTGACTACTCCCCTTCCAAAATACCGCCAACTTACCACTTCTTTGTGGTGATAACAGATTTCATTGTTGACGACACGACTATACATCAAAAGACGCTTAGCATCGTAAGAGCTGCGCAAGCCAAGGTTCTGGGCATCACGCTCAATATAGTCAAATTTGTCTACATCCACGCTATTCCGTTTGTTTGCCACGATGTCGAAGAGGAAGGCTCGCCCATCGTATTTGCTGCGTTTTACATCTTTTAGTAAATGACATTTTCATCCAAATCATACTGAAAAAAGGTGTAACATTAATACTTTTGTGATCGAGGAGTGCCCTATGTATAAGTTATCGTATATGAGTTTCATTTTCCCCTCTGACTTGCTTACAATCCAGTAATATCCAACTGTTATTACCGCAATCAGATCCTTTATCAAGTTGATTTCGTTTCGTTCAATGTCAATGTTATTATCATCAATCAAATACTCCAACATCATCTCGGATGCTTGTTCGTGTGACCACTGTATGCCAGGTCTATGAAGTCATATCATGTTTTCACATGTCAGTTGGTTTTAACTACTACTGCCCTCGAACCATATACCTGTCATTCCTAAAATCTCTTACCGAGCTTGTGGCATCACTTGGTTGTCGAAGACATGACTGAACGGGCCGTGTCCTGGTATAATCTCACGATTAATAAACACACGGAAAGATTATATTTACGTCACGCTTATTATATTATACCAACCCAGATCATGACAAAGGCTATCCATAATTACAACAGCAGTTAGCGAACAAGAAAATTTACTGAACAAACTATAGGATAGTACTGGGACCTTCACTCACCCTGCTAGCTTGACACATTTAACTTCATCTTCAGTAATACGTAACTCGGGCTGGTCTTTTTGAAAACGCTCGATCAACGTACCAGCAAGATGCGACACACCTAAGTAAAAGAACAAACAATCAGGATATAGAATCTGTTTCCCACGATCATTTTGAATATCTTTTTCCAAGACTTATTCGTCGTCGTACCAATAGAGTGCTCAAAGCGATTATGACTGCCACCAGGGAAAACAAAGTATGTTGCTCCGAGCTAAATGATCCAACAGTATTAACGACCATGATAGTTTAAAAAAAAAACCCTCCACCTGAATATTCACCTGCTTCAAATCACGAAGACGCTGAAATTGAACAGTGTCAATAAAGTCAAAGCTGTACGAGTCCAATTTGATGTGACCTACAAGACAATGAGTATTGAATTTGTAGTAATGCAGATCGATCCGAATACGTACCATGTACAGCGTCATTGATAACCTTGAAGTCTGAAGACAACGATCCGTTGTGTTGAATTTGGTCGGGATCAGTGTCAATTGCCATTTTGTCAAAAGAATACAGGAAGAGGAAAAGAAGGGGGTCTATACCAGAAAAGGAAGACGAGCCGGAGCCTTATTAAAAGCACCGAAGAACAATGACGGATGGGCGGGCTGGTGATACCATAATTATGCGGAAACAGGTGCTGTTTCCTTGTGTTTCCTTTTTGGTTCCCGTCTCCGTTGGATATACCCTATACTTTCCATATAACTTGTCTAGCAAAATTAAGGTTGCACTATCAAATACGGAGACAAGGTTGCCGTTTGGTTTTTCGATACATCCGGTTCCTGAATCAACTTTTAATAATACTTTGTCTCCGCACCGTTAATAGAATAAAAAAATGAATGGAAGTGGTATCGAAGTTTATAATTAATCAAGTAGAGTTACATGCTATATTACTGCTTCCATGATGAGATAAGATTCATCCACTTTTTGTTGACCAATTTTTTTCAGCAACAAAAAAAGTCTGCATTAGCTGCCATTGTCTAGAGTAAACGAATACAAACAGGTTTATTGTGTAGATTACCGCATCAGTCAAGCTAGATTTAGCTACTTTACGTTCGTTAATGTGAAAATACTAGTTTGCTGGCTTTTCATTAAGTGGCGCGTTTTGGAGCCATCGTGCAAAGAAATCCAGTGCATTCTCTGGTTGATCGTAGGGTACCTGTATATCTAGCGTTAAAAAACAAGAACAGAATTTTGAAGAGAAATTGAGAACTTTACCATGTGACCTGCGTCAAACACACGCAAGAACGTCAAACCGTCATGAGATCGTACTTCTCCAGCTTGCTTAAAAGTCTTCTCATTGTACCAAGGTTCATCGGCTGCTTGTCCATAGCCTTGTTTGCCGGGCCATTCCATGTTCAACGACCAAGCCTTATTGCCAAACCAATTGCAAATCCAATCCTATAGCATCACTAAGTTAGAAAGAGGCTATGTACAGAGGTCACAGGTCAATTGGGTTGCATCATTACCATATCTCCCACGTAAAGAAGAACTCGGACGCTTTCATCAAGGGTTTCAGCGACCTGCTTTGAAAAATCATGCGCGCTGACAGTATAATCAGGTATGCACGTATAATTAAGTAACTTTGTAGTTATATTCGCTCCTCCGTGTTCAAATCCTTACCCATCTCCCGTCAATGCAAAGCGATAACCAACAGAATCAGAGCAGCCACTGTACTCTCCTGCATCGTCATCGACCCCAAACTCCCATCGAACTTCGGGAAGATTCGCGTATTTGCCGATTGCATCGATCTCGTCGTAGCAGAGGCCACTATCGCCTGTGCAGTTCTTTCTAATATCGTAAGGGTTCAATCCAGTGGCATCAAAATTACCCTGCTGGGTACGTTCGCAATAAGTATAGGCAGGTACACACGTCAACGAAGACGGGAATTTGTAGCATGCAGTCATAAGTTTCTCACAGCGGGGATAGGCATTGCGCATCTTCTCACATTCTTCCTCATCAAAAAGAGGTTTGTCTGTATAGATACATTTGAATTAAAACAAACTGTGAACGGAAAAAGGCTATCGTTTCTCTCAGACTTACATTCGGAATCGGTAGCACACGAATAAGTCTCATAATGTTTAAGCTGGGTACGTGGCTCAGTCCAGCCATTACCAATCAGCATCGACTCAAACGGAATATGGATATGGCCTTCTTCTGCAATCTTGTTTTGATGAATAATTTCCGAAGCAAGTGCAGGTAAATAATGGCCACCTAAATTGTTGGCCCGCAAAAGAGTAAATGAGATTGCGGCATGGAGATGGTCTCGCTTAGTTTGTTATGCAAACATACCATAAGATTCACCCGAGATATGGAATGGATTATTCGCGTACTCAGGAAATTCGCCAAAGAACAGTTGCAAGAAAGCAGACACATCACGAGCTGACTGTTTGGTATTTCTTATCTTGGATTTACCATAGCTATAACCTACGTTTACAGGCTGATAACAATGCCGTATATAGTCAGAAAGCAAGTCTCGCGAATAGGAAAGAGAAAACGTAAGCTGTTGTAAAAGCGTACCTGATCTAAAAAGACAACGTTAGCAACGCTGTTCCAGCTATACTCGTTACGGACCGTAGCGTTTCCAGATTTATCTACTAGGCAGGGACTACGCACATCTGTTAGATATCAGCGCTGATACGTGTATATCATTAACTTTTGTTCATTCTCTTACCCCAATTCCATCCAGGCACCCATCATGGAGCTGCATCCCTACGTTAGCCAAAATAAGGCCTATCAGGAAATCTGCAAGCAAGGAAAAAAAACTTCGATGCATATATCTTACCGGGCCGCCGTTCAACCACAGGACTACAGGATCAGTTCGGGGCGAGGCTCGAGATTCGAAAAACCAAAAGAACAAGTGATCGTCTGTTTCAAAGTTATCAATATAACCCGAATACTAAAAGATGGGAAAAGTGAATAATTCAGCAATTGCGACGCGCAAAAAAAAATTGGAATTAATTGCAACAATTTACGTTACCTGAACACCTTCCTCACATGAAAGGGGCTGCTTGACGCGTACAGCATAATTCTTAATTCTGTCACTTCTCAAAACACGGAATTGCTGCGCCTGTGCAGGTTGCTGTTGTTCCGGCAGTTGCTCAGCAATAGCAACTGTTTGCTGGTCGGTGGCAATGGGCCACTGGTCGAGGGAAGTCTGGTCAAGAAACCCTAAGTCGGCGTATGCTGTGGTCCACGTTGTAGCAGCAGCTGCAAGGGACAGTAGTTGGATAGTGAACCGCATAAAAAGATATGCAAGCAGAAAAGCGTATCGTTAAAAAGATTGCTGCTTTATGGAATATATACCTTGGCAATGTTTGCTGGTGTGTTACACAACCGAAACTCGGACGAGTGGCGCGGGGATATCGGGCGGACATGTTCATGATTATAGCAATGTCATAATACACAATGCATCCTTTACTTTTTTGAAGAGGACACATGTTTAAAAAGCCATTTTGTATCAATCTGTTTAATAGTAAGCAGCCCTCCATCGTAACCATTACAAATGAAAAACAAGTTTTCAGCAGCGGTTTTAAAAAGGGGTTCTTTCCAGCGTACTGTAGCGATGTATAAGCTAGTTTAAAATTGACGTTAGTATCTTCGCTAAAAACTCATTTTCTTGTGCTAGGAGCTATTGGTTAGCAATCAGCTAAAAAAGCTTAAAGCATTCTCGGGTTGCTCGTAGACCACCTATGAGATAGACTAATAAGATGAAATCATTAACGTCGCATAGTGAGGGACGCATACTAGGCTTATATTGTCAACAAATATGACGGACAACAAAAACGCGCAAGAACGTCCGAGCACAGTAGGAGCGCACTACTCCTGCATGTTGCAAAGTTCGCTGATTGTACCAAGGCTCATCGGGTGCTTCTTGGTATCGCTATCTTATACTTGAACACAAAGCTTTGATACAACCAGCTACAGATCCAATCCTGCGTTTCTGAGACGCCCAAACTAAGTATCAACCAAATTTCCAAATCTCTAATAGCGAAAAGAGGAGATGTTCAGTGAAGATTACCATTTACCGCTAACAAAGAGAAGAACACGAAAATCCTCGTCGATAGCTTTAATCAGTTGCTTCGAGTACAGTAGTCTCGAGCACTATCTTAATCACTGCTTAGGAACATGCTATGATAATGTACCTATAAACTTCTAAATTTAAGTACTTACCTGTCTTCTGTGAATGCAAATAATTCGAAAACGGAGAACGAGCACTCGCTGCACTCCCAAGCTTCATCATCGACGCCTAATTCTCGTCGAACCTTTTGGTTGTTTGTACATCGAGTGATACCATCCTTCATATCACAGTAGCAAACATCAATGTCACCTGTATATTCCTTTCAAATGTTGTAAGGATCTAATCCGGTTGCACCGACTTATTGTTGTTAGGGTATCATATCTCGCAGTAGCTGTAAGCTTTGGGGCATGTGGATTTATCCCGAAGGATGATTTTATCAACATCCATCAAAAATTCACAAAGAGGGGTAAGTATGATACATATTCTTATATCCTTTCCTATTGAAAATAGATTTGACTCAAACATTACAGGCAGCTCCAAGTTAACTGTTGCACTATTTACAGCGAACATGTTGTCAAGAAGGAAAATCATGGAGCCTTTCATTTGTCAAGAGTCACTTACATCTGGAACCGTTAGCGCATGAAAATGTTCTAACGTGCTTAATTGTAATTGAATACGTGGCTCTGTGTCCGTCCATTGCCAATTAACACATATTTGTGAGGATTATAATGGCTACTTTGTTCAATTACAATCTTGTCTCGATAGATAATTTCCGAGATAAGTGCTGGCAAGTTGCACCCGCCCAAATATAACATGTTTGTTAGTAGTTTAGTTGTTTATCTGTAATATCCATCCAACATTTGCCGACGAAATACATATGGAATGTACTGTTTGCAAGGGACAGCTGTAAAAATGAGTAGAAATCATGGGCTTACTGCCTTGAAGCTAGCATTTTTGATTTACCAGAAATAAACCCGATACTTTTTCGCAAATAAAACCATAGCATTCACATCAACAATAGTGAAAGTTAGATGGTGATCGTTTATTAACAGTTTAAATGTCTAGCTATAGTATAAAATATCTTGAATCTCAGAAGACTGCACATGGCCATCTCCTGTTGCGTCAATTAAACAAGGCATAAGTTTCACTCTTTTGTGTTCTTCCCAACCCAACTCTGTCCCTTTTCTCTTGTCTTTCCATTTCCTTTGCTTTCTTTTCTCCACCTGTCTCCCACCTGTTTCCTTAATATAATAGATACAAATTATGTAACATATCAATTTTATTTAGAAGAAACAGATAAATCTGCAGTTAAAACATGACAATTCAACTCGTTTGCCCTTTTACAATAATCCTTTCACAGTTAATGTTCTCGCTTGCAAGGACCTTGTAATGCTGCACTCAATTCTCGGTTCCAAGCAAAGAGAACCGGGATGTTTCCAGTTCGATTCTTCCGTGGAACCGACCCGTTAAGAACCGACTTGAAGAAAAACTGGCTGTTACTACCACTAAAAGCGCGCACAACGTGTCCATTATTTGACTAGACAATTTCTGGCAGTGTTGACATTCTTGAAAGCGTTTAAAACGGCTAGCGAGGGAATTTGCTCACGAGGCTAACGACGATAATAACAGTGATATTGATTGCGCTGACCCCGAATTATATGAACGACAACGCATGGCTGGATTGCTTACCGCTCTCGTTCGCACGTTTACCGCGTGGAGTACCGATTGATGCTTTTAAAAGCACATTTACTATTCAGCACCTGTCCCTTTTACTCCAACATGTGTATGGCACTGGCAGCAAGCTAAGTATGTGTCAAGGAGAAGCACATTTTGTGGAGGATCCAGAAACTCTTATGGCGGATTATATTGTATATCATTAGTGCTCTGGGGGATGAAGTCTTTGACTTGATACCTGTGGGGGTCAAAGCGCCAGTCGTAGCTCCACTAGCCAAATCAAAATGATTTCGTCAAGTTCGGTAAAGAATTGAAGGACCTGATGGGATGCTTCAAAAAGCAGTCGTAGATCCGCTGACATACGGAGTCTTAGTGGTGGATGGTTATCATTGTTTAACATTTAGCATGCAGCTTCTGGATGGAGGGCACACATTATGTTGCGTCACGGTACTTTCGAGTTGCTCCGTACAGTACTCCACAGGACGATTCCAATGTACCCAGTAAGTACAGTATCTTACGCAGCTCAAGTCTTTGTTAAAACTGACGGTATTGAAGCTCGAAAAATGCGTAGCATCACGAATTTTAGAAAAATCAAGACAATCCTGGATGCGACCGTCAATTCGAAATACTAGTTCGAGCCGATGAATTGCAGCATTAAGCCTTCATTGTACATGCATTCTAGCATAGGCAAAAAAACCCGATTTTGTAAATAGTCTATAGCTCTAGCTCCCAAAATGTACTCTTCATACATGAGTAAAGAATTGACTGTATAAACTGTAGCTTAGTAATTAATATTATTATCTGCCTAACATGAGACTGTCAATGTAGGGAAACTGTCGTGCTACTACTGCTATTAATTTTGTTATTATTGAATGCATACACTTGTGGGCCATAGCCGGAGCAGGACTCATCAATTCCTGTGACCATCTCACTCGGCTTTTATGCAGCGAAATAAAACAGAGCCACATAAAGAATTCTTTGGAAAGAATTAAAATATTTAATTGACCATTAAAACCTCGGTCATCATGCGAAACCAGACATAAGCAAGAGTGGGAAGAAAGGGTGGGGCCCTGTATGAGTTCTAGTTCGGCTAGTCCTAACATGGATCTTAGGCATGTGACCGATGTGACGGACGCGAACCAGAACTCCTCAAGTGCTTCCATACCACAGAGAAACAGCTTGAATTGAATGAGCTTGGGGAATAATAGAAATGGTAAGAAACAGATGAGAGTTATCTTTGAGACGTTGTTCTATTCCAACGATAAACAATAAGCTTTTTTTAAATTCTACATATCAAAAGGACGATGTCTATTCATCCGACTATTGAATAAAGTATGTATTGTATTATGATGACTGATCAAGGCCGTGCATCAGAATTTGTGTGGAACTCTTTATCTCAATCAGGGCACTTCTTTGAAACTGGCATTAGCTGGTATGATGTGTGGCTTCGCTACCTTTTAATCGGCTCATCGTCCTGTTTACGTACAGTTGTACCCCGGTTTTTGCAACCGAGGGTTTTCCGATTTTTTTTGCAAAAAGTGAGGATTTGCAAGTAACGGGGTAAACAATTCTGCTTCAAATAGACACTGGGTAAGTCATCCTATAAACACTAGCCCATTGTTTATCTGTCAGAGATGATGTACGATACGTTCTGTGGGGATTTCACACAGCTCTCAATGTTACTACTTGCATATATAGAACCGTTCTTTTATTGAAGCTGTATAGTGCATTAACCGTAATATTTTATTCCTCGATAATACGCAACAGATGCTTCTTTCAGTTGATATTGTAAAAATTAAAGCTGTTTTTACCCCATAACGTGCAAATCGTATAAACTCATTTGCAAGTTGCAAATTTGCGAAACTACTAAGTTTTTTTTGGATTTTCTCAAGAAAAGTTGCCGATACGAGGAATTGCAAACCCAGGGGTTGCAAAAACCGGGGTACAACTGTAATATGGATTATCCAAGTGGAATGTGTGTGCTATCGATATATAACCGAATATCTATGGCAGTGCAAATAAAAATTTCACCGCACAGCTTAATGGGCAATGAAAGAGAAATGAAAAAGGATGTACAACTTGATATGAATATATACAAGGATATCATACAAGGAGCTGATAGACAAAGAGTTCAACCCTCGGAATCCAGAACTGTACATCATTCGTCAGGACCTGTTGAGATATATTGTCCCGAAATTGGAGTGTACAGCGATAGTTATTATCGAAGACTGTTCTCGAAGACCAGTTACCCATACCGAGGACATCCTCTATGGAGGCGCCGTTGCTCAGTGCCAAGGTAGACGTCACCAAACGTAGAGTCCAATAATGATGGCGGTGATGAACGAGCCGAGAGCCGTGGATCTAACCAGAAATAGTGGAGGTCTTAAATTGATTCGACACTTGTATGCTGTTAGAGCAATGATTCTCGAGGTTGGGAGGCCGCGCCAGGATGATCATATAAGGCCTAGAATGCAAAAACGGAACAAAATGCTGAATCGCTGAAAAATAAATGAGCCACCCTTGGCCAACATTGCGGCGACCACCTCGAGATTTAGGGAGGCCGACTCTTTATTAAAGTAATATAATAAAAATGTATTGACATCGTTGCTGTTTTTGGTCGTGACATAAGCTTCATTCATCAAGCATCTCCGAACACAACATATTATTACATAGTGATTATATTATAGTATGTACAAACGGCATCTTTCCATAATTAAAATGTTTCTCAAAAAGCAAATATTTTAGCACTTCAATAAATACACACGGAAAGAAGTCGAATGTACAAGTAGTGAGATATAACAAACCATAATTAAGCACTCAAATTCAGTTCAGCAGCCACGCGCTATACCGATACACACCAGGGACTATGCAATTACTTGGAGAACTGCTTTGTTGCTGAACTTTGTGTATTAGACATGCAAGATTGAGAAAACTGGCATCGTCAATAACAGTACTTAGGTGCTTCGTGAACATACTGTAATCCATAAGATGATGTGTATGATCTTCACGTAGGGAAGTATAAGCAGGAAGTGAATATGCCTCAATAGCTGCATACCTATCTAGTAGCTGAGGCTGTCAAGGCAGTGAGAGCAGTAAAGCTCGGCCACATAAGATAATTGGATCTTAAGAAGACTTATCAAGACACAATGTACTCAAGTGCATGAACGAGATATGCGCGTGGAGAGATAGCTCCGCCAGATAACAGAAAGGCACCGAAACGGTTTGGCTGTGTTTGTCTGTCAGTGTTACACAAGCAGGCAAGCGCCCAGCTGGTTATCTAAAAAATGCAAGCAGTAAAATAAAAATCGCATTATCTCTTTAACTGAGCGGGGGTGTCGGGCAGATAAGGATATATCTTATCTCCTGCTGCTCTGCCTGCTTCCAACATTTTCTTATTTTGAATCGCCCCCCACCATCATCCGTTTGTTCCCCCCCCCATTTTCTTACACTATAATGTCAAAGGCTGCACTGGTAAACTAATCACTGGCCAATCAGGACCTGGGGCCTTTATCTCTTTTGTGGCCCTCTCTCCAAACAAGAGTGGCCTTCATACCGAGCTTTTCCTCTCCTTCTTCTCTCTTCCTTTTCACTTACGTATTCTTTTACACAGTGGCTCTCCGTTTCCGTCCTTTCACTTTATAACCTGTTCCCCGCATTTACATGATTGCCAACAGCATTTGCTGCAATACTTTATTGATTTGCGAAACCCAACCCACCTGCTCTTCTTTTTCTATACCACAATAAATGACCCTTGTTGTTAACACTACTACCACTATCATGGAAGACGATCCTACGCACCCAGCAGCTGCGGATCATCCGCGTGGATTGAGTCGTTTATCGCCTCCGGATGATCCATCTTTACTGCCCTCACGCTCGTATCAGTGGGACCATAACAATAGCTATAGCAATAACACCAACGACGGCAACAACACTTTTGACCCAGCGTCCGCACCAGATAATACCGCCACAGTGTCATCCAACGGACGGCCATCGGCTTCAGAGCAAGGCGGCCGAGAAAACGCGTCATACTCCTCAGTCGATAGCAATCATCAGCATCATCATCAATACCACGAATCATCGTCTGACGGACGTCAGGACTGTCAACGACAACAGCACCCGCAACAGCAACAGCCATCACGATGGACACCTCCCATAACCAAGTGTTTCAACTGCCAAACAACAACTACACCGCTCTGGCGACGTGATGACAATGGTAACACCATCTGCAATGCTTGCGGTCTATACTATAAGCTCCACAATGTTCAGCGTCCAGTCACAATGAAACGAACTGTCATCAAACGACGTAAACGATTCAGTCTTGTTAATTTCCAACAACGTCAGCAACAGCAGCAACCACCAACACAACAACAACAGCAACAACAACCTTTCGACCACCACCACCACCACCACCATCAGCATAACTATCAACAAGATCCAAAGAGCATACCGAGTTCCATGATGATGGATTCGCGGGCTCAACATAATCCAAATGAATACAGTACTACTCAGATAGATAGTACGCGGCGCATGTCCACTGCCAGTGACGCACGGTCCCCGTATTCTTCGGCCTCAGGTAGTAGTGCAGCATACAACGCAAACTCGCCGACATCACCTATGCCATATGATCAAGCAGATCCACTAGCAGCCGCAGGAGGAAGCAGTTCAGTAACAGCAAATAACTATGATGTGAAACAGCTTCCTAAGGTACGCACGCTGATGAATGCATTGACCGGTGCCAGTGCAAACAATAACGTTGGAGCGTTCACTGCAGCACCTATGGATGAAACGAACCCGGCTGCACTGGCCACAATCGCAGCTACCATGCTTCTGGAACCAGGAAAGTTGCGACAAGCATTGCAGACACGGCGCGATGAATTGCAGCAGGAGGTGAACAGCATCAACTCTTTGCTCTCTCATTCGTCCAAAGTCCTCCAAGATTTAGAATCCATCATCACAAAAGCAACTTCACCACCAACAGGGTATAATGAGCAGCCTGTTCAGCAACATCAGCAACAGACACCAGCACAACCGCAACAGAACAGTCAGTTTTCAATGGCTTCCACAGCAGCAATATCTATGTTGAGCTCGCTTTTAGGAGGTACAACTCCAGGAGGTGGAGGAAGTGTAGCTGGAAACAGTAATGGCAATAACAATACAAGCACTAGTGCCTCGAGTAGCAACGTGTTATCATCACTCTTGATGCTCAGTGCTGCACAACATCAGCAGCAGCAACAGCAACAACAACAAGCGCCACTTTCCAATTTCCATCAACAACCAGAACAGCCATCTGCCTTTCGCTCAGCAACTACAACAACATCTGCAATACCTTCATTACTAATGAATGGACGAACAGATGCAGCGATACCGGGAAGCAAGCCATCATCATCCGTATCATCTTCAACTTATAATCCACAATCACCATCTTTTTCACGCTTTCATCTCGCCCCGTTGGAAGGACTGGGAAAACGCAACTCCTCTTCTTCTTCGTCTTCATCATCGCCTGGCCATCACCACCATCACCAGCATCCTTGAATAGTCATAATATATCAGCAACAGCACTGTTAACAACAGCATTATATGTACCCCTCGAAAAGAATCCTAAAAAGAGCCCACTGCTATAATATATACTCATGATTCCCCTCTTTGCTATCCATTGTGTCAGTTTTCAAAACTCCTTCCTTCCTTTTACTTCCCCTAATCTTTACAGTAAATAGTATAACGTCCTTTATGTGCCTCCTTTTTGTTTTGTAAGCAATAAAGTATGGGTGTGTGTGAGCAGTACACATGCAAACGAAAATACGACAACATCAATGACGCTAGCATATGCGGTATGTAGATGGTAGATCTAGATCATCATTGACGTTTTTGTATTAAATCAAAACTTTCACAATCATCATCATTGCACTTCCGCCAACTAAGCAGCAGAACAGTGGCAGAAGCGTGATATGCAGAAAACGCTGCATACGTAATCTACATCAGTAGAGAAAACCCTGTGGCAAGTGTTAGCAGCTATAATCAAGCACTTTTCTGACTTTGTTTTCCTTATCTAATGACAAGTGAAACTCAATTATCTTTTGTTTGTAGACAGAAATAAGGAGGAGAGATAATGCGCACAACAACTTGTTTTGTAAGCTGCTTTAACCTCGAGTAACTCTACTGTCCTACAGGTGCGTGTGTGTATGTATGCGTGTACGGGTCGTCGATAAGTGTTTCTAGACATTGCGCGAAATACATTCACTTAACACATATATTCTCCACTATCGCGTATTATGGCAAACACCAGGAAACGAATCGAATCTTCCTGTCCAAAAGTATCACTAGTTACAAAAGATCAAACCTTCTTTTTATCCGAACTGATAAGTGAGATATCTTTCCTCTTTTGGTCCAAAGCTGCCTTTTTAGTATGCAACCGAAGTTTATGAGAAAGCAAAAGAGCAACAAGGATTGGTCTATTTAGTTTGTGCTCAAGATTAGCTTGGCGATGCTTAGTGATACATGGTCGATCAAGGTAAGTGGTTCGACGTCCTCTCGTAAGGAGGAGTTTGCTTATCACACTGATAAAATAATTTTATTGTCAAAAGATATAGCGATCTTCTATGTTTCTTCCATTTCCACACATACTCTATTACAAATGGACATCACCGCCATGCTGATAACACCCTCACACAGTGGGGTATTATTGTGAGAACAAATAGAAGATAAGGTTATGTTTTCTACCGATAACGTTTTTATTTCTTTTCTATACTTACAGTGTATGATAATCTTTAAAAATTCAAGGGTTCGAGAGATAATGAGGGAAATATAAAACAACAAAAGTACGTGATAAAATGATGATTCAAGAGAAAGATACGGGGGGGGGGGGTTGATGATGGATGAGAAAACAATTAAAAGTGAAAGGGAAAAAAAGGGGTTTAAAAGTGCAAGAATTGAATAGAAGGCTTCCTTTATCGTTGAGAGGGTTCTTTGGCCGATATATATTCCCGGAATAACCGATCTGCATCCTCCTCCTTGTTTCGCTTATTATAGGATTTGATGAGAGCGCGATACATGGATTCGAGTGGCCGAAGATCATACATCTTGTTCATGAGCTCCAACAGAGTTTCTGCAGTGCGTGGGTTTCGTTCTCGAAGAGCTTCGTGGCGGAATATATAATTGAATGTGACAACGCTAGGTTTGAGACCAGATCGCTCCAAGTCGAAGAATACGCGGCGTGCCTTGTCGACGTTGCGATGCTCGCAGTACCATCGGATCATGGTGTTGTAAAGCTCTAGATCGGGCTTCACCTTGTAGCCTGGCAACATGGTGTTATAGATATAATCAAGACCCCGCACATAACCTTGACGGCCGTGTGCATCAATCAATGCAACAAAGGTATGTGTGGAAGGTCGTGGCTTTTTCGATTCTGGTGCTGTAGTTTCACGAACGAGAGTGCCGAGCACATCTGGGTTTGCAGCTGGTGGTGTAGAGTAGGATGACAGGAGCGATGCAAAGCGGGACTTTTTAGGCGGCGGCGATGGTGCAGCTTGCTTTTCCTTGGGTCCGTAGCGTTCTTGGAAGGCACGATCCGCTCCACGCACGTTACCCAATCGTCCATGCGCCTCGATCATTGTGTCATATGTAAATCCGTTTGGCTGGATGCCAGCGCTCTTCATCTTGTTTAAAATGACAAACACTTGCTCAGATCTGTTCGTCATGATGGCTGCGCGCATCAACAGGTTGTAGCTGTATACGTTTGGCACCAAAGCACCGCTCCACAAAGAAGACGATGACCTGCGTCCTTCCAACTCCTCCCAGTATTTGGCACACGATTCCCAATCATTGGCTCGACCGAAAAAGTCAATAAGGTGGTTGTAATCGCGCACGTCTGGCTGGTGTCCAGCAGCGTGCATGTTATTCCATACAAACAACAAACGTTCCTTGATAGCCTCGATTTCTTCTGGACCGTAGGCAACCAGTTTTTTGATACGGAACGAGTGAAGCGCCATCGAGTGGTATTCGGCGGGCAAGTTGTTGAGTTGATTGTTGTCATGTAAAGCAGTATAGGCACTCCAAACAGCCCCGGCATTATGCCTTCGAACAGCATCTCGTAACGATCGAGTCATCTTGGGATTAACTGCGATTTTGAGCGGACGATACTGGAGATTCGCTGTGTGCGCATGTCGTACGGCAACTGTGTTGATTGGAATGCGTGCTTTTGGGAGCAACATGGTAAAGGGCCTTCGCAGCATGGTATCGACAAGGTGTGGAAAGCGACAAAACAAAGCAAAAATTTATTATTGCCACTTTCCCAACCTTGCCATTAGCTCGCTTAAAATAAACCCCGATGGTATATTGCCTGAAACAGCCTGACCAGGTACTTTTAAATGCGATCTTGCCCAAGTAGCATACAGCCATGAATACCGCATATTGGAGCAATATCGTATCTTGGAAACGTTTCTGAGCATTTGTAAGGGAAATATCATCGGCAGTCTCTCCATCAGCATAGTCATTACTCTTCAATAGAATATGTTAATATAGACGGGAGGATGAACCATTGATACTGTGCTTTGCTCATGGAAATTATCTTGGTAAGTATACAACTTCGCCAAAGTGTCCATCATCTGTGAGATTTTGACTAGAAAGTGCCTATCATGCGTTTTGCAGCAAGTACATATTGTATCAGACCCTGTAGCTTTCAAATAAACTTTTCTACTATGTAGTCTACTTTTACTAGCTCTTATATGCTAATCACGAATTCACTGGGAAAATCTCTAACGTTTAAGAGTGATTCGGTAAAAATTAACAAAACTTTTTGGGGGTGCTTTCAAGTTGGGTCTAGCAGAAACATGGAGTAGCCAGTGCCCAGTGGTTAAAGGGGAACTCCGGTCTGTAGCTGGGGACTTTAGCGATAAGGTGCGGAGCCCGCGCAGCAGTAGGCTATAAAGCTCAGCGCACTTGTTCCTGCACAAGCAACTGCTCTTTTTATTTCTTAGTGCTGTTTTTGTTTCCTCAGATCCACCCACCCTATTAACTTTCTTTTCCTCGAGCCATTTGCATATAAACAAAAGTTTATCTGTGTAAACTACTCGTAGGAATCATCCTTAGTACAAATAGCCACGACAATGAGCGTTGTTATACCCAGCAGCCCAGCCCCGGCTGAGGATCAAGCCAAGCTTCTTGATGAAGTCCTTAATGTAGTCAAGATTCAGGCGCACCAAATGAAAAAGTGCCTTGTAAGTTATAGCATGAGTGCATAGAAATCAAGGCATTTGGAAATGGACCGAGAGTGGAGAGGAGTGTAGTGCTTGCTGTTCGCATACAGGAACAAGCTACCGTGGGTACGCTTTTCCGAGATAAAACGGGCAAAGTTCTAAAATATGATATGGTGAACGTTTTAGGATAACAACAAGCTTATGGACGGATTAAAACATTGCTCCAATATGCTATCCGAACTGCGAACATCTGTTTTGACGCCCAAGATCTACTATGAACTGTGTACGTTTCTTTAGTTTCCTTGATTACCGTGGTTGAGCGCACCGTGAGTGAAGGAAAAAAGCGGACTGAAAATGGTAGATAGACATGGCTATTTTTGATGCGATGCGACACATGACGATATTCCTGACGGAGGCACACAACTCTGAGCGTCATCATCTCGCCGACCTGTACGAGCTGGTGCAGTATGCTGGCAACATCGTTCCCCGTCTGTATTTGATGATTACTGTCGGTTCAGTCTACATGAGCACACCCGAAGCTCCTGTTCGAGAAGTAATGCGGGATATGATGGAAATGGTTCGTGGCGTACAGCATCCGACACGAGGCCTGTTTCTCAGACATTATTTAAGCGGCATGACCCGTGATTATCTTCCCCTTGGAGAAAGCCCAGGGTGAGTGACATTATATTCTGTCCAAATCCGCGTAACTCCTTTCATTTTGCAAAAGAATACTGACTGATATGGGATGTGTGAAAATTTCAATGATGTTTCAAGACCAGAAGGAAATGTGCATGAGTCGGTCCATTTTATTCTCACCAACTTCACCGAGATGAACAAGCTCTGGGTTCGATTGCAGCACCAGGGTCACACCCGGGACCGAGAAAAGAGAGAAGCGGAACGTCGAGAGCTGCGAATTCTAGTTGGTACAAGCCTTGTACGGTTAAGTCAGCTTGAAGGTGTGGATCTACGTATCTACCAAAGTGTAAGTTTGAAGTAATGATCGACTTGTTTCAAAGAAGAATTAACAAGTATGCTTCATTGTAGTTGATTTTGCCGGGGATCTTAGATCAAGTAGTCAGCTGTCGTGATGTAATTGCCCAAGAGTATTTGATGGAAGTGATCATTCAGGTACAACTCGACGATCTATGCTTATATCCGTTACCATCCTGTATCAAGTGCATACAACCGAGAATGTCCAATTGCTAACGAATTTATCGGTAGGTGTTCCCCGACGAGTTCCATCTGCGCACCCTGCAACCTTTTCTGTCTGCAATAGCCCAGCTCCATCCTAGAGTTAATATCAAGCATATCATTATTTCGCTTATTGACCGATTGGCAGCCTATGCCGCCCGAGAAGCAGAGTCCGATGTATCATTTGAGGCACGACAAAAGAAGGAAGAGCAGGCCAGACTTGTTCAACTGGAGAAACGTAAACGACTACAACGTGAACTACAAGGCGAGGAAGTAACGGAGGAGCTGGCGATTAACGCTGCAACATCTGAAGGCGACGAAAAAGAAACCCTCACGAATGGTGAACTTGATGAGTCTAAAGGAATTGAAGGAGGTCCAGAAGAACAGAAGGCCACCGACGACGACAAGGCGATTGAAAAGAAGGGCGAAAAGACAGAAGAAAAAACAAATGGCAAGGAAGAGAATGTGGTTAAGAAAGTCCGGGGTATCCCAGAAGATGTTGAGCTATTCGTTGTTTTCTGGGAACAAGTGGTCGAACTTGTCAAGGTACTTGTATGAATATTCTGCTATGCACAACTTCAGTATGCATACTAAATAGACTAACGTCAACGGCACAACTGCACATTAGGCCCGTCCCGATCTTTCTATACAAGACTTGACAGCACTACTTGTTTCGATGACCAATTTGTCGCTATCCTGCTACCCTGAGCGTCTCGAGTACGTGGATCTAGTCCTTACCTACGCCAAAGACAAGGTCATTGAATACTCCGATTCTGCGGATCTTCACTCGAAGGTCACGGAAGCCAATCTGCTCGCACTGCTACTAGCACCCATCACCAACTACACGTCTGTTTTGACCCTACTGGCTCTTTCCAACTACCAGTCTCTCCTTGGTGTCCGTCCGTACAATACCCGTCGTGCCATTGCGCATGCTATTATTTCCAGTATCCTCAAAAACCAGACTGTTATTAGTAGTCCAGAGGATGTACATGATATCCTAGAACTGTGCGACGTTTTGTTGCGCGACCAAAAGGATGCACCGGTTGGTGCTGTTCCTGCATCACCAATGTACGGTATTCGTGGGCGCACGGTTAACTTAGAACAGGAAGAGTTTGCTGAAGAACAGGGATGGATGGCAAAACTGGTTCATCTTTTCCAATCGGATAATGATGACACACAATTCTTGGTAAGTTCTGCTTAGAGGCAGTAGGAGGTCGACCAGGCTAACTTATGTTTTTCTAGCTTCTATCTGCGGCAAGAAAACAATTCAGCGAAGGTGGAAGTCGCGTACGATTTACATCGCCTCCGCTGATCATATCTGCCATGAAACTGGCCCGAAGATACAAGATCCAGGAAACCCAGGTAGTGGTCTAGAAAGAAAGAAAGAAAGAATGAATGAATGAAAAGTATAGTCAGGGTATCTGATCCGATGATGTAGGACGAATTCTGGGAAAAGAAGACAAGTGCGCTTTTCCGGTTTATCCATCAGATCATCTCAACGTTGTACGACAAATGCGAGGAGTGTGCAGGCCAATGCCTCCGCTTCTTCCTGTTAGCTGGTCAAAGTGCTGCCGAGTGTGGGTTTGAGGAAATCTCGTACGAGTTCTTTGTGCAGGCGTTCACGATCTATGAAGAATCGATATCCGAGTCCCGTGCTCAGTTCCAGGCAATTACGTGCATCATTGGTGCATTGCAGCAGACACGGGTCTTTTCTGCCGAAACATATGACACGCTGATTACCAAAGCGGCGCTCCACAGTGCCAAGCTTTTGAAAAAGCCAGATCAGTCGCGGGCCGTCACCCTCTCGTCGCATTTGTGGTGGGTTGCAGACAACGGAGAAGCGGAGCAGCCAAGTCGCAGTGGCAAGCGCGCATTGGAGTGCTTGCAAAAAGCGCTCAAAATTGCAGACAGCTGCATGGATGCAGTGACCAACGTCCAGCTGTTTGTCGAGATCCTGAATCGCTACATTTACTACTTTGAGAAGGGCAACGACGCGGTAAGACTTGCGCGCTACTATCAAGAGGAAGAGTTTAAGGTGCTCCTACTGACTATGCCTCTTTGCAGATCACTGTCAAGTACTTGAACAGCCTTATTGACTTGATCCACTCCAACTTGGCCAACATGGATAACCCCGACCAGCATCCACCAACATCGAACTCTTCGTCGCTTATGGAACCCCATGGCCAAATGTCTGACTATGTCCGCAGACACTTCCGTGCTACCTTGCAGCATATAAAGGAGCGCAAAGAACGCGCTGAGGCCCCCTCCTATGCGGATGTTGACCTTGGCCCAGAGCTGTGAAAAGTAAATGAGAACTTGTAGTATTCTTGTTCCTTTATGTTGTATAAAAATTCCAATGTACAGAAAAAAAAAAGAGATAACCCAACAGAAGGTTTGCTATTCTACGTTTTGATGGGGAGACTGGGTAGATGGTAAGATGGAGAGAGGGCACTGTACGTAAAGCGAGAGACGCGAGAGACACAGAATGCGAGTGTTGTGGGTGTGTTTTGTGGGGGAAGTGGGTGGAGGTGCAAAAACAAAGAAAAGAAACCTTTCTTTTATTTGGACATCTGCAAAAGAGACATCGTTAGTTACGTAGCTGGATGCGGGTCTCGTGGGGGCATCAGGGACCGTTCTGTTCTGTACCACTTACCATCATCTTCACGAACTCGTCGTAATTGATCTGACCGTCCTGGTCAACGTCGGCTTCACGGATCATTTCGTCGACTTCTTCCTCAGACAGCTTCTCGCCTATTAGGTGGATGAAATACACATATCGCTTTTTAGCTTTGCCCCCGCTCTCTTCTGTGTCCGTCGTGCACACCGCACTCGCTCTCTTTTTCCTTCCTTACCTAAAGACGTCATCACGTGGCGCAGCTCTGCTGCCGAGATGTATCCGTTACCGTCCTTATCAAACACCTTGAAGGCTTCCTGGATCTCCTCCTGCGAATCCGTGTCCTTCATTTTTCTAAGAGGAACAAAAGCAAGCTCAAAGTCAAAACAAGGTCCAACATCTCCCGCGAACGTAAAAGAAACATAGCAGCAGCACCACCATCCGTAGTAGGAAGAGGATGAAGGGGTTACCTTGCCAACATGGTCAAGAACTCGCTGAAATCGATGGTACCGTTACCATCACTGTCGACCTCGTTGACCTGGTTTCACGTCAAATTTTTAGTTTATACTTTTGGTGTAAAAAAATAAATCGTGCATGAAAATAAAATGCCAAGAATCCAGGGCCCAAGTACACCAGTCCTTAATGATATTGACGGATTTCACACTCCCAAAAAAAAAAAAGGCAAGGAACGTGAAAGGGAAGAAAGGCCCACAACAATGTCCAAGATAAGAGCGCCCCACTTTGTCTCAGTGGAACTTACCATGTCCTGCAACTCGGCCTCAGTAGGGTTCAAGTTAAGCGACCTCATGACGGTGCCTAACTCCTTGGTAGTGATTGAGCCATCACCATCTTTGTCAAAGAGCGAGAAAGCTTCCTTGAACTCGGCAATTTGTTCTTCGGTAAGTTGGTCAGCCTAAAAGTTGATGAAACAGAAAGTCGTTGTGTGTAAAGTTGTCAGTGCTCAATCGCCCTCGCTCATTTTGAACTCGCAAGGTATAATAGGTATGCTCACTATTGCTGTCGACAACCGTGGCAACAATGACGACAATAGCAGCCACTTACCATTGCTTTTCTAAATGAAAGAGAGTTGAGAGAGAAAAGAGAAAACAAGAGAAAAAAGAAGAAACTGACAACGGGGCAGCTCACACTGACGCTATAAAAAGCGGGACGCAGCCTGTCGTCATTCGTTACACACTACCGAACAGTGCTGGAAAGGTTCCACATGCTCAACGAGGTCCGGAGTACAAATCCATAGCAAAGTCTCCTAAATATATCTCTTCGGCCGCTTTATCACTTGCTCATACTCGGTGCGGTGCGGTCATCACCACTCTGCTGCACTTGTACGGAAGAAAAGAGACATGGGCCGTGCAACACATTTCGTGTACGCCTGAAGTTTTGATTCAGTGGCCTCGTTGATAGGTGTCGACGAGCTCATTCATGCTGTTGTGGTGTGAGAGTATGTACTAGCAGATCGTTTTCCTTAGATGCTTCGAGTGTACAGACAAACAAGTTGCATCTTTTCGTCTTCTTCGTTTCGATGGGACGCTTGAGTATTCAATCCCAGTAATACCAAGTACTGCTGTACTCGTATGACATGTGCCTCTTTAATGTGACCCCTCGATGTTCTTCCGCTTGTAGCACGCGTGAAGCATTAACACTCTAATATGAGTGTTGGATCATAATTGTAATATGATACGTAGATGCTCCGCTTACAGCCAAAAGCGCGATTGGGAATTTGTTGTTTTAAGAAGGGTCTCGAAGGAGTTTTCATCGTGCGCCATCATCATCGTTATAGTAGCTGTTACCAGCATTTTACTCCTGTATCTGATCTTAAAGGTCTATCAGTGCTCAACAAGTGCCACTATAGAGTTTGATAGCCTGGTCTGACTCTAGTGTGGGTGCATTGCTTAATTTTCTTGATCTCATTGTCAACCCCATTAATTTAGGAACACCATGTGTAATTGTTTACAGTCTCTGTCAACTCAGCAATTCAGCTGCGGGTCGGCCATGCTACTAAAAAAAGATTTCTGCTTCGCACTAGTGCACACGACAATAGACTGCTTAGTTTAGTGATGAGTATTGCTATCACGAAAATTATCAGCTACCACACAACGATGATATTAAAATTGTCTTTCTTGGCGGTTTCTTTCAAGAGGAGCTGAGGTTCAGCATTATCATTCTCATTCTTTTCGGCAACACTCCGCGGAGCGTGCCAGATGAGATATGTTGTGTGTTAATAAGTTAAAGATATTGTTTAAAGGCAGCTCTGTGTAGAAAAGTAGGACAGAGCAAGATATCTTAGTACGGCGGGTCTCTTTTTATAGTCATTAGCACCAAGGTTTAAGAGTAATCTAATGGGTACAGTGTTATAAAGCAAGCAAAACATGTCTTCTCAACTATTAGGATACAAGATTACCTAAAAAGCATCCTTTCATTGGAATGCTGTTTAGCTATATACATACCGTGATATATTGTTTGCTAAACTATCCATTACTACACTGCGCTATGATATATCTTCCGTCAACGAAAATCGCACGAAGGGAATGCTTACAACCCGCGAGCAAATCAATGCAACTCTTGCTTCTCCAGTCAAGTATCGTGGTAAGCAGTATTCAGCACACGTAAATCTTAGATAGCCGTATTCCATTGAAAAGCCTCGATGCTAACAATACAGAATATGCTGCTCACAGCCCGTTTGCCCAATCGTGTCAGCACGATAGCGCATGAAACGGTGGGAGCAACCACATATGTCTCTGAACGTTTCCTGTGCCTTAAAGAGGTGTTGTATTTTGTTCTTCGGCAACGATATTATCATCCAGCAATAGGTGGTGCTCGTACACTGGCAGACGATTGCCGTTAGGCGCGTTGGATATCAGAGCATTTGCGAATAGCGCGTCGTGCTCGGCTCCAGTAAGGCTGGGCCAAAACTCAGCGAAATATCAACCACATGGTACTCGAAGGACTTGTTCATTTTTTTCCCGAGGTGCGGCAGTACTCTTAATAAGGTCTTCTGTTAGAGCATAGTTTGCTGCAGCGACGATCCACCCCAAAATTCCTGTGGGTTTGCCGAGAAATATTATATATACTTTTGAAGAAATGGGTTGTTGCTGTGGTGTTGATGCTGTTGCGTCATCTAGCTCTATGGTGTCCGCGAGCACCATGTGGCTACAGAGGTAAAAAAAAATAAATAGGAAGACCAGCATTTGGGAAATATAGTGATTCAAATAGAACGCAAGCCTTGCCATCTGATGCTCCAAGTTTATGCGCATGGTTAAATGATAAACAAGCTGTCGTGGAAGACCACGCCTCTAAATCCTGACTAGGAAACCCCGCCAGTGAACCTTCTTTTTTTCCACTAGATCGATCGTCATGTCAACCAGCGGAAATCGACAACAGCAAAAGGTTATTAGTGTGTACATGCAAACGGTAGTAATTGCAACCGTTAACTCAAAACTATTGCCATTACAATAAACACAGCGCAAGAAGCCACCAAAAACATATGAAAACAAACATTTTTCCGGGCCTTTGTACGATCCCAATAGCAGTCGACCTGGCAAGGTTCAGAAAACGACAAATGATAATGCGAGCAATGATAAACAGAGATTCGAACGGCCGAGAAAGTACACAATTACTGTAGCAATCCCGGCCAGCGTAGTTGACAGTGCACCAACACTTGAAATGAAGACGATCTTGGCTGGGCAGGTTTGTTAACTGGAATAATTGGATACTGAGAAACAAATGAAAAAAAAAAACTGGTTATTCAAAAAGTAGATAGATTGCTCGAAGTCTCGTGATATTCAATGTGGATGAAGTGGTTATTTATGACGATAAGAAAAAATGGGCAGACAGCAAGATCAACCCCAATCTTTTTTTGGCACGCGTATTACAATACATGGAGACGCCGCAGTGAGTAAACTTTAACTTTTTACTAAAGAGCAGCAGCATTCTTGAGGTCTAAAGGAAAAAAAAGGAAAGTGATGAATGACTAAACGAGCTATAAAAGATATCTGCGAAAAGCATTGGTGCCCTTTCACCCTGATCTGAAGTTTGCCGGACTCTTACCGCCCTTAGAAACGCCACATCATCCTAATTTACAACAAGCGATGCGGTATCGTGAAGGTGTCACACTGAATAAAGAAGGAACAGGCACGCTGGTGGATATTGGCATGTACCGACGGGCACGACTTGAAAAGTTGATACAACCGGGAGTTCGGGTCACGGTGGAGCTACCGGAACCGCTCGCCGCAGCCGACACACGAAAGGGCCAAAAGCCAATCAACGTCAAGGCTGTGAGCCCAAAGGCGCCACGGGAAAAGGCAGGTCATTACTGGGGATACCATATCCGGCTGGCGTCGTCGTTTTCACGTGTGATTACAGAGTCACCCTATGAGGTATGACGAGAATGTTTGCATCATGTAACAATGTAAATAAGTTTACAATCGATGTAACTTTAGGGAGGCTACGATTTCACTGTGGGTATTTCGGACCGCGATGCGCGTGACATGTTCGATGACGGTGTGACGAATGAGGTCAAATCCTTCAAGTAAGCACAGCATGGTACAGACACAGACGCATCCAACTACTTGGCTGTCTACCTATTAATACACAAGCTACGTAACAAAATGTTTCTTTTAGACATCTTCTTTTTGCATTTGGGGGTCCATCAGGCGATCTGCAGGAGGCTGTTGAGGCGGATGAAGATCTCAAGTGTGCGGGTGAAGACACGGCTGAGTTGTTTGATCTTTTCGTCGATCCCAGTGCACGGGCTGGAACGCGATCGGTGCGACTGGAGGCAAGTGAGATGTATTTATACATCTTGGATGCTCACGTGTGTGTGAGAAACAAAATTTGTATGTGTGTGTGTGTGTATATTGTGTCTGACAACTCTTGGAACATTAGGAATCGATTACCACTGTGATGTCCGTGTTCCAGGCTGCGACTTCAAAAGGGTCGTGATTAAGTGTGCACGAGAGACGCGCAAAAAGCAGCGAACATAGACAGACACAACTAGATACTTTAGAGAGCGAGGGTGTGAGATGGCCGAGAATATACACATGCAAATCAATTTTATGCGCAACGTCATCAATTAAGCCAATTATGGATGCCTTGGCACACTTGTGAACTGGGAAACGACAGTGCGAGACAGAGAGGGTGAAGAGAGCGTGGAGGGTGGAAGAAGGGGTTTGCGGTTTGTGTTAGGAAAAGCGTTAAAAAAGCTTAATAAGACAAGCTACGTCCTTGACAGTTCACCCTACTTGTGCTGTGCTGCTGGTATTCTCCCTCCAGCAACAGTCAGATGTCACACAACCCTGAAAGCTGTTTGTCCAATATACACAAGACGTCAGCTGCAGCAATATGTCGTGCATCATGATTTGGACCATCCACCACCACTAATTTCTTCAGGCATTAATTCTTGGTCCGTAAAAAATTCTCTTCACGCTTCTTCTTTCTTTCTCTTCTCCTTCCCCCACTTTCTCGGACAGCACCACCTCCATGCAGCTTCAACAGCATCAGCACCAATCATCGCCAGTATCGATGAAGCAACACAGACACGTCTGTATCTATCCAAATTGCGGCTGGAGCTTCAAGCGCTTTGAGCATCTCAAACGGCACATGCTTGTTCATACCGGCGAACGACCACACGCTTGTCCATTCCCTGGCTGTGGAAAACGGTTCAGCCGATCCGACAACCTTCATGCCCATCATCGAACGCACTTGAAAAAGCGAATGAAGCAACATACAAAGACCAAGAACAACGGCTCAAGCTCACGTCCTCCAGCAAATACAGCAGAGCTTGCTGTCTCATTGGATACAAAGTATAACAACGACGGCAGCAATAACAGTGGCAGCATTAAAATGACACGGTGTGAGGAACCAGCAACAACAGCAACAACCACTCCCAAAGACCATCAACAAAATCATCATCATCGTCACCACCACCATCAGCAGCAGCATCATCATCAGCGATCTGCTAGCATCCCATCTCCCGCTTCTCCTCACCCTTCATCTGTATCTTCAACGTACTATGCAGCTGCTGCGGTCGCGGCAGCAGCTGCCGTTCATCCACCGCCACCTCCATCACAGCATTCAAATACTGATGAATCCAAACAATCACCGATATATACGTTCTCTCCACGCTACGCGTCTATGATACTGGATCATCATAGCAATAGCAACAAGCACGCCATCTCCTCCGCTTCTTCTATAGGACTGTATAATCATCCTGCGCACCATAATCATCATCATCAGCAACATCACTCACAACAGCATAATCACCATCATCATCAGGGACCTCCAGCGACGATGGAATACTCCACTTTTGCATGTGCTACATATGGACCGGATCAGACAGCCAACCCTAATCGTAACGATTCATCTCTCCAACCTTTTATCTCTGAATGGCACCCAGGAGGTGTTGCAAGAGGATACTAGGTTCCATTCACAAGCCTCAAATTATCACAGAAAATTATTTGCACTTTCCACATTCTGTTTCTTATCCTCAATTCGGCACAAATCAATAATAAATGAGATTTTATCTAACTGTAACTATCAAAGTGAGATTTGGGGGTGGAGAAAAAAACAAGTTATGTATGTCACTTGATATTATTTATAGCGCAGCAGCAACAAGCAGCATCAGCATATGTTATAGCATGCAATTTTTTCTTTCTTGTTTCTTCGTTTTCCATCTGCATGATGTTCTTATGATAACGACGAGAATAATGAATGGTATGCGCAAACCTATCCAATTAGCTTCGTGCTTTCAATTCTTCATCGCTCTCATAACGGAAGGTTTATTTCCAAACTGTAATAACAATAATTTATACACGATTAATGTGACGTACATTTATTGAATTGCTGCGGGTTTGTGTGGTCCGCTGGATATATACTTTCTCGTGTGCTCCCATCCCTTCCGGAAATCTTTTCTGATAGGTGCATCAGAGTAACTAATGGCTTGAATGCAGCAAAAGCTTAAAGTTACATGTTAGGGATCGCTAGCTCTCCTTTTTTTACATTGTTCTTTACAAGTAAAAAACGCCCCAAGTTCCTCGGTATATGACGTGGTATCATTACAATCACTCTCGTCTGATGAGATTTGGTATCTATAACATATAATAATAATTTATACCACTCACAACTGATCATTACACCATGAATACATCAAGACAACCCAACTCTTTATGAATATGGCGATAAAATGTCGAGCGACGACGTTTCGGATAATCTAGGAACACCTTGAGGAGTGAAGCAGAAACAAGATGTCGAAACTGTTCCATAACAACACTACATATGGCCTAGACCTGTGCACCAACTACGTACCTGGCACTGTATCATTTTTATTTTACAATCTGAGTAATATCAAATACATTTTATGATAAGTGCCTCTGGTCGTTATGTTTCTGAGTCGAGCAGGAAAAAATAATACCATTTAATTCTAGATAACGGACTGGATCAAAGGGCTCTACCGCGTGGAAAACAAGGGGAAATTGGGTATCCTTAGCTGGGTATAGCTGATGATTCACCTATGTAAGTAACAGGCAATACGCATACTTTCTGTATATACTATAACAACAAATTGTTATCCTCATCATATTTACTTATTTGCAACAGGGTCTTGTTCATCTGGTGTAACGAATGATCATATGTTTATCAAAAGCAGACAGATTATAAAGAGCAACTTGCATTTTTGTTTTGTTGTGATCCGCGCAAATTGGCGCATGCTTGTTATTGTCGATATAGCATGCACATGAGCGAGTATTGCTCATCAAAAGCGAGCAAGTACAAAAAACAAATCGCGTTTATGCCATCATGCCTTGTTGTTGTTGTTGCTATATACACAACACACATAGCTTGAATTCAAACAGATAGAGGGAGCGAATGACATACACTCTCAGTTGACTTGTTCTGCAGATATTTTTATCTCTTGTAGAATATTCACTGCCCTTCCCTATCAAAATAATTTATTTATTGGGAATGACGATCAACCCTCAAGAGTCGCCCTGTGCCTCAAGTTATAATCGTCTCTTATTGGAATAGCGGAGACCAGAAAGAGACTCAGTATTCATACAAACTGCTGCAAAACTAAAGGCAGCAGGAAGGGGTGTAAGCCTGTCGGTGAATCTGAAGTCCAAAAACTCAGTTGTAGTAACGCGCGTGACGAGAGCTCTCTTCCCTTTGCTCGTCTTTGATACTACTACATGGGTAACGGATGCTTTAAGTTTTAGTAAATGCCTTAATAGAAGAAAATTATCATCAAGCTAATGCGCTCCAAAACAACAACAGGTGCCCTATTCAGCAAAATATTTGGTCGATTGTGGGGTGAAAAAGAAGTCCGGATATTGATTCTTGGTCTTGATGGAGCTGGTAAAACTACCATTCTGTACAGACTTCAGGTAATAAAGGGGACGGCAGTATGGAAGACAGCACTTTTTCTGTCCCTTGCTGGTGGCTATTACACTCTATTTCTCCATATATGTATTAAATCTAATGTATTCCATAACTAGATTGGCGAAGTTGTTACCACCATTCCTAGTAAGTGTGGAGTATTACTAATGGACTGACCTCGATGATTCTCTATGTATTATATATCTATGTTCTAACGTATCGTCCTTGCTACAAACATTTCTTAGCCATCGGCTTCAATGTGGAGACCGTTTCTTACAAAAATATCAAGTTCCAAGTATGGGATTTGGGTGGACAGACAAGCATAAGGTAAACCAACCGATTAATGATGTTGGGGTTAGGGAAGGTGGAAAATAGCAAGAATGGAGAACCATCAATAAATTGTGGATACTGATGCGAAAGGTAAAAAAAAACAGACCTTATTGGCGATGTTACTATGCAAACACAGATGCCGTGATTTACGTTGTTGATAGCGTGGACAAGGATCGTATGCAGACATCAAAAGAGGAACTCCACGCCATGTTGGAGGAAGAGGAGCTAAAGGACGCAGCACTGCTAGTGTTTGCCAATAAGCAGGATATGGAGGGTGCTTTGTCTGCTGCCGAAGTGGCCGATGCACTGGGCCTTTCTACTCTGAAAAACCGACAGTACTCCATCTACAAAACAAGTGCAATTAAGGGCGAAGGCTTGACGGACGGTCTGGATTGGTAACGTAATTTTGTTCATATATATACACACGCCCTTGAGCTTGGCTGCTTAGTGTTAATTTCATTGGATCTGCATAGGTTGGTTAATATCATTCAAGAAAACAAGCAATAGAAAGAAACTCTCCGCTGCACATATCACACACATTCTCTCTCTCTCTCTCTCTCTCGCTCAATACGTACACACACACACTCACACACTCACAAAAGACACATGGCTTTTTTTTCCCTTCCACTGTAGACATCTTTTTTTTTTGCTTTTCTCTTCTAAACCAACGCTCTACTATATGTACTTGTATCTATCACCCCTCTTCTTTTGCTACCTAGCAAACCGTCTAGCCAACCGATTAATGAACCGGTTTAGCTCAGAACTTCCTCACTCTACATATGCACAAACAATTGAAACACACTAAATCAAGCAAAGATCATTTTTTTTTCTTTTTTCGGCCCCTCATTTTATTACAGTGTTAACGCGCGGCCTAACCAGGACGGTGACTTGCTCCTTCCTATACAAGACATAAAAGAATGAGTCAAGAGACGAATAACTGAGTACTTTTTTTTTAGATAACTGCTATGAAACTAACGTCGATGCGGGTATACTGGGGCGCACGGAGCCGGCGGATGATGCTCCTTTCTGCTTTGTCCACATAGGCATCCTTTAATACGACAGGCAATTTATAATAAGCCAAGAAGAAGAAAGGGAGATATACACACTGAGTTTTGCGTCTTTTGATATCATGCCGCTAAAAGAAGGCAATTAGAGACAAAACAAACCTCGACATCCCGGAACCAACGACACATTAGCCAAATGGTTTAGCCATTGTGTACTGAGGTGGGCCAAGTCCACTATTAGGGGGAAGCGGAAAGGAAAAGAACTCGAGACAATGGAAAGAATAACGAGTAACATTTTGACTGAAGTTTTCCCGTTTTATTTCAATTGCGGAGTTCGCTGCTGTACCGCTAAACAATGAGGATGTTGAGTGCAAGTGCTTGTACACGTGGCAGGTGTATTAACTTCTTTTTTAATACGCTCCCTCCATTAGAGTTTTGCCCGTGACGTAGAAAAAGAACTATGCGGATTCGAGAAATGCTAATGCTCTTGTAACTCGTCTAGTTTCTCCAAGTAGTCAATTGGAGAATGCCAATCAGGGTGACTATTTTGATCTGGCGGGATCTGTTGCGATAAGAAGGTACCATGGTAACACATGATCAAGGTAGTCTGGCTAATATCCTTCGGCTATACTTATCCTCTTCGTTTGCTTCTTAAGGGGGGGAGGGCAAATTGGATTAAGTATTGCGCTGCTCAAATGATTCCTCTACTTGTACACAAAGAAACACTTGATAATAGATATGTAGTAGCACTATATGTGCTTACTTTAAAACAGTGTTTCATTCATATTATATGATAATGGCGCTAAGCAGCTTGTGATAGCTTCGTTTGCAAGATGGCAAAAGATTATCGATATTAGTATGTCTGTTATATTCATTAAGCATATAATAGCTGTGATCTAAATCTAGAAAGGTTTATTCATTAGTAGCTATGATAATACTTGCAATAGTTAATTTGTACATGTTGAAGGAGCAGACTTAAAGTTAACCTTTTACAAAGCTCGCATCTCTTCGCTTGCGGCATTTGGTGACTCGCCATGTCCTTTTTACTAAGAGATGAAGCTACTTGTATATTAGAGGGTACGTTGTTATATCCGCAAGCACAAGTAAAGCAGAATTACATCAGTTTCGTAGAAAAAAGGACACATTAGTACAACCCCAAGCGTGTCTGTGCACTAGATTGTATTTAACAGATCATGTCGAATCATCAGGGTGATGGTGCTCATCCAATATACCTAGCCATTTTTAGATTGAGCAGTACCTATTCTTGGGAGTATGATACATTGTACATACAGATTATGTAGATCAGAGAGTACAATACAGGTATCAGAGCGGTTCCTTGTAAATTTTATATAGGACGTGGCGGTAACCATCACAGAGGCAGCATCATAGCTTATCATATAACAGTATCGTAAAATCAAGAGATGATAGTTAAATGATCTGAATCTCGCGTAATAGTGCGCAATTAAAACATCCCACTATAACTGTTATGTTGTTCGCTCTTGTTTTTTTAAGTGTCGTCGTTCGTTTGTATTGGCTCGTTGTGATAAAATACCCCAAAGTATCGGAATCAAAGAAGTCGGATTTCTACGCTGTCTAAAGCGGAACAGCTGAAAATTCCGAATAGTTCAGGCAATCAAAGAGATGAACATGTGTAGTGATTCTTCTGGATGCGGTAGAGTGAAAGCTAATCAACGAAGAAATGCTTCTAAAGATCCTGATTGAGACAAAGACGGTCGTCAGGACCCCTAAGTCAACATCGTGAGCAGCAGCAACACGAACATATGTCATCTTTTCGCCTTCACAATCATTCGTTAACTTGTGCAAGATGAAAGGGAACACGTATGTTCGTATAGTCATTTCGTGCATCTTGGGCCAATGACTGATCCTACTCTTGCATTCAGAGCAAAAAGAGGTAATGGAGAAAATTAATAAACATATAGATTTCTTTGATAGTCATTACACAACCATTTGACTGTTTCAAATCAGTGCTTACACGAATCTTATACGTTGGACCAATGTCATCTTCTGTTAGTGAGGAAACAATCACTGCTTTATGATATCACGATTCGGAGAAGTCATGCGCTTGGTTGTAGGTAACGTGAGTATGATATATCTCCTTCATGATCAATAACGCACGTATATCCATTGATATATTTAGTTTTCCAGACGGCCAGATGAAATTAAAAATGTCTTTGTAAAGTTCATTAATCGAGAGTCGCTACTGTATAGGCAGCCAACGAAAGACTTGAAGATATTCCGCTTAGTAAGATACTTATTATCATTGTTTCGCTTACTTTACAGTCTATCGTAAACACAGCTGCTTGAAGACAGTTAAAGAATTGACAGGTAAATAAGGCGCACGACTTTGATCCAAACCTCGATACGTACACATACAGTGGTTCCCCGTTTAATTTCACTCTCAATAACTTTTCTCTATACCCCCTTTAAGCATAGAACACTGCTTGAATCACCGTCGTTTTGTGTCAACCCTCAGCAGTCTCAACACTTTATAGGCCCCTTTGAGGTTGAAATTAAACGGGGAACCACTGTATGAGAAAGGCGAATCGATACCACGGCTAAACCGGCTTTTAGATGGAGAGTGTACATTGTTCGAAGTAGCCTCTTTGCGCAGGTTTCAAGGATCAAGGTTTTGAGATCAAGTCGCTATTGAAGAACCTAGAGCAATGCCACACTTTCAGTATAATAATGGCACCAAAGACTCACCACACCATTAAACAACTCCGCTTACGATTCGCAAGCTCATGTCGAGGGCCAACCTCTATCGCCACCGCCGCCACCACCATTGCAACAGCCAAGTGTATTTCATGACCAACAGGGCAATTACATACTACATATATTTCTTGCAGACTATACCCTTGATTAGTCTCACCGTCAGCAACAAGAGCAACCAGAAACCGCACACTCTTACTACAGCCAACAAGGGAGTTTATCCGACCTCTACACCAACTCATCAATATCTGCAGTAACCTTCACCAGCATTGCTATCGCCATCTTTGGGTGTCTCCGATCGCTCCATTTACAGTACATACCATCATCATCACAGCCAGTACTCACCGCATTCCGATCTCAATGTACCGAATTATTCCGTGGCCCCCTCCTCTTCACCGTACTGCGCCCCTCTACAGCAGCCACAGTCGCAAGCTCCACCTACTACTATGAAGTTTTCAGCAGAACATAATCGACGATAACATCATTACTTGAATTTAATGAGACGTAATGTCTACTTGCAACACATGGAAACGTACGTATCAAAGAAACGTTAGTAGTGATATTACCTCTAGAGGATGCACATGGTAATATAGCGATTTGCATATATGCATCATGTGAGGTCGAGTGATGCAGGCTCTCTCATAAAAGAAACAAGGATATAAATTAAAGTCGCACAAAGACTAGACCCTGGAGCACGCTTACGTGAGCCTTGTTCTATTCTTTTTTTACTTGTTTGAGTAAAAGCAGGCATTCCCGTTAAAATATGTTCATCGCCTTTGAGTACACTATGTCTGTGGAGTTTTCTGTGTTGTGACTTCCCGCTCATTCTCGCACTCACACATACACACACACACTCTCTCTCTCCGCCTGCAATATTGGCTCTGCGCGCCATCGCTAGTTTACTTTTTCCCTATCAGCAGCAACAAGGAAGGTTTGTCAACACCTCTCGGATAGCACAACACGTATACACACGGCTATGGTGACGGACACAAGCTTAACCAATATTCTGGTTGTGGTAAGTTCGACCCACCTAATAGCAATGGGCACGTTTATAATGGCCACCTCCTTACAGTAAAGAAAAACTGCGCTTTGGCACTCATTACTAAAATACTATCGATCTATCTTAGAATGGTGTGTCTCAGATCCGTTACCGAGCATACACTGACACTTGTAAACGATCTACACTTTTGCATTCGTTGAAAAAACAAGATCATAATTCGTCGAATGCACTAATCCAAGCATTTCATGAACTTTGCGATCTCAATATTCCGTGCACCTGGCGCGCTGTCCCACTGTCACGGAGCAATAACAATAACGATGACAAGAAGAACGGTGACACAGTTAAGCTCGAACTATGGGTATTTTGGTTCGATGAAAGACACACCGGTCGAATCGATGGCAATGATATGCTCAACCAGCTCGAAGGTATGTGCAACTTCTCTTTAATTCATATTCATGCGAGGCTAAATTATCCCCACGATGCAAAATGATTAATTGTTTGTACATTTAAAAACCACCTTACAGAAGTTAAAATGGGTACATTTACCTGGGAAACAGTTACCAATGGACTCACTACAGCAAAGTCATCACCATCTGCAAGCAGCAGTAACGGCAACAAAACGGCAAGCAACGGTAGTACTACTCGAGTCCGAGGCTTGGTATCCGTGTTTGAAGAGTACAAATTATTCATACGATCTATACGAAATGTGGTCCACAAATCCATTATTGCATACGGTGCTGTTCCATTGGGCGATGTCTATATTATGCCCGAATGCCGCACCACTCCCGAATACGATCTGCTGACGAGCGAAAATTACACCGCCTCCACCACTGCAGCCGTCGCGTATAACGCCTATATCACCGGAACTGATCTTGTATTTCGACCTTATACCCGCCAATTACGATTGCGCCGTCTCACAAGCGCGGATGGACCAGGCACAAAAGGTAACAGTGAATGGGCGCAAGGAACAAAGAAAGTGCATGTGAATAAATAAATATGCTAATCCTCTATGACACTATCAGTCATCCTTGCTCCTGCCGGCGAGCATGCTTACGTTACGTTATCACCAGTCGAAATATCTGAGCACGCTCGAGAAAAAGTGTTTCTCGAATGGTCAGCTTTATTCAACATACAGTTAACTGGATCTTTCGTCGCCATCCGCACTAAAACCAACGCCACTGTACTATACCCGTCAATGCTCGTTTTTGTACCCACGCCAATTCGAGATTCGCCTACTCTTATCTCTGGAATGAATGGTGTTTTGGGCAAGAATCGCGGCCTGACAGAAGATATCGGCAAGAAATGGAGTCAATGGGCGTGGTCCGAACACTTTAACAAGCACGACGACATTATCGACGGGCCTCGAAAAGATAACGATTGTCGAATCAATTACTGGAATTACAACAAACGTTTGTTTCACAGATTACTAGACGCATTAACAGTGCCGCCAGCGATAGACGAGCATAACGTTATTCAAAAAATGATGGAGCAGCCTATCATCCTTAGTCCTCTCATGGCAGCAAAAAGTGTCGGTACACCATCGCTTAGTCCATTCGCGCTCCCGACGATTGATTCGAACGATAAATCAACGGCGATGGAGATCCTCAACAATAACAGTGCAGAAGATGCCGTGGTTAGCAGCAATATCAGTAGCAACAATGTTGACGACACCAACAACAAAGGCAGTAGTGACTCTTTACAAGATTTTATTGCTCGTAACTTTGCTATCAACATGCCTATTGAAGAATTGTCCGGCAAAGAGCCCTTGGATCCGAATGCTGACCAACAGACACAACATGATAATTTAAATACGAATGACATCAGCAACGATCCAAATGCCCCAGAAGAACATGAAGCAGCAGAAGCAGAAGACGTTTCAACATTACCACAAGAGATTGCACAAACTTCACCAACCGAAAATATGGACGACTTTGGTTTGTCGTACGGCATGGATGAGTTTTCAGATCACCGCCAATGGGACGGTGGTCTAGACAACGATCTTGGAGACTTTGATTTTGATGTGACCGAGGCAGACTTCGATTTTTTTGCACCGTCAACGGATTCCAGCAGTAAAAAGGCAACAGTAGCCCAAACAACAACAGACACATTAGGACAACTAGCAAACACATCAACATCACTGCTGCCAATGGAAGACGTAATTCCAACGACCGCCGACAATCCTCTTGGTATATCAGCAGCAAGCAAAGAAGAGCCAATGCTCGTATCTGATGATTCTACTGCTGCCATACTGTCTACGTCAATGCAAGACGTGCCTATGGTATCTCAGCAGGAGCAACACCTGCCGGCACAACAAGAATTACACGAAAATGCAAACATCAAAGTTGCCTCTATGCCAACAGTGAATAGTAGCCCAGTGGCAAGCGATATCACTGCCGTCGCATCGAGCGATGCAGGTGCATCAACAGCAGTACCAGCAACGTTTGACACTTCCATATATACAATGACGCCAGACAGTAGATCGCCAACCCTTGTCCTTACAAAAGCAAAATATGTGGGCGAGCATCAGCACCTAGTGCCGCATGATTTTGCACCAGTCAGTTTTGTGGCAGGAGTTGACAACACGAAATACCTTGAAGGTGGAAAGTTTACATATGCTTGCAGCGATGATGAAAGTGACATTGCCAACAACAATAAAACGGGTACCACAAAGCATCGCCGAGCTCGAATCAACTACAACATGTATCGACCAGATTATATTCCAAGGAAGCTGATGAAATCCAGACGGAAAGCAGCACGATTGATGACTGAAAACGACCAGACAGTACCGATTGAAATTCCAAGCTCTTCGGACTCGGAGTCATCATCCTCTTCATCGTCAAATGACAGTGATGAGGACTATGTAACGTCATCTAGTATCAGTTTGAGCAGTCAAGAGGAGGAAGAGGACATTGACCCCGTTGATCGACTCCTGAGCGCGCAAATGACCTATGTTCGGCGGTTACTTGGTGATATTCGCAACCGACCTAAACGGCACCGGTTAGCCAATGTGGCTTTGGATTACGATAGCCCATTCGGTGGTATCGTTATCGATTCGGTTCATCCAGAGAAACTAAGCCAAAATGACATTGCTTCACTCGATCATCTGTGTCAGCAAACAGTTTGGGGTGGATATCCATTTGCTGGTGTTTTACCCGATGGAATGTCTTTCTGCCCAGATGGAACTTATCATGACGAGGCTGCCGAAGCTGTGATTGCCCGACAAACTGAACTGATCCAAAGTATCCGTGGAGGTAATAATTTGTCTTTCTGCTAGCTATGTTATGAAAACAATAACTTGAAGCTAATATCTACCTTCAAATAGATGTGACGCATGTACCAAGCCTTAGTGGCACTACGGCTCGAGCCATCCATGACTTCAAGACAATCTTGAAAGGCATTTTCCAGCCTACAGCTGACGAGGAAACGATACCACCGATAGGCTCAATTGGCGTGAAAGGGCCTCTCAAAGTGCAAGAATACTATGAATTGTCAGGTAGTGAAAACAAGAGAGATAGAAAACATAAGAATACGGGTTATTCACAACACTTCTTATTAGCTGAGAATGCACCAGTACACTCGAAATACTATGGCAAATTCCAAGTCAAGAAGCGGAAATCCGGTGAGCCAAATTTGAACATGCTTTTGCCGCCAGATATTGTCGTCGGACGCCAGAGCGAATGGGTCGAAGGTTCAACTGCTATGGTTGGCTTTTGGGAAAAGCTCAGGCTTGAACCGTACTCAAGCAAAAACAACATCTTATACTTTGTGGTGTATCCCGACAATCGTGACGTTGCGGCACAGCTATCGACATTTTTCACGAATCTCAATAATGTATACGAGACTTGCCAACTTGGCCTCCATCGTCCAGGAGCCACTGAGCAATTTTATCATGGTGCTGTACCTGTACCATCGCCAAGTAAGTTATCACTAATTTTTTTTGCGTCAAGCTCGCCAGTGTATTTTATATATGAAATTTTCTAAAATCCATATGCTATTAAGATGAATCGACTTGGAAAGATGGTTATATGGCAGCCTGTGAAAACCTTGGATCAGCATTGGGACGAGTAAACATCACATCACAAGAACATGACATAAGCAACATTGTAATATATCTGATGAACCCATCATCTCAACTATCATCAAACCTCGACCTCAGTCGATGTTTCAGTAAACTTCTTTCGGCTTATATCACGACGGCACGACGGCATCGAGCAAGTGATATCAGTACGAGTCGGTTTGTGATGCAGATCCTTCCACTAGATCATGCCCTACGCCTCGAAAACACGTGTACTTTGCTCGCCCTTAAAGATATCGCCTTCTCCATATACAGTCAATGCCATAGCATTGAACGACGACAGGTAAACACTTTCTTTTGTTTCCCCTAAAGTATCAATGCAGTTTCTGAATTCCTCTGTTAAATAGGACCATATTGACCATGTCCGTTCCATATCGAGCTTCTATACCCCACCATGGATCATTGCTCAGCAACCTCCAGGTTCCATTAAGCTGTCAATCAAAAATCCATTGGTCGCGTTCCCAACTGTAATTCTTGATCCCAGTGCAACACTTCACATGGCATATAGCTTCAGTTTGGATCGGCGATGGATGGTCATAGTCTGGTCAGATCACCGAGGCGAACTCTTGGAATTTGCCGTGCTCGAAATCCAGGCGGCTAGCAGCAAGACACCGGTGTCTCCGCTTGTCAAGGTATTTACGGAAGCATGGACTCGGACGCGCAATATTGCTCGCCGAACAGGTATCGCTTGGAGCTTCGTGCTAGCCAAGATTGGACTGATATTTGAGAGCGAACTTCAAGGTAATCAGAAAGCTACACGCACAGAAAATGCAAGTATACACTAACACATGATATAACTTTCTAGCATGGTTGGATTCTTTACATTCTACTGGTGATTCTGAAGAAAAAGTGGCCATTATCAGCATGGATGTAGAATCTCCATTACATTTCGACGACGAAGTAAGATCTCAGCACAATGAGCAAGACACAACGAACGCAAATGTATCCGACGCGTACACATTTGCATCTTCCTCACCCTACAATTCCACGACGAATTCAACGCCGAGTGGCACGATCAAGCCGACTGCGACTCCAGCTAAAGAGTTACTCGATGTCGATAGTGGCACATATATGATCATGCTGAACCATCGGATGGCATACTCAAGACAACGTGTTAACATTTACCAAGGAGACCTGGCAATGGAGCCAATGAACGAACTGGATAGCTGGATACTGTCATTATCTACCGGATACCTAGTCATTTCGCGGAACCCAGCTCTGGAGCAGGGACTTCCACGGAGCCAACCGCTGGCGCTGGAGCTCCATCTTGTATACAATAATCTATCACGTACACCTTATACCGCATTGCATGATATTATCAAGCAATATCATGCCCTGTCATACGTCAATTACCCTCCATCCTATGCCAGCAGCAGCAACGCCACTTTGTTACCAACGCATATTGCACTCGTTGAACGACTCTGCCGGATCCTTCTTGTTGTTGGCTCTTAATATTCTAGTTGTTTCTTTTCTTCGTCACTTCTTTCTCATCTGTATATAGTAAAATCAAAGCCAAAGAACCCCCGGTTTTTTTCACGCCACGTGGGCCATACTCAGAAAGCAAAACGCTTTGGGATATTGTGCTACATTCCTTTTATGTAACCATTTGAAGCCTAAAGATAACAATAACTGTTTTATTATCCCGTAAAGACGTGCAGCATTATTATTGTTTCGACGTTTGGGGTATAAACGTCATGGGTTGTTTTAAATGTTTTGTCCTCTTTATTGTAAACTGAAGCAGAATCCTTCAAAGGGGCCTCGAGGAGGTGTATGATGGTATAATGCGCCTTATCCCCTATTCTTTTTTTCCGCCTACTCTCTTTTTGACGTGACAGCCTTCTTAAGCTTCTATGATAAGATTGTTCCGGGACTTTTAGTTCCAGAAAAAACTCTCCTTGTTCCCACTTTCCCACAGTTTGACCAAAAATGACCGTCGTTCCCATTCCACCAGACGGTAAGCTAATTTAACGCATACGAACAGAAGCCTTGAAACGAAACAGAATGCAACTCTAAAACTCACTGTAATTCTCGTTCTCTCTCATATATAAAGAACTACCTGTCTTGGAAAACCTAATCACAGTGCGACACAAGTTATCGGCTCTCAAAAAGGATCGGGAGTCTAGTACACGAAGTGAAGAGGTCATGCCCTTGTACTTTGAAACAGAAAAGCAGATAGAGACCTTGGCATCACTGCGATCGGGCGATATTTGGGATCCTAAACTACGCAATCGGCTCAATGACGTGCTCGACGATGTCATGTCGCTTCTGTCACTCTTTTTTATGAGCTTGGGTCGTAACAGAGAAAGTGAGCTGAAACTTGTGCCAAGATTTCGCCGCGAGGGATAAGAAGCTTATCTTGCCTTATATTGTTCTACTAGGTCCGGCTGTATATGTTCACTTGGTTACAGTAGAGGTAAGCATGAGAAGTTGAGTTACTTTTGACCAGGCTTTCCCCACACCCCGCGTCGCTTTATATACACCAAAATGGGTGGGGTGACGGTTGAAGAAAGAGGCTGGATTTTAAAAGGAAGAATAGCTCAAGTCTTTTGGGAACCTAAAATAGCATCTGCTGCATTGTTGTAGAGATATTTGGAGCAACTAACACAGATGGGCATATATACCGACACTATCTTGGTGGAAATCGAAGAACGGGTTGCGGATGTTGAAAGCATCATTTATGCTGGCAATGCTGAAGTTGCATCATCGTTCCTTGATTTATTGAAGAAAAAACTGCTGCGATCTAGTAAGTCTAGCACATATATCTTTATTACGATCGTCAACTCTATAACTGTGACGCTGATTGTTACTATGGAGCATGCATTGGATGAGCTTCTAGCTGCGATCCGGGATATATCTCCCGATTTGTAAGTATTATATTAATACTGGATGTTTTGTTACTGCATTGGAACATAAAAGGGTTTGCTAACGTTGTTTTGAATCAGGAAACCTTTACATATTGAATTGGTCGCCATACGACGACAATTGGGCATCATTGCTTCACGGCCCAACGGATTTTCCTCCACTGATATAATTCCGTTTCAAGATAGGGTACGAAATGACGACAAAGGATGTCTGCAGCAATTGAGAAAATAGTTAACACAATTTTGCTTATTCTAATGGTTCTCCGTTGGTAGGTCCGCCACATCGACAAAGAATTTCGCCAGCAGTATGGCAATCTTACGGGACGAGCAGTCGTTGAAGGATTACTGGAACAGTTGTACGAGGAAGCTCACGATCTGATTGCATCAAGCGAAAATATATCGGCTTCCTTAATACCATTAGCAGATCGACTTAAGGATATAAAGGGACAATTGGAGAGACTTGCGTTCACACATCGATGGACCCTACGCGAAACTGACCTGTATACATTTCAGGTATGTTTCATAAAGAACTTTTATGTCCTTAATCGCAAATGTGCCATGGTTTGCTCTTTTCCAGCTCACAGAATGATGTCTTTAAGTTACAACTGCAAGAGATTGAAAAACTACGTGACGATGGCAAATTCAAAGACACAGAAGGCAATGTTGCAGAAGGACAGACGGTTATCAACTTTTTATTACGTGGTTGTTACCGGCTGATTACCAAAATGCTCAGCGAAAACGTACCGGTAGCGGAAGCTTTAATGCCAGTACATAACCAGTTAAGCACAGTGCGACGATGCCTTGTTGAAGTGACAAAGTGCGGCAAGCCGGACTCACGTAAGCTTTTGTCTTTTGGTGATAAATGTCTCGTATACTAACACCGCTATTGATTGTTCAACGTTTATAGCGCGCGATCTTTATCCGTATGTATACCTGTCTTTAAAATACACATTACAAGAATTTACTAATTTCCTCGTAAATAGGTATCAAATGAAATTGGCTAGTATCGATAACATGCGCATGAATGGAATTTTTTACGATGAAGACAACAATATTCCTGAAGGTAAGTTTGAAGAAACTTATACGGGTGGTTTCGCCACTGTCTAATTTCGAAGATACTAAACTTTACGTTCCGGTCGTTAGGACAAGCCATCTGCACTGCTCTGTTGAATGAATGCTACGACATCCTCCACGACCTTATTTCCGCTATCGACGACGATAGAACAGCTTAACACTTTTCCCTTCCATTTGTAAAAAGCCAAATCCATCAATAAACAAGACCCCTCTCAATCTCTAATAACTGCAGGTAAATGCCCCTTATCACTGTGTAAAAAATTCCGGTCCAGCAAGTTTTTCGATCCCAAGAATCCATAGCATATCGGTTAACAGTACATTACCATCCACAACATATTAAAAACGCCGTAAATGTAGATGTTTCTCATGATGAGACGCAAGCTTTATTCGATAAATGTGTAGGCGTTGTGCTATCAATTTAATCGAAAAGACCTATTGAAAAAGAATTAGTTTACTCTATGAATCTTTACTTTTACCAAATGTCCTTCCAAAAAAGCCTTTTAGCTACTTACCAAAGCCCATATCTTCATCGGATTCCTCCTTTTCTTCTTCCTTCTTCTCTTCCTCGGCAGCGGCCTCTTCAGTAGCAGCAGCACCACCAGCAGCGGGACCAGCAGCAGCAGCACCGGCACCGGCACCAACGTTGAAGATCAATTCCTTGAGGTCCTGACCCTCGAGAGCCTTCGCATAGAGCGAGAACCAGATAGGTTCGATTTCGGTCAAACCGGCAGCCTTGACAAGAGTCTGGAGCTTGTCAGACTACAATGACAGAATGTTTGTTAATATAAAACGGATATAATTGCCTACTCCGTGTAAAACACTAGCAAAGTCCTGTACACAAAAAGAAACATACGGTGACTTCGACATTGTCATCCTTGAGGATGAGGGCAGCGTAGACGATGGCAAGATCAGAAGACATTTGGAGATTTTTGTTGTCGCAAGTAACGTTTTAACCCTGACTGGGATACAAGTCGATCAAGGAGCTCATGAATACCGGGAGCGGTGCCCTTTTTATTTTTTCGTTCTGTGGCTTGGTGACCAATCGGGTCAACAAGCTAAGTTAAATCATTTACTCGAAAAAGTCCAGCAACTGTGAGTGATCCATGTAAGCGGCACTTCCATGGTAATATTCTTATGCTTAGTATAAAGGTACTTTAATTCCACATCAGTATACTCAATTTTTGAGTATGAGATAACCGTAACATCACCTGGATACTACTCTGTATCCCATTGCAGTCGAAATTCGCTTTTTCCTATGCGTAAGCACAACCAAAACCCTTATTTTTGTCCATAACATATATTCGGATATTAATTGATTAATCAGTTATCAAGATTAAAGTATGTATTCTTACTCGTATTCTTTCTCGTTGGCGGATGGGATCCAAGATTTAGGGAACCGCTTTTCTTTAGAGCAAGAGGAAAACGCGATTATAGACGGCAGCGACAAGTTCGATGAAAGGCTCTTACTCTTTCGACAACCAGACTGAGTCATTCTAGCTTATAGCTCAAATTCCGTTTTGTAAATATTTTAAGCAAGTAATCATTGATTTTGATATTTTCAGTAATGGCTGTCTATGGGGCATGCATCTATTAACGCAACTATTGAGCGTGTACATGGCAAACATTTATAGAAACTCATGTAGAGCGTATGCGGATTATATAACTTCACAGAACCAAATAAGATCTAAGCTATTTTTTTTAATGTTCTGAATAGTAAACATATGTAGAAAACGTGTTTTCGCTACTCTATTCGCCCTAGTTCGCATTCCACGTAGGTTTTGTGTGATAGAATACAGTTATTCCCTCCTTCTCCCGAGTAATACAAAAAGGAGAATCTGCTCTATAATACATGCATGAATCGTCATCTGTATCTTTTTCACCAGCCATATTGGTTCAAGAGCAAGTCCACTCGTATATATAAAACACGCGTCTCGTAATTCTTGCAAGAGTTACATACAAGGTGCCTGCTAGGAGTTGAATAGCTGAATTGTCGTCTTGGTGCTCGAGTGTATGAAGCACGTTTTAAAGCGAACTGGTAGTCTTGTTTGATCTAAAATGTTGTTGCTCTCTGTACAACATATACTTTTGCTTACAATGTATGGAAGCTATTTTATAGGGCAATGTCGTAATGAACCAGGGCGGTCACTTCGTAGTGAAGTTTTGTCTGCATTGACGCGTTCCGTCAAGATGTCAAGTTCCAGGTTCAAAAGTCAATACCTAATATCTGAAAAGGCTAAAATGTCCTAATAGCGGCGGTGTGGGGCTCCTTAACACCATTATTTTGCACGTTGTATACAGTCAAATAGGAAGAGCAGACTGTAATTAATTGACTGTCTGATAATCTCGATACGGTTGCTCAATGGTAGGACGTTTAACTATTTGTAATGGTTGTTTTATAACCCCTGGTAGCGTAAAAGCATACAGGATGATGATGAGATGTGTAAAGTCGCCCGCGTATAATAGGCTTGACGCTTATCCTCTTTTCGTATGAGTGAATGTTATCTCTTCATTGCGAGAAACCGTTCAAGTTGGTTGATCTTGCAGTTTTCAATATCGATCCTACATAGAAAGATACAAACATATCGGAAGGAGAACAATGAGAGGAAGCACTGTCAAACCATGTACTAGGAGCTACCTGGTCCTCCAAATGCTTCTATCATTATTAAGCTCCAGAAAGATACATTATGCTTTGCCTTGACCTCACAAAACCTGCGGTATTGCAAGATATAAGTAATACATATGCCAGGCCAACCCCGGGGATGTAATCTGGATAATTCTTACCTTTTTTAAATTACAGTCAAGTATATCACTCTTGCATGATTTTCATAATGCTTAGGCGGCGATGATTTAGTGTACATCAATCAATACTGTCATCACCAATCGTATGCATTTTTCTATCGATTTCTAACACTATACAAACGAATGTAAATCAACGTCATTCGTATCTTTAACACAAGTCGACGAGTTTCTAATGAGATACAAAATGCATACATGCGGACAATCTTACTGTTGTATAAGCTAAATGTAATGCACGAAACTAAATATATTAAATACAGAAAATATTCTCGATTTGACATCATCATACGATCTTGGTTTATATTTAACGATAATGCAGCAGTACGACAACAAAACACACCACATCTTCCACGTTTTCGATGATATATATCAGTATTGTGTGTTCCGAGATTAGCTGATGCGTGCAGCACACCACAAATTTGTGCTTCCACTAAGAGACACTAAACTGACTCATTTAGGCTGCTGCATGATGCTGGAATCGTTGTATCGTACCACATATATTAACCAAGTTGGCTGCGTACTAAAAACAAAATTTGAGTTCAGCATGCTGCTGTAATAATGATCTGCCAGTTGGCTTACATGCTGCTGCCCTGCAGAAACAGCAGCAACAGCAACAGCTGCAGCAGTAGGATATACAGAAGAACAATTGGGGAGTAAATCTTTGAACACCAATTATGGTACTGTCTATGATACATCATTCATTCTATCACGATACAGTAAATTTAACTTTCCTCACCCGCTGTTCTATGCGAATTAGAAAAAGCAAATCCACAGTCATGGTAGTGACTCAAGTTTGTCCCTCAATTCTGCATGGGTGAAATGATGATTCTCCCTTTCGTTTCATCTGCAGCGATGGAGTGCAATGAGTGTAGTTCAATGCAATGCATTAAAGAATCGTCTTGCCTTTCTCTTTTGTTTAGCGACCCATATGCAAGGCGATCACTACACTAGTCGACTTTCACAGAAGAGAGAGAGGGGGGGTGGAAAGGGAAGGAGGTTTCATCTAGAAAGAAAAGCGCAGAGTAGAGAGAAGGAGCCCCTTGCCGCTGAGTTGGCTTCTTCTGTATGAGAAAAAGAGATCTTGTTAAGGGATAAAGGAGTGCATTACCCAATGAGAAAATCTACGGGATCCATGTGCAGTGGGCGCGTCTTGTTCTTTCTTCTTCTTTCCTTTTGACCTTTCCAAATGCACAATCAAGTTGAATACACAAATCACGAGCGTTCCGGGAAGGCTCTGGCAAGGCTTATACAAACGGAGTCACGCACGATACAATGCGGACAGACCAAAGAAGATCTCCCCCAACCCACAACCATACGACTCTACCGACCCTCCTCCTCCTTGGGGAACGAGCCAAAGGAGTGCCTCTTTCGCTCTTCCTGTGTATATCATTATCAACACTCTTCCTCCTCTTCCGGCTTGCATATTATGCGGTCAGCTTTCCCTCTTTCTATCTCCTCTCCTCCTCCTTTCCCTCCTCCTAAGGCGGCATAAAATGAGTGTTTATCTCCGAGTTATCAAGTTAGCAATAATGGATATAGTGAATTTATTGTAAGTATAGAGGAAGGGAGAACGATTGAAAGAAAAGAAAAGAAATAGATAACTACCATAAAATATAATGTCATACACAATAACTATAGGGAAAGGGAAATATAAATTATGCTATGGCGGGATTACGGATTGCCATTCCGATCTCTATTTTCCACCACGGAAGAGGTCTTGCACCGATCTACGCTTGCTCTTGGGGGGTGTGGCTGTGCCATTAGATCCAGAGCTAATTTTTTTTGCGTTTCCGTTGGTTGGCAGCTGGGGAACAGGAGGTGGGGTCACGTCAGTGCCAATTGAGAACTGGTCTCCATTGTGAGGGAATGCAAAGTCGCTTGTGCTCAGAATACGGCTCTTTTCGGATGATGCCTGGTACTTTCTGACCTGTTCGGAAGCATGAGGAGAAGCAGGCGGCGTGGCTAAATGCTGCTTTGTGGCATTGTTGGTATTAGTGGAGGTGTTGGGCGTCGGCTCGTACTTGGTGTTTGGATTGGGTTCGTACTCCTTAATAACGGTTCGGGTTTGTTGCTGTGATTGTGGTTGCATTGGTGCCGCAGCCGGCGATGATCCGTTTGTAGCAGGAAGTTTGGCGTCGCCGTTTGTGGCACCATTATGTTGATGGCCGTTGCTGTTGGGTGCTGCAGCAATATTGCCGTTTTCGCTGTCGCTCTTTACGGATCCTCCGTTGACTTCAGGCTGTGCAGACCCTGTGGCAGAAGCAATTTCTTCGTCTTCAGGTTGCTCGTCCGTTGACGAAAGAGCCTGCTCTGAATCAAGGTCGTTATTGTGCGACGATGCGCCAGCAGTCTTGTCATCCGCCGATTTCTCCGTTGCGGGGGGTGTGATCGTCGCGGGGTTGACTGCCTGATGACGTGCAGGAGGCGCTGCTGGCGTTTGCTCACCAGGAGGATAGTAGTACTCTTCTTCGTTTTGCTCGTTCATCCAGTCTCGCTGTTTTCTACGAGCTTCTTCAAAGATGGAAAACCAGTTTGTTGGAACATTGACGCGCAATTGGCGGGTCCACAGATGCACTGGCGGATTGCCTGCCTCGTCGAATGCATCATATGCATCAAAATCGCCAGGAATATATCTAAACGGATCATGTTAGCCTGATCTTTTCGTTCTTATATCTCCCATACATGAACAATGATTAAAGAGAGAAAGAAGGGGACTACCCAAAGTAATTCTTACCTGGCTTCAGACCATCGCATTGGGGTTGAGTCAGAGCCTGTATAGCCCAATATAATAAGGGGAATCAGTAAGATGAAGATTGAGTGCTTTTCCGCCATAACGGCGATGGTAGGCTCAAAGTTAAGAAATTAGAGAAAAAGTTTAACTTACGAAGCACAGCGAAACAGCACATATCGTCATCCCAGCCTACAGATGCAGAATACTTGTCGTGTCATAAGTAAGACTCTATTAAAGTAGCGCCTTTGTTTTGATCATACCTTCAAACAGTGCAACAGACACGTTTCTAATCTTGACAATGTACAGTGAGCCTTGCTTCAGATCATCATGCTCGATAGGCTGCAGGGCAACATCCATTACCACAGGCTTGTGAGAGCCAAAGCCAAGTAGCTTTTTATTCTCTGAAGGCGGAGGTGACATGATGGAAAAATTGGCTGCGGAATAGGCAGAATTGGACCATCGGGCCATACGGGCAGCTTCATCATTGCTGTTGTTGTTCTTCTTGCTCTTGCGGTCGACCATGTTCTAATAAGGCTTATGCTATTGCTGTGAGTGTATGTAATCGACAAGAGGAATACGTCAGAGGATCAATCAAGTAAAATAGAAGACACAAGGAAGAAAAGAGAGAAGAGAAGCGAGCTCAGTCGAAAAAATGCATCAATATATATATAGACAGTTACACCCTTTGCATTAAAGCGTTGAAGGGCCAAAATAGTGACACGATGCAGGCCTTGCATCCTGATTTACCAACTTGTTCCAAAAATACACACTAGCATATACGCACAGGTACTTTTATTGAAAAAGAGACAGCAGCGGCAGTTGCTATGTCCACGATAACAGACAAGTACTCCACAATACACTCGTACGTTTCTGCTAACTACACATGCTCATCAATCTTGCAATTTGCACATACATCTTCAAGGACGAATTGAAAAGCATGCACTTGCTTGTTGCCAGATAGCCATTGGATATAGGGGTGGCGTCGCACATAGGAGGCAAAAAATGGCGCCGGAATGAGGCGCTGACGATGACCTTAACGAGCGAGAGCAAAAGACAAAAGTTACCCGGTCAAGACAAGCCTTTTCCGGGCAACCGAGAGGGAATAAAACACAAGCCCACCTGTGCGCGTGTCGGCGCTCTTCCAGTTTCTCTACTTTTTTGTTTTATTCCAGAAGCGCATAGTGCATTATTTATCTACTAAATATTGATACACAGTAGGAACAACACACCACACAGATTTATCACCAATACATCAGATGAAGAGCTGTATTATGTGTTGTGAGATGCAGAGAGTGTAGTCGATTTTCGTACATACACAAAACTGCATCCTCTTCCCCTTTTCTCTCTATCGCTTGCGCGGTGTGATCCGGCCTTTCAGAAGAAAAAAGGCTCTAGTGCTAAACTGACTTTTTTCTATCTTCTCAGCCAAAATGACTGCATAAAAAAGCGGTACAGACACAGGTACGCGGATATTTTGCAGATACTGCTGCTGGTGCTAAAGATGTCGTAGAGTGTAAAGTTGGTGTATGTATGTATATTCCTCTCCGTCTTTATCTGCCTCCCTTGTATAAAACAAGCTTTGATCGGCATTAAGGTGACGACCATGTACTTGATATCTCTCTGTTTATCTTTCTCCCTCTTCTCCTTTTTTATGAGAAACTAAATTGACAATAGATACGCAATAAAAGGTGGGGTAATCATTACGGAGTATTCACCTACTACAATAGTAGCGCAGCATATACATTGCACTTTTAAACGAAGTCAAGGAAACGCTTTTGGGATCATCATTTTCAAGTCATACATTGCGTCTGATGGTGCAGCATGTAGAGAAAAAGAAGCCACATACACACAAAATCAGTGTTACATTTTGCAGACATCAAGTCCCTAAATAACTAATCCCCAAACCCACCCCCCATACATACAGGATCGGGAATTAAAGACAACACCGCAAAGCATGGGGAGTCCTACTCCTGCACCCAAAAAAAAAGAAAAGCCAAGAATCCAATATACTTATGTTAGAGATGATATAATGTGCAGTTGATCAATATATGTCTTTGGTGACGGTAAGCAGTTCACGGAGTTGATTTTCGAGAAAAAAGGATCCTGTTTGGTGTTTGACGGGCTAATATCAAACCTTTTGAGATTGCGCGTAATCACAAAAAACAAAAACAAAAGGAGAGTGTCTGTTTGGGGGGGGATGAAGAGCGAGAGAGATAGATGCATCAGATACTCCACATCGCATCACGTTCATTAGAGAAGATGTACACATCAAAAGCAGTAAGAAGAAATAAGCATCATTGATGAAGTAGCGGGAGATGGATCAGCAAAAATTTTAATTGATGAGGTGCTGTTGTGGTTGCTGTCGACACTGCAAGTGTTTCAAAACATCCCGATCATGACAGATCAATAATTATACTTTGTTTTTATCCCTTTTCTATTTTGTTTATGTTACTTTTGGGCGCCAGACTTTTTTTGACCCAAACCAGCGGACACATGAAGGCTGCGGGGAGGGAAGAGCACTCTCCACTTTGGACAGATATTGACGACGATAACACAAATACAGACTTCGTTTACAACTTTTTTGACGTAAGATGTTGTTATATCGTATTGAAGGTGTGAATTCCTCCGATCGCATTATAAGCCATTTTGGGTGCAGTTATCACGAACAGCCAATTGTTCCAAACTCTCTTTAGTTTTTTCTTTTTCCTCTTCTGCACATAACAATGGATATTGCAGATCCATTTGTTGTGGACCACGAATTCACCTCTTTCATTGATCCGTCTTTTTTCGACGATAGCAACTTCACGGAAGACCCTTCATGCACTACTGACGACGCCCTTGCATTTGTTACGGCATCTGCTTTATCGACGACGACAACATCAATTCCGCTTTCGGACGAGCATGAAGAATCCTCCACCACATCTTCAGCGTCGTTTACTGCGGAACCACCTGCTATGCAGGATAGGGCTTCAATCGTTTCAGCGCTGATCAGCCCTGCACCAATCGCACAGCAACAACTTAACACCACAGATACTGATATTGCCACTACAACAAACCCCGAGCTTGAGTCTATTTACCACTTGTTATTTGATGACTTGGACCAACTTCTGGCTGAGGCATTGTTACACAACAGCAATAGTCATAGCAGCAACAAGGTCGCTGCTGCCGGAATGCATTGCCATGACATTGCCATGCCAACACACGACCAACATGTTGGGATGGCAACGTATTTTCAGCGACAGCAACAACAGCAACACCATCTCCAGGACAACACCAATATGGCGTATGCCAGAGCGCAGCTTCAGAAAACCTCCGGCATAAGTGCTGGTCACCACAACCGTCGTTCCCCCCAAGCACCTTCAAAAGACCGATCAATGCGTCATACTCGAAAAGACCAAGCAACAGCAGAGCAAAATCGTACACAATCACCAGCACCTTTTGACATGGATGCAATACTGCGCGCTCAACAAGAGTTCATTCTCAAAAGGCAATTGGAAGAAGAGCATAATGGCGAAAAGCATCCGCCCAAACGAAGTCGCAAAAAGCAGAATAACAGCAACAACAACAACAACAACCATCATCCACATCCACATCACTACGACCATGATCACCAACATCACAATCAGCACCAGAATCATCTTCATCTTCATCATATCCAATCATATAATCAGCAATATCACCACCAGCAATGATAACCAACACCTGGGTGGAACTTGTTCGTTTCTTTAAAATACTACATCTTTAATATCATCAGCATGACTTCTCTTTCATTTACCTATCAAGGCACATTAAACTCATAATACTTGGGCTCTTCATCATGTCGTGTGTACGATTAAAATATGCATATTTACATATCGAATGTTATAATATCCCTCCCTAATAACAACACAATAAGCCAGCTTTGTTTGCATAATAGATGTATATCAATTTTTGTACGCTTTGATTTACATGTTTCAACCGAGTTGTGGTGCAACTTGACATTCAAGTGGGAAATGTACCAAGAACTGTGTATCTTCGGTCTTGTAAAATGACTCAATGTGATTGGTTTTTTCAGCCGACCAAGTTTGACGTTGTGCCTGCGGAAAAAAAGAAAAAAGAAAAAAAAACTCGTCTCCGCGATCCACATTACTTTTTCCTCCACTCCCCAACTCTGTACGCGATCATGGTTCAGGAAACCAATTGGCCAGTGTCCAAGGTTCGCTCGACCTTTGTAGACTACTTTGTAAAGCAAAATGGTCATAGCTTTGTGCCTTCCTCCCCTGCTATTCCCCATGACGATCCAACATTGCTGTTTGCCAACGCAGGCATGAATCAAGTACGTTGGTTTATTTCGGTCGATTATACGTGGTCTCTCTCTTTGTATGGCTTCTAATAACTCGCTTTTATTTTTTGGGTTGGTATAACAGTACAAGTCTGTGTTTCTGGGGACTGTAGACCCTAACTCGCCTTTGGCAGGTTTGAAGAGTGCTGCCAACTCACAAAAGTGTATCCGTGCTGGTAAAGTATCATAAAAAACGATTTGATGGAACAACTCTACAATTAATCCCATACGATTATATGCTGACTGTAATGGAAAGGTGGTAAGCACAACGATTTGGATGACGTCGGCATGGACACGTACCATCACACTTTCTTTGAAATGCTGGGCAATTGGTCTTTCGGTGACTATTTCAAGGTTAGATATGGACTAAATAAGGGGGGGGGGAGACAGATGACTCACAGATTTTCAGTGTGGATGGAACGCGCGTATGAGCGATGACTCACAAATTAGTCCTATTATTGTTTTGTTTATAGGAAGGAGCTACCAAGCTGTCTTGGGAGTTTTTAACCGAAGTATTGAATTTGCCTGCCGATCGTCTCTACGTCACATACTTTGGCGGTGACGAGAAGCAGGGTTTAGAACCTGATTTGGAGGCAAAGAAGATTTGGTTGGAGCGTGGTGTGCCCGAAGACCACCTTCTTCCTGGTGACGTTAAGGATAACTTCTGGGGTAACTTTACGGCATATGCCATTTGTTATGTGTGTGGATCAATGGGTAGCGGAGATTGTGTGGTATTAACGACTACGGGGTTCATTTGTTATGCGCAGAAATGGGTGAAACTGGTCCTTGCGGTCCATGTTCCGAAGTTCACTACGATCGTATTGGCGGACGCAACGCTTCTCACCTGGTCAACATGGACGATCCCAACGTGTTGGAAATTTGGAACGTTGTGTTTATTCAGTACAACCGTGAAAACGACGGTAAACTTCGTCCCCTCCCCAACAAGCACATCGACACTGGTCTTGGTTTAGAACGTCTTGTTTCGATCTTGCAGAACGTCTATTCCAACTATGATACCGACGTCTTTGCTCCCTTGTTTACAAAGATCCAAGAAATGACTGGTGTCCACCGTTACACCGGCAAATTGGGTGCTGAGGATGTCGACGGCGTTGATACTGCTTACCGTGTCGTCGCCGATCACATTAGAACGCTTACCTTTGCCATCTCTGACGGCGGTGTTCCCAGCAATGAAGGCCGTGGTTATGTGCTTAGACGTATTTTGAGACGTGGTGTCCGATATGCTAGAAAGTACTTTGACTATCCTATCGGCAACTTCTTCTCCGGTTTGGTCGACACTCTGGTGGATCAGATGGTATATTTCTGCCCTTTCTCTTTTTCCATATATGTTAAGCTATATTTCAGTATCATAACTCAACCAACTGGACTGCTTGCTACTGTTCGGCGTTTTTGAAAAACAAAATAGGGCGATTTCTACCCTGAATTGATCAAGAAGAAGGATGAGGTCAAGGCTATCTTGGATGAAGAAGAATTGGCTTTTGCCAAGACTCTTGATCGTGGTGAAAAGATGTTTGAGAGCTATAAAAACAAGACCAAGGAAGCTGGCTCCAAGACCTTGACTGGTGCTGATGTCTGGCGCTTGTACGATACATACGGTTTCCCCGTCGATCTTACGCGTGTCATGGCTGAAGAGAATGGTATGACTATTGACGAAAAGGAGTTCGAGGTTGCCCAGGAGGCTGCTAAGAACGCTTCGCGTAAGGCTCGTGGTGGCAAAGGTGGTGAGGACGTTGTTGCCTTGGATGTCCACGATTTGGATGCTTTGGATAAGAACACTGCCGTTCCCACAACCGACGACTCTTTCAAATATGGTAAGCTTAGGAACTTTTTTTAGCATGATTTTTTATGGCAGTAGTGGTAACACGATTTCTACCGTTTTAGTTGATGGTAATGTTCAGGGAAAGATCAAGGCTATTGTCTATCAACACAAGTTCTTGGATAGTAGTTCCGATATCCCTGAGGGTGCAAGCTTTGGTATCTTGACCGACAAGACCAACTTCTATGCTGAATCTGGTGGTCAGGAATACGATACTGGCAGCATTATCACACTCGACGGTGAAACCGAATTCGCCGTCCAAGACTGTCAGTCTTTCGGTGGCTATGTCCTCCACATTGGTTATATCAAGTATGGTCAGTTGAAGCTTGATTCTGATGTCGAAATTACCTTTGACGATGTAAGTATAAAGTGGATCATAAATGAAATTATGTATTCTAAAGTGCCGAAAATTATTTACATCGTTTTACTAGCTTCGACGCTCGCCATTGAAAAACAACCACACTGCCACTCACATTTTGAACTTCGCATTGCGCCAAGTTCTTGGTGAAAATGTTGATCAAAAGGGCTCGCTTGTCGCTCCCGAAAAGCTTCGTTTCGATTTCTCTTACAAGGTATGTGATAACTTGGCTTATGATAAAACAAAGGCGGGTAATGCAAACTAAAAGTGTTCGGTATCGATCTTTAGCAACCTGTAAACACTGCTCAACTTGCCGAAGTTGAAAAGATCTCTAATGAGTTCGTTGCAAAGAACTCCAAGGTCTACTCCAAGGAAGTCCCATTGCCCATTGCCAAAGCTATCCACGGCCTCCGTGCTGTCTTTGGTGAAACCTACCCTGATCCCGTTCGCGTCGTCTCTATTGGATTTGATATTGATGAAATTGAAAAAGACGTCTCTAAACCTGAATGGGCCACATCAAGTGTTGAGTTCTGCGGTGGTACTCACGTTTCCAAGACTGGAGACATCAAGCACTTTGCTATCCTTGAAGAGACTGGTATTGCTAAGGGCATCCGCCGTATCGTCGCCGTCACTGGCGAAGAAGCACAGGCTGCTGGCCGAACAGCCAAGGCATTTGAAAGCCGACTTGACGAACTTGAAAAGCTTAGCGGTTCCGCTTTGGATGCTGCATTAAAGGCCGTTTCCAAAGATTTGGACGCACTAGTTATCTCTACCGTGACCAAGGCAGAGTTCCGTGAACGATTCAACAAGGTCAAGAAGGCCTTTGTCGAAGCTGACAAGGTGTTGAAGAACCAGCAAAACAAGGAAGCACTTGCAGCTGTCAAGACTTACTTTGAAGAGAACCCCGATGCCAAGTACCTCGTCAAGGTTTTGGACGTTGGTAACAATGGTAAGGCCTTGTCGGGTGCCATCACTTATGCCAAGACCAGCTTGAAGGACAAGGCTCTTTATGTATTGAGCGGTGATCAAGCTAGCGGACGTGTTTCGCACAGCTGTATCGTCAGCAAGGATCTTGTTGGTCAGGGCTTTAAGGCCTCTGACTGGGCCGACGTAGTTGCCCAAAATGTGGGCGGTAAGAAGGGCGGTAAAGATGAAGCCGCACAGGGTTCTGGTGATAAATTGAGCGGATTAGATGCAGCAGCCAAGGCTGCTGAGGAGTTTGCCAAACTCAAGATCGGTGCATAAAAAGATATTCTGTCACATAGCAAAATCAACATTTGTATTATTCCTCTTTTTTTGTGTTTATTTTTTTTTCTCTATTCTATCTCAACAAATAAACTGAAGAGACACATCGATGGGATGTGAACTAGACATTTGTGGTCGTTGGGAATATTTTTCACTGAGGATTTCTCGTAATCTGACAAGAAGTTCTTGGTATGATTGATCAGGATTTTCTCTTAGAGTAGCTGTTATACAGGTTATGTTAGTTGTTGCTCAAATACAACAGTGGATGTATATCACATGAACGTGAAGAGAGAGACTTACTAGTAAATGCATAGCTCATAGCACCAGTTGCGACTTCGCCGTCTTGTGCGTCTGCAGAAGTTTGATGATCCTTGCAGCCCGAAAACATGACAACGTCTGCGCGCGAGCTATTTGTTCGTCTGTTTTCCCTGGCTACGGTTGACGCCTCTTTGAGTTGGCTAGGCAGTTCACTGATGAACATTTTGGCATTCTCTTTGTCTCCCGTGGCATAAGCAAAGCCTGCATGGAGGATACGTCTGCTGGCAAACTTGAACAAGTTATGGTCTTTGATTTCTCCTTGAGTCGAATAAATGTACGGTAAATCTAATGCCGTTCCCGAGTGGCAACTGTCGAAAATAGCCGTCAATCTAGCGCCTGCTGGCAGTGGTCGTACAAGCAGGTCGTGCATGTCCTATAAATGCCGTTTTAGTCCCGGTTCGTGTAGCACAAGCTCATTCGCCTTCAATTGTTGTGCTCCGTTTACTCACATCATCAATGATTTGTCCGGAATCTTCGTCATAGCGGTCAAAATCGACAGGATAAATGGTTTCACTAACATTAACAAGAAATTCAAATAATTAAAGGAAGGAAAAGAAAACTCTTCAGGTTATAGCATGGTGTTCACTTACTCGAATCCATCGTATTCATCACCGCTTGTATCCCTTACTCTGCCGCCATGGCCACTGAAATGCAAGAAGAACCTATTCCCAGGAGAACATGCTATCTCTAAGTATACATTGATCACAAAACACTTTTTACATATTCAAAAGCTACTTACGAGTCGTTTTCTTCTGCATCTTCGACAAGCCATTGCATCGAAGTCAGAATATTCACCTTGGTTGGCATGCGGAGTGGATCGTCTGTCTGATCATCCGTCAAGATCCGCATATCCTCCTACAATAACAACCACCCGCCCCACCCTACTTGTAAGAAATCGGCTTGATGCGTACTTTCTTCTTTGACACACTAAAAAGTAATTCCTTTTTCCCTGTTATCCTATTTACCTCTTTAAAACCGTACAGCTCAATTAAAAACTCTTTGATGTTTTGTACATCATTTAAGCAACCTAAAAGTATGCATCAATTTTTCGTGTCCGACCATCTCCTCGTCAATCAATCGGATATCCGGAACCTCAGAATTGATCCCGTGGTGCCACTACATACCTTTAAGCTCATTTGGGGTATCGAAATAGTTGATACCGATAAGTAGTGCTCGTTTACGTCCTTGGCCTTGATTTAGCAAGTTGACAGCATTTTCTGTTAGTCCATAAACAGAGAAAAGTATACCCAAAACAAAACTTACAGTTTGACAAGACATAATCCGGTGCAGGTTGATCTTTCATCAAGGGATGGACATGTAGTTCCAATCCGGTTTCGCTACGAAAGGTAGGAACTAAAAAAACGATACAAGCACTCTTTTTTAGCCATTTAACCGAGCCGACATCTATCGTTGTTGTATGTGCTATAGGGCTATTTCTACGTTTCTCTTGGTCTTTCAGCACATGTTTATACCTGGTGTACGTGGCGGCGTTGTCATGGATGAAGCCTGCATAAACATACAGATAGTAGTGCATATTATGAGATTTACGAAATAGAGTATACTAAAGTCTAAACTAACCACTTGCACCGTTTTCTTGTCTTCTCTCTGAAAAGATATAGCAGAAAAAATATACTTACGTATTCTTCTGTGTCTGACATGTTGTGTCGAGTTAAGCTTTTTCTTTTTAAAAGTCTGTAGAAACAAAAAAAAAATCAGAAAAGGGGCCGATCCCCTTTTATAGGGTTTCCGAAGGATACACAAGAGTGGAAAGGAAAAACGGACATGTTGCCGAAACAGACCATTGGTGCATGGATGCTGCGCATCGTCATCATACTTCACCATAGTTCACATGACCTCTTCTTTTTCCGTTTTAACTGAGAGAACTAAACAGTAAAAAAAGCCGCATGTGCACCCAACTACATTTGTTTGTATCTATTACTATGTCTGCACTTGTCAACATGCAACCTTATACTATTTTTCATCGAGTGGTGGTCTGACCGCGCAAGATGATCAGCATTAGCATCATCAGACAACCCATTTCTTATTTCTCTACAGGTGAAAATGCTTTTGTCGGCTAAGCAACACTACATCAAAACAGTGTACGATGCTAAGCCTGTTGCTTGCTTTCCTTTTGCTGCGTGTAATACTAAAGATTAGCCCGTTCATTTGTAGTATTGCAAAGTAACGGGACGCATTGAGCTGCTGCAGTTGCTAGCGATACTAGTTATAGTTCCTTGCTGTTGCATTAGCAGCGTTTACAGCTCTGAATGAAGATCTCCCTTCAATGCATTTGTGGTGAGAGAACATAAAAAGGTATAAAGTTGAAGCGTTTGAAATCAAGGCAACCAGTCAGTCGTTACACAGCACTAAAACAAGCATTAAATGCGCCGAGTTTTCGTCCCATCCATCCTTATATCATATGATGGTATCGACGAGTTACAGAAAGTGACTTTGCTTTCCAAAAGGTGCTGCTAGAAAATTGTACAAAATGCTTGTAAGCCGTCAAGACGTGAGCACAGGAAAACTGTCTCTGAAAAACATCCAGCTGCCATCCAAAAAATCTAGATTGCCGATATATCATATCTCCAAAATCTTGGAGATAAGTCGGTCTAGAGATAAATTGTTATACGCTGGAACTTTTTAGGATTAATTTTTCGGTAGTGATATGGTGCACCATATGTACATCATCTTCTGTCCGTCTCAACCACTATATATACGTATAGCAGGCACATATACATACCATTCGCAATCAACCCGAAACAAATTTGCAAACAACAGTAGTATGTGTATACATCACAGATGCTAGATTCATATAACAGCAATTCTTGGTTGAGCTATTACTACTTGCAGGAAGGTGTTTACTTTACGTTATTACTGAATGGATTGAAGCTGACAAGCAACAAAGGTCTCTATTTACATTGGGGGTTTTGTTCATTATATTACTGCATAAAGAAGTTTGGATCGTTGGGCTGGTTACCGAAAAGGATACCTAAAAGATGACAGTTGCATGATAAGTACACTCACTCACTCACTCACATACAACAACGAAAGGAAAAGGACAAACCTTGCAAATCAAGTCCGGTCGAAGAATCAGCTGTGAACGGAGCTCCTGCAGATGAAAACAATTGTTGCCAAGTTGCTTGGGTAGAAGTAGACGGATACGCATTGTTGCCCCACTGGTCACCGGTAGCTGGTCCAGCGTTTGCTGTTGCAGGCACGTTTGGATCTGCAGAGATCATTTGCTGCAAGCTCATAGGTGAAGCATTTGATGGCTGCGGTTGTTCCGATGCATTCGCTCCAGCAAACTCAGCACGTCTTTCATCAGTATCCTTCTTGTTTGATGATTCAGCCCCCAGTAAGGCAATCAATTTCTCGATGAACGGAATGATTGGCGGCTTATACGGAATATCTCGCATCACTGCAGGCAGACATTCTTCCATACTGATATGTGCATATTGTTGAGACATTTTGGCGATTTCGGGGCTATTGCTCGTGCAATTGTATACATGGATTAACGTCGCTTGGAATACCGAATAAACTGAGAGATGGCATGTATAAGAGTTAGCATCCGCGCTTTTTTACTTTATGCGCACCCTTGAATGAAGTGATTTTGGGTGTGGCGCTTACCAGAGAAATTCCATCCGAATCGTGCTGTGCTTGCTGATGGTATCGTTCGCGCAATATCGATAACTAGCTTAGCCGCTTCCATGCATCTGCGGGATGCATCAGCGTACAGAGTCTCCCCTTCACCCGCAGTTTCGCTTTCAAGCAAAATAAAGGGTCGATTCAACAGCACGGTTACTGAGTGATAGCAAATTGTAAGCGGGCCTCCTTGGTCCAGCTTCTTCGTTCCAGCGAATTGATCTGGGTTCTTTTGGATGGCAGCCAAATCCTCCTCAATGACACGGCAATCGTCGGGTAACTGTTCGAACCAATCCATCAACATGCGTTGGAAGTGGGACAGGGTTTGCTCCATCACCGCACCGCGGTAACCAGCCGCTTTTGCCTTGGGCGAATAGATCCGCCGTAATAGTTCTCCCAGAATGCTGGATAGTTTTACAAAATTCACAAAAATATCATAGTCTTCGCCGTTCGGACCCTTCATATCAGGAAGATCTACATCACAATCCGAGTCCGAAATCGCCAGCGGCCGACCCATCACAGCACAGCACCATCGATCGGTTACGTAGACGCTATACCACAGTCGCTTACGGGCTTCCACGTGCTCTTTGGACATTTGGTCTGTTTTCACTGTGCGATGCAATCCAACGTCTTGTGCCTATAATAAAATGAACCATATATTTACGTTAGTATATCTATATTATCAGTAATTACTTCTACAAAGCACTTAGATTTAAAGCGATTATTCTTATTCTAATACCATGCGCACTGCCATGCCAGCAAGAATCCAGTTTCGGTAAGAGCTAGTTGAATAAGTAGGTAGACTGCAGAGAATGACGAGTGCTTTGATCGTTGAAATTCTTGGGACCAGATAATCATGTCGGATGAGTTGGGCAGCGCGATCTACAAGTGCATGGAAGACTTGTTCACATCCCATGCCAGCTTCTGCAAATGCGGGATGTTCTGAGCTTATCAAGAAGCATGCGTACGAACAAATTGCGTAGGTAAGAAGGGTAGGTGGAGGAGGTGTTTTGCGCTCTTCAAAAGCGTCGAGGTATTCTTCCTTGTTCAGAATCGGCAAGGTGGTATTTGGCATGTCAAAATAACTAGAAAAATCGAGTGAAGAAGAATCTTTGAGCATCAGAATAACCATGGTCGCCATAATCTTGTGAAGGAGTGAAATAAAAGGCGGAAGATGGCAATACCAATGAATTAGTGTTTCAATGACTTTACGAGGGACGAGCTCTTCGGTCTGTTCTGTTGCCTCTCGGGTCGCGTCGTCCGAGTCGCGTACGAGAACGATATCGTCGTCAAACACATCCACTTTCTTGATGCCAGCAGGACAGTTTTCGGTTGACGCTGTGCCTCGTTCACCCTCGTCATCAAGAGGCTGTGATGCCGCTACCACTGATGTATTATGCCCGTGTGCGCTTGGAAGCATATTACGCATTAGGTAGTAGCCAGACGAGCTGCCGTGATAGCGCATCACCTTGTCTGCGGTATCGACATCGTTGTTAGTGTTGTCATGTGCTGAGGCAGTAGCATTAGTAGTAGGTGCAGGTGATAATGAGCCTTGATGAGATTGATCTTCGGATGGGTCCGTAGACGGGCTATCGCCTTCATCCGTCGAGCGCTTTCGTTTTTGTCCGTGTGCATCTTCTGCCGAGTCGCCGCCCGATTGCATTTGTTCGAGTAGCTTTTCCATTTTCTTTAACCGCGTTTCCAAACTTTCGATATAGCTGTCATAATATGTCATTGTTGTTGGCCAGGATTTTTGTTAGACAATTCATTTGAATGGTGTCACTTTTTTCCCTCTCCTCCGTTCTTGCTATTCCGAATATCTTACCCTTTAGGCGGTCCTCGTTTCTTCGCAGTCTATAATGTGGTATGATTATACATAAACGAGTTAAGAAAACCGCGCTCTAACTTATATGTCATTGACTATGTTTGGTGGCAAACTTACATCATTGAAGGTACATTCCCAGTCATACTGCCGACACGTGGAACAGGGGAATACAGAATCGACATCACATCTACATGATAGTGATTATTAGTATATACTCTGTCCCTTTCTATTCTACTTCTCGCTACAAGACCCCGAGAACTATGGCCCATTCTTTTACACGCGCGTGTGCATGTGTGTGACATGAGTGATACTTACTTGATCTTCTTGCGCCGGCACGTATCGCCTGACAAATTTGCGTCGATCAGTAACAGAAAAAAATTATAAAAAGCTACTATTATCTTTGCAAATAGGGACTTACAAGCTCGCGTGATTCTAGTTCGTCGACCTCCAGGTCCAGCTGCAGCAGCAGCGGCAGCAGCAGAAGATGAAGAAGCATATTGAGGTTGAGGTTGCTGTAACTGTTGTTGTTGTTGTTGTTGGCGTTCCATCATGGTGGGTTGTCGGTTCAACGGCGGAGGATATCCAGGAGGCAACATGGTCGCTTCGGAGCGCTTAAATAGATCTTCCTTTGTGGAATTTGGAGGTGAAGTTGGTTGAATCTGGCGAAGGCGAGGAACACTACTACTTGAAGGGTACACAGGGTTACGCCAAAAGGCTGAAGGTGTTGATTGGTCTGGCGCAGTTGTGGTAGAAGACGACGATGTTGTCGTGTTGTTGTTGTTGTTGTTGTTGTTGGTATTGCTGTTATTGTTATTAGAAGCTGAAGGAATTGGGTACTGCGGGGCAGGTTCTAAAGGTGAATGACCATAACTGGTGGAATGGTGTTGATCGTGATTGGACATGCGACGACTTTGTTACTTTCTTATTCGCTTACAGCCTTTTCTTTCTAAGCAGTGGAGAGGGGTGGTAGGAGAAAAAAAAAGAGTGAATGGTTGTTCCTTTTAAAACGGAAACCAGCCTTTTAATATTATGCTACAAGCAAGGATAAATAAAAAGGTTTACTTGGAAGGAGGTATGGATAAAGGCAGGAAAAGAAGAAAAAGTGTACACGCGCTATACAGCTCGAGCGTGTGGTGGAGCAGGCAAGAGCGAGAGAAAGAGAGAGAAAGAAAAACAACGACCTCTACCTCCTCCTCCACCACCCACCCACCAGACACACACGCACATTAATCTAACAGGGAGGAATGGGGGGTGGGACATGGATAATTATATTAGCCGTGGCAAATCCCACCAAAACGTTTTGCCGGATATTTCTCAGACGGACGGTTGCACGCCAGCTATCGTGTCACCCCAATTGCTCGTTGTTCCGTTCAAGGAAATAGGCACGCCAGGGCGGATGGCATCGTCAGAACTGGACGATGTTTGTGTAGCGGATGAGCCGCCGGAGCGCAAGCCAAAGAGGCTCGGATTCAGAATCATGACAATAGCGGCGGTTACAATGACAACTGTTAAGACCAGGGTCGCTGCAATTCGGCACCGCTTTTTCCATATCAGCCCGGGCTGGCGAAGGGTGTCTCGACATCCGCAACAGTCACTGCTGCCTATAAACCAGGCGAGTGGGAACAGAAATCCGATAAAGAAGCAATACTTTTCAAACGCTACACCGTTGCTGTTCCTGTCGCAGCTGCTATTGTTTTCGGTATCTTCTTGGTCTACGCTAATTGCCGCGGCTGATAAAACAGCGCTGTCGGCCTCCGGATCTCCTCTTCGCCTGTCATCCATAAATGATATCTTCGTCTTAGGTCTGGTTTATCGTGCGTGCGTAAGTGTGCGCACCATCAGCATCGCCACATGGAGTGCTCGATTTATATAATCATGGCTATGACAAAAAATCACTGATCCGCGAAGACACCCAAAAAAAAGGAGCATAAACTCGGTAATGTTGATGCAATCGAAAGCTGTCGGACACGTGTTCATTCAAAGAATACAAACTATTCCTCCACTCGAGATGCTAGAAATTCGGAATCCCAAAGGGAAACGAAGGTTCGATGGTTTCTGAATAGAGTACTATCTCCAGATGACTAATTCCATGGGTTTATTAATCCGTAGTAAAAAAGTGCGCATCCTACCTTTCCATCTGTTCTCTTTCCGATACAGCTCGCAACTCCCAAAGACTACATATACTATGGTCGTACGCAATGCTCAAGTTGTATATGCCAACGTTCCTGATGGTGAAAAGAACCGTGTTGGTCCAAATGATCTCCAAGTAAACGAGGCAACCATTGATCTTGACGCTCCACTGAAGGAGGGCGAGTTCATTATCAAGCAACTTGCTCTATCCATGGATCCTTATATCCGCGCACGTATGCGAGATCCTGCCATCAAGACCGCCATACCTGCATATGATCTGGGCAAACCTATCGTGGGCGACTGTATGAGCGTCTGTGTCAAATCGAACAATTCTGACTACAAGGAAGGCGATATCGTAAATGCGGGTTTCGGTGGTGGTGTATTTGAAGAGTACACCTTGGTAACCAAGGACCTGGAAGCAAACTACGTCAAACGGAACGAGGCCAAAGAAACCGGTTTGCCTATCGGCCATTACCTGGGTGTCCTTGGCATGCCAGGTATGACAGCTTACGTTGGGTGGGTAGAATACAAAGAATGAGTTTGAACCGTGAGGCAAAGACGTGTGAGATGCTGAGATCGTGTTTTAAATAGAATGATGACCATTGCAAAGCCAAAGGCGGGAGAAACCATGTATGTGTCTACTGCGTCTGGTGCAGTTGGATTGCTTGCTGCTCAGATGGGCAAGGTTCTCGGCTTGCGCGTCGTTGGCTCGGCCGGCTCGGATGAAAAGGTCGACTACCTTTTGAAAGAGATCGGTCTCGATGGCGCATTCAATTACAAGAAGTGTGATATTGATGCCACCCTCAGCGAGCTCTGCCCCAATGGAATTGATATTTACTTTGACAACGTCGGCGGCAAGACCCTCGATGTCGTTCTCAACCATGCTAACCGACATGGAAGGTAAACGAACGTTGATCACCTGGCCGTTGGATAGTAGAATATAAAAGTACGCTTACTAAAAAAAAAGAGTCATCCTTCTATTATAGAATCGTGGCATGTGGTATGATTTCGCAATACAACGCTAAACCTGATGGTCTCTACAACATGGAAAACATTGTGATGAAGAGCTTGACAATCAAGGCCTACCTTGTTTACGACTACCCAGAACTCGAAGAACCTTTCAGAAAAGATGTCACCCAGTGGCTATTGGATGGCAAGATCAAGTATCGTGAATCCGTAGCCGACGGGATCGATAAGGTCTCTCAAGCATTAAACGACCTTTTGTCCGGAAACAACATTGGCAAGCAAATTGTGAAAGTTGCTAGTTTGTAAATAACGTTGAATACAATTTATATGTACTCTATAATTAATATTTAATATATATAAAAAGAAAGCAATATTGCTCTTGACATTATTCCTAAGAAACTGGTCCTCCCAGCAAAAGCGTAGCGCACAAAAGGTCCAGAAAACCTACTTTGCAAGAGTCTGTATAGCAAATCAATGGTCTATCCATGCTGTTCAGCAGAATAGTAACCTGCTGATATCGAATAACCAGCGTGTGACACTTTATGCGGAATGGACGATGTGTCAACTTCCTTATTTGACCAACGATGATGTAACCTGTAATACGACGGCATATGTACACATGTAAGACAGAAGGCAGATGAATAATATTAGCTTTTGCAATGTACAAGAAGGAGAAAGACAGAGATAAAACCAAATGCTCTATGGCAACACGCTGTATACAAAATAATAAGTTCTATCATAGTTCGGAACTTCAGTAATGATTTTAAATCTGAGTTCCACCATTCACCATACAGTGTACTTAGTTTTTGGCATAGTCTTCAAGGGAATAATATTCTGGATATTTCTTGATAAGTTCTTGTAACTCCTGTTGTTGGGCAACAAGATTCGGCGGGACCTCATCATAGACGTCGGTAAACAAATTCTCCAATGCTGGTTTCTTGCGCTTTTCGGCCGCCGTGAAACTCTTCATTAATGATGACCGCACTTCCTTTCGCCATTGGTCCTCCTCCTCCTGACTCCACCACTGTTTGTGTTCAAGGTACCGACGTAAGCGTGTCACAGGGTTATCAAACTGTGCGCGTTCTTCGACTTCTTTGCGGTCGCGATACTTTGTTGAGTCGTCAGATGTGCTGTGATGGCCGATACGGTACGTCATGGCTTCGATCATAACTGGCTTGTTCTCTTCCACCGCAATTTCGCGCGCTGCTTTGGTTGCATTGTACACGGCCCAGATATCATTGCCATCCACACGGATCGTATCAATACCATAGCCGATACCACGGCTTGCAATACCATCACCCCTATACTGTTCGCTGCTGGGAGTCGAAATAGCATAACCGTTGTTTCGGCTGATCATCATTTTATAGTGAGGGATTAGATCTTTTTTTTTCTTATTGCAAAGTTGGGTGCAAGCAAAAAACACTTACCACATAAAGATCACAGGGCAGTTCAAGGTCGCTGCCATGTTTAAACCAGCATGGAAATCGCCCTCGGAGGCAGCGCCCTCACCAAAGAAGCAGATGGTACATGCGCGGCTATTCGACAATTTCAGCGCATATGCGGCACCTGTCGCCTGTGGAATCTGTGTACCGAGGGGCGACGAAATTGTTTGGAAGTTGAGCTTGTTTGAGCCATAATGAATAGGCATCTGTCGTCCCTTGCCGTAGTCCATATCGTTACTGAAGCACTGGTTCATCATTTCATCCAACGAGAAGCCCCGATACAGTAGCATGAATGCTTCACGATACTGTGATGAATAATAAATAAAGTGTGCACGATGTTGTTGCTTCAGTGTCTAGGACCTGCATGACCGTGTGCGGATGGCAGACAGCAAGATTCCCCCCTCCTCCTTGCTTTTTCCTTACCTGACCAAAGACAACGTCATCCTCGTGTAATGCTGCAGCACTACCAATCATTGCTTCTTCGCCATAATGGGTCATGTAGAAACTGATCCGGCCTTGTCGTTGTGCTTCGTATAAAATACCGTCAATGACATGAAGCTGGACCATCTTTTTGTAACAGTAAAGAGCCTCTTCCTTTGATAAATTCGGTTCGTGCGCTTTATCCAATATCCGGCCCGTATGGTCCATGACACGGTATGCTTTCAAAGGTGTCGTGCTTTCGATGATTTTCATGTCGGTGGTGAACCGTTCTGTGTCTGACCAGCTTGGCGCATTCTTTTCAATCAGATTTGCTTTGGCTGCGGCGTTACTTGCCTACGTTATTATTATTATTATTATTATTATCAGTTATTTGTTTTTAGCAGAATGAAGAGAACAAAAACGTTTCCTTCATCATGTGGTTCCCACTCGGACAAAGGAAGAAAGGAAAGATCCAAAAAATCATCCTTTTTTAGAAGCAGATAGGAGTTTCTTACACGAATAGTGGTATGGAGACACTGTCGTCTCAAGACATGATGACTGTGAGAAAGTACTCTGGCCGCGTGGCGACGAAACATTGTTATGGGTTGCGACAAAAGAGGGGAGTTGCAAGCAAAAGAGAAAGGAAAAGAAAAATGCGAAAAGAACGATTTGAACGACCGTGTGAAAAACCAGGTACTGGCGCTCGTGTCGGGATAGAGTGTGATTGGTTACATTTTGGAACGGCGCCCATTGATAGATAGAGAGAGGGGGAGATACGATTATAGCCTGTCAATCTTTCTTTTATCTGCTGCTAAGGTTCGTCTTGCTAGAAAAAAAAGCCTGGAAAGAGATATTTCCACATTCCTTATTGCTAACGAGCACATAAGCTGTCAAAACTTGGAGCTTAAATTATAGGAAATCGCTTGCAGTCCCTTGGCTGAGCTCATCAAATTGTTCTTCTTGAGAGTCCGGTGAATTCGAGGAACAATCGGACCATCAATAGTTCTTGTTGGCAAGGTAATATATACTCACCGAGATGCATAATAGCAAAGCGGAAACAACAACCTACTTCGAGCCATTATAAGCACAATTATTCTATGGCATCACTTAGCGTTACTTATATAATTGTCACGAACGCATCATGTTTGTTATTGATTCCATTAACCAACGTATGCTGGCTTCTATCACTAGCATTTGCGAACAAGTAATACCGATATTGTAGTCCATTTGTTCATGAGAAATGAAACGTTACTCTAACAATGACACTCATGTTACGATAGGCACTCGCTAGTATATTTGAATGGTTACATTCAAATTTCCTTTATACACCTTCGAAATGACGGTAGACATGTGCTTGGAGAAGACAATCCATTCGCGTCATTGACTTGTGTTTACACGGCTTTAAAATGTACATGCATGACACGACGATATCGCCATACAAATAGAACAGCGATGGATTATGCTGATCAGTAAGTATTATCAGCTGTTGATACACATCTCCACCACCTGTTGCCTAATATATATTTTCAAGGAAAATTGAAGCTAGGACCCCTTGTGTAGCAGTGGTCCATCACCGACATTCTATTTGTTGGAATCTATGTACGCGCCATTCTCGTCACCTTTACATATCCATCTGCTGCTGTGCAATTCGCTGAAAAGTTGATTGTGGAAGTCTTATAGACCTTCCGCTCTATAAGGATATGATCACTTGCTTGCGGTCTGACGCCATGTCTGGAAAAAAAACTTTTTGGGACAAAGACAGGCTTGCGTGGTAATAATTAATACGAAAGAAATTTATGTGTAGGGATAACTCTGTAAGAGTGATGTGTAGTTCTCTGCTGTTGTTGATGCGCTTCCGTACAGGGGTGCTGTGCAATTTACCTCTTCAAGAACTAAGACCTTTTATAATAGATACCAAACTTGAACCATACAAGTCGCTGGTGCGTGATTATGTTGTAATCACAGCAGATCTTCGTTATTTAACCTTCCCCCCGGTGGATATAATTGCAGCCCTCACCAATTGCAACGAGTTCCAGCGCCGTCATTAAGCAACTTTTCATATAGAACTCTCATATATAAACATCCAGGCAATTTGAATATTCATTAATTTCAACGGCTTTATGATAGGAGACACGTTCTGGTTAGTACTTAATGAGTATATCATATACTGTATAATAGTGTAAGAAGTGGCAGAATGTTCCCCCTCCCCACCCTTTATCTTCCCCCATGCGACGGATACTTAAACGTAGGGCATGTACTCAATAAAAAATTGCCCAAGGTGTACAGGTTCAGTACATGCACTTGCTACTAATTCGCTTAATTCGCTTGTTTTAGTGCATAAGAGTACATACAGCAAAAAATATATACAGTAGATTACGCACAAGTGTAGAGAGTCTGTTTTTTTGTTTTATTATAAATTTAGGGACTCGGCGCCCTAAAATTATTACTTGAACATATATTTACATCAGGGTGAAGGAAGGGAAATTTAGCTAAGAGGGTGTGCAGGTGGTTGATGGCAGCAACATGGCTCCATGGGGTTTCAGCGAGGACTGGATGCCAGCGCATGATCCAAAGTGTAGAATGTCAATGAAGAAGCTGCGTCTACACGCACAGATATAGTATATATCCTTATCATATATAGGTTGTAAAACTCCTGCTTAAGAAACATAACAGTAGCATGTACATATCACAGACTTCTTCTATCTCATTATTTCTGTAATATGTAAGTATGCACATATGATTTATCCGTAGAAGGCACCGATTTGTTATAAGAAAAAGAAGCATACAGTTATAGGCATCATCGCAATTTGAACACCCACTTTTAAGCTATCAATTTATCCATCGTGTAATTACCCGATAATATAAAGATGCAGACATATCCTTTTGACACGGCATTATATTGTTGATCATTTAACGCACCCCTTTTCACCATGTATGATTAGGAGAGGGTATACGCACCTTCTGTTTTTTTTATTTCGCTACTCTACCATACTGGGAATTAGCAGTATAGTTCTTCTGTATGTAACTTATTCTTTGTCGCCGTGTAGGTAGCATGACAGCAAGCAATTGGCACGTGTACAGTATGTGGCCGACGATCTATCATCTACATAAAAGTGAATACTGTATGTAGCATTGGTTAGCTCTTCTATATAGCCGTCATTTAGGATTATGCAGATGCGGGATAAAATTGTCACCACCTCCTTCGGCAGCAGGAGCATCACGTTTGCAGAAGGATTTGCTCTTTTTTCCCATGACAACCATGTTAAACAACGATAGATCCGAAGCTTTTGCCGTATTGCGATGACGCACACAACATGCAAGAAATAATATGACGGCGCTTGCTTTCATTTCATACGTTAGCAAAAATTAAAATCTCATATCATACAGCTGACGTGGCAAGCTAGAAAGGAGGTGCTTGTATACAATGTACGTTTTGGATGATGGCGGGGTAGTAGAGGCAATTGATCTGCACTTATTTAAAAGACAGGGTTGCCGAACCTGACATGTGTTTTCTGTTATCTCGCAATTGTAGCAGCAGCAGCAGCAGCAGCAGTAGTAGTAGTATGTGTGTGTATAGTCCCCCGACCTCCCCCCGTCTCCCATTTTTTCACTCTTCTTCTTCACGGGTAGTATACATATACTCATCCGACAAGGCTACGACGACGACTCGAAAGGAAAGAAGTAAAGGGGACAGTAATACGTTTCTCCTTTGCCGATCCCCAATTTTGTCTTTGTGTAATTTGTTGTAGCAATCATAGCCAACAATGTTGCTATCAGCATATAATGCTTGTCATTGATATAACATGAGGATACAGGTAGAACAAAAAGATGGTATTGTTGAAGTCAAGCAATGTAACAAAGCCCCTTCTTTTCTGGTTTGTTTTTCATTCTGACACTTTTTCTTCAAGGGGTTACGATGGGGACGATGATGATCGTTCGATTCGTGTAAACATAGAAGAACACAAAACGATGAGCTGCTATGCTGTTTCAAGAGTGGAATAACGGCCAGATTCGATCCATGTCTAACACCAGTACTACTACTATTACAAGGTGTGGCCAGTGAGGGCGGATACGTGTGAGTTCCCTTTCGGCTGACGACACATCAAATCCTTTGTCTTTTTCACTTGTTTCAAGTCGTTTACCAGTACGATAAGAATAAGGGCTTCGTACGCTAGTAGAGACGACTTGCAGGCCATGTTAAGCGACTCACAAGTGCAGACTATGATGAGGGACGCTATTCGAGTGTATATACTCACTTGACCAACGAACGGACTGCACCTCGTGGTCTAGTCGTCGGGACGTATATACGCGCCCGCACTTTTCCGTGCCCTCTCCTTGCCTCTCTTTTTTTTCTCTCCTTCCATTTCATAGCAGCGCCACATAGAGAGACGAACAGATATTGCACTAGATCTAGAAGACCACGTAATGATAGTTTGCGCGTTAATACGCGTGTTGTACGGGCAAACCTCGGTCTAATCTGTGGTTATCAGAACGAGTAGCTTTTTCTTATTTTATTTTTTTTTAAAAAAAAGCAAGAACTCAAAAAATGATGCGCGCTTGAATTTGGATTCCGCGAAAAAGGTAGAGTAAAAAAAAATTAAAGCAAGCTTGAATAGGGCATCTCCCCCACCGCGCACCTCTTTCACTTTTTCACTACTTTTGCCCAAACCCTTTTCCTTGCTCTTTTCCAAAGAAACTCTACTGTTAAACATGGCCGGCGAAACCACCACCTCCAAGACAACCAAGAAGTCTGAGCATCCTCCCGTAAGTCTATGCGTCTCTTTCACAGCGTCCCTTGTTTTTGGTCTTTTTTCTTTTTATGAAAAATCTCACCGTTAATAAACAACAAAAATTCGCATTCGTCATCAACAGTACGAAGTTATGATCAAAGGTAAAAAACACTCTCTCTCTTTCGCCCTTCCACTCGCCCTTCTCCCCTTAAGCCTGACAGTGAATGGTGGAACTGACACTCTTCTTATTGCTTGCTAGCTGCCATTCTCGCGTTGAAGGAGCGAAAGGGCAGCTCTCGCCCTGCGATCAAGAAATACATCCTCGCCAACTACAAGGTCTCTGCTGGCCCCCACTTTGACAATCAGATCTCTGCTGCTATCAAGCGTGGTGTCACCAAGGGTGCCTTCACTCTTCCCAAGGGTGAGTCTTCATTGGCCTTTTTGTGCTGGCCTGCTTGTGCGTGCGTGTGAGAGTGTGGAAAACGAGAGAGAGAGAAAGAAGAGAAAGGGAAAAATTATCGGGGGAGGTGGGAAGGAGTGAAAAGTGAGGAAAAAAAACGAGGAGCGAACGAGGCGAGCAGCGAACCAGACCAACCAGTCCTTTTGCCAGCTGCCACACGTTGATTGGTGTACATTGGAGCCTCTGCAGATTTCCTTTATGGGCCGAATGCCTTTTCGCCTTGCTTTTGCTGCTACTACCAGCCTTTTCGCGTTCTGGACAACTAACGACTGAATTTCATGTTGTTTCTCAAATGCTGCTGTTGCCGCTAGGTCTCTCCGGTACAGTCAAGCTCGCAAAGCCAGAAAAAAAGGCAGTTGAAAAGAAGGAGAAGAAGGACAAGGCTGGCGCTGAGAAGAAGGAGAAGAAGCCTGCCACCAAGAAGAAGACTGCTGCTGCCACCACCGCCAAGCCCAAGAAGACTGCTGCTGCTCGCAAGGCTGCCATTGCAAAGAAGCAGCCCTCCAAGGAAAAGACCGCGTCCAAGCTTAAGGCCCCCAAGAAGAAGGCCGCAACCACCAAGAAGTCCACTGCCGCTGCCACTAAGAAGAAGGCTGCTGCCGCCACCAGCACCACCGCTGCCTCTGCAGGAAAGGCCTAAACGATGTTAGTGAACGACGACAACGATGATGATGGTACTGCGTGGAATGGTGTTCTGGTGCTGGGATGTGGCCCTCTTCTCCTTCTCCCTCACCATTTCCACACAATACCTAGCACAGACCCCTTCCTGTATTATGACATGACTATCCCCATTTGCTTTTTCTTTTCTCTACCTCAATACCAGCACCACAAATCAGCAAACTGCCAAGCAACAATCGACAATCGACAAAAAAATATTAGGATATCTCACTATAATGCATGATGTGTTCGCCTTTTCAAATCAAACTTGGTCTCTTTTTTTTGTTTTGTTCTTCTTTAACCGTTGTCGTCGCCTCATTGCGATTTAAAGGAAACGTGTCCGTCTTTTGGCTCTACAACATTGACCATGAGCAACAAAACACGACCTAGCACTACCACTTTGATTCAAGTGTTTCCAGTTTAACAAACGACACGCTTCGCGACAAAGAGAAAAAAGCATTTGGCGCAGCAAATGTCCTTGTGGAACCCGCAAAACAAAGAGAGCACATCATCGCAGTATGAACACCCGCGTGCTTCAATTCTGTACGTAAAATAAACAGCAGCATATTACTTGACATCACTGCTGCCTCTCTTTCCCCTTCCCCCCCCCCCCAATTAGGTTGTGTTGTTCTCACACTCCATTAATCAACCAAACAAAAACAAAGATGCGCTCTCTCCCTCTCGCTTTCTCGGGTGTGGGTGCCCAGCTATTCGACTTCAAACTCAATATGTATGCTACACACATAGCAATCGAAGCTTAGTTATAACATCAGCTTTATGCGCGTTAATGGGAGATCAGGGAAAGTTTATTCAAGGCCCTTGTGGGTCCTTGAATTGTTCGTCCATAAACCTCAGTTCCCATTGGCTGCTGCTAATTATTACTCAGCAACCAATCAACCCCATTGAAATCCAACAAAATCTTTGTGTTCTGTCTCTCACATATTTCACCAAAACAAAAACCTTGACGACAATTCCACACATCTAACATCTTGATAATAATGTTTAATAATTAAAATATTTTTTTAAATAGCGAGGCTGATGTTTTGATGACCAGTTGTTGTCGAGCTGTTCCAGCTTTTTAATTCGTTTGTTTCATCGTGAAACATTGTAGCAGGTCGACCAAGAACAGGAACAGCTACGCGTTTTGTTGTTTTTGTTTTTTCAACTTGAATCTTTAGTCGTTCAAAAGAATCAACAAATCTACCAAAACATAAGCATCATTTTAAGTACTATTATTAATCTGATGATTTATTCTTATATATTTTACCTATCCATAGCTTCTTCAAAAAGATTTTTAGATACTGTTGAAGCAGCTTCATCAGTTTCCATGATGCTATGTTGTGATTGTTGTATTTGCTGTTGCTCTTGTTGAGACGATGATATGTCGTTGGTGATGGTGGACGGATCAAACTGATTCCAAGGACACGACTGACCTTTTTATAAGGAAAGGTTAATACTCGCTCAAGTATTTCATGTAATTACATACCAAATACATATGCTTGCATGGTGAAGCGCTTGTCTAGTGATCGAAATCTTCGTCAATATTGACCGAAACATCATATGTAGTACTTTCTTCAGGGTCAGTGAAAGAAAGTACTTTGTAAACGTCCCCTTCTTGACCAACAATTTTGGCAGCGGCTTCTTCATCTATGCTTTGCATAAAAAGGTTTGTATATAAGTATATATGAGATAATATTAAATCAAACGGCAAAAGAGATACTTACCGTTCAATTCATTGACTCTTGCAAGTCTCATTCTTTCTGCCTTGTTCATTGTACGAAGCCTAAAGTTGGCTACCGTACAAACATGATCTTGTATTATATCTGGAAGAACATGGCTCCAAAGGATATAGACAAGCACGTCAGCACGTTGTCTTCGCAAGCTTGGTAGGTAAACTTTTTTGAGATGACGGTGCCAGCTCTCTATGTAGTTGTTTGTGTTTATGTGATGATGGTGCTTTTATATTCGTAATAAGTGACATAATTCGTCGAAAAATGACATGAAAAAATAAAATGAAGCAAAAACTTACACTGCGCCATGCTTGGCTCCATTTTTCACGTTTAGGAAGAAACTCCCTCTCAAAGTACAAATACAAACGAGCACTTTCCCATTCATTTTCACTATCAATAGACCAAGTTTCGAATCGTTCATGTTCAAGATCGAAATCCGTTGGTACCTCAGCTTTCATCATATTCATCATTAGGAAAAGTGCATGTTCACGCATGTCTTTCTTCTCCTTCAGAGTCTTCGATGGAGTGGACGGTTTTGCGGTGAGTTTGGAAAGAATGTTCTTCTTCCATGCTCTAAGGACATGCCAGTGGCAGAAAGTATCTTCACTTTGTCAGTAAATGTGTTAGTGAACGGATCATCATTTACATAGTTATACGCCTTATTAATAGCAATAATTTTTGTATCAGAATCGTCGATCATAACACGGGATGGTATATATTCATGCTCATCCTTCAGCCTTTGAAGCCAATACATGATAATTTATTGAGCTTGTGAATTTGTGATCATCCACGCCAATGGCTTGCCCTTTCCAGTAGTCCTGCATCTTGCTACAAGTGTATAAAGATAACAGTCATGATTGGCACCATCCACACAAGTCTTGTGGGTTGAATCAAGACAAACAAGGTTTCCGTCCTCTTTCAATTGCTATATAACAAGGAATATATATATGATTAGGTATGTGTATAATGTATCTCCATTTGGATCAATTGTTGTACCTTAACTGCCATTGTGACACGAATGCGAAAAAGAACATTCCCTCTTCATATCTTTCAAGATTTTTCGAAGTAAAGTGTCCTTTCTCTTGTTCTATTTTGTCACCCCATTTACCAAGACTGATTGCCATCGAAGGATCAAGTTGGGATTGACGTCAAAGATGCACTTTCATTGCATAATAGACATGGTGATAATTGACTCGAATGGATTGAGGTATGTTATCATATGCTTCGTCATCCAAGATTTTTTCAAGAACATCTTTCGAGACGAAGCATGTGTTTGATATTTCTCCAGGTAAGACTTTTCTCCACTTGCTCTTGAATGAATTGCAAGTGTAACAAAATGAATTCTTTCCACGAGGAGAACCAGCCCGTTGGCACGTGTAGTACTATCAGAGATGGATTATACAGAAAGCAGAAGTAGAAGTCATTCAATAAGTATCAAACAAATGTTTTTATATGTTTATAATAAATTTTATTGAAAGGTTTACTTCATTGAAGTAGAATGCTTCTCTTCCTCTGCTGCGCTTTTGACCGGGTGGAGGAGGTGTGTATCCATTATGAAGATACTCTTCGTTCTTCTCTTTGCGTCCACGTTCAGTTTTCGTTTTATTGTAAAACTTGCAGTTGTATTGCGTCTCTTGAGCTTCGATCCAGTTACGATATTCTGATCTCGAAATAAATAATGTTGCAGGCGCATCATCATTTTCTGGGCGAGTGATAAAGGTAGTGGTAAGATAATCCTCCATAGTAAAGATACAAAAGTGACAACTTAAAATCAGAGAATAGCAGTCCAAGTGGTATTTATTACTAGCCCAATATCTGACCAATAAAATTTGAGGTTTATGGGCGAACAATTCAAGGCTTGCCCTTTTTAGTCGTTGCCTTGTACAACAGTATGCCAATCTTACACCAAGCGTCAAGCTTGCTCAACTCCTCACCATTCATTGTCTCCTGGAATGCTTCAGTAGGGCTCCAGATCAAACAAGTATTCGACTTCTTAGATAACTACATGAGAACGAAGGAAACTTTCATCACACTTAATTAAACTCAAACTTAAGATAATATCCTGATGACGCGTGTTACTTTCGCCTGTGCTATGTGTATGTGTATCGTCTGCTTATCAAAATATATGATATGCACATTCTTTTGACTTGACAAATTACGGTAACATCGCCACAATTCATATTGTACAGTTGCGTTTTTTATTAATATAGGGTTTAAGAGAGGGAGGAAGCGCAAATATACAAACGACTAAAAGAACGTAAAGAAGAAGTGATAAAAGGTAGCAGCAGCAACAACCAACCGTGTCACCTTTTTATTTCTTACTCCTGATTCAGAGAATTTCCATTATACGTCCGACCATCGTCATCATCGTCAAATTCACTTGTTCGAAGCGTGTTTACGTTGCTTCCGTTTGATCTAATGCGCTTAAAAGATTAGACGTTTACGCTATATACGGCTCCCGATCTTCCGTCCTTGATGATTTACCTCGGTCCAGGTCGTGGTGAGCCACCGCCGAGTCGTTGTCCACCGTAAGTAGCAGAGGATGATGTTGTAGGAGTAGCAGAAGCCGCCGATGCACCAGGATATGCGCCTACAGCAGGTGTTGTCGGATCTGCACCAGAAGATGTTGCCTGTTCTGCTGGGAATAACGAGTACATCACCCCCGACATTGTAGATCCCACCGCGCTCGCAGCATTATATAGCATGCCTCCCGCAGAATATACATGATCAAAGTATGAGCCACTATTACCGCCAGCTCCACCATATGCATGACTAACGTTTTTAATGCCTTTCATGATGATGGTAGCACTCGGACATAGGTCAAGTTCACGAAGCGATTTTTGTTCATCTCCAATACTGAATTGACGCGTTGGAAATTGTGCTAGGAGTTTGTACGGTTGATCACCATCGGTACGGTTCTATATATGCACATAAATGCGATTATTAACTTTTTCAGTCCAAAACTACTCTGTATCATTGCTATTGTACCTGATCAATCCAATCTTTTACAGCAGCCAATGTATCGGTTGCTAAATCGATTCAGCAAAGTTTATGTCAAATGTTAGATACCGCTTTAAAGAGAAATGTGTTGTCGCTAGCTTTGAGAAAAGCCTACCTTGAAACTTGTTTCGTAGTGATGATCCATCCAATTGCCGAATACTGATGCTGCTTGCATCATACTGTTGTCCGCTGGCACTAATGATTATTTTAGTCATAGATCAATGACGCTTTTAATTTCTTTCAATACAAATGAAACACTTTCCCCTAACAGCACAAACCTTTTCCGTTCTCCCACTGGCGGAGAAGTGGTAGGCGAACTCTCTGATTGACGTTTCTTTGCAGCAGCCTGTCTCGCGGCAATTTGTTCGGCTCTATCTCGGGCAATTTGCTCTTTAATCTTTCGGCGATGCTCCTCCTCCTCTTTCTTTTCTTTCTTGATCTTTGCGAAATGCTGTTTGTTTCGCTGATCCTCCATTTGTTGTTTTGTTTGCTGCATCACTTTTCCATCCTCGCGTCGTTTCATTTCGCGTTCGCGAGCATCCTATAGTATTCATATTAACGACAAAACAAACGATCAGTCTTAAGAGTGGACCTATATTATTTCTATCAACCCAATAGATGTGAACGTTGCTATTTCGCATGTTGTTTCTACCTGTTTTTCCTTTTCTTCGCGCTTTTTTCTTGCTTCTTCCATTTGCTCTCGAAGTCTACATGCGTGCATCAAGAGGATCGTCAGTGGCCTTGATAGCTTACACTCACCAAATGGGACACATAAACCCTTTATCTATGGCATTACTTTTCTTTTTTCGCTAAAGCATCTGGCGAAGACGATGCAGCATTTACAGGATCGTTCGTAGTAGTGGCAGAGGAAGGATTGTTACTAGTGGATGAAGACGAGGTAGCAACGAAATGTTGCTGCGGGATTGGTGAGTTAAATGTGGCTGGCTGTGGAGCAGGATGAACGGGCGATGAAGTTGCTGAAGATGGTGCTGCTACTACTTGAGCGGCCTGGTCAATCTTGGCAATAATTTCTTCTGCACTGGAATCTTGCGTTCCAAACTCTTTAATCGTGCCCTGTCTGATGTTGTTGATGTTATACTCCAGTTAGTATAATCCTATCTTTGATTTATCCTATTTCATATAAACCAACCTTATAAAGTACAAGATAGGGATATGCGGCATCGGATCTGATATGGTTTGATCGTAACATTGTTAGTCTTCCCCCGCATTGAAATAATCTCGAGCTCCGCATGAATCGCTATCGAGAAAGAAGGATATATGCTTACATAGCTGCTGAAATAATTTTGCATTTTCTGAATCCTTGTGCATTTTCAGCGCCACTGCGTCCGATGTTATCTTTTGCACAACCTGATCATTATCTCATCGATGAGCATATTGACACGTAACCACTTGCTCCCTCCCCCTGCGAAAGACTGTCCACTCCTACTCTCTTTCTTGCTTCGACTTTTTTTGGTGCACTCCCGAAATGAATATAAACGAACCGTCTCGTTTTCTAGTGCTGCATCAAGCTGCTGACTATTCGTGGAATCATCTATGCATATGATATTTTTGGTTCAGTTATGCTTCTGGAACAATAAGAGGCCAACCCTTTTTCAACCAGCAGAGCGATTAACAATTGAAGAAAAAGAAACATGACTTTGAAATTACCAAATATATAGACAACAAACACGCAATTCTTAGTATTCACAAGAGATACGGCTTCTGTAACAGGTCCATTGAACCACATGGTCGATGGCCTAAAGTGAGGAGGAATGTAAAGAGAGACCACACACACGCTTACTGTCTCTCTGAGGGCAGCTTCCGCACGAAACTCCGAAATGGAAGGAACAGGGCAAAAGGGTAGGCTTTGGTACCTGATTTTTGTAAAGGTTCTCGTATTCAGCAGGCAGCATGAGTACTGTATCCCTTTTCAACATCTACATCAGCATCCAACCGTGAGCATTTATGAGTATCCAAGCATCCGTAAGACTTCTGGTAACAAGTATGCACAAAGGGGACGCAAGATCTTGCTCTGCTTGTGATAATGAAATTGCCATCAAACCATAGTGCGAAAAAAAAGTCCACTGATTGCTTGGTTGGATTGGCAAAAGCTGCAAGTGAGGTAGGAACTTGGACATGAGCGATTTGTAGGACAGACATGACCATCACGCACGCAACTTAATTGATATCTCATTCTACATAGCTCACTATGTAGATGAACAAAAACGAGCTGGTGAAGTGTCCACAGCGGATTCTAATAACGATCTATATGGTGCTATTTGATATCACTTCCCGAGGTGTATTTATCGTATAGCAGTAATTCCACGTCCATATGCCGGCGTCACCTGCAACATAACGCGATATGATAGTAACTGGCAATGTTACTGTCAAGAAAATAGTGATATATAAGGGTGACAGTATATTCTACTTCCTGCCAAACACTTACAAAGCGCGAGGTGTTCTAAGAGTACACAGATTGCTCTGTGATAACCACACCATTACTAACTACACGACTAGAAATTCTCTGACTTGCCTCCTCGATATCTGTCAGTTATATATTATGCTCGTTTTGACAGTCGTAGCAGCCGTCGAAAAATTCCATGTAATATGAGCAGTACATAGTGTTGGAGTTTATCAGACAATTAAGACCGTATTTGGTTAGTCTGAGAATGTTTCAATTAGTAGTGATGCTATTTGTGTGCTCCACAAATTTTTGAAGACGTGTCCGATGTCCCCTGCTGATAAAGTCTCGACACAAGCAGCAATAAGAGTTTGCAAAATATATATATAGCAAAAGTGAAACCATTCTTATCTTTGAGTTGTTTCTACTCATCTCAAAGAAACTCTGGAGGAGATCCGTTTCAAAGCAAGTGAAGGACACAGTATATGGGTCGTTCGCTACGGAGTGTAGCTGAGTATGCATTTCATTGCTAAGTGCTTCAGATTCCTGTCTACTCTGGTCACGCAAGCGGACAAATATAAACCACAACCAAAAGCATAAAATTGTCTCATAGCTGCATACATACTTCTTTTGGAGCATCCGCATATCCGCATATGAGTTACTGGTGTCGTGCGCCTTTTTTTGCATTTTAAGTATTCTGGTATCGTAAGTTTTGCGAATGGAAGAATAAGAAGAAGCTAAAACATACGCTACTCTAGACTGGCTCACATAGCCAATACACTCAGGAAGCTTATCGACATGCGTGTGTTATTACACATGGACGGCTCATAATGTGTTGCTTAATGTATTTATGACATTGTCAGTTACTAGAACGTAACTTTTTTTTGCCCAAGGCTTTTGCCTCTCATTGCCTGCCTTATATGTCTCGAGCAAGAATGTCCCAGCCAAGAGACGCACTGTCGTAAGGCATAGGCGATGGCAAGAGTTAAAGTGCAACAACTATGTGTGTACTAGTCCGACTTTGTGTGACAAAAAAAAAGGACGCCAGAGTATCATACCACAGCTTGTACCAACGTGTGCTCGGTTGCGGTCTATCATTTTTTTTTCTTCTTTCTCCCCCTTTAAGCTCCACTTTTTGCTTTGTTTCTTTGTTCCTTTCTTCTTTACATACATAAAATGACGGTTGCGCTAAAAACTGATACCCCCGCAACCGTAACAACTACAACAGCACCAATACACGACGAAGAGGAAGACGAAGTACCAATGGAAATTCCAGCTCCACCACCATCTTACAGCATGCCTTCGCGATTGCGATCGTTATTCGTTGGTGGCGGGATAACAACAGATAATGCTACCGCCCACGCACCTACGACATCACCGCCACCGCCAGTGGCCTCATTCACCGTGCCCCAAGATCTCGACGGTACTATTGGACCACAAAAGGGGTTCAAGAGCAATTCATGGCTCTCGTCATCCCTCGGCACGAAAAATAAGGCTATTCGGCGTGTTGCCTCGGCACCAAATGCTAATAAACTATTGCAATCGAGCAACAAGCAACACCCACCTTCTTCACTTCATTTGCAGGTTGTTGCGGGCGGTGCTGACGGCGATAACAAGTTTAGCTCGTCAATGGCTTCTTTGCAAGGACGAGGTCGCGGTTTTCGACGCACTTACTCATCCAACAGTATCAAGGTCAAAAAGGTTGAAGTTGGACCTTCGAGCTTTGTCAAAGTGCGTATGCTCGGCAAAGGCGATGTTGGAAAGGTTTACATGGTGAAACAGAAAGGAACAGAAAAGCTATTTGCCATGAAAGGTATAGAAAGAGGAATATGGAGAAGAACAATAAGTTCAAGTAAACTCTATGGAAATCTAAGAGTGTGGTATGTGATTCTCGTATTGATGGGCGTTATGCAACTGCTTTATAGTGCTTTCGAAACGTGAGATGATCAAGCGTAACAAGATCAAACGCGCCTTGGCAGAGCAGGAGATCTTGGCTACATCCAACCATCCATTCATTGTTACCCTGTATCATTCCTTTCAAAGCCAAGACTTCCTGTATTTTGTCATGGACTATTGTATGGGCGGCGAGTTCTTTCGAGGTAGGATAATGACGAAGTTTGTGGTGTTGAACGACACAAAAAATGAGCCTTTCGTGATAACTGAACCGCTCCATTGTGCTTTGTTATCAAAACAAAAACAATAACATAAATAAAACAGCACTGCAGCTGCGCCCTGGGAAATGCCTCGACGAGAATGGTGCGCGATTTTATGCGGCAGAGGTGACAGCTGCTCTAGAATATCTTCATTTACAAGGTCATATCTATCGTGATCTTAAGCCGGAAAGTAAGTGGAAACTAAGATTTCAGACTCGGGACACGCAAAAAATAAGTAGAAGCGGAGATCCTTACCATGAACACTCTTACTTGTGTTAGACATATTGCTCCATCAAAGCGGTCATATTATGCTTACAGATTTTGATCTGAGCAAAGGTACAAGTCCGCCTGGGAACCCTGGCGTAGTTAAATCGTCGTCTCCAAATCTTGTAAGTTTCCTGGTTGATTATGCTACTAAGTGACATACTATAAAGTGTGTCAGAATTGACACTAGGTTTATTTTCTTTACTGCAGCCACCATCCATCGACACAAAGAGCTGCGTCAACAGCTTGCGGACAAACAGTTTTGTTGGCACAGAAGGTAAGAAGCATGGATAGAGTAGCAATGACCTGTTGTGTCACGTACCAATGTAATAGTGTGTACATCATTTTAATTTATTTTTGCAACCATGAAAACAGAATACATTGCACCTGAAGTCATTCAGGGCAGTGGCCATACCAGTGCCGTCGATTGGTGGACATTAGGTATATTAGTGTACGAAATGCTGGTAAGCTTACATATATTTCAAAAGCGGATAGTAAAGAGAACCTACTCTCGTTTCATTATCGATTAATGTTCAATTACTACCTTTATCATAGTACGGTGTCACACCATTCAAGGGTTCCAACCGTAATGAGACCTTCAGCAAAGTACTTCACAGTGACGTTAGTTTCCCAGAGCAGCCTGCGCCCTATACTAGAAACACTTTATCGAGTAGCTGCAAGAGTATCATACGCAAATTGTTGCACAAGAACGAACATCGACGTCTTGGCTGCCGCGCCGGCGCGGCCGACGTGAAATCACATCCCTTTTTCAAATCGGTCAACTTTGCCTTGCTTCGACATAGCGTACCGCCTATTGTACCACACGTACAGAAACCAAACGGCATTGATGCCATTAATTTTAGAAAAATGCCGCCAGAGAGTCTTAGTTTAGATCTCGAATCTGATAGAGTGGTGACAAATGCTACTAACCTCTTTGAAAAGTTCCATTCCAGTAAGTTTCCTTCACTAGTTTCTGACTATCATCGTTTCTTGTTTCCGTTCCCATTCACCAATTGATTTGTGTTTTCGGTTTCTTTGCTTATGATAGTAACGTTGTACCACGAAGGTGACTCTGACTCTGAATTCGAGGTCTAGGCCCTCCTTTTGTTCTTCTTCTTCATCCTCACTCCCAAATCCCATTCCTTTGACATTTCATATCATCTCTGTAGATCTTTTTTCTCGTTTGTCTGTTTCTCTAATATTTTTATCATCTGCGTACTACATACCCTTAGTTCCTTTTATACTACCCAAAACTCATCACCATCTTCCGATAATAATGTGCCTTCCTCTTTATTAACACCTGCAACCAACCAACACTGTGATGATAATGTATACACGCTTGTATGTGCTATATACTTTCTCTCTTACTATTTAACTATACTTCGAATGCCACTCTTAATTTTTCTTTTTCTTAAAAAACCATTCACACCATTTACCATGCTCCAGATAACAGTAACTGCAAAAAGATAACACGATTGATACTTTGTATCTAACGCACGCTCGCACACACTTACATCATTACATACAGTATGTACAATGCATTAGTTATGAAATTTGCGCTTGTGAAAACAGCAGCCTTATTCGAAGCCTCAATACTGTACCAATGTGAATCACAAAACGCTTTTTGTAGCATGATACATAAAAGTTGACTACAGTATGTACAGTAACTTTAATGCGAGCTCCCCCAGACCCAGTGCATCAAATAACGATACTCGCGTAGAGTAATATCAAAGCAGCTTGTATTGACATTTGCATAAGTGCTACAACAATTACTGGTTATTTTCTTTTGACATACCGGAAAACGAAAGCATATGTATTCATCATGTGATAGCCTAAAAAGAAATACGATTGGTTTTTGTTTTTTGATAATAGATAGCTGTCTATGCTCAAAGATGTACAAAGTAATAGGTGTAGCAAATATAACGTATGGTATTATGTAAACTTTGAAAAGAGTATACATTGCAATTGACTATTTTTATATCCAGCTTCTTTATTATTCATGTTTTGTGTTTGATTGTCTTTTCTTGTTTTGTTTAAGCGGTGGAGCCAAGAACACCCATCTTTTCTAATGCGCGAGGACCCATTTCGTCCCATTCCTGCTTGGTCACCCACCATGAATCTTTGTTCTTCATGATATCTGCGAGGACAGCACCACCAAGGTACACCCTATCAGTAGATTAAAAGCGTGTTTAGTTCACATATATAAATATACCAACACGAATTTATCAACATTCTCAAAACATATATGTGCAAAACTCACATGTGTCGACGTCTGGGAGGATCTTCTATACGAATCTTGAATTTCTATTTGGGTTAAAGTTAAAGTGGTGAGTAAATCCTTTTTTTCATTTTCTCTTTCTGGTCTTGATATCATTAAAGCTGCTTACACTCAATCGGCTTGGGTCTCCATTGAGAACGTTGACCAGGTATAATTGCTTCATTTCCTTCTCTAAGCGACTAGGAAGACCAGGGTACATGGTAGAGCCACCAGACAAGACGATATGCTTATATAATTCAGATCGGATATCAATGTCGGCCGAATTGATTGTGTCGAACAAAAGCTCTAAAAAAAGCAAGCTCATCAACTGGTCATACTCTATATACATCTAATGCATGATTCTCTCAGAGAAAAAAAGTTCCTGATTCTTACCTGCCATGCCCTTTCCTTCTACATCAACCAAATTGGGCTGGAACAAACACTCAGGAGCTTCAAATCGTTCAGAACCGACCTTGATTACTCGGCCATCTGGAAGCTTTTACAAAGGAAAACAAAAGAACATTTTTAGACGACTTTGATTTTGGATACTCATGTATATATTTTTTCTGTAGCAGTATCTCACTATACCTCATAGCTCTCTACCAAAGTTGTAGTCTCGTTGCCGAGCTTTTGGTCCAATTGAAGATCATAGCTATATAATACATGCCCTATGTAAGTATATTTTGTCATTCGTCTCTCTCTCATTCTCTTTCTCTTTTCCTTACCTGACATAGCAAAGCTTTTCCTTGACCTGTCGGATGGTTTCAAAATCAGCAGTTCGGTTAAAGGCGTAACCACGTCGCAACAATAAGTCGATGAGATGTCTTGTAACATGGCGACCAGCAACATCCAAACGACGCGTCAAGTTGGCCGGTGCGTAACCTTGGTAAACGGGAACCTAGTAATATTATAAAATTCCAAGTCCATCACTATATTCGTGCAATTATTATATATACATGTAAAACTTACAATATGCGTAACACCATCACCAGAATCCACAACCACACCAGACATGAGACCTATTGAAAAGCGTCAATACATTTTTTAGTATAACTGTTATCGTAAAATAAACTTTCTGTATAGCGTACATGTGTAATATCTTTTTCTTATTACCTTGAGCAAACAGGGTCAAAACTGCCTGGATAGCAACATACAAGCCCTGGAAACCATATTCTTCAAACATGATTTGTGCCATGGTCTCACGGTTTGCTCGTGGGTTCAAAGGAGCCTCTGTCAGCAAAATCTTTGAGTCTTGTGGGTTGACCTTGAGCTTGTCAAAAAACGTGTAATTCCACAAGTGGCGCATATCCTCCCAGTTGCGAATGATGCCGTTCTCCATGGGATATGACATTTGCAAGATATTGCGGAGTGTTGCTGCTTCTTCACCAATCATAATGTCATTGACCTGGAGATCGCCTACTCGTTCTTCGGCTCGCAAGATGGGTCGTCCGACTACACTAGGAAATGTATGTTCCGGGAAATTCGATCCGGCATAACCGCATTTCACGAACTGTGTTCAAATAGTGAACCATCATGATGGTTTCGGGAAAAGTGTTAATGTATGTGTGCTTAAATAAGATGGAGGAATTCTTTCCAAAGCCTACACTGTAACAGCGTAGCATAATGATGGCATTTTATAAAACGCATATAGTTTTCTTAGAGATAGCACATACCCCCGTACCGTTATCGACGACGAGTGTTTTGTGGTCCATTTAGTTTTGAAAAGTAATAAAGAACTACTTAAGGATTATAGCGTGTTTTCGCGCCAAGGGAATAAGCGAATGCAGAAAGTGGAACTTGCTGAGTTCACTCGTAATCTACTATTAAATAGCCGCATGGCCATTGCAGAAGGTAACATAAAGCAAGAGGATTGCCAAGATGTCGAATCCGGTGATAATAGGCAAATACAGTGACATATAGCAATCATATGCCTACTGTGTTCTGTAATATATATTACATATTTTCATGATAGCAAGGAAAAAGGCGGAAGCTGATGGATATAATGATAGAGGTCGGGTATGGTGAAATATATTAATAGAAGCTATGACTTGGGATAGTGAATGTCAATGTTTGTTGCGAGTGGTGTTGTAAATGGGAAGATAGTTTGTTAGCGAAGACGAAGGCGTAGTATGTATGTATCTTTTATCTCATTTAGCGTTTAGCTAATGTTGACGAGGAGGAACATCTGGATCCACAGGATTGGAAGAAGCTTGGCCAGCTAGGGGTGTTTCTTCATGGTGTCGACGGTAATCGGCGCCATCTTCCTCATCCCGATCCTCACGATACTCGTCTTCTCCCTCAGGAATATCCAGCTCTTCTTGCTCTCGTCGCTGCTGCTCTTCCAACTCCATCTGTTCGAATACGGCATGAATCTTGTTCCATAAGTTTTGGCCAAAGAACTTCCAGGCAATTGCAGCACAGATCATTTCAATAAGGATGAACATGACAATGAATCCAAGTGCTGTAATGAAACGACGATGATACATGTAGTATCTGTATTGATCAAGGGGAAAAAGAATAGTCATCTTCTCTGTTAGGAGATTCCAATTATTCTTTACGCACTCATTGTTTGCATAACGTGTATGGCGAGTAAGGACGTTCTTTATCTTCCTTCCCCCACATTTTGTTTCTTCTCTACCAAACATTTACCTTAATCCTCTAAAGTCAGCAACGACGTGGATATTTGCATCATACAGTTGTAGCTGATGGGTAGAGATTGAAATGATGGCTTGTGTTACATGTTTGGCCTAGTGGATATAAAATGTAAGTTGTCTTTCCTTGACATGAGTACCAACCCGACATTTAGATCCTTCGCTTTCAGTTTGTGAGCTAAAATAACACCTGCCTTGTCCTCGACATATCCTTTAATTAATGGCACGGTGATAACTTGGCTTTCTTCGGTCAAACCAACGAGCAAGGGCAGAGCCTTGGCCAAGACATGCAACATGCGCTGTGTTTTCGACTGATAACGAAGAATAGCCTATTATTTACTCAGTTTTAGCCTCGTCCATCTTTTGCATTTTTCCATATCTATACATGTATGCAGGAATTAAACCATGCTGATCAAATTTACAAATTTACCGGACGGCTTGAATGAACAACACTTGTACCATCTCCAGTCTGCAACCAAGTCTTGATCATGAAATTGCCTATTTAAATAATCACCATCATCACATGTTAATAAATAAATTGAGTGCTTTGGGCCCTTGTCCTTCCCACATTATTTATATTTTACCTAGATCAAAGTTCACATCTGATGTAGGGACATGAAGCGTAACGGATACATCATATGCTTGTTCATGACGTAAAGGCTAATATAACAATTGTCAGAGTCAATGAGTAACATCGTTTTTCAAAAGAGGAGCATCCCAATGTTTTGTCCATTTTGAGACCTACAGCATATGGTTGACTTTTGGCAAGGTCAACGACACCCAATGGACCTTCTTGTTGTTGATGATACTGGAAGTAAATGGGTTCGGTATGGGATGTTTTAGGGATGTATTGTCGATAAAAAGTCATGTAGGCAGCGATACTGGTAAGCAAGATCCACAGCAGCACAATCACAATAGCTGTTCCTTTAATGAACGTTCGCTGAGCTCGAGGCGCAAAAACCACCCGTAATACCGGCGTTGCTATTCTTTTGACACCACTAGCGACCATTTTCACGGCAGGACTCCATTCCACCGGTGGAGGCTCTTCCAGTTCGCCACTGCCTTTGACTAGTTCCTGACTTGTAGGGCTGAGATCGTCTTCGTCCCGGTCACCGGCACCGCTAAGTAACTGCTCTTCAGTATCACTGTAGCTGGGTGTTGAAGGCACTACCTGGAAATTGTCCTGTGTATGCAGGTTTACCACACAAAAAAACAGTGAGCATTTTGAATCTCGAGGCGAGAAAGAAAATTTTATTTTGTAGAACGTACGGAATTGTCTTCACGCGTATTACGAGATGATTCAGGCTCCATTGTTGTAATTTATGGAGAAGGAATAATAATTGACAAAAGGAAAGTATACAACCAAAAATAAAGAGGGATGGAGTAAAAATGGGATGTGCTTTGGGTAATTCGAAACAAGGTAGGGTCTTCAACAGGATCATGTGAATATTGTTGGCGCGCATCCCAAATTTATGACGATGACATCTTCTGCTGTTGCTCTGCAGTATCAAGCTCATCGACCATTTTGAATTCACAGCGGTCCTGAAGCCATACCGCTTGCCGCTCATTGACAAATCCTTCAAGCTGCCAGTCGTGGGGCTCTAAATGCTCATCTCCTTCGATCCAAATGTACACTTGCGTGTTTACAAATGCTTCCGCTTGACCATCCGACCGCGTTGGTGTCACCTCCACCGTGCACCGCTTATATTCCTTTTCTGCATAGTCAGTTTCTAGCGCAGCCCAGAGGCACGAACAAAAAAAAAGATTGGGGTAGTTGGGGCACCATTCTTCCTATATCTATGGTTACAACTTACATCGCCTTCAAATGCATCAAGACGCTTGACATCTTGCGGATTGAGTCCCTCGCATAGTATTCCCCTTACTTGATCCTCATCACGACCGGTATAAACCACGCCTGGATACTCCAAGTTTTTCAGGGCATGACGTTTATGGCCCTGCCCGGGTTCTTCAATTTTAGCACAAAGATCCCTCTTATGTTCTCTGGAAACACTGTTCCTTTTTGTGGCGAATTCAAAGTGCTGTTTTACCTTTAGTATGGCAGGGCGCAGTTGCAAAGTTTCAAGCTTGGCTATTCTTGATTCCGATGTAGCGATCAAACCACATAGCACTATTTTTTGATAGTTTTTGACGATTCAGCCTTTACTATAGGAACAAGGGATTTTGCTTTCCTGTCAGGGCAACGAACATACCTCGACTGCGAACTTCAGGCGACATTAAGGTACCATAGAAAAATGCTGCGTCTGACATTGCTAAGTTTGAGATGGTCCCTGTTACAGAATTAGGAAAAGAAAGGGGTATGGCTATTTTCTTTTTTGCTCTTATCAATCAGGTCAAAAGATATCGGGAAAACGTTGTTAATATTGGTGTAGTTATATGTTGAGGGAAAGCTTATGTCAGCAATATAGTTTGACGATCTGCTCACATACAAAGGGTATTCGGATTTCCTGACTAGAGCATTACGTATTTTCTGCCTCATGGGACATCCTTCTTTGTGGCAAACCCTTTCGCATTATTTGACGACAACAGATGCCCATGCATATAGACAAATCAGGTCGTAGTACAGACGAGTATAGCATATTGGTGGTACATAGAGGATGATAAGTGCAAAAGCTCATCATTAAGCAATAGATTATAAAGGAAGCGTAAACTTGTGGGAGTGATTAGCTCTATGATATTGTTCGTTTACCAGCGCATGGAAGAAGTCTTATTCTTCGCATTTCAGTTCGACTATTCTTTCGTATAAAACGGCAGTATACATCACTATTTATGCTGCAACGTCAATCAATACTTCGTATATTCATAATAGAAGATAAGGTAGTGCGCGTATCTTCTTTTTGTACTGTACTAGTCCATTCTTCATTCAGCAATCCCCTTTGGACATTGTTTGTTTGTACACGAACTATGATTTCTAATCTTTTTCTTATCACGTACATGGACAACATACACTATTTCTTCAGCTTTTCATCCTTTGCGTTACCCATCATTCCACTTGCCCATAAAGACTCACACACGTGTACAACGTCTACCCTTTTTTTATTTCTTTGACATAGCAGCGTAGCAATCTTATAAATGTAGAGCTTAGAAAACCGCCTGCTCGGCAGACTCAGCGCCAATTTGAAGTGTACCTGTATAATTAAATGATGGCATAACACCATTGCTCATAATCTCTTATGTTTTTTGCAACAGCTCAATAAGTCTACTCAGGTAATGGGACGCCTACAGCAATACCAAGGTATACGTAGCTATAATGTCTTTAAAGTACGACTGCTCACAAGTCTGCGAAAGAGAAGCAAATCATTTCGTTGTAAGGCACACTCATCTTTACTGCCGTCGATCCGTCGGAAATATCCTCTGTTTAGCCTCCAAATGATGTACAGTACACGTAGAAGGAAACGAGATGAGCAGTACGATGTATGACGAAAAGTGAGCATACCATTTTTCAACCAAGTTGTTCCAATCCATTTCTCAGGTTATTCTTTCTCTTCGATCGTATATTAGCAGCAACGTCAACAAACATAATAAATGATGAAAAACAAAATATTTCCGTTTCTTCAATTAATAAAAAAATTCTTCTTATACCACCAGAACCCCCTTTTTTTCTACAAAGCAGAGAAATGCAAGTAACGATCAGCTGCGACACAGCGGAAAAAATTATACGAGTTTTGGAAGATGAAGAACGATTTGAAACCGGCGTTAGCATGATACGAAGTCTCCAGGACCAGGTCGCACAGCAATGCCGACAAAACCGATTGTTCTGTCGGACCGTAGATGCCCTGCAAGAGCAGTATGGGCGCAGAATGTATGCTGCAAAACAGCTGCTACAAAGGTTCGAAAACACCATCGCACAACTCGAACAACAGGTCAACTACCTACAACAGCAAAAGCAAACTATCGAGCGGCAAATGGACCGTTACGAGCATGATCTGCCCTTGATACAACAATATGCGCTTGACCGGCAAACAAAACGATCCAAACGGCAACGCCAGTACAATACCTTATATTGGATCCCACTCGTCGCGAGTCGGTACAAGCTCAAATACATGCGTGCCAGAGACAAGTTTGCCAAAGCCGAGCACCAAGTTGCGCAGATTCGGCAGGCTATGGAGACATGTCATCGCACATGTCGCCGCATTGCACAGTCATTATGTCACACGCGGGATCAGCGCGAGCAGACGTGTTCCCATCGTAATCGGACTGAAAAGCAGCTGCAGCACCTTGACAACACGCTTTTGTTGCTAGACGAAGGGCGTCGGTTTTGGTACGACTTTGAGAAATACCAGGCCAGGATCGTAATTGAGTCTGCTGAATATTTGATACGATGGTCTTCACCACTGTCAACACCTCAGCAGGTTGATCAGTGGACCAAGACGTTTAAAATGGCATGTTTTGAGTATGACGAGTGTCTCAAGCACGGCGAAGAACGGTGGTTTACTATCCAGGTCGAGTTTGATTGTGCTATTTGCAACAATGTGTACTGGGAGTGGCCTTGTCTTGACATCCATGGCCTGCTTTGCCACGCATGTCAACAGTCAATTATCGAAGCACAACAGCAGTTGGAATCTGCTGCTGCAGCGGCTGCCGCCCATGGCAGCAGCAACAACAACAGTATTGAAAACAGGCGGAATGATAGGCTATCCACCTTATCTTCAGCAGCTGCATCACAGAAGAAAAAGAGGAAATCCCTCATATCTGACCAGGCTTCTTCAATACGAAGCCAGAGCCGCCCCATCGTGAAACGAATATTTAAGAGTATACTCGGGAGATGTTCTTCGCCCAAACGCCCTTACTCCCCACTTGTACACTAATTTTCTTTTTTTCCTTTTAACCAAAGACACACACAGTGGTTTTGTAATCCTTTCGTTGTCTTGTTGTATGTGCATCTAGTAAACCAAATTGACAGTACTTTTTATTACAAAATCTAATACAAGAAAGGGAAGAATAAGAAAACGGCTGGGCGGGGAGTAAGTGAGTGGGAAAGGGAACAAGAGGTTGTTATATATGTTGGATCGTTGGATGAAATGTTAAACTTTTTTTGGACATATATTCAAATGGTGTGTATGCTAGTAAGTGTGCGTGTGTTTTGTGTGTGTACAAGGTGTATCTCCCACCTAATCTCTTACTTATAGCTCGCTTAAGCTATCCTTGATGGCGTTGTAGTATTCAGTAGATAAATAGTTTGGCAGCTCGTCCTTGGTTACCCATGCGAAATCGGACACCTGTTTGCTTGGCTGGACTTGGCCAGCGTACACACGTGCCTTCATGAAGAAAGTCTAGCAAATCGTTGCAAGAAATGTCAAAATCCACATTAACATTGGCCATGCATTAAACTTTGTCTATCTCTCTGCAGAACTTGATATTTTTCTTACCTTGGATCCTGATCCATCGCTGCTCTTGCCGGCAGTTTGCTTATAATAACTGATTGGCTGTCGACCAACAAACCAAACATCGATATCCTTTCCACAATCCTCTCCCAATTGACGTTCGGCAGCCTATTATCAGAGATATACATTTTTTTCACTGTTAGACCCTGCATAGTCAACAATAAACGATTGGGGTTATTTATGTGCCGCTTTAGATGGTGTCGTTACCTCATGAAGATATTCGCTCGAGTCAATTTGACCCTGGGGAAACTGCCATGGTTGCTGTGCATCCTCTGGTTTGTGTACGACCAAATACAAGGTTCGCTGCAATGCGCGATCCAAACTTTTGACAACTTTCTTTTCGTCTGCCTCTGTCAGTCGGCTGGTCAGTTCGACCTTGTTCATTTGTGCAGCAGCTGCATCGGTCTGTTCAAAGTGTGCCTGTGTCTGTGCTGTTGCGTCCGTCAGCGACGTGGCTGGGTCGGCCATGGCTGCACGTCGAGCTTCTTCTTCCTCCTTCCAACGTCGTTCGGCCAGAGAGCCTTTTTTAAAGTAGAATTCGGTGGGGAATGTCGTGGCATTCTGACGTTCGAGCTTTTCTTTATAGTCAAAATAAGCCTTTTCAAAAGGTGTCGAATCGCGAGTGATTTGTGGTGCGCGCGACAAAATGACGGACGCCAAAATGCGGTTGTTCTTTATCACAAGAGGTGCTCGTGCAGGTGCTACTGTTGCAAAGGAACGTACGCATACACGATTGGCTCGACTGAACATTATGTTTTTTGCGTATTTGGGTGTATCGTTCGTGTATTGTTTGAAGTTGTGCTTTTTTTTGGCCTTGCTGTGTTTTTTCTTGTATCCCAGCCAACTATCAAAAAATGTGACTTTTCTCTCGTACCGCCGCCGCTGCAATTTTGACAGCTGCCTCGGAGCCGTTGTTACTTTTTACGTTTTGTTGAATTAGTTGATCACATACAAAGGTATTTGTTTGACATTGCGTCCCATGACAGTGAACTCTCAAATAAACATAGCTAATTTTTGCATATATTGCTAAGTCTGGAAAGTAGACACTGGATCAATATCTATTTTGGAAAGCTTTTCCGAGTAAATCGAGCGATGAAGCTGAGAGCTTGTGTTGGAGGGTGCCATGGGTTTTTTTATGGGGGAAGGGAGGAGATGGTGTTGGGAGCAAAATTAAATTATCAAGTGAATTAGAGATGAATGCTGCTCTTGCCATATGAAAAAAAGAACATATGGAGTGTCTTGATGCTGATATTAAAACGATGATGAGCAGCAGCACAGAGGTATCATGTGTTTGTCCTCTAATTGCCCCAAAGACGCACATACACTCACATCATGCACAGCAACATGAAATTGATTTTTAGGAGAACCTGGTCTATAGAGAATGTGGATGTATGTACGTTCTCTCTCTCTTTCTCTCTCATTTTCTTTTGGTGCATGATAAAAGTGACTGAGAAGCACGGTGGTCTGCACAGCACAAAGACAAGCCGCACTCCTATTCCTTTTGGGAGAGGGGAGGCTGTGTATGTTGTGTGGAGAGGAGGGCCTACTTTGAACTTCTCAAGGCCGCATAATCAATCATTATGTATGTACGTGTGTGTTATTAGTATGTGGGAATATTAGGATGTTAGAACGATGTGCGGTGTGCTTACAATGCTGTGTAGCGTCGCCAATGCAAAGGAAGAATGGCTTTACAAAGAATCAGCCCACCTGCAAAACGAAACATAAGTGGATTTAAACAAGTCAGACAACAGCAGGTTCTGTTGTTGATGTAATGGAACCAGTAATGGGGGAAGGCTTTGATGTCAGGCAGGAAGGATCCCAGGGATTAGGTTTGAACGAGAAGCACAGCAGCAAACCAAAGAAAAGTCAGTGCCATCATCCATGAGCTTCAGAATTATCATATGCTGTTATGCTGCATGATTCCAGCATCCCCCCCTATGTAGATCACTTTTTATGTGGAAGCGTAGCATCACATTTTTTCATATGGATCGCAAGTATTCTGAACATAGAAGTTCGATGATGATCGATGTGTAGGTGTGTACCAAATAAAAGATCGGCAATAGGGAAACGAATGCTGATCCGTTTACCATAAATGTTTACCTGTCCGTGCGCGATTACATGCATGCAGTCATAGTGATATGTAGAGTAGACTATAATATCCTTTCATGTAAGTATTAAACAGCAGCAGCAGCAGCAGCAGTAGAGTGACTTGAGGTACAGTAATAATATTATATCTGCGTATGCAGCTGTATACAGTAGCATTAAAAGTAAAGGTACTCTTTGTGTCATCATTGTTCTAGTATAGCTACGCTTAGTAAATTACACAATTATAGCTCGTTTTAGAAATATTTACATTTAAGGTACAACAACAACAATCACAATATCATAGGATCACTTGATCCAAAATCGATCACAGCCCAATGAGACAAAAGTAAGGATATTAATCTTAGTAAAAACTGTTTTTGCATTACTATTGGTGTTATTATAATTATTTCAAATGACTATAACAAGTACATCAAGAATGCCAAGGTTCAATACTAGGAGAAAAGGGGGTATATAGTAAAATCAAGCAAAAGAAATGAGGAGAAGAGCATAGAAGATTGTGTGCGGTGCTTTTCTATTACGTGTTGTCCTTTTAATGACACACTCAAAGTGTAGGATAAAAGGAGGGATGTATAATATGTAAAAAAAAGCCAATTATGATGAGAATGAAAATGATGCGGGTATGATGCTGATGATGATGATGACACGATGTAAGTAAGAAAGAAAAAACGAATTAGGTGCATGGAAAGAAAAGAGAAGGAAAGAGAAAAAAACCGTAAGTGCCCCAGAAAAGTGGTGAAGAATGCACAGGAGTGTGCGAGAGAAGTTATGAATTATCTACAAGCTCGGATATGAAATGATGACAAGAGAGTGTGTGGGAAGAAAGAACTAGTGCGGTGCTGGGATATTAGCAAAAGAAATGTTGTAATGCAGAAAAAGAAGCTGAATGCAATGATGGGGAAGAAGAAGTGCGATTATATGTAAATGTGCTATGTAGAGGATTTGTGTAGAAAGAGTAGAGAAAGTAATATCTTGTGGCTTTTGAAAGTTGTAGTGCATGTTAGATGTTACGAGCATCGTCGGTATAAAGTTTGCTGTAATAGTCGTAATAGATGTTTGCTGTAATAGTCGTAGTAGATGTTTGCTGTAGTAATAATTTGTAGCTGAAGAAAGAATGAGATATGGAGGATTAGGGAGCTTGAGAGGGATAGCGAGCGGTAGGTACAATGAGCGGAGGTAAGCGAAGCGAGGGTTGGCACTGATCGGACGAAGACTGTGCGATTGCATGATCCTCGGTGTTGAGCAAGATTTGACGTGGCGATGGAAGATGGAAACCAGTTGGATCTGCAACGGAAGAGGAGCAGGTTGTCACGGGGGAAGACGAGGAGGAGCCGGGCGGGGTTGATGGGAACCATGGTGGTGAGGCAGAAGCTGAGGAAACGGATGATGTTGTTGCCGGCGATGGTGGTGCCATTGTCTGCTTGTTGCTGTTGTTGATGCAGCTTTCTGTAGCAGCAGCAGCAGCAGCGGTGGTAGGTCCTCGCTTGCGGGACTTGCGAATTCCCTGCAACGTTCTGTAGCGGTTGAAACACGTAGCGCGTTTGCGGTGCGGGAGCTGGCGGGAGATCTGGCCCCATGTCAAGCCTTTGGCGACACCGTCGCAGATGATCGCATCTTCAATATCGGAGAAGCGACTGCGTGGTTTGCCGTGTACTTGCAAGAGTTGTGGATCGTAGCTGAACTCGTTTGTGGTCGATGATGTTGTAGTGATGGTTGATTTGGGAGAGAGTGGTGGCGAAGTGAGTCGGGTTTCTGCTGCATCGAAGCAAGACGTGGGACGGCTGATGGTTTGCGGGTGGTTCAAGATGTCAGAAACTATAAAGTGGAGATAACATTTAGTCAGCGTCATACAATAGCAACAATCCAAGCGACATTGCTGCTAGCTCATTAACACGTACTGTTCATGGTTATGGATAGGTGTCAAAGAAGTATGTAGTAAAGAGAAGAAGGTGGTGGTCTTGTTGTCTGTATAGAAGAAGAAGAAGTAGTAGTAGTAGTAGATTAAGAGAGAAAAGATGTGATGTTTTTTAGCATCGTTGACATTTCACAGGGTTCTTTTATATACTTTTCCTTTCTCTTTCTGTGTTGTTGGATGGCTTCAAGGGACTGCTGGTGGGTGTGCCTCATATGGGTAGCATCATAATAAAATCTATTTACATACATGGACAAGGCACAAAAGTATAAATATGCATTGTGCGGCCCTTTCTATAGGCACAAATGTGCTACGGAAACCCGGGGATGAAGATAATGCTGACATCGGATCACTACAAATTTGTACATAGAAAAAAAAAAGACATCAAAAACCCTGCTGCAATGATCTACCATTACCCCTACGGGTGTGTGTGCGTGTGTGTGTAAGCGTGTGTGTGGGCTCACATACATTCGCTCTCTAACTCACTCACGACCTAGTACACACTGTTAATATGCGTACCCGCTCATAGATTCTTATGCGGCTGGAAAGGGGGGGGGAGGTAAGTGTGGTTGGGGGAGGCACCAAAGTGTACGTGTGTATTTGATGATGACCCCAAAGAGAGCAACATGAGGCATTCGCATTAAAAAGAGAGAGGGTGCACTTTTTTGGGGGGAGTCCAGCAACCTCTTCATACTATTTTATGGGGGGTGGGGAGGATGAAGCGAAGAAGGAAAACCTTTTATTTCATCAAAACATCGCAATCATAAAAGGGAAAAAGAAAATAGAGAGGGGGAATTAGCGAGAATAGGGATCAAAGAATGGATCAATTTTTACAGTGTCCGATGGCAAGCTCAACCCAAATTTGGGCCTCTATTTTTGTGCAAATTGGCTACAGACAACCGACAACAAAAACAACAACAATAACAACAAAAACAAACAACAACCTTTATTTAAGAAATGTTATTTGTTTTTCTTCCATGATGGCTGCTGCTGCTGCTACTACTACTACTACTTTGGAACTACATATCCGGCAGCATGCGTTTATTTTTAGCTTCACCAATGTTATTGTTTTGTTTTCTTTGTCTTTCTGTTTGTTGCCGTGACAACCTGTCAGGGCATGATGGCATGGTAACGCTCCTGCGAGCCTGCCACATACATGATACACAGACAGAGGCAAGCCGAACGAGGAATGAGTCCTGTGGTTAGATGGGGTCTGATCTGCTGACAGCCTCTTTCCCTGTATGCGCCAAAGTATGTATGTGTGTGTGGTGTGTGTGTGGAAGTGTATTGGAGAAAAGGAAGCATAAAAGGAGGATAAGAGCGTATGATAGGAAATATGGAAGGAGGAATTGAGGTTCAGCAATAGTAATTACTTAATACCACATGGAGAAGGGATTCTTCTCAAGAATTATGTGGATGTGTGTGTCCGGAAGAATGATACCATAAATTTAGGGAGATCCTACAAGTGATCTTGATTTAATCTAACGCGCCGAGATTGGCATTATTAAGCACCAGCGTCTTGTCTGTTTTGCCGTCTCATACTCTGCAAAGTTTCTATGATACGCTATCTATCAATTTCAGTAATATTATGCAAAGAGCGTGACTATGTGCGATATACATAGTGACTTTCTCTAGCTTTTTTTCATGCGCGTTATGGCTGGTATACGATTAGCGTGATCATCTGCAAGTAGAACGTGATCTTAAGAAAAAGTTCAAACGTGCCCACATATCTAAAAATTGACGCGTTTCTTACTGCTTCGCAATAAGCCCCGATCTAGGTAGTACTTGAGACCATACTCAACCGGTATGTGCAATAGCAACAATTCATGGTACTACTGCCAATCATGCAATTAACACTACTATACTGCGTATACCCACGGAAAGCTAGAAAAGGGTCAGGGCTATCTGTTTCTCTGGGGTTCCGTCCTTTTCGGTGGACATCTGTGTTTTTACACACTGTCGTAAATATGTCAACGGGACATTGACCCTGTATTGTGTGCTTCCCGCTATATAGCACACTTTTCTAAAAAAGACCGTTCAAGTGCTTTCACACATAGCGCTCTGTCTTCCCTCTCTCTCTCTCTCGCTCTGAAAGAAAACAAGTGAACTTTCCCTTGTCTCCCCAAATCCTTTTTTCTTTGATTCTCCTTGCTCCTATTCTGGAAGGATTGACCCCAAGAACGTATGTGCTCAAAAACTTTGCTCTACATGTGAGAGAGAGAATATGTTTTGTAACCCTTCCGCACCACCCAAAGACAAAACGCACCCACATCAGGCGACAGGGGTCCGAGAAAGCGAGGAAATAATATGAATTTCCCCATCGGCTCATTTAAGAGTATATACGGTCGTTCTCTCCGTTAGGAGTAACCGATTTCACATTTACAGGCCTTTGAGGAGTATATTTCCTCTTTGTATATGATCGGGAAAGAGGAAAGATGGGAAAAGACTGTGCGCGCGCGCGCAAAAAATATAATTGTCTCGCGTGCATTATATTACGAGTTATTCTTACGAAAAAAAGGAGCATACTTTACCACGTCGCTTCGTGCTGTGTGTATCGTCACACAACCATCATCATGATGGCTGCTCTTCCAACACACACATTTACTCCAACAAGAGCTTTCCTTTTCGCGACTTATCGCGCGCACATACGCAATAGGCGTAGTACCTTTGTTCGTACCCCGTCCCCTTTATCCTATATGTAACTATAGGACACAATCATACATCCTTACATTTTTCTCCTATAGATGCCTCATAATATTACGACAATGCTTTGTTGAGTGTGCATTTGTATTAGCACCTAGCTAAACCGACTTAGTATCGACATCAAGTGCTGATGTATTTTGCCCTGTCTCTAATATCTTGGCCTAAAAGCATCGCATGCGAATGTAATCATCCTTTGGTCTATAGATCCTGGACTCGTGGTTCTGCGATGACCACGCTTTAGTAATAGACCGTAACGTTCCCTTTCTTTTTCCCTTTCTCGCAATAGATGGCTTTGACCCGCCATACACTCAATATATTTCCAAGTGGTACACACTTCTGATATATGAAAGAAACATGGCTGAAATTTATATTACTAAGCGTGCTTGCGCGTAGCAATACGTACTCCAACTTCATTCTTGCCGCTACACTACTGCAGGTCCTCATTATCCTTTAGCTCGATACATGAAAAAACCGGTTTTTTTTCCCACATTATTATACCTGCAGCTACCATCTCATTTTCGTCATGCTCATGGTCCCATATACTTTTTTAACTATCTTCCCCATGACACACACACTTCTTTTCTTTCAGCAAAACGGAACAAGTAAAATTAAAAAAAGGCATGTCTTTCCTTACTACTATAAGCACTTGACCATTGCTCCATTGTGTGCACCCTTTAAGGGCATAAAACAGTTATCACTGACCTCAACAACAATAGGGATCGTTTTCTCACTTGTCACTGTTACAGATCAAGGATGTCATTCTTTTAAAGTTCATGATAACTCCAACAGTGACGATTCTTTTTGGTTTTTTTTCTCGCTTTTTTCCCTCTTTCGCCCCTGCAGAAGGGTCAAGGATCGATCGAATATGGAAGGGAAAAGGACTAGCTAGTAGCTAACCCACTCAAGGTTTGCTAGGAATAAAAGGGCTCGAGTAAAACGTCTAGGGCTTCTCCTAAAGTTATCCTAGGGCAGTGCACACAAACGGACGATCCTCCCTCCCTTGGTTTCTTGCACACTAGCCCGTGCTCTCTTTCTTGTCTCTCTTTCCTTTCATGTACATCCATCTTCTCACTAACTAGACTTACACTCACAAAACATATATCCAAGACCCTTTTTCTGACCCTGTTAGGTTCAAACCATATTACACCGCATATTCAAACGCGTGTTGGCGGAAAAAAAAAGTTACAGTGTGTATAAAGAGAGAGAGAGAGAGAGAGAGAGTGTGTGTGTGTGTGTGTAGTATGTAATGCATGCAATCGTTAATATATGGGGAAATGGTAGTACAAATTATATAGAATGGCGTGTGTAGAAAAAAAACTCTCCTAAAGTAATATTACATTTCCATGGCATCATCCTTATCGTCATCGTCAAAATCGAGCTCAACATCACCTCCAACATCTCCCTCATCTTCGGGTGCTGATGGTGGTACAACTGTGTTGATCGTTGCAATCAATTCATGGGCGTGTTCAAGCATAGCTTCATCGTCCGATCCAACAATTTGATACAGCTATTTAAAGGTAGAAAGAGATAATCAGTATCAATCTTGAAGCTTGATCTGTTTGCTTCTTTCCGTATCTCGAAAGAAATACTAGCCACACGCCTCTTTCCACCACTCTTTACCCTACACCCTGAATCAGAACTCCATTATCCTTTTTAGAATCTTTGGCCGATTATGGGGACTATATCCTGAGCGCTCAGACATATGGACGAAGCACCACAGACATTGACTCTCCTTCGACACACAAACACGCTACTTCTCATCCAACCCCCTCCTCTTCATCATAGCACTAGTACACTCTCTAACTCTCCATTTCTCTGTCTCCCCTCCTTTTCCCACTCTTTTCCCCTCCCATTCATCTTACCACCCACACCCACACAGAGACTCACACCTTCCCCAGCTATATCCACATAGGATAAGAATGATAGTAATAGATAATAGGAGCTCCTAGTGTCTTCCTTCCTTTCTTTCGTACCTTGACTGCAGTCTCCAGACAATCGCGTGCATCTTCCCAATGACCCTGGCGTTCATCAGCTGGCTGGTTCTCATCCTCTCCCAGACAGTAATACGCCCAACCGTACAGATACCATAGATCGACAACCTGATCGTTCTCCTTTTGCAAGCCTTCCAATACAGTGAATGCATATTCAAACATGCTAAGCTCCAGGAGCAGCCTGATCAAAGCGAGCCGCGAGTCATAGATGGGTATTGCTGGATCACCAAGCTCCTTGTTAATCCACAACTCCATGCTCTTCTGTAACGCTGCCCGCGCATCTTCATTTCTAGTTTGGCTTAGCCGCACGGACGCCAACAGTTGGTAAACTTCACAGTTTTCAGGGTCAGCCTGCTGTGCTTGTGAAAGATACTCTTCGCATTTCTGTTCTGCTTCTATTTCAAAACTTTCAAGATGAAAAAAAAATCCGGTTTTAATCAAATCAGAATCATTATCAAACTACTTTCCCCATTTCATAATCTTATATCTAAAGAACCTCGTGCATAATGATGCTTATACCATCCCCACACACATTGCATTCATGCAGATTACACACACACACACACGCACACACACGCACACGCACACGCACACGCACACGCACACGCCAAAAAATCAAGAATTTTTGCCTTTTTTACCAGCAGTCCGTTAAGTAAATTTCTGTCATGGAACATAACGCGCTTGCTATTTTGCTGGAGAGATCTCGTGCTTCGTCCGAGCCATCTGGCTGCTGGCTGCGTTCGTTTACCATGATGCTCACGCCCTTCTCGAATGCTTGTATAGCCTCCTTCTCCACAGAAAGTTGACCCAGGTACATGTATTTGCTATATCCTGCTTCTGGATTTTGCTGAATGGCGTTTAAGATATGCTATGACAAAAGAATGACTCTTTGTTTTTAATATATAGTCGCCACAATAGCCAAGAATACTTTCTTGATCTCTCTCTTATAACTCCCCTATTCACTCCTTATCCACTCTTCCTTTTCCTTATATACTTTCTCAGTCTCTCGCTCTCTCTCTTTAACGCCAGTAGCGAAAACATAGTGAGAAACAGTCTTCATTTTCTATACCTGTCTTGCTTCAGCAAACAATTCTAATTCCATTTCAACTTGGCCTGTCACTTCGAGAATATCCGGGTTTTGTGGTTCGAGCTCTAATGCTTTTTTACAAAAAGCATACGCCATGGGATATTCCATGGAATCAATGTTTTGTTGAATCCGGGGTATCAGATCAGATACAGTATAATTCGATGATGCCATGATTGTTTGTTTGTGTCGTCTATGGTCGTTGTTTGGTATAATATATACACGATTCCGAGAAAAAAATTATGTGAATAAAGCAACTTTTTTTTACTGAATGCCGATCTATCCCAGCTCTCGGGGTGACAATAATAAGCCATCGTGACGACGTGCTCTAAAAGCTGCATAACCAAATCAAGTAAATCATTCCCCGGTAACATAAAGCGCAAAATCACTACTATAGCTGTTGCCTATGGTAACGGTTGTTATAACAGCCGATTCTCACTCCACCACCGTATTGACTGAGCTTCTGTTGCACATAGAAAGGCGCTTCTTTTTCATACTAGACTTATATTATCACCAGTGAACCGCACTCTTCTTGGTCGCAGATGGAATCATGACAAGAAGATCAGCTCATATTTTCTTTAGCGCTAGAGAAAGAGGGGAAAAGAGTACAAGTAAAGCTTTCGAGCTCATATCAGAAATAGCGTAATATGGATGCACCGTGGGCAAGTGCTTTGTCAAATTCACGTAATTACGAACTTCAGTGGTAGGGTGGGTAAAAGAGCAACCATCCGCATGTATAACCTTATTTCCCCATACTCAACAGAATTTCCACGTTACATCAGCATATGTACGCCTATGCAGCTACTCTGGAAACCGATACTTTTCTTTCATCTTTTATTTCCTGTTCTTGAGTCCAGCTTCTTCTTTTTTCTTCATTCAATTACTTTTTTTTAGCATAATTTATTGACGACGGGGTCTTCTTTCAATTACGCATATCTCTGTTCTGAATGGCTGGATTTAAAAATAACGTTCCTGTTCGATTCCCGGACCTCCCTCCAAAATCACCATCGGGCGCTGATCTTATCCAAGTAGAACGCGCTAAGGCCACGTTTGATGTAAAGGCCTTGTCGAAATTTCTCAATGGCGAGGAGTGGCTTTCAAAGCTCGAGAAAATCGTTCCAATACTCGAATCCGAACCTGTTTTTGACAAGACACAACGATATTTCCAAGGCAGAGACGCGAAGATCAGAAATGCTTGGGAAAAAGACAAGCGGCATCTGGAACTTGCAAGGTATAGATATACATAAATCCCCTGAGTTATTAACAGCCTCATACATGTATACTGACACAAATGCATTTAGAGAGCACAATTGGGATAAAACCGATGAGAGCATTGCTCACATGCTGTATGATCAGCCGTCTCCGGTAAGGTTCTTCTTTGATTATGGTCTAGCAATGGTCTCGTTTTGTTGCCCGGTGGGACTGAAATTTTTAACGCGACTATCGCCTTTTTTTTAACTTTTTCAGTACCGTCTCCATTACATCATGTTTATCCCCACTCTGGAGGGACAGTGCAACGAAGAGCAACGCAAGCTGTTCTTGGAACCTTCCAAGAGAGACGAAATCATCGGTTGCTATGCTCAAACAGAGGTAAAGAGCGTGATATCTGTACCTTCACTACTACCCTGCTTCTCATATGTCATTGAGAGTGGTTGATTTATACCTATTCTCTTTCATATAGCTGGGACATGGATCTAACGTGCAGGGCCTCGAGACTACGGCAACCTACATTCCCGAAACAAACGAATTTGAGCTTCATTCGCCGCACCTTAGTTCGGCAAAGTGGTGGATCGGTGCGCTTGGAAAAACTGCCAACTATGCAGTTATCATGGCCCGTCTAATTATCCATGGCAAGGATTATGGCTCACATACATTCTGTGCTCAAATCCGTAGCCTTGAAGACCATCGACCATTGCCAGGGTTGACGATCGGTGACATTGGACCCAAATTTGGTTATAACGGAGTAGGCAAGTGTTGTGGCTAAAAAAAAGGTATTCTCGTACTGCTTGAGAAAAAATACGCTTATATGTTATACAATTTTTTCCCATACTGGTCAATGAAATAGACAATGGATTTATGATGTTTGACCACTTCCGCATACCTCATATTTCCATGCTGGCAAAGTATGCTCAAGTGAAGCCCGGGTCTGGAGAATATGTAAAGCCAATAAACAGCAAGTTGAGCTACGGTGGTATGGTCCATGTCCGCGCAAACATTGTCAATGGTAAGATATCGCTCTTTCTTTTGCAGCACATGAGAGCGATATTTTCTAACTCGGTACTGGACGTTGTCAATAATAAATAGAAACTGGCCGGGCATTGGCGCGTGCTTCCACAGTCGCAGTTCGATATGCAGCCGTACGCCGTCAGTTCGTTGATGCTGCAAGCCCCCGCAAGTGGGGTAATGAAACGATCGAGACATCTGTCATAGACTACACCATGGTGCAGTATCGTTTATTGCCAATCATTGCACAAGCATACGCTCTGCTCTTCACCGGACAAGAAATGATGAGACTCTACCACTTAAATATGGAGGCTATGAAGCAAGGCAACTTTGATATTTTGGCCGATCTTCATGCCAGTTCGTCCGGTCTCAAGAGGTAACACTTTAGGTTTGGCTCTCCTCCCTAATAGACACTTCCCTATGAGCATTTCCATATATTGTTTGATACTTACAACTCCTTCTATGTTATCCAGTCTGACTTCGTTTATGGCCGTGGATGGTATTGAGGAATGTCGTCGCTCGTGTGGCGGCCATGGTTATAGCATGTTTTCTGGCTTGGGTCACTTTTATCAAGATTATTTGCCAAACATGACAGTAAGGTTTTTTCTTGCCCTATTTAAATCAGGGCTCGTTTGGAAAAGCATATCCCGTTTTTACTGACAGAGTTCTACGATAATCGTGATGCTAGGTCGAAGGAGACAACAATATGATTTACCAGCAAACTTCCCGCTACCTGCTAAAGACCTACCGTAACGTGATTGCTGGAACTGCCAAGCCATCGGAGCATAATCTCACGTTTATTTATTTGTCGCAATACTTGCAAAACCCCAAGGCCAAGTGCCCAGCCAATTCCGCCAACGACTTTCTGAACCCTGAAGTAATCCTTACTGCCTTTGGCTTCCGTGCCGCCTATGGTATCGCCAAGGTTGCTGAACAAATTGACCATCAAGGACGGTCGTGGAACGATGCCCTCGTCGATCTCCATCGTATTTCCCGCGCTCATTGTCAATACAACATTGTGCGCAACTTCTTCATCACCCTGCAGCGTGCCAACGAGGGCAACAACCAGCAAAACATCAGCATGGCTGAGCGTAAAGTGTTGCAGTCACTCGCCTATTTGTTTGCACTCCATACGATGGAAAAGGACCTCTCCGACTTTGTCATGTCGAGCTACTTCTCGCCCGAGCAGATGGACATGATCAAGCAACAGGTGCAAAGTTTGCTAAAGGTGGTTCGCCCCGATGCTGTGGCACTTGTCGATGCTTTTGCACTCCCCGATTACATGCTTCATTCCGCATTGGGTCGATATGACGGCAACGTGTATCCAGCACTCACAAAGATGGCAGAGCAAGAGCCATTGAACCAAACCATCGTTGTCGACGCTTATGAAACGTGCATCAAGCCCATGCGAGAAAATGCTTTGAAGAACAAAAAGGATATTACCGCCGCTAAATTGTAAACTTAAGTCTGTATACACAAGAGCGAAAAGTCTACCTATCATGGCACCATTATAAATAATCAGTGATATTATGATAGTTTAAATAAAGCACATGTATGTATGGATGTATCATTACTCTTTTTTTAGTTTACACAAGCAATAACTCAATGAGAACATATAGTTTTTGCTCATGAAAATGAAAAAGTTTGAACGCTTCATCCAAAATATGAATTCCATCGACTGAGCAACAACCTTATGATAAGCTAGTAACTAACTATGTCCTCTTCTCACATAGCAATGGTGCACATCATATTATCAATTTAAATTGACAAACTGCAATGCTATTTACACGCTACCAGACCGAGGAATGCTGGTTAATCATAAATCGAACTTTACAAGAGATGGATTAAGTTGTAAGGATCTAAATTTATCAAGTAAATGCAAATATACCATAAGGAGGTCTAAAGCCAGCATTAGGGGTTGTCCTCAGATAAGATAAATATTTTCTAGCGTAATCAGCTCCTTTTGCTCACTGATAAAGTATAATGTGTCACACAAATCGATAATACATCAGGCTGATGATAATGCGAACCCCATTCTCAGAAACACAGTCCCAAAATTGCTGTCAGTTGGATAGTTTTTAGAAAAAAAGACTATTCGTATTCAGTGTCGTTATATACAGACGTGTGTGTTTTGGGTAACTAGCTACTATACAGTGCTCGAATAGAATAAGAAACGTAGGGGAGGAAGAGACAGTATAGGCTCACACACGGAAGCACAGTCGAGATGGCGGAAGGACCTGCTTCTTTACAACTTGGCCTGTTGCTTGCGAGCGAGAGTGGCAGTGATCAAACCTACACATATCATAGACAATTCTCTTCTTTAGCAACCCTGATATCTTCACGGACCACTTATTTCCTTTTGATCTACACTCGTCCATTTCCTCAATCCAAAGAACAAAAAACTTACCGGAGGGATCGGCCTGGGGGTGGTAGACTTCCATGTTCTTGCCAGCGTTGTCAATGTTGAACTTGCTCATGTCAACACCAACGTAGTGCTTGTTGGGGAGAGCATAGTAGACCTCGGCAACGGCAGGGAACTGAGCCAAGATGTGCTTTTGCATCAAGTAGAGAGTGGCCTGGACGGAAGCGGAGTCGTCGGTGGCAAAGGTATCGGTGGTGATCTTGCGAACACCGGCGTGGACGGCGGGGAAGTCAACCTTGGCCAAGGCGGCAGCCGAGGTAGGACCGAAGGTCCAGGTGCAGTTGACGGCAGTGGAGAAGATACGGTCCCAGACCTCGGGCAAGACGGTGTACTCATCCTTGTAGAATCCGTGGAAGGCCGAGCCAGTCGTCTTCAAAACCAAGAGCTTGTCAAGACCAGACTTGATGGAGATCTTGTCACCGGCACGGTAGTGATCGACTTCGGTGGTCGAGATATCCTCGCCGTCACGGACGAACGAGTGGGGGTGGGGCTTGCCATCAACAAGCAAGCGAGTCCACTTGTGCTTGATGATCTTGACGTGAGCGCTGGAGATATGCTTGTACTGGTTGAGGACGTGGCGGGTGATCTCCTGGGCGTACACTTCAATGTTATCCACGTTGGCGCTGCGCTTGGCAATGATGTTGCAGGTGTTCTTGCAAGTGTCTAAGATCATTTATCCAACAAATTATATCTGCATAAGTGACCCCTTCATTGCCGGTGGTTTCTTCCCTTGACTGTGACCTCATAAACCTTCGATCCCATCACATCCACATCTTTTAATTACCGGTAGTAACAACAACCGAGTTGTCAGCCTTGGTGTATGAAGTCTCAATGTCACCTTCCAACAAGAGTCGAACCTGTTTACAAATGTCATTGTCAGTGACCTTGCCTTCCTTCTGCCCCTGAGCTTTTCTACCCTTCTGCCTTTGTTTATGCAACGTACAGTCAATTCAGTGCAGCGCTGGACATTTCCTTCCTTGTAAACGCGCATAAGACGGACCAAGTCCTTGCCGTAGCGGGCGGTCTTCAAGTAGACGTTGGAATCGTTCGACATTGTTGATAAGTTGGTTGAGATGTTTCTTGCGGATAAGAAGAGGTGAGGAAAAAAGTGAAAAGGAGATAAAGCGGAGCGCTTTTATAGTGTTTGGAAAAAGCAAACATTATACCTTAGGACGGAGTTTGTGCAACCCCCAGTTAGGCAACTGAATGGGTATTTTTCTCGCGATCACAGCATCGCACATCGGACCTTTTACACGGGTAGGTATACTCGCACGCTCATTGGCTCAACGCTAGCAGAAATATAGCTATAATTGCATCAGCGCTTCTGAGAGGTCAACCATTGCGTGGCGTGATCCAGTATTTCGTGGAAATTCACTCTTTCCTTTGTCATCATCAGTAGCACACTGCCCCTTCTCGCCATTTCCCCACAATCCATACTGACGCATGCTTTTGGCACAAACAGAGGATCTTTGAGAAAAAAAATACCTTTGCGGCTGGCCAGTGTCTTGAAATACATAGCAAACGCACCGGGATGATGACAGTTCGCATGGGTTTTTGGTTGCTATAGGAGTTATATTTCCCACGACGCAAGCAAAATTATTAAACTGTCTAGCAACGCATATGTCGCTATATCTTGAAATTATGCAATCGCTTGTCAACATTGATGCATCACTACCCCCGGTCCTAATAAACAGTGTAAAGCTTGTTTTAGATCATGCAAATGTAAGCTAAATGCGCAGGAAAGAAGGCTTTTAGCAACGTTATTTGCACTAATCTTTCCCCATTGCTCGTGCTGCTACAGAACAATGTATTTTGTCAATCCCCCCTGGCTGTGTCGACTAGCTTTGCTATAGCGTCATCGCGGAAGCTGTGTTAACGTTCATCCGTAAATAGACGGGTACACGAGCGGGTGCAAAGCGGAGCACAATATACCAGTCTAATTTGTGGGGTTTTACTCTCCTCTTCACGATAAAGCCTTCAAGATACTGTAATATCGCAAGTGCAAGCTTACCATTTCAACTCCTAAACTATCATACAGCCACGCTACGCAACACTTTCGGCTGATTTAAAAATTAACATCTCAAGCATGGCATATACTCAGCCTATCACGACAGCTAACCTCCCACCTTTTCTTTTGGTGGTTAGACAGTGCTGTGTTTGTGTAGTGCATGTGGGGTAAGATTCGTCCAACATCAAACAAAAACACCAAGCTAAAAGAAGTAATTTGCCGCTCGCACAAGTCGCTTAAGGTATACAGCAGAGATCGCTGACTGCTGTACTGTGCATATATGCATTTTACTATTCCATATTCCACTACTTAGCATCTGGGTGCAAAACTCAAACAAAATATCAAGTAACATGTTTCGATACTTTGAAAAATCACAGATGTCAAAAGTGAGAAGATGGTATGGCCTAAGCTGCGCACATAGAACAAACGAAAAAGTGCAGTATAATAAGGTTGGGAAATATAGAAGTTTTGTAACCGTGGGAGCTTGTCCAATCACCATACAACACTATGTTCTGCCGAATAGCCAGAAAATTGAGAACTCGGAATTCCTACAGTCGACACACCTAACAAAATAAAAAATTGGAGTAAGTTAGGAGGCTGTGTAGGCATGTTTAAGCTACGAGGCGTGACAACAAGTGGCTATTTTTGTACAATGTATGCTTAGGGTGGAATAATGATCCTACCGTCGTTTGTTAGATATGTTTAGTTCATGCAGACGTTCTTCTTTTGGATAAAGGAGAATCTTCCAGATGCTGATGTCTAATAGGTTCGCAAGACACAGGCACACTATTGCTGCATCTCAAACACATATTTATTTCTCGTACGATCAATTTTGGAGCCAATAGTGTGAGTGTAGGAGAGGTGATGCTATATTTTAGTTTGACTAACTTTCGCTTCAATTATAGCAGATGGCAGAATGTAAATCGTCTTTCTACGTGTTTTCTCCAGAGCAAGTCCAGCAACAAAGCACTTACTTTTTGTGTGTCATGGAAGAATTTGGCCCACTTTCTAAGCATTTACTAGTTATATAATTAAAGAGCTCGTTGTATAGATAAGGCATACCAAATGTTTAAATACATTATTCAAAGCTCAAGAACCCTTGCTTTCCCTTCAAAATAAAGGGCCGTAGATAACGTGGCACAGTTTTAAAAGACTTATGTCGTAGTACATCCATAGTAAAAGCCGCCTAGCGCTGGTGGTTGTTGCCAACCGCATAATATTTATTTGCCCAATCTCAGCATTAAGCATCATAACCAGCCCGATCAACAGTTCTAATACTGTAGTTTCACGTCTTACTTGCACTCTTCTTATTATAAGAGCTCTAGAGTGTAGGTCAATTGCACATATGTCTTTAAATAAAACATTGAAATACTTACTGTACACCATCTGTGCACTCTTTAATATCATTGACCCAGATCCCTAAAATTTCAACACCACGGCAGATCTCATTCGCACTGATTATATCAATTGTACAGAAATAAACGACAGTAGAGACATAATGCACGGGTCAATTGATTTAGTCTTCTACTAACGTTTGGAGCATACTCTGTGTCTGTATGCGAGTAAAACAAAAAGGCATGCTCTAGGTGTAAAACTTTACTGAAAAAGGTACCCAACCAGGCACTTAAAAAATGGCACCTAAGAAGGAAAGTTACAAGCACGAATAAGTGTTGGATTTCGATTGGTAAACACTATACATATGATATCTACTTAAAAATAGCTACAGTACTTACTAGGGAAAAGCGCAGAGTCATGACTAGTTTTCGACAGCTTGTCGCCTAGTTATTATACCGGTACTTGTAGTATTAACAAATAAAAAAAAACATCATATATGTGCCGTCCTTGTTCACTTTTTTTCGATGGTTAAACCCCACCCTTCGCTTTGCCATGTTTTCTTTAAAACCACAAAGCTCAGCAACCATGTCATCCGTGTGTAGCTTAATCTTCAACTGTGTAATGGGTCTTGAAATGGGTACATACCTAATTTTTGATAGACTTTTAAGTGTCTTGAGTGGTCATTACCTATCGTAGGTTAGTTTAATCAAAAGCCATTGATATCAGCCAACGTAAAGAGTTCAATGTCAATTTTTGCTGAAGAGCTAATGACAATGTGATGGAGTTCTGTAATGATCCAGCAAAACCGAACGCCTCGCAGGTCCCTTAATGAAGACAGTAACTCATTGATTTCGAATTGCTCTAATGCTTTGATGACATATTATTATTCAAAGAAAGACGAAAGAGCAAATGTATCAACATGCTATCAGCGTATATTAACAGCGTCTTCGTATCGAATACATACATGGCATTTTGTGAAGGTGTTGTATGTGTGGTGAACCACATTAACACACTGCTTAAGATATCAACAATACGATATTCGATTAACATTATAGCACGCACATATGAATACTACGGCATTCCGGCTAAGCACTATTGAATAAAACCTCTTACTCAGACGATGTGCATATCTTCTTTACCCATCTTTTCTTTCTGTGTTTATACGCAACGTATATAGTATAATGAAAGAATCACATATTTAGCAATAAAAATCATAATCATATGTACAATAGCAATTACTAGTTTTTGGAGCTATATTAATATGATAGATTGTATACTTCCGAAACACGTCTGGGATTACGTGATGCTGGAACACCGGCGGTACGCTCAACTCCTGATGCTGCAGTTTTTAAAGAGTAGACGAGTTGAAGACCATCAAGATATGAATAATAGTACTACCACTTTTCTTGCTTTAAAAGAGTCGATATTTTCAGTGCTACTATTTCTTTGACTAGGCACTTACTCTAAAAGTTGATCTGAAGTATCATAGAGTAACTGTGCTCGTAAAACAACAATGTACATTCGTTGATTAACTGCTGTTAAAAGCAAACCTCGCGTTAAAAGGGGCGTTGCAACAGCTTAAAAGCAAATAAAATGTATGCATTTTTTGTTTATCAGGGTATACAATGAAGTACAACGCGTAATCTAGCGCTATTCATCTGTTATTATTCTCAAACTTCCTCTAGCTATAAGGTCTAGAGTTATATCATAACGACTGAAATCGCGTGAATCTACACATCGTATGATAATGTGATACTAATAAGGAGATATATCTAAGGTACCAAAGAAGCATCTTCTTCGTCTCTTTATTGCTCAGCTGACAGGGGCCTACTGTAAAAAGGATCTCTCTGCCAAGTGTAAAATGGAAGCATCGCTGGCTTTCGACAAACCAACAAAGAACAAAAAATAACGCCCGACCTTAAAGTATAGCACTCTGGATGGTGTTTTGTTTATTAACACAGTACCTCTATAAACTGAACGGCAGACTCTAAAGTGGAGATGCAGGAGGTGTGCCACATGTGGAAAAGCCCATCAAAGGAGTCCTGATAGCAAAATCTGACAGGAATTTAGATTACCCCCTAATGATCAAATCGATTGCGATTTCTGCATTCACCATGACAACAACAAGCTGCAGTAGCATTTTTGACGTGCCTCATTTTTTCTCTATATGTAGATACAGTAGTAAAAGTCAAATTCGCTTATACATACTGTTTGCCTGTCACCGCACAAATGCACAATGTAGACTTTTCCTCGCCTCTCCTTATTTTTAATTTACTGCAATACCATATCGCCAAAAGGCAGAGACCAGACAATGTCTGAATTTTTTTGCTGGGGGCCCTACATGAGCGTTGATAAAGCTTTTTGTTATCTTACAACGTCCTTGGGCGCGGCTCATCTCGGAGTGCCCCGAAGCAGCAATCAAGCTGGTTTTTCTTGTGGTACTAGCCTCTGATAGTGCGATAGCTTGATGCAATCTCAGATAGACTTTTCTCTTGGCACACAAAAACGAAAAGGCAAAAATAAACATAGTTTACAAAGTTCAATTGGCCAAAGTACGACTTAAACATCAAGAATAAGCATGTATGAGCATATCTCAGGTCCTTTTATTGCAATTGCGTTACTTTTTTTCAAGTAGAAATTCTTTACAATCTTTTGATGGAGACCACAAGAATTTTGGGGGGAGGCGTGTGTGTGTTTCTGATATTGTCCAAATTTGGATAATGGAAATTCATCACGTGGGAAGTATACAAATGCATAGCTCGCAGCTGGGCTTGCATTTCTCGAGTTTCCAAAAGGAGACCGTAATGGGTTCAAAAGATTTAGTAAAAAAGTTTACGCCAAAGGCAGTACTTTGCACAAATTCCCATAAAGAACGGCTGTATTTGTTTGGAAGGGTTTGGGTATTCTGGATATTGAACCTCTTTTTGATAGCTGGTCCAATAACTGCAGTCGTTGTATACATCAAGAGCACTACTGACTGTCCTAGAATGCCTTGTCTGATAGAAGAGCAGCCGTTCCATCATCAGATGAGCTCAAGCGTTCACCGATAGTATTTACGCAGAATAACGAGAGCACCGATTTACGAGATGATATTATTTGGCTACTTTTCTATCATTAGCACATATTATATTAGCCTTTGCGCCATATTTAAATGAAATTCCAGAGCGACCACCTTCGATGATGACCGTTCTAGTGAAAGACGCCGCGACTGGTGCCTTTTTGCCTTGTCCTAATCCTTGTGAAGCTTGATGACAGGCTTCACTTCTTGGCATTTTGATGTGATGGACAGCGCTTGCCTTTTCTCTGTACTGCCACCCAAGGGAGTCGTTCTGACCAAGACGTCATCGTTCACTTGATATTCCCAATTTCCATCGCTTCCTGTTGGCATACTTGGCTTGTCAATCCGTCGCTTTTCGTTGATCACTAGAGTGTTGTCAAGACGGATGGACTTTAATCGTTTGGCAAAAACGCCTGCTGATTCAACGTCAGAGATTGGCGTCATTGTAGGTGTGCTCGAGAACTGACAGCCATTTGTGTGCTAAACTGTTTGGTTATATGCGACGTAATGACGAAGCATATCCTTGAGCGTGTTCCAACGGTCCGTCTGAGTATGGATGTAACTTGCTTAAAAGATCTCTGTGTATAGCCAAGTATCGTCGTCAAGGCCTTTTGAAAAAGTAAATGACTCACCCATATTGCATTGTTTGTGTGGATCGATCTCGGATACCTTTGTCCAAGGGATAGAGGATACGTCGATCGCAAGATAAACTCCTTGAGCGAGCCTCCTACTCTCGAACAACCACAACAAGTTTGATCCTTTGCTAAAATAGCTTTTGAGTTGGCGAACACTAGCTTGCTCCATACGAATATCGACAGTGAAAGGCGTGTAGGCGTTTATTTGCGAAACAACTTCTTTTGGCAGGACGCAACTGCACAATGCCTTTTGCACCTGTTGGCAGATCCATCGTAACATATACTCAATAGACCCAGCGGATAATCAGCTGGCACCATGCCGTCTTGCTATATCCTTGGTCGTTGACTAGTATACCAGCTTCCGGTTGCGCATGATGCTCTGGAAAGCCTTCTAAAGATAAAAGCATCAATCTTTGGGTGTTTGACGCTATGTAATGAACACCCAATGTTTCGTTATCAAGTAGAATTCATCATTCCACTAGTGTCTAACTTTGACAACTTAGTTGTCTGCCAGATAACCGACCAACAAGTGGTCTTGTAGACAACCATTATACTGGACGCCAAGATGATATATTTTACCTCTAACGCCCAGTCAGCGCCAAATTAAAAAAAAAGTATAATCAGCAAGGTAAAATCCTGTAAAAAGGTTGTAACACTGTAAATTTAGTGTGTGCAACGTAACGCCAACCGCGCATTACGAGTCTAAAATAACGTGTTGGCGATGGTACTTACTTATCAATGGCGCAGGAAGAGCCGTTTCCTTCCGAATCTGTGGGTCTTGAAGTAAACAGTAAATCGGATGGGTGTTGTATAGCAGATAGTGGTAGTAATAGTAATAGTAGTAATATAGGTTTTATTATATAGTATAGATTAGAACAAAAAAGTAGGATGCTTATTCGTTGCAGGTTAAAGAAGAAGAAGAAGATTTGAAAAGTAGTGTGTGGGTTTCCATCTAAGCGACCAAAACGGCAGCAATAAGGGCTGGTGCAACCATGGCAACAGCGGTCCACTTGGCACCCATCACAGCAGCATTTTCAGCGTCCTCCTCTTCGGGCTCGGCAGTCTCGGTGGCGTTCTGGGTCTCTTCGGCAGAGGATGAGGGGGAGACAGAGCTCGAGGACTCCTGCGAAGCGGAAGCAGAGGCAGAGGCAGAGGCAGAGGCGGACGAGGGAGCGGCAGATGACGAAGCGGCGACTGAAGAAGAGGCGGCTGGGGAAGAGGCGGGGGAAGACGAAGCGGAACCACCACCAATGCTAAAGCCACCAGAGTAGTTGTACTCGCTAGAAAACACAAACAAAATGAATTAGGATTAGGCCCTCTTGTCTGTGTATGCGTGTTAAGTTCAGAGTAGTAGTAAGATGGAGCATTACGTCGAGCCTTCATCGGAGGTGTAAATGTACTGGAGAGCATAGGTTCCGCTGGCATCAACGCTGGCTGGGACCTAATAGAACGCGGGTTTAACGGATGCAAATTTACGGTTACACACTATTGTTCCTTTTGTCTATTTTGGAGACATCTTTTTGCGTGTTTTTCTCGTCTTTCTAAAGGGCTCATCTATTTACCGTCCAGTCGTACGATCCAGAGCTGCCGTCGACAGTGAATTCAACACCGGTGGGGCTCAAGTTGTTGGTGTTGGTACCTTCAAGCAATCTCACGGTGACATCCTGATCAAGACCGTTGAGCCAGGCTAAAGACAAGTTTAAAGAATGATGATGATTAGACGGTCTCTTGGGGGGGGATATAAAGTACATGCAAGTGATGTAATTGCATGTGATTATCGAGATAGTAACGGCTCAAGGATCAAACTTACTGACGGTGATGCTTTTTCAAGTAGACGAGGGAGGAATTGCGAGTTAGCACAGGTGTGTGTCAAGAGCTTCGACCAGCAAAAAAAAAAAAAAAGGTCATTGATACTTACTCTTGGCCAGCTTCGAGCTGAGTGCCCTCGACAGGGTAGGTGGTGTAGAAGGGGGCGTCCTGGGCAAAGACACCAGCAATGGCAAGGAAAAGAGTGACAAGGGTCGCGAAAGCGGTGGACATCATTTTCGGAATTCTCGACAAGGAAGGGAAGAGAGAGAGAAAGAGAGGGAGAGAGTTGATTTCGATTTGGTGCAAGGACAGTGGGGCCTTTTTAAATACCGAGAGACAGACAGTGCCGAATGTGTACTCAGATTGGCACAATTGCTCACTCACACACACACAGGACAGGACGACGAGAAAAATGGAAAGGGTGGTTTGTACTTTATATTTCGAAATCTTTCTTTTCTACTGGACCCCGTCGTGCTCCCTAATGAAGAAAGGATTCGATCATCACAAATTAACTGTCCGCTCTCTCTCTCTCTCTCTCTTGCCCTTTCTTTGATCCACTTTGGTAGCATTGTGACAGCTTCAATTCCTAGTGTGCCTCTCTCAAAGTGCTGCCAAGGACCAGGGCAACAGCGTGGTGCCCATGATCATGGTCTATCCGACGTGTTTGGTTGTTAGAGACAAGTAGGTAAGGTTCCCTTTGGCGGTTTCCCCATATATGCTGGGTGGCAACAAGATTAAACACAGACGGTGCACAAAAAGAAAAGGGCGGCTTCGCATTCGAGATCTCAGGTGCCACAAGCCTTCTCGCTTCGTGGTTGGTTGATGACTGGTAACATTGGCAAGTGAGCAGACAAGCTTTTATGATACACACATTTTGTACAATTAAAGAGATGCCCGTGCGTTGCGAGCGATTTCCACAAAATATTCTAAATATACGCTGATGTGCTTCTCAACATTCTTTTTTTTTTTTTGACCTTTTTGGAAGAAACTTGATGAGAAGGATACGTCCTACCGTTTCTGCTGTCACTTGTAATTATGGGAGCAGAAGCAGCACTTTGTTCTGTAATTTGGTTAGTAGAGACACAAAGAGTCATGTTTGTGTGTTTCCTGTTACGGAGAGGCGATACATAATTCTTTTGAAATGCTTTACTGTGAATAAGGAAGATAATGAAACATAGGCTGCTGGGGAGTGGGGTTGGATGACAGTGTTGGAAAAAAAAAGGGTATATATGTTCATTCCTCCACTGGATTGTGTTCCCACTTTATTTTTTGAGGTTTGTTTGTAAATCTGATCTTGATGTCGGCATCGTCATCGTTTTGACGCAAGCCGTATTCCTTGGGTTCAGCGATCGACTCTTCTGGTAATTTCAAACCGATCCAGTCATCTGCCTTGATGGGAAGGTTTTTTGCTTGCCAGTGGATGTGTGTAAATTGACTGTCCATGTTTCAAGTTGTTTTCAAGACGCGTCTCGTTGCAAAGTTGTTGTATAAGTTTTAAAAAGCAGAGTCAGTCCAGTAGATCCAATCAAATCGGCTGGTTTCACTTTCATTTATTGTTCATGCCAGCCGGCCTCCCTGGTGAAGCAGCATTTTTTTCAGCAGGGTCCAAGGGGGGGGGGAAAGGGGAGGAGGGAGGTTTAAAGGATTTTTTTTTTACATTGGGCAGTGGTAAAGTTGTAAGGACAAGTGGGACCTCTTCTTTTCTTTCTTTGCTCATCTGTCCTAGTAACTGTTTGTGCACGTACACGGAAATGTCATGCGCATGGACATGATCCATCAAACGACGCATACTATGTCTGAGACATCATTTCGCAGACTAAAAAAAGCGATCATGCACGCGCTTTGTGTCGCCCCAGGAGCTGGGCTTGGCCCTTTTGTACCAAGTAGCTTTCGTGCTGCTGTGATAATCCTGACGACGCAAGTGGTCCGCCGCTCCTGTCTGCAGATCACTCGGCAGTTCTTCCAAAGTCGACAAGGAAGCAAAGGGCTGAGAGATCAAAAAAAAAATGCTTAAAACGCAGAACAAAGAGTGTCACACCGGTGACCAGGAGCAGCAACAACCGTGTTCATAAAAGGAACCCAAGCTTGTATCGCCTAGAATTTACGAGTGTCAAGGCAGAGTGAATTGGATGCCCGCTTGTCTAGGATGATGTTGGGTTGAGCGTGCACTCACTCTTTGTGTGTTGGATGTGCTAGTTTGCTCACTCACTCACTCTCTCTCTCTCCTCTCTCTCTCTCTCTCTCTCACACTCACTTTTCGCCTTTCTTTTTTTCTTGGAACTTCATCTGGCTTGCCCCTGCCTTTTAACAGCTTTAGCCATTCCTTGATATCTTATTATCTAGCCTCAAAACAAACAATGAACGGCAGCCCAATTCCATCTGCTACGAGCGCATCGCCAAACCATAACGGTTCATCCTTGATGAACATTGACGGCAAAAGAATCTTGTGCACCGCCGATGTTCGAGGTAAATCTTTTGGCAAAGGAAAGAAAGCACTCTTTGTCAACAGATCCTTCTATTCTCTTTGACACACATTCAAAAAAAAGCATACCATGTACTCATGTCGGCTGCCGATATCTAGGCAATATCTCTCAACTAAACGTACTTGCGCGTGAAGCAAACGCGGACTACATTATCCACACTGGCGACTTTGGATTTTACGGTGAGAAGCGGGCAATCTGATTTGACGGGCGAAATAGACACGCGATATTATATTTTTCTTTTAATGACTTTCTCTGTTTTAACAGACCGATCCAGTCTCGACCGTATCAGTGACAGGTAAGAAAAAGTGGGGGCTTTCTGCTCCCCCCAGATGTGTATATATACGTTGGTTATCTGGCAAGGGATACACAGAAGAGCGTGACAACAGCTCTCTCTGTGTGTTCCTCTCTATTTCCATCTTTTCCAACCGCCAGATAGACTAAACCAAAATGATGAAATGTAGAACATTAAAGCATTTGGTGCAGTACAGCACATTGATTCCTCCAACCGTGCGCAAGCGACTGAATGGTTCGCCGATCGAACAGGTGCGGCCGACCATCGAACAATCGCCACAGCCCTTCTTGTCCGAGTTTCCCGAATTCTTGGGCGGCAAAAAGACATTGGAAGTGCCTGTTTATGCAGTATGGGGTGCTTGTGAAGACGTCGCTGTGCTAGAGCGTTTCCGATCAGGCGAATACAGGATTCCCAACCTTTATATCCTTGATGAAGCAACAACATACCTTTTGGAAGTGGGTGGCATCAGCTTGCGCTTGTTTGGTCTGGGAGGTGCTGTGGTGCAGCATAAACTTTTCGATAATGGCGAAGGTTAGATTGATTTTTTGTTGGCTTTCGAGCACACCCAGGAACCCGTTGGTAGGAGGAGCAGGAGTATCGTAGAAGAGGGGGTGTTGTTACTCATGAATCGGATGTTTGTTTTGCTTGTAAATAGGATCGGATACCATTGCTGGAGGATCCGGAACCATGTGGACAACAGCATTACAGATCGGTGAATTGGTGGAGACAGCAAATGAGGTACATATACATTGGACTTGTCTAGAAAAGAACAGCAACATGTACAAACAAACTGGATGCTCATGTGTGTGTGTGTGTGTGTGTGTATGAATGTGTGGTGTGCCTTAGGTGTATGATCAAACCGAGATCAGAGTATTAGTTACCCATGCCAGTCCGGGCCGCGAAGGATTACTGGCACAACTCGCGCTTGTTTTGCGGGTAAGCATACAATGCAACCTCGAGATACGCTTTGTGATACTCATCAAATGGGGTCCTGCTATGTAGGCCGATTTCACCATATCAGCCGGATTGCATTTTCGCTACGGCATTTCGTATAACGAGTTTGCGTGCCAACCGGATCAGGAACATTATCGCGAACGATTGTATCAGTCCCAGCAAGGCTTTATGCAGCTATGGGACGCTATCAAGGCACAAGTGGAAAACCATGTAGAGTATGTGTTGTACAGCTTTGTTGCGCTACTATCTGTGTGTGTGTGTGTTTTGGCGGGGTGGCACTTGAAACCGGAAGGAGGCATGAAACTGGGAAGCAGGGGATCCAATTTTTTTTTTAATTTTGACGCAAACGGCACTCTGTCTATATGCTAATCCACGAACACCACTGGAAAAACAACCCCTCCCAGTGTTCGTCAAGCTGCTCTTTTGAAGAACGCACTTACTGTTGTCAATCGTTTGCCACCATCGCGAAATGCAGGCCAACCGGATATGCCTGTATCATACACAGCATCATCGCTGGCGAACGACGAACAAGCGTTCAAAAACATGTGGAACTTTAATTTACCCGACGCAGCATTTGGCTGGCTTGTTCTGGATGTCAGCCAAGGCCGTGTCAGTGCGGAAACCCGATCCCAAGGGTTTAACTTTTCGTACAGAAAAGGCAACGCACAGCAAGTACAGGCTGGCCAGACATCGTCACCTGCCATGTCAACGACAGGTGTCGTGCCACCATCCGCTAACCCCATGACGTATACCGAAAAGCCTAATCAATATCGGCCCAATGATTGGCAACAACAGCAGCAGCAGCAGCAGCCGATGGACGCTAATACCAACAGTGATGGAGATTGGAAAGACAATGGAAGCTCAAAGGATGAAAAATTCAACAGCGGCAACAACAGTGTAAGAAACTCCAAACGAATGAGCATGGTTTGTATTCCCTTGGTTTTCTACTGTTTAATCATCCCAGAGTGTCGGTCTGTGGAGCTTTACTGACATCTCCTTGCTACCCTAGCAACGAAGCCCATACGCTATCTATGTGGGTGGCTTGACAAACAACAATGTAAACGAAGATGATATCAGGGAATTCTTTGGCGCTGACAAGGTAAACACAGACGGACCCCGAGAGTAACAGTCGTCAAATCAAAACAGACAAGGAGTCAAAGGAGGGAGATATTAAACTTGGAAAGTTACTAGATCACAGGCGTAAGGTTCCCGCTTGACCAGATGACACAACAGCCAAAATCACACTGCTATGTGGACTTGGTTGATCCCATAGCCTTAGAAGGGGCACTTCAGAAGAGCGGTGACATTCTTAAAGGCAACAAGCTTATCGTAAACAGACCCAATGCCCCGGACGGACGAAACCGCGGTGGGCGGAACGGAAGAGGCCGTAGCTACCGTGGCGGCCGAGGCAATCGAGACTCGATCCAACCTGGCGACATCTAGTCCTCAAACCAACAAGCTTTATCTTCTTCTTCTTCTTCCGTACTATCATCAACATCCTCTCATGTGTAAATGTCTTTTCCTCACCGATATTCTACTTGTGCTGTGTGCCGTCTTCTTCACCCAGCTGTCTCTTTTATTCCACGCACCCCCTCTTTTCCCTCTTACTCCCCGCAAAAACAAAGTTGATAACCCAAAAAAAAAAAAGAGAGAATCCCAAGGCTTTAACTATTTAAGGGACCTGAAACAAATGCTGTTAATTTGTTTTTTTTTTGCCTCCTTCCTCAAATGTGTGTATGCTGTGTGGACAACGATAGTCAGCGATACGATGCGTCGTCTAATGTAATGTAAGGTGCAGGTGACCCCAAATCAACAGGTGTCGAATATGTTTCATACACAAAAGCTTTTATAGTCTTCCACTTTCATTTCCATTCTTTTCTTTCTCTCTTTTTTCTTTTCATTTGATAACTAACATAACCACTAGAAAACAACAATGAGATTGCTAGCGCTGTCAGCGATTGTTCTTGCCAGTCTGAACGCACTGTGCACAGATGCGGCTGTTGCTAGGTAATTATGGCATATTCCAGACACCCGTTGTCCCGTTTGAAATGCAATAAACAGAGTAATGACACCGATAAACGTATTACCAAAAAAAAAAAAAAAAAAAAAAGAGTGCCGATTAAAAAGATACAGGAGACGTCGGCAGAGCGAATTCACCGGTTTGCGCATACAGGCGACTATCTCAAACAGAAATACATGGGCAACCACCATGACCACACGATGGAGAGTACGTTTCAAGTTGGCCCCGACGGCCGCGTGGAGCATGGCGTGCCGCTGTCCAACTACATGAATGCGCAATACTATGGCGAAATTGAAATCGGCACACCGCCGCAGCCCTTCACTGTTGTGTTTGACACGGGCTCATCCAACCTGTGGGTCCCCTCGACCCACTGTAACTCGATTGCTTGCTTCTTGCATCGTCGCTATAGCTCTGACCAGTCCGAATCGTTTCAAGAGAACGGCACCGAATTTGCTATCCGATACGGCACGGGATCGTTGGAAGGTTTCATCAGTGAGGTACCCTATTAAGGGGAGGATGTCTATGAACAAACGAGTGATCATAGCAAAAAAAAAAAAAAAAAAAAAAAAAGACACACATTGATTTCTTTCTTGCACTCTTTTGAATCAAAGGACATCTTGACGATGGGCGGTGTCACAGTAACAAGTCAAGGTTTTGCCGAATCTGTCAAAGAGCCCGGCTTTACATTTGCACTTGCCCGCTTTGACGGTATCTTGGGCTTGGGCTTCCACACAATTGCTGTACAAGGTGTCATTCCACCCTTCTACCATATGGTCGAGCGCGACCTGATCGACGAGCCCGTCTTTTCTTTTTACCTCGGCAAAGATCCAGAAAACGGCCAAGAAGAAGAAGAAGAAGGACAGGGCGGCGAACTTGTCCTCGGCGGTGTTGACCCCACCCATCTTGTGGGCGACATCCACTGGTCACCTGTACGTCGTCAAGGCTACTGGGAAATCGATCTCGAGGATATCAAGTTCAATGGCGAGTATGCTGAGCTCGGCTCGGTGGGTGCTGCCATCGACACCGGATCGTCACTGATTGTCACGCCCACAACCGTGGCTGAGCTGATCAATCGAGACTTGGGCGCTGAAAAGAACTGGGCTGGCCAGTATGTGCTTGATTGCAATGCCGTCCCTGATTTGCCAGAGTTTTGTCTCGTCTTTGCTGGAAAGGAGTTTTGTCTCCAACCAGAGGATTATGTCCTCCAAGTCCAAGGACAGTGCATGTCCGGTTTCATGGGAATGGACATTCCCGAACCTATGGGACCTCTTTGGATCAGTAAGTTGCCATTCGATATACCCTTTTGCACTGAATTGTTTTCCTTTGCCACATTATCTAACTCGCTCTTTCTTTCTCTCTCTCTCTCGCGCCTGTTTTTTTTTTTTTCAGTCGGTGATGTTTTCCTTCGCAAATATGTATCGGTCTATGACCTTGCCAACAGCAGAGTTGGACTAGCTTTAGCAGCGTAGTAAGATGGTGTTGAGTGACATGAACAAATAAATGAACAACATGAAATTGATGGTGATTTTATGGTATATCAAACGTTACATCTTTTCAAAAGCAAATGCCAAGTACACCCCTACGTCATTTAACAGGCTCTAGCGTTAGATATAATTTTCCCACTTTCTGTAGTGTTGATATGTAAAAATAAACTTACGTGCTGCTTCCCACTCTTCCTCACTCATTTCGGATTGACTGCCACCCACAACACCAATCTTCTGAAGTAACCATCCAAATTCCTTATCTCGTGCTGCATCCCTGTACAGTTCATGAAAGTTTTGCTTGAATGTCAACTTGAGTCCATATGACTTGGCCAATCTGAACAACAAAAAAGTTCTCCGTTTAGACCCGAAAATTTCATCCATCTCTCTTTCTCTAAATGTGTAATATATATATATGTATGTATGTTTACCGTTCAAATGTGGGCCAATGGACAAGATACTCGGGACAATCCACCGCATCCTCTAGATGAAACATATACTTGCACCCAAACTTGCTGAAGCCCGTTTCCTTGTTTTCGTCTTGGATCGTGTCCTCAAAATCAATATGATAGATGGAGTTGCCAAACTTGTTCACTCCCTTGGGTTGCTCTCGTACGCGTTTGACGATCCAATTGGCATCAGGCATAGTGCCTATGAAGCGTCCGCCGGAACGTAAACGAGTAGACACGTTCTCGAGCATGGTTCGTGCTTTTTCTTCGGTTTCAAATGCATAGTGAAGACAGAATTGCATAGATACGGCATCAAACCCAATGCTTCGGTGTAGTTTAGGCGCAATCAATTCCTATAGAAATATCAATGTCAGTGCCTGTTTGTTGTTATATGCCTTCTTTCTTCAAGCTATACCTTGTAGCAATCCATAGCATAGAATTCAGCAGTGAAGCTCTTGGTCCTTAACGTACGATACCGTTTCTGCATTTGCTCGAGTGAAACGTGTGCCACGTCTAACATATACACCATATTAGTCTCCTGTAACTCCAAAACCAAACCTTGGCGTGCACTGCAACGAGTGTACAAAGACGAAGAAAAAAAAATGCAATAACCTGCAGCAACAAGGTGATGAATGCGTGCCTTGGCAAATTTGTTCAGATCACCTCCTTTGCCGCATCCCATGTCAAACACGGTATCTCGTTGGCGCACATGACGTTGGATGAGAACGCTCTTGATCCAGTTGTTGAAACTGCGTAGCCGGATAATTTTGGATTCTTTACGCTTTTCCACGCCGACGTCAGGTCGATCATTGTAGTGCTTAGCCACGAGATGGGCACTTTTTGCGGCATCGGTGCGGGTGTGTGTTCGGCTGACCTTGTTTGAATCGCGATCTTCATGAAAAGATCGTTTTTTATTGTTGTAACTGTTGTTGTAATTGTTTGGTACTTGATGACTATTGTCGTCATCCTCATAAGGACGTTTTCGTTCCATTATTATTATTTATGTTTTAACGTTTAATATAAAAAAAAAAAGAAAAGAATGATTTATAGGAGACGCTCGGAGGGTTTAAAGAGAAAGGAGTGAAGGAGTCGGTCACACACGGAAGGGAAAAAAAAAAGAGAGCTCAATGCGCTCCCCACTTCTTATTTTTGTGCTACATGCTGTTTACTTTTGGCAAATTACGACCGCTTTGACCAAGTGGTTTACCATGTACTTTAAGCTTTAGTTATTAAATAGGGCACGACAAGATCATAGAGAGAAAAAGGGAGAATGTAATGGTAGTGTGTAAGTATATGTATAGGATGTAATGGTACAGAAAAGTCTGAGAAGAGAACTAAAGTATAGTATAGCATAGAATAACGAGCTTGTTTCTTATTGTTTAGCACAATGCATCCAAGGTACAGCAGAGACAGCATGCGGCCAAACTACAAGGTAATAATTTCCGTCGTCAATGTAAGAGTGAGTACGGCTGTGACTTGTTGATTGCAAAGAAGTATAAAGTGCTCTCGCTCTCTCTCTTTCTTTATCTGCTTACCAGCCCATACACAATCCATCAGCACCACCACGATCCTGTTGTGGTTGTTGAACATAGACCTGTTGGGGAGGTGGCTGTGGTTGGTAGTACTGTTGCTGCTGTTGTGGGTAATAGCTCTGGTTCTGTGGAGGAGGATAGTAGCTTGGGTTTGGTGGAGGTGGGTATTGGTACTGCTGCTGGCCCTTATCCATTGTTCAAGGTTGTGTTTTTTTTGTGGATCGGACAAAGAACTTTTGGAAAAAGAAAAAGGAGAAAAGAGGGGAGAACTTGGAACCTGCAAAGTGCTATTTATACAGCAAAGGAGCGTCACGTGAACCACACGCCATTCGTCGTCGTTTTGTCGCTGAACAATTCTAGAAAAAGCCAAGATGTGTTGCTTAGAAGCCTTCTCTCTTTTTCCACTCAATTTCTTGGCACTGACATCTGAGACATTTAACAAGCCTTTATGATATTGAGCGGATCTTTATATTCTTTGATGGACACATCAACTCATTAGGTAAAATGCACTGTTTCTCTCTCTGAGATAAAGTAATACGGAAGATATATAACCTTCTTATAGCACCGTACGACCTTATGATCGAACCCTCTTTGGTCGTTTCTTTGATTTCTGATCGTTTTGTTTTTTTTCGCCGTTTTGTTCGCCCACGAACTCGTGAGCGAGTGAAGCTCCAACGAGAACACTTCCATGACGATGTGCGCTGAGTACTATGATATCCATCATGGATACCTCCATCGCCAAATACTATAGTGTAATGATGTGTGTTTCCAGGATATGAAATATCATCAATCTGTTGCCACTGGTCGCGGTACGGTACTATCATACACTAATATGGACATATGATAATAGGTATGATATGAGAGTACAAAAAGAAGTTGCTCAGCGCTTCCCTGATATTTGAGGCTGTAGACAAAGAAGCACATTGCGCGTTTACATGTTCGTTGATTGAAGCCACAATGGACGCTCTGGAGCAGCGACAGGATCATACATGTGTAGTGTATTAGAAAATGACAGATATTTAAGAGCCTTCTTTTTTTTGTTGTTGTTGTTGTTGTTGTTTTCGAGCTTATCATTGATAAGCATTCTGACCACATTAATGCTATGTAGCAAAGAATGCTAGCAAAAAGTTAATAGCACCTATCGGTAATCTCACTCTGATCTTTGTGGTTTTACTCCACAAACGAGGAAAATCAAATTGATTTGTTCGGTAAAACTTATGCCGTTCCCTCCCAAATCTGCCTCTCTGATTGGGCAACGTGGCGCCTGAAACCAGTAATGATAGATTCCCCAACCTGCGAGCAACACTTCTCTTCTTTTCTTTTCCTTTTAAACAGAATAAAAAAAGTAATAATGGATGGTTCATTAACAATACAAGTTCGCTCACCATCCATGAGCGAGACATTGACGCTAACTACAGAACGAAATGCGTCGGTGCGCTCGCTTAAACGACTCATTCATACGGTTCATCCAAAGAAGCCTAGCATAAACGATCAACGTATAATTTTTGGAGGCAAGCTCTTGAACGATGCAGATACTTTGAGTCGAATACTTGAAAAGGTACATCTTTCGACGTGAACATCCAAGGGAACTAGGGAAGCAAGAGACCATTTATGAACATGTTGTTACTTTTTAGACCAATGTCGATTCCATTCCAACTTTTCACTTGGTTGTTAAACCGACGCCCGTTGCTGCTACTACTGACACCACCACTACCACGAATCCTTTGCCCTCATCGTCATTGAACCATCGTAACATTTATAACAGTAATTATAACACCATTAATACGCAGGCTGTGCCTCTACGACCATCTACTACTTCTGCTCCTCCACAACCAACGGCAGACGAACAACCAATACAGCGAGCTACAGCGACGTCTTCTTACTCACAGCCACTACCACAGCAACAGCAACAACAGCAACAAGCCATGGCTGGCTATCCGCCCGTCTTGCCCGGAGGCTATCAAGTTATTGCGCTAAAGTAAGGGCTTGTTTTTTCTTCCATTATTCTTGGGACACTATATCGATTGAGCATAATTTCCTTATAACTCCTCTTTCTCTGTTTCTCACCACAGCGGCCAGTATTACCTTGCACCTGTGCTTGTACCCGCTTTTGCACCACAACAACCATCATTATCTCCCGCATCACAACAAGCGTCCCAATCATATACGTCCACACCATTATTCAACCAGCATCAGCAACAACAGTTCCAATACCCCCGAGCACCAGCAGCAGCACAACCTGTGCCACAACCACAACAACAGCAACAACAACAACAACAAGCGGGCGATCGTCCTCCTGTATTCGTTCATGCTCAGAACCAAGTACAACGCGCAACATCCGTGTGGCTGGCATTAAAGCTTATTTTTATCCTGTTTATTCTTTGTCAAGATGCAAGTTTGGAACGAATTTTGTTTTTCCATGTCGTGGCGTTCATTTTCTTCCTTTATCAAACTGGACGGTTGCGCTTTGTTATCCAACGAGTGCGTGCTGAAGATTTGAATCGACCGCAACAGCAGCAGCAACAACAGCAACAACAACAACAACCTCAGCCTGTTCCTGCTGCTGCTGCTGCTGCTCCTCATCAACATCATCACCACAACCCTCCTCCTCCAGCACGTCCGTCCGCCGAAAGCGCACCTTCTACACCTCAACCTGGCACTGAACAACGACAGCCACAGCCACAGCATCAACAGGGACAAGGCGCTTCGGCTTCGTCGGGATCATCCAATGCAGCTACTCGAGATCAACAACAACAACAACAACAACCGGCAACGTTACTTGCGACTTTAAAGCGTGGCGCATATACCTTTGTTGCATCGTTGTGGCCGAATTATGGACATGATGCGCGTCTTGCTCAAGCGTTGGATAATGGTCAAAATGATGCGGTAAGTTTTTGTTTCAACCAAGGAGGAAGGCGCTTCTCTCTCTCTCTCCAAATGTTTTACTAATCGTTTACTTTATTCTACGTTAGTGGGAAGGATTCTAAGGCTATTGCATAAAGTTCACAGATGCAAATTTTGTCGTCTTTCTTTCTTGTACTATTCCCGCCCTTCACTCCCTTTGCTACTCATCCCTTAACCATAAAGTAATTAGAAAAAAAGAAAAGAGTGTGTATATGTATATACATGATCTGATCGGTTTCTCTTTTGTCTTTTTTGTTTGCTTAGTACATCTATGTCGGGCGAGTGCGTGGGTAATGCGAAATAGAGTTTTTGAGAGAGGGTGGATGGATAATATGCTTTATGGAACGTCGTAATAATAAGTATAATTGAATGCTTTGCGTGATATGAGTAGGTGTAGTGTAATATGTGTGGAAAAAGGTTCATGTCGTTGTGCCGAAAAGGAAGGTGAATGGGAGGATGGAATGAAGGAGCGAGTGGTGCTTTGTGGTGTTAGTCAGTTGTTACTGGTCGTCGTAGCCCTCGAACAAGAGTGACGATACATGTAATATCATCGATCTTTCCCCCTCGGTAATTGCTTCCGTGCGCTCGTGCATCGCGTGCCCATGGACTTAACCGCTTTGGATCCAAGCTGTACCGCCGAGCTGCATCGGTTAAACTCTTTGCCAGCCCACGCACAGCCGCTGCCACCTCCTCATCAGGAATTGACGTTGCTGCTGCTGCTGCTGCTGCTGCCTTCGACGACGGATTGAAGATGGTTTTCATGCTTGCATTGACAAGTGACAGAGTTTCTTGTGGATACACGTTGTCAAAGTAGCCATCGGTAGCGAGTAAGATGATGTCATTGTCCTTGAGAAAAAATGTCTTTTGGTCTGCGTCCTTTGGCATGTCTGTCACAAAGTTGTCCCTATCAGGATAGGTGTCCGGCACCACGGTCAGCTGATACCTAGAACACACACGAGAATATGATTATCATCAGCACAAATTTTTTTTTGTTCTCTCGGCTTCTCTCCCTCCGCTGGACAAGAGAGGGACTTACGGGCAATTAAAGTAGTGTTGTTGGCTTGGACTTTCATAGACGATCTTTTCATCACGAATCAGAACAAAGGCACTGTCGCCCAGGTTGACGCTGGTCATCTCACCGGTTGTCTTGCACAGGTTGAGGATACATGCCGTGCTGCTGCCTGCGGCGACTTTGCCTCCACGCCGCAGCTGATGAAACGCAGTGTCGAGGATCTGTAATGCATGAATTGGAGGGCTCTGCTCGGCCTTCTTTGCGACGCCTGCAGCATTATTCATCAAAGTCCATGAAAAGATGGCTGGTTGTTGTTGTTGTTACATGATGAAACAAATCGTTTTAGTAAACAGCTCCAGACTCGTACCATCACCACCGAATTAATTTATCCGAATTATTTATGGTTACTATTATTACCTGGATCGACACCGGCTTCCGCCCAACCGCCCACACCATCAGCGACACCAAGTGCCATGCCATATGGGGTGCATGTGTGGAAAAAGGCATCTTCACCTGCATCCACGTTGCCTACTTTAGACCGCTTCCAGTACGGAAGTTTGTCTTCGTTCTGGCGTTGCTTTGCATTGCGGTTCTTTGGATGCCATGCTGCGTGTGCTACGAACTGGAAACAATCTGTAGGCGCTTCATCGGCTTGCTTGTCATCCAGCGCGCCTCCGCTGCTGCTGTTGCTGTTGGCGTTGTTATTTTCTGTAACACTGGAGCTCGGAGGGGTTTGCTTGAAATGCACATCATTGAAAAACCGATCAAAGGTTGGTGAGGTTGATGGTGTGCCAGTCGCAGATGCGCTGTCAAACATGGTGCCCGTTTGAATAGATTGAGCATGTGGAGGTTGCTGCTGTTGCTGTTGCTGTTGTTGTTGCTGTTGCTGTTGTGATTGAGCGCTAAAAGTAAGCAATCGCTGTGCATTCACGGTGGGTCGCAAATAGGCCAGTGACGGGGTCAACAAGGGCTTTGCTGCAGACCATTGCGACAGCTGCGAAAGCGACGTTAAGCGCTGGACATATTGGCGTGCCATGCTCGCTGGTTATATTCCAATGTAGGGTATTAGCAAAGTCCGTTAATAAAAGGAAGGTTCAAGGGATGGCGGTATGTAGGAAGAAAAAGCGATTGCACTGGGTAAGCAAAAACACAGCTTTTTTCTTCTTTTTGAAAAAATTGTCCGCTTTTCGGTCGAGCTGCTGCCCTCTCAACTATTTTTTTTTTGAGTCACACCTGTCGACATGTTCTCACACAGAAAAGGGAACGTGCGCTTCTTATCCACCAAGTACCTTGACGCTGCTTTATAAGAGACGAGTACATTCTTGTTTCCTGTTAGCTAAGAGTAAAAGATATCGTATGTAGAAGAGGAACACAAGAGCCGTCCGGCGCGTTTATCTTTTCGTCGCATATATTTATAGATGAATTTTTATCACTCCATGTTCTTGAGAAGAAGCTATTGTTCGCTTCTCCACATTTTTCATCTGCGGTTCCGAAATGTGCCGATACATATTGTCGCATGACCCGATTGATGCGTTGCACGTTTTTTCTTTTCCAGCCTTCAGGCAAAACTACCTCTTTTGTTAGTAGCAGTAACCATCATGAACAGCACTGCTGTTACTCATCCCTGAAATTCATACAAGTTGATTGCTCGTTCTTCGAAAGTAACGAATCCTCTTGTCTGTCACCTTAGAACACGGTAAAGCCTATCTTAGGAGAGCTGGTGTGTAGTCACATGAAGCGACGCAAAGCCAGCTGGAAAGCGTTTAAATCATGGCATTGCATCCAACAATTCAGATAACCGTCTGGGCCTTGCAGAGCGTTGAAAATATCGAGGTCTGACTGGATCAAAGCATACCAAATTCGAATGCACAAAGAAGGTAAAAGATAAGGCTGGCATAATCTTTTGGTTATCGCAGCATATGATACTGCTTATCCAGAAACTGCGTTCTTCCAGGTCAAGACGTTTTGCACAAAAGCCAACGCAACAATGATCGTATCAAAAGCGATAACTGTGACTAGGATGTCGCTGGAATCAAATCTGGTAAATATATAGAAATGCTAGTCAAAGTATAGGGCCTTCGGGCTACCTAGTATTCACTTTTTACGTGATACCTTTCTAGTGATTACCTCCTTGCTGATCGTTGGCAGCCACACCAAAGAAATTGTGCACCACATGCAATCCGTCATAAAACGCCCTGGTTCCCGTTATACTAAAAGTGCCGAACCAAATCAGTCAAGCAACGACTTGAAAGCACTGTGGGTCAAAGGTATCAAAAACTCAGCGGTTAAGGCGAATATGATAGTAAGAATGCTATCAGCGTAAAAAAAAGAAGAGAGAGTGGTTGAAAGAAAGATCCGGATAGCGACTGCCATTTCTCCTTCTTCTCGACCATCATCCTTCAAGAGTAAAAGCATTCTTGTAGTTTCGCAGCTCCATGAATCTATGCAGTCTATTCACAAGAGTGCTATCGTATCTGGAAGAACCATATACCTTTGTTTTACGCCGCCATTTCTGCGGTTGCTTACAAATGACAATACAGTCGTGCGCGGAGGAGATGAGATGGCTCGGTTGTTGCGCGCTTAATACAATTTACTGACGAAGAATCATATATTCGTAAGTAAAATAAAGTATATGTACATGACGCAATATAAAAGTCATTGCCCATTGATCACGCGTAATAATAATATTATTATTGCACCGTTTAATCATACATTCTTTAATACCTCGTGCCACGCCAACTCTTACCAACAAAAACAAGCTGACTGATGCAATTGGCAATCTGCATTGTATATGTGTATAGCACGATGTGCCACATAAATTATTCATGCAGGTTACGCGACAGAGATAATGCGAGGATGATAACTAAAATGATAAAAGGGTCATTCTTCGCCTGTAAGCGCGAGGGAGAAGTAACGCAAGCTCAAACGCCATTGACAAGGTGGAATCCGTTTACGAAAGACGAATGGTCAAGAGAAAAGTGGTACTTTTTGAAACCGGAGAATAGCGGGAAAAAAGGCATCCTACTTGCGTTATAAAATATCGTATAAGCCCTTTTTAAACCAAGCTTTGACAATGCGAATCCGCAGCAGTCAGTCAAGCTTGAAGTCAAGCGTGTTTCAATTGCTGCCGTTGGTGGTCATTTGTTTCAAACGGATCTTGCATCACAGAAAAGAAAAACACGGACGCAACCTCGTTTTTTTACTTTTAAGAACATTAGCAGGGTCCGTGCGTAGAGAGCACGGTGTCAAAGAGTTGCTACCGCTTTATATGCATTTGAAAGAGATCCTTAATCTCAAACAGTACATTCACAAGGTCGATCAGTACGCGAGAGATCTTTCTTTGTGATTTGGGATGTCATTACCCAACGAAAGATTAACTTTCTGTTATAATAATCAAACATAGAAAGCTTCTCTTGTTGATTAATATCTTTTTGTCATTTTCTTATTGTATTTTAAAGAGAAACTCTCTTTTCTAGAAAGTTCCAATAGAAAAAGAGGGGAAAAACTCCTGCTGTCTCTTTTTTCCAGGAAGACAACAAACCTGATCGAAGACGCAGGTAGTGAATGGTCGCTACGCAATGAGAGACCTTCGCCATTCACTAGTGGCGCCCGTGCCGTGTGTGCCCACAACGTCAACTAAGCACAAAGATGCCTCAAGGTTGTTGTATTACGTTGATGCAGCCCTAGGGCATGCTTCCAACAACCTTGCTACCGTTGAAGCATCTTTCGGGTGAAAATATCCACCTCAACTCGGCGGATAGCTTTCCAAGTCAAGGATTCACACAACACTTTGCGCATCATAAAGTTTGTGTAAATGGAACTGCAGAAGAAAAAAAAATGGGAGGGGTGGGGGTTTTTGGTATTCTTATTCAGAAAATTTTTTTTTGCCGTCACGCTCGGGTCTTCAATGGAAATCCATCATTTTGATTGGCTCTCATTTGTAAGGCTCTGGTTGGCTCCTTTTATGGACCGCTTATATCATATGACGCAACTTGGCCCAAAAGCAAAGGGAAGGGGAAGGAGATGTGTAAGCGATAGTCGTCGTGAAGAAGTCAAACACGCTACAGTAGCAGTGATCGACATGCTATGTATGTTTCACCATGCCGATGTATCCTCCGATACTGTCGCCGCTTGTTTTGGAAAGAAGTGTCAGTGCACGCACCCGGCCTCCGCGTCAAATACAGGTACGTTTCGAATGCCAACTTGTTCAATGAGTACGCAAGAAAAAAAAAAGATGCGACTGAACAACTCAATTAGAAATGACAAGGAAGAAAGACAGAATGCCAACGATGATCAAGAACGACGGATGAGTGCTCGTGTGCGATCTGGGAAGCAGTAACTGCTAAATTGCCAAGGACTCGCATCATTTGCCCTGGCGGACCAGAGATCTACAAGTGATAATGTGGATTCTGTTCGACCCATGGAGTATTCTGTTGGAAGTTCGCTCGACTCACGTTTTTATAGGTTGCTGATTTGTTATGTATACGGTGGCGAAGGTGTGGCAAGCTCCTTTTGCGGAGACATGCGCAGCTAGCAAATCGGACGGACACTTTGTTATTTCGATTGGGTAATAGCGCTGTCAAACTAGATGCGAGGACTGGTAATGTGTCATTCTATTAGGACCTTTCAATTCTACGATGTTTGGTTCTATTGTCAGACTTTGCACTGCATTCTCACTTAAAACCGCCTCCTTTTTACATTTTTTGGGGCTTGGATGAATAAAATTTTTAAAAGTTAAAACAGTGCAAACTCCTCGTTGTTGATAATCCTGCAGTTACTGGAAGTATTGCAATTAGACAATTGTCAAGAGCTCTATATATAAAATATACTACCAAACGTGTTGACTAAACTCTTCTTTATCCACATACACAAAGCTGTCTGCTCTCTCAAATTGTAAAACACAACTAATTGCTCAATAAAAGGCAGCAACCGATGGTCGCGACTGTATTTCTGCTCACTGATTATTCCCTAGATTGCGATCGCCTAATATGGTGCTCCCGGCGTTCAAGCTATACAACTTTTGGGGTACTCTCGTGTAAAAGGAAGAGGCATTCTCACTTCTTTTACAGACTTTCAATCAAGGTCTTTCTTCAAATTATCCACGATGCAAAACATACAGTTGATTAGGTTCATCGACTGCAAGTAGTACAATTAACAAGCGGTCAAAGTGTGGAGTATCAGCAAATATATTACCAGTCTTTTTTGCTTTACGCCATTGCAAAAAGTAGTTTCTGACCATTCGCGCCGAAGCTTAAAAACAGTATGGTAAACTCGACGGAGCCCTGAACAGCGCTAGTCGCCTATTGTGACGCTAGTGTTTTCTTCAAAAGAAACAACCTGAGCGAAGCGGTCGAAACATTTGATGATTTGTTAATCAATGTCATTATTATCCTCTTGGGGAGGTTGGAAATTTTCAAGCAGGCAATACGTGCTCCCAATATTTAAAGGTGTTTGAGCGCTCTAACATACTTTTACATGTCTTTAAATAACTGTAAATGCTGTTTAGGAAGCATTAAGGTATTGCAAACGCATGAAGGCGTCCAATTTATATTACATATATGCTCTTCAAGCCCATTATCCAGTTCAAAAAAGTTGGTGTTTATGATTGGCAGAAAAGCCATGTCGTTGTTTGAGGGTCCGTTCATTGGTAGCTGGTGTTCCTTTTATTATAGTATAATATCAGTCTCAAAATAAAGATGTGCTCTCTCCTTTTGTTCGTGGGATGATGTTGGGAAAGAATTATCTGAAAGCAGCAATCATACATAACCTATTAAGTCCATGCGACTCATATATACATACTCCAAACGCAGGAACGCGACACTAAAATACATGCTTAGCCCACTTAAAAACAAACGTATATAGTGCACCTATATCATCATGGATAATCAATTACTTGCTTGCTTATAAGCATAAGTATGTATAATAGTCGGTATTAGAAGAGAAGCCACCCTAATGGTCTTTTTGGCGATAATTTAATCTCGCATAGTACTGGTTGTTTCCCTCTATATCTTTACTTGTATCAGCCGTTTTACGTAGCAGATCGATGGTTTCATGGCAGCAAAGATGCGACTGCACCTCACGCAATAACAAGAGAGATATGTATTGATATTACCGATGTCAACGTTACACTTTGCGATAATATGTAGCTGCAGATGTATGAACCAAGAAAGGGATATGGCGCGATAATTCTGGTAGCAACAGAAGCTATTGTGGGAACAACAATTTATAATTGTGGAAACGACAACGGACAAGTAAGATAAAAGTAATTTAGAAAATAGAACTATAAAAGCTATATATCTATGAGCATGGTACGGTTACCGTAATGAGAAATCACAGAAGCAACTTAAAGAAGTCATCATAATTACTTCGTTTAATTTACCAATTTTGGTTCTCTGAAAATTAATGATAAAATATTTGTAATCGAGATCTGCTTTAATCGTTGTAACGCTAGCGTGTGATACGATGCAAAAAAAAGAGTCAGTCCAACCGATGCGCTAATGTGTCACGTACAATGACGTTGTATATTTTAAAAACAAAGAATATGGATCTTTTCTCTTGTGATGAGAGCGGTAGCAGTGGTCGGGTGTCGTTGTCAATACACCAATGTATTATAGTATGTGCATGAGTTGGAGATCAAACAATCGTTTTTCTTCAAATGACGCTGATCAATAATAGATTCTTATCTTGTATGACCTAGAAATAACAAATGCAGGGATGTTGAGTGCGTTTGGTAAAAAGAAGCATTGTACAGGCCTTAGTAATGATAATAAAAAAATGCGTTTCATCCATCTCTTTTTTGATTGCTACAACGTTTATAGTAAGTGATTGTCCCCGGTGAAGTACTTATCACTGACTTTGTTAGATTGCATATTTAAGCTACAGAACAGTATGTGGTGAGGCTTGTGATATAGCCTTAATTGATGTTTATAGATTGACCAGCAATTACCGCAACGGCAACTATATACACTGCAAGAGAGCAATCAACAGGCTAACTTTTGAAGCGGAAGAGAGTTGTAGCTATTGCTCGTGTCCTCAGTGTGTAACGATGAAATTTTCATCTAACGCACCGCTGTTAGATGATGAAGCAACCTAGAGGAATAGATGCACAGTTAATTATCATCGTCTGTTTCACCAAGTGCTTCATTTTCGTGCTACTGAGAAAAAGGTTAGTCCTTCAATGTTTATTGTCCGCTGCTTACTGCAACTATGTATTTACCGCACACCTGCATATGAAGTAACCGACGTATAATAGCATACAGCAGGTATCAAGTGTAAGAGTAAGGGCGCTACATATGTTTACCATGTCATGATAGCATATGACTAAGCAGTGTAAACATTGTAAAGTGGCAAAGTATAATCACTTAATTCTGCTTAGTACAGCGCCATGCGCCTTCACACGAGGAAGGAGAGAAAAAGTACGGGAGGGTAGGGACGAATGTGGGGTCAAGCCTGATCGTGGGATCTTCCGGTGTCGGTAGCACACACACGTAACAGTACACAGACAAAGCCTTGAAAAATATTTCGGAGCGATGACGACGATCTCATTCCCGAGCCTCTTTTTCTTGTTTTCTCTGCTACTTTGTATTCTTGTTCCCCATCTCCTTTTAAATAATATAATGTATACCCCACCACCATACTGGTCGCTTAGCTATGGCTCGGTAGCAGGCGTTGATGATACGTTGATAATTAAACATTCGGCGTCTTCTCGTGCGCGCAGTACCGGCCGTTTCAACAGCGCATCGAGTAGCAACAGCAACAGCAATAGCGACAACAGTGCCAATACGCCATCTACCGTCAACTTTGCCGAGTCCTATCGTTCGTCCGTGGATGAAGATGGAGGTGGAAGCACCAGCTCATTATGCCAGCACCTTTCTGAGGAGCAATTCGACATTATCGATGAACTGGACTACGAAGACGTAGACGACATGGGGCTGATCGGTAGGAAAAAGAGAAAGAAATAAATTTTTCCATTTATAGAACCAACTTTTTCTTTGCCCTCCCTCCTTTCTCATCTGCCATTCCTATTACTGCTCTTTTTAAGACCGCGAGCTCTCGCATCGGAATCGTGAAGCACTTGTTCAACAACTGTACAACTTTGAGCAGGACTATCTCGAATCCTTGGATCAACTCGTATCGTTGTTCATGCAGCCCCTACGCAAATATGCGCAGCAACCATCGTCAAACTTTATTGGCATGAAAAAAATAATTTGTACCGAGCATGAGATCCAACGGCTCTTTGGCAACGTTGAAAACATACTTGAGACACAACGAGAAATCCTCTCGACCCTTGATCTACGGTAATCGTCGCAGTAGTAGTGACTCGCCTTTCCCACACACACACAGAAGGTGAAAGAAAAAGATATACTTACTATATGTATCCATAATGATATCAATATGATCTGTGCCTTTACGGCCGGTTATGTTTTCGCATTGTTTCCTTTTACAGGCTACGCATGTGGGGCCCTACTCAGATCATCTCTGATGTACTTCAAGGATGGGTAATGCTCCGCGAGTCATACCAAGGAGAAAAGCGTCGTGCTATTCTTCTAATTCTCCTTATTCGCGCTACATATCTCCATTTGGTGAACTGACCGTTCAATATTCCTCGATTGTACTAGTTTATAAAACTGCAAGAAGTATATTCACCGTACCTTGACAACTACGATAACGCAGTTACGACATATGAAAGGTTAAGAGGTTACCAGCCGTTTCGGAAATTCACAGAAGTACGTAATAAGACAAAAACACCCTAAAAGAATAAGAAGGCTTTGTTTTCCTATTATTACCATATATGAGATGTACTGACGTAAAAAACTCGTCGCAGATACTTTATAAAGAACCATCACTCAAAGACGGCATGACGTTACTCTCACTGTTACAGCTCCCTGTACGGGCAATCAATCGACATGCACAACGTATTAGTGAGCTTGCAGACGCCACACCACCATTACACCCGGACTACGTTGGACTTCGAATGTGTAGACGCCGTGTGCTCCGTCTCGTAGAAGAATTTCAAACAAAGTACTTACGTTTCTTAGCACGGTGACATCACATGCGCTTCTCCTTACTCAGCACTAACATACACCGACACCATCTTTTTGTTTTACAACTGTAGAGTAGATGATGCAGAAAACGTTGACCGAGTGCTTGCAATTCACAGATCATTGTCTGGTGCTCCATTCACAATCAGAAAAGGTAGACGATTAGTGCTACAAGCCGAATTATCACGGACACACGCGCATTCTCGGGTCATAGGCGCGAAGCGAGTCTATATCTTATTCTCGGATTTTCTTGCCTTTGCTCGACCGCGACAGCATAACGGCACTCTGCAGTACAAGGGACACTTGAATTTAGAAAGGGCTCTTGTGAAACTCATGGCGCGTGAAGAAGCTAGTGGGCGCCAGTATTGTATAGGGATCACGCCATTGTATCAAGGCGTTGATATAGTAGATACTACCCTTATGCAATACCCGGCAATTCATGTTATACAACTGAATAACGAGCAAGAACAACATGAATGGTTAGAGAAGCTAACCATGGTAATAAATAAGTTGAATAGTCGAGCAGACAGAAAGCAAAGCGCCAGCAGCAGCAACAGTAGCAGTAGCAGTAGGTGTGATTTATAGATTGTTGTGTATACTTGATATAAGCTTTTGCAAGCATATCGGATCTAATGTTGGCTGTATGTACGCTTATGATATCTTAGGAGGAGGCAACAAGCCACTGATGTTCAATGGGCAGTATTTCCTAATGCCTATTGATCGATGACGACAACTTAAAATAAACCACACACCCCATACCACGACTTGTATACTTGAATATTATTTCTCTCATTAATGCACATAACAATTGTAATATCATCTTTCATGCTCCCACATATACCAAAAAAATATATACATCAATGAAGCATATACACTGCGACAGAAAAAACAAGACCAAAAGTCTAGAGCGATAAAGCAACAGAGGGTAATTTCAATAACATATTTGTGGAAGTAGTAGTAGGTTGTCATGTTGTTATTGTAGCGTGTGAACGTGAGCGTGTATGAATGTGTTTGTGTTATTGTTGTAACGGAAAGAAAAAGAAAAAGAGAAAGAGCGAAGGGGAAAGAGGGAAGGTGGTCAGGTAGTATTTGGTATCCTTCAACAGTTTACGAAACGATGCAACCACCCTTTTCTTCCGAAGGTGGGTTATTGGCCTTCTCGATCTCAGCGATTAACATGTCAAATATTTTGGCTAACGAACAGAGAATATATGCGCAGTTGAGGAGCCTTGTTCTATATTTCCATGTGACATGCAGATGCAAAGGAAGGGAGGGGGTATGACTTACCAACATTCTCATTGTGCTTTGCAGAAGTTTCCACGGTCGGCGAGTTCCATTGCTCAGCCATTTCCTTGCCTTCTTGTTGCGACACTTGTCTACAACATGTGAAACACGCCGCTCAGTCTTAGCCTGCATCCCCCCTTATTTCTATAACAACAGCAACAGCATACCTTTGGATATTCAAATCACACTTATTTCCAACAATAACGCAGGGCACATTGTCCAGACCCGTGAAATCCAGAATCTTGTCACGGATCACCTTGAGCATGTCGAAGCTGGAGCGCGATGCGATAGAGTAGACCAGCACGTATCCGTGGACACTTGATGCGTGATGTGACGACAAGATCGAGTATTCGTCCTACATCATTTCCACAAGAGCAATAAATATCCAATGTGTCGTGACAGCAACCCTTTCGTTTCCTTATAATTACCTGACCCGCAGTATCCATGATCTCCACCACATATTCTGCAGCACGCAACAATAAACACAATAACGGAGTTTAGCATTACATGGATTTTCAAAGGGAAAAAAGCGTCTAGCAGCTATTGAGAGAGTCAAACAAGAACAACAATGCACGCACCATGACCTCGATACTTGATGGTTTTGGTAAATGTGTTTTCAATCGTAGGGTAGTAACTGTCCACAAAGTGGTTTTCGCAGAACTGAATGACCAGTGACGATTTGCCTTTTTTATAAGAAATATTCGAGTTACTTGCTCGCTCTCTTTTACGTTTCGTGCCCACGCATATGCCGAACAGTAAAAAGCTGCGCGACAGAATCTTCCTTCTTCTTTTGTTGCTTTTCTTTCGGATATTTACCAACAGCTCTTGCGCCAAGAACGGCAATGCGTCGTTGTCTGGCTTGATTAGCACCGGCTGCAGCAGAAGACATGACGGAAGAAAGTAGTTATAAAAAGTTGCTGCAAAGAAGAAAGCGAACCAAAAGAAAAAGAAGGCGCACTAAATCTGGCATTTAAAAAAGCTATTAGCGGCTTCTACCTGAACGTCATCCACTCCAAGTGTACATGCACAAATCATTTGAGGTACCCGTGAAAAAGAAGATAGTGTATTTTGAATGATATTATGTACAGTTGATTCTTTTATACATATTGCTAGCTCGAGAGAAGTGATGGTAAAGGTAGACATTAAGCAGAGTGAGAGGAATCAAGCTTGTTGGGCTTTGCCTGAAAAACGCTATCCAGTCCATCGGTGTCCACAGTTCCGATTAGAGCAGACGTAGAACAGAGTCATTTTGGCGTCCGCACGTCTCGACGTCGACTGGAAAAACACTGCTTCTTGATTGCCACACTTTTCGCAAGTGACGTTTGTTCGTGGCTAATCCAGAAATCATGCATTTTTTCATTCAACATTCAGCAAGCTGATTCTCTCTTTATCTGTCATCCACACGTAACAGTCCTCCTCTTCCTTGCTATTCTTACCAGTGTTGGATCAGCGCTCAAATCAGCGACGATCATGGTCTGTTCACTGTAATTTTTCATCAGCCAATTATTAGAATGAAACTGGTCAAACTTGAATCAGGAATGAATAATCCACTGTGCAAGTTACATTAGATACATACGTCGATCCGTGAATAATCTCGTGGCGGTATACGCAGAGGTTATCTGCATCTTCTTCGTACTGACAGTTGCGACAAGCGAAAAGTAACCGCCTATTCTGTTTATCCTCTCTGGGATAAAGCAAATTGTTGCTGATAGAATTAACATACAATAATGAGCAAAAAATTTAAACATTGCAACAGTGATTGAACTTGCAGAGCGAATCTTTACCAATCCAAACAATACTTGAAAGTTGCCATTTTGCTTAAACCATAGAAAGAAAAAGCAGCAAAGGAACAAAACCAAGAAGCGGGTTATGAAGTTGTTATTTTAATTTCGCTTCCGACAAAGAGGTGTGTGTCCCTACCGCAGTTATGCTTCTTATTGGGATAGTAACGTACTGGCAAAACAGACCAAGCCAAGCACACCATCCGTCGTAGCAACAGTGATTAGTTAATAGAAAATTTCCTATTATAAGAAATATTGCCATAAGAAAATTCTCATTCAAGACAAACTTGCGCTTACTGTACAGTAACTGATAAGTGGTATGAAGAAAGTACTAGTAAATTCTTACTACAATATATTCTATTAAATTGCCACCCCAGGTATTGCCATCCAAGGAAGACATCATTGATGGTGCTTATGTCATCAAACGTTAACATGACAAAATAAGAATCCAGTATCGTCTGGCAATAGTTTATACTGTCGAGTTCCTTGCCAAATCGCAGGTAATATATACACCATCTTATTGAACCGCGGTTATCTTTTGGAGTGCTTCGAAACTTATTGAACAAAAACATGCGAAAGTTACAAATGATCTGGAAAAGCACGTAATATATTGGGCACTTGGCTATCGTTGCGAAAAATGCGTGTTTGAATCTGTTGACACTCTATTGCTCAGTGTAGCATAAAGTGTACGTCGGTGGATTAAAAGTTCTGCTTATAAAACATAGCAGAATCCCAAAACGTCACAGAAGAACTAAAAGTTACAGCTTGCAGAGTCCGCCTTTTGCTTCTTCGTTGTATATGCCGGCCAAAGTAGAATTAAGACAAGCGAACACTCTCGCTTGGAATAAAGGCAAAGGTAATTTTACTGTTGCAAAAGAAAACGAACTACGATACGTGTATTTTGCGATAGGGGTAAAAGAATCTTTATTGACAAAAACGACGACGATCTGTTTTTTTAATTGTAGATGCTTCGCAGTACAAGAACCTTGACAGCAATATAAAAAAGAACACGACGTTTATTAAGAAATGCAAAACTTCACTTGCTGCCGATTCGACACAACAATTACTCAATGATATCAAGAAATTGAGCTTAGAAAAATACGTTTCTGAAGTAGTGGGTGCTGTCCTTGACGGCATGCTCAAGTGTAAATCAACAACTGATATTGCCGCTTGTGTTGAGGTAAGATAAAGGGTTCTGGAAAACAGTGACACTATGGAAAACTTTCTTACTCGCGCATGTACATACACCTTTTAAATAAATGCTACAATAGGTTATATCGGCGTTGCACCAACGATTCCCTGAAACGTTCACTCTATTGCTCACATACAATCTCGCCAAAGCACTGCAAATTCCGTCTCGACAACACTTGGCTTCGTTGGCCCAGGATCAACGCGAAAAAGAAGAGTCGACGCGTATATCGAGACAACGCACGTATCTGCGGATCTCCGTCGAACTATGGCTTGCTGGTGTGCTGCGGAACGTAGAGGATGGAATCCCGTCATTGGCGTCGACGAGCTTGGAAGGGGTTGAATCGCAACGAGATGGTGTCGCCGGATTTGTTGGATCATCTTCGTCTACATCACTCAAGACACGAAAGAAAGACGGTGATAAGGAGGAAAAGAAAGGCAAGGTTGAGAGCAATTTCGTATATCGTGTCCTAAAAGGATTGGTAAGTGGAATTGTATATACATACATGCCGTGCTGATATACGAAGTTATTGATCAAAATACACGTTTATATTAGCTTTCAAGTGATCTGGAGCAAAATGTCAACTTGCCTATTGCTGCGTCGTTCCTAAAAAATTATGGACAAGAAATCCTTGGTATTGTCCCGCGCAAGCAACGTGCAGCGACTCAACAGAACGAAAACCCTGACGATGCCGCAGTAACTACGGGTGCAACAATCACAAACATTGATAGTGATTCGACGGTGACACCAGAGAGCCGTGCTATGTTGAAAGGGCTGTTTGTGGACTACTATCGCAGTGTTGAAAAGCATTTGGTCAAGGAGCACAAGCAAATAAAAAAGCTGGATCATCGTAATCGTGAGATTCTCTTTGCTCGAGGTGAACTGTCGGATGAAATCAAGCAGGATTATGAAAAGGTCTCCAAGTCATATGAGAAGCTTTTAAATAACACCCAAACGTGAGTTAGATATTTCTGCAAGACGGGTGTGGTTTTGATGAGTATAAAACCTGGAGAAAAAGATGGTTGCTAAAAGGGATACTAATGGCCCTTTTGTAGGCTTGCTGATGCATTGGATTTGGAAATGCCAGAGCTTCCCGAAGAAGAAGGTGTGACCCGAGTCTCTATTGTGAGCGCGGGTGCAGCCCATGCATTCTCCGATACTAAAGTAAGAACCAAGAATGAGTGCTTAGGAGTGGAAAGATGTCAGCAAGGTATCTATGGTTACTGATTGCTGGATCAATGCAGGAATCTTTGGCAAATGGCATTTGGGAGGATGAGGATGCACGTAAATTCTATGAAGATCTACCAGATCTACATGTACTTGTACCCGGTGTGTTTCTTGAATCCAACCCCTCCAAGAAGACGGACGGATTAGGCGAAGGAACAGAACAGAACGACAAAGAGGAAACAACGAGTGACGAAAATCCAGGCGTTGGTGAAACAGGAGAATCGGTTGTGAATGGTTCAGTTCAGGGCGATGATGAGAACGATGAAAAGGACGACGAGGATGTTGATGCTTCGGACATTGTGGATAAGGCACTCAAGTAAGTTTTGTTTTCATCTATATAGCGTACGATTCCAAACGAACAAAATGAAATTTCTAACTGCTGGGATGGGCTTATCTGCAGTAGCACTAGTACCGATAAGGACGATGAAAACGGCGCAAACTCAATGCCCTCGCAACTCGCTCAATTGGATGGTCTCATTGCTCGTTTATCAACGCTTGGAAATCGGGACTTGATTGATAGTGCTGCAGTTGAGTTCTGCTACTTCAATTCAAAAAATGCACGAAAGAGATTAGTGAAGGTGAGTGGTTGGCAGGTCATGGTGCCTGCAGTAGAAAAAAACATACTCTCTGCTCAAAATCATGCTAAAGCTCTTTATTATGCTGTGTAACCTTAGGCATTGTTGAATGTTCCTAGGCAACGGGTTGATTTGTTGCCTTATTATTCCCGTCTCATTGCCATTCTCGGTCAATATTTTTCGGATATCAGTGAAACGGTGCTTGCAGCTGTAAGCTTGAATATTTGTTGAGTAGAGGTAAAAAGTGCAAGACATGCTAAATGCTGACATTTTTTTTCGTTACTTTTTAAGCTCGATCACGAATTTAAAGGTCTTCAAAGAAAGAAAACACAAGACCTTTTGGAATCTAGAGTAAAGGTTGGTACCGGTAATTCTGTCTATTGGCAAAAGAAAAATAAAAGAGCTGCTCTTACATTGGTGTGCAAATCCCGTAGAACATTCGGTTCCTATCTGAACTTACCAAGTTCAAAGTAACACCGTCACATACCATTTTCCATGTATTCAAGATTGCACTTGATGACTTTACACATCAGAACATCGACATTGTTTGCAACTTACTGGAAACGTGTGGCCGTTATCTACTCAAATCACCCGAAACCAGTGTCCGCATGAACAACATGGTAACTTCTATTCGTAAGAGCAGAAAGGCGGAAAAGAATGCTAATAGATCGAATTGATACTTTCTTTCATAGTTGGAGGTTGTGATGCGAAAAAAGAACGTGCAGCACATGGATAATCGTCAGATGTTGATGATCGAAAATGCATACTATCAAGCAAATCCTCCTGATAGAACTGCTATTGTGGAAAAGGAACGATCGCCTATGGAGCTTTATGTCCGTAAACTGATTTATGGAGATCTCAACAAGAAATCGCTCGACAAAATTCTAAAACAGTTGCGCAAACTGCATTGGGAAGACCCGGATATCTTCCGGATGATGTTGAAAATCTTTCAAAAGGTGTGGAAGATCAAGTACAGCAATGTTCATTTGCTTGCCATCCTGGCGAGTGGATTGCATCGCCACCATTCTGATTTCGGTGTGCAGCTTATTGACAGCGTCATAGAAGAGATTCGTATTGGCTTGGAGGTGGGTTTGAAAGCGAAAGCAATACCAAATTTATTGAGTGTTTTATAGTACATGCTAACTAGGCAAACTCTTTTCTTGTATTGTAGCAAAATATTTTCAAGCATAATCAAAGACGAGTTGCAGTGGTGAAATACCTTGGCGAACTGTACAACTACAGAATGATTGACTCGCCTTTAATATTCGATACACTGTACACGATCGTTACTCTCGGTCATGGTATGTTTTTGCTTTACATGGTTTTTGTTTCCCGTCATCTCTATCACTCGTGGTGTCTAAAACAGTAAATAGAATTTGGCCGGCCTGCGCGTGAACGATTCTGCCCCATGGATGCGCCCAATGACTTTTTCCGTATCCGCTTATGCTGCACCTTGTTGGATACCTGTGGAATGTGCTTTGACCGTGGCAGCTCAAAGCGTAAACTGGATCACTTTTTGATCTTCTTCCAGGTATAAGCCTTTTTTATTGCTCCCGTTTAATCCATATCTGTCAAGAGAGAGAAATCGAGACTCGATCATATGCTAACGTACAACGTGTGCAGATGTATATCTTTACAAAAGCAAAGCCTCCCATGGATGTTGATTTTATGGTGAGCGATACATTGGAGATGCTTCGTCCGCAAATGCACATCATTAGCTCGTACGAAGAAGCCAACGAGGCCGTCGATCGCATGTTGCTTGAACAACTCAAGTCTGTCCAGGGATCGGATGGTAGCAAAGTTCAAGAGGATGGCTTTGAAGAGAGCGAGGAAGAATCGACCAGTGACGAAGCCGACGATGACGATAATCTGGACGATGCAGATAAGGATGATGAAGATGAGGAAAATACAGAAGAGGTACTGTGTTATCTAAAGAGAGGATGTATACCAATCTCGCTCTCATTTTCCCTATTAGTTCAATGGGTGAAAGTGGTTACTGATATGTTACCCAATTTTTATGGTGCTTTGTAGATCGGCGAAGAAGGTGCAACGGTGGATGGTGACGAAGATGTGGTTGTGTTCAAGAAAAAGCAAGAGCAAAAATCCAATGAAGATGATGAAGAGTTTGAACGTGAATTTAGCCGCATGATGAGCGAGAGTATGGAATCCCGTAAATTCGAAAAGAAGTCTGCTGTACTGGATGTACCTATTCCTATGAACCTTCGAGGCGCGCAAGGTATTTTAGAAAAGAAAGGAACAACATGGACTACGGTTCTTTGAATAGAGTTTGTTAAACTGTCATTCTGATGTAGATCGTCGTACCGCAACTGCTCAAGAGAAGGACATTAATAGCCAAGATAAGATGTCGTTCACATTATTGACAAAGAAGGGCAATCGACAACAGGTAAGGAAAGAAGAAAAAATATCTGATACGATCAAAGGATCGATTGTACTTATATGTATGGTCTGGAATCTTTTCTGTGTGATCTAGACGCGTACGATGGAAGTACCATCTGATTCTATTTTGGCCGTCAGCACGCGAACAAAACAAGAAGCGGAACGCGAGGAGCAGCAGCAACTCAAGAAATTGGTGTTGAGCTATGAGGAGCGCGAAGAAGCTGCTGCGCGTCAAGGTAATGGAACGTATTAACGATAAAAGGCAGTAGCCAAGGTGATCAGGAAACGGCTCGTTTGACACAGCAACACAAACATTTTCGATTTCTATTTTTAGCTGCCAAGGAAGAACGTGCAAGACAACGAGGAGGGTTCCGCGGCAGACGTATTCTTCATATGGGTGGCGGTGGCGGCGGTGCCTATGCAGGAAGGTAGGGCATCACCTTTAAGCAAAACACAGTAGTGTACGACTCGATAATGGCAGGGAAAAAACTGATTAAAGTATCGTAGGCGGTAGAAAATGATGACTAGGTTACCCCAGCAAGAGCAGCGCGCTGTCATAGAACGCACAAACCAACCAAGGGAGGTACCATCCGAATTTTGTCTTGTCTTGGTCCTTGCACCCACCCTCGTACATCCACCCCATCATCCTCAACAAACATCAACTGGCACTCTCGAGTAGATGATGTTTTCTCTTCTACATTCTGTTCAGCTATTCGAAGCATAGGCGTTTGGGAACAGAATAGCGCCAAGACTACTGCTTATACAAACATTCGAGTAATGCGAATGAAATAAAAACCTCAGACCGAGAATTTGATCACTAGCAGTCCCACTTCTCTAAACTTAAGGAACCAGACATCTGTACCGAATAACTGTACGGGAACTATCGTGGAAACAAATATTTAGAAAAACAAGCGTATGGCCCAAATATAGCTTACCACTCAAGTCAGCGGTGTAACATGCGTAAATACTGGTACTAGAGTAACAAGCTCTGCTTTTGATGTGCAAGATTTGAGATCAAAAGGAAGAAGGGTTCGCTGAGGAGGCAGTTGCCCGGTACAATGAAGGAGGCTGCCGCCAAAGTGCAGTAGGAAGTTTTTGTTGGAAAGTAAGGAAGAAGTCCGTTTACGATCGTACGTACGTATACCAGCGATTTTACGGGCTGTAAGATTCTGTGTCCGAACGTGTGCTCGTACTTGCTACTCGGTAACTTTTTCATCAAGGGTCATTGGAGGTGAGCGCATAAGAGTTTCGATCGCTCCTACGAGATATGGCTATACTAATTCCATGTATGCTCACATCATCAGGGTCAGCGATGTAAAGGCAGTATTAAGCTATCCTCTATGGGTCAAAGTCTTCTTGTCGGTACTTCCCAAGCTCACTATTATCTTGTTCCTGCATTTTTTAATGGCACCAGGCGGGCAGTCTCTGACGTAAATCGGACTCCTCTTCTGCCAACATATCTTCCCCGAAATCGTCAATCAACTTTTCGATGGCTGGAACACCTTCTTCAAAAATTTACAGTATAATAGACCTGATAGTATACTGATTACATAAATACATTGATGATGAAGGACTGACGTACAGACAGCACTTAATTCTTTTGCAATATTTACTTGCTCATCCTGATTTACTCTGCGACTTCTTCTGTTTGAAATTCATGGTATAGTTAGCAAAGAAAGAATACATAGGCAGTATTGATTCAAGTTTAAACCAAATAGCCAGGTGTACGTAATCAATATTTCCATCCATATCACATGCATAACACCTGTTCAAGGAGTGCTTGTATCATAACTACTCAAAACGAGCAGGACACAATTAAATTCTTAGTTTGATATTCCATCTGTTCAGGGTACAGCGTTCCGAAGCGAATATGCGTATTTATCGATCAAATTCGTGGTCAGTACGACTCCTAAGTTGCAAATCCGTTGCAGGCTGTTGTTGCTGTTATCGCTCCCTAGTTTGCTCAGCTCGCTTGGTTGCTGCTTCCATGCGCTCAGCTTCAAATTTGTGGCACCAGGTTGGCTTACCCAAAATTGGATGATCCGAGCTCTTTACCCATTTCACAGCGTTGGAATGAACTCTCGCGATATCGTCCCAATTGGCGTTTTCGCGACGTTTTCAAACGAGATCACTGGTACACGAGGACAAGATATGGCCATGTCCACTGAGGCTTGCCCGTTTGGTGAGCCCCCCCCCCCCGCGCTAGCAGTTGACGACCGTCTTCTAGAAGTTTGACAACTCATCATCCATCAAAGGAATGATGTATCGTACTTTTGAGGTTTACAGACCGCTCAATCAATACTGGCCTGGGTAGCCAATATATTTGTGAATTAGGAAAAGTGCAATACTAAGGGCGACGGTAAGATGCTGTACAAACTCAATTTGAACTCAAACAAAGCAAAAAGGCTTTCTATTTCTTTTGAAGAAACTTAGTCATTGATATTAAGATTTGTATTGGTATATGTAGTATGTAACCTTATACGAAAAACATCGGAAGGTGGTCCAAAGCTTGAGAGCCATCATATCGTACCGTCCCAAGCTTTCGTGGGCCAACTAATTACAGCCGTTATTATGTTCCATGCCATATGTGGGCGACAAGTGAAAGGTTTGCCACGGCAGCTAATTTTGTCGTAACTGTATGGACAAGCAGGATCACGGAGAAAAAGTAATCAAGAAAAGCGTTGCTGTACATGTGTCGAACTGCCTCCACCTGAAAACATATCCGGCGCTCCAAAGGCAGCTCAATCTCAGGCAATCTCCCAAGCAGATGGGCACATCCACGTGGATCTAGGCATTGATAGAAAGCCATTTGAAACGTCTGTAAAACAATTTTACTAATGAGTATGACCATTACGGTATTCGGTATCAAAAGATTTGATCTTGGCTGTAGAGTGCATGTCGTGCAGATTCTATGAGAAACGACAGTTTAAGCATACAAAGCTCGATCAACTTGTTCCAAGTCTAAAAGAGTTCCTGCTGTTGCAAGAAACTTTCTGATGTGCCCAGTACTGATATTGCTACATACCCAACGGGTTTCACAACAATTTGACATTGTATTACATGGTCTTTCCATTATGCTTGCGTCAAACGGTTGCCTAGATATTATGTTTGGAATCGATCGAGTCATTGCAAAGTAAAAGTAATTACGAATCTAATGTGAGCCATTTGACATTGTCAGCATTGTATAAGAACAAGGACACAGCACGCCAAAACATGAGTTCTTTCCTAACTGTCAAATGAAGCGGCGAAGACGATTGAACACAGTCAGAAAGAAAATGGATATTGCAAGGTGAAGCGACACGCAAATATCTTCACAAGGAAAGAAATTGTAAATGAGTTTGAGCAGGACATAAAGTAAAAGAGCAGGTTTTTATTCATTGTAATATTAGAGTAAAGGAACATTTTATTAAAGACGGAAGTTATCTTTATGAATATCAATTGTCGAAGAGTACAAATTTATTAAATGAACACAATCAGTGGACAATAAAGACAAATAATAAGAACGCGATTTTACAAAGTGACCTCAACAAGCAGTTCGCACAACCTGCAGGCTATACAAAAAGCATGAAGAAAGCAAGAAGAAACAGAAGAAGTATGTAAAAGGGGGAGGAAAAGAAAGCCACCAATGCCTCGGCCTGGGAGTCCCAGTCTCCCAATCATTTGGCTGGGTCAATCAACCACAAACCCAGCCATCATGGTACAAACGAGTGGGAACCATGACGTACGCTACGTTTCGAGAGTCAAGTGCAAGCAATCGGTTGTGGATTGCCTGTGAGTGGGGAAGGGGGAAGGGAAGGACGGAAGGAAGATGGAAGGGTAGACGGAAGGGAAGGAAGGGAGGGAAGGATGGAAGGAAGATGGAAGAGTAGACGGAAGGGAAGAGGAAAGGGAAGGGGTGGGGGTAGGGGAAAGAATTGACTCTCGAAACACCCAAAAAAACAGCCATTTGCTGCTGTTGTCGAATGCTGGAGGAGCTGCTTACTGGATACTCAGATGCTGGGAGCCGAACACTGAAGCTGGGAGCTGATTGCCGAGAGTCGATTGCCGAGAGTCGATTGCCGAGAGTCGAATGCCGAGAGTCGAATGCCAGAGAGCTGATCGCCGAGAGTCGAATGCCGAGCGTCGATTGTCGCGAGTCGAATGCCGAGAGTCGAATGCCAGAGAGTCGATTGCCGAGCGTCGATTGTCGAGAGTCGAATGCCGAGAGTCGAATACCAGAGAGTCGAAGGCCAGAGAGTCGAATGCCAGAGAGACGATCGCCAGACAGTCGATTGCCGAGAGTCGAGTCCTAGGAGTCGAACGCGATTCACAGAGGCACCTGGTACCAGGGACCACGGGAAAAAGGCTGAGACCAGGACCGACAGAGGCAAAGACCAGGACCGACAGAGGCAGGACCAGGACCAAGGGAAGAGCCAAGAGAAAGACCAGGACCAAGGAAGAGCCAAGAGGAAGACCAGGAGGATCCAAGGGAGTGAAGGAAATAGAAAAATGAAGGAAAGAAAGAGTGAAGAGAAAAAACGAAATGGCCTGAAAAATATGGGCGTATTTATGCTTTTTGGATTGACCCGCCGCTTAGAAAAAACACGTCACGTGACTTGTGATTCGTTATTCAAAAACACGTCACGTGACTTGTAATTCGTCATTCAATCAGCAGGTGGGAAAGTAAAATGGCAGGGAAGATACCATGTGAAGTAGAGGTGTTGAAGAGACACGGTCAAGCTGTCAAGAAGAAGGCGTATGTGGTCTGCGTGTTTTGATAGTCCTACGAAATATGTTTCACCGGTATCATGCAGGGCGTGCCCCGACAGTGTCGCCGCCTGTCGGGCCACAAGGCGCACAGACACGGTTTACAGTGTTTCAGCAACAAGATCCCAGAGAAAAAGTAAATGGCAGGTGCCGGGAATGGTTGACATTACAGAAAATAAAAATTACTGATATTGTAACAAGAAGCTCACGTAAATAGAAGCCATATACACCTAGAAATAATGGCGCAGAAGTTGACGACCGTGAAGTACGCGTGATGCAAAGCAAAGTGTATACCAAGGACAAGTGGTGAAGCTCGGTAACGGTAGAATGAGAGTGTCTTTGAAGCCCTTCTATTTGTTAATAGCCTTTTACAATTAAAGCTGGGTTAGTGCTGGCTGTCTCGCATAGAGCGTTCGCCATCTCTGCCAGACATCTCTCCCATAGAGTGTTTGCCATTGCTCGCACAGAGTGTTTGCCAATTCTCCCATAGAGCGTTTGCCATTTCTCCCATAGAGTGTTTGCCATCTCTGGCCATAGAGTGTTTGCCATCTCTGGCCATAAAGTGTTTGCCATCTCTGGCCATAAAGTGTTTGCCATCTCTCCCATAGAGCGTTTGCCATCTCTCCCATAGAGCGTTTGCCATCTCTGGCCATAGAGCGTTTGCCATCTCTCCCATAGAGTGTTTGCCATCTCTCCATTGAGCGTTTGCCATCGCTCCCATAGACCGTTCTGAATGTCGACTCCACCGTTCCCGAATCTCAACACTGTTCAAGACAAAATCAATATCACTTTGTCGACGATCTCGTGGCAACTATATTGCTCGTTGCAAAAGTCTCCACTGTCCAATCAGGAGCGAGAATGACGACTCTCGCTCGCATATGAAGAGGTACAATAACAATATAAAACACGCACAAACAAGTTCAACGAACGGGAAGAGAGAACAAAACATTCTTTACTTGATACATTATACTATGATACTAATCAATAATAGGGTGTCGATGTCTTAGTTTCCCTGCTCTTAGGCAGGTACTGACAGGAGCAATCACGGGAAGATCGACATCTGCTCCCGTAACCCTCTACCACAAAGCTAGGGTCTTGTCTTGGTCGCTTTGTGGATTATCGAAGGTCGATTGGTATTGAGATGCCCAGTCCCGTCTCACCAATCGCGACCACTTACCTGCGACCACCTACCTTAGTCGACCTGTGCCTACAGAACAAGCATCATCACCCACCCACCCACCCACCTACAGGAATCCGCGTTAGGTCCCCTACACATCCACAAAAAGAAGAAAGGAACTCACCGTACGTGATCGTGAAAAAGTGAAAAGAGAAGAGAAAAAGCGAGGAAGCAACACGCTGCGGAATGGCTGCAATCTGCTTTCCTTTTTTCTCAGCTAAATAGGTAAAAATACCTCCACCCCGCATCCACAAGTCCAGGCTAACAATGCGGGAAACCATGACAGATCTTCTGTATCGTAGCCGATAGTAGCACGATCACAACGTGCTTTATCACACTTTGGTACGCGCTTTTCACCTTACTTTTTTTTCATTTCTGTGGTCGCGTAGTTCTGCTCGCGAAAATAATCGAAAGGAAATATTTGTTGAGAGGCTATGCACACCAGCAACAACGGCGCTTAAGGCAAGCTGTTCTAAGCTGAGAGAACCGCCGGTTTAATGGTATGTTTCGCTTGCAACGCCCCTTTCAATCCCTTGATTAACCGAAAACATCGTTGGCAAAACTTTCATATATACTTGTATAAAAGAGCGCCACTACAATTAATACAATGTCTCACTGGATCCCATGAAGACGCTGGCTACGGCGTTCAGCCCATATGATATTTACTCCAACCCAATGCAATACACGCTCAGTCATCCTGGTGATAAGAACAACTTGCATAACACTATGCGCTATCATACCCCAATCCCCTTCTTTCCGGATACTTTTCCTTTTTTTTGGATTTGGATTCGCCAATATAACTTGTGGTGACAAGACATCCATTCTGAGTGCATCATCAGCCGCCCTTTTCTTGACAAGTATAAGAGATTTGAGAGATCACAAATGACATACGTCTATGCATCATATTGCGTCAGTCCATATCGGGTTATAATAGCCTTACATATGCTGGATCATCCGAGTATAATGTTTACGTGCTTTACACAACTCGGTTGGGTTGTCTCTATGCTACAGTGCTTAGCTGGTTGCCGTGGTAATTACTGTGTATGCTTTTGTTTGATGTTTAAGCGAAAATCTTATGCTGACGATGTTTCAGGCAGTGTAATGATGCACAGTGTATTTATATATGTGTTTGCGCTGGCCTCAGTAATTATGCAATACTGCAATTGCAGTAATTTTTTCCGGTACTTGCCAGACTTTATGCAGTATTGCAGTAGATACTTCATGATCCCTGAGTTAAACAGTAGCATCTATCCGCGTCACTCTTCACGCCCAAACTTTATTTGTCTTTGCTTTCTCTTGCTATAGCCTCGGTCTTTTCGACAACACCGCTGTCATTTCCGTTATTCGACTTGACACATACTGCCAATTGAAAGTAATAATATCTAAATTGTACACTTGCTTTATAATACGTGAGTTGAATCCAACTGTGCGCGACATTATACATAACATACATCAGCTTCAAGCAAAACATATAATCTATGTCATGTCGCTTCTTGAGACACCTCCGCGAAAAACCAAGTTTGACCAGTTTCCGCCTGGTAATTAGCAAGACGAAATTTACCCTCCAAGTGAATTTAAGGTCGAGGAGTGCAAGGGATGGAGCACACGGTATTACAATAAATATGTAACTGCCGATAGTGTTCGAATGGTGACTTAACGATGCAATGGTGCTATCCTCTGTGTAAACAAAAACTGTGACATGGAAGGCACGGATCTGAAGCCTGGCTGTACCTTAGCACATTCACGCAACAAATGTTTGAAAGGCTGTCTTAGTTGCAAGAATCCTATGATTTACGTGGATTGTACTTATGTGGCGTACTTCGAGTTCACGGATATCAAATGCAGCGTTAGACCTGGTACACGCCCGGGACAAGATTTTCATACGCATGGATCCTTCAAAAGCAACAAATTATACACAGAACAGAAGGCGCGGCTTAAGGAAATTGTCACCACCCGAGTGACACCGAAAGAGCTGCATTATGGAATGAGTAAAAAAAGGTAGAGATACTTATAAAGTTTTGGTCAAGAACATATGACAAGACGGGATATTATATACGCTCTGACAAAATTTATTCCAAAGGGACGATCTAAAGCCTGCGCGTGATATCCATCCAAATCTGCAGAACTATGACAAGTTGACGTACGAGATAAAGAAGATGCGGAATGAAGACCCAAGTATCCTCTCCCCCCCCCGAGCCGATCCGATTTGCTTAAGGAACTTATCAAACTTCAAGAAGAATATCCTGGATTTGTCACTGATTGTTCTTTGAAGAAGGGAAATATGATCATTGCTTGTTATTCGCCAAAACTATCTCATAAATTCGAGTTCTATGCCCACCCACTCATAACTGATACTACATTTTCCGTGTTTGAAAAAGGATACTGTTTGTGCACGTCAGTGTTGTTCAGCCCACATTTGCAACGACATGTAGTGGCTTTTAGTGCTGTCCTTGACGGGAACACTACCAAACATTTTGAGCTCTATTTTGCTGCTCTGTTCAAGACCTACGAGATCACATTCACGCTTCCAAACGAATGTGTTGGTGTCATCATGGATGTTTTTGACGCTCAGAGAACGGGAATTCTAAACGTCTACAAGCGTACAAGCATACGGATGGCTGTCACGAGAATCTAGCGTAATGTTTTTCTGTCGTCGTACCAAATTTGCAAGTTGGTATGATATCGTTGAATCGCTTGGTCAAGCGTTGTGCTAGTCCTTGCTTCATTTTGTGATAAAACCGCTCCCGTGCCTACGCGAGTGAACCAGCGAGGATGTTCACCATCTTCATGCACGCAAGCCAACAAGGTACCGAGCTCATGGCTATCGATGTATGTGAGGCGTTGATAGCTCGAAAGCTGTTTTAGGTCGTTCGCTGTGGTACAAATTAAATGCGCGTGCTGCGAGAATTCTATCAGACGGCCATCGGGATCGTCTGGTTGCTGCTGTTGCTACCGTTTCTCCTTCGCTCTTGCTTGAGCTGCTGCCGTTTTGTTAGTTGTTTCAGGTTGACTTGCCAGAGCACTTGTTACAATTGTCTACTAGTGTTTATACTGTTGTTATACTGTGTTAAAAATATATCTTATTCGTTTATTACAATCTATAAGAGTCGCACACTCAGGTATGTAGTGGATCTAAAAAGTCCGGATCCATGCCATCACCGAGTCCGAATTTTCACTGCTTTCTTTGACGTTGATACTGTTGCTTGATGATAATGATGGTGTGGTATTTGATAGATCGCCGACATTCTAGCTCCACCAGTAGTAGCAGTACTGAATTTGCTAATCTGTAGTTGTTACTAGGTCGTTGTCGTGGTATGAAGTCGCACCGAGTTGCGATGGAAGCTGCTACTCATACGCATACTAAGAATGCCGCTGGTAGTAAAGTGAAAGGGTGTTGCAGTACCTTCATGGACTAGACCACAGGATCAAAGTCGGTAGCTTTTTTTCCCATGGAACCATCGCTTCTACTACTTTGACGGTGGCGATCCGTAGAAGAATACATTCTCATATTACTTATATTGTCGATATGATGTTCTGGTATCATCGGTGATTGCCTCGATTAAATTGCTGGGTAATCCTAAACAGTCTATAATAACAGAAGATTGCTTTTAGTCTAGTGCTGACAGTGTTGATAGAGCAGTACTGTACGTGAATGTAAAAGTGAGGGAGACTTATGTGTTGATCACATGAGCTTATATGATCTTTGACATATCTCTTCCTTCCGGAGAAGTTTGTCTGGACAAATTATGTTTGCCTTTTACCAGTTGAATGTTTTTCTTTTGTTGATCAAGAGCGAAAGGGCGTTGTATGTTACGAATAAAAGAGTACAAATGACGGTGAGATTAAAAATTTTCCACACGCTACATTTCCCCACCGAAAATTTAAAAAACTTTGTCGGAACCTATTCCGCAGTTGTCAAAAACACTTCTTTTAAAAACACACGGAATGTCGTCAGAAGAGGCAGTACTTGCAGAGTTGAAGAATATCTATAACCCGGATAATCTTAAAAAGAATGCGTTTTTTCGCGAGTTAATGGAACAAGATCCCGAAAGATGTAATGATCCCCCTTCCAACTTAACCAACATACGCACAATACCAAGTCTACTTTGGAAACGATTCGGTGAATTTTGACGTTTGAGTACCGTTTTCTTCTCATTTAGGGATTAGCTTGAAAAAAATCTCGGTGATCAAGGCAATGAAGCCCCTGGTCAACGGCGACATTAACTTGTTGATCCGTGCTGCCGAAAGCTCTGACGGCGAATTTGAAATCAACGAGCAAAAGACCAAGCTCCGTAATAGCACCATGCCCGAGGAAGAAGAAAAGGCTTCGGCAGAAGAACAAGTTGAAAAGTTCGAAGACCATTTAATGACGGTGAACAAAAAGTCTATTTACGCAGTAAGTCTGTTTTCTCATTTACGTGTGTGTGTGTGTGTGTGTATCACTTCCAGTGTGTCAGCATTGCATGAAAAAGTATGCATTTCTTCTACGTGTGATTGGATGAGTTATCGGATCCTGATCAATTGTTTTTGCGATAAACAGAAAGGATTTTCAGAAGACAGTGAGCCGAGCCGAAAAGATTTGGGTGCCTTGTTTGCACCTTTTGGGCGCGTCATGCATATCAAATATCGCCGCGACGATGAGAAGAAGTTCAAGGGAAGTGTTTTTGTTGAATTTGAAAACACCGATATTGCGCAGTCGGTGGTTGCCAAGGGTATCGAGTATGAAGGAAAGGAGTTGCTGGTCATGTTAAAGTAAGTAGTCTACTATTTGCATAAACGAAAAACATGTTGCTAAGATATTTTGACGGGACGATTGCTTAGGAGCGAATATGTCGAAATGAAGTCCAAGGAAAAATACGCGGATCAGTCATTTAAACATGATAACGCACACAATGGTTTAGCCTTTGTAGAGTACGAAGGAGCGGGCGATATGCGCGTTGAAGCGATTAAAGATCTTCTCAGCCCACTTGGTGTCACGGTGGTCCACGTGTATCAAAAGAAGGGGCATGGCAAAGGCGTGGTACAGTTGGAAGGCCTCTGGGTCGAAGAGTTCTTGGCAAAGTTGGACGATAATAAGCTAGGCGAATTGACATTTGAAGCAGCGGATGGTAGGATGATAATGGTTAAAAACCGAATAACACATACGCACACCAAGTACAAGGGCAAATATTAACTAACGTATCTGAAAAACGTATAATAGATGAAGGACGTAATGCATGCCGTGATGATAAGCAACAATTGATCAAGAGACTTAAAGCAAGAAGTGGTGGTAGAGGCGGCCGAAGTAAATTTAATAACAACCATCGTCGAAAGAAACAAAAGACCGACTAACCAGCGTCATGGTAATAAAAGGAAAGGGACAGGACTCTCTATCCTAAATGGCACTGTATACTTACACCGCTTCCTCCCCTTTGGCCCGAATGGAACATGGTTCTCTTTTCTTTTCTGTGTGCAATATTATTGGACTGGACCAGACTGGAGAACAGGCACATGGTGTGGTGTAACTTAAATTTTATCGTCGTACAATGGCGTTACATGCTCCCCTTCTCCCCCCGAAAAAACTCTTTTTCAACTTGCCCCTGTGTACGATGCTACACAACAAGGGCCCTCATCTCCCAGAGTTGTGCTCCCTGTTTTCGGGGGAGATGGACAGAGGGAGACATGGATGATATTTACAGGCCTTTTCGGGGGTGCGATGAAAAGAGGGTGAGTGGACAAGTAGTAGTAGATAGTATATGGAGTATCCGAAACAAGAAAGTGCGCGGTAATTCTTAAAGGAAGGCAGCGAGTGCTAAGTCCAAGCGTTCGTGATGTTTTTGTTTGTGTGATGTACTTTATGTATAGAAGCCATCACGATTCTATTGAATACTGCGCTGCACTTTAGTGGCTATTACTACTTAATTATTGCTTGATTACTATCTGATGCTATGTGCGCACATATTATGTATGTATGCGTGAGAGCAGGAAAAATCCATGCATGAAGCCCTAGGAGAAGGAAAGTGAGAGAGATACAGGGGCTGATCATGGAGCGGAGCAACAAAAACAAAAAAGGTATAGATGCGCCTCAGCATTAAAACTGTGCATTCATGTTTATGTAGTTGTTGTAATAGTAGTAATGAGTAAAAAAATGTATGAATTTAAAAGAAAAAGAACAACAATATAAATAATATCTATGAAAAAAATTGTATGGAACATAATAATCAAAGAAAATAGAAAAAAGGTGGATGGCATATTGAGCACTTGGTGGGAAGATGACGATGATGCGTGTGTGTGTGTGTGAGAACAGTAAATTGAACAACAAAGTAGCAATATTATGATACATGAATACAAGAGAAGAAAAAAGAAAATAAATACAAAAACTGATACGTTCTGGTGATGGTAATCTCTCTCGCGAAAGATTGAAGAAATACTAATAAAAAAGAAAAAGAAGAATAGGTATGATGTCGGCCAGGGCATAAAGCATGTGGTGGGAAGGTTTCTTGCATTGCATGAAGTGGAATTGATAGAGAAGCTATATGTGTTGCTGTTGTCGTCATGTTGCGTGATTTCGAGCTTTTTGCTTGCTGGAGTTCCAGGCGTTATTGTTATTGGCATGCTGTTGTTATAATTGTTGTTGTGTTGTTGTGTTGTTGCTGGTGTTGGTATATGATGATCTTGATGTGTTAATGAAGTACAAGTACACTTGCTTGTGTCTTCTCATTAGCCGAAAGTGCTGACAATGTGGGCGAGCTGCAACAAGCCACCGTTGGACTTGTCATCACCAGTGTTGGGCTGAATTGGTGGGAGCAAAGTGGCTGTTGGTGGTGGTGAAGCGAACGACGAATTCGATGACGAGCAAGATGAAGTCGATGAAGCCCGGCGAGGACGAGTACCAGTACCAGTCGTGCTTTGCGAGGATGGCTCCATTGGCAGAGGCTTTGGTAACACAACATGATGCTGCTGCTGTTGGTAGTGATGTTGATAATGGTGATACTGTGGTGGAGGTGAAGAATATTGTTGGTAGTAGCACGGTCGAGGATAAGGATCGGCAACAGCAGCAGGGGGCGGATAAGTCATGCTGCGCTGAGGCCGTGTCATTAAAGGATGCAGCTGAGCCGATTGCGCATCTGAGCAAATATGCGCATGGCAATGGAGCCGTGGGCCATAATGATACGACGGCTGCATCTGCTGATGATGGTGTTGCTGTTGCTGTTGTTGGAGTTGTTGCTTCGATTGTTGATGGTGGCGTCTCGACTTGGGTGACATGTGCGTGCGGTAATGCTGCATCATGTTGTCTTGTCGGGAGAAGCGAGAGGGACAACCAGGATAGAGACAGTGGAAGTTCTTCTCACCGGTATGAATGCGATTATGTCTCGCTAAATGCCCACTACAGCAGCAAATTATAGGTAAGTAATAAGTTCAAGTGCTGCTGCATGTGTTACTCTCTGAAATTTTACCTAGTAGTAAAGCTCTTATTGCACCCCGGCTCGGTACAATGATACCGACGCCGTCCGGTAGTAGAACTGGTGGCGGCGGCTGGTTTCGATTCTCGCTGTTCTTGAGGCGGTTGATCGTTTAATAAGCTGATTTGCCTGCCACAAGCGTCCTTGACGGACAGTGCTGTTGTTGGTTCGGTCGGCGATCGCATCATCGTTGTTTTGAAAAAGATTTATAAATGTGTATATAAAGATTGAAACAGGGAGGAAAGCAAGCAAGAGAAGAAGAGAAAGAGAGAAGGCTCTTTTTTCTGCGTGGGGAACGAAATGAAAAAAACACAAAGATGCAGTGGGTTTATATAAACCGGAGGGGGAAGGGAGGGGAAGGGAAACGAGTTTGTAACTAACGACGCATTAGGCAAGTTGCGAAATCTGGTGTAGCGCACAAAATAGGTTTATTGCAAATCCCTTACGACCTGTCGTCAGCTTAACAGCGCACTGATGCAAAACAGGAACGGGCCGACAAAAAAGTGGAAGACGAAAACGTGGTTGCCATGCCATGCATAGCCCTGCATACTCAAGGAAGGAAAACGTGGCCATATTGTCGAAAGAAAGTCAGAACGTGTTTTTTGTCCTATGTATTTTTACTGTTTGCACAGAGGCACAAGCATAATATAATAGGTGCAAGAACATGCACGCACAATAAGAATCATCTAAACTCGTTTAGCTTACTCTTTTGTTTTTAACATGTAATACTTTGTGAACCCAGGGTTGGGTTCTTCTTTTAACCATACGCCGAATCTCCGATTGTTCCTAAAAAAAGCGAGCCTGCCTGGCAAATCCCCCACACACTTCATACACTCAACGCATTTCGTTCTAACCTGTAATATACTTACTTCATTACTGCTGCTATTTCTCTACCATTACCTTTTCCCTCTCTTTCTTTCTCTGCCCCCTTAGAACCACAGCTCGCACCGTCCCCCCCACAATCATTTTGCTGCCATGGCAATTTCCACAGTTACCGCAATTATGAGTGGTTACTTAGCAACACCTCCCCCAGAAAAAAATTCGCACCAGAGTGGATATTATAAATGGCTGGTTGGTGGAATGTTACGTTTTTGAAAGGTAGCCCGCGGAACAATCATAGACTGCTGACATGGGATTAATATTATTATTACTGTTATTCTCTTCGATCTTGTGTGCTGTGTTGTGGAGTGGCGGCGCCCCAGGGTTTGTTTTGTATTTCTCGTGTATATAGTTTTTTGGTGAAACTGTTTTTCTCAGATATGGCATACGGGCCCTTTCCTTCAAATCAAGAACCAATTGGGTGGCGAAGATAATTGACAAACAAGCTTTAAGTTTCCCTCTTTCTTTCTCTTTACCTTACTATGCTATCCTTACCCCCCTCCCCTTGTTATATCTTCTCTGGAGAAATAGAGCAGGCAGGGCAGTATCTGAGGTTACACACAATTGGTCCTATGACAGCACGAACGAGCGAACGAAACAATCAAGACATAGGACCACCTACTACATACTAGCGATATACTTTTGTGTTCAATAATGCAAGAGATAAAGTAGTGTAGAAGACGAGCGTATGAAAATAGGAGGGATTTAAAAAGAAGGGGGTAGGAGAAGTCTCTTTGCCCTCTCTACCCCTTGGTATAATAGCACACGCGGTCTCCCCCTTAGGCACACCAGATACCTTGTCTCCGCGCCCTTCGAACGGCTCATGGACTCCGCGATCAAAGAAAGAGAAAAAGCTCAAGCAAATGACGTCCACGCCTGATACCGAGTTGTTGATCGACACACACACATCAGGTATTTATTATGAGAAACTCCGCATTTGGTGTTGATTCCGTGATCGACACCTCGTTCGGACAGATTCCCTTTTATTTATGTGAGATATCAAATATTTGTGTGCTATGAGGGATAGAGTTAGTGTGTGTATGTGTGTAATAACGGTGTCGTGTTAGGTGACACAATTCACACCAAGATCGAAATCTTCGAACGTTTTCTCAAACACACACCAATGGATGGGTTCTGTCAACGGGTCATCATAACACCCCCCTTATTGTGTATCCTCCCCTCTCTCGTTCTCTCACTCTTTTGTCTCGTCTTTGGCCTGGTCCCCCAATAAACCTTCTTCTTCTCCCTTCTCCTACCTAATTACCAGAGGTCCTCTCGTACCCCCGCTAACTTATTACTCAACTATTCCATTAGTACAATCCCTCAACTTAGCTTCAGCATACAACAACCACCACGTTTCGGTATACAATCTCTCAATTGCAGCAGCAGCAGCAACAGAAGCAAGGGAACAGGGAGAAGGGTTCCGTCTTTTAGGAGGCCCTTTTGCAAGGACAAGCCAGCTCAACTACATATCATCTCTAGCACACGTACATTCTATATGTTATGAACAAAACATTTAAGCATAAGTAGTCGAAAAAGAAGAATAATTAAGGTTTACACCACGTTTTCGAAACTTGTTTTTTTTTCACGAACCCCTCTTTAGCATTCTTGCTCTCTCTCTATTTATCTTTATGTAGTGTTAAAGATACCGACTCCTCCTAGAACCCCTTTGTAATTCACTCGCGTGGTTTTTGTTTATGTGACCGGTGTAATTTATTTACCCATTTACTTCTACCACTGCATACTAGGTATTGCTGTTTATACATAAAGATTCAAATTCTTTTCTCTGTTTAAGGGGTGGTTACTAGAACGCTAGACGGGAGGTCATATCATGATCGCTCTTCTACTTTTACGTTGTGCACAGACCTTTCTTTTTCTTAAACATTATGTTCCCTTGATTTTCCTTACCAGCAGCGCAGGGCCACGCAAGGTTCACTTTCTCTCATTGCTTATTTTGGAGATCTGCATATCAACTTGCTGAAAAGAAGGTTTCTTTCACAATCTGATGCAGAGACTAATTACAAAATAGATGTGTGCATCTTACATTACAGTATTCAACGAGAGCAAAAGCAAGGACATGCAAGTCAAATTTGCAAAATGAGGGAGGGGGACATACAACCGATGATGATGGGTGGTTGATCGGGGAGAGAGATCTTTGGAGAACAGAAAAGTTATACTGTGCACAACGTCTAGATGAGTGAAGGATGGTGACCCAGAGCAGCAGTACACGGTCTGGGCGTGCACCGACTCTCTGTGTCGCTCTTGATGCATTCTATGTGTGTTTTCTACATGTAAGTTTGTCTTTAATATGATTGCATGGCAGAATGTGTGCTCTGCGTGCAGTCAAATTCATAATATATTTTGCAAATCGTTTCAACCGAGACTGTTCTTATCTTGATGGCAGCAGGATGACTTGATGGCGGTGATCGATGCGTTTGATGCTGCTCCTGCCATAGATGAAATGTGAATGAATATAAACAACAATGCATTTTTGTGTTACCAACTCAGTATGGGGGGAGTGTGTGGAGAGCAATAAGGTACACGAAAACAAAACCCGCATGAATATTGCTATTTTAGCGAGGAAAGAGAGAGAAGAGCGCGCTAATAAGTAAAGTACACACAAGGAACGATAAAAACAAGGGGGAAGGCGTGGAAAGTAAGATGGATCAGCCCCGACGGAGTAAGGTAAGTACACCTTTTAGCGATCAGAGTTGGTCCTCTACCTGTTTGCTTGATCGTATACCAAAATTTTACATTGCTCACGAGGTCAGCAACAAAACGTGGTCACCGCTTAGTGTTGCTGCTGTTATATTTTAAGAACAATGAATAATAATATGAAGTAGAAAATTATAAGGTGATTTCTCGAAAGCTGAGTGGGTACGGGTCCAGTCCCTTTTTTTTCCCCGGTGATCGTCCTCGCTACTGTATTACCACTGCTGTTCTTTGTCGTTGCCGCTGTTGTAGGTTCTTCGCCACACCCTATCCACAGCATGCTCACATTTAACTCCGCCAGTGTGAGCCCGTGAGGGATGACGTTGAGGAATACCAATTTCGTCATGCACGCTCTGCTGCCTTTTTCCTCTTTTCTCTGTCGCTACCGCTATACCTATTGGCATACATAACTTTTCCCCAAATATCGACTAGATAAAACAATCACAACAAAATCCAAAAATATCAGCATGGCATCTAGACAATCTCCTCAACAAGGCCAAGCACAAGGAAGAACCTACCAATTTAAACTTGTCTTGTTGGGTAATTTCAACCGTCTGAATTTCATCTGTTCACAAGAAGCAAAAAAAGAAGAAAAAACCTTGGCATTAATTGTATGCTTGTTCTTTTATAAATATTCGACTCGATACACACACACACACACACACACATACATATTACACGAAACTTCATCATAGGCGAATCCGCTGTTGGCAAATCAAGGTATACATGGTCATTCTTTAAAAGAAAAAAAAACCGAGAAACAGAATAATAGAAATTAACCTTCTGATTACTTTTCTTAATATATCAGTCTGGTGATGCGGTTCGTCAAAGACCATTTTGATGAATACAGGGAGAGCACTATCGGAGGTAATTGAGAAGTAACGACAAAAGCAGCAACAACAACTGGACACAGTCATAAATACTTTGAAAGAAAAACACTGCATTCCACTTGGCATTGTGTAATTGTGAATACATATTTAACTGAATTATCATAACTATGATATAGCTGCTTTCTTGGCACAGACCATTTCGTTGGACGACAACACGACAGTAAAGTTCGAGATTTGGTAAATAGAAAAGTCTATGATAAACAGAGAAGGGATACTTTGGGAACGGGAGAATAAGCAACAAGATTGGTCGACGGTTTATTTTAACACTTTTCTTATGTATATCATAGGGATACTGCAGGTCAAGAACGATACAAGGTAAGAAAACTACATACGCCTGGTCTTGCTGTGTACTGCGTCGCTTATTGCAGGTATCTTAATGGCTATAAAATTTGTATCTATCTCTATAGAGCTTGGCACCCATGTATTACCGTAATGCAAACTGCGCAGTCGTCGTCTATGACATTACTCAAGCCGTACGTCATATGTTCTCTCTCTTTCTTTATCCTTTTATCCAAACCCGAGAGATTATAGTCGTTAAATTTTGAATCTCATATGTACCATTCTAATCATAGTCTTCGTTGGAGAAAGCTAAAGCCTGGGTCAATGAACTTCAACGTCAGGCAGATCCCAACATTGTAATTGCGTTAGCGGGCAATAAGTCTGATCTTGAAGGCCGAAGAGCAATTGATACACAGGTATGTAGAGTAACTCAAAGAGAAGGATCATACGGTAATGTAATAATAAGGGGCTTTCGTGTGGTGAATTTTACAGACTGCACAAGAATATGCCGATGAAGCCGGTTTATTATTTTTCGAAACATCGGCAAAGACTGCGCACAATGTGCACGAATTGTTCAACGCGATAGCGAAGCGCATGCCACTCGATCAACTTGCTGATAGCACTCGTGGCAGAAACCGTCTAAATGCTCGTGGTGGCGTGGATCTGAATCGGCCGGCCAATCCCAATGGTTGTGCTTGTAAGTTCTCTCTTAAACATGATTATGCATCGCGAACAAAGATGAAAATCTTCATGAGTTGCTAAATTCTTTCTGCTACTAGGTTAACAATACAACGTCGTAGTTGAAAATGTAAGAAAAGTGGAAAAGAAGAGAGGGGGAGAGAGGGACTCGATGGTGTGTATCTGTCCCGTATACCTTTTTTGCTCTCTTTCTTTCACTCTACAGCTCAAATCTCGCTCGCTCACCCAACCAATCAATCCACCAACCAACCAACTTACCAGCAACACCCTCCCCTTTCTCTCTCAACTGTTATTTCCATAGGCATTAATCTCTTCTCTTTTTTCACATTTTACCTTCCTCAAAGCGCTGCTGTGTTCGTCTGTCTGCTTATCGTTCCTCTTTTTCTCTGTCTCCCAAGCTCTACCCCGTAGTTACCCTTCCTTTTCTCTTTTCTTTTTCCCACAAGTGTTTTTATAAAACTCTTATATTATATGCTACTATATTATCATTATTATTATTATTTGTTTACAAGTCGAAAATTATGCTATGCGCTATCGTAGAACTATGGCGGAGACCGAGGTTTTGACGATTTACTGAAAATTGTGTCTTATCATATATAGCCTCCCACTTATCCAACCTCCCTTGCCGAATTTTATGCAGTAAGAACAGCGTTGATAGACGGAAGACTAATTTCACACGTCGTCCACATTACCACGTCGCGCACTCTGCGTTGAATATCCGCTACATCATTCTCTGTGTGCACTCAAGAGCAAATCAGACAATCCACGTGCGCTTTCATGCAACAGATGCAGATTATGTCACAGGGTCAGCAGCACTTCATATTTCCCCATAACACACGCTACTAAAAATACACTTTAGTTAAAGTAGATACGTGGCGAACTCGAACGTACACACATAAATATGAGAGCAATACGCTTCTGAAGTAGTTACGAAGTTGAAGAGTAAAATGCACGCATATCAATGCAATCTACTTCACTTAAATACACGTCTTTAATGGGAAATAGCGAATCTCTTCGGCTGAAGTTGGTTCACCATACTAGCTAATGTACGCAAATGAGTATCATGTCATTCCGGCCATTTGTGTAGGACACAACAGGCTATCCTATGTATGCACGAGTCGCATTATCAGCAGTGGAGCAAAAGTTGTTACTGACATGCTGCTAGTTGCTAGATCCGCATTTCCGGAGGAATATGTGACATCCACCTTTTACTATAAATCAAAGAGACTTATAAATCGCTAGTACTTGATGGATCATGGCGTTATAAGCGATTAATTTGTACATGCATGGATGCATAAAACAGTTAACATATCTTTCTGGTGACAGTTTCTTTTCTTTGCTTGCTTAGCAGTACGATGTTCGAAAAGTGGGTAATGTACATACTGTAATGTAACAGCTCAGCTGTGATATACTATCCAAGTTCCAGCACTTTAATTTGTCAAAACGACCCAATGTGTAACTATCGTATTCTTGGGATCAACATCTTTGTCAATTTCTGCGTCTGTGGTAACAAGCTCAGAAAACTTGCAAAATGCGATGAGGCGCGTTAGAATACTCGCGAACCTGCAAAAAGTGTTTTAATAAATAAACGCTATCGAATTTGTCGGTGCGATCACCTTTTTGAGGACCCCTCCCAATCATCGCTGGATTTAACAATGTGGAATAACAATAGAGAGATTTGATAACGTTATTGTGTGAGCTACATATATGGTATGTTGTGAGTGGACGAATTCTATTTACAGATATACTTAAGCTTATAAAAGGGATATAGAAGAGACAGGCTGTCGACGTGGAGAACAGCACGGTGGACTTGTCTCACCGTATGCTGGCAACGAATCACCATATAAATTGCTACGCCGTAATGTCGATCTACTGAGCCTAAGTTCTGCACGTGTCATCAATCTTGTGCTACTGCAACATTCGAATATGAGAGTAAATCGACTGACGCGCGTATTCCTAGTAGAAGCGTGCCGATCGTGATGGAACTTCAGAATGCTTACGATTTAACATAACCACAGTTCCGCATCGCACTTTGGCATGCACGTACACTTTGTATACGATGTCGAACCGACTTGATCCTGCTATTATAGGCAAATAGATCGTATCAGGAAATGGCATATCTCGTTTCATATGCTGCTGTCGCCCGCCTAGATTATGATTATCGAGATCACCAGTACTGCCAGTGCTGGTAGCACCAGAGGAGCCTCCGGTGATATTTGACCATTAAGTATATAACGAAGCAACTGGTATCGGTGTGTGCCTGGATCCAATGTTTTGGATGTGCATAAAGTGGCTCAAACCACAAATTAGAAGCCTGTATCATCTTTACTAGGTCGACCTAAGGCGCAGTGATTAATTAGCTATTATATGGGAAAAGAATTAAGCACATTATTGCGTTTTGTGGTATGGTGTCTTGTAAGGCCAAGTGAGGAGGAAACTGGACAATATGCTGACAGTATGATACCTATGGCACGAATGGCCGGTTTTAGCTGCCCTACTAACAAAGATTTTATGAAGTGTATCTGTACTTGTCCTTCGAACACGCAGCCAGGTAAACAACGAACAGTGGTGGAATAACGATAATGGTATTGGGCCTCGAAATTAATAATGGTACGGTGTGATACTTTGTGTCTAGATCTAGTAGCTCTGACAACAAAACGCTTAAGAGGTCAGAAAAGGAGAAGGACAAACATATGTTCACACATATGTGAGATTTCATGTTGTTGCAGTTCTCTATATAACTGTGACGGCATCATTCGCAGTGGTACATCGTATATCCCCAACCCTTCGGCGTTCCTTCCTCCTTCAACTTCATGTATACTTGCAATTACCCCACCCAAGCATTTCCCGAAAAAGCCAGATAAATCCTCGGCAGTTGTCCAACCAGAGTGTAGAACTTATTATCCGGAGAAAGAATTTCAGTGCGCTTTTATCTACCATATAACAAATGTATGGACGATGCATACATCTGTTGAGTCATAGCTTTATAGCAAGAGAGAGAGAGAGAGCCGTTTCCGCTCCTTATGCTCAAGTTACATCGTTATCTCTTTATCAGTGGAGGTTTGGGAAAAAGCATCAACAGGGATTATGGAAAATTACGACATAATGCACGCCTCTTTCTTACCTTGGGCGCTGCATGTAATATCTATGTTTCAATCAAAATTGTAGAACGTTTCCTGAAAAAGGCGTTTTATTACTTCTTTTTAGAATTTATTAAAAATAAAATGGAAGTTGTCTATTGTTTAATGTACATATAGCATTCTTATTGATATGATATACATGTACTTTATGCTACTGTACATGATATGATTCGTGATATATCGTAGGAAATGATGATACGACAAAAGATGCGCGTGGGGAGTAGCCTGGAGGCCGAAATTCGTCGTATACTGGTAAAGTATCATGATCTAGACTATTGCGTCGTGACGATGACTTGCTCAATTTAGGCTTTGCGCGCGTCGTCATATTTAGCGCTACCGCATCATCACTGTACGACAGTAAGTCGGTAGGTACACCAGTACCATGCGGTAATGTACCCACTGTGATCGGCACCTCAAACAGCTTTCGAGCTATGAAGATTGGCCCGTATCGTCTCTTGGTACTGACATGAAGCTTGTACGTTATACCAAACCGTCTTGAATCTGTAACTGTAGGCAATTCTATCGTGTCCGGGATACGAAGCTCCAAAATTTCGTCATGTCCAGTTACGCTTGCTACAACGATAGTCTCGGTATGTTCAGAAACGATATTCAGATGCTGCTTAAGTGACACTGAGAGAGCTGTCGATGTCAATGACTCTATTCGGATCCGGATAAGGGTATCTCTGTTAAGCTGGTAGTGTAGTCCCGTGAGCAATGAAACACGCGTAACGTCGAGACGGTAGATATACGGTCGTATCTTGGCATATGGGCTGGTTTCAACACATGGTTCGAAATAAACCAGCAAGGGTTGGCTTTTGCACGAATTGTTAAGGGTAGCGAGTAGAGTATAGCTACTTGCTATGAGGGGATGTTGGAACGTAGGTGGAAAGTTAACCATGGGCATTTCGCACGTGAAAGGAAATCTGTGCACGCCTATCCCCAGCGTCCGGGAAGTACATAGTCTCGTTCGTACAGAGAACACCTTTCCTTCATCACCGTTTCTGGATTTGCACAAAGCACCGTAGTTTATCAACTCTATGTATTCATATTTTTGTAAGTATATTTTGACAGATCTCTGTTTTTATATTGTGGTAAATCTAACATACCAGTGGCACGAAATGTGAGCTTCAACTCTTTAACAAAAAGAGTATCTGATACGCAGAGTTCTACTTGACCCTCAAATACCGAGCCAGGATAACAGCGAAGGAGAGGAGGAGCGCTGCTGCCCCTGCTACAATAGCTATTGTTATAAAGGTATTGAGGATCGATTTTAATTGTTATTACGCCCGACAACTTTTTGGTTAGATTTTAAAAAGGTTGGTATAACCACATATCCCATAAGAGGAAGACCAAAGAAGGGAAGCTTTGTCTGGGTTGTATATATTTGAATATTGTGCTTTATCTTTTGTTTAAGCGTGGGAGCGTAGAGGTATATTACTGTTTGTGCATGTGCTTAATGATTGTCACAAATGACACATCCGCTCCGACGCCTCGGCAAATGATCTTCTGTGATCTTATCTTGGGCCAGCCGCGGTCCAGTATATCCTCCGCCGCTTTTTCCTTTTTCTGTCAAAGCCGGAACAGCTTTGTCATAATCAGCTATACCCTAGCGTACGTATCGACTAAAATTTCCTCTTTACTGTTTAAAGTTTGAAGGGAACTGATTTCTCGGCTGATGAAGGAAAGGGATATGTCGGGCAGAGATCTTGCGGTATATAACGTTCTAGCCAGCAGATGAATGGAAACGCCGTACCTTCTATGTACTTCATCTCATCTTTCATTGTACTTACTACTACCTACATATACTAATGGATACTCATAAAATGCCGTTGGCAAAATTTGTGAGTTACTTGCGTCGCTAAACGAAACGAAATTCGCTTTAGTAAGTTATCACAAGCGTAATATTAATTATTACCGCAGCTCAGATGACGCCATACTATAAGCTTAAATGGTAGGTGTTCCCGAACAGATATGGTAAAATGGAAGCAAGATATGTAGGTGGTGCGTGTTCGTAATTTCACCAAACTTCCTGCGCTTGTACGCTCTGGCATAGTATATCCTCTTTGATCAACTTACTCTCAAGACAGAGACCCAGTTGCGCACAAAACGTCTTCATTATCAAGAAACGGATGTTTATACGATTTCATATGATTTGCATCAATTCTATATGCATGACTGAAAGAGTTGAAGCGTGTAATTAAGACGGTTAAAGTTGACTGCAAAGAATTCGCTAAGGAGTGGCAAACGGCGTGTGGCATATCCATGTTGTATCCATTCATGGGACTCACATATATACTGGTCATTATAAAGTGTAGCCAGAAAGGAAATTGAGTTCTCTCCAATTAGAAAGATAATATAGTTGTGTTTGGAGCTTTCTGTATCAGGGATGCTGCTTTTTGCACTATCTCTCATTTTAATACAGTCCCTTTTTAGAATCGACGTTTCGAACGTAGTAACATAGCTGATATCAAACAGTCTCACGATAGATGTATATTTAAATGGTCAATAGCCACACCTGAGATCGTTATGTAACAGTGAAGTTTGGTCAGATGGTATTTATGGAGCGCTGGCTGCGTAGAGTGCTATCATACCACCATATACTAATGATGCTGTCAGCGTTTTCCAGATATATCGTTAGTAGGCGATGCAAAAAAGGGAATACTTTTTTGGCATTGGATGTGTCGTTCATGTCCAGCGTATACATGCTTTAAGTTTCTCGCTTGATTACAATTATACAATAATCTTTAGCGCTGCGGGCAGTGTTCAACTAAACATTTTATCAAATTGATTAAACCTCACTCTCTTTTGCCGATTTGCCTCAATTCATCAGGTAATGAAAACGAGCTTTGAGCTTTGACCAGGCGGACTTGGGATTTATTTATGACGCTGAACCGCTAAGCAGATAATGCAGCCATTTTACCGACAGCCGCGTACTGCTTTCTCTTTCGTTTCTTTCTATTTTTCTGTTCTCTTCCTTGTAGCAACCATGTTGAGTCGTAATACCGCGTTACTGCTCTCACTTATTGCTGCTCTAAAAATAGCTTCTTGGTCTTGGCAAAATTCACTTAGTATAAACACACATTTAAGCAAACGCTCACTCGATGAATTAGTGCCACAGGAAATCATTGAGGTATTCTTGCTTTTTTCTTGCTGTTTCGACATGAGGAAAATTTAGATCGTTATTCCTTTTAATGTTAATTAATGAGTGTATTTGAATTCACAGTGCGACAAAGTACATTTACACGAAGATCAGTGCGCATTTGTATTAGAGCACTGTGCCGATACAACGCCCGGTATAGTCAACTATATTAATTGGTACTACTGCGCGTCCGGTTCAGCTCGTCCGGTCATACTCGTGGTCTTGGTAAGACACAAAAAGCCTTTTCAATCATCGAAAAGTTTAACTTAACATTGATAATCTAAACTTATATAGTGTGCATGGTTGTTATTCTTGTTTGGTTTTGTGGGGATAGCAGCGTCCGACTTTTTCTGTAAGCTTTCTTACATCATTAAACCCTCCCCTCCCCTATTCCCCTATAATGTTGCATGAAACAAACGCTAATTACAGCACTCTATTACAGGCCCAAATTTACAAACAATTGCATCTGCGCTACGTTTATCAGAAAGTCTGGTAAGCTGTCCTTGGTTTGTAGAGAGGTGTCGAAGGCTTCAAAGTAGATGGGTGATTAACACAAACCACATATACAATGGATGACGCGCGGTGTAGACGGGTGTCACGTTTCTAGCCTTTGGCAATGGAAGTCCGGATTTATTCTCAACATTCAGGTAAATATGCGCATACCGATAAATAGTTTGGGTTGGATCCATAAAAGAGTTGAAGTGAAGGATTTGTGCATTCAAAAAAGTGAAATAGCGCAATGCATTCCAACATGGGTTCGTTGGCTTTAGGTGAACTTGTTGGCGCTGCGGCATTCATTGTCAGCGTCGTTGCTGGGTAAGTTTTATTTTTTTCTGTATAGTAGGGTTTTCTATTTTGTCATGGAAGGGGCTAATGTGATTATGTAATTATGTGCAGATCCATGTGTGCCATCAAACCATTTCGGACCAAGAAATTGAGCTTTCTAAGAGACGTCAGTTTCTTCACTTTGGCCGTAATATTGATCTTGGCGATTGTCGCCGACGGACTGATATACCTGTACGAAGCCATAATCCTTATTCTCTTTTATATCGTCTATGTAATTGTTGTTGTTGGTGGCAACTATTACACAAAACGGAGATCAACGTACCGAAATCTTGTCGAGCGTGCACGCTCGGAATATGAGGAAACAGGACCAGAAGTGGATAACCTATTGCGAGGCATCAATGCTTGGGATGGTAAGAAAAGTGAACAATACAGTGGAAGAGGAATTATGTACTAAATTTTCATCGCTTTCCTTCCCTGATTAGATGAAGCTACGCACGATGATGAGATGGAACTGTATGACGAAGGTTTCGAAACAGAAGGATATCATAGCGACTATATGCGAGGTCGACGGACAAGCCATCCGAAGTTGCGTATCAAACCATCGCTTTTCTCAGCCATCGAGGTCGGTAGTTTATCGTATCTGGAAGAAATTAATGACGACTCGAAGAATCACAAACTAAAATCAAAATATCAAGTTCCAAGATGTTGTTAGATCCTTACAGCATGCAAACGCTCGACCGTCAGGAAGAAACCTGTATTTCCGCCGACATCATCCCCATCAACGAGAAATTTCAACACAATCAGACAGTAGCGTAACACACAACGTACCATTAAGTCCACGAGGTGCAACAGCGCCATCCGAAACGCAGGACACTTTATCATACCCATCACCGAGTCGCATCGGACAGCGCCTCCGACTTCCCATCGAAAGGCTAGACATAGACCTCGACGATGTTGTATTCCATCTATTCCCATCACTTGTAAACTTTTCAGAAAAATCCATATACAGCAAAATCAGCTCCATTATCTCAGCACCTGTTATCTTTGTACTAGCTATTACCCTCCCTGTCGTCAAAGAGGATGCTATCCAGAGGCAGCAACAGCAAGGAAGTGTTGTCTTGGATGACGATGCGTTGGCCATGCTACAAGACGCTCCAGACGAGAGCCAGGATCCTCTGGAGATGAACGATTTATCAGAAAGCACGTCCGTATGGAGCCAGTGGATGACGGCAACGCAATTGATCTGCGCTCCATTGTTTGTCGCTGGTGTTTTTGCTGTTAATGGCTTTGGAAACCCTGCCATCCTCATCCCTGTCGCAGCCGGTCTTGGATTGATTACCACAGTAGTATTTAAGCTGACTACATCACCACAACGGCAGCCCAGACTTTATTGGATGATGGCCTTCTTTGGATTTGGAATTGCGATGGTGTGGATTTTTTTGATTGCCAATGAAGTGGTTAGCGTGCTTCAGACCATTGGTATGGCGTTGGGTATCAGCGATGCTATTTTGGGTCTCACTGTTTTTGCACTCGTAAGTGTATACATTTTACATGGCAGAATGGCTTACTATCGATTATTTCTCCTGATATCTGACCAATCATACAAATTAGGGTAATAGTTTGGGCGACTTTGTGGCTAATGTAACCATGGCAAAAATGGGATACCCCATGATGGCGATGAGCGCTTGCTTCGGTGGTCCTATGCTCAGTAGGTTTCCCGATTTATAGCATTTTCTCTCTTTGTGGTTGTTTGCTGTCGAGACTAATTATATCTGGAAAACATAGATATTATGCTTGGCGTTGGCATTGGTGCGACATATGTCACTTCACAGCGTAATGAACCATATCCCATCGAGCTTTCCGAAACCATCCTAGTCTCTGCCGTTGGACTGCTGGTTGTATTGGTGGCACTGTTAATTCTGGTACCGTTGAACAAGTACAGAATGTCAAGAATACTTGGATGTGGATCAATTGCTATTTATTTACTTTGCACAGCTATAAATCTGTATATCGAAATAACCTCTTCGGGCTAGCTATCTGATTACAACATAATATGCTGAAAATAAAACAGTATCTGTTGTAGCTACCTTGAAAGTCAAGTATACTAAATTGTAGTGAATGTCGATACTGCATAATAAGGATGGAAAGAGGGTACTGGAAGAAGCTTTTGTCACAGTCACAGTTATCGCATAGTATATAATTCTCTTCTGAGCGAAGCCAGGAGCAGTCGCTAGTAAAACCCTTTAAAATTGATACTAATTCTTCTATTTACTTAACCCAGCTGAGAGATTTTTGTGCTCGTTTGTCCTACACCAGCTGAAAACAGTGGGGAAACGCTCTCCAGGCTTTCTTTGTACCTGTAATTTTTTTTTCCTTTCTTTATTGTTTGACGGCTCGCTATCCAATACGCGCTCACAGCAACAATTTCTGTTACTTTCGAATATAAACTCTTCTCTTCTGAAAGGGAAAAGAAAAAGAAAGCAAGGGCCACATTTTCTGTTCCAACCTTTTTCCATTACTCCAGTTTTCTGCAAATTCTTTTTCCTCTTTCCCTTTTTCTTTAAATTTACATGAATAATTACCTCTCCATGGACAGAGCTTCAGAAGCTGCCGCCCGTGATCTCGCTGAAGTCCGAAAACTCATTGAAGGCATGAGTGCCTTTGTGACGAGTCAAGCTGTTCAACAACAACAACAGCAATCTTCTCCACAGACGACAACGACCGCACCTGCAACGACGACGACTACGACGGCTTCTCTCGATCGACATCCTACTCCATCATACCCTACCAGTCAGCCACAACAACAGCCATCTGGCTCACTGTTACAAGACACGGCATCGTTAATGGCCGCTGCTGCCACCGCTGCCGCCGCTGTGGCGTCGTCGTCGTCCTCTTCAACCACAGTGGCTGCTCCAACTTCTGCTGCTGCTGCTGCTGCTGCTGCTGCTTCTCCTACCACTACAACACCCGCTCCTGCCACGGGAACAACCACCACCACAACAGCAACGCCCCAAACAACGCCCTCTGCACCACCAAATGATCCATACAGGTAAATATATAAGCAATGGATAAGCGGTCTAGTATACTTCTATCTCTTTCACTCCTACCATATTCAACCCTATGAAATGTTTTTTTATCAAATGGGATTATAGTGCTCAACCACCTGCAAACGGCATTGTCGTCCAAGTCGATCATTTAATGTATAACCGTGTCCTGTATTTCCAATTATCGCGTAAGTTCATCTTCTCTGCTAACTAGTTGAAATGACACGAAACTCAACGACGATATTGGTAATCGAACAATGTAGCGGATGCTACGATTGAGCCGCTTATCACCGGACTTCGTCTGTCGTTCCATGACACTTCAATTTCTGGCATGGTGCTTCAATACAAGGGATTCGATGGCCTGTGGAAGTGTCTGTTGAATCGTAAGTTCTTCTGCATTTTTAATTAGTCATTTCGTTTATTGGGTAAAATCATCCTTTGTCATTACTTATCGTACCTTGTTTTTAGGCGATGATTCTTTAAAACGTATACTAAAGCAAGGATTCAAGAGTCAGACCATGTTACAGATGCGAGTACCGCGTGAGCAAGATTTGTTGAGTGTAAGAAACAAAACGAGAGAATTGAGCTAAAGTACAAGATATGGATGGAAGAGAGAGTTTAACACCTTTAATTTTTTGTTTGCTAGTCGGGATACACCGATCGACGTCTATTGGCACTAACTAAGCCTGGCGCATAGTAGTTTTCGTTCAAACAAATAATAACACCACCCTTTCCCACCATACTTTCTTTTCTTCGTACACAACAACATATATACAAAGACAAAACCACATATCATTTCTTTTCCCATCTGTCTTCAAAGCTATAAAACTTAACTTTTTTCTATTTCCTTTACCCTCTCTTAGCCTGAATCCAATCAAACGCATTTTTCTCTCATATAGTATGTAAAGTAAAGCCACTTTTTTCACCAAACTTATCATCTATTACCAGATCTCATTGCAAACACTTGTAGTACGGCGAGGGACAGGAAAGGCGGGGAAAGGAGGGAGGGAAATTTTACGCGAAATTTGACAGGTGGCGTGCTTATAAGATTAGCTAAGCAAGAAAAGCCATCAAATTTCAATATCGGAATTCATGACGTGAGCTAAAACAAACTGTCAAACATGCATACCTCAATATCTACCACTGTCTTTATCTTTAACAGCGACACAACTTATCAGTTCTCTGTCAATGATTAGCCAGCCATTTGGACATTTAGTTGTTACAATAAGCAGTTATTATGGTCATACCGTGCTGTGATGTACCGCCACTGTTTTTAGTACATGACCTGACTACATATCAGCAAATTGTTGATTTGACAACATTAATGGAGCTCTAGTGCTTAATAGCTCATAAAGTAAGTCGCATGTATTTTTAAATTTCCGTAAACAGATCCAAGTCACCAAGCTACTGCTGGTGATACTCACGCATCCAGTTTATAAGCAAAGATAATTATAGTTCGTAATAAACGAGATACATATTTGGTGTGTTCATCATCTAGCTCTAGTGATACTTTTGCAAGACTCAAAATTGGAGCAGGTAAAATAAGCTTTTGTTAGCTGTTTTAACATATGGAAAGTATACATAAAGAAACCAAGCCAAATGTTAGAGTTAAGGGCTTTCATCCCATCGAATAGACAGATCCTACTCCGTAATATAGAATTTCTTTGTGTAGTTTGATTTGCCCACAATATCAGCAGCATCAACAGGTTACGTTTCCATCAGAAACATTTATTAACTTGTTGCAACAACACGATTTCGAAGGGGTTATCGACACTTATCATAGCGTGACACATTTTTACATAATGAGAGCTCGTCATCCATCAGCAAAGCCACAAATGTATCGCTGAGCTAATTTCAGTATTCGTAAACGTATACATAAATATTCTTAAGAACCTGCCTGGCAAAAAATACATCAATATCAATGTTTTCAGTACTGTTACATTGAAAAGGCCCTAATATCCAACAATCAATACTCTACCTCAGTACATATGTATCCTTTGAATCGACTGCAAGCAAGCCACATATTAAATATGTGTACAGGGGACCCCTCTTTAACTTTCAAGCCTCAATTTGACCAAATAATAATTTCACATCCCCACGTATTTCACCTTCAATGGATCATTCAAGGTTGAAACTCTATCGAGTTATATCTCTTTATTGATAGGAAATGTTTTTCTTTTGGCAACTACCATAACCAGAGCATTGAATGAGTTTATTTGCTTTGATTATCAGGCATGATGATCAAGTGATGTAGTATAGTTGTGTAAAAAATCAATCGGACCTAGGCGAATGTATTGGATAAGTAGGTTATGTGAATTACATGATCTGTATAGTGGCAGCTTCACAAGAGTTGGCCATTTTTATAACATTAAGAGGTGTTTGGATAAAGGATTCTCCGTGCACAGGACTTTGTCCTTGTCTTCGTTAACCTTCACAATCCCTTATTTTCACGAATTTTAAGTTTAAAATTAAAGGGGGACCACTGTATTCGAAATCAAATACTGTACTCAAATGAAGCATTGCATTTCTGCGCTCTCAAACTAGGCAGTCTGCATATGGTTTTATGAAGGTCGACGTAGAATTACAGTATTGCCGTCATGATTTGGCAAGGGATCAGAGTTAAACGGCTTATATCGTCGTCAAGATTCGCCGGCGGTCATACAAAAGACATATGCCATGACCTGTCACACCTATTACGCTATTACATATAGCTTGACAGCTAAGCTTCGCAGAGCTGCATACTGTCAAGGTCAGTCATCCAATCTGGTTGTTCCACCAGGATTGTGCAATGAAGTGATGACGGCTAGTGAACTTACGGAATTCACATGCCCTGTAAATAGTATTTCACCATGATAGTTACTTTATTATAAAGGTCTAAATGTGTCAAAAGTTCTACAGTATGCAGTAACAGGCAATTCGGCGGTGTGCATCCATCAGCAGGTGTATATTTGCCAAGATCACTATCATAAAATTTGCAATAAATAAAGTGCCAAGAGGAGATATGAAGAGAGCAGTATACAAACAAATAGAGAAAAAAGAAAAAAGAACTACAATAAAGAATAAAGAGAATGAAGAATAAAGAATAAAGAAAAAAGAAGTATCTACGGTAACCACTTGGCATATTGCTAGGTAACGATGATCCCCTGATCTTACGGTTACCTTAGATAGTTAATCAAGCTGCGGTTGGTAAACTTTGTTGTTGTTTGTAGTCGTGTGAACCCGTAGCACCCTTTACTAGATTTGTTGACAAGCGCCCAATTTCAACACTTTCAAACTGGATTTTGGTTCTGTAACGATTTGAATCCTGAATAGTAATTTATTTGCAAGGTAACCATGAATATTGTTCCGTAGGAGCCACTTTAAAAACATTTTCATACCATCAACACCGGAACCACAACGTAGATCATCCCGAACTAAAAAGGTCTGTCTATTCCTTTCAGGTAGCACAAACGAATTTGCTGCTTTTGTAAAATGGCTGGGACCCGAAATGAACCGTTTTCGCTAGTTACAGTTTTTAGATCCAGCGACCAAGTTCTCGGCATTTTTTTATAGAAAAATGTCACATACAATCAGCATATATAGACTAGTTGAATTGTTTTATATCGAGACACCACATAGTAGATAATACATAGGCATATGTGTACGGGTTTGTTGCTGATGCACAGGTGTGACATAGAGTGATGCCACCAACGTAGCAAATGCACGGAAGATTCGACACGTTTACTGCTTGGAGGGGCGCTGAAGCTGTACATGTATCTTACCACGTGTATTTTTAAAAAGTTATATACATTACGTACAACAACTCGGCCGGTGGAGCACCATCTTAATCACCTTCAAACTTCTTGGCAGAATGGGAAAAAAAACCACGCGACCACCACTCTCTTGTAAAAGTATACGCTAAGCCCAAGCTCTATAGAAACATCATGAACAAAAAAATTTTACCAATTTGAGTAGTACAAGAAAGAGAGAGTGTGTGTAAGCGAGCGTTCGATAAACCCAGAATCAGTGTATGCGCATAAAGTCTAGGGATTAAGGAGTGATACTTGGAAGCAATAAATAATCGCAAGTTAAAGGAGGATGTCCAGCGATGCAATCGATGATTCCCTTGCAAAAAATGCTGTATGTGTATACAGACCCATGTTGATCCAAATGCAACAAGCGTGTACCATAGATGCATCCATTTGTATGGGCCCTAAACTGGTGATTTGAGCTACTATGAATGTAATAAGTGAGGCTCAACAAGTGGTTTTTCTTTAAGCAATTGTAGGTGGGGGTGAATAAAGGGGTAGAAGAGAGAATATACACTATGGCTTTGTCAGTATCTAATGCTAGCCTGTACAGTTCAAAGAAAGTGGGGGGGGGTGTTTGTTCGGACGACAGTACATACATACATGACGGGCCCTGACCCGCCCGTTTATTTTTTGCTCTCAGTAGTTTCGCAGCATACGCTACACACAACGCTGGGCCTATCGCGGCGCGGAACCTAAAACGCGCTTTTTTCTACGTCATTGGCGAAAAGAAGCACCAAAAGTGCGACCAAGCTCATCTCGTTTTCTCTTTTCCCTCTTTTTCTTCTTTTTTTTTTGTTTTTCCATTCCTACTTCTCAACTCGAGTACTAAAATAATTCAGGATGGTGAGTCTCGTCGGCTAATGCCTCAGGACAAAGTTGTCAAGAGTGTGTGTTTTTATGGAAGGCGGTGATGATGGTTGGAGTCTTTTTCTCTTTTCTGGGTTGATGGGCGAAAAAGGCTGCGGCGATAAATACATGATGAAGCGCATGCTCACCATGAAATTTTGTTTTGTGCTCGTTAGTCTTCTGGTGTTGCCGTGAACCAAGAGTGCCTTGACCTTTACCAAGAATTTAAGCTTCGCAAGAAGTACAAGTACATTGTCTTCAAGCTGTCAGGTAAAGTTGTTGTTCTCTTTACCGTCTATTGTATGGGTGGGTGGTGGTATGAGAGGTATGAGAGGTATGACAGAACGGATTGAGTGTTTTTCTTCTTCACGTGGCTCTTTTGCTGCTCTTTTTTGTGGATTTGTTTCGCAAGGAGTTGGGTGAAGAGAAATAAGCAATATAGACAGCAATGCTGACTTATGTCTATACGGCTGAATTTTCTGATAGATGACAACAAGGAGATCGTCGTCGAAAAGACTGCCGAGGATGCTACCTACGATCAGTTTTTGGAATGCTTGCCCGCTGACGAGCCCCGCTATGCTGTCTATGACTTTGATTACGAGAAGGTCGGTGAGGGCCAGAGAAACAAGATCACTTTCTACGCTTGGTAAGATAAGCTTTTTTTCACACCCCTCTTCCCTCCTCCTTTCTCTCTCCGTTTTATACATATATAAGCGTGTCTGTTTATGCTATTATACGTGGCTCACTCCCTAATTTTTGCTTGGGTACAGGATCCCTGATACGTCCAAGATCCGTCAAAAGATGTTGTACGCCTCCAGCAAGGACGCACTTCGTAAGAACTTGGTCGGTTTGGCCATCGAGATCCAGGGCACGGACTTCTCAGAGGTAATCAAATGGGAGACTGTGTGTAAAGAACAATGGTGTATGAGATACTTTGTTACTGAGTAAATACTTCTTTTTTTGTAGGTCGAGTATGACACCATCCTTGAGAAGGCCAACCGTTCAAACTAAACTTCCTCACTATTGCTTACCCCTAACAAACAACAAATAAGAACCATTATAAAACCATTTGGTATATCTCAAAGTATACTTGTGATATCCTCTCTCTTCCCATCCTCCAACAAAACTTATTATTTTAAAATGTTGTGCTAGTTTATAAGTGGTATTCAAAAAAAAGAGCAAGATAACGATATCCTGGGTAATCTGTTCACTCATGGAGTGAAAAATTCCATTGCTTAGCAACCACGTTTGAATATTCTGTTGCTTGGTAACCCAATATATGTATAAGGAAAGCTGACGTGAAACGAAAAAGAAAGCAAAACGATATACATGGTTTTTAAAGAAAACATCAAAGATTTGTTTAATCCTTGCAACAAAAAAAAACCACGAAAGCCAAAGAAGAGTTATAGTAGATAAAGAAAACGTTTAGCGAAAAAAAGAAAGAAGGAAACAAGAGAGACTTATTTGACCAATGGTTTGGATGGGGATGATGGTGGCTTTTCCGGTACCATAAAGGATGAAGTAGCTCCAGAATAATGCGGTTGACATTGACGATCGGCCAGGGAGGCAAGCATGTCCAGGGTGGGTAAAGGTGAAGACGACGAAGATGAATTCATACCGCGTGTAGATGATGTAGTGTTGATGGTCATATTCGTCGACGAAGCCGCGCTAGCGTCCTTGGAGAACGTGGGTAATGATGAAGATGCAGTAGTAGGTGATGGAAAATTGGAGGAGTTGATGGTAGTTGTAGTAGTAGCAGTAGTAGTAGTAGAGGGAGGAACAATAGCATTAGTAGTTGAAGTGGTATGATATTTCGTATACGAAGGAAGTGGTGATGCAGGGCGTCGACGTGGCGAGCTAGACGAGGGCGTTGTTGTGGCGGCGGGCTCTTTTCGATGAGGCGGCGGTGGTGGTACTCGTAATTGTTGCTGTGCAACGGCGGAGCGCATAAGTGCCATATCGTGATTGGCTTCCTCCTCTGTGAGTGGAACGACTACGGAATGTAATGCAAACAGTGACGGGTTAAGGATTGTTTGATAAATGCAATGATTATTGCATCTAATTTGCTACCAAAAGTAGTGGTAGTAGCAGTAGTACTAAGTCAAATGAAAAGGATATCAAGCCTAGAGGGGCGGTGGCGCGGTGTCCATTCTGACACATGCTGATTGTTTAACGAGCCTAAATTGTGTAGCCAAACAAATAACAGTGCGTCAGTCAATAAGTATATAAGTTCACTAATATTATACTGAGTGGGGGTGGCTGCTGCTGCCTGTTATCCTTACTTGAGCTGCTGTGGGAATAAAATTCCTGTTCAAGTTTACTGATCTGCTGCTGCACTTGCTGCATCATTTGTCGTCGGAATCCCTGCCGCTGCAGCTTTTTTGCGTATGTTGATTGTTGTTGTTTTTATAATAATAGAAAAAGTAATTGTTATAATTATGAGCATTTCTTTTCTTCATTACGCGTGTCGAGCGTTGACGGCAACGACGACCCGTAGATGAATGCAAAACATCATGTTTACCATGAAATGATCATTGGCAGCCTTGCAAGTGGTTTCAAAAGTCTCAGTGAAATTGGCCATATGGTACTCGTAGCCAGCTTGCGTCACTTTGATCTTAGCCGCTCGTTTGTTTTCGATCTCCTTGATGAGTTTGAGATACTCGGGGTGTGTCCCGCTTTTGACGGTCTGTTCCAACTGGTCCAGTTCGGCTAGCCTAAGATGCAGTGGCGACATATTTGAAAAATTTGATTAAAACGCATAGTTACGTATACATACACCTCTTTGAAGGGATGGCCCTCTGTGTGTATGTGCGTGTGCGTGTGTGCATATACATATACGTATAGATAGACATAATCTTTCTATCTATGTCTATTTGTATTGAATATTATTATAGCTGCTACTACTACTATTATTATGCTCACTTTTCTTTGATTGCTGCTTCGCGCTGGGCCTTTTTTGCTTCGCGCGCCTCTTTAGTCATGCGCTGGCTCATATTTCTAGTTTCTCTGTCGGTCGCTGTTCCGGAATCATCACGGGTTGATGCAAATACCGGGCCATTCTTATTGTTGTTTTTAGCCCGCTTTTTGCTGCTAGGACTTGCCATTGCTGCACTGCGTCGTGAGCGCTTTCTGGTTGTGGGCGGCTCTGGAAGCTCATTATTGTTCTGGACGGCTGATTCAGTTGACTGTGACCGCGTCACTCGCGCGCTGGTGTGGGCAGGAGTGCCGTTATTGTTGCTATTTCCTGCTGTTGTAGGCCCTGGCGTTGCTTCTGGCGTTAATGAAGGCGATGATGATGGTGGTGGTGATATGGATGATGCATTGCTTTGCGGAGCTTCAGCCGCGTCTGTAGTGGTAGTGGTAGTGGTAGTAATAGAAGCTGCTGCTGCTGCTTCTTGTTGTTGTTGGTCTGTTGCTGTAGCAGTATCATAATCATCATTATCATTATCGTCATCATTGTTGTTGTCGCTGTCGCTGCTGTTGTTGTTGATTTTGGATGCAGTTGATGGGGGCGGAGCAGAGCCATCCTTTGTTGTATTCGCCGCCGACCGGCTGGCCCGCCGAGTGAGTATGCGGTTGGCAGGAGGGTCGTCGTTCTTGGAATCTCGCAAGTCCGTTGCAGTTCCCTTTGGTTGTGACATGGCGGAGGGTGTGGGGCTGATTAGCGCAGAGTAACGGTTGGAACAAGTGCTTGGGGGGAGTGAGGCGGTATGGGGGAAATGGCTAGTGAATCTCAACTGAGAGGCCTTTGAAATGAAGGGAAACAGGGAAGAAGAGGAAAAAAAGAAGGAGAGAGAGGAAGCTGCCTGTGTGTATGGGCGGCAGGTGAAATTATCAGAGGTGAACAACGCCGCTCGACCAGAAAAAATTGTACCGATGGAGGATGGGGGACTCACCGTCTTGTTTGTCTTGTTCTGTGAACGAGCGAACGAACGAATGGACGTGTGTGCGTGTGTGTACGATGGTATGGGTGCGTGTATAAAGATCCTTTGATTAAATCAGAAACTAAGCGTCTCTTCGTACGATACCTCAGTTCATATTGCGTCGACAGGTGACACTCTTTTTCATTCATCCATTCATTCATTCATTCGTCCACTCCCCCCAAACACTTCTTTTCTCTCTCTCTCCCGTTCTCCTCGCTCCCCCCACCTACCCATCCATCCACCCACCCTTCTCTCTCCCCTTCTTGGCAAGCAAGCAAGTGTCTCGCTTTACCCTATTAGTGTATTGCTGCTGTTGTGCTGTCGTTGTTTGCTGTACATAAATGATATAGGCTACACTGTTATTATTGTCCGTATTCATCATCGTCCGTCATGTTTCTTTATTCGTCGTCATTCAAAAAACAAGCACACACGAACACAGACCCTAGTCTCTCCACTTAACATACCATTATGACCTCTCTTCTTTCCCCTTTCCATGACATCCACGTCAGCACGTAATAAAGAATTGATCTGTAGTACCAAACCCGAAAACAGAGCGTATAGCAATGCATGCATTACTCTATTTCGGTCCTCATCATCATTAGTCCCCTTGCGTGTTGGTGGTGGTGTTGATTCCACACACACACCCAGAGAGAGCACCCCCTTTCAACCCCCTTCAATCTGAACATTAGCATGCAAACAAAGAAGAAAAGAGCAAATTTTCTGACTCTCCAACTTTAATACAAACGTGGATTTCCAAAGCATATAAGTGAACTGAGACGACCGAGCTTATGTTGTGATGATTGAGTGCGCGGCGGAAGCAAAACAACAACAAAAAACAGTTGCCTTGATTTCGTGTGGCACCAAAAAAGGTCGTTACACGAGGTGTGTTGAACCCACCTGTCCAGTGTTTCCTGTGCGCGTTGACGCTCTCAGCCATACGTATTACATATGCCTTATTCTCCCACTGTTCTCTTTTGTTCTTGTGCTTCGTAGAATGCGTTTACGTGGATCTACGGTATCCCAGCAACAAAATAGGTGTTCCGGTTGCCATGAAATTATTTTCGTTTAAATACGTTGCCATGGCGAAAACGGTGTCGTTATGTAGCAGCTGCAATAATTGATTGGACCCTGGTTGCGGGTTCACTCTCTTTCTCTCATAATTATAAGCCTCTCTCCACTCCTCCTACCCCGAAAAAAAATTAAGAAGAAAAGAAGCTCGTGGGCAAGGTTACACAATCTGCTGCCAATCATTTCCCGTCGATCTTAACGGCATGAATGTTCCCCTGCTTTGCTAACAGTTTTATTATCTCTTTTAAGAGAGCCTAGAATTTAGTATATCTTTTCTTTTCAGTGTAAAAACAATGAACGCTTAATTCTTTTATTTCGCTCTTATAAGTTAATTTATCTTCTTGTTCATTACCCTCTTTTCTATTGTAAACTGCTACTAATGCAAAAATGTTTCGGAACAATATTTATTCCAGCGCCCGCTCCCCCCACCTCTCCCCTCTTTATACAAGAGCGAATATGGCCCAGAACTCGGGCTCATCGCCATATTAATCTCGATGCGCGCGATTGTACAGCAAAATAAGCAAATATAGGGATATGCATAACAAAAAATCACACGTTGCTCATATCGTTCCTTCAGAGCTCTCACTATGTATGCGTGTCAGCAAGGTGTTGGTTGCAGTGAATGAAAAGAAAAAGCCTAAATCTGTAAGCTCCTGTTCATACATGATCCTACTATGAACTTCCTACTTGGTAGGGGATACTTCGCATGTTATCTGGTGATTGAACAAGTTGCCCTGGATCATTATTCGATTTCAACCGGTATACATGTAGTGGGTGTAAAAAACAGCACCCAATAACCCAAATCGCTGAACACTGACCCAGTGAAAACCGACGGGGTTTTAATCTGTTGCGATTCGGTGAAACCTTCGGACAGACAGGATCTCCTCTTGTGCCACACCAATCAAACCTCGTGACTCCAATCCTGCTGCTGATGCAGTGTCAATTTACATGGTGCATGTAAACTCATGCTTGCTCCTGCAGGTATTTTGTTTTCCCTCAACACAAGAGAAAGATAGCGTGTTCTTGACAACTATTATGAGAGAACTTTTGATAAGCACTGTGCTTACACATACGAGACTGAGTTTATGTATGAAAAGCACAACGTTCCTGGCGTCTTTCTATTTCGTTGATCGCTAAAGGACTTAATGCACAGCTCAAGGAACCTGGCAACATCAAATTACAAAATCAATCTAAAGTATAAATACTGAGTATTTTTATGAACGGGCAGCAGCAGCACTGATTGTGATGTGACTTGTGATGAGTGTAATTAATGAAGCATCACAGGGGTTATCGACATCATGGGGTTAAACAACATTTTCTCTTTTTACTTGTTCTCAAATTCGAATACGATCATTGCTACTCCTCTGCAACTGCACTGGAAGCCTTGCTCGTCACTTTCTCGATATCAAACTGATTGAAGCGATAACAAAAGCTCGTAGTATTAGCTGAAAGCAGTATAAACAAACATGTGATTTAATGGTACGTACATCTGACACATCTGCGCCCTGGATATGGACACTTGTTCCAATAAACAGTCGACGGAATGCTCGTAAATTCAGTGCATGCACCATTTTGGCTTTGACGTCACTTTCATCGGGACTCCTGATAATAGTTAGTATATTATATTACTTAATAGACACCTTCCTTTCTTTTTCACTACATTACCAAGCATAGAATATAATCTTTTTACGGGCGCCTTCAACCTCAGGCACTTGAAATTCTAGATCAAGTACTGCATAGCGGGGCTCTTTAGATGGCAGGCTTGATATGAATCGTTCATAATAATCTTTATTCGGGCCTCCGGTTTGGTCAACGATCACCTGATCACAGTCATCTATCCATAAGCATGTGTATTATTGAGAACAAAAGCAGCAAAAGCATGGTTACTTTATCTACTGTTGGTGCATAGAACAAAGATATACACCATACCATTGATCTTAAAGATAATGTATTTGATTTCTTGTCCAAATTTAAGCTGCTCAAGCTGCTTACGGCAATCGTCATGGATGGTAAAACCGGATGTTGGCTATGTCACATGAAGTTATAGATTTCAGTGAGGAAATGCATGCTCACTTGCAAAAATTTGGGAAATGTTAAGCATTATATAGCAGAAAATACCATAGTAACTACAATGTGAGTTTTCTTTTGCTTTTTAACGGTTAGGTTGGTGAAATTAGAAAGATTAGAATGCTCAGTTGCTGTAGTGATAGTGGGCTTTTATAGAAAATGCCATTTTGTCCGCCAAGAATACGACTTTCTCAATTACCGGGTTACCAAACGTACAAAGTCGGATTGACAGCTTCTCATCTCAATTTCTGAAATATCAATAGTAACGACGAATGTTACAAAATATCACTTAGCTACGAAATTAAAATAACAATATGCGCCTTTATAAGATTATACACTTTCTAAATAGAATACCTATCCCATATTGCAACCATTGCTTAAGTCGTTTCATAAAAAATACCTTCTTCTGATGCAAATGATCGGCGCTTCACCCGATAATTTTGCTGGCTGATCAATTTAGACAAGTACGCGGAGATCGATAAAAAAGTGTTAAGCTGTGATTCGTTGTTGCTGCTGCTTGTTGCGACTGTGAGTTGCCCCTGGAACTCACAGTCGCAAGAAAGCACAAATTGCCAAGCCCACCCTTTTGTGTTGTATCTTGTTTCAAGTCTGTCACAATGTATGTAAGTATGGAGGTAATTTCTTGTGAGGAGGTCAAACGCGCTTTTAATTGCGGAGCAAATCCCACTCCAACTTCTTGACTGTGTTTCCTTTATTAGTTTAGCGCTATTTGTATTGAAAATGCGCGTGAGCAAGCTGGCCTGTGGAACTTTGGCTGCGGGAACAGGGTGCGTGACAGATCTCAAAAATTCCTCTCAAGCGGTTCCAAAGCGAGAAAACAGCGGTTTCCCATTTTGTTTATATTCTCGGGCTTTGGTGAAGCACTTTTCGTAGCGAAAATGAATCTTCTTAATGAGCTGAGGTGAGCAGCTTTCCAGTACTTAACATGGTGACAATAATGACATGTGTGTCACAAACTAGAAGTACCATGCTTTTGGGATGGCGGCAAATAAACACTGTTCCACTTTGGGACTCTTTGAGAACCACCAACGAATACCTAGCGTAAATGCATGCAACAGTGTAAGGAGTTTCTTTTGAAAAAGGCATGATGCTAATATAGAATGATTTGCCAACTTGTGCAACGGAGAGCAACAGAACTTTATATATAAATGAATAGTCACCGGATTTTATAGCCGCGGCAACAATAACAAATTACAATAGCTTCCTGGATGAAGTATACTACGATGGATATATTGTCTGCTTCTTTATTGCTATCGTCCCCTGAATTATGAAATATAAAGTAGTGATGCGTGTTTCGTTTTTAAAGTTGAAATGAGCGTCGCATACTGGTAGAATTACCATTAGCATAGCTTACAATGCGTTGTTCAACTGTGCTATGATGCTATCTCTCTTTGTATATACTCTTATCATGATTCCTATATATTTTTTAAAGCGTTGTAAACCAGTTGCCATTGCTCTCATTGTAACATCCACAAATACGTTTCAACCCTTCCAGTAGCCTCAATCTGACCATGCAAAGAAAAGATCATTGGCCTAAAACATGCAACTGTGTGTAACTCTGAGAAAGATAGTAGCGTGCATTTCACACCAGTAAGAAAAGAAATGCATGCATACATGTGCAACAATAAATTTGAGCAGGCTTACAAGTAGCCCAAAACGAACAGATTAAGATTACCAGAAAGTCCCAACGGGTTGTGGTACTACATAGGTGCACAAATACTTGCAATGTAAAATTAACTCCAAGAATTGCAGTGGTGGTCGGTTGAAAAGCTGTGCACAAGAGGAGAGAAAAACACAAACGCTAGAAAATACCATTGAAGTCCTGCTGCGTCTTGCTTATAATACGAAAAACGGGAGAAGGTTTTTTTAAATACGCTCGGTATAGTGTGTCGGTATATGCTTTCAGTTTCTGTTCAGTGTAACAGGTACAACAATTCCCAACAGCAAAAATGAGTTATCCTCCTTTCCCTTTTTCTTTGACTTTCTTTCCAAATAGAAAATAACCATTACTCTTCCTTTCTTCCTCCCATGGTCGAAAGTAATAAACGAAACTCACTCACGTTTCCGTTTGGCTTACGAATTCCTGGACGCAGCAACAGTGTCAAGTCCTCATCCACTCCACCATCACACACACCTACTGCAAAACGCACATCCTCCGCTACTACAACAATAAGTAACCAGCAACAGCAGCAATATACAATGTCGGCTCCTCCCCTTGAACGTCCACCAAGTAGCAACAGTTTCCATCTTGCTCGCGGGATCAATAATAATAGCGCAACACACCAACAACAACCGGTGATTAGCGACAGTGATGAGGAGCGAGTCAAAACGCCAGCGTCACCAACAGGTAGTCCCAATACAATAAGCAACAACGAAGTACCAGAGTCACCTACAGCACGGCAGGACTCGGAAAGCTTGAATTATGTCAACATATCAGTAGATGTTCAAGCTGGTCCAAAAAACCGAGCCCAGGCAATCATCGATCGCTTTGGTGCCTGGCAAATCATTCTTCGCGAAATTTTGATATGGTTAGAGCAAGTGGGGAGAATCAACTTGCAAAGCAGCGAGCTGTATTACCACAAAGTGTTACCGCATGTCGATTGGAATGACAGTAGTGTCAAGCGCGGCACGCCCATGGCATCGATACTTTACGGCTTCCGTTCATTGACTGCCCGCGTTGCATCCACGCAGCATTCTGCTGGCAACAAGCTCTTGAACGAATATATACCTGAGCTCGAGGCCTTGGCCAAGGAATGCAAACGAAAAACCCAGACGCTCGACCAAGACCGTCAGTTTCGAATGGACGAGCTGTTGCGACGCGCTGATACAACACAAAAAACAATTTCCCTGCTCAGTAAACAGTGTCAAGCGGCAGCATCGACAGGGGGTCATGTCTCACAGGATCCTTGGCTCACGAATCTTCGTACGTTGTCATTTATATATGCTATTGTACAGTGTATATATACAGAAGATTTCCATACTTACTTTGTTGCTTACATAAACATTCTCAGATGTCTTGCGTTATTTGCAACGAGAAATTCAAGAGGACAATCGTCTTCGAACGGCCATCATCGACATCCAGCATCAATCTGCATTATTTGAGAAGCGCATCATTCACGCACTCAAAAAAGCTGCTCAGTTCTGTTACGATCACTATGGAAACATTGCCGTGTCACGGGAAACAGCACGGATCCAGCGCATGATCGAAAAAATGGACACCGAGCGCGAATGGCAGCAATTTTTGAGCAGCGAGGCCAGAGATCTTGTTGTAGACGAAGTCACTCCGTCACGTAACTACCTTTTCATCAATTACAGCAATAAGTTCCATCCTGCCGTAATGACTCTTGCCAAAGGCAACTTGGAACGTCGCACGGGTGGCATTCGCAAACAATACACTAAACGCTACTATGTTTTGACGCAATGTAAATATTTATTTTGGCCGCTATCATTGTCCAAAATCATACTAAAGATGCATATATTGAAATAGGTGGGTTCCTGCATCAGTTCCATGAAAATGACAAGGTTAACCCAGAGCTTTCAATATTTATTCCGAGGTCCACCGTTATTCCGTCCATTGATATTAGCCATCTAGCCCACGATGAGCATGGTGGTAATTACACTGTTGAAATTCGACGATCGGCAGCACTTCAACGTGACAAAGTGTATATACTCAAGGCGAGCTCGCGGGAAGAGCTGGTCGCCTGGTGTCGCTTGTTGGTTGATATTGCGACACGTAACCATGGTCATTCTGCAACATGGAAAAAGATTCAACGGAAAAGCATGTTACCTGGTGATAATGATGATCCTACTACTGGAACACTAAGAATTGATACCACTTCCGTTGCGTTACAACGATTAAGCACTAATGCTGGCAATGGCAGTCGACAAAACAACGGCAGCAGTAGTGCGCGACGAACAAGTCAAGCTCCTTTATCCGCTCCAATGACAGTAGATCCACCCGTCACTACGACAGTGGAGACAACAACAGATGGTGCCGCAGATACATCTTTTTCGTCACTGGGATCCCCGCGTGAAGAGTATTCCACCTCTGTTTCTCAGTTAGAAGAAAAAGGTTCCAAAGCCACTGAAGACGATAATAGTCGTGACCGTGCCACTAGCATTCCGGACAAAGGCAAAGGACGAATCAAGGAAATAATTGAAGCAGTGGTGGAGCCCATAGCAGACAGTGCGGCTCCGAAAGAAACAGCTGTGGTAGCAACAATACTGCGTAGCAACGAAACAGCTTCACTTAAGGCAAAAGCAGAGGACCGTCACGAAGAAAGGGATGATCAAAAGACACCGACAAAAGAGACTGGACCTATACTTCTGGTCAATAGTCGCTCAGATCAACAAGTAGAGTTACCTCCAGCAAACGACGAGCCCCAACGACACTTAACACCGCCTCTTGGCGAGGCAAAGGACGAACGAAAAGATACTACGACCAATACTGACGAAAGTAACGCAAAGGCAACGGAGAAAGAAGGAGGAGAAATTACAAACTTGGAAAAGCAGGCGTCATCAGATGATAGCACCGGCAAGAGCTCCCCAGAAGCGAAACGATCTTCTACTGCATTAATGTACTTCGTCAGTTATCTCCCGCAACTTAACAATACTTTTTCGACGGCACAAAGTAGTGACCAGCCCACCACTACAGCAAGTAATCGAAACAGCAATCAATCATTCCAATCTTTACCAGAACAGCCGTCTTCTAGTGAAGAGACCACGTCACGGCAGTAGTAGCAGCAGCAGCAGCAGAAGGAGTAGAAAAGTGAACAGCTCTCTGCTATTCTGGTTGTTGTCCTGTATATGAATATGCAATATCTAGTTCTAGTGTATAAAGGTTATTTAACACGGCAGCATATCGTTGTCATCTATTTCAAGAAGAAACAAGGAGTATTACCATGCGCATATAAACTGCACTTTTCTTCAAAGCAAGTTTTACTGTTACATAGCTAGTAGAGCAGCATCGCATATAAGCGTATATGTAACGTGTGTCGTTGACTTTGTAGTGCTTTCTGTCAATAATCACGAAGGATCACATACAAATAAAATTCCGGGAACGCACTTCAAAACCACGTGCAGTACAATGCTCTTTAGGAACCAAAGGGCTTTAGCGCATCCTATTCGTGCTCCTTCTGGTATTTCTATATTTGATAATGCCTCTTTGGTTAGCTAAATGCAGTTGCTCTTTGTATCTTCTTTCCCTCGAGGACCTCAAGTCTATGGTGGCCTATACTAAAAATTTTTACATATTAACACTAACAAAACCATGATAAAAGTGCAACATTGAAACTCGAGATTAAATACAACGACACGTTTTTATTACAAGTCAGTATTGCTGCTTATTTCTCATATACTGATTATTCAGAAAGTCAGATGACTGCGAGGTTATTTTTTCTTCTCATGAAACGGTATGGCAGCTCATAATGTAATAACCTGTACTTTTATACAACTATTTCAAAAAGCGCTATTTTACTTCCCTCCCTCCACCAGTAACTCAAAACCAGGATTGAAAAAAAAGCGGATATTGTTACATGCGTGCAACGTCGTCTTCTTGATGACCCTGTGTGTATCATGAGTGCTTTTCCACCAAATTCCTCAGTTTATATGTAACTCACAGGTCCCACTTTGAAGCGTACTCATCAGACTTGCTTGTTGCTAATGATAGTTCGTGTTTACCGAGTTAAACATACAAAGCGCCTGAAAAACTAGTTTATTTGTACCAGACAATAGTGTATGCAGAACATTTGGCAGAGCGAAAAAGTAAGCGTTCCACCCGTGTGTGTACACTTATAGTACATAATAAATAGTGTTAGAGAAGTACATAAACATGGTACCTTTTTGTAATTTTTTTTCATGGTTCGGATTATCGGTTTGTTTGGTTCTTCTAAATTCTGGTTCAAGTACTTTTTTCTCAAGGGATCTGCTCGGATGATTATGCACTCCTTTTTAGTTAATTATTCTGACCAATAAAAAAGCGATATATATGTTCTGGATTATTGTTACAACTGACAATGCCGTGAGCAACAGCAACACTAGGCTCATAAAGAATTTGAACACAGTAATATTCTATTCAGACAGAAAAAAATGAACTTTTTACTAGAAAGAAGGTTTAAACAATATGCAAAAATAGAAAACACAGTTTTTCATTTGTGTGTGTGCTTTACATAGTCATTTCAGTATTAGATCAAACTGAATTGTAAACTCATGCATACTGCTGACAGTAAACGGGATGAATGTAAAATGAAGAGCAGGGAAGAAATAAAGGAGTGGAAAGTGTTGTGTGAGATAATATAGTAAAGTAGTACTACTACCAGATGAATATAAAAAATGTAGAATAAAATCGAAATAAACAAAATAAGAAAGATTGATGAGCTATAGCTACATTACTCTACATGTAAGATTTTAACCTTATCATCACTCGATCTAAGTGATAATAACATGAAATAAAATGCGAAAAGAAGAAAGAAGGTGAGGAATTGAGAGAAGTATAAAAAATCTCACCAAAGTAGTACGGTTAATGACGGAAGTAAGTAAGGTATGATAGTATAGTAACAATAAAGAAGGTAAAAAGTAATAAAGTGATGCTTGCATGTCTTCCTTTTTATCTACATAGTGTAGATGTAGTTTGGATCGGCAACGTCGCTCAGATCGTCTTCTACGTTCGTCACAACGCCGGATGAGCGCGCTAAACGGTATCGATTGACTGTAGCCATTTTCCATCGAGCGATCAAAAGCAAGATAACGACGAGTACGTTCGCGCCAATGTAGGTAAGCATACCAGGGATATAGGGTGGTGTAATCATGAGCAGAGGCCCGACAAAGTTCCCGATCTACAACATCGTTTCGTTAGTTATCACGCACGCAAGAAATATCCCAAAAAAAAGTGTCGCTGGTGAGTGTGTGCGAACTCGTACCGTATAGAACACCATCAGGCTTCCATTATAGAAGATTTTTTTGGTGTATCCTGACACATTGTTGGAGATCGATGCGATCATGAGGACGTAAGCTGCGCAGTATGCCCATGCCATATAGAAGCCAACCAGTTTGACACGAGTAACAGGGATTACCAGCAGCAAGATCAAACCAAGGATATCAATGCACATCAAACCACAAGCAGTGTAGAGCAGGTTACCTGACTTGCGAGCACAAATAACTGCACCAATAATAAAAACGATATCGGCACCACCACTGCCAATAGTAAGTAGCACACTTTCTAATTGCTATATATTATGCAGAGCAGCAAACAAAAGTAGCATTCCCAAAAGATAGAGAGGCGGATGTTGTTGGTGACATTGGTGAGACCATGAAATTAATCAAGTTGTAACCACAGCTTAGTACTACTACTATAACTTACGGTGAACCCAAAGTCTTGAACAATCTGGGCATTATAAATCGTCATTGCACCATTCTGAAGGTTGATAAGCATACAGGCCAAGCCAAATGCCCAGAAGCGGATTTCGCCTAGGGCTTCTTTGATTTGGTGAATTTTGATCGTCGTTGTGCGAACTACTGAATTATCACGTGTGCGTTCTTCGACAAGGATTTCCTGTTCAGCATTGAGCTTCAGTGCTTTGGATTTCGGATTGTCGATCAAAAAAAAGAACGAAAAGATGCCCATGAACACTGTGCATGCACCCAGAATAATCATAATCCTGTGTTTATATTAAAGAATGTTGTAATTCAGACATTAGAAAAACGTTTAAATAGTAGAGCCCATCTCGACGTGATGTTGCAAAAGTGTTCAAAAAGAAAAAATCGGTATCTTTTTTATACCATTTCCAGCGTGATATTCCAAGATCGTTCTCCATGCTTCCAATGCCATACGTTATGAGGCCACCAATGATTAAAGCGACACCGTTCCAAATCCAAAAGGCACCTGTTGTTGTTATGTTACATTGCAAAAGATGACAATTAGTATTTTGTGATTCTTTTTAGTACGAAAAAGAACATACCCAAACGAGCGGCTTGCTCTGATCGTCGATAACATGTACTAATCAATAGCGTCATGGCTGGATAGATTCCTGCCTCGAACAAACCAAGCAAGAAACGCATAGCAGCAACTTGAGCAAAGTTTTTACCGAGGGCAGTGCAGGCGAGAACAATGCCCCATAAGACAACAATCACGCCAATGTACCGTGCCACGGCGAAACGTTGCAAGAAGAAATTGTTTGGGAACTTTGATAAAAGAGAGAACACGATTTGTTGAGTGACCCGGTGTATAGCTCATAGATAGTATAACTTGCTTTGGATGTAATACTGATACCTGGTACAACAAATAGCCCAAGTAAAAAATGGAGCCCAATAAGCTGTACTCGCTTCCTTGAAGATTGAGCTCCTCTTTGAAGTTGAACAGTGCGGCATAATTGATGGTTGATTTGTCGAGAAACTATAAAATACTTATTAAGCTGTGCTGTTGCTGCTGTTGCTGCTTTAAAGCGTGACTTTATTAGTCTGCTGCATATACAACTTTCTTTTTCCTCTACCTGAATAAAATCGAGAACACAAACGATCGGCATGATGTATAAATCAAGTTTCCTTACGAGTGCACGTTCCTCGCTTGACTTTTCTGGCTCATCTTCAACGCTGTAGCCGTACGATGTATCATACGCTTCGTATTGCTCATCTGTGGCTGCATAAAGGGACTGGCTTGCCCGTTTTTCCATGTTGTTGAGTCGTATGAGGTCTGACGAATTGGTCGCTATGTTTTTGTGAAACGGATCCATTTACCGCCAGGAGTAGAGCTGCGTTTTTCTGTTCTGTTGGATTCAGCCGTCGTCGCGACACTTTCATACAGAACACAGCAAGATATTGTGTACTTTGTTATTTGTTTTGCTGCTGCTGTTGTCTCCGGGAAGTAGCAGTATGCGTCGTCGGTTTCGTTGATTGTGATAATGTTTGCTCTGACGTTATAAGGGGCAATAATAAGAAAAAATAAAATGAATGCTTTTTTATTTTAGTTTACTAGTAGAAAAAGAACGGAGGCAAAAAAGAAAAGGAAAAAGGAAAGTAAAAAAGGAAGAACAAGAGAGTGCTTTTTGCGTGTGTACGTGCTGGATGTGGGTGTTACAGCTTGGAAGCCTCACTTTTATTTGACGTGGTGAGTTGGCTGGTAGGCTGGCTTTGCTGGCCCACAGACTGGTTAGCTATCATAACGGAAGTTTGGACATATTAGAAAGGATGTAACCGGGGCCCGCATCAAATCACACATCCACTCTTGTCACCCGGTTACAAATCACACATAAAACCTAGGTGAGTCTGCGTGCACAAGTTCCAGCTTAATGGAATTAAACTACTGCACGCACTTACAAGGAGGTGATGAGCATCGGCGGAAATTTCAACAATCGATAAAAAGATATTATGCCACAAAAAAGTGTATCCGTTTTCCTGTCTCACATGAAAAAAAGGGTATCGCATCAAACTTTGGGGGTTTGTAGGGGGAAGGAAAAAACTAAATGAGATTATTTGAGAAGAAAAGAAGCAACCACCAAAAGAAAATAGTACGAGTCTTCCCAAGTGCGAACAGAGATGGTCCCACCTGACCATCTTGGAACTATTCTAGGTTACACCACAGCCCTTGGTCCTACATAGCAATAGCCTTCTGCTTATAGTATAATATTCTGGTATCTGCTGTTTACTTGCGCGTGTCTCTGTCCGACCTGGCTTGATTACCAAAAGGCATCAAGATTAGGGTGTCCAGAGCATCAATAATGCAGGGGTCCCTCTTGATCTATGAGATTTGTTCCTGTCAATCTGCAGCCTATAAAACCTCTCACATAGTCCCATTATTGACTGTCAATTACATTGCTCTGGTACATGAATTAGCTGTTCGGATGACAACAACAGCAGCTTATTTAACCAGGAAGCCACCAAGGACTTGATGCATGCATATATCTACCTTTATTGCTACTGCTAGTATACTTACTAGTATGGTGAATGTTGCTGTGTAATGTATGACTAATTTTCAATGTCCCAGCATTGAGTTACAATTGTACAGCAAAAAGTGCTGCTGCCATGGTTGTAGTTGCTATGGTGAAGGTCACTATGGATACACATTTGTTGTCGCTCTGCGCTACTACTACATGGTTACAAACTCGGGAAAGAAATGGCTCATGTTACGTTATTTCCCCAATAGCATATTCAATCAATGTAACAGCATATTAAGATTATGTCCGCGAGCCTTTTTTTTAATCAAGTGCATACTAGAAGTCCACACTTGTATAATCTCCGGAATCAGAGGTGAATGTGAAGAAAAAAGGAAAACCATATATTTTTTTAACTTCCAATCTAATTTCATACATTTTTGAGGACTGCTTAGCTGTAAGCAGCAACGGTAGGATGGAAGTGGTCGAGGATATCATGATTACAACAGGTATTCAAAACTTTTTCATTTGCATATCAGTACAGTATCATATTCACTGAGCATCAAGGCTCACCGATATAAGGATAGAACAAAAACGACTTTTTTGAGTAGTAGCATTAGTACAGATCTAACATATAAACATCAACCGCTCCTCTCCAAATCAGCCTTAAAGGAGCATAGGGAGCCGTTGCAGGTTTTCTATAGCTATATAACTTCAGATCAGCAAGCAATATAAGAGCGTGTACATACATACGGAGTCAATGTTTGCTCGTCTCGGTTGAATATGATAAGTTGACTACCCTCCATAAACTTCATACTGTATAGGGCATACAAGAGGTCCGGCCTTGCTCATCGAACTCACCATTCTGAAAACTTCATCATCCCTCAAATGACTTTTGTGTCTAATAGGTTGAAATTTAATACTTTTCCGATGACTGTAAAAATGGAATAGGGAATAGCAGAGATTGACACTATATCTTCTGCCACTCTCGATTACCATTTCTCATTGCGGTAACCTTTTTGTAGTAAAGATGGATGTAAGCGGTCTACCACAAACTAAGACTTAGTAGTGCCACTAATACTTTCATTAACTCGGCAGTAGAAAGTGGGTCATCATTGGTCCTTCTCGACGGCAACATCATAGACACTAGTCGTATTTATAAGTTACACAGCCGAGCCATTATATGAAAACAGCAGCCTCAAGATTGCGTTAAAAAGTTCTTGTGGTGAGCTTGCCGTATAACTACCACGGGCACAATGTCAGCTTGTCAAAAATCAATGCCTTTCCTTTGAGAAATGTAAATCTTCAACTACAGATGCAGCCCTATTATGGCAACATAGGATTTTACACATAAAAAACTAGACACATAGTGGAATGGAACTCGACCATAGTGCAGCGGATGACATTCGAATAATCTTCGTTTAAGTACTTTAGTGTTCAAAAGCTACCAATTGCAAGAGCCTCAACTGTGGATTTTACACATGTATATATCTTAAACAGTTGAAAAGCATGCAGCAGGCCCAGTTTATTGGGATCAAAGCATGTATATCAAAGTGACGAGATGTGGCGGAGAGAACTCTACATAACTCAATTTAAAACAACTATCCAAACTAGACAAGATACTGGTAAGAAAGCGGTATGGAGGACAAGGTCCGAAAAAGAGGATAGGTTGTCCGAAAAGGAAAGCAGAACGAGCTTCTTAGTGTACAATATAATAGATCCTTAAGCACGATGGACCGAAGGACGTTTGTTTGAAGATTCCGAGATGTCGCCACTTGACCAAGAGCCTCGGTCCTATCATTGTTACACTGTGTTTTCGGTCTTACACGTAAAAACATATTGGTGTGCTCTTTGCCTGATTCGTTCTGCGTGTGATCATTTGCGCATGTCTTGTCAGACTCGGAGCTAAAATATACATTGCAACTAATGTAAAAAAACAAAAGTAAAAAAATGCATGGGCCCTTTCGCCAAGAGCAGCACTTTTTTCTTCCCTGTCAAGCTGTATGCAATACGTTAATTATAGTATCATTGGCTGTCAAGTTTTTACATGACGGTAGCACATATAATTAGTTGCTTGTAACAATACACAGTAACCAAAGTGATGCATGTTGCTCATCATTTTACTTGAAAATGGCACCTGTTTTTATAAAGTAGATGCGTATGATATTCAGAATATAAAATGGGCTCTGTATGTTTAGCATATAATATGACTTTCATTCTCATGCTGTGATGTATGTTGATACTATGTACGTGCATAAGACTATAAACCAGCTTTATGATAGTAAATGGGATTCCACGTTACATTACCTCATTATTGTTGTTACAATTGCAACGATATAAATACCTGATAAAGAACCAAAGTCATTAAGTTCCCATCTGCTGTATTTTTTAGAGAAATAGCAAACGTAGTAAATAGTACCATATGTCCGCGACCGGATCCTCCTAACTGATTTTTCTCCTTTCCGGAAATATTAGGTAATTTTTTTATAGTTTAAAGTGTTGATAAGATTATTAGTAGAAATTTAAAGGGTGGGGGAATACAATTAGAGAAGAATAGAGACTCTCATTGGGAAAACCCTAATCTTCAATCTAAGTCTTCTAAAGCGAAAATATTGAATGTTGGAATAAGAAAAAAAGGTGCATAATAGCGGGTGCAAAAAAGAAACAAAAACTGAGTGAGTGACTAAGTGAGTGTTTGTGTGTTGATTGTTAAGGGTAAAATAATAAATAAATTGAGAGAGGGTTTTGATAGAGGGGGAACAGCTGCTTCTTTAAAGTCTGTAAATGAAGTTGGGATCCTCTTTATCAGTAAGATCCTGCATTTCACCAGTTGCCGTAGAAGTAATACCACGAGCCATACGCTCTCTGTTGAGTCTGGCCATAGACATACGGGCAATCAAGAATAAAACGATGCAAATAGCGTTGGATGCGATATAGGCCAACATACCACCGAGGTATAATGGAGCTTGCCAAGCGACCATCATGAGAGGACCTGCGAAATTACCGATCTAATATAGAAAACATTCAGTTAGCTAGAAGAATCCTACTTTTCAGAAGAGGATGTTTTCCGGGCACACAGTGTGTGTGTGGCCAAGCATCAGGTGATGGGTAATTGTTTGCTTATATAAAGATGTGCAGAAACGTACTGTGTAAAAGACAATAATGCTGGTGCTGTAGAAGATCTTTTTAGTGTAGCCATTCACATTGTTGGCGACAGAAGAAAGGAACATGACATAGGCGGCAGCATAGGCCCAGCAAAGGTAGAGACCCAGCAGCTTAGCCTTGGGCACAGGGATGGCAATGAGCAAGACAAGACCAATGATAGCACACACAAGCATTGCACAAGCGCAATACAGGGTGTTACCATACTTGTTGTTGTACCAAATAATGACCACGATGTAAATAATATCAACAACACCGGAAGGGACGGAAAGCAAGATGGCATCAACGCCCTAGATATGCACGAGTCAGAAATTCATAAACGAACGTTATGTTGTGAGACATTAAATGTTGGGATGACGTGGTATATATTAGACAGTAAATGTACAATTGCTTACACTGAAGCCGAAACCGGCAGTAATGATACTGCTGAACGTGTTCAAGGCACCGTTCTGGAAGTTGATCAACATGGAAGCAAAACAGAAGCAGTAGAATCGAGGCTCAGTTAATGCTTCCTTAACGTGATGCCATTTTATTTCCTTGGTGCGCACGGTCGTGTTGTCGCGCTGACGCTCGTCGACAATCTGCAACTGCTCAGGGGTCAATCGCAAAAATTTGGAGCGAGGGTCATCGACGAGGAAGAAAAAGATTACGAAACCAAAGAAGATGGTGATCACACCGAGGATGATCATCAACCTAAGTGTGTATGAAGCATGAATAATGTCTCATTATTAGCGCTCGCATACGTAATAAAGCATCTGTAATTCTGTCTCTGCATACCATTGCCAAGAAGCATGGCCCAAAGCACCATCCATGTGGCCAACACCGTAACCGATAAAACCACCCACTGCCATTGCGACACCGTTGCAAATGTAGACAGCACCAAGACGAGAAGCCTGTTCACGACGACGGTACATGGTACTGATAAGCATGATGCAGCAGGGATACATGGCGGCCTCAAAGAAACCCAAGAGAAAACGGAGACCGGCCAACTGAGGAAAGTTCTTTGCCTCAAAGGTCACAGCGAGGACCAAACCCCATAAGACGATCAAGCCGCCAATGTATTTGGTGAGTGGCAGACGTTGAAGAAGGAATTGATTCGGCACCTATAATTTGTTTGATAATTGTTTTTGGTCAGTACTTTACGAACCGGACGGTGCGGTCACCAGCAATATCGCTCACTGACCTGGTAAACAAGATAGCCAAGATAAAAGAGCGAGCCCAACCAACTGAACTGGGAGCCACTGGTGTCTAAAGCAGAATATAATTTAGCTTCGGTCCCGAAAGTTGTGCACAGTTTGAAATTTGTGGATTGAATGAGCATGCAAGTACTACTTACTAGTATCTTCTTGAATACCCAGCACACCAGCATAGTTCAAAGTACTCTTGTCAAAGAACTGGTAGGGCAGAAAGTAGAACATCCATAATGTATCAGTACATATTTCTAATGTGATCCCTGTGGAACACTGCCTGCACATACCTGAAGGAAGTTCAAAATAGCCACAAATGGCATGACATAGACGTAATCCAATTTGCGGACCAGCTTCTTTTCAGCATCGCTCTTGACATAGATGCGCTCACCCTTTGCATCGAATTCTTCAGCGAGTTGATTCGATGAGGCAATGGTAGTTTCGACTACTTTCATATGCTCGGTCTTTTCTTGGGTGGTTGTGTTGTAATCGACCGTCAGGCCCTCTTCAACGGCATATTCCACCTTTGAGTCAGTCATTTTGCTGTTGGTGCTTGAGGATCCTTTGTCTTTCGTGGGTCAAAGGTTTAAAAAGAAAGGGAGGGAAGTTGTTCGGTCCAAAAAGAAAGAAAGAGGAAAAAGAGAGAGAACGTGTGTGTCTGCGTCAGTTGGAGGGTTGAATAAAAAGAGGCTAATGTGCTACAGTGAGAAAAAAAAGATTTTGAACGGTTGTGCGGGCGGAGAGAGAGAGAGAAAAGTTGGCCAATGCCCTGATCCGCACACAACTATAGCAGTGTACAATGTCCAAAGGGTTTTCAATGCGCGCGCGCGCGCGGGAAACCATACGACTTTTTCTCTTCCTGAGAGTCGATGTGTGTAATGGTTACGGAGCAAGGGAGCAGGAGGTAAGACGTATACAAGTCAAAGTGCATGCAACCGAAACAAATCTAGGCCAGACCATCACGTTTTTTCTGTTGTTGTTTCCTTTGATGGGTGCGATGTACCACCACTGCTACTGCCAACCTGCATCCTCGGAGATGATGGAGGGCCAGAAGACGAGTGACACAAAAAGCCAACTACGCTTAATATGGTGGTTGATGCTACAGAAACACAGGACGGGTGGTAAATCTTGTGCTTTTTTCTTCTTCTTAGATCAGCCCTTTTCAACGTTTTAGAAGCCGTTCATATGCTACGAGGGAGAGAAAAAAACAGCTATCGTCGTACATCCTTGCCATATCCGATGAGAAATAAGCTATCAAATTTACGGCGTGAGCACAGAAGGTTAATTTTGCCCTCTTTTTCTGTTCTCCATTGGGTGCAATAATGGACAATACGACGCAGCAAGCAGCAGGTACAATGAAAAGGGACTCTTAAAGGAAATAATCCCGTTTTTCTTCCCCAGAACAAGAGCCATGGCACCCGAGTCCAAGAAAGAGAGAGCCTACACACATCCCATTGTCAGCGCTTTGATCCAGAGACATGGCGCGCTGCTGCGTTATCAGTAAGCTTTGTTTTTCATGTCCGCACCACTACTTATTGTACACTCCGTCGATACGATCTATGATCTACTACAAGAAGCGGCCTTAGCACCAGTACAAAGTTTACGGGCGCATCACTACATACATAGTATATGAAGAGCTTCCTTTGCTTCTCGATGTGCCGCATTCAGACACAGCTGGTATAACATCCAATTCTTCCGATGTTTTAGGTACTACTCCTGGAAAAGTCGCGAGGCACTGAAATATATACCCACCAGAAGTACACAATAATACTGCTCTATTACTGGGCCCTTTTCCTAATATGTAGCCAAGTAGTACACCGACCTTCTTTTTGTTATGATCGTGCCAGGTTCAAATCGCAATGCTACACCACTCATGAAAACAAGGGATGCTGTCATTAGACATCGCTGTCGTCTGTTGCTACTTTTGTCGATCAACCATTTGTAGCAACTGCCAATTGCGTTCTTTTATGCTTCCAAGTTTGGTCACAAATATCCATTTCTTCTTGGTTGAAAAATACAGGCGTTATCCTATAGCTTGGGGAGTACAAAAATCAAATTAAGCTCGCTCTGCATTATTGGGAACGGACTTTTGACCCCAGCATTTTTTATCATGTGTGTAACACACCAAGGGAGTAACCAATCAAACGAACGAGCACTAAAGGCCACAGAAAAAGCGCTGTAAACAGAGATCACGTCACTCATCAGCATTCTTCTTTCTCTTTGAAGAATATTGTTATATTTCGGCATAATCCTTCCGTTTTCCAATGGCAATAGCTCCAATGGTTGGCGCACCTTGGCGTGTCACCAATTTTATTTGACGATGGGAGGGTCAGAGAGTGCACTGGGCTGAGAAGCGATTGTAGCTGCACTTGATGGTAAACGATCACTTTGTCTCTAACGCAACATCTGTAAGAGAGAATGCTATCAAATAAACAGCGATATGGTAGATAGAATGATGTAGTTAGCTATTCATCATGAAAGGGTGAAATCCACATTAGATGTGATTAATCACATGAGGCTCCAATTTCACAGAAAAATGCTAGTACGACACATTATGTTGCTGTATGATTCTGGAGACAGAATCTTGAAACGTTGACAGTAGACGATGGGACATAATCCTTATGTACAACATGTGCATTTTAAAAGAGAGTTACATGTTGTCGTCTTGATCGAAAACATAGACTCAAGTACAGTACTGTGCTCTTACAGATAAACGTTTGTAAAGTATGTATGTTTGTTTAAACGTAGTCGTCGTCGTAGTTATAATCATAACCTTCATTACCGCGAATGTCATCAGTAGTATATAACGGCTCTCGGTGTCCTCCCATATGCTTCTAAAAATAATCTAGCACTCCAATTGCGACTTTATCTTGCTCCCCGAAACATCATCCGATCTAACGATTCGATGCGATCAATTCGTTTTGACCAAACATTATCTCGTGGCCGGTGTCTTTGCTGTGCGTGGATACTATACACTCTCGTATTAATCAAAATTTTTATCCACGGATAAATGACCCACCCACCATGTTATAAACGAAAAGAAAAGGAAGCCCAATGCAATTCTACGAAAGGTTTTCAATGTTTTCCGAATATTAGTACACTATGTACATATTCACGTGCTTTCAGGGTCTTCATTTTAAAAAAGTGTGTTAGCAAACTTTGTTGGCAATGGCGAGGCGATGACTAAGAAGTCTTCTATTGGTGTAAGAGAAGAATTTCATTGTATCGCTACGAGAAGCCGGTTTCTAAAGGAGGAAAGAATTTAGTAATTTATGATTTTGACTATGATAGCTCATTTCCAGCGCGCCTGACAGACAGTGAAGGCAGTGCAAGCAGCAATAATTATTTAGAAAAGAAGCCTCTTGTATGTTTGTGTACTTGAGCTGAGGCGTGATAGTGTGAGTAAGATGGAATTGTTGATAGTCGAGTAGATGTGTTGTGGTAAGAACGATCGTAGTAGCTTGGTTCCGACTGAGTTATTCCTTAGGTACACAGAAGTGTTGGCCAGTGTCACATTGGTTGCCAAAAAACGCTTGAGTCTTGGGGAGTAGCTATCATATCTCGTATTAAGTGTTGGGGACGAGAGCGACAACGATGCTTGCTGTGGTAAAAATGCCAAAGAACAGGATGCGCCCGGTGAAAGAGTGAATGGTGCCTTTCAGAACTGTTTGAGTAGCCCACGGATAGGTGACAGGCAATGATGACAGTGGTGCGAGATCGATTTGCCAATTTTTTTCTGATGATTAACCCGGCTAGGATAGCACCTGTCAGAGGTATATAGACGGGCGTGAATGCTGGAATTGTAGGTCACGCGAGATGCAATAGTATTGTTCATCGACACTAACTGTCCCCACAAAAAAAAAGTAGAGCATTGACCCAGTTGGTACAATTCAATATTGGGAAATACGGCTACGACGTTGCTGACGTGTTCAAAAAAGATCGTACAACATTTACACGTCCGACCATATTGACCTAGCGTCAAGAGATATTCTTCGTTGATAAACGGAGACTGTACGGATGCCGTTCCTTGCACAATGACGATGGATCGCCAGAGACATGCAATTGTACTTATTTTGTTTGGTAATGCTTTTCGATCAACATCAGAGACATTGATCGTCGCTGTTGCCTCAATTCTCTTATAGATGTTAGAAATAGAAGGTACAATGATGGATCCCGTAGCGATAAAGAGGAAAATTACTTGCTACCGGCCTCTTCCATGTTATTGTGGTTATGTTTTCTTCAACAATAAGGCTAGCTTTGTTAACTCACCATCATCGTCTTCGCTTGAAGCTGCCCGATCAAAAAGATTTTCATGTGTATGATTAAAGGTATGGATGCGAGTTACGGGAGCGTACAGGTTGCATAACTGACCGTTGGGAAATGCGAGTTTCAAGATATTGATATGATACCCCGAGAACTATCGCTCCAATAAAATCTGAATACAAGAAAGAGCTGCATAACAAACATCAAGTACATCACATCACACAACAACAAGAGCTCTACTACAGCAGCCTCGCAATTACTACAACATTCTGGCTCTTTTCATAAAGCCAAGGACACAGCGATCCAATAACTACGCAGCAACAACTCTACAAACTTCTGGCACCTTCCAAATTGCCAACGAATAGCTAATCATAGCATTATTCCTAGACTTTCCAATTGAATCCACATCCATAACCATTGGATGCGAGTACTTTCCACAACCTTCGAGCATCATCTTTGATGTTCAATTATTATAGATGAAAGGTCTAAATACCACCTCATTTTATTTGAATAAAGACATCGAATTTCTACCTCTCGCTTTTGACTTAACTTTTCAAGTGTTGTTTTTAATCACTCAAGACCTAAACACGGCTTGTTTTATCTTACATATTGTTTATTGCTCATAATTGAAGCTAAATAAACTCTTCTATTAAGACCAGACGTAACATTCCTGCTCTTATTTCTCATTTACTTGGACAGACGTAACATTCCCGATCCTTATTCCTCATTCATTTTGGACAGACGTAACATCCCTGATCCTCATTTCTACTCACTGAGCTTAATCAAGACATCAGCTCCCTACTATTTACAACCTTGGACATAACCCATACACATTTTTACCTTACTTTACACTCATATCACTTCACAACCCGTCTGTAATAAACGATATTATTACTGGTGCTCACTACTAAACATACACATAAACCGTTACGCAACTACCTGGAATACCCCAAATTCACCGTAACAATATTGTATGAAAGCAGAACCGGTTAATTGAGGAACGTTGCCTGCATTGATAAGCTTCTGATAGCATGTGAAGTCTACATACCGATGAATAGCCAGACATCAGTTACACGAGTATTGATTGTTTCTGAGAGGTCGGTAAAGAAACGGTCAAGCTATCAATCGCGGTGCACTGGTGAGAGGATATGCTAGGTAGATAATCGCACCTTCATCCTGTGAGCCGCGCCACTGGGTGGTTAGGAAGCAAGGAGAATTAACCGTTATGAAACTTTGCCCGAATAGCACTTTTGTGCTTGGGTCATTCTCGATTATTGGATATTCAGCCAAGGAATAAAATAGTTTCCCGTTGTATTCTTTGTGTTGCTAGGACCTCATGTCCTACATAGTAGTTTGACCTTGCATACTATCGCCTAGTAAATGTCTCTAATTACAGGTGATTCAACACTTCTTTTCAATAAAATATTCAACAGTATATTTTATATGATATCATCAGACTACCTTGCTTGGCAAAATGCCCAATTCAGAGGTACATAATAATGTATATGCTTATCCTTTTTTTGTTCATTCATATTGATGACATGATTGGTCGTAAATTGAAATAGAGTTTGTACCATACTTGGGTGCAGGATGGATCATAAAATAGCTGTTGTAGAAGACGCTCGATAAAATAGCTCAAATCGGCATCTCTATCACCCAAATAATGAAAAGAGCATCACATGATAATGCTGTTAGCGTAAATAGCAACTCATATATGGTCGTTAATAAATATCGCAGAAATGCAAGGACATTATTATATTTTACTGGTTGAGCACGTCTCAGTCTATCAGCAAACACTTGAATTTTAGTCTCTATAACGGCAAAATTTAAACTGTAAACCCAACAACCCTGTAATATTGTGAATTTACGTGCTCATTCAAACGTTTTATATTGGCGTACGGACCTTTTTGTTTTTCTTCTATTTGTGCAGTGCAAGGACCATTCACAAACACGCGGAGACACTATCCGACGGTACAGCTCTGCATGGTGAGACACGTATCATGCGATTCAGATGCATACCAGTGACGCCGCAGCACATTTGTCTACTTGTCCACCCTTTTTCCTTTCCAATGAGAACCCATGGGGATTCACGGAACCTTTTGAGCTTCCGAGTGAGAACTGGAATTTGACGGATGAACTATACGTTAGGCAATAGCTGCTCATAAACATTTTGTATTGATGAATTCAACAGATATGTCATACAAAGACTCGCGATAAGCGAGGGCTATGAATAATTTCCTTCGATGGGCACCCTAGTTTACTCACGCACCTAAAAACGATTCCATATACATATGAATGATCGCTTTGTTTCTGTGGCGCTGTTGTTTGTTGCATCCTTCGTTAATAGATAAAAACAAATAAAAATGCAGGTATGTTCGCTTAGCCTTCTTTCCTTTTTTTTTCTCGTTTCCTTCTTATCGGGCTGTTCGATTGGATATTTCCAACTTACATCGTCTCTAATTAAGATGCGCCTAACAATCACTGTCAGCGTATTATTATCACTGGGACGCTTATAATTATTACTGATCGTTGCAGCACAACGTGATCCGATTCCTGACGATAATAGTAGCAGTTTCCAAATCTACTTGCGCGATTCAACCATCGAAGCTGGTTCACTAGTAAATATATTTGTCGATCATAAGAGTCCTCTCGGTTATACCAGCGCTTTCACCGATGTGACCATCGACAGCAGCAACGACGAGCATGATGATGTTGCCGTTATGTTCAGTTCCTGTCGTCAAAGCAATAAGCTACCGGGAAACATATACCAAACAACTATTAGTAGCCACATGCTCCTTGGATCAGCAAAAATATCGAGAAAGACCGCAAATCGGCTCGTGTGGATTGTGCCATACGACATACCCTATCATAGCGGATGTCTTTTCGTTGCACAGGATAACACCATTCTTACACAGAGTGCTTCGTACGACGTGTTTAGACGATCGAAGCAACGAAAACAACATTGCTATGGTCACTATCATCCAGCAGAAGAAATGAAAGAAGATACATCGTCTTTTCATTTCAATGCAGCTCAGTATCATCGACAGATACAACCATCGTTGCGAAAGCTCCACAGATGTTATACGCCGTAGATAGTCAAGACACCAAAACGAATAGCACAAGTATGTATGCTCTTGATATTTAAACCTTTTTCTTTATCTGACATAAAGTGCATATCCTATATTACATGCTGCACGTGGTTGGTAGAAATCGGAATCATCGGTGCTGGAGCATCTGGGCTCTTCAGTGCATACTTGCTCGAGCAGGCTGGTTTTATATAAGCAAACAATCGAGTTGGAGGGTAGTAAAGTAGTAATAGCAGATATGTATATACATATACAACAAAAGTAGTGCATGCGACGTTCTGATACTGACATTGCTCTTGCTGTTTTTATCCTGGCACACAAAACATACGTACACAGGCGGATCCAAACAGTGTTTTTCGGTAACTCGACGGAATTGTACCAAGAGCTTGGAGCGATGCGATTTCCTTATAGCTACAAGCACAAAAACCGGACTCTTCCCTTACAGGACCAAGCTGTTATTTCCAGCTAGCTAAAGAACTTGACGGGATGAATGCCAAGGAATATCATATTGAGTTTACCCCGTGGTTGCAGTCGACGGATAAGTAATATAGAATGGAACACAGTAAAGTGAAGTCTGGATTGACGATTGTAGCAATGGTCAACCGGGAAAAAATCTAAATTGTATGATACTATTGTTTTTGCCGCGAACAACAATTACAACAACAAAAGTAATTTCGTCTACCATAATGGCTATCGACTTCCAAACGGACGTATACCGACAAAAGGAGACTTGAAGCCAGGTTCAAAAGAGCCACCAGGCGACCTTGTAGAACTTGCCGAGGAGGTCAACAATGCTACGCAACTGTTTCTGAGCGACGAATGGATGGATTCTATGGCAACAAATTTAAAATGAAGCTTTCCAGGTACCTATATGATAGTATTAAAAACTCTTAAAAATTCTTTACACCTTTTTCTCATCCCGCATATTACCAATAAGAATTTTCACATTGAAGCATGCTCTAGACAAAGGATACGATAACTGGACAGAATGGGGATGGCTCCACGAAAAGATGGGCATCAGCATGAATGCTACCGAATACCACCTGGGATCATCTGGACTACACCTGGTGTGGACAAATATGTACGACGTATTTTTCCATGATAAGACGTTTGAATGGCGTACAATCAAAGGTGGAATGAGCCGTTTTACAAACGCATTCCTACCCATGCTTGGAGATAAGATTCGCTATAACACCAGAGTGTCTAAAATCGAATTTTTTCACCAAATTTACGACGATGACAACGAAGCTTTTGTTGATACAGCACCATCTCAACAAAAAGTACTCAACGAAAAAAGCAACGGCATATATCTGTCCAGTGGAAAAACGATCCATCCGATAAAGTGTACCAAACCAAATCATTTGATAATGTCATTGTTTCGGTACCATTTGTAGTGATGCGCACATGGCATTTACCACAAGGTAACGTATCTTTGTCAACATCATGCAATGCATAGGCACGCAGCAGCAACGATAATCATTCTTGCCTTACTGCATATATTAATTGACACTATACACAATTTTGCACTATCTTGCTGATGGTATATGCAGCGTTGCCCTACACATTGAAACGCGCCATCCAAAACCTGGAGCATGGCGATTCCTGCAAAGTCATTCTAGAATTCGAAACGCCATTCTGGCAATACTATGATGAAAAGCCCATACTAGGAGGCTGCGATAGTACAGACTTGCCCATTGGTCTTGTATGCTATCCAACGGCAGCAGTAGCTAAGAAGAAGGGTGTTGACTACAACGACGATAGAGGATAAATACGCGGATTGATGATTGCCAGTTATGCCGACGATAGGCGTATACGCTGGTCATCCATGAGCAAGCAGGAACATGTAGCGCGGGTACTGGAATACATTCAAGAACTCCACGGCTTCATTGTACTAGAGCAGTACACAGGAAACTATGCACGTAAATGTTGGAATCTAGATCCTGCAGCCGGCGCAGCATGGGCAGATCCGTCCGCTGGTCAGCGCACGCTTTTTATTCCTTCGTATCTCAAGTACGCCCAAGGGCTAGTGCATATGGGCGAGCATACAGACATCAAACAATCCTGGATCAGTTCAGCATTGCACTCAGCACTTAGGGGTGTCGCGATGCTCCTTGTTGAGCACGGGTATATTAGCGAGGCAAGGCAGCTGGCTCGGCACTGGAACGCGACGTCTTGGTTGTGGATATAATCAATAAACAAATAAGCTGCTGTGTGTGTGTGTATCATGTAGTACGGAGTTTCGAGTCACGGTTGACAAAGAGTGGAGAGGAGTGGACACGAAGGGCATGCATGGTTTCTCTATTAGGCTTGTCGTAGGTTTGACAAGAAATGAAAAGAGGCGGTTTGAGCCAAAAACTTTTTTCGCTTTTCTTCTGCTACTCCACCCGCTTTGCATATCGTATACGTGATAGGAGGAACCATCTCGAGAGGGGCCGTGTGCATCAATTATTAGATTGACAAACAAAGCAGCAAGCAGCATCTCTTCTTCTTTTCCTCTTTTTCATATCACACGCTCCATATACCACGCACTCTGCACCTCTCAAACTCCACTCTTGTTAGCTACACTCCTTTCCCTTGCTTCTTTTTCTCTCGTCATAAGCCATCATGTCCACCACTGCCACAGCTACAAGCACAACCAACAAACGGTCCAGCAAACGCTTCTCCTTTGCGGGCTTTTCACTGTTCAACAAAACCAGCGCAGCCGAGAAAAGCCAGCCTCCGCCATCTCCACCATCACAGAAACAGGAACAACAAAAAGAACAAGACAGCGACGATGAGCGGAGACGAAGTCGGCGGGCACAGAAATCCCAAAGCCTGTACCTGCAATCGTTCCGTAATCTCACAAACAAGAGACCGACAAGTGCACAGTACGATCCTGCCGAAGCCAATCAGGCCAACCACAAAGAAGTTCGCAGCACCATTCGACGGTCGCTGTCGGCCGTGTTGTATGCTACTCCGCAACAGCAAAAGCAGCAATCAAGCGGGTCGGCGGGGTTAGTCCCCGTGCTGGTTACCCAAGACCTGTCGGATCGGCACGGCGGAATGATCACACCCCATGACGAGAGCGCTAATAAGAAAAAGGCACAAGAAAAAGAGGCGGAAGCGGCAGCCACCAAGGAAAAGAAGCAGCAGCAAGCCATCGAGTACGATAATACATTGGATATCATACCCGACTCGAAGAAGGAGGAGTTGGTCATTATTTGGCAAGGCTACGGATATACCCAACCGATCAACAGCACGGATAGCAACAAGAGAAACATTGACGTTGCCAAGCAAGAACTCGATGATCGTTTTGAAAAGGAGGTGTGGACGAAGTATCGCGGTCTCATCCATCCGCTCCATTTGTTTCAGGATGCTGATGACGAAAACGAGGGCCAGGACAAGTGGGGAGCCCTGAGTGTTGAAGAGCTGCGTCGGTACTTTGATAACTACGGCTCTATGCTGCTCAAGCTTCGAGACCGGAGCATGATGCGCCAACAACGGCAATATCTGGTGATGAACAACAAGGCAAAGGACGACTGGATTTTACCCCAGGCAACAGAAGCAGCATCAGCACCAAGAACGCCGACTTCAGATGCAGCAGCAGCAGCAGCAGCAGCATCAGCATCAGCATCAGCATCAGTAGCCGAGACCTGTAATTCCTAGAAGAAAACCTGTAAAACATCTTATATAACTGTCATAGCCATAATAAATAAGGGGAGATGGACATGTCATTGTCGACCGTCATTAATCTATGTTCTTCACCTCCCTTTTCTACTACTACTACTACTACTACTACTAGCCCCTTGAATCTAATCCCTATAGAGACCTCCTTGGACAGATGCATAATGTAAATCTCAAATGATATCAAACAAACGGGCTGTATAGAAGAAGAAGAAACTTAAAGATAAAGGAAAATCTATAAACGTCATATTATACAAAATGGAGGGGGGGCGGTAGGTAAAGTAATAATCAACCGGAGTAAGTATTTGTTCTAAGCAAATTTATCCGCCGAGTCGTCGAGCGAAATAGATATCACAGGATGATGATCGTCAGGGTCCCTACTATGTTGCTGGTGTTGATGTAAGCGATGATGAGGATGATGATGATGATTAATACTTGCAGCAGCAGCAGCAGCAGCAGAAGAAGAAGACGACGAGGAGGAAGGCAGAATAGATGATGGGATGGTCGACTGGTTTCCAGACGACGTAGTTGGATCGTGGAGGAGCGATGACCGATTCATCAGCTTCCATAGCAGGGGAGTCGATAGCAGGGTTAGCGATGTCACAGCGAGCAGCAGGTAGTACACTTCGCGGGAGATAATATCCAGCTGTTTGGCACGGGATGCGAGCACAAAGCCGAATTCCGAGATCTGCGCCAAGGCAATGGCCATCGTGGAAGACTTGCGGAAGTCGAGTTTGAGGAAGACCAGGATGACGGAGGTTGCAATGTACTTGAATCCAATCACGCCGCCGGCAAGGGTGAGTAGCAGGATTGCTTCGGAGGCCAGGAAGGAAGGATACACATGGAGGCCGATGGATGCAAAGAACAGACATGCAAACAAATCGCGCACAGGCTCAATCACGGCCAGAGCGGACTCAAAGAGGTTTTTCCGAGAGCGCACGATCACGCCTGCGGCAAAGCAACCAATCTCCATTCCGAGACCCAGGTAATCCGAAACAAGGAGCATGACCAGGCAGACAGCGATGGTGCCCAGCACCACCAGTTCGTGATTATAGGCGACCTTTAAATTAGGAAATGCTTTGTGTATAACACGCGGCAACAATGGCATCAGCTTGACAATAGCAAAGCACAGACTGCCAAACACGGAAAACGATAAGGCGATCTTGAGAACTGCAAACAGAACCTGAACACCTGACTCGGCAAGTGCAGGGATGATGGCCTGTCATTATCAGCAGCAGCAACAACAACAACAACAGTGGTTAATGGTCGAGCAACTATCATTGCGAAAGAGAAAAGTGTTTTTTCCTATACCAGCATAAATCCGAGCAGCACATCCTGCATCACCAGTAGACCGTACAAGTGTTCCAAATGGTCCAGCTTGATGCATTTCACCACGACGGCCGTCGAACTCAGACTCACACATGCGCCGACAAAAATAGCTTCCTTCATCGAAGCGCCAAGAATAGCACCCATAATCACAAAAAACAGTACGGTCACCACGAGGATCATCATGGCGCCCCCTAGCACGAGCCGCCACATGGCTCTCAGCTTTTCCAGAGAAAATTCGAGACCCAAGACGAACACGATGAACACGACTCCGAGCTGAGCAAGCGTCTCCGTTTGAATCAGTTCCTAAAATTAATAAATGGACTTTCAGTATGCGATGATGATGGTGTATGCTGTTGTTTCTCCTGAACGTTACCCTGATAAGGTTATAACCCGAAGGGCCTGTCACTACACCGGCCAAGATGTATCCGAAGAAAGCTTTTTGGGTTTTACTTTTGCTTAGCTTTCTTTTTCTCTGTAGCTGTCACCTCTGTTGCTTGCCACGTTGCCAAGGTCATAAATTCTAACCCCCTCCCCACCCTCTCACAGTTTTACTAAAAATAAGACACTCTACCAGGGAGACCCATTATCGAAAATAGCCAGCCAAACCCAAACGAGGTCACGACGATCAAAATGAAATCATGCAACAGTTGCATATCTACAACATGTGGATGTAAGTAGGGTGCATTAGCATTGTATACATCCGCTCTCTTGTTATACAAGCGTCACACGGATGACCTGCACACACACACACACGTTCTCTCTCTCTCCTCTGCAGATATAGCATATACCTTCATAGATCACAGTCGTATCAAACGGTCTCGTCATGATGTATTCATTGTTGTCTTGGTCGATCAAAACCGCATTTTCATCCTCTTGCGTATCCTCATCATTCAATTTCAGCACAGTCTCGATTGTTGCGCCTTCGCCTGATGAAGGGAACGCTAGATTATGTTGGTGCATGCCTTGTTCTAGCTGGTCCGCATTTTGACGGACGTCCTGCAACATTCCGTGGAGCATTTCTTGGATTGCTTCGCGTGAGTCGGGCGCATCGCCTTCACTATGCACATGATGCGGTGTATATCCAGTCACTGCTGTCTTTGGCGACTTTTCAATGGCTGCTTCCTCGTCATTGCCCTCAAGGTCTTTGGGTGGCGGTGGCGATTGAGTCATTCTGCTAAGCTCATCGAACGAGTGCGATTTAAGGTGGACGTGCGATTCTTTGATGGCTAGTTGGAAATCAAAGGTCAACTTTAGGGCCGGTGTTCTGAAGTCGTAGGTGCCGTGTTTTCGATGGACGGTCTGGCCGTAGATCTCAAACATGCCAAAGACGAGATTCTCGAATGCTGTAAAATCATCCAGTTTCACGCCTGCAAGTCGAAAGAGCCCTGCGTCATTGTCTGCGTTGTATGCTTTTATGCTGTCATGGAAGCGTTGCTTTTCAAGCTGCAGCTCGTGCTTATATTGCTGTCCCTGTTGGAGAACAGCGTGAATCTGGGAAGCATCCAAGGTCTATTGAATGTAATCGATCGAGTCACAATTATGCATGTTGTGTTTTTTTTTTTAAATCGATTCTCGACTGAACCTACCTGAGGATCGCCAGTAACGGTGCCTAAACAGAAGAGTAGAAAGGCAAGTGAAAGGAGAGCCAGGTTCATTTGGGGGTGGGGTGGGGCTTATGGCAGGGTGGTGGCAAAACAGACGCACGCACGCACTACACAACTATATTTACAGAGGGAGTGTGCAAGAGAGTAGGAGACCAGGAGAGGAGAGGAGAGGAGAGGAGAGGAGAAAGAGCTTTAGCGCTGGTGTGCGTGTGGTCGATATGCCTGGTGACCCAAGTGAGTTGTGTTCTGGATCCACCCCCCATTTTTAAGCGGTAACCCTTCCCCACCCAGGCAACACCTTCCCCCCTCCCCCCAAATTCAGATTCGCATTAACGACGGTTTCCAGCAAACAAAAAAAATATAAAAAGGGGCCTTCATTTTACGGCTCTTTCCTTTTTCTTCTTTCTTCTTCCTTGCGTGTTTATGCCCTGTTTTTCTGTTTTCTTCTTCTTCTTTACCTTCTTCTTGTTGTAGACGATCCAAACTTCGTCACATAACCTATTTCCACATATCTTCTCTACTACACCACCAACCCACTGTACCAATACGACCTACTACTATGAACAGCACAAGTCTGCCGGCCGGAACAATGATCCACGACAGCCTCGAGATCGTCGAAACACTCGGCCTCGGGGCATACGGACGTGTCTATCTCGGACGTGACATTCGCAGTAAGCAGCAGTATGCCATTAAAACCCTCGCGCAAGAGGGCTTGGACAGCCGCCAGAGAGCGTTGCAGCGCTGTGAGATGACACTTCACGCCAAACTCTCACACTCAAACATCATCCGACTTGAACGGATTGTCAAACAAAAACAGTTTGTGCATGTCGTGCTTGAGCACAGCCCCGAGGGAGATCTGTTTACTGCCATCACGGATCACAACATGTACTATGGCCGCCACGACCGCATCAGACGCGTGTTCTTGCAACTGATCAATGCCTTGAGGTACTGTCATGAACGCCACGTTTATCACCGGGACCTGAAGCCTGAAAACATTCTGGTGTTTGATCAAGGACAGACACTCAAGCTTGCAGACTTTGGCCTTGCTACTTCAGAGTCGATTGCCACCGACTATGGCTGTGGAAGCACATTTTACTTTTCACCAGGTAATTCATTGTCCATCAACACGCTTACACGCGGAAGAAAGAAAGCAGGGTCGTAGAAGCACAGACCACCATGCCCTCTGCCACCGACTAGTGCACATCGTGTGCCACTCTACATATCCTCCTGCTATGGGTGCTTGTACTCTCTCTCTCTTTCTGTGTGTCTGTGTGTCTGTCTGTTTGCTTGTGCTATGTGTTTTGAGTCACCTGAAAGATACTAATAAGGTTTTGGCGCGGTTTTGTTATTGTGCCACGCCCCCATCTTTAATAGAATGTCAAGGTGACGATCTCGCAAATCGGACTGGCTATGCTACTGCACCAAACGACGTTTGGGCACTCGGCGTAGTCTTAATCAACCTAGCCGCTCGCAGGAATCCTTGGCGACAGGCCTGTCTCGACGACGAGACCTTCCGGGCCTATCTGGCAGACCGCAACTATCTATTAAAGATTCTGCCCATCTCGCAGGAGCTCAACTGCATTCTTAAAAGGATCTTTTGCATCGACCCTAAGCGACGCATCAGTCTGGATGAGCTCGAAGCAAGCATCCGTGGATGCAAGTATTTCACACGCACGTCCGAAGTCGAGCGCTATGAGAATGATGTCGCAAAGACAGCATCAGCAGCAAATAATGCTACCAACACCATGACCAAGCTTCAAGACATTTTCCCACCATCGCCACCAACCACGCCACGCACCGACCGGAATCTGTCCTCGCTCTTCTTCCCACCGTCACCACCGTCACCAACACCATCATCATCATCACATCATCATGATGTTGTTAAAGAGGCTCTAGCTACTACATCTAATAATAAACATCATCCTACGCCGCCATCACCATCCTCTTCAACAGCATCGTCTACTACTACTACTACGATTTCTACCTCTGTTCGGTGCTCGTAAAAGCTATCCTCACAAACTTATGCTCCACCCTACTCCCCCCCCTCTTCTTCTCTCTTACTAAACACACACCCCCTTTCAAGCATTACCCTTTCTCTTCTGTTCATCCCCGCTATATATTATTGCCAATGCTTCTTCCCCTTGAATTTCCTTTTTGCATCTTGACCCTTTCGCTGTTCTAGACCTCACACTGTATATGTCTTTCTCTTCTTCCTTTTTTTATCCGCTGTTATATCCCTTTTCTTCTATTTATGTCACCTATTTACCGAGAGCAAACCCACTATCACCTATACATATTATGCATCATCCCTTCATCTCTATACCAACATTTGTAGCTATATCACTCACCTGCACCAACAACAATACCCCCTTTCCTACTATTTCGATATATGTAATCAGCCCGACATCACATCACTCTACCATCATACCCCTAGTAGTTCCCACCTCTTGTTGTTCTATTTGCTTTTTCCAGCATTGTTCCTATTGTATATGTATTCTGCGCCGACGAGAATTACGCCGGATAAACGCATTAAAAGAAACCTGCACATGTCTAAAATTGCCTTTTCTGGTGTGGGGTTGCCTTCTCTTACTCACTATGCATTTCAGTCCTCACGACCAAGTAGTGGTAGCTTGTGCTGCTGGTATGTAGCCGTTAGCTGCCGGTGACTGCACATCATACATAATAGAGACTCTACAAACCCAATCACATGCTTTTTTTTATTCCAATAAACACTTATAACAACAGCTTCTACTTACATGCGTGCATGTACACCATCCGTTTGTTGAGATGACAACTGCCGGTCAACCCCGCAATATTTCATCCGCACCATCATAATAAGTGTGTTGCAGAAGTACTCTGTACATAAATGTGTCCCTCTCCTCCTCCCCGTCTATGTGTACGTACCGCATAGAACCCTGCCTTTTCTTCTTTATGAAAAAAACAAAAAACAAAGAAACTGCCTTAATGCAAACAACATCAGTTCTTTTTTCTTTGCATTGGTTGCCTAAAATTGCCTATTTCGGAAGCACATTTTCCGTCAAACTTTAAAGTGCGGTATTTTTCCGGCCCTATCACGGACTCATTGGTCAAAGAGAATGCGTAAAGTGAAGAAGATCGACCCCTTTGTGAACAGTACATACACAGCATATTTTAAAGTCACGCGGTGCAATAAGTACTCGCTGCCCTTATTGGCTCCTGGTAAACCGACCTATTTTCTAAACATGGTTGATTTTTTAAAATAGAAACGATGGGACTATGAATAATGCCAAGAGCCGTAATTAAAGGGTACAACGAGGGCTAAAAAGAAATTCTTGAGTACTTTTATTTTCAGTTATTTAGGAAATGAAGAAGCCGCGTAGATTTGCATAGTGGTAATTATGGAAATTGCGCGGTACTGATCATAAGCAAGTCTCAAAAGTAAAACATGTTATAAGATCATATCATAAAGTTCATTAGTACCTCGCCTCAAGGGTTGTTGTGAGCGCCATTTTTATAAAGACGTCACCTGATATATAACAAGCACACACCATCTTAGCCCACGTAACACTTTGTCAAACTTTGAGAGAAGCAACATCTGAAGGATCTTGTCCTACACGAAACCGAGGATTGCGAGTAGTGCCAATCGAATCTTAGCACATTAATGTACGTGTATAACTGCTTGGTGATTTCAAACTTATGATACCTGCATCATGACTTCATCATATGTTCCAAAATGAATGTAGTCAACAGGGAGAATTGTTCATTTTCCTTTCTTCTCCCTGATACTATGTACTGTGCTGCTAATGCTTCATTTGTAACAAGGAAGAGAAGAAATACGGTGGCTCTTCTCGCTGCATATGATAGTGGTTTAGCGCATGATAATACTATCTTACATTTACTGATGTTGGGAGTTGCATACAAGCACTCTAGATCTGATCATATAAGGAAAAATTGTAAGAACCAAGTTGCTTGGACTGCAAGATCTCTCCTTCTCCCCTCTCTAGACCTGTATCTGTCACATGTCATCATCTTACTTCAAACAAATATAAACAAACAAGGTGGCGGGGCGGAGGTGGGGTGCATCACCCCAAATCACGGCCCTTTTTGCCCAAAGGCGCGCGGGGTACTGCTGCGGCTGCGTGTGTACTGCTGCGCATATGTGTATATAAATAATATGTATACATGTAACTGTGCTTGCAATATGCAAAGATGGCATCTCCGTATGTAACATAGTGTATGTATCGGAATCGAAAAATGATCCTTCACCAGCCATTTGATAACCCGTACGCTATTCCGCCGTATTGTTGCTTTTTGGAAATGCCGAGGCTGCATATTTAGTGCAAAGCTAGCTGCATGTAGATTAGCGCCGGCAGCATGAGTCGTTTCCTTTGGTCATGGTTGAATATAGCCCAACATATTTGATCATAATAGCTGCTAGTTGGTAAGAAAAGTCCAGTTAGTAATGAATTAACCTTGTGGATGTGTTGCTGCTTTTAGCTGGTCCAGTCGGTTTTTTTTTGTGCTAATACTATATTGGTAAGTCTAGTTTGAGCTGTTGGCACGGGCCGTGTTATGATCAGATCACATCATCCTGCAAAGTTTCAAAGGTGTGGAAAAAAAAGATTCCGAACTCTTTATGACACTTTTCATTGATGGTAATGAAGCATTGGTCCGTGGCACTGCTACACACAGTATATAAATGTAGCTTATTATCATTCTGCTCGCCGTGAACGTCACTAGCGATGATATATTCACAAATAAACAACGTAGCTGGCTTTGTTAACGTCAGACTCATTATCTATTTACCCCAACAAACAGCTAACTATGATATAGACACCCATACCCCGGTTGTTTTTGCTTTGTTTTTACCTGCATACTTGTGGTGTCCACTGCTATCCTTTTAAAAAAATAAAATAAATACCTAAACGGCTTGCTTTTATAATGCTGCTTCGTCTGCTCTATCCTTGATATCTTCTGTATAGTATTTAATGAGCCAAGATTTGAGGAAATGTGTCACAGGATCCAGGCTTCCTTTTGTGACAATTGTATTTTCTACTCTGCCAGTCTGAAGAAGACGTTTCGATCGGTAAGTGTGCTTACTGCCTTTTAGAGAATCATTTAATGCACAGAGATCAAAAGGCCTTTATAGCACAGAGTTTTTTAGAGGCTCTCCTTTATCCTTCTTTTCTTCGAAATCAATGCTTGTCAAAAAGCTCGACTGTTCTTTATCAGATCGGCAGTATCCATGATTGATCTGTTTGAAACACAAACCTGTGTCACTGAAAAAAATCAAAATTACCAAATTTGGAAAAAACAGAAATTCATTTGACCTTTCTCGGCCCCTCGAAATGGTGATTTTGTTCGTATTTCTGTCATGGTTGATTTACATAGCGACACACAGACCAACCTGTTTATGGAAAACTCCTTGATTGATAAATAAAGCGCTTTCGGATTGTTTGGGTGGTTTCGGCCCTAAACTCCATCGGATCCGTTCGAAGAAGGCGTCGGTGTGGAAGATTAATCAACCGAAGCGCGGGTCAGAAGCGACGGATACACACTTTAAAGAACGGTCCGAATTGCCTCCGTCTCCGAGCGATCTACTATACATCATTAAGGAAGTTCTTCCAGATCGGCGCAAAAAAGCTTCCGTCTCCACAAGTATATACAGTGAATCTGTATCTGCTGTTTTCATGATTAATCCGACGCTCTTTATCTTTCTTTGTACCAGTATTGTTCTTATGGATAAAGAGAAAGCTCAAATATCGCAACAATATCGGCAACAACGTAGTAATAACGATGACAAGACGTCAGTTGAGACAGTCCTTGAACCTATCGGTTCAAAAGGCAGCTATGGTGAGCCGAACGCTAATATTGTAGATGTCGATGGTAAGAGATCACAATTTCATTTGACATGACGTACTGACATCAAGAAACATATACTACAATCAATTGACGTTCTTAATTCTTTTCTTTTGACCCATCTAAATAGCTGCTATTGGTGAATACCACGAGTTGAAACGCGGACTCTCCCGGATCAGCAGAAAATCAACAAACGCCAGTAAAGTTGAAGAGGGTGTTGTCACCCAAGAAGAGTTCAGTCTCGATGACTTTTTACACGGAATGAACAACGACGCTCAAGAAGCCGGCCATGTCCCTAAACACCTTGGGCTCGTCTTCCGTGATCTCACAGTTGAGGTATATAAATTAGATCTCTTTCCAGTAATCAAAAAGCTATTACCGAAAACAAACACGACGAAACTTTTTCTTCTTGATTATCATTAACAATTCATCACATACACCGCGTCTCATATTTTATCAGGGCCTCGGTGCTGATGCGCATACCATTCGTACAAACCTGAGTGACTTGATGGCAGCTCTTCAATTCTGGAAAGTCTTTGGCATCGGTAAAAAGACTTCAAAAAAGACGATTCTCCGTGGTCTTGACGGTTTCTGCAAGGATGGTGAAATGCTTCTCGTTCTCGGTCGTCCTGGTGCTGGTTGTACCAGTTTGCTTAAAGTCTTGGCTAATATGCGCGGCTCTTTTACCAAGGTCGATGGTCAAGTCAGCTACGGAGGTATTGATCACGAGACATTCGGTAAATATTACCGTGGCCAAGCCATCTATAACGAAGAAGAAGATCAACATTACCCAACGTAAGTCATCTTTGTAGTCTTTGAACATGAACGGATGACGCATACTAATGGAAGGCCTGCAATAGACTTAGTACGCGACAAACACTGCAGTTCGCCTTACGTTGCAAGACTCCTGGTACTCGACTGCCTGATGAGACTAGCAAAGACTTTGTTGAGAAAATTATTTACTTGCTCGGCAACATGCTAGGTCTTACACGACAGATGCCTACCATAGTTGGTAATGCCTTTGTACGCGGCCTTTCTGGTGGTGAGCGCAAGCGTCTCTCTATTGCCGAGGTCATGACAACACAGAGTTCAATCAACTGCTGGGATTGTTCCACGCGTGGCCTGGACGCCGCTTCTGCCCTCGATTATGTCCGTTCGCTCCGCATCATGACCGACGTTTTCAAAAAGACAACCATTTCCACATTGTACCAAGCATCCAATAGCATCTACAGCTTGTATGACAAAGTCTTGCTACTTGATGATGGCTACTGTATCTATTTTGGCCCAGCCGACGAAGCAAAAGCCTACTTTGAAAACCTTGGATTCTACTGCCCGCCTCGCAAGTCGATTCCAGATTTCCTCACCGGCCTCTGTAATCCCGTAGAGCGTGAAATCAAGCCTGGTTTTGAAAACACCGCGCCACAGCACGCATCTGAATTCCAAGCCCGGTACTATGAATCCACTATCCACAAGCGTTTGATGGCCGAGCTCGAGAATTACGAGCAACTGATCGAACGTAATAACCCATCTGAAACTTTCAAGAACGCTGTTGTCGCCGAGCATCAAAAGGGCGCACTCAAAAAGTCTCCATACACCGCTTCCTTTTGGCAGCAAGTCATGGCATTGACAGTTCGTCAGTACCATCTACTGATCAAGGACCATCATGGCAACTTTTCTCGCTATGGTACGATTTTCGTCCAAGGTTTGATATCTGCATCATGTTTCTACAAGATGCCCATGACGGCTGCAGGTGCCTTCTCTCGCGGTGGTGCTCTATTCTTTGCGTTGCTCTTCAACTCGCTGATTTCACAGACGGAAATGGTGAATTATTTGACCGGTAAACCTATCCTGGCCAAGCAGAAGCATTTTGCCATGTTCCAGCCGTCTGCGTTTTACATTGCCCAAGTCATTATGGATGTACCTTACGCCATTGTTCAAGGTAAAGATTATAATCACTGATATGCTAGATAATAAGTAATGTTCTGATAAGCTTATAATTTCTCTATGATTTTTAGTTGTCATTTTTGCTCTGTGTTCGTACTTCCTGATGGGTCTTAATCTGGATGCCGGTCATTGGTTCGGGTACTGTCTCATCTTATTCTTTCTGAACATGATGATGAACGGTTTCTTTCGTCTTTTCGGTGCCATCTGTAAGAATTTCTATTTGGGTACGGAAATCTCTGGTATTTTTCTGGTGGCCATGATGACCTATACCGGCTATGTCATTCCGTACAAGACGATGCATCCTTGGTTGTATTGGTAAGAAGCTATCATTTCCTGCAAGCTAACATTATTTCTAAACATTTTTTGCTCTTTGTTTTACCCTACATAGGATTTACTGGATTAACCCCATGGGCTATGCTTACAAGGCACTGATTATCAACGAGATGCGCGGTCAGGTCTACTCGTGTGAAGGCGAAGGAAACTCTATTCCATTCGGCCCTGGCTATGAAGCGTGGGCAAACAAGGTCTGCACCATGAAAGGAGCTGTACCCGGTGAAAACGTTGTGCGTGGTGACGACTACCTTCGCGAAGCACTCAGCTACGAGCCATCCCAACAATGGGCACCTTATTTCGTGGCTGTGGTTGCATTCTTCCTTTTCTTCACCGTGGTCATTGCTGGTATCATGGAATTCTCGGATGCTATGAAAGGCGGATCCATCACCAAACTGTATCATCCCGGCAAAGCTCCAAAATCCCGTACCGACGAAGAGGAAGATGAAAGACGCAAGAAGCAACAAGAGGTTACCAACAATATGGAAGGTCTTGCTACCGGTACAACATTTTCCTGGCACCACATTCACTACGAGGTTCCGTTCAAAGGTGGTCCACTGCACTTGCTCAATGACATTTCCGGTATTGTCAAGCCTGGCCATTTGACAGCTCTCATGGGTTCTTCGGGTGCGGGTAAAACTACCCTTCTCGATGTGTTGGCAAAGCGCAAGACCATTGGCAAGGTAGATGGCCGTGTCTATCTCAACAACGAAGCCTTGATGTCTGATTTCGAACGCATCACCGGTTACTGCGAGCAAATGGACATTCACCAGCCGGCAGTCACTGTGCGCGAGGCCATGCGATTCTCTGCTTACTTGCGCCAGAATGAAAATGTTCCCAAGGCCGAAAAGGACGAATATGTTGAGCAGATTTTGACGTTGCTCGAAATGGAAGACATTGCAGATGCACAGATCGGTGTTCTAGAAGAAGGCACGGGTATTTCTGTCGAGGAACGCAAACGCCTTACTATCGGTATGGAGCTCGTTGCTAAGCCCAAGTTGCTCTTTTTGGACGAGCCTACTTCTGGTTTGGATGCCCAAAGTTCGTTTAACATTGTCCGGTTTATTCGCAAGCTCGCTGACTGTGGTTGGCCCGTCCTGTGTACGATTCATCAGCCTTCTTCTATCTTGTTTGAGCACTTTGATCATCTATTGCTTTTGGTTCGTGGTGGCAAAACTGCTTACTACGGGGAAATTGGCAAGGATGCCCGTATCATGATTGACTACTTTGAATCGAACGGCGGTCCTACTTGTTCGCCTGACGCCAACCCTGCAGAATACATTTTGGAGGTCGTTGGTGCTGGTACGGCTGGAAAGGCGACACGCGACTGGGCTGAGATTTGGACCAACTCACCACAGGCTCAGTCTCTTGAGGAAGAACTCGAAGATATTCATCAGGTTGCTGAGGAACATCCCAAGCGCGAATCACTAGCATATGCCACATCGTTCTGGACGCAATTCTGGCTTGTTTACAAACGTATCAACATTGCTTACTGGCGATCTCCCGAATACAACATTGGTCGTTTCATTACCCTTGAAGGCATTGCATTGATCACTGGTTTCACGTATTGGAAGATGTCATACACGACCTCGGATATGCAAAACCGTCTCTTCTTCTTGCTATCCACCTTCATTATGGCCGTTCTTTTGGTAACTTTCTTTGCTTCTATTTCCCGTATTTAACAGAAGACTTACATACTTTTATTACCTTCTTTTTACTTTATACAGATCATCTTGTCCCAACCAAAATTCATGACTGAAAGACTCTACTTCCGTCGCGAGTACGCGTCGCGCTACTATGGCTGGGTGCCGTTCTCCATTGCATCGATCCTTGTAGAAATTCCATATATTCTGGTAATCTGTGCACTTTATATGTGCGGATTCTACTGGACTGCTGGTTTGGTCAACACGTCTGAAGCATGTGGTTACTTTTACTTGATGTTTGTATTCTTTGTATGCTGGGCCGTTTCTCTTGGTTTTGTCATTGCTGCCTTTTCTGAGCATGCCACGATGGCTTCTGTAATCAACCCATTATTTATCTCCATGCTGATCCTCTTTGCCGGTATGATGCAATCTCCAAGCGCTATGCCACACTTTTGGAGCTCCTGGATGTACTGGTTGGGTAAGATTTTGAAACACGTTGGCTCTTTTTTCTCACTTTCTGTTCTTGATACTCACAACTGGAAATATTACATTGTTTTAGATCCTTTTCATTACTATCTAGAAGGTCTAGCCACAAATGAAATGCGAGACCTGCCGGTTGAATGCAAGGAACTCGACGTCGCCACGTTTTACCCACCTGAAGGCCAAACATGCGGCGAGTACAGCGCCAATTTCTTCGCAAACGGTGCCACAGGCTATATCGTGAACGAAAATGCAACAGACATTTGCGAATACTGCTCTTACAAGTCTGGTCAAGAATTCTACTCGAGCTTATACCAATGGGATGCAGGCAACAAATGGCGAAATCTCGGTATCATGATTTGCTACTTCATTTTCAACGTATTTGTATTTGTTATCCTTTGCTTTTTCAAGAGAAAGGCTAGACGATAGACAAAGTTTATACTGTGCTTTCTTTGTTTCTGTCCAACTTCTTTATTCATTCATCACCCAAAACTGTATATTATTTCTGTAATATCTCCTCAACCATCAATTTATCATACAGTCTAATTATTAGTACATAACTAGAGTTTTTTTTTGTTATATCATACCTTCATAAATTTTATAAATGCTCTTGATATCATAATCGAGCCTACTACTGTAGCAACTCACCTTCTTAAAACAAGAGTAGCATCATATATAAGAAAGTCTTACTTTATTATATTGCAGCTGATATGGCAGCACCTGCTAGGTACAGTGGTTCCCCGTTTAATTTCACTCTCAATAAGATAAACCCTCAGTTATTTCAACTTTTTTCTATACCCCCTTTAAGCATAGAACACTGCTTGAATCACCCTCGTTTTGTGTCAACCCTCAGTAGTCTCAACACTTTATAGACCCCCTTTGAGGTTGAAATAAACGGGGAACCACTGTAGTCAATTTGTCGTGCTAAAGCTGTGATTGTTAGAGTCAATACATACTAAGTACCAGAAAATTGTGGTTCAAGAAGAGAAATGACGCAGGATTGATAATACCCACATTATCCGACGATTGACAGGAAGATTTATCTTCTCAAGCTGATATAAACCGAGGAAGCGTTTTCGAGTATGAAATCTTACCAATTTGCCGTTAAATGTCGGCAAGAGTATATTCTAATACATGTTATTTTACTAGACTACTATCATTGTGACTATTCCGAATGGATAGAAGAGTGACATGGATTGCTCACTTCATGCCCCTTTTCTTCCTCCCAAGATGATAATATGTGATTTCTCACGCACTCAATTCATGCACCCCATAACATTCAACTATACTGATAAACACCCTGGACAATTCATCGCATGGCACTGACAGGATTAAACCATACAAGTCTATTTGCATCTTTTGTGGTGAGATAGTAAAAGACGATCGCAATGTGATAAGCCTGGCCACAATGAAGATATATTTCAAGGGGGTTTATCAGCGGTTTATCCTTTGCAAAAATACCCACCGAGCACCAGATTCTCTTCCTGTAAGTAGCGTGCGCTGAAAAGAAAAATTCAGAATTGTAAAATTCCTTTGGGAGCACTTTAATGTATATCAACATATTATAAACAAACAAGTAAGTTTGAATATGTTTATTACAAGCACTATGATAAGAATGTGAGGCGGTAGCCATTAATTTCATCTTGTAACAGCGTTGTTCGTACCAACCAAGTGATAACGCGTATTCTCACGTACAGTAAGCATACGTTAAAGTTACGCACTTGAGCAATACAGGTATTTGTGTTATATGCGACATGCCATTGTGACATGGGTTTCAAATGTGGACCCGGGGAAAAACAAATTCATGCAATTTTGTTGGGTTAAAAAAATGCCCTAATTTCTCTTCTTTTTACTTCCTTAAACCTTTGCAAGATGTCAACCAAAATTACCTACCGAGGCGAAAACGACCAAGAGTTCTTTGTGATTGCCAACAAGGGCATGGCTTCCAAGTGGCGCAAGGACAAGACGATTCCTCTTGTCGACGTTGTCCAATGTAAAGCTTTCTATTCTATATCATTACGTTTTCTTTTCTTTCGCTCACAGAACGAAACGGCAATGCATGTAGCATTTGACGTGATGACAACGTCCACCGGAAGCGAAACGGGTGAGTTCGTACGACCTTCCAAGGGTACTCTCGAGTAAGTAATCAAGAGCAATCCTCTACCCCGTACTCCCAAATTATCAGCACAACTTGTTCTCCTCATGTGTCTTGAACACCGACGATAGACAGGCAGACATATACTGACTGAATTTGCATACGCATATGCTGTACACAATATATGCAACTATCTGTTGTTACTGTTGTTGCTTACAGGAGCTCATTTCAGACCAAGAACGTGGACAAGGTTGTCGAGCAGATTGTCGAGCATGGAGACGAAAAGAATATGTAAAAATAAACCACTAGCATCATGATCAGAAACATACTGCTGCTACTACCGCTAGTAGTAGTAGAAGTAGTAGTAATCGTAGCATCCGGCACTCCTTCACTCCTCTGTCTCTCTCTCAGACCCCTTGTAGGGGCTGGTGAAGAGCTCCTATACATAATTGATAATAAAGAGTGTACTATGTATATAACAATTTATGTGAAAAAAAAGGGGGGGGGTGAGGCCTTGGACACCATATCACGACGACTCCGTGTTATTAAAGCTTTCTCTCTTTCTTTCTTCTTTTGCAACTTTCAAAACACACAATCACAATGGCGCCTGCATCAACAACCGATGGCGATTCATATTCCTCATCGGCAACACAGCCGACGGAACTGTCGGACGCCATGATAGAGTATTATGACATGAAGGGCGAAACAATAGTGCATACTCAGCGCGCACGAGACGGCGACACGGATTCCGACAAAGATTTGGTGATCACGTCGCTGACAGAGTCGTTACAGATACACAAGGAGATTCTCGAGCGACTGAACAATGAAAAAGAAGCTTTTATTGCAGATATCCGCAGAGAGCGAGACGAGGAGCAGAGTACCACACGCAAAGAAAAGGAAGAAGCCCAGTCGGCGCTGGAGACACAGATGGAACAACACAAACGGCTGGAGTCGGCCTATGCCAGCGCTGTCAAGGAGCTTGAATCCAAAAAGGAAGAATACAAGCGGATGGAGAGCAATTTCTATGCCCATGTAAAGAGGTAGGCTCTTGTTACCGTGATTTATCCTTCTATCCAATTATCGACATCACTGACAATGTGTTTACTGGATGCACTATAGCATACGGCCCACCGACGATGATCTGTCGACAATCCAGTATGAGATCACCCACTTGGCCAACCTAATGAATAACTTTTGCATGGGCCTGAAATCAAAAATGGATCGATCTGGCGGCTCTGCATATATCCTGGACCGATGGCCGAGCACCCGCCATTACTTTCTGTCCAACGCATCAGAAGAAGACGACGCCATAGAACCACGGCTGGAGCCATGGATCATCACCATGTTTACTGAGAAGCTTATCACGGAGGCACTCACCCAGGACATCTTCAACCAGCCGATCCACACTGGCGTGTCTGTGAACGAAACATTCAAGCAGCTGAATGCATGGATCGAGGAGCGCAACACAGACTGGGCCAGCCGCCTGAGACAGCAAGTGAGCGCACTCGTCGTGCGCCAAGCTGGTGAACAGGAACAGGCCATGATTGACAAGTCGTTGGAAGCGCTAGTGGACAGGATTCTCGATCAGCTCAGCAGCATCTATCCACGCATAAAGGACGGTCCTCAGCAAAAGAAAAAGATGGATGCCATCTGCGCACGTGCTGCCAAACTAAATCTTGCCATGAAGGGTCAGGACATTAGAGTGTTCTGTGGCTCAATTGAAGAAGGTGTCGCCCTCTATGACAGCGCCACCATGAAGCCCGTCAGCAAGAGCGAGCCGGAGGGCACTGTCGTATATGTTGTCGCTCCGCCGTTCATTGCTTTGGATCCAAAGGATGAAGACCATGGATTTGTGATACCTGCAAAAGTTTACTGTACCTCTTCTAAATCTCTACTTCCTCCTTCTCCACCATCACAAACAACATCAGCATCGTCACCACCCTCGCCATCACCCACGCCTACTTCAATAGCAGCAGAATAAACAAACTGTTCTAATATGAAATCTAAAGATTTTGAGCACGAGGGAAACGTCTTTACCGGTTTAAGAAAAAACCCCGCCAGGTGCGTCGTCGTCGTCGTCGCTGTTACAAAAAAAAAACAGTTTTTTTTTGTGTGGAAAAGCCTTTATTTTTTTTTTCTTCAAACTTGCCCATCGCGCTTTCAGCTTTCTCCCTTTTTTCCCCGCCGCTTCTTCGTTAAACACAACATGGAGATCCCTGGTGAAGTGCTTCAGCAATTGACTCCAGTGTTGACGAGTCTTCTCTCTACCGACAACACTCAGCGGTAAATAATGAGTCAGAGCCTTGCCTTTAGTGAACCGTGTACAGAGAGACACACGATAAAGTTTGGCAGCTTTATGTTTCCCTCTCTCTCTCTCCCTTCCCCCCCTTGAAGTTTATGTATTAAACTTTTGCTTCTTCACTATAGATCGGCAGCTGAAACAGAGCTGAATGAGAAGTGGGTGAAGCAGCAACCCGACCTGCTGATTGTTGGACTTTCGCATTTCGTCGCGCAGAACTCCGAGGTTCAGGTATGTGTTTAGCTGTGGTAGCGCTTCTTTGCTTTGTGCGTGTGAGCAAAAGCACGGGAAGGGAACAAAAGGGAGTGAGGGCGGGCTCTTTTTTTTTATTTTCGTTCTTTTCGATGAACAAGAAGGGGAAGGGGGTCATATGCATTTATTAAAGGGAATTTTCTTGTATATGTGTAGCTGCGCTCCCACAGCAGTGTGCTTTTGCGTCGTCTTGCGTTTAAGCCATACACGACACCCACAGACCCCGATGCCACGCTTTGGGACATGGTCCAGGAAACATCTCGAAGCAGCGTGAGAGAGCTTTTGCTGGCATCTCTGGCCAACGAAACCGACCAAGGCACTCGCCACAAGGTTGCCGATACAATTGCTGAGGTTGCCAAGTCGGATCTTGGCAAGAATGGTAGGGCACGCTCACCACAAACGTGGAAAGACCGGACAGAGTTGAAAAGGGGCGTGTGGAAGGGATGGAAGGGGAGGGGATACAACTGAGTGGACCTCTAACGTACATGGCTGTTTTCTGGGTACCGTGGTGTTTAGTTGGATGGGACGCATTGCTTAAGGCTTTGTTCCAGTGCAGCCAGTCGCCAAATGCTGCGCTCCGTGAGTCTGCTTTCCGTATCTTTGCTTCTGTCCCCGAACTTATCTCTGACCAGCACACCGACACCCTCAAGACCGTGTTCATGGGCAGTTTGACGGATGCCGAAAGTCAAGCGGTAAAGAGCATACATGCACTTGTGATGCACTAAGAAAACTGTCTCATTTACTAATGTTGATATCCACTGCTATTCAGGTCCGTTTGGAAGCTATGAAGGCTGCAGTAGCATACATTGTCAAGGCCGAGCCTGAAACCCAGAAGCAAATGGGTGCCCTGATGCCACATATGCTTGAGGTAAAGTAACCACTGGAAAAATCACAAGAGTGTTACTGGGATTGTGGATGTCTGAGGGACGCACGACTTAATGCAACAATGTAGACTCTGGGCCCCGTGATTACGAACCGCGACGATCAGACGCTTGTCGACGGCCTTGTCGTATTGATCGAGTTGGCCGACAGCGCTCCTCGTCTGTATAAACCCGTCCTTCCCAACCTGCTGACGGTCATGGTGTCTATTTCCAAGGACAAGACTTTTGAAGACCGTACTCGTCAAACTGCTTTGGAACTGCTGCTTACTCTGAGCGAAGCTTCGCCTGCCATGGTTCGCAAGGTGCCCAACTTTGCTTCTGAAGTCATCCCCGTCGCCATGGAAATGGTCACTGATATGGAAGACGACGAGAGCTGGTACACGACCGACGACTTGGATGAGGACGATAATGAGGAGAACTATGTGATGGGTGAAAGCACGCTTGACCGAGTGGCACGCACGCTCGGTGGCAAGATTGTTGTGCCCGTTGCCTTCCAGTATATCCCGCAGATGCTCCAGTCGAGCGAATGGCAGCAGCGCCGCGCTTCGTTGATGGCCATTTCGTCGATCGGCGAAGGCTGCGTCAAGGTCATGAAGCCCGAACTTGCTAATATCATTCAGATGATCGTCCCTTACCTGAAGGACCCCCATCCCCGTGTCCGCTATGCCGCCTGTAACGCAATTGGCCAGATGTCGACCGATTTCGCTGACTATCTGCAAAAGAACTTCCACCAGCCCATCATTACTGCTATCTTGCCTGTCATGGAGGATAGCAGCCAGCCTCGTGTCCAGGCCCATGCTGCTGCTGCCATGGTCAACTTTTGCGAGGAGGCCGACAAGACCACGCTTGACCCTTACCTTGATGCCATCTTTGAGCGTCTGCTGATCTTGCTGAAGACCCACAAGACCTACGTCCAGGAGCAGGCCATCACCACCATTGCCACTGTCGCCGACTGCGCCGAAGACAAATTCGTCAAGTACCACAGCGTCATTGTCCCCTTGTTGTTGGATATCCTTCGCCAGGCTACCGACAAGCAGTACCGTTTGTTGCGTGGCCGCGCCATCGAATGCGCTTCGCTTATTGGTCTGGCTATTGGTAAGGAAGGTTTTGCGCCATACACTCAAGGCTTCATCCACATTCTTGCGGAAATCCAACAATCTGTCACGGAGCCCGATGATATTCAGACCACCTACTTGCTTGCTGCCTGGGCTCGCATGTGCAAGATGATGGGCCAGGACTTTTTGCAGTACCTTCCCAACATCATGCCGCCGCTTTTGCAATCTGCCCGCGTCACTCCTGAGTTTACGTTTGTCGATCCCGAGGAAGAGGATGTCGAAGCCAACTACCCCTCCGAGGACGGCTGGGACTTTGTTGCCATCAACGGCCAGCACATTGGCATCAAGACTTCCGTGCTGGAGGAGAAGCACACGGCCATCGAAATGCTGGTTAGCTACGCACGCGACTTGGGCGCCGGTTTCTTGCCCTACGTTACCCAGGTGCTCGAGATTGCTTTGCCCTTGCTCAAGTTCTATTTCCACGACGGTGTCCGACACGCCGCTGCTGCCCTGCTTCCCTTGTTGTTGCGTGATGCCAAGGAAGCCAATGTGCCCGGCAACGAGCTCGCCAGCATGTGGCACACTGTCTTTGAAAAGATCGCCAAGGTCTTTGCCACTGAAGACGATGTCTCGTTCCTGGCTCAGCTGTACGCTACCTTTTACGAATGCGTTGAAGTTTTGGGTCAAAACTGCATGCAGCCCGAGCAGCTCGAGCTTTTCACCAAGGCTTGCGAGGAGCACATAAAGATGTTCTTGGAACGATTGACCGCTCGCGAGTCCGAGAAGCAAGCTGGCGAGTATGATCCTGAGGATGAAGAGCAGTTGATGGACGAGGAAGTTACCGAAGAAGACGCATTGAGCGAGCTCTCGCACGCTATCCAGGTCGTTCTCAAGACGCACGGCGCTGCTACCTTTGGACCTTACTTTGAGCGATTATTACCCTTGATCGTGCCCTTCCTGAACCACCCCAGCTCGACCGCACGCCAATGGGCCATTTGTGTGTTTGACGATCTTGTCGAATACACCGGCCCCGCTTCGTACAACTATGCCAACCAGTTCTTGCAGACCATGGTCAACTCATTGCAGGATCCGGCTGCCGAAGTGCGTCAAGCTGCTGCCTATGGCTTGGGTGTCTGCGGTCAGTTCGGTGGTCCACAATACGCCGACGTGTGTGCTGCTGCTTTGGAGCCTTTGTTCCACATCATCAAAGCTCCCAACAGCCGTGAAGAGACGGTGGTCTTTGCCACCGAAAACGCAATCTCCGCCGTTGCCAAGATCTGCAAATTCAACAGCTCCAGGTTCCCACTAGATACCGTGCTTGGTCCATGGTTCGAAGCGTTGCCCATCGTCAACGACGACCAGGAGGCCGCCTTTGTCTACAGCTATCTGTTGGAACTGCTCGAGGCTAACCATCCTAGCGTGCTAGGCCCCAACAACGCCAACATCCCCAAACTGGTCAAGATCTTCACCGAGGTACTGGCAGCAGACATCTTGCAGCCTGAGCTGACACAGCAGGTGGTAAACAACCTGAAGGTCGTCCTGAACGGTGTTGATGATGCTACGCGGACACAGCTGTGGAATGCAATTGCACCCGAAGCGCGGGCAGTGTTGCAAGAAAAGGGATACGTTTAGATAGCCGTCGTTCCTTCTCTCTTCTCTTCCTTTCAGAATCTCTTAATCAAAATTAATACTTTAATCGCTTCCCCCTCTTGTATTTTTTTCTTCCTCTCCCATTACCACCTTGACCCACACTCTCCCTTGTCTTTCTGCCAAAGGTCTCTCTCTCCCTAACTTGATTACACACAAGGCCCCTTCCCAACCTTCTGCCTCTCTTCTCTAAACACACACACACACACACACTCTAACACACACATTGCATATCCATACTATAAAGAAAGACAAAGATCTACATCTTACTATTAAAAGATACGATATATTTTCATCATCCGAAACACGCTAGATACTATTTCGTTTAGCAATGACATCCATTGCTGTTATTCGCTGCTGAAGCAGTTTGCTTCTTCGACGGGGGAATGTCGATACCTGGATTCCCCAAAAAGAAATTGCACGGCTTGAGATGGAACCCACACGTCTCAACAGGCATGATTGGGAAATCCTCGACGCGTGGAATGTGGTTAAGGCCAAACGTGAGCCATACCACAATATCCTTATCACGTACACTAGCTGACTCTTTAGTCCATTCAGGTAGACCCATGCCGGGCTCGCTTTGACTGCAGTAGGATCCACCTGGGAACAACTGATGTTCCTCATACGGCGTAACCCAGACCGTCTTTGTCGCAAATTTGGCACGTTCTGTGACAATGGCTCCTGGTTTAGGGAGCATGGGTGGCGTGTTATTGCTGACAAGTTTGAATCCGACCGGCTTTTTCGTGTATGGGTGCAGTTTGCTTTCGTTGATGATTTGCCAGAAACGCGAGGAGTCTGCGTTGCTGCGTACTTGGGCTTCATCCGTTGTGTTGTAGATCCGAGTCACAGGCACAAAGGCATTGCCAACGCGATTATCTGGGTGACCCACAGGGTCTGTAGATGGCACCACGTCCACTTGCATAACCGAGTTATCAATGCCGTCAACCATGGGATCAATGCGCATCATAAACAAGTGTTGGTGGTGTTGGCCGACCACTTGTGGTGCGACTATCGTGCCATAAGGTGCTGGGTCCTGCATAATTCGTTCGTAGAGTTAGTGTACACGCACTACTTGAATAAACAGAAGAATCAATTATGATTCATTGCTATCTCACCTCGTCCTCTGCCAGAATATGCGTGTTCAGTTCACCTGTAGCCTTAACTTCGTATTGGAATGTCCCATCCTGGTAAAAGTAAAAGTACAAGCCATAGTCGTAATTGGCGGCTACATAAGTATTTTTAGATTATTAGACTATGATACAACATCAAAAAAGCTTGCACACATTAAGCTGTTGGAGACATACCAGTGATAATATTGGAAACGACCAAACGACGCGAGCGAACCGAATGGGCCTTGCCAGATCGATAATCCGTATGCTTGAACAAAAGACCAGCATCCTCTTCGTGGATACATATGGCATTCTCGATAACTGTCGGTTCGCCCTTGAGATCCGTAATCACGCCGTCCATATATGTAATGTCGCCCACACAATCGCATCCCAACTCGAGAGAATTTGACATATTACCCAGCCCATATTCGCCAACATCAAAAGCCATCTTGTGCGTGTGAGGCTCATAGGGATTGGCATACGGAACCACCATTTCTGAAAGAGACACACGATAAAGCACAGGTCGTACTTGGTCTCCTACATCCTTGTACGTGACATTGCTGATAACGACACCTTCACGATAGTTGAATCCGATGTGCATATTCCACTTTTGCCAATCCAGTGTATGACCTCGTAAGGTGAAACTGACACCTTCGGGTTGCGTAATTTGGATTGGCTTTATATCCTTGCGCATTTTGTCTTGGCCCAGATGCTCAGGTAAGAAATGATGGTTTGCCATGGGTACACTCGCGCGTTCAAATTTACTGTTGCGTGGCACATGACGAATAAGATCAATCACTTCTTGGGCGTTAACGTCTACGTTCCATATCGCAGTGTGATATTTTAGTATATACTCGGTAAAATCTTCATGCAAACTATATGCATGTACTTGAAAGGCGTATATTTATTTTGGTCCAGGTGATATATATGTGTATTGCATATACACTTGAACTGACCGTAAATGGCTGTAAAGTCCAGTGGATGTGCGTACTGATTATCGTCCTCCGATGTCCGGCAGTACATCAGACCTTGCATGATCCGGCGTTTGTCTTGTTTGGCCACGTCTTTGTCAGCATGGTAAAACCCAACAGCCCAAGGATCAATCTTGACCATAGACATATCAGTGACTCCGAGCTGACGGCACTCTTCAATGATACGCTCATCCTTTATCATCATTTGCTCAGCTTCGAGCATTTCATCTGGATGCTGTGTGGGTTGCATGCCTTTGAGTTTTTCCCACTTGACGATCGAGGATTTGGTCAATGATACGATGATTTCATGGACTAGACCACTTGGTCGGTCAATCAAAATAACGAGCGCTTCGCGATCGGGTGGGTCCACCACAGAGCTGTTGGCGGTGGTTAAGGCGTGCAAATAGGCTAGCACTTGTTTCTTGGGAGGTTCATAAAGTGCAACCGAGCTGAAGATGAAATTGTTGGTATCATCCGATCCACGCGCCTTGCGAACAATTGCGGCAACACTACGGAATTCCTCTACCGAGAGAGGATCGAGTGGGTGCTGTAGTTCAGTCACCATAATTTTAACAGATATTTAGGGGTTTCAGGTATGTAAGGTGATGAGAAAAAGAAGAGTGGGAGAGAAAGAGAAAGATATTAGTGCAAGTGAATTGGAAAAGGGATGCCTCTTATCTTGGTATCGAAAAGTGTTTATCTCCAGCGTCAGATGACATGCACCGAGTCGTGCCGAGCCCACAGAAATCAATAAGTGGTCTCCTTTTGCGCAGTGATGTAGCCCTGGAACTGACATATCATTCTATCACTACACCATACAATATCGTGCTTTAGCCTTTTCAGCTGCATCTAGGATGCACGCATGTGTACATGCATCTACGTCCGTGCTACCTTTTACCCATTATCGCTGCAATAACCTGAGTATAACATTAATCCCACTCACTACAGTGCGTTCGCTGCACTTTAGCCACTAAGGCTATCTCTAGACATATAAATAAGAAATGGAATGGTGCATTAGTGTTTCATCTTCTCATGCAAACTACGGACGTCGATCCTTCTCAACTGACAGTTTACGTGCTTTTCTTTCGGTGCGTGATATTTTTGGCGTACAGTATTTCTCGTTTTTATGCGAAACGAAATACGCAGAGTATGACAGTTTAGTAAACAAACATGCACATACGTGTATATATGGTAGTGTAAGAATGTGTACGTTATGGATTGACTTACTCATAAAAGGTTCTTTAGGTTCAGTGAAGTTAGATGTTCAAACACTATGAACTCGGTCGTTTGACATTCGTATCACCCCACACTAACAGATCTCGGCTAAAATGTAATGACGTCAACTATTATATGAAATCCTGCAGCAGCAAGTGGTGGTTAGATTGCACGTATATAAAGCTGTTGCATACTAACTATTGTGATCCCGATAAATAATCTCAAGAATATATGAGCCGCTTCCTTGGAGGGTGGTTAATAAGCACATACAAAGAACGAAATTGACGTAGAGAAAAGGGTCTTCTCCGTTCATGAAGAGCATTTTTACTGGGCACATCCACATAATCTATGTTCAGGAATAATAGAAGACAGTATTTGGATGATTAAAAGAAAAGAAAAAGCCGGTGCATGTGCTGTACTTTATGCTTCTTTTACTATTACGACTACAATATGTGGTACTACGAATAATTAAAACTAGATCAATCCCAAAGCCTTCAGCAATCCTTCACTGGCCCGCGTTACTTGCTTGAAGTTACGCTGAAATCCATCATTGCCACCGTAGTAAGGATCCCGAATGATCGTTTCGCCTTGTGGGTCATAATCACCAAACAACTTCACGGTTGCTTTGCTTCCAGCTGGTTTCATTTCCTAGTGTTACGAGATCATCAGCATCCTACCCACGTTCCTGGCAACTGGCTGACTTTAACCTATTTCAAAATTCACGTTCCACAGAAAATTGAGTCATCGATCTACATACCTGAAGGTCAGCAAGGTTGGAGTTGTCCATACACAAAACATAATCAAACTTGCTAAAGTCGTCTTGAGTGACGCGACGTGCACGATGGTTTACGGGAACGCCGTTATCCTTGCAAGTACTTGCGCTTCGCGAATCCGGATTCTCGCCAACCTAGAGAGAAAGAGAGAGGAAAATACCATATATCCGGTTTTTTGTCAGTTGTTGACAATAGTTATAGTGGTAGACTCATAAAGACCATACGACACTCATTAACAACGTACGTGAAAGCTTGAGGTGCCTGCTGAATCGATCGTGCCAAAGTTGCCGTCAAGTTGCTTTTGCTTGACAACGTGGGCGAACACGGCTTCCGCCATGGGCGATCGACAAATGTTGCCTGTCAAAGATTAAGATTGTAAGCATTCAGCAATGGTGTCTTCTCTTAAGCTCTTTGAGTATTAAAATATGGTAGATACCTAGGCATACAAACAAGACATTGATGGGTTCGCTTGACATTGTTGTATATGTGTGATGACTCGAAGAAGTGTAACCAAGTACTGATTACCAACGCAGCAGCTGCCACACGTTTATATAAGCTGTAGACCACTTCCGAAAATGATCCGCGGCCCGAAGACCAAGCCCGATTTCGGATGCTGTCTTCGAAAATAAAATTTACTTTATTTTTTACACACACACACACACACACACACATATACACAACGATCGATCGATCCGACCTGTCCAACCTCATGGCTCTCACACGCGCACAACGACGAGCGTCACTTAAGAAATCAGTGTCCTTTCAAGAAGATATACAAAAGGAGATCACTCCTGAAACAACTTCCGAATATACTACAGCCAACGAGCTTAATAGCAACGAAGTATCGTCAAACGAACATTCAGACACAGAAGCAAAAGTAGAACAACATATAAATCAAAAAGAACAATCAGAAGAATTATCGTCGGGATCCGAGGCCTCTTTAAATGGGAACGAAAAAGAAAGCTCTGAAGAAGAAGACAGTGACAGGGACAGCTCCGAGGACGAAGACGATGACGAAGATCTTGACGCTCTGTTAAATAAGGCCCAAAAAGCACTCAGTAAACAGCATATTGGAGAGCAGGATCAAATCAAGCTGTAAGTTCTCTCTCTCGTAAAAATTGGATATGGATGTTGTGTTAAAAGATTGGTGGACTTATTATCATAACTAGTGATACCGAAGAAGACGAGAACGATAAATCTCAATACAAGTTACCCAAATTGGACTCACGGATTGCCATGGACAAAGAATTATACATTCAGCGAACAGGTGGCAAAGTTGCAAGACTGGTAGACGGCACTGTAGACATGATTGGTCAAGACGATAGCAAGAAAAACCGGAAACACAAAAAGGTTGTAGAGGCGGTCAAGGAACGGGAAAAGGATGACAAGGAGCGGTTATCACGAAAACAACGACAAGAGGTTTGTGTTATTCTTCATTAAGGCATAGTCGTATCTTTGAGGTGTGATGGAATAGAAAGATTAGTTTTTACTTATCATCTATGTCGTTCTCGCATCTATCGCGTCCCCGTAGGAACGAGAAAAGACGACAGGCAAAGGCTGGTTCGATATGGCTAGACCCGAAGTGACAGCAGAGTTGAAACGAGATTTGCAGCTGCTGAAGATGCGCCACGTGATTGACCGTAAACGACATTACAAGAAGGTCGGCAAGGAGACACCCACATACTTCCAAGTCGGCACTGTGGTGGAAGGACCCACTGAATACCATTCGGCTCGACTGACGCGTAAGGAGCGCAAGGAGACGATTGTGGATGAACTGATGGCCAACGAAGACGCCAAGCAGTACTATAAACGCAAGTACAATGAAGGGCAGACTCGTGGTACTAACGGTCGAAAAAAGGCAAAGCGACAAATGAAGCGATTGTAATTACCGTGATATCAGCACCTTTGCTTTCTTTTTGTGTGTTAATTTAATAAAAGTACTATCATTACTACTCTGAAATGCTACATGTTATACCATGGCCATAACGTAACATCTACGATAGCTGTCAAGCAATAGCAACCCGCAATTTAGAGTTATAACCTCTAGATCTCATCCCTTTTCCGTATAATACGATTCTTAAATGGTACAACACAACACTATATCTTGTGTCGTGTGCGATTTGGTCCGGATAAGTATTACATAATCTGATGTTACAATAATACCTCAGTATTTGCAACCCCGTCTTCATTTTATTCGCAGCAATCTCCTTCTGAAAATCCGACAAAAGACGAGCATTTGCAACTTGCAAACGCGTATACGATTTGCACGTTATTGCGGGCAAAAGGGGCTTCAAAGTTTGCAAGATATGCAATTAAAACCATGATCTGCGCCTTATCCGGGATGGAACATGCCAAAAGTCCAGAATTTGTTTGTCATTTGTGGTCACTCGGACACCTAGAACGGCCTTTCAATGCCTGTAAGGTCCCAAAAGACCCGAACGGTTGTCTGAGACTTGGATGCAATGACATGTTAAAAAACCTCTGCTGGACAACATTGAATGTCGATATGCTCTGAGAAACTGAATATGTATCCAGTGGTGTGCTGAGCACATATAGCACTACTGTACGTTGGATGACAGGGGCATGAGTATATAATCGAAAAAACTCAAGTAGCATGAAGCGTTACTTAGTTATGATTGTCCTTAAGTTCATACTGTCCCCATTTCGGTTGATGCAAATATTAACATTTTGCAATAAAGCTCGGAAAAGGCTGGGTTGCAAAAACCGGGGTCTGACTGCATTAAAGCTGCTTATAGTCACGTCAGGAGAGAGATCGATGTGTACTCTGATGCGACGTCTAATATGAATTTGTGATAATTGCAGAAAATAACTTAATAACTCATGTGTCAATGCAATACGTGACATAGGACAAAATAGCGACTCCTACACAATGCAATATCAGGAAAAAGGCTCTCGAGAGCTGTATGCCATTCCTTTGTTCGCTCTGTGGCCGTATTTGCTAGTTTGTACTTATCTTTCTCTAATAGATTTGCTCATATACATATAATATACAATGGTATGGTTTAGACTGACATAGGACATTGTTACATCTGTAGCGGGTTGGTGAAACGATATTAAATAGATATCTGTAATGATATTTCTGTATCAGCGATGAATATCTGCAGATGGCATATAGCACATACCAAACATTCAAAGTGATACTTAATGCGGTACATCAGTTATAATAGGAGTTTGTAGTAGAGGCATCAAAGGTATGATTAAGCATTTAAGCATTAATACACCATGAAAAAAACAAGTTTTTTCCAAAGACAATTAATTTGTCCACGGTGCTTGTTGTGTAGTGGTGATAAGGAAAAGGAGCTACATCCAACACATTATTAGATCTGCATAAAGGCGATGATGCGCGCCGCTACTCGTTGAGGCGTGTAGCTAAGAAAACGACTCAACCCTCACATTTTAGGCACAACTAGCTGCACGCAATTCGCACGTTGTGAGCACCTGCTGATTTCTTCAAGCCATATAACTTATAGAAACAAAAGATAGCATAGGCCAGCAGCTGTACTAAACAAGTATTCACTAATAGGTCATGGATTATGTATCAATCTTATCAGAAGTACATCCATCATTATGGCTGAGACGGCCAAATAGGACATGATACTTTGCTGTTCTTTCTATAATCAGCTTAAAGTCGAGTCCGGTTTCCACGAGAATAATAATAGTGCTCCTTCCGCCCATCCAACTCTTGCAAAACGTCATAATGGGGCCAAGTGGGAGAGAAAAAAAAAGGTACATGCATACAAAGAAAACTAGACTCACTAATAAGTGCTTCATACTCAACAGCGTTGTATGAAGATGCCATGCCCAACAAGGTTATCTGTCCCTTTTGATGGAAGACATACAAGCATTCTAACGTTTGGTGGCTGCCTATGCTGATTTTCCAGTTACGCCTACGTAATAACACGCCGATACAGGATTGCCAGACTTGGGGACATGATACAACTTTCAAATCCGCTGTACGGTTTCAAGTAGTTTAGTGAAGGATTGAATGACTGAGCAAGTAAAAATTGATTATGGTTTTTTTTTTGTATAAATATAAAAAAAAATTGATTACATAACTGTGACAGTGATGCTATAATTGTATCCTTTCACTACAAAACAGCGGTCCACCAACATAAACACATACACACAAATGCACACAGTAGATCTAAGTATTATCCCAAAGGCAGTAATAAGCTCTTGAATGAGAAATCGATATCTTACGAGCGAAGCATGATGATGATCGTAGTACGGGTATATTACAATGGTAATGTGATGATGAGCAAGAGTATCAAGATGATGGATGGTGGTATATCTTATTTTTTGGTATGATGAGAACTCGGGGTAAACAAAATGTTGTGGCAGGGGTAGGTATCGACTTGGTCTTAGGTGTCAATGATCTCACAAAGTCTGTCAAGATCCATAACAGATTGTGCTTCGACGGCTGTGTTCAATATAGTGTGCTACAGTAAAAAAGCCATAGCCAATGATTAAAGTTCTTATTGTCATTTCACAAGCACTCACTTTCTACTATATCATATATACACATGGCGTCTATCCCACCGTAGCCTCTCAATCGTCTCTTCATGCGTCTCCTTGTTGCCACATGACCCGTTACTGCTCCTAACTTGGGGACATTGCTCGACATTGCACAGATGTTTGGGCACGATTCGTTTGTTAATGTTATGATTGCAAATTGAATCTGTTTGAGTTTTACACATGGTGGAAATGTCACAAATAAAGAATACACTTTTTCAACAAAAAGTTCAAACACAATTTTTTTACTAGCATCCATATTAGAGTGGTGAAAACGCAGTAATACTAGGTAATATCTAGGGAATATGTGAAAATGGTAATATTAGGTAATATCATCATGGTAAAACATAAGGATATTACCATGGGGAATACCTGGGGAATACATATTAATTGTAGCGGCGCTTAGAACAACGCGGTAATACTAGGTAATATTAGAGGAATATGTGAAAAGGGTAATATCAGGGTAATATTAGGGTAAAATGTCAGGATATTACCTAAGGGAATATCCAGGGAATACATGTCGATTCTTGCAGTGACCATATTTAGTGTTATGATAATAATACAACTAATAATACAATTAATGGTACTATTAACATTATTATATCTATTTATCAAACAATGAAATTCTCAATTTAATATTTTATTTATCATATTTTCTGAATTTATTTAGTTAAAAATCTAATTTATAAATTTTTTTAAAGTTTATATATTAAATTAATTTAACAATATATAATCTAGTGTCCTTAGATGCAAGTATATTCTTCTTTTAATATTTTTCTATAGTAACTAATAAAAATATGATTCTTGTAATTATTGGGTCAGAATAAAACTATGATATATTAGTATTAAATTATAATATTTTTTTCGTTGGGAATAGGAAATTCCTCATAAAAATCAATATATGAATTGAAAACCATATTATAATTTATTGTATTTTTTACTTTTTTTCTTTTTTTCTTCCTCATATTTTCATATCTTAACTTGTAATGCATTTTGCCAACATATATTTACAGTCTTTTTTAAAGTAAATCTTTAGACGAAGTTATTTTTATATAAAAATAAAATTCAATTTTATAAACATTTTAAATTTTTATTACTAATAAAATATTTGCTACTAATAGTTTTTATATCAAAATAATTGGTAATGCATATATGCCTACCTAGTATAAAAAAAACTACCTTTTTATAACTTATTCTAGATATAAAAACAATCTTTGTTGTATTTAGATTATTAATATGCACATATTAATGGGATTTCAATTTATACCCTAAATGTTTTATGCATAATAAGAAATAATAAGAAATATATGTTAACAAATAATTCTAAAATAAAAATAAACTTTTAAAAAAATAAAAAAAATCTAATATTTATATTATTAATTTATTAAATGCTGATTTTTTATGTTAAAACTGAACAATATGGTATTTTTATATAATATTATTTCATAAGATTATTTCAACTTTTATTAATTGAAATTAAATTTTAGCTGTGACATTTTATAAATTAAATATTATATGGCAGTCATAGTTTGAATATAAATGATTATATAATAAATTCTTTTTTAGGACAATTGGATATTAAATTTTAATAATTCAGATAAATTAGATCAAAAAAATAATATGAAATTATCTGAACTAGTTCAATCAAACCAGATATATTTTGGGGGTCGTTTTTTATTTATATTCTCAAAATTGAAATAACAATTATTTGGATAAGAATAAATCTTCTAAAAAACATTTAAAGATGCTTCCCTAAAAATATTAATATATTGAAACAAATAGAAAAAAAAATATATTATAAGAATTATTTTGTTCCAACATTATGTATTCAAATAAGATATATTAAAGGTCATTTCAAAGATAGTACCTTTTTGTAACCCATTCCAAAATCGTAAATATTGCCATACTGCTGCGAATTGGCATGACTTGTACTGCTTTGTTGCTCAGTATCAACGTCATCGTCATCCAGAATACGCCGTCTTTTAGCTTGCTTTGATGGGTTATCCTCCCCACCATCAGACTCCAATTGTTGAGTGAGATTGTTGCTGAGAATGGTTTGAGATTTCTTACTGTATTCCCCCACCAACCGCACACTCTCGGTAGTGTAAAGTACATCCACAGTTATCTGTGCCTCTCTCAATCATACAATAACGCCCCACAGCTCCTTATTCATCTTCAATGGCCTATTCAATTAGAAAGGAATTTCAGCTGCTGATGTATTTTTTGTCTCTTTCTCGGTGGTAGCTTGTCTGCAGATGTGGCTTCAACGTCTTTACAATTCTCGTATATCGACTGCACCAAGTTCTGTACAGCTCATTGGCGCCGAGTTTCAGTGACCACTGAGCGATGCTT